CTCCCGGCGGTTGCCCTATATGGTAACGGCAACTGCCTTCGCGCTGCGTTTGCTAAGCAATATCGCAAGCGCGCAGAGCGCGCGCGCCGGCTTCGTGGGCCGGCGCGCGCTCTGCGCGCGCGCGCGCACGCATTTGGTTACCAGATGAGTATGTGTTTCATTTGCACGCAGTGGTTGTAGTTGTACAGCTGTGAAGAATTATGCAGAATCCGCTAGCACTTTTCAGCCGTTTGATATGCATGGCGGCCGTTTTGCACTCTAGCTCCCGCTGTTCCAGCTCCGAGGGCGGCAACTCCTCTTCCGCTTGGGGGGACCGCGGCGGCAACACCCACGCGCGCTGTTTGTCCTGCACCCGAAGCTCGTCCGGCCCGGATCCACAGAGAAAGGGCAAATCAAACTTTAGCTCGCCCCCGAAGGCCCGGACCTGCGGGTCGGCCGACGTTCTCGCGCCCTCGGTGAACAGATACGCGTAGGTTCCGTACAGTTTTGCGACGGTAACACGCCACCGCGGGGCCAGCACGAAGGCATCGCGGTTCTCCGCTTTCAGTCCGACCAGGTGCTGGTGCTGGTACCTTGCCGTTTTTTCTGGGAACCCGTGGATCGCCACCTGCGCGACCAGGTCCAAGTAAAGCAACGCGGTTTCCACTCCGTTCAAGGCATCCATTTTTTCCGTGTCGGACAAGGTTTCGACGCTCCAAAACCGCTCAAAGTCCGGTGAGCCGGGCGTGGGGAAATAGGTCTCGCCGAAGACCACGGTGCTTAAGAACTCGAGAAACGAGGCACCGTCGCCACGCTGGAGGTGCTCAGCGTGGGGGATAGTCTGGAACATGGCGAACCAGTCATCCTTGCTACTTTGGTATCAGAATGAAGAAAACCCTGACCCCCCATGATGTGTGTCTAGATTTGTAAATGCGAGAACTACGCACAGGTGTTGTTTCTTCTTGGCTGCCCTACGGCAGTGGTACCTCGTTCGTGCATGTGATGTCAGTGGTAGTTCCCTGCAAGAACTCGTAACCGCTGTCCTGCAAACCTGAAGCAGAGCCGTCTGTCATACCCAACCAAGAGACTGGTGCGGCTGACAAACCTTCTCAGCAAACATTAATGTGTTCTAATCCTGCTCGTTGCAAATTCATTTTTAACATGGGGGGTCTTATTTTCCAAATTCATACTTCCTCACTGTGTCGAAAGCCGTCCTTCCGCCAGGTCTCCAACTTCGTGCGTAGGCTCGGACCATCATTACCGCTGCCGTCTACAAGCAAGCGAATGCAGTTGTACCCCCGGGAGTTCGCGTGAGGTCGCTCGTCCGCGCCGTCTACCCCGCGCGGCCACGGGCTGGGATCGGAAACCTCAACATGCCATCTATCGCTGGAGCACCAGCGCGCAAAGCGGTTTGACACCGCCAACTGCCGAAAGGGGCTTTGCCCATCGGGGGCCGACGTCTCGGCAGGGCGTTGCACGGGACGATTGATGACTGCGCGTCTCCACCGCTCACCCGCGGTGATGAAGTCGCGGCGCGGGCCCTGGTTCGCGTTCCGGGACCCTCGTCCAAGAACCGCTGTCGCGTCCAACACGGTCGGGACGTGCAGCCAGTGGTCATTGGCGTGCTTCAAGCTGGCGTCCCGCAGCACCCGCTCTTTCAGACGCAACACCACCTGCAGAGACCGCGCGACGCGCACGGTGCGCTGCTGCACCCAGGCTCGGAGAGCGTCGCCTCCGTCGCTCATCCACCTACCGTGCTTTGCCAGTTTCCGTGCGGCCTTCTGCGTGGCGGCTTCGAGCACCTGCAGCAACGTCCACCGCACGCCCGACGGAATCTCCGAGGCACGGGACGCCGACAGGGCCCGGACGTACCCGCCGACCAGAAACTCCTGGGAAACAATCCCGAAGACCTTGAAGTAGTTGCGTGCAGCAGCAGCTGCCGCGCCGTCCGGGCGCCGTTCCGGCCGCGCGAGTGCGAAACGGGCATAGTTCAGCAAACACGCCCACGGCGACATCGCAGCCCGGGGCGGCGTCCACCAAATACCGGCGTGGGGCGGAAGAACGCTTCCTGCGCCGCCGCGGTGCTCGTCGGGGTCTGCCCGGAGGAAGAATCGCAGGGTGTCGAAAATCTCCTTGGCAGTGGAAACTTGGCGCTCGGCGTCGCGGGCAGCTTCGGTGTGAGTCATTTCGATCAACCGCGTCCACAGGCTCCGCTGCTCCACGTGCTTTTTGGCAACTCGGGTCCAGGTGGACCATGCATAGTGTCGCACCTTCGCCGGGAGGCTAACGTCCTCCATTCTCGGCAAGTGCTGCAGAGACCCGTTCTGCTCCGCGGGGCTTCCGCCCGAGAAGAGCCGCACCTCCACTTCTTCGTCCGGCGCCGCCTCTCCCGGTCGCACTTCCAGCGCGAGCGCCTCCGCGTTGGCAGCGGCGTCTGTTCCCCCGTCATGTTGCAGCAAAAATAGGACCGGCTTTCTGTCATTTGCTGCCAAAACTCGCTCCTGGATTCTGCGAACAAACTCCGCGCCGCGCCTCCACGCCAAATCAGCGGCCGCCTGCTGGTCCCCTCGCCTGTTGTTTTAGAACAAGTTCATCTTGCACGACTACTAGCATCTTACTTTCCACAGGTAGAAGTGACGAAGACGCGGCAAGCGGATCAATCATCCCATGATCCGAAGTAGAAGCCAGTGGCATGCAAGAACGAATAATTTTGGTTCAGATGAGGCCTAGAAAAGACCTGGTGTCGATGATCACCATCTAGCAATTGCGGAAGATAAAAAATGGAGCGGCTTTCATCCTACTTCGCAGCTTCTCGGCCGACGAGAACAACAAAGAACCGAAACCGGCTGAGGAGCAGAGCACCCATTTTACACAATGTCCGAAAATAAAACTATATGTGAAATATCAAGTACCCTAGGGCGGTGTAGTAGTCGTCCGCGTTCTCGACAACCTCCTTGAGGGAGTTCCAGGACGGCAGGTTCTCGGCCTGCAGCAGCGTCCCCATTGACTCACCCACCTCGGGGTCCGCGAGCAGCAGTCGCATCTTGTGCAGGTAAAATTCGCCGGCGACGCGCAGGCTAGCCGGATCATGGTACCTCGCGGGGGCGGAGGCTGCTGGGCTCGAGGACTCCACGGACTTTCCTTTCGTTTCCCAATACTCAGATGCCGCCGCTCCGCCGTCTGTATAGCTGATTCGCTGGGAGAAGTTTTCTTCGAACTCCACGCCACGGGCGCCTTCGTATCGAAGAGCGTGCGCGGCAACCGTCGGGTGCAACCACTCAAACGCCTCCTCTCTCGCGCTCGGCAGCGCGGCAGGCGCAATCGCTCGAACCCCGGCCCCGTACTTCGCAGAGACGACGAGGCCCAGTTCGCGCTGCAGGACGACATACTCGTCCCCCGGGAGGGACACGAGCTTGCGCTGCTGCACGGCATCCAACACGAAGGAGCGGTCGGGGAGGGAGCGAACCCGATCGAGAGTGTCCGCGCGGTCGTCGTGAACCACAACCGCCGACTGCTGAATAGTCCGCATGTCTGGATCGCTCAATGCGGGACAGGAATCGCGCCCGCTGATGACCCGCCGGTACTTCTGCAGCCTTTGGTAGATGCGGCGCGGAATCTTGAAGATCTTCTCCAGCAAATAGGCCGCCACATCCCGCTTGCGCTCCTGGTTCGCTCGGGAACCCGCCACCGGCATGTCCCGCAGCGTTTCCCCTTCGCGCTTGCTCCGTGGAAAGTGCACGTCGTACAGAGGCTCGAAATGCTGGGTGAACACGTCACGGCGCAGGTACAACCCCTCGATCAGACCGATCGTCATGATGTGGTCGATCGGCGGATCGGGCCCCAACTCGACCAGTCCCTTGCCCAGGATCTTCGGGGCGTGCAGGCTCCACGGGATCCGTCCGCTCCGCGAGCCGCAGTAGGCCGGGATGCCCGGCTCCTGTTCGGGAACGAGCGGAGGCTCTGCCGCCATGCCGCAGAGACCCGTCGTGCGCAGCGTTTTCTCCAAAAGGTCCGCGAGGTCCGCGACCTGTTTGACAGACTCCGCCGGAAACAACTTCTCCAGCACCTCGTTGCGAAATTCTTCAAATTGTTCATCGTACACCTGACCGGTCCGGGCAGCCTCATCCGGGTACTCCTGTGCGTCAAAGACCGGGCGCAGTGCGTCCTCGACGGGCGTGCTTGTTAGTTCTGAACTCCAAATTTTCCGGAACAGCGCCCGCGCCGCTCGCGTGACCGCGCTGGCCCTGTCTCCGGCGGCGGGGGGAGCCTCGTCCGCAGGCTGGCCGTCTTCTACCGGCGCGTACTCCCACAGATGCAGCAGCTCACTCAGCCGCATGTTCACCCGCAGGAGGCCCGACCCGACTCGCAGGCCGCCCGGGGCGAAAAATTCGTCCAGACCCGGCTGTCCCAGGTTCTTCTTCTCGAGCCAGCGGCCCCACACGCGTTTCACCTCTTTGAACCGCTCGTGATCGTAGGTCAGCAGACCCAGCTTGGGACGCTTCTCGCGGTTCGGGCGCCCGTTGGACATCAGGACCTCGAGTTCGACGCGCCCGGGCACCGGGCCGTCCTCCTCCTCCTCGGGTTCCGCGTCTACGCGCACCATCAGGATCGGTTTTTGCAGTCGCAGGTACGGGTGTCCCAGAAGGTGCGTGAGAACTTCCTTGTCCACCACTAGGCGCATGCCGACCCGCACGGGGGGGTCGTTCGGAGCTCCGACCACAGGAGCCGGTGAAGCAGCTGGAACAGCAGGTACAGCCGCGGGACCCGGTGGCGCAACTGGCAAAACTGGAACTTCTGGTGCGGCAGGGACATTCGGTGGGTCGGAAGCTCCCGCCGTCGGAACGACGGGAGACCGAGCTGCTGGTGCTTGCGGCAGAGCCGCGTTTGGAGTCGGACCCCCATCGGCCGCTGCGGGGAGAGCCGTCGCTGGAGCCTGCGGGGTCCCGCTGGCGGGAGATGCAGTCGGCGAGGCTGGTGCGGCATTGAGAGACGGTGGCGCGCTCGGCGAAGGCGTCGTGGGTGCAGCGACTGCTTGCGCGTCCGGGTCCTGCTCCTCGCTCTCCATCGCGAGCCGGTCCGAGGCCACTGCAAATTCGAGGCGAGTGCCCTGGCCGTCCCCCGGTGCCTCGTAACCGTGCGCCGCGCAAACCTTCTGGAGTCGATTCGTGCGAAACGAGTTGGCATTCGGCCCGGTCTGACGCGCCGCGACAAGGTCGTGCGGGGCGTGCCCATGGTAGTAAAGCATCGTCTCCAGCACGTCCCAATCGTAGGAAGACGGGTCCAACACTGCGAACTCGCGACCGTAGCTGGCATTCAGTGTCTTGCGAGACCAACTGTTTATGTCCGGGTTCGCCTTGATCTTCACCAAACCTGACGCTTCGTCCAGCTCCCACGGCCGGGAATCGTCACTGTCACTCGAAGGTAAGCCGAGGCTGTCATGGTGCGGCAAATATCCCGGGGAAAAATAAAACGCACGGCTTTTAGACTAACCGGTTTCAAAAAGAATTATGTCTTCGTGGCTTTATTTCAGTTCCCTCGTACAAGAAGTGCGATCGTGAAAACAAGCTAAAGTAACATTGAAAAGAAGAACTGCATACACGCCTGTGAGGCAGAGAATGCTGAGTAATTGCAAAAGTATCCTCCTTAGAAAAAACTAAATTTGTCCTGGTCTGCATGGCCCCCTTCCAATAAAGAATAAACTTCAACAGCCGTCGAAGGGGCAGGCTCGAAGGGAGAAAAACAAATGGCCTTCGAAACCGGTAGTCTCTTTAGTGGTTTGGTGATGTTGCTGTTTACATAAAAAGTCGGCACTGTTCAGCTGCATTGGAAAGTCCGTTCGCGTGTAATCCGTGTCAACGGGCGGGTACCACACGTACACGAACCGACACTCCAGATTGGACTGCGCGGGCCGCGGAATGCTCCGAACGGGGTTCACGTCGCTCCACCACAGGGGACTGTCCTCCCCCAGGTACAAGCCCAACACGAGAATGTCGTACGACGGCTCGGTCGTGGCCGTGCGCAAGAGCGCGCGCAGCCGCGATTCGTTCCGCAGGACGGCGGGCGCGTGGTGGTGGCCGTTCTCCTCCGATGGCGAACCCGTGTACAGGACGCCCGTGTTCGGCTGGTCCGCGTGGCCCGGAATCGTCCGCTGGCCGCTTTCCGCCGCCTGGTTGTCGACCACCTGAAACACGTGGCCCGGGCGCAGGCCGGGAAACTGTGGGCTCGCGCGGTACAGAAGCACGGAATCCCGCGGCAACTTCTCTCGACCGATTGCAGTGCGGTCAATCTCCTGGCGCGTAGGCCGCACACAATACGGGTCTCCAAGACCGGGCGGGTTTGCGCCAATGATCTCGTAGCCGTTCGCGTATTGCGCGCGCTGCAACTCGTTCTTCTGCACTTGTGCCACCACGCGCTCGCGGTCAGCAAGCGACGCATCCGACGCATCGATCGGCTCGATGCCAAAGCCCGTGGTCAGGCCCACCACCGCTACGGGTTCCCCGGCTTGCTTCGGAGGCGGCAAATTTGCAGTCCTTCGGTTGTCAGAGGACATGCGCGGGTCACTTGCGGCGAACCGGTGGATCAGCGTTGCGCCGGGGTAATTGGTCGCCGCGGGTGCGAGGGGGATGTGCTGGCCGTCTGTACCTCCACCTCCACCTCCGCCTCCCCCACCGCCACTAGGTCCTCCGCCGCCCAGGAGTGGCACTGTTCCGCCATTGCCGCCAGCGTTGTTTCCACCTCCGTTATGATTGCCGTTGTTAGCCGGACCTCCGGGTTGGTAGACCGGAGGGCCGCCGTTTCCGCCGGGAACGACATGACCACCGGTTCCCGGGATGCGCACCGGGTTCGGGTTACTGGGGATCCAAATCGATCCGCCCGTCGGGCCGGGCACCCAGCGGCCCGGGCCGCCGCCGCTCCCCGGAACGAGCACCCATCCCTGTCCGCCTGGGCCGGGAACCCAATCGTTGCTCGTCCCCACGTGCGCATTGTTCGGCGGCGGTCCCGGCGCCCAGATGAATCCCCGTCCGTTCGGTGAAGGCACCCAGTGTCCACTGCCGGGGTCGGGGTGCTGCCCCGACGGAAACGCGAGCACGGGCGCGCTCTCGATCCGGTCCTTGTGGCGGTTGAAAGCCTCCTCGTCCATCACGTACACCGCCACCTGGCCGATTCTGCCGCCGATGCGCAGGTCCTCCCCCTCGTGCACCTGCGGGTCCTGCAGCAAGTACCGGTTGACGTCCGCGAGGTCCCGCAACACGCGGTTGTCGGGGCACGGGTCCGGTCGCTGAAAGTCGGTGTCCGGGTGCACCACCGCAACCACACTGCAAAACTGCAGCACGGTGTTGCCCCCTCCGTGCAGAGCGGCCGCGCCGTGCTGGTTCCCCTGCGCGGCGAGCACCTGCACCGCGTCGTGGTCGACGTCACTAACCAGCTTGAAGCCGCCGTGTCCCACGGGCTCCAACGACAGCGCGTCCTTCAGCGTCAGTCCGCCGCGCAGCGTGCGGAAGAACGCGACCGAGACGTCGTTTTGGTCCCAGTTGTACGGCGCCGTCCGGCCCGAGTGCATTTCGATCAGCGGTCGGGGCACGGGCCTAGACTCGCCGCGGTACACGTTGACGTGCGTGATGCTCCGTTCGGACAGCAGCGTCTGCAGTGCGTCGGTGACCGGGGCGCTCTCGTCCTCGTCCTGGCCGCGGTGCTGCATGTTCTCCTGATGTTGCACGAGCCGTCCTCGAGCCGGTGGAACTAATGTTTGCGGACGGTCATCAACATCAACCCCAGCGGGGACTACACTGCTTTGGTCCTCGTCCTCTGGACCCGCGGCCCGCGCTTGCTGCGGCGCGGGGTGGTTGTCCCCGTGCTCGAACGACTGCGCCACCCGGTTCGCGTCGTCCAGCGAGACGAGGACGTCGAAGGTCGGTTTCCCCGACGCCGCTCCGTCCGGCACCTCCTTCAGAAACTGGACCCAGTCCCCGCGCTGGAAGTTCGCTCCGTCGCCGCGCAGCACCAGGAAGGCCCCCGCGAACTTTTCGTTTGCGAGCGGGTCCAGGTTGGTGGACGCCACTTTTTGCCAACGATGTTCGTCTTGCATCACGGGCAGCAGCCGCAGCGTCCGCAGCTCCTCCTGGACCTCGTCCGTAACCGCGACGCGTTCCTGCCGGTGCTTGTGCGCCGTGTGAAGCGGGTACATCAGGGATCGCCACACCGCCCGCGCGTTCTCTTGGTTCGGGACGGTCGGCCCGGGTTGTTGCGGGTCCGCCCCGGCCTGAAAATAGAAGTACAGGCCGACCCCCACTGCGACCCCGACGAGCACGACCGCCGACGCGACGATCGCGATCACCACCCAGGGCGCGCATTTCCGTTTCGGGGGCGGGTTCTCGTCCGAGTCGTCGTCCAGCAAGAGCGGACTCTCCTCTTCGCCGTAGGGCGCAGGCAGTGTGGGGTGCTGTTTCCAGGCGTGTGCTTGCTCTTGTTCCTCCTCGTGCCGCGGGGAAGTTGCACCTTAGAAGGCGTTTGGGTAAAATTTAAGCAGTGTCTTATTTTGACCGCCGTGGTGTTGATACTTGCACTGTAGAGAAGATCAGAATTATCCGGAGGACCTTCATGTCGCGCGTGAAGAAAGTACTAACCTGCGTTAAGCGAAGATGCAGCCAAATAATAATTCGAGGAAAAAAATTGTTCGTATGTTCTTGGGACGCGCAGTTGCTCTTTAGTCAGTGTCTGCGTAAAGTGCTGCTTGAGACGGTGGAAAAGCGCGAGCGTGCCATAGCGTAGCGAAAATCAAGAAGCTCGGAAGGTGCCTGCCTTCGGAACCGAATGATGGCGAAGCACAAAACAAGCAGTGTGGTATCAGAGAGGAGGAGGGCAACCCATGTAGCAACAAGCTAGACAATACAACAAGATATCACAATCAGTACGGCGGAACAATAATTCACAAACGTTCACGTACCTGCTTCCGGGTTCTCAGAAATGACTAACTCCGGGGAAGCGTGCGCAAATGGCACTGGGTCCCCGGGAGGTTCGTGTGGTCTTTCCATCGTACCGCCACTGCTTCGCCTGCTGGTAGTTCTGTGCAGTTCAGGTTGGTAAATATGTGCTTGATATTCCGATTAGAGGTCGGTCTGGATTCGTAGATAGTGCCAGGATTAATCACTGCGTATCCTAGGACGTCTTTGCGCGTTTCAATGCTGGGAGTCTGGTCTACGTACACAATATTTCAGTCCTCGGATTTTCGTAAGAATCAGGGTCGTAAGTGTAAGCAAAAATCTAAGCTTAGTGTGGCGCAAGCTTCTTCGGCACTATACAAGCTGCCAAGGTGAGCCAGAAACTGTAAAAAACAAAATGTCGCGTGGCTAGGCCGTACAGATGTTCTTTTTCAGGCAGCGTAAATAATTTAGTTAGAGTTTGTGCTAAGTATCATACAAGTGCTGTAAAGCCAGGCACGTCAGGCGACAGACTACTACTACTTACTCAAGCCGCAGATTGTCCAGAAGACAAAAAATTAGAAATGAGTGAACTCCTAAATGCACGAGTTTGCATCTCGCTGTGGTTTTCAATAAGTGAGTTATTCTTTTTGCAGCAATAAGGCGCGATTTTTTTTAATGTTGGATCCTATCGAGAGGTCGTTCTCATGGAGCAGTATGAGGATTCCAGTAGTTGATAATCAGAGTGCATGTAACAGGACAGTTTTTTGATATTTATCAATCCACGTTGGATCTTGGTGTGCTCAGGCTCTGTTGGGAGGGAGGTCTTTACTTCGCATGAGTTTACGATCCAGTACATTCATGATCATCATCATCATCATCATTTGAATAGCTCTAGGAAACAGATCATCATCTAACTAGCATAGAGAAGAGCAACTAGAGGCTTTAGGCTGAAGTGCGACCTTCTTCTTCTTCGGAACTGTCGGCGCGCGCAATCGCAAGTGAACTGTGGCCCGCCTGGAAAGGGAGTCCAGATAGTTACACAAGCCAAGTTGCGCGCGCTCATACACGGGGACGCGACCGGGCCCGCGCTCTAACCCTAGAGCCTTTCGCTACGCTACTGCTTATCCCGCAGCAAGTAAGTACCGGCGTCACACCGACGACAGCTGCTGGCTTCCTGGCGCCTAAGGCGGCGCACTTGTATCCCGAAAGCGATCGCACAGCAGACATGCAGCCAAATGCGCCGGAATGCCGACTCTGCTGCACTGCGCAAAAACGTGCAAACCCGTTCCCGTAGATGAAGCGCACCTGCGCAAGATATATTGCCATCGTGCGAGTAGCAGCGGCGCTACCTAAGTTCGACCATCGCCGGAAAGTCGCTGCGCTTGGGTGCGCGCTCCCGGTGCCCGCCGCCGGGGTTTCGGAAAAAGTGCGGAGAGAAGCGCTTCTCTGTCGGCATGCCCGTAGCGCGATGCGGAAAGTAGTTCCCGGGCCCTACGGCAAAAGCACCCGCCCGGCCGGGCGGCGGCCGTGAACGGGTCGGAATTTTTTTTCCGCCGGCGGAGGAAAAAAAGCGCGCGCAAAAACCCGCAAGGCGTTCCCGTTCCGTATTTCGGGCCGAGGCGCTCGCGTCTACCGGGGCGGCGCAGCCTCCGGGTGCGAAGCGCGACCAGCAAGCATACCGGGGTAGATTCGGCCGCATTAACGGCACGCGTCTGCCTGGTGTGCTTAGAAAAACCGCCGGCGCCGCCCGCGGCGGCGCCGGGGGGCGCGTCGATGGACATCCTTTGCGCTTGCCGAAAATAGCCGCGCCGCGCGGGGAATGCGACGCCTCGCCTTTTGCTAGTCTGTGGACTCCCGCCCCGCCCGATGCCGCGCGCCGCCCGTGCGGCAATCAGTACTTCTGCCAGACGCGGCCCGGCCGGCTCCGTGCAACGCGTTGCCGCCCGGGATAGCAGCGATTACGACAGGACCCGCGAGGCCACATGCTATGCGCGGCCGGATCGAAGGGCCCTTCCACGGAGGAGACTAGGTGGAAGGCAGACAGGCCTTTAACAGGTAGGGGCGACGGCACTACTAGGGGGCAGGGCCGAGGTCCAGGGAGGGGGGCGGGCGGCAAGGGAGGGGGGGGGAGGTCTGGATATTTCCGAAGAAGTTGGCTTTGCTACCTGTGCGTAAGCTGCTACCTAAAAACAAGCACAAAAAGAGCGCGGATCCGATGGCGATGCTTTGTCTTATCTCATTAGCGATGGACATAAAGTCTTGGAACTTGATCGCTGGGATTTTTTCAGTTTTAGCAAATTTTCAAAATTTTAAAAAATTTAGAAAATGAAAAAGGTCACACAATACATGCGCAGAGATCTGCTATGTGTTCTCTACCGCGTCACATGACATCATCTTTATGTCATCTTTAGATCTATTTTACTGAATTCCTTCAGATTTTTTCATGTGCAAAATTTTTAAAAAAATTTTGCACACGTTAAAAAATACAAAAATTCCACAATATTTGCAAGCTATTCCACTGGCAAAGCATGGGGCAACGATGCACGTAATTGATTTTGCCTCATTGACAGGAAAAATATCAAGAAAATCTGAGATCAACAGCCATCTATATTTTTTTGAAAATCAAAAAAATTTGCGATGAGCTGAAATGTCTGCTTTTTCTCTTATAAGAGTGGTCCAGCTAAGTAATCGGAGCCAATCTATGTAAAAATGATTGGCACATGTGGAAAAAAACCAACAATTTCCATCAGTGTGCCAAGTCTCTCACATTGTCGAAATTTTGTGGAGTTGAAAAACGTGGCACGAAGACCTCATATCCAGCATGTTTCTCCTTATGTAGTTTCAAGAGGATGCATTTGTGTTAGCATATGGGCAGAAACCGCACCAGTGTGCATGTATTTTCTATGCTTTGTCATGTGACAACTTTTCCACTTTTTCAGACTTGGGATAAGGAGTGCACACCTCACAGCGATGTGCTTACTTTATTACTATCATTGATTTTGCAACATTCATCATTTAAGACCATGCATACTGGGAGCCACCTGAGAACGCGACCCCATTGGTGTAAACCTTAGATGACAGACAGGCTATTACATAACGTAAGCGCCACAGGAGTCCCATGTCCGCAGCATGGCTGGCCATGCGCCCGCCCTTCCGCCTCTTGAATCGCGGTGTGAGTGTCGTTTTTTTACAGGATTACAATGATACTCCGCCCCCGTTTCGTGACCGACAAGCCGCACGCGGCCCATCGTCATTGTATGCGTGGGAGCCTGCGAATGCGCAGGGTTTGGCTGGCTCAGGCCGGGCCCGTTCCGCGGTCCGCTGGTACCCTGGGGGGCAAGCGGTTGCGCGGGGGCGGGCAGTTTCTTGTCCCGAGAAGTCTATAAGCGGTCCCGGCGGGGCCATGTTCGTCGGGCTAGCCTACCCCCGCCGGCTTCGGCCCCTCCCCAGGTGCTTTCAGTCCTGCGCCGGTGCGCATGTGCTTGCCTTCAAGGCGGCCTGCCTCGGGGATGCGTCGGCGTTTTCCGATCCTAGGATCGGGCTTGCGAGCTCGGGCGCGAGCCCCGATCTCGATGGGCAGAAGGGAAAGCTGCGCCCGATGCGTTCGCGCTCCGGGCGGTTTTCGTTTTTGTTTCCCGCCCGCCCGGCCCTACTTGTCGAGGCGTGGTTCGCTTCGCTGGACCTGTTGTGCCCCGGTGGCTTGTCCACCGCGGGGCGCGCTGCGCAGTGCCCGTTGCCAGCGTCTTTGCGTGCTCGCTTTTGCCCGATTGCGGTGGTCTTGCCGGGGCCTTTCGGTGCTCTCTTCTTTGCGTTGTGCTCCGCCGCCAGAACGTGGCTTTGGAGCCGTCCCGGCCTTCGCGTGTTCGCGTTCGGGCGACCGCGACTGCGCCTCGGCGCTGCCTGCAGGCGCTGTGCTTATTCGGGACCAGACGGCGCGACAGCCCGGGGGGGCGCGGTCTTCTTGCGGCGAAAGGCGGTAGCGCGGACGCGGCGGCGCGCCGCTGCGGTCCGCCGGGCCGGGCGCGTCGCCTTTGCTAGTCCCGCGCCCTTGCTCCCGCCCCCCCCCCCGAGGCGACTCTTTTTCGCCGTTCCCCGAATGCTGCGCGATGGTACGCGGCGCCCCCCTCGGTTCGGTTCGGGCCCCGCGTTCCCGGGGGCCGCCTCTCTTCGGGCCCGGGGTTCCTTTTGGGAAACTGGGACCATCAGCGCGCTGCCCGCAGAGCGCGGCGGACGTTACGGGGTTCTACGGTCCGCGGCAGTCTTGGGACAGTCGGGAAAGCTATTGGAAATCTTGAGCCGCTTCACGAGTTTTTGAAGCCCGGGCCGTCCGTAGAAGCGCATGCGCTTTTCGAAGCGGTTCTCCCGCTTCCGTGCTTTGCTACGCGGCCCCTCCTGGCGCATTCAGCTTGTCAGCTTCCCTCCGACCCTTGGGCCCGTGCGTGGCAGGAAACAAACACCGTGAATTGAAGTCAACGGGTCCGCTTGCAAGAAAAAGCTGTGCCTTTCGTTTGCGCGGCTTCGTCGTAGGAGGAAAGTAGAAGCTTGAGCACGGTAGTCTGTTGATGTAGCTTCGTATGCACGGCTTCGTCGGTAGTACCCCAATGTAGAAGCTTGAGCACCCCGGCGCGCAATCCATGTTTACAGCAACCAACGCAAGTGCAGCATCTGTCCACCTTATATATGAGCGTACACATATTGAGCAGGCGTTGTTATCACAATCCGGAAATTTGCTACACGAATGCAAAACACACAAGTTGCGCGCATCTTCATGTACTGTAATTTACTTCGTTATACCTCCTAAGCCGTAGAAGGTTTTGCAACATACAAAACACCAGCTTTCGGTTTGTTTTTTACTGACTCTCTCCACAAAGACAGACCGCGACTTTCGTAGCCCCCGTGAGCAAGAGAGCTCTGTAAAGATAACAAAAGGAAGTACGTCAATCTGGTTTTTTCTTCTGAGCGCACACTACTTTTTTGTAGTTGCTGCTTCTCGAAGGTGTTGTCGATCTCCGAGTCGTTTTGTTCTTCGTACGAGAAAGGTTACAGCCGACTCCCCGTGCAGTTTGAGAAGAGCCTACGCACGTACACGACAACAATAGTACCGTTGCCTCGTTCTCGACCTGATCGTACTTGAGAAACGCAAACACCCGTCTTCTTTGCTCGTCGTACGTACAAAAACACGATTACAATTCAAATTCACATCAAACCAAACACAGTTTTTTTTTCCGCGAAGGGAAGAAGTACTTGCAGTACAGATTCGCTGCACTCGTCCGGGGAGCGACGTGTGCTGCGGTTTCGATCTCTATCCTTGCCCTCGGTCGCCTCCCTTCGCCCCCCGAAGGAGAGGTTCACTTGGTAGAAATCTAACCCTGATGCCTTACACCTCCCGCCGCTAGGATGGACGATTTAGTCCTCGTCTACGATAAAGACACCCCCGAGGCGGGGCAGTTCGCGCTGAACCTGTACGACCACGCGAAAAAATGGATCGGGTTTTCGGTGCAGGAGCCGAAGCCGACCGAGCGCACCTCGTTCACGGTGAACGGCGCCAACATGGGGATCATCATCACCAAAGACGTGTTCAAGTCGGAGTTCGTCACGGACGCGCTGGAGCTGATGGTGGCGGCCAAGAAGCCCTGCCTGCTGATCCACCACATCGCGGGCAAGACCAACGTGGAGGACGAAATTATGCAGTGCGAGAACGACGACTACCTGCGGTACATCCGCAAGGCGCAGACCTGCATCTACACCTTTGACCTCGCGGACCAGTGCCAGGACCACATGATCACGCTGCTGGAGTTCAAGTCCGCGGACAGCAAGAAGGAGCTCCAGAAGCAGGCCGTCCTCCGGCTCGAGGAGACCCGGGCGGACGTGCTCTTGTTTTCCTCCCGCGTCGCCAAGGGCCGGCTGAACGCCGCGGTGCACAGGAGGTACGACTTCTGCCTCACCTGCGCGGTGGAGGACCCCCCGGTGGCCGAGGACGTGCTGAATAAGGTGTACGACATCATGAGCCGGTACGCGCCGGCGCTGCAGGTCGCGCGCAACCAGGGCGACAAGGCGGTCACCAACGTGCAGCAGCGCACCGCGAACATCCGCGACTCCTTCAACCTGGTCGTCTTCGCCACGAGGAATTGCTTCGCCTATTACAATGAAAAATGCCCCCACCCCCGAACTTGAAAGCATTTGTATTGCAAATCTTTCCAAGTGAAACATTCGCCCTCTTGCGTGTATCAGCATCTATCACAGATTTCCGATCGCGAATAGCAAAAATCTGTATTGCAAAAGATCCCAGCAAGAGCGGTGCTTGTCATGCAAACCGCCCGTACTCCTTTCATGCATGACAAAAAGCTTTCATTTGGAAACTTCGCATCATAAACTCTTGCAATTTCAGGGGTGGGGGGCATTTTTCACTGTGATATCGCCACCGACGAGAACGGGAAGGGCAGCGCGGTGGTCGAGGAGGTGAAGGCCGCGCTGGAATCCGAGCTGTATCCTGTGTAAAAGCATCCCCACCCCAGAGTTGTCATGCAGATCTGCAAGCGCAAGAGCATTTGTAATGCGCATCCCCATGATAGGCATTTCCGATCGTGTTTTGGAACTTGTAATGCTGTAAACGGGATAAGCCGATGGATTTGTAGTGCGACTTCCCTTTCTAAACTGCGCTACAATACAGCTAGCAATTTGTCATGCGTGCCTCCCAAAACTTCAAGGTTTGTGTTGCAAAATCCCCATCTTGACTCTGGGGTGGGGACGTTTTTCATTAGGATAAGCTGCAGGTGTGCATCATCCAGCACCTGTCCCAGTGTCCGGACATCGACGCGGAGATCGAGAAGTGCCAGGACCCGGTCCTGCAGTCCTGTTTGAACCGGGCCATGCGGTTTGTGTACCTGGAGGGCACCGCGGACGCGACGCTGCGCTCTTTAGTTGCCGACCCGGCCTTCGTGAAGACGGACGATAACAAGACGCCGCGGACCCGCGCCGCGGGCGTGGCCAGCTTCAAGCTGAACTATAAGAACTCGCAGGCCATGGAGCTGGCGTTCGACGGTCGGCTGGCCGTGTACAAGACCAGTTTGTACGAAATGAAGAACAAGAAGATCCCCGGCGACGTGGAGACCTGCATCAAAAACCTGTTTGCCTTGTACGACACGCAGGGCAAGGGCCGCATCACGTGGGGGCAGTTCGCGGAGATCGACCGGCTGATGACGGAGACCCTCGGCGGCCAGTACAGCGAGATGATTTCCCGCCGCGTGTACAGTATGATGTTGTACCCGGGTCTCACGCTGGAGAGCGAGATCAGTTACACCACCTTCTTCAACTACCACGCCTTCATCGCGAAGTCGATGGGCATCTTCGAGGGCGAGTCCCGCGACGTGGGCATCCACTACAAGTACGTCAGCGACAAGGTGAAAACGATGAAGAAGGGCAAGCGGTTCCAGAAAACCTACGACCTGTACGTCACGCACGACCGCAGCAAATTTTCGCGCGAGTTCGCGTTCCAACTGGCCAATTCCATCCGCAAGTTCACGCCGAACATCCGGCTGGTGCTCGGGACGGACTTTGACAAAAAAGAGGACGACAAGGGCGACGACAAGAAGAAGAAGGACGACAAGAAGGCGCCGGAGGAACCCAAGAAGAACACGGCGCCGCTGAACGCGCTGAACATGCTGGTCTTGCTCCGGCAGGATGTCCTGATGAAGGACGTGGTGAAGGAGGAGATTATGTGCGGGCTGGAGGGCGGGGCGCAGGTGCTGATGATGTGCCACGTGGAGAAGTGCCCCATGTTTGAGGTGGAGGTGAAGAAGGCGCCGCAGGAGCTGCAGACCATTATGCGCCGGCTGCCCGTCTTCTGCTACTCGCCCGACAACGACGCCAGCTGCGTGACCAGCATGCTGGAGCAGATGCACTTCCCGGACTGGAAGCCCATCGCCAACAAGGCCAAGACCTTCCGACGGAATGAAAACCCGCTCGTGCTCCACCTTTTCCAGCGCGCAGACGAGGACGAGACTGTGCTGTCGGCCTTTCAGGCGGTTGCTAACGTCACCTCGCCCAGCAGCGTCAACGCCGGCTTTTTCGGCTACGACTTCTACAAGGACGGCGGACTCGTCATTCTGCAAGACAAACTGATGAACTACACGTCCCTGCCCGCAATCGCGGAGACCGGAATTCGCGCCATCGCAAACTTAGCGCAGTGCTGCGGCCCGCACGCCGGGGAAGTGGTATTGCTGCCGTCTTTTTTTTTTCGCTCATAAGTAAAAGCAGAATCAAATTCAAAACAAAATGCATGAGAAGTAGAAAGTAAGTTACAGTTAGTTGTCTGGAAATTCAAAAGAATTTCATGTCTTTTCTGCATTGAATTTGAGAAAGTTTCTCAATTTTTTTTCGTCAAAACATTATCTTCCGCGCATCAACAGGTCGACCGCATGTGCGACTTGGGCACGGTAGACACGATCGTGCAGTGCATCAACCAGCACACCGATTTTCCGCTGCTGCAGGGTGAGGCCTGCCGCGCGATCACGAACATCGCCGCGCAGAGCAGCAAGGCAAAGGACAAGGTGAACAAGGTGCACGGCTTCCAGCTGGTGCTGCAGAGTCAGAAGCGCAACGAGGAGGAGCCAACATTCTGGGAGACCAGGTTCGAGTTCCGCCGCCTGGCGGTCGGCGATGATTTGATGGTGAACTACGAAGGCCAGGGCCGGTACGTGAGCGGCAGCGTGGTGGAGGCGTACTCCAACGGTACCTACGACGTGAAGTTTGCACACGGAGGGATGGGCCGTCGCATCCACGCTCAGCTGGTGCGACCCAAGGACCCCTCGGATAAGGTGCTGGAGTTCTGCGGGCACTGGCTGTGGAAGCCCGGCGGCCGGTTGACCGAGGACTCGCTGCTGATCAAGGCGGACGGCATGGTTTCGCTGACCGAGTCCGGGCAGGTCGGAACGTGGTCCGTCGCGGAGCGCGACGACGGCAAGGCCGCGATCAAGCTGCAGTTGGGAACGCTGATGATCGAGATGGAACGCATCTCCGTGACCACCATGCGCGCTACGGCCTCTCCGCACCGCGCCGTGCTGGCGGACGAGCTGCGCGCCTGCCTGGTCGCGCAGTACTTTAACTACGAGGACATGAACGGCGCGCTCAACAACGGCGCGCTCAGCATCCCACCGCTGCTTGGTCGCAAGCCGGATTTGACGCGACTGGAACAGGAGATCAACCGCGCGCCCGGAAACGGCCAGCCCTGGACGGGGCTGAGCATGGAGTTCGCCGGCAACTTCGCGACCCGCTATTCCGGGACGCTGTCCATCGCGAAGATGGGGGATTACACCTTCGACCTGAGCGCCGAGGCTTACGCGTCGCTCCGCATCGGCGCTCGGAACATCGTCGCGGGAAAGCGGTACTACTTTGTCGCGGGCACGCACACGATCCGCTTGGACTACTGCGCCAAGAGCGACATGGACAAGAAAGTGGTCCTGAAGTACCAGGGACCGGACACGCACGAGAGCATGGTGTCCGTTCCGGCCGGCGTGCTGCAGCACGACCTGCAGTCGACCAACATTTTGGAGAAGCCCGGTTTCATGGCGGAGTACTTCCCGGTGGACATGTCGACGGAGATGACCATGCCGAACGGCACCCCGGATATCCAGCGTATCGAGAAGATGCTCGACTTCGACATGGACACCGACCCCTGGACGCGGTTGCCCGACCGCTACGGCGCGCCCGGGTTCTGCGCCCGCTACACGGGGTACTTGACTGTCGCGTGCGGCGGCAAGAAGCGGGCGCTGTACAAGTTCTTCTGCGAGGCCAACAAGCGCGCCCGCATGTTCGTGAACGACAACTTGCTGATCGACCTGGACCAAACCACCGCGGAGGTGGAGTTGACCAAGGGGCAGCACCTGCTCCGCGTGGAGTACTACTCGCGACCCAACGAGATGCACGGCCTGAAGGTGAAGTACGCCGGTCCGGAAACGCTGCCGAAGCAGACCAAGGCCGAGGAGGACGCCGAGAAAGCCGCGCTCGAAGAGTACGACAAGCAGCTGAAGGCGCGCCAGCAGTTCTTCGACGACCCCCCGGAAGCGGAGGAGGGCGAGGAGCCGCCGCAGCCGCCCCCCGAGCCGGTGAAGCCGCCGGAGCGCATTCCGGAAATCGTGCTGCTGGACCCCACGGTGGTGTCCTACTACGCGCCGGCGACGGTGTGCGTGCCGAAAAACGACCCGCTGGACCGACACACCCAGGGCGTCAGCTGTGTGGCGTTCTCGCAGCACGACGGTGTCATGGTCAGCGGCGGCGTGGACGGTAAGGTCAATGTGTGGAGCTACATCAACGGCGCCCACGTTGCCACCGTGGACTGCGGATCGCCGGTCACCAGCCTCGCCTTCCCGCCCACGACGGACTCGCTGCTGTCCGACGGAATGTCGCAACTCAACCTCTGCACCGTCGCGGTCGGATTGGAGAACGGCAGCATCCTGCTGGTCGATGCAAGTTCCGCCGAAACCGCGGATGCGGGGGCCCTCAAGACGATGGCCGGTCACAACGGTGCCGTCACCGGCTTGAAGTTTCACCCGGGCCGCGGCGAGGACCAAAGCAAGCCCCGGAAGGAGCCGAGGAAGTCGTCCAAGGCGTCGGAAGCCGAAGCGCCCCCACCCGAGGAGGGAGAGGAGGACGGCGAGGAGCGCGAGGCTAGCAAGGAGATCGTGCCCTGCGCCGCGTTCGGCACCAAGCCCAACCTGTTCTCGTGCGGGCAGGACGGTACGGTGCGGATGTGGAACACGCTGATCGGCGAGGAGACCACGGAGCAGCCCGGGGACCTGATCTGCATGGAGAAGAAGTCCAAGGTTCCGCAGTTGTCGCTCAGTATCGCTTGCGATGGCGGTGCGGTGGTTTCCGGTGGGCAGAACGGACGCTTCTACTACAGCGACGCCAACGAGTCCGACTTCGTGCGGGGGCCCAACAAGAAGCTCCCGCTGCCGCCAGAGCCGGAGGAGGGCTGGGGCGAGGAGGGCCCGCCCGAACCCGAAGAGGAACCGGGTGACCCCATCACGTTCCAGGCGCACGACGCTTCCATTACCTGCGTTGCCTGGAGTCCGATGAACCCGCGGTTGATGGCCACGGCGTCTGCCGATGCGACGGTGATCATCTGGGATATGTGGAACGAAGACAAGTCCGCTCTGCACCCGAGCCGCAACATGGACCCCATTCAAAACTTGACCGGGTTTGTTCAGTGGTCGCCCGACTGCGCCTCCATTGTCTGCTCCAACGAGGACATGAACATGCAAATCTTCTCCGCGGTGAGCGGAAACCCACGAACCGCTCCGTTGCCAGGTACAATTATGCCTCTTCTTGGTTGTAGTTTGTTAAGTTGTCATCTTTATTGTATGCTATGATGATCAATTGTGTTTTTTGCGTTTTCTTGTTCTTTCGGGGAATTTTGCTTTTCGCGTTGGGTAAACTAATATTTTTCTGCATTGAAGCAAAAAACGCTTCCGCGATCTGTGACATCACAGGCCACATTGCCGCCGTGCACAACGGTGCTTGGGCGCCGCTGGGCCAGTGCCTCGCGACGTGCTCGGAGGACAACAGCGTGCGGCTGTGGCACTTCCGGTTGAACCGCGACATTTCCGAGATTACCACGCTGGAAAAGGAGCAGGCCGAATTCAACCACGACATGCTGTTCTGGCAGAAGTTGCTGGACAAAATCCGGAAGCAGTTCAAGGACTACAGCCTGTGGCAGGAGTACGAGCCGGACATCTACCTGCTCCGGTCCTCCCTGGACAAGGGCGTGGAGCGCACCCAGAGCTACAACAGCCGCGAGGCGCTGTTGGGTTTGACCCGGAGCGACTACTACGAACTGGACGGCATGATCGATGACTACAAGCCCTACTACACGCTGTGGGACGCCGTGATCAACTTCCAGAAGCTGCAGAAGCTGTGGCACGAAAAGCCGCTGTCAACCATCGACGCGCCCAAGGTGGAGGAGCAGCTGGACCAGTGGTTCAAGGACTGCGTGAAGATGATGAAGCAGTTCTCCTCCGACAGCATGAAGAACGTGCGCAACACCGCGCGCGCGCTGCGCGACGCCATTGACGCGTTCAAGGTCAAGTTCCCCTTTCTCCGCGCCTTCTCGTCCGAAGCGATCCTGCAGCGACACTGGGACACGCTCGCGGAGCGCATGGGCGGCAAAAAGCCGGCGACGGAGGACATCAAGATGATCACCATGCAGGAGATGATCGACATTGGCGTGCTTGACTTCCCGGAGGACTACGAGGAGATTGCCATGGCGGCCACGAAGGAGTACTCATTGAAGCGGGCGCTGGCCAACATGAAGGTCGAGTGGGAGCCGATCAGCTTGTCTTTGAAGGCCTACAAGAACACGGGCGTGCCGCTGCTCGGCGGGATCGACGAGATCCAGGCCTACCTGGACGACTTCATCGTGAAGACGCAGGCGATCCGGTCCTCGCCCTTCTGCAAGCCGTTCGAGGCCGAGGTGCACGAGTGGGAGGCGTTGCTGCTGCGGATTCAGGACTTCGTGGACGAAACCATCCTGCTGCAGCGCTCGTGGATGGCGCTGGAGCCGATCTTTGTCTCCGAAGATATCAAGCGCCAGCTGCCGCACGAGAGCGAACAGTTCGAGATCGTGGACAAAATGTTCCGGGCCCGGATGCTGGAGGTCGACGAGGACAAGCTCGCTTTGCGCGTGGGTCGCATCCCCGGCTTGATCGAGGATTTGAAGGACGGGAACGAGACCATCGAAAAGGTCCAGAAGGGTCTGAAGGACTACCTGGAGACCAAGCGGCTGTACTTCCCGCGGTTCTTCTTCTTGAACGACGCAGATCTGCTGTCCATCCTGGCCGAGACCAAGGATCCCACCGCGGTGCAGCCGCACTTGGGGAAGGCCTTCGAGGGCGTGGCCAAGGTGCGATTCGACGGTGGCAAGACGGTGATCGAGAGCATGATTTCCGCGGAGGGCGAGGAGATCGAGCTGAAGCGGCAGATCGACACCAACAAGCCGGGCAACCGCGGCGCCGTCGAGCGCTGGTTGGTGGAGCTGGAGGAGTCCATGATGGACACCTTGCGCCTGGTCATCGCGGAGTGCAACGACAACTACGCGCAGATCGAGCGCCACCAGTGGTGTCTCCTGTGGCCGGGCCAGGTGGCGATCTGCACTTCGTGCTACTACTGGACGATCGGCGCGGAGGAGTACCTGGACAAGAAGAAGATTGCAGACTACGAAAAGAAGCTCTTCCAGCAGATCAGCAACATCGTCGAGCTGGTGCGTGGCGAGATGTCCAAGCTCGCGCGCGTCACTGTCGGTGCGCTGGTCACGCTGGATGTGCACGCGCGTGATGTGATCACCGAGCTCAGGGAGAACGGTGTCGACAGCAAGGAGGACTTCCAATGGTTGTCGCAGCTCCGGTACTACTGGAAGCCGGTGGGGGAACACACGCTCTTGTCCGGGGAAAAGAACAGCAGGAACGAGTGCTGCTGTTCCATCGTGAATTCGACGCTGCTGTACGGGTTCGAGTACCTGGGGAACACCGCGCGTCTCGTGGTCACGCCACTGACCGATCGCTGCTACCGTACCTTGATGGGTGCGTTCGCGCTGTACTACGGTGGCGCCCCGGAGGGCCCGGCCGGAACGGGGAAGACGGAATCGACGAAAGATTTGGCGAAGGCCCTGGCCGTGCAGTGCGTGGTGTTCAACTGCTCCGACAGTATGGACTACCTGCAGCTGGCGAAGTTCTTCAAGGGTCTGGCCTCCTCCGGTGCCTGGTGCTGCTTCGATGAGTTTAACCGTATCTCCCTGGAGGTGTTGTCGGTGGTCGCGCAGCAGATTCAGCAGATTTCGCTGGCGATCAAGCAGCGCGTCACCACGTTCGTTTTCGAGGAAACGGAGATCCGCCTGGTGCCGACGTGCGCCGTGAACATCACGATGAACCCCGGTTACGCTGGGCGTTCCGAGTTGCCCGATAACCTGAAGGCTTTGTTCCGCCCCTGCGCGATGATGGTGCCAAACTACGCGTTAATCGGTGAGATTCGTCTCTACTCCTACGGGTACGAAGACGCCAAGCGCATCGGTATGAAGGCCACCATGGCGCTGAAGCTGTCCTCCGAACAGCTGTCCCCGGCGAAGCACTACGATTTCGGGATGCGTGGTCTGAATGCGCTGCTGGTCGCGGGTGGTAACGGGAAGCGAACGTACGGCGACAAGTACCCGGAGGACGTGATCGCGCTGCGTTCCTTTACCGACGTCAATCTACCGAAGTTCACGTCCGCGGACATCCCGCTCTTTAAGGGTATCATCGGCGATTTGTTCCCCGGGGTGCGACTCCCGCCGGCCGACTACGGCAACCTGGTCACCAACCTGGAGCAGGTCACCACCCAGTTCGGTTTGCAGCCCACCCGTGAATTCACCAACAAGGCCGTGCAGCTGTGGGAAACCATCGTGGTGCGCCACGGTCTGATGACCGTCGGGTTCCCGCCCTGCGGGAAGACCTCGATCAAGGACGTGCTGGCGACGACGTTGGAGCGCGTCTCCGGGCAAAACGAATTGTTCATGCCCGTCGTGCAGTACGTGATGAACCCGAAATCCATTACGCAGGGTCAGCTCTACGGAGAGGCGGATCTGAACACGCAGGAGTGGACCGACGGTGTGCTCGCCATTGCCGTGCGTAACGGTTCGCAGCCCGTCGGCGCCGACGGCAAGATGCGACGCCAGTGGGTCGTGCTCGACGGTCCGGTCGATGCGATCTGGATCGAGAACATGAACACCGTGCTGGATGATAACAAGAAGCTCTGCTTGAACTCTGGTATGATTTTTTTCAAAAGTAGTTAACTTGGGCGTTCGTTCCACTTGACGAGTCCATAGCTTTTGTATGTGCGAACATTTATAATTTCCTTGTCTGCGAAAAGTCTTTTGGTTTTGCAACACGTAGCTTTTGCTTTTCACGCAGTATTAGTTCGACGCCCGCGCAGCCTGATGTCATCAAACTTGCCACATTTTAATCAAAACAGGTGAGATCATCAAGCTGTCCCCGGTCACCACGATGTTGTTCGAGGTGCGCGACCTGGAGTACGCATCTCCCGCAACTGTGTCCCGCGTCGGTATCGTGTACCTGGAACCGGACACCGATCTGGGCTGGCAGCCGATCGTGCAGAGTTGGTTGGCCACGCTTCCGGAATACATCCGCAAGGACCACGAGAAACAGATTATGGATATGTTCACTGGCATGTTCGAGGTCTTCCTGGAAACCTCGCACATTGTGCCCACCCCAGTCGCGTGCTCCGACAACTGGCTCGCCCTGTCCGCCTGCCGACTTATGGAATCGCTGATCTCGGATCAGGTACAGTAACGTTGGCACTTTTCTTTGGCATTTTTGGTCAGTAGTACGTAGAGTGGTCATTTCGCCTTGACCAAATAATGGGTAAATTAATCGTTGCGTTCGACGGCGGATTACCTTACGGGGGATCTAGAAGGAACAAAGGGGTTCCCCCCAAAGTGGGGCAGTACCACCGGGGGAAGGGCTTGCTAAGCTGGACCCGAAGTCGGCCGCGTGGCCGGCCAAAAAGTGTGCCAAACCAGCAGCGCTCCGACGGGGGAAGGGGCGAAAATATCGACTTTTGCGCCCAAGGACGCATTGGTATCCGAAAAATGAAAGTTTTTTTCTGTCCCTAGTCCCCCCGGTGCGCTTGCGAAAAAGTAGCGAACTCGGACCCTCCGTGGGTCCGCACTGCGACTGCCATCGTCTTTTGCAAGAAAAAAAAAATGAAAAAATGAAAAAAATCGCCCATTTTGAATGCGCCTTGTGCCCAATCCGAAATTTGTCACGCCGCCAAACACGGCGGGACGCTGAAGACTTGATCAGCTTGTCACCGGTTCTAGGGGTGTAACGTTTTGCCATTTTTGGCCAGGAGGCTTCCGCCTGGTCAAGCAGATCCTCTCTGTTTTTGAGGTGCGAAAGTACCTTCCGAAAAAATGCAAAAAAAAAAACATAAAAAAAGCACAAACGAAAACGAGCAAAAAGCAGGCGCCCGCCGTGTCCGGCGGGGTGACATCAGGCGCGTCGGTATGGCGCGCAAAAATTTTTTGGGTTTGCGCACGACCGCCGCCGCACAGGAACCCGACCGGCGTCGTGGCGGGCTTCCCAAGGGGAAGGCCGAAGTGCGCGCGTCGCGCTTTTTACTTCGCAAAACGGAAGGCGCAGCGATTAATTACCGCATCGCCGGAATTCATAGCGAGCGCCGAACTTTGCTTTCTATCTGACAGGTGATGCAGTACTGCCGGCCCGATGGGGAGCCGAACGAGGAGGACAAGAACGCGCCGCAGCCGCAGTCCGCGGTGGACCGCGAGCTGATCATCGCGCAGCTGTTCTACTTCACGTGCGTGTGGACCGTGGGCGCGGTGTCCAACAACGACGGGCGCGCGGTCGCGGACGGCGCCATCAAGGCGGCCATCGAGAAGAAGAGCGAGTACTTCAAGAAGAACAACTTCATCGTGCTGCCCGAGTTCTACGACCTCCAGTCCGGCGCCGCCATCCCCGTACCCCCGCGCAAGGGCACGCTGCACGACTACTACGTGGACGCTGAGGACGGCGGCAAGTGGAAGCTGTGGACGGAGCGCATCGCGCCGCTGGACATCCCCAAGGGCACGCAGTACCACACCATCGTGGTCCCCACCGCGGACACGGAGCGCAACCAGTTTTTGATCCGCACCCTGATCGAGAAGGGCCACAACATCCTCCTCTCCGGGCCCACCGGTACGGCGAAAACCGCCTCCATCAACGGGATGCTGCTCGGTGGGTTCCACCCGAAGAAGTACTCCTCCATCGCGTTCGCGTTCTCCGCACAGACCACCGCGAACCAGACGCAGGACATCATTGACGGCAAGCTGGACAAGCGCAGGAAGGGCGTGTACGGCCCGCCGATGAACAAAAAGATGCTGGTGTTCATCGATGACTTGAACATGCCCATCAAGGAGACCTACGGCGCGCAGCCGCCCATCGAGATCCTCCGCCAGGCGATGGTGAAGACGCCGCTGGGCTTCGGCTGGTACGACCGCAAGGGCTGGGACTTCCGGTCGCTGGTGGACATCAACTACCTGACCGCCATGGGCCCGCCAGGCGGCGGCAAGAACGACATCACGGACCGCTACTCGCGGATGTTCTATTACAATGAAAAATGCCCCCACCCCCGAACTTGAAAGCATTTGTATTGCAAACCTTTCCAAATGAAACATTCGCCCTCTTGCATGTATCAGCATCACAGATTTCCGATCGTGAATAGCAAAAATTTGTATTGCAAAAGATCCCAGCAAGAGCGGTGCTTGTCATGCAAGCGATGCGAAACAACACTAGAATCTGCATCAGAAAGATTTATATTCCTTTCATGCATGACAAAAAGGTTTCATTTGGAAACTTCGCATCACAAATGTTTGTAACTTTGGGGGTGGGGGGCACTTTTCACTGTAATATGTTCAACCTGGTCTTCGTCACCCCCTTCGACGACGAGTCGTTGGCGCGGATCTTCTCCACCGTCGTCGGTGTCTTCTTCGCGAACCTCGCACGGGACATCGCCGCGCAGGTCCCAGCCGTGGTGTCGGGCGTGCTGGACGTCTACTTCAGCATGATGAAGGACTTTCTGCCCACCCCCGCGAAATCCCACTACACTTTCAACATGCGTGACGTCGCGAAGGTGTTCCAGGGCATGTGCATCTGTCAGCGCGAATCCCTGCCGAAAGTGGAGGACCTGTGCAAGGTCTGGATGCACGAGTGCGAGCGCGTCTTCAAGGACCGTTTGATTAACCGCCAAGATCAGAACTCGTTCACGTTTATGATCAAGCGATTGATGGACAAGCACTTCAAGAAGCCGTACGACCAAGTCGTCAAGGTATATTTATTTTAGCAAAGTGATCAGTCTGCGATTTAGAACTTTTTAGGGGCAAAGCTGTATGTGTATTCGGCGTAGAAGTGGGCCGACGGGACGGGGAAATAAATTTTTGGTTTTTCAAACGTGTTGCGATTTGTGGGAATTCTTGCATCGGATGCAAATCAAAATCTCGACCTTCAATTTCCCAAACTTTTCACAGGTCGAGCCGGTGATTTTCGTGGACTTTGTGGACCCGAAATCCACCGCGTACCAGGAAATTCCGGACGTGGACCGGCTGCTTGAGAAGGTGCAGGAGTGCATGGATGACTACAACAACGTGTCCAAGATCCGCCTGGATCTGGTGCTGTTCACCGCGTTCCTGGAGCACATCTGCCGCGTGATTCGCGTCCTGAAACTCCCGCTGGGTAACGCCCTCCTCGTCGGTGTGGGCGGTTCCGGGCGTAAGTCCGTGACCACGCTGGCCACCTACGTGGCCGAGTTTGAACTGTTCCAGATCGAGTTGGCCAAGGGCTACGGCATGAACGAGTGGCACGACGACATCAAGAAACTGCTGATCTCCGCCGGTGGGCAGAACAAGAACATGGTGTTCCTGTTCCCGGATACGCAGATCGCCAACGAGGCGTTCCTGGAGGAGGTGTCCTCCATCTTGAACACGGGCGAGGTCCCGAACTTGTACTCCCAGGAAGACAAGATGGAGATCATGGAGCTCTGCGCCAAGGGCGCCAACGCCGCGGGCCAGATCACGCCCAACGAGGTCTTCTCCTGGTACGTGAGCGTCTGCAGGCAGAACTTGCACATCGTGCTGGCGTTGTCGCCGATCGGCGCGGACTTCCGCATCCGCTTGCGAAACTTCCCGTCGCTCGTCAACTGCTGCACGATCGGTATAATTCGCTGTTGTGTTTTTTTGCATATATGCATAATTGCAGTCGCTTGTTGTTGATCTGATGTTGTTCTCCCTCGCTGAAGAGTCCAACAATGAATAGCGTTTCCGGTAGTTTATTATTCGAGAAAAAAACTGTCCGTCACAAAGACAAACTTAAACTTTCAACTCAGATTGGTTCATGGAGTGGCCGCCGCAGGCGTTGACCGCGGTGGCAAAGCAGTTCCTCCGGGCCGTCGACATGCCCGAGGAAGTGAAGGACAACGTGGTGAAAGTGATGGTCGAGAAGCAGACGAGCGTGATCGAGCTCGCCGAGAAGTTCTTCAAGCAGGAAAAGCGTATCTTCTACGTGACGCCCACGTCCTACCTCGACTTGATCTCCACCTTCATCGTGATGCTGAAGCAGCAGCGGGACGTCGTGTCCACGGCCAAGTCCCGGTACGATGTGGGGATGGAGAAGATCGAGGAAGCCGCCTCGGCGGTCGGCGCACTGCAGAAGGATCTCGAGGACCTGCAGCCGTCGCTGGAGAAGTCCGCGAAGGAGACCTCCGAGCTGATGATTCACGTGGAGGGCGAACAGAAAAAGGCGAGCGAGAAGCAGAAGCTGGTCGATGCCGATGCCGCCGCCGCGGAAGAGGAGGGCGCGAAGGCGAACGAAATTAAGGCCGATTGCGAGAAGGATCTGGCCGCCGCCATGCCGGCGCTGGACGCCGCGGTCGACGCGTTGAGCAAGTTGTCCAAGGGTGATATCGGGGAGGTGAAGGCGATGAAGACGCCCCCGGCCGGTGTCATTCTCACCTCGCAGGCCCTGTGCTACATGTTCGGCGTCAAGCCGGTCAAGGTCGCCGCCCCGGACGGCAAGGGGAAGGTAGACGACTTCTGGGAACCGGCTAAAAAGGAACTGCTCGGTAAGATTTTTGTGATTGAGGAAATCAGACATTTTGTTTTTTGCAACTGTTTCTTGCAAAGGGGTTTTATTTTTACCGCATGCCTTCTCAAGAATAGAATTTGGTTGCGAACAAGTTCAAGTTGTTTCTACGAAAAAAATCTACTTGAAATGGATAGATGACATAGGTTCTAAGATGACAAAACGGACTATCTTCACACGCTATTTCACAGGTGATCCCCGGCTGCTGGAAAAGATGGTAAACTTCGATAAGGACAACATTTCCCCCGACGCGATCCAGAAGGTGCAACCGCTGTATGATTCTGAAATGTTCGATCCGGACATTATCAAGAAGGCCTCCATTGCCGCGATGGGTATTTGTAAGTGGGTCCGTGCCATGGTCGTGTACGACAAAGTTGCGAAGGAGGTGGGGCCGAAGCGGGCCAAGCTCGCCAAGGCCGAGAAGTCCGCCGGGGACGCGATGGAGCTGCTGGCGAGCAAGAAGGCCGAGCTCGCCGAGGTGATTGCCCTGGTCGACAAGCTCGTGAACCAGCTGAACGAGGCCAAGGCCAAGATGGAAGAACTGCAGAAGAACAGCGACGACTGCCGCGCGAAGCTGGTGCGCGCCGAGAAGCTGATCACCGGGCTGGGTGGCGAGAAAGCCGCCTGGACCCAGCAAAGCGCCAAACTCGGCAAGGATTACACAAACCTGACCGGCGACATCCTGATCGCGTCCGGCATCATGGCGTATCTCGGGTGCTTCACCGGCGTGTACCGCAAGGAAGTGTGCGACAGGTGGCTCACCAAGCTGACGGAACTGCAAATCCCGGCCTCCCCGGAGTTCACGTTGGCAAACTGCATCGGGAACCAGGTGAAGATCCGCAAGTGGGTCATCGACAAGCTGCCCAACGACAACCTGTCGATTGATAACGCCATCATCCTGGACAACAGCTCGCGGTGGCCGCTGATGATCGACCCGCAGAACCAGGCCAACAAGTGGGTCAAGACCACGCACGGGACGAAGTTGAAGGTGATGCGGTTGAACCAGAACTACGCGCGAAACCTGGAGACCTGCATCTCCTTCGGAACCCCGGTGCTGATCGAAAACATCGGCCTCACCATTGACGCCATGTTGAACCCGCTGCTGTTGAAGGCGACGTTTAAGCAGGGACCCCAGGAAATGATCCGATTGGGTAAGAGTCGATAATTTTTTTTCACATAAAAATTCCTCTGCATTTTTTTGAGTGACGATTTTTATGAATGTTCCGTCCACACAGAAGAACTACAACATCTACACATATTTACTGCAGTAAATTTGCAAACCGCGACGATCGTATCGACGCACACACAGGTGACAGCACGATCGAGTACAGCAAGGACTTCCGGCTGTACTTCACGACCAAGCTGCCCAACCCCCACTACGCCCCGGAGATTTGCGTGGCCGCGTGTCTGTTGAACTTCATGGCCACGGTCGACGGTCTGACGGATGCGATGTTGGGTATTCTGGTGGCCATGGAGGAGCCGGAGGTCGAACAGGCTCGGCAGAACCTGGTTATCGAATCCGCGCAGTCCAAGGCGGAGCTGGCCGAGATCGAGAACAAGATTCTCGCGCTGCTGTCCGCCTCCTCCGGGGACATTCTGGAGGACGAGGAGTTGATCAACACGCTGGCGAGTTCCAAGGTGACGTCCACCCGCATCGGGGAGCAGGTGAAGGTGCAGGAGATGACGGCCGCGACCATCGCGGAGACCCGTCTGTCCTACACGGCTCACGCCTTCCGTTGCGGGGCGCTGTTCTTCGTGATCGCGGACCTGCGTATTGTGGACCCCATGTACCAATTCTCTCTAGATTGGTTCATGGTGCAGTTCGTCGAGTCCATCAGGCGCGCGGAAGCGAAGGAGAGCAAGGACGACCGGTTGACGGAGCTGTTCCGCAGTTTTCTGGCTTTGCTGTACGACATGGTCTGCCGTTCCCTGTTCGCGAAGGATAAGTTGCTTTACTCCTTCATGTTGTGCTTGAAGTGCCAGGAAACGGACAAGGAGCTTAACCTGAACCAGTTGAATATGCTCTTGACCTGCGTCGGCGGTGGCGCCCTGGAGCCGAAGCCGGAGAACAGCGACTGGCTCACCGATGTCTCGTGGGCGCGTGTGACCACGCTGGGAACGCTGATGGACGTGTTCGAGGGATTCGCGGCCGACTTCGCCGCCAATCTGGAAGGCTGGAAGGCCGTTTTCGACAGCGAAAACCCGATGGCGGCCGAGATCGAGTGGCCCAAGAACTTCAAGCAGAAGTGCAACCCGCTGCAACGGGCACTCACCATGTTTGCACTGCGTACCGATGCCACCGTGGTCGCGATTCAGGAAGTGGTATAAAAAAGATACAAGCATGTACATAGTATCCTGCCGTGTCCTCTTATTTTGTTCCTGCTGTGCTCGTGTTTGTTGATGACATTAAAGTTGTGCTACGCGAGTTTGTTATTGTTACTTTCCATTTTGTATCGTTGCACTTGCAGCGATCAGTTGAAACTTCATGTGTATCTGAAAAATACGATAGGTACTGAACAAACTCGGGCGCGAATACCTGTTGGTGCCCCCCTTCGATCTGCCCGTGTGGTTCGAGGACAGCTCTCCGGCGGTGCCGCTGATCTTCATTCTGTCGATGGGTTCCGACCCTATGGCAGATGTCACGGCCCTGGCGTTGAAGCACGATATGTTGTCCAAGATCGTCCCGATTTCGCTGGGACAGGGGCAAGGACCAAAAGCCACCGCGGGCATCAAGGATGGCTCTGCCAACGGAAAGTGGGTGCTGCTGCAAAACTGCCACTTGGGAATCTCATACATGCCCGTGCTTGAAGGTATTTTGTCTGAGTGACGCGTTTTGTTCGACAAATAAGTATCGACAATGAATTCCTTGTTACGACGCGACTTGAGTTTTTTTTTGTGTCCTCTCTTGGCGCTCCGCTTTCGATGACTCATTGTAGCTTCAGAGTACTTGTTAGGTCGAGATACCTTTTGAAAAAATAACAATCCAGGTATGATCGAGGCATGGAAGCCGGAAGATCTGAACCCCGCGTTCCGATTGTGGCTGACCGCGTGCCCATCTCCAGATTTCCCGATTGCCGTTTTGCAAGGCGGAATCAAGATGACCATCGAACCACCAAAGGGGTTGAGGAACTCGCTCCAACGCGCCTACCGCGGTACGAAATTAGATTTTTTTTTGTAAACACTTTTATGTTTTCCGACGACGTTTTCCGACAACAGCTCGTGCTGTTGCCACAAGCCAGTGCACCCCGTGAAAAAATGGCGGATCACAGCAAAACATTTCATTATCAGGCATGGACGAGGAGTGGTTCGAGAGTTCGACCAAGCCAACGACCTTCAAGAAGCTGCTTTTCGGGCTCTGCTTCTTTCACGGTCTTGTCTTAGAGCGCCGCGCTTTTGGGCCCATCGGGTGGAACGTGGCTTACGGATTCTCCGAGCCAGATTTGGACATTTCGCAGAAACAACTGCGCAACTTCATCGAGGACTTCAGCGACATTCCCTATGCGGCTTTGAACTACATGGTCGCCGAGGCAAACTACGGTGGTCGTGTCACAGATGGCCAGGACAGGAGGCTTATCGTATAATTTTTTTCATTTCGAGCAGGATGCATGTGAAAACGAAAAAAAGAAGAAGACGAATGTCAACGAAGTTCCCAAACTGTTGCAGGCTCGTTTTATACATTGATGCGGACTGCACCGAAAAATGGAGTGACAGAAACAAAACACACTCTACAGGTCGAGATCATCAAGGATTTCTACACACCGAAGATCCTAGAAGACGACTACAAGTTCTCGATTTCCGGCATCTACTACTCGCCCACTGCCAACACCATCAAGGAGCACCTAGACTACGTCGAAAGTCTGCCGTTGAACCACACCCCCGAGGTGTTCTGGCTCCACCCCAACGCAAGTCTCACAGCGGCGATCAACGAAGGTAAAAAGGTTTATTTTTTTCTGTTTATCAACTTCAATATCTATATCAATTTCAATACTATTCCTACTGAGCCCGTCGGGGGCTGACGCTGACCCTGACGCTGATGAAGACGAGCGGCGATAAAGATGCCGAGAATGGACGATAAGTCGTTTTGTGCTGCAGCGCTTAGAAGTCGGGCGAGTCGCAGCGATAGATCAATCGAATCTCTCTTCCGAAACGACTGCTTCCGAAATTCCACCCAACAGGTATTTCCATGCTAAAGAACGCGCTCCTCCTGATGTCTTCGTTCGGTGGCGGCGGCGGCGGCGACGACGAAGACGAGGGGGCCAAGGCGGAAACGCCCGAGCTATGCATTGCAAATATGTCTCGGTCTGGAAGAGTACAACTTGTCATGCTAAATCTGAATCATACAGAAATCTGTTTTTCATGATTACCAATAAAGCTGTTCACTTTTGAGAAGGCCGAGAGGCAGTTTCTCATGCGGAAAAGGCATGGAAAAGATCTCACAGAATCTGTGATGCTAGGGCATGCATCATAGACCTCACGCGTCATGCAAAACGTGCATGACAAACGTTGCACTTTTCCAGACCCAGACATATTTGCATTTGATACGAGCAGCGGTACTGCAACCTGGCCGAGCAGGTGATCACGTTGATGCCCGAGGCGTTTGACTTGGGCGCGGTCGGGAGAAAATACCCGGTCAAGTACGACCAGTGTCTGAACACGGTGCTGCTGAACGAGTTGATCAAGTTTATCAAGCTTTACGACAAGGTGAAAGACACGTGCGTGAACCTGGGGAAAGCGGCCAAGGGGTTGGTCATCTTCTCGCCGGAACTCGAGGCGGTGGCCAGCGGTTTCCTCACGAACACCATCCCACCACCATGGTTGGGCGTCAGTTATCCAAGTCTGAAGCCCGCCATGAGCTACGTCTTCGACTTCATGGACAGGCTCAAATTCATGGACGACTGGATCAAGCAAGGTACTAGGGACCACGATATTAAATAATTTGCGCAGTCCTCATTTTTGCCCGGGTTAATAATGTTAAATTCTTCAACATTTCCTTTGCGTCGACAAGCATTTTCATTTTCATTTTCTCTGCAGCCACTGTTTCGTCTGTCTATGGGAACAACGCTTTCTCAGAGCAGAGTTGCTGCTCCTTTGTCAACAACGAACATGCATACAGGCAAGCAGTGCCGATGGGAGAATGCAGTGTATGAGGTTATTAATACTAGCGAAGACAACTTGAATACTATCACTATTGCAGGTGCCCCGACAGTGTTCTGGTTCTCGGCCTTCTTCTTCCAACAGGCCTACCTGACCGGTGTGCTCCAGAATTTCGCGCGCGGCGCGAGCATCGCCATCGATAAGCTGATGTGGAACTTTGAAACCCTGGCGTCCACCGACACCGATCCGGCGGAACCGGAGAAGGGTAGCTACATCCGCGGCCTGTACATGCAGGGCGCCAGGTGGGAGGACGACACCATGACGCTGCAGGACTCCTTCCCGAAGGTACTGTGGTCCACAGTGCCCCTGATTTGGCTGAAGCCGAACGAAAAAGACAAGGACGAACACGTGTACAACCAGATGTACGCCAACCCGGTGTACAATATGGATTGCAAATATGTCTGGGTCTGGAAGAATGCAAACTTGTGATGCGCATTCCACAACACAAAAAAATCTCTCATGCATAGGCAGCAAAAGCTGCCAACTATCTGTCACCAAAGTGGGGCATTTGTCATGCGGATTCGGCATTGCGGAAGCTTCTCGAAGCCTGTGATGCTAGAGCTTCCATGGCAGACCTTCAGTGTCATGCAAAAACAGCATGACTCTTCCAGACCCAGACATTTTTGCATTGGATATACAAGTGCAGCGACCGGCGCGGGGTGCTGTCCACATCCGGACACAGTTCCAACTTCATCATGTTTATGTACATGCCGGTCGACTACGCCCAGGGCCACAGCGAGAACTTCTGGACCAAGCGTGGTGTCGCTATGATCTCGCAGACCGACGATTAAGACTAAGTAGCAAGTAGGGAAGATGAAAGTAAGGGGACAAACTTTTGCCTGGGAAAAGCGACAACTGGTGCAACTGGTACAACAATGTTAGAGATGAACATCAGAAGGTGTGCTTGTTGAAAGAATTAAGAAAACTACGAAAAGACGCAAGCACAGTCGACAAGGTTTCAGAAAAGTGTTTCAACTAGAAAAAAAGCGTGGTCCATCTCTTACGGTTTGACAGAACTCAGAACTCCACCCTACCATACTTTTCTAATTCCTCCTGTTTCTTCTACCCCAAAGAATTAGACCTGTTTCTACCACCGTCCGAGAATACCCTTTTGCCTTTCTGAAAAATGTCAAATGTGAGATGCTCACACTTTAGCAAGTTTACAGTTTACAGACAAATTTCGTTTCTAAAATTTGAATTTTACAGATACAGTTACCCTGGAAATACTAAGATCAGACAGAGGAAGAACTCTATTTGTCACGGATTCTTGTTCAGACACAAATAGTTTAATACCCAAAGAGAATTATTTTTAATGCAAAAAATAACTCTCTTTCTTCAGATCGAGTTTTATCAGACTAGATTCAAAATATAGGTTTCAATTGCACAGATTTGTTTTATTCAGAACTACAAACACTAGCACGTCTCTTCTAGAGGCGAAGACTATGTCATGATGACTAATAAAATGCATAAGATTTATTTTATTCTGTTAGAGCCTAACACTGTAAAGTTTGAACTTCTGAGAAAAGTTATAAAAATGGGAGAACTCAAAAGCCTAGATCCGAGAAGTCGCATTTTGCGACGTCTTTTAAACAAAAGGGGTTACAAAATGAATCACTCGAGGAACAAAGCCGGGTGCAGTACAGCACCGCGCCTTGCCAGTGCTCATCTGGTGTAGAGGCATTTAGCTGGACGGTCACATTGGTCTTGTTCTTTTTTTTTTTACGAAATTCAATTAAAAATAGGAACTAAGGGTAAGGATAAGGCTTTGTTCGCATGAAGCGGATGCTCGGCTCTCGATTATCAGTTCAGGCTGCTGAGCAGTGGTTTGATCACGGAAAAAGTCCCAAGCGACGGGGAAATTTGTCGGATCCATTCATACGCGATCCCGAAGATCACGCATACTCCCTGATAAGTGCACAATTTTTCGTGCTAGCTGCTCTTCGATCGTTCTTTCTTTTCTACCTTCGACAGGCTCTTCATTTTGTCGCGATTAGTTAGCCATACTACTATTTTTGAGGAGAAATATAAGCAAGAAGACGAAGAGGTATAAATATGTGTAAAGCGATTGCGAAACTGTGTGTTATGATACTTAAGTGCGAGCACACGCACAGTATGATCAGTAGTGAAATTTTAATTTAGTTTCGTCACATGACCTGCTCATCGGCCTCTGGTGCAGCAACGCGACCGACTGTACAGGAACAAGCGACTATATCGCAAGGGATTGCCAGTGGCCAGAAAGCAGTTGCCAATTGGAACAACTGACTCAACAGTAGACAAAAATCCGGCGGCGACCACAATACACCACCACAGTCAGTAGCAAGAACAATATTAGAGCGACAACTTCAGCACCGGCGAAGTCTAAACGGCTGGAAAAAATAAACAAAAAGTTTGAGTACACGAACACACAGCGGTCGCTTGCCGATATTGCTGCGCAGGAAAGAACGGGCATTGAAATAAACAAGAAGCGACAATGACGTCACTAGGCATTCCAGCGAAGATTCTCCACGAGTCTATCGGGCACACGGTGACCGTCGAGGTTCGTGATGGCAGGGTATTCCGAGGGCATTTGATGCATTGCGAGGACAATTTCAACTGCATGCTGGAGGGCTGCTCTGTTGTCGACCCAAAACATGGCGTCGTAACAGTCATGGAACAGGTACTTCTGAAATGCGCAAGGCAAAGATGTCATGTTGAAATTAATTTTCTTTTATCGCCCATAGGATAGACCACCGAGATTGTATTTCTAGCCCGGCGCCGGTGTGTTGGTTTTCAAATCTATCAGGGGCGAGCTCGAGTCGGTTTTGGAATTGCCTGTGCACTTGTTACGCCTACGGGTGGATGATGCATGAAGAATCCCGTGAATATTAATATTTACTTACCCACAAAAATGATCTGAACAGTAACTTTTTGTTTTTGTTTTAGTTTACTTCAAATGCAAAAAAGTAAAAGATGTGTTGCATCTCTATGAACAGGTTTACGTCCGAGGGCAATCAGTGCGGCACTTTATCCTCCCTGACATGCTCGCCTCGTGCCCAATGTTTGGCGCGCGGGGCCAAGGCTACGGGCGCGGAACAATAGCACCGTTGAAGGGCAGTGGCGGAAAGTACGCAAAGGGAAAGATGCGCGGCAAGGCATATACAAAGCGGGGAGACAAGTGAGTCAAGTAATCGATGACGCAAGAAGACGAGTTTGATGTATCACCTTTTGGCAATGGATGCGCAAAAAGACTGCTATGAGTATCGTTTTTTCGCAGTCGTGCCCGCCAATGAATAAGAAGCGGACATGCCAACCGTCAGATCGGTGGACTCCAAGATGGCAGGCAGCGCGGTCGTGTGTTCAGCTTCGGAGCGCTACCCCAAAATGTTGAAAACAGGATCGCCTGTTGCTACTTTTTGATCGATTTATTTCTTTGTGGTCCTCGTGCTGCCTGTGCCTAGTGCCGTGCGCGTGCGCCTAAGCCGCTCACGCAATGGAAAGTGCTGCGTCCGACGGGAAAAAATTCTCGAGCTCGAGCGGAATTTCACTTCTTAGCTTCAATACCGATCTAGCTGCGGTTGAGGATAACGAATCCAACCCTGCTAACCCGTTGGTTTCACTTTGACCTCATTTCGCTCAGACCTGCTGTTTGGGAGTTTGCTGCCATACTCCGAAAGCTCTTTTTGCTTCTTTTCCCGAATCTGAATCAAATAATCGTGTGGAGGTTTGTAAAGAATCTACAACATAACGAGTGGTTACATTTTGATTTTTCTCCTGCAGCGGACCTCCTATCATCATATTAGTAGTTGTTGGTCTACTTGTTCTGTCTAACGATACGAATCTCCGTTTGCCAAGCAAGACTGAGAAGTGAGATGAGGCTGTCATTTCTATCATGGTCCAGGATCATTGTTACCCGTGCGCTTCCGTTCTCATGGACGCTTGTACTGTGGCAGGTTTTTACCTTATCCGTCATCTTTCCGTCCCTAGAAGTTGCGGGTTTGCGGATGAATTTGCTCAGAAGCCTCGTGTCTTCGGAGCGCGAGGAGGTCAACGCGAACTCAGGCGAGTCCGATGCCGCTGGAGCACACGCCGCACCCATGGTCACGGTCCTTGTGGGTCTGAGCTGCGACCGTGAGAAGCAGTTTGACGTCGATCCCACGCAAATAACCGGGCGAGGCGTGCAACTTGAAGCGGAGAAAAGATTACTTGGGGACCACGTCGCCGCCGGCTCCTCCGCGATGCCCGTGGTCACGGTCGCGGGCCAGGTTGTTTCGTACGACAGTACGACACTGTTATCGGAGTATTTATTTTCGAGAAGTAAAAGCACCGAAGCGCGCGGCGGCGCACCAGAAAGTAGTTGTACTGCTCCTGCCGCACAGGAGCCTGCATCAGGAGCCCAGCTTTCCGCCTCATCCGCTTCTTCCGTGGGAGGTGGCGCGTCGAACAAACAAGGGCGTAGCAGGTCAAACGGGAAGGTGCAGCTGCCGCTGGGAGCCACCGGACGGGACCGAGGGGGCGCAGCTTCGGGTGGCCGGAGCCGCAGTAGAGATCTTCTGACCTCCCCCCCCGGGCAGATCCTGAAGCCTGCGAGCAGCACTAGTCAGCGGGGCGGGGGGGCGGCTTCGAGCAATAGTTCGATCCCTGGGGCGACAGAGTACAACAGGGGAGATGCGGTCTCGACGATGCCGGGTAGTAGAGGAGGTGCTGGTGGTGGTGCTAGTTCAACGCCGAGTTCATCATTCCGGAGCCAATTTACCGCAAGCGCGGACGAAGCGCGGAAGAGCGCGCCCTCGCCGGCCTTGAGCGCGGTCAGCACGACGCTGGCGAAGACGGCCAGCGGCAGCTCCCTGTCTACGTTCTTTCTCGAGGATTCGGCGTCGGTGTTCGCCAGTCCAGCTAGTGAGTGGGGCGCCGGGGGCGCGAGTCCGACCAGTCCGAGCGACGACGTCGACTCAATGTCCTCGGACCTGTATCCTGTGTAAAATAAGCGTGCCCGCCTGACTAAGTCAGGATGGGGATTATAATCTGCTGCACACAGTGCCACGTGTTGGCTGTGACGCATGACATCAAGTTTGGGCCAGTAATTTAAGTAATCGCGTTGAGCTAGCGAAGCAGCATCACAGAGCGATGGTCTCATCCTTAGTAGAGCATGATGAGTTCTACCCAGATGACATTGAAAAATGGTCTCCGTAGGGATGCGCATGAGGATCATTTTAGGCATGCAGACTTGCATGACGTTATTACACAGGATAACCTGGACTCAGTGGTAACCAGCAGCCGGTGTTGTTCCGCCCCGTATCCACTGCGAATGTGTCTGGGTCTGGGAAGTTGTCATGCGAATTTGTGGCTGATGAATAGAGTACAATAGTCAACCACCTAGCATGAAAAGTTTTTTGGGAGCCCTATGTTCTTGCGTATTGATTCCGCATAAGAAATCGCACTTTTGCAATATAAAAAAGGAATACTCTTTAGCAACACGCATCAACACAAACTTCGCAGCCATGGTACCAGATACGCACTACAAGTCTTCTACCTTCCAGACCCAGGTCGAAGATATTTGCAATGCATACCCCGGGGTCGGAAGCGACGTACAGTCCCTCTCTACTGCCGTTGCCAGACGAGGATGAGGAGGAACTGCCTTGGATGCCGTTGATCCCCCCGGCAGTGCCAGAAACAGAGTGCCCTTTGGAAAAAGCTCCCCGGGACCACACGGTGCCGCTCACCAAGCAGGAAATGTTGGAGGAGGACAGTTGTATGTTCCTGTTCAGTCAGAGCAGTAGCGGGAGCGACGGGAACCACACGGCGACAGAACAGCTGCCAAACGCAAGGGCGCTCGGGTCCGTGTTAGCAGCGGAGGGCGGGGATAAAAGTACTACGGCGGTGGACGTCGAAATGGAAGCAGCAGAATCGGCTGCGCATGGCGATAGAAATCGCGGCACGGCACGAGCAAGTAGAAAATGCAGTGGTACTCTCCAGCAGGCTATCGCCCAGGAGCAACAGAGGCTGGCTGGAGGAGCGGCTGGCGCGACGCCCATCGTTTCCGTAATCTGGAGCCAGCCCTCTGTGTCCAACTTTCTGCACAAGCTCGTGGAGGGTCCGTTCGCCGCCGAGCTGCAAAGGACGGCCATCAGCGCTCCGGTGGAGAAAACGCCATTCGCCCTGCGGGTGGGATACGAGTTCGGCGACATTCTGCGCCGACGGACGGTGCGCGACGTCGCCGTGGAGGTGCGCGAGTTTCTAGATACTCGCTACGGCCCGAACCGGGCGCGCTATGCGTTGAACGCGGAGGCCTTTCCAGACGTGCCAGCGTTGGTGCCGCTCGGCGGCGCGCATTTCGCGCCCACCGTGTCACCACCCCGCCAAACCGCGCGCCGCATCTCGTTCGGCATCCAAGTGTACGACGAGCGCGCGGCGGCGGAGGGAAAAGAGGAGCCGGTCACCGTTTCCTTTGTTCTGGAGGAGCCCACACGATGGGTCAGTATCAAATGCAAAAGTGTCTGGGTCTGGAAGAGTGCAAGTTTGTCATGCTTGTCTGGCATAACTCGAGAATCTGAATCTGTGTTGCATAGGCACAAAAAGGCCCTCCTACCTGTCGTGTAAAAACGCCGTTTGCCATGCGGAATACGTAAGACATGGTAGCCATAAAATTTGTCATGCGTGGCTGCGTATTGCAGTGCGTCTAAGTCTATCATCCACTTTTAGCATTACAAGCTTCCAGACCCAGACATTTTTGCATTTGATAGTCAGCGGAAGCCTACGGTTTGCGTTCTTTGGGCTTCACTTTCCGGGGGAGCGAGACCCGCGGTCGCTCTGGGCAACGCACCAGGTGAGCAGGGCTGCGCATGGGAAAAGAAAGGAGTACAATTACGTGCAGCGGGGGAACCTGAGCGCGCTATCAAATGCACATTTATGGTTGGCACTGGAAGATCGCAGAAGTTTGTGACGCAGCTTTTTCATGCCCGAGCAGGTCTGGGATGCAGGGCTGGCATCACAAGTTGCGTAAAAGCTTTGCATTGCCTATTCCGCCTGCGAGATTTCCTCTCAGCGTGGCCAAAAGCGAACAGCTTTTGGGACGTATGTATTACAGAGTTTTATGTATATGTTTTGTGTAGCTGACCAGAAGCAAAGAACTATGAACCTTTCCAGTCCCAGACATATTTACAGTGGATACGCGCGGACCGCGCACAATTACGGCGCGTTGTTCTTTGGGGCGGAGAACCCAGCTGACGATCAGCCGCGGAGACTCTAGATGTACCCGGAACAAGAAAGTCAATTGTAGACCACGTCGTCAATTTTAGACCACGTCTGAAACGGACTGAGACGGTGCCACGACGAGAAGTGCTTCGCAATATTATGCTATTTCTATTCTGATCCTGTCATGTGGATCTCAAGTCGCAAACGAAGCAAAAGGTTTTCACGTTTTACTTCATCTCTGACATTACGACGTGTCCTGCCTAGAGAATACCCGCGAGCATGTGAGTCAATCTGCGATACTTGTCGACATTGAGATTAGCTGAGTATCTTTAGACTGATTGGATAAACTAGGACAGGAGGGACACCACGCACTTTCTGCAGATACTTACGCAAGGCAGTATCGTAGGCGTAGGACGCTTTCCAAGTTTCTAAAGAGCCTTTTCGCGGGCGCCAGCATATCTAAATCTACGTGGATGGCATATCTAAATCTACGTGGATGTTGCTGGTGGCATATTCAAATGTACTTGAGCGCAGGAGAAAAACGCAAACCAATTGCTCTCATAGATCTCTATTTGCCGCGGCCACACATTTCTACTTATGGTATAACAGAGTAATCCCGATTCTCATGGCTCTTTGGTTGTTAGTTAACGACATTTTTGCCAGCCTAGTGACTGTCTCTTTGACCTGCCGCTGTCTACTACAACAAGCCTTTACACCCTGCGAAATGTGACTCCTGCTGAGCGAGACAAAGTCAGTGAGGAGATTCTGAAACTTTAATGCCTCTTGGATGGATGTGTCTCGTGCTCCTTTTCAGAATTGCTAAACTTTTCCAATCGATCCGTCTACCACACTTTTTGCAAAACGCCACATTTACCTGTTTCACTGTTATGCCTCGCTGCCCTGTCGGCATGATGCTCGACTGGCTGCAAATTTTCATTGCTGTTGCCAGGTTTGACCTGTTGTAGTATGCGGATCACTCGTCGCTGTCGAGCCGCTACAGGAGGTCATGGAGATCTAAATGTCGGCTGATTATGACGGATCACTATATTCTTGTGTGTCCTACATCTGCTGTCACCCAGCACACCTGCTGGAAGCTGCAAACTGTTCCCTCTCGTGACGTCTATCGCAGTGTGCAGCATTTTTGCCAAGATGGGGATCATCAGATCACTGGTCGGTCCAAATCTGTCAAAAAGGTTCTTTCATTGCATGTGACACGCCGTGCAAGATGATGGATCAGCCATTGGTTTAAATCATACCGTTCGCTCACGTAGTCATAGTCTAAAACTGAATGCGCACGCGACATTCCAGAAGGACACGAATATGATAACAATTTTCCCGGAGCTTCCGCTTCGATGTAAAGCGAATGATCACTCACGATTCCATGTATAAATCGATCGCAGTGCGGGCACGCGAGACGTGACTAAAGAACAGATTCAGTAACCTGTGCAAAGAGCCATTCCGTGTTGACAAGATCCAGAAGGTTCAGCAAGCGAAATTGTCGATCCTGAAAATCTGATGAAGGATAGAATGAAAATGGTGTGATCATGTTAAGGATCGAAAAAGGATCAGTAATAGATGCGATCTAAATTTTGTGAAATTTAGAATACGACTATGCCCTACGAATAGCACTATGATTCTGCTCTGCCTACGCAACTGATAAGAGCTTCATTTCCTTACATCTGACAGGGAGAGGATCTAGGACTGGATATTCTCGACACAAAAACGGACAAAAATGGTGACTCGTCAGACTTTCCGCCGCCACGTTTCCTGGAACACCCGTTCCAACAAGCACCGCTTCGTGAAGACTCCGGGTGGTCGCTTGACCTACCAGGTAGGGCCAGCTAGTTATGATTTAGATTTTCGCGAATACTAACGCCGAAAGGCTCGCGTTTTTAAATCTCAATCTAAATTCGATTCTGTTCTTTCGCTTCTCACTGCTGGTTCTCTCTCCCTGTAGAATTGTCCACTAAAATCGCCAAATTTCCAAACTACCAGGTCGTCACGAAGAAGGCCAAGGCCCCGAAATGCGGTGACACCAAGAAGCCGCTGATCGGTGTGCCGACTCTGCGCCCGCACAAGTACAAGACCTTGAAGAAGAGACAGCGCAAGGTTGCCCGCGCCTACGGTGGTACCCTTTCCGCCGGAGCCGTGCGCCAGCGGTACTTATTACTTCCAAATTGTGTTTGTGCTTTACATTTGTCATTTTGATGTCAACAACATTAGGCTTTTTGTTTGGTGTGTTGTCTTGTGTGTGTCGCGACGTGTCGGTCAGGAAGGTCTGTTGATGTTCCCGATACGTTAAAAAAATCCACTACAGTGTCATCCGTGCCTTCCTGATCGAGGAACAGCGATGCGTCAAGCAGGTCCTTCAGGAGAAGGAAAAGGCCAAGAAGGAGGAGGACGCTCCGGCCCCGAAGAAAAAGAAGGCTGAGAAGAAGTAAGCGAGCCGTTGTGCCCAATCGAATGAAATTTTGAACGTGCGCACTGCTCCTTTCGTAAAACACGGAAAGAGTGAACAGAAGTCCTATGACAAGTCCGTTTAGTTTGTGTCGTTGCTCATAGGGAGCAACAGTGGAATATTCATCTGTCGAGGCAGGTCCAGAAATTCAGAAGGCTTCCCCGCCTCTACTGTACTCTCTTGCAAGCTACTCGTGTTCATTGCTTCTGCTTTGTTGCTGTCATCTGTGCGCTTCCGGGATCGTTCAATGTAGAGAGAGGGAGAAGTGCTTTTGTTCCTAAAGCAACGCGTGGAACCTACAATAGTCTGGCTCTGGCCTCAGACAACAGTGTGTGAAAGTGATGCGGTTAAAAAACTAACTCGCTGGTTGTCCCATTTTCTGGTCACGTTTTGTCTCGATTCAGCTCTTAGCAACAGCCGTTCGGCAAGCATGTCGTCCTCCACTAGTAGCTCAGCTGCGCGTGTAGGCTTCGTGGGCCTTGGGCGCATGGGGTTTCCGATGGCAGCGCACCTACATAAGAAATTCGGTCCGTGCGCTGTGTGGAATCGCACGACGCACGTTGCAACCCTACATGCAATGGAGCACGGAACTACTGCGGTTGCCGAGATCGAAGACTTCCGATGTCCCACTTTGTTTTCGTGCCTCCCGTGCTGGCGCGAGGTTCATGACGTGGCCTCGCGCATTATCGAGGCCAGACGCCGAGCAGTGGGGGAAGGCTTGGTGGATGATGAGCATCGGTTCGACCTCCATGGTACTGCATCGGAGCCTTCTACTGAAAGCGAGAGAATATTATCCCCTAGATCAGCTCTTCGCCCGGTATCACTCCTAATCGACTGCACCTCTGGAGAGTACGCGCACACCATAGAAATCGGCGAGATGCTTGCTGAGCACGGTATCACCTTCGTGGATTGTCCCGTCTCCGGCGGCCCTCGCGGTGCCCAGGCAGCGACGGTGACGGCCATGTTCGGTGGGAATTCGACAGCCGCCGTGGCGTACGCGAAGCACTTTGCCAGTGCCTTTGCCGCGAAGCGGGAATCCTGCGGTGCCCTTGGGAGTGCACACGCGGTAAAGTCGATCAATAACATATTGAACAGTGCGAATTTGGCGACGACCGTCGAGGGACTGCTGGTGTTGCGAAAACTCTTCGGGGACAGGCTAGACTTGGAGAAAGCGCTTCGCTGCATCAACAGCAGCTCCGGGCGGTCGCTCCAGAGCATACAGCGCGTGCCGGAGGAGGTGTTTTCACGCCGGTTCGGGTATGGATTCGACTTGCAGCTGATGCAAAAGGATTGCGACGCAGCAAGAAATCTGATTTTGGATGCCAGTTCTGTGGGCCAGCATCCAGAGGGTGGTCATCAGACAGCAATTCTGCCGCGCGTTGCGGAGCTCTTAGACGATGCAGCGTCGTTTTACCAGGGGGAATGCGACGACGCTCGGAAACAGGGGGAGATCATTGACTACACGTATTTGGCGAAGTTCCTAGAAGATAAAGCGGGAATCACTTTGGAGATAGAGAGCTAGTTTGCTTGCGTCTGTGTGTTGTCTGATTCTCAGTTCTGCTGTGCTAACTATCTTTCTGGCGCACGATGAAGGACAATTCCAAGAAGAAGAAGAAGCAGATTTAACAAGCGGTGCTACGCCATTGGCCTTCCAGCGGCGCCCGCACTTCTTAGCGCTGCTGATCTGTCTGCATCGCAGCTTGCCTCCGTTCTCTTGAGAGACGAATGGATCTTCACACCACGGGAGGAGCCGGCGGGATCCATCTGAGAGAATGTATGTATGCGGTTATATTAAGCGTGAGGGGCTTGATGTGTGCAATTTGAAGACGTGTGTGGTTTATTCCTAATGTGCCTCAATTTCGTCCTAATCTTACTTTATTGTAGAGGAGGCAGCTCAGGCGTTGTGGTCCGTGTGGCTTCCGCGTAGCTGAGAGGCAGTCAGAGAGCATGATGCATGCGCTCCGCTGACCGCCTCGGCGCAGCTCCATGTCGGAGGATGCGCAGCCAGAGGCGGTGTGGCCTCCTGGAGCGAGGCCGACCATGGATGTCCACGACTGGCGATTTCGGTTTAGAAGACGGAGCTGGGAATCTTCACTGCCGGAAAGCCATTCCACCTCGCAGATGGTTTTGCAAGCGTCGCCGGCGACGGGGGAGGGCGCGAGCGCAGAACGATGCGGGCGAGAACTGGCTTTGCCACACTGGAGCTCCTGGCAACCTGTTGCCACCACCACATTTGAAACTTTTTCCGCAGCGGACATTGCACCGCAGTTGCGGTCGTTCGCGTAGCGCTAGCGACCGGAAGCAGGAGGCGCGTGGAAATCATACGCGGCCGGCTTGCGACGTGTCCACCAGCACCATGTCTTCAAAGCTACGGAAGCGAATCAGTACCCAGTGCGTGTTCTCTTCGGAGCTCCCCTGGTGCCGGCGGGATCTTCTTTCCTCTCTTTCGCTGCTACTAGGACTTTTTTTCGGCGGCCATTTGCACCTCAGCGTGCGGGGACAGCAAGCTGTGGGCGTCCCGGGCCAAACGTCCCCCCGCGACATCTTCGCCTATCCGGGTTTCCGCAGCTACGTCGACGTCACGGGCACCCAAGCGGAAGATTTTTATCTGACCGGCGGGACGGTGACCGATCCACAGCAAAACCCAGCCTTCTTCTCGACCGCCTACCTGGAGAACTGCGAGCTACAGGAAGACTTCACCCCGGTACCCGAGGCAAACGCGGCAAACCTGGAGGCCGAGCGGGTCGCCAACAACGGTACGCGGCCGAGCGACTTGGACGAGGTCACGTCGAAGCAGTACGGGGACGTGCAGGGCGCGCAGTTTCAGTACCTCCAGACGCGGTACAAGCCGCTGAACCTGCGGGAAAACGCGTTTCTCCTGCCCGACTACGTGAACAACCCGTTCGCGATATTACAATGAAAAATGCCCCCACCCCCGAACTTGGGAGCATTTGTATTGCAAACCTTGCCAAGTGAAACATTCGCCCTCTTGCATCTATCAGCATCACAGGTTTCCAAACGTGAATAGTAAAAATTTGTATTGCAAAAGACCCCAGCAAGAGCGGCGCTTGTCATGCAAGCGATGCGACACACGCCTAGACTCAGCATCAGAAAGATTCATACTGCTTTCATGCATGACAAAAAGTGTTCATTTGGAAACTTCGCATCACAAATTTTTGCGATTTCAGGGGTGGGGGGGCACTTTTCACTGTAATACGCGAGCCGCATCTTCAACAGCAGCTTCACCGAGGCAAATCGCACCATTGAATTCGTTCCCGACGACTTTATTCCCGACATTGCACTTCCCCACAAAAGGCCGCAAGTCTGCCACTTCGGGCTGCGGCTGACCAACCCCACCGCGCAAAATTGGGCTTCGATCTACCGAAAGAAGAAGGTGTTCGTCGCGTATGGATTCAAAACTTCCTTTCACTTCCGCGTTTTACACCGGAAGGAGGAGTGCAAGGTCGCGGGAAAAGAATCGCAATGGTGCTACAAGCAGGGTGGGGACGGGTTCGCGTTTGTGATCCAGAATAACAAGCGTGATGCGCTTGGGCTGGAGCGGGCGGGGATGGGATTCTCCGGATTGTTCTTCACGCTCGCGATTGAATTCGATATGTACCGGGATTTTGACATGAAGGACGAAACGGACAACCACATCGGGATCATGACCTCGATGCGGGACGGGCAGCCGACGACCGCGAGCCACGAAAACAGCCGGATCGCGGAAACCAGTGACTTGCCAAAGTTGCAGGAGGGTACGCACAAGGTCGACATCGTGTATGAAACGCAGGACGTGAAGTCCGATGAGTACTACGAGCCGACGTGGTTTGGGGATGTGCAACCGGATTTTTTGCGCCGCCAGGCCACCGGCAGGGTGGGAATTTTGAAAGTGTACCTGGACGGGGTGAAGAAGCTGATCACGCCTTTGGACCTCTCCCAGGTCGTTGCGTCGGACAATCTCGGGACGTTCAAGTTCGACATCAACTATTTGAACAACGCCGACGACGACGGCATTTACCCAGGCCGGGGGTACGTGGGGTTCACCTCCTCCACCAAGGAGTCCCAGATGCAGTCCGTGGACATATCAGGTTGCACAACTCCCCCTCTCTCCCTCATCTGCAGGGCAATATTCATCTGCATTTTGCGCATTTTGCAGATTGCACAACTCCCCCGTTCATATGCATTTTGCGCATGCTGCACATTTTGCGCATTCTGCGCGTTTTGGCACGGTATTCTGGGCATTGTGCGCATTTTGCACAACTACCCCTCTCGCTCATCTGCAGGGCAATATTCATCTGCATTTTGCGCATTTTGCGCATTTTGCACATTTTGCGCATTTTGCACATTTTGCACATTTTGCACATCTTGCGCGCAGTATTCTGTGCATTGTGCGCATTTTGCACATTTTGCGCATTTTGCAGACACTCCCAGAAGGGGCGAAATGCAGGCGCTCCCAGCTCGTCGTGCCCTAACCTCATCGCCGGCCTGTCTCTGGTCGAGGCCTTTCTCGTGGGTTGGTGTGGCCGTGGCATTGCCTTGTGCACCCCTCGGACCGCGCACCCCCCCGGGCTTGAGTCCCGCAGTCTGTGAAGCGTGACAAATGAAGGGAGGGCGAGTAGTGCAGCGTCATAAGACATTCTTGACTGGCACTTCGAGTCCATGCCCCCCTGCACCTCGGATGAGATGTACTGCCGCCTTTCCAAGAATTACCCGCGGAAGAGCGAGGATCCCTGCAAGTACGGGGCGGACTTCACGGGGGACGCGAGCAAAAAGGGGCCGCGGGGGACCAAGACGCTGCTGAACTGCGCCATCGGGCTGCGGAACGTCGCGCGGGCCGCCCTGCGGGTGAGCGCGAAGTACCGCACGGGCCAGGACTGGGACGCGCAGCGGTGCCTGGACGTGAACCCGGTGACGAACAACGAGCGCATGGGGCTGCGGGGGGACACGATTCAGTGGAACCACGTGCACCAGTACTTTCTATGAACTGCAAAAGTATCGTATTCGTATAAATGCATTACAAATTTGCTCAGCGTGAGAAATAAAATTTGTAGTGCGGATTTGCCTTGGGAACAAGATTTGTAATGCAAGACTTGCATTTATACGAGTGCGATACTTTTGCACAGGATACTATCTCGGGTGCAACAAAACGGTGCACTACAACGCGCACGCGGACAGCCTGTGGCTGACGTCCAGCGACGGCACCCGGGCGGTGCTGGTGGACGACCCGCACATTCTGGACAACACGGCCGTCGCCTTTCGCCGCCAGCGCATGTTCGAGTACTGCGTGCGCGAGCACGAAACGGACCCCTTGATGTTCTACCAGCCCGCCGACTGCAACTGCGAGTACTGCGTGCGGCTGTTCGACATCCAAAACTACTACTCCGTGTTTTACCAGAGCCGCTGCGGGGCGCGGTACGGGATGTTCTGCCGCTGCCTGGAAGTCAGCGACGTGGGGACGGACCTGTACACGTTCTCGAATCTGCAACCAATGAGCTACATCCGGGCGCCGGTGTGCCGAGGCTGCACCTACCACTCGCAGTGCAAGTATTTTATTGAAATAAGTCGGGTTTTACTATACTGATCGCCGTGTTATTCATTCTTATTTGCTTTCTGATCCTGTTTCTGTCCGGAAAATTTTGAAACACACTTTCTTTTAACAATATCTATCTATCTCTTCGACAACGTGAATGAATTCCAGTTACGTCCTGAAAGCCGGGCAATGCCGACAGTCTCCGCTGAACCTGCGTCTGGGCAACCCGCTCGCACCAGATCCGATCAACAAGGGGTTCGTCGATTTTCGCCTAGACAACGGCAACGTGAAGGACGGAAGACTGCGGGGTGACGTGTGCAACTGCGAGCCGGGCTACATTACCTTTGTACAAGGCGCGATGTGCCAGCCCGGTGCGGGACAGAGCAAGAGCGCGATCTTGATGCGATCGTACACCGGCGCTTCTCTGCTGGAGCCCATCACCCCCGACGAGTGCTACGAGTACTGCGACCGTGCGAGCGGGTGCAACTTCTTCACATTCTGGGACATGTATGCGGTACCCAAAGGCTTGTGCGAGCTGTTCAGCAGCTGCCCCAAAACGCAGTGCGGCACGTACGACGACTACTGCCGGCAAGGCACGGTCTACAAGATGGAGACGATTTCGGTGTACCAAAACGAGCGCGGGGGCGTCGCCTATCAAGTGTAAAAATGTCTGGGTCTGGAAGAGTGCGCGATTTGTCATGCTGCTTTTCCATGACCCATGAGGTCTGGAATGCCGGAGCTAGCATGACAGATTCTGCGAGGACTTTCTAATGCCTATCCTGCATGAGAAACTACCTCCCGACTTGGTCAAAATTCGGCGACTTTTGGTAATCATGCAACACAGATTTTTGCATGCTGCAGATTTAGCACGACAAGTTGCAATCTTCCAGACCCAGACATTTTTACATTTGATATCGCCACGCCGCAGCTGATTTACCCGTTGCGCGGACTGCAGACCACGCGGCTGGCGTTATTGTGAGGAAAAATGCCCCCTCCCCATATCGAAAAGGCACGTCGCAGAAAATTTGCAATGCTGATATGCGACCACAAATCATCTCTGTCTTGCAAGAATGCAACTCCACTCGCTCCGCCGCATTATGCAGGCGATTTGTGATGCTGCTGGGCCTATAGCGCAGACGTTTCTCATGCTAAGAGCCTAGTCCAAAACCTCTCTGCTCGGGCTTAGTATGGGGCTGCAGTCCTCTCCAGCAAGACAGATCTGATCTGTGTGCGACAATCCAGCGCCGCAAGCTTCGTTTTGATATGGGGTGGGGGATTTTTCATTTTGATAGGCGTGCTTCGACTGCTTGCGCCAGTTTCCGGAGCCCGATTGCGTGTTCCACTGCGGCCCGCCCGTGCAGGTCACGTTCCAGCACTACCCAGCGGGTCAGGCCTGCGCGAGCTGCATCTTCGCGGGAAACTACTTGCACGAGCTGAACGAGAACGAGATCACGGAAATCAAGACCTGCGTCTACAACGCGATCGGCGACGGCAACGACCCTTGGGTGTCCTGCGATCCCATTGTCCAGGAGCAGGCCGCGCGAAGCAACAGCCATCAGGTAGAACTCGAAAAGTACACTACTAGGTTGCAGCAGCCTGAAACGAAGAGATAAACATAGAAATGCCTCGTCTCTGTTTAGTATTTCGAATTCGAGGTGGAAGTACGGGGGTGTCCCTCCTTCCCGCACGAGGGAATTTAATTTGACACATGGCGTGTCAGTCAGAATATGAATATACCCCCTTCCAGGTCGGATCTGCCCTCGATCTTTTCAACGGCGTGAGCTCGCATTTCATGACGGAGTGCCCGGGACGTCCGTTTGACACGTGGGGCGGGTTTTGCGCGCCCAACATTCTCGCGCGGCAGTTCTTCACGAGCTTCGTGCTGCATCACCAGGGCAGCAAGAACAACACGCTGTGGCCGGTGAACACTCTGGATTGCGTCAACGCGATCTGCGACCTCGTGCCGCGGGACTACTACAATGAAAAGTGCCCCCACGACCCCGGAAGTTGCAAAAGTTTCTGATGCAAGCAGAGATTTTAGCTATTCTCTCAGCATTGAAGACTTGTGGTTGTGACGCTGATGCATGCAAGATGGGGAGCGTTTCCATTGGGAAGCGAAGTGTTGCAGTGTAGATGCTGCCAAGTTCATCTGGGAGGGGGGGCACTTTTCAATGTGATAGGGACAAGTGCTACTCCAAGCTGGCCGAATGGAACTTCCAGGCGACCGGGTCGGTGCTCGACCAGGTGGGGAACTTGCACCTGCTGGACTCGGGCGGGGTGCAAGTCGTGCAGGGGCAGGGGCTGATCTTCGACAAAACGCTGAAAAACCAATACATGGTGACGCCCTACATGGCGAAGCAAGACATGCAGGACGTCACGCTCGAGGTCTGGGCAACCATCCCACCGGAGGAAGGAGTAGTGAATGCCAATAGATACTGCTTTTTCAATTATACGATTGGCAGTGCACCACCACCAGTGATTCAATCAGATGGAATCTCGTTCGTTAGATCGGATGAAAATGTTTTGATCGATTTTCTATCCACTTTAAGGTGCAAGATGCGTTGTCCGGGAAAACCGGAAATTTAACTGCTACGACCGCGTGGAAGGACCGCTACGCGCCCTCGAAAGCTTTGGATCAAGACATGGACACCTACTGTATGGCCTCCTCAGGTGTTACACCCTCAACTGTTACGTAGCCAACGCGTTTGTCATGCAAAATCTGCGTCACGTTTCCCGTTTTCATGTAGCCACGCAGCACAAATTTGAGATGCCTCAAATAGCACCATCGAAATCTGTCCAAAACTTGTCATTCGAACGGCGCAGCGTATCGCGCTTTTCTCTTGCTGGGTTGCCTTAAAAAACGCTGTCGGGTACGTGACAGCTGCTGAGAATGTAACGGCTGAGGAGGCTATATACTGGTCCTCGGGTTTGTTTGAGTTCCAGCGCGTGACGATTGACTTCGAAATCGATTTTCGGAAGACAGTGTGGGCGGAGGGGTGGAAGATTTACTTCTTCCACCGGGTTTTGGATTTCGGCACCTTGACCGCCGAAGAGGGGTACTACGGTGAGAAGCTGGAGTGGGTGCAGTTGAACACGGTTTTGGACAACAACGACTACATTGTGGACTACGGCACCTCGGCCTACTTCCGCGGGCGCTGGTTTCTGCTGAAGATGGAGCGGCTGCTGGACGAGCGGTTGACTGGGCCGGGCACGGGGCAGTACGTGGCTACCATCCGGGAGATCGAGATTTACTTCGACCGGAACCTCGCGCGACTGCATCCGAGCAACCAGACCTACGCGATCGACTACGGTCCGCAGGCGATGTTGGACAAGAACGAGCAGAGCTACTGGAGCAGCCCGCCCTTCACCGGCGTGACGACGGCGGTCGCGATGCTCGAGTTTACTACACTGACGCAGAACATCGCATACACCCGTATCAGCTGGAACCTGAAGGCCTCGGAGTGGTACCTGTACGCGTTCTCCAAAACCTGCGGCGAGTTCCTCGGCCCGACGCCGCCCGCCGGGGCCACGTACGTGGCTGGTGACGTCACGCTGATCACGTCGAAGACGTCGGATTTGAGCAATTACGACGCGGACGTGGTATATTTCCCATACGACGCTCGTTGCGTCATCGTGTACATGATTACCTCGCCCTACCAGGACAAGCAGCTCGTCCAAATCCGCGAGCTTGAGGCTGCGCCGTACAATCCGGAGCAGATTCGGGGCAACACGACGCTGGCGGAGGGCGCGGGCATGACGAACCTCGTCGGGATCGAGAACGAGGGCGTTACCCGGGACCTCGCGTTTGTATTCGACAACGACCTGACGACGTATTTCTTTGCTAGCGCGTTGGGTTACTTCACGATCGATTTCCTCGAGCCGACCGAACTATTTCGTGTGCGCGTCGTGTGGGCGACGGTCGGGGGGACAACCTACTCCCCCGCGGGGTATCAGGTGTCCAATTCCGCAGACGACGGGAGGACCTTCCAGGTGTTGATGAGCGACCCGCTGGTCGCCGCCGGCCCGGACGCCATCATCATTTTTCCTGGAGCCAGGACGGTCACACTCTTTCGCTTCGAGTTCACCACTTTCAACCCGTTTCTGGGCGGGCTCATCGGATTGTCGGAGTTGGAGTTTTTTCCGTCCTCGCCGGTCACGATTGCGAACATTTTCACAAAGCCAGTGATGGAAGCCCCGTTGACCTACACAAACGCGTTTTTCGACAATATCTACGCCCCGGTTCCTTACTACGACCAAACGGCCAAGCCCTTTGCTTGGCAGGACCTGGAGCCGGTGATTCCTTACGACGAGAACGAACTCTACAGCGCAGAGCGGCTGTGCGATGGGGACAAGAGCACCGCCTTTCTGTCCAGCTTCAACAAGGCGTACCCGGGCGGGACAGAAACATTGCGAGTCACGCTGCCCTTTACCCAAACAGAGAGGGTAACTTTTAGTACTGCAATAGTGGCCGCGGCCGAAGATGTGTAGTAGGGGACAACTACGTGGTCATAGGAGTAGCTAGATCCAATATTACGAACTCGAGTACAACTCCTTTCGTTTTTATTCCATCGGGAGCTCAACAGGCAATTTGAAACTTCTGAATGACCGACAGATTGTAAGTCGATGTCCATGTCGTGAACAAAATAATTTTTGTCAGATCGATGTGGTGGTGATCGAGTGGCGGCTTCGGTCGGATACGTTGATCCTCCAGTGCGGGGCGGATGTTCTGAAGACGTTGATCTCGGGGCCCATGATTGCCAATTTGTATCCATGGGACGGCATTGACTACGTCACAAACTGCCCGTCCCTCACCCTCACGCTGGCGATGCCGCGCGACACGTACGCGGACTACAAGATGATTGCCATCCGGGAGGTAAGAGCGTATGAATTCGGAACGCCCTACCCCCTGGCCGCGGTGCACCAGTTCATCCCGACCGTAGCCGGCGTGACCAACTCCGGGGGAGCGAACTTGATTCAAAACAGCAATGATCCGGCGTACTACGCACTGCAGTCCAGCCCGTTGGTGTGGAGTACGAGCGCGATCGTGATCCCCGGTGAGGATGCGTCTATCGCGGTGCAGCGGAAACGCGTGTCACTAGTGTTAGACCTCGGACCGAACACCGAGCAATTCTGGGGGTTGATGATAGATTTCGGAGCAGTTTTCCCTAGCAATATCGACATTTTCGCCAGCTACAACGCGGTCGCCTACAGCGCAGACCCGATCTTTTCGGTCCGCGGAAAAGCGGACGCCACGCCGGAGTACATGTTTGCCGAGTTCAAGGCCCGATATTTGAAATTAGCGTTTCTCGATCCCGGCGCCGCGGAGGTCACCACGACCGTAGGAAATACCACGAGCACCGCATTTCAGACGCTAACAACGTGGGGATTCATTCATTGTTTTTGATGCTTCTATCCTCTGATTGTTCTAACTTTCTTCGAAATCGAATCAGCGAAAGTTTGAGGCCAAAGGCTGCTGTCTTTCTTGCGTCAGCTGTGGCGCTCGTATGCGAAGCTGCAGTGCGGTATAATTTCTCTCTGTACTAGAAGTACTTCTAGACGGGTATGAAAAATATTGCATGCTTCATGTCCCTTGGTGAAAATCAAGATTTTGTTTTCAACGAACGATTTCAGGTACCAACTCCGGAGACTTTTCGTGTACAATTCGCCGAACAAGGCACTGGGCGTGAAGGCCACGTCGAACGAGAAGTTCGAGCACACGTCGGAAATCGCCGTGGACGGCAACCTGAACCGGCCGTGGGTGAACTACCTGGACAGCACGCGCGCGACGCTGATGCTGAACCTGCTCGAGAAGCGGGAAGTAGTCGGGGACCTGTTCATCCGCTGGTGGGTGCCCGCGAAGGACTTCGTGATCGACTACACCGACGCGATTCCCGGGGAGCCCCCGGTCACGGCCAACGCCGTCTGGACGCACTTGGCGACGGTGACAAACAACGTCGACACGCTGACCACCATCGTGAAAGACTTCGAGGCGCAGTACTATCAAATGTAAAAATGTCTGGGTCTGGAAGATTTCAAGACTTGTCATGCATATTTTCCATGACCGGTGACGTCTGTGATGCATGCTGTAGCATCACAGATTTTTAGAGCGCTTTCTGATACCTCTACCGCATGAGAAATGCCCTCTCCGCGTAGCACAAACTGGAGTCCTCTTGCTGTTCATGCAATACAAATTTTTTCAGAATCCACAGACAGCATCACAAGTTTAGAATGTTCCAGACCCAGACATTTTTGCATTTGATAAGTACGTCCGACTCACCATGACCCGGTCCGCGCACTTCGACTTGGCGCAGGGGGTGGCGAACAAGGGCCAAGTGATGTACGCGATCTACGCCGTGGAGATGATGTTTGAGAAGAACGTTGCTCGCGGAAAACTGCTACAAGTGCAGCCGCCGCACGACGGGGCGCCGGAAGTGGACCCCAACCGCTTCGCGATTGCCAACATTTTGGACGACTCGTTGGACCTATGAGAGTGCACAACTCCCCCTCGTTCTCGTGTGTATATGTAAAATACCAATTCATCCACATCTTGCCTTCTGCCACTACTACGCATGACAGGTTCAACATCCCGAAGACGAAACAGCATAAGCATCGGTCGTTAATATTATGCCATGCAAGAAATACAGCTGCATCTTTGCCAGCACTTGCGTTGCTGTGGATGCCATCGATCGATGAGGGCTGGACGAGTGGTGCACTTTGATAGGACACCTTCTGGTTCGGAAACGTCGGCGTGCCGCAAACTATTCTGGAGTTCGATTTGCAGGACTACATCTGGGTCGGCGGCGCGGAGATGCTGTGGCGGTTCTGCCCGGACATTTTGTACTTCCAGGGCTACAATTTAGAGCTGGACAAGTGGTTCAACGTGACGGGGACGTTTTTCAACTTCACCGACCCCAACACGCCCGTGCCGCGGCAGACGCTGTCCACCTACAACCTCGCCATCCACACCGGGTTCCAGGCGAACAAGCTGCGCCTGGTGATCGTGAAGAAGCGGCCGCTGCCGCAGGGGGACTACTGGGCGGCGCTGAAGAACTTCCAGCTGTACAAGCCGGCGGAGCTGATCGCGAACACGCTGACCAACCGCCCGAGCTTTTTGCGGCCCCCACAGGCCAACGTGAAGTCCGGGGGCGGGACGGACACAAATTCGCTGGTGGACGGGTCCGTGATCGGGGCCGTGTGGCAGGCGGAGACGGGCGTCCGAGCCGCCACCATCCAGCTGAACTGGGACAGCGTGGTGCCGGTAGGCCGCATCTACATATACTGGAGCGCGCTGGCGGATGAGTTCCAGATCGACTGTCTCAACCCGGAGGACAAGGTAAACCCCGACTGGGTCACGGTGTACTCCACCAAGGGCAACACCCTCTTCCTCACGCAGCTGGAGCTGTACCGCCAGGTGACCAGCGTCCGCGTCAAGGTGGTAAACAGCTTTTTCGACATCCGGCTGTATGAGATCCGCGTGTGGTATGGATGTGTCAGGTTTGAAATCGTCAAAGTTGAAATAGTTTGTCATGCATAAAATGCAAGGCATGAAGTGCCTGTCTTGCCGGGATGGCAAGTGAGGCCGCGTGTCAGCCTGTTTAGGGTTTGAAGTAGAGCTGCTAAAGGAGCATGACAAAAGCAGTCGTCTGTGCCCAAACAGCATGACAAATTGGATTCCGGTGCTCGGAAAATTTGTCATGCGCCGCTTAGAAATTGGGTTTCCAACTGGTATCCATTTTATGCATGACAAATCGTTTCAACTTTGTCGATTTCAAACCTGACGCTTCCATATGTGGGAGGCCGTGAAGGGCAACAACGAAATCCGGGCGGTATCCTGTGCAAAACTATCGTACTCGTATTGCAATAATGCATTACAAATCCTGTTCTTAAGGGAAATTAGCATTACAAATTTTATTTCTCATGCTAAGGGAATTTGTCATGCATTTATACGAGTACGATACTTTTGCAATTCATAGGCGGTGCAAGAGTGCAAGTTCGGCGCGGTGGTCTGCTCCGGCGCTGATGTCGCGGAGGCTTTCGACGGGACCCGAGTGCGGGCCACGGACCCGGACATCAATACGTTTTGGATGCCAAGGCCAGCGGATTCCGGGATTGAGGCCGTTCTGGACTTGAACCGGGTGTACACCGTCACGGAGCTGAAAATGTACTGGACCTACTACCCCACGCGGCAGGTGTTGTACAGTACGGATTACGACAAGTGGTTCGTGTTTATTACAGGAAAAAGTGTTCTATAATGTTAACGGAACTTGATGGCATGCAGGAATGCACGAGAAATGATGTTTGTATTGCATAGCATGCATGATTATAGCGGTATGATCATTTGGATTTGTCATGCGCGACTGCAATGCCCCAAAACCATTCGCGTTAGCACTTTTTTGTTTGATAGTGTTTCTTTTCCGCCCGGACGCGGTCCTCTTCGGGCTGCAGGAAGCGGAAGTGGGGGTGAAGTTTTTGGTGAAGACCATCGAGATGCGGTACCTGAAGATTTTGATCACGGTGAACTACCTGGACCAGGTGGACGGGCAGCTGGGCACCGGGCTCCGGGACATCCGGATTATCATGGACGGAAATCTCGGTCGGGGGATCCCGGCGACCGCGACCAGTGTGTGGGATTACCCCTTGACCAACGTCGTGGACGGTTCGATGACTACCTACTGGGCCGGGGAGCTGAAGGTATAATTTTGGTATAGGTGAATTTTTACTCATTGTCATCACTTTCAATAGAACGCATGGTTTGGAGAGGACAAGTACACTCTACAGGAAATCCCCTAAGATTCTAGCGATACGACTTAGCTTCTGGAGAATTTTTTTTCAACACCAGCGAAAAATGAACATTAAAACGAAACTTCCCCTTACAGCGAAACGACGCGTACCTGAGCCTGGACCTGCAGTACACACGCAACGTGGCGGGCATGCAGATGACGTTCGGCGACAACTACCCCACGAGTATTTCCGTCTACTACCACGACGCGCAAAACAACCACTACGCGTATGCGATCGAAACGAACACACAGAACAGCAACGTCTTCACGGTGCCTTCCACCACCCACTTCCAGACGCGGTACATCAACATCCGGGTGCGGAACCCGAAGATATACTCCCCAGATCCGGATTTCCCGAACGACGACGGGCGGAACATGCAGCTGCTGCAGATTTACGACATCCAGATCTACGAGCACCGGGGTGGCGGCGGTTTGTTTGGGCTGGAAAACACGAAGACAAAAGAGTACTCCACCATCGCGTTCGCCCAGTTCCAACCCCTGCAGTGGAACGTGGCCTCTGACAGCGGGGCGCGGTCGGACGCGACCTTTGCCACGACCGAGGTGGAGTCGGTCGGCCAGCTGGTGCACGTGGTCACCACGTTTGACCGCGACGGCAACATCGCGATCTACCGGAATGGCGAGCGGTACGGCAACCCGTACACGCGGGCGCCGGCGATCACCTGGGCCCAGGGCTTCGACGACACGCGGTTGGTGTTTGGGGTACGCAGTACCAAGTTCGCAACCGACCGCGGCGTGATCTCCGGGGAGTTTGAGGAATCCAATCTGGGTCGGTCCGCGGACATGGACCCGCTGTCTGCGTTCTTCCATGGCACCATCCACCGTGCGTCGATCATCAAGGGGGCGCTGCTGAACGAGGAGGTGCGTGGGCTGTACATGGGGGTCGAACTCGGGTGCCACTGCTACGACGCCTGTCCGGTGGGGAGTAACCGGTTCTTTCCCCACGTCCCGGTGCCCTGCAGCGGGCAGGGCGCGTGCCGCCGGTCGGCGACGGGCGAACCCTTCGCCCCGGGCACCTGCGACTGCTTACCCGGGTACAGTGGCGACGCCTGCCAGTATCACTGCAGCGAGGTGTCAGAAACGGGCTGCTGCGACGTGGATGACGACTGCCCCTGCGACAAGACCAACGCCGCAGACTGCGCAACGTGCAACACGAAGACAAAGGCCTGCGAGTTCCCCTCCGCGACTAGTGCCTTCCTGCGCTAAAAAGTAGGGTAGCAGGTGTAAGTCTAAGTATCCCGGTGGTTTTTTCAAAAAGTAGTCATGTGTTTTGAGGCAATTGTGGTGGACGAGGAATCATCATTTTCATCAATTTTGACTTAAGCTATTTAATAGCTTAAGTAACAAAAGGGGTAACAAATTCAGACGATTTGTGGTCATCCCACTTTTCACCCGCCCGGCCGGGTGGGTGAAAAGTGGGACAGAACCAGGATCCTGACCGACTGAGCGGATCTTGCTTTTCTCCGTTCGTGTGCGCGCCAATCCGGCTCCGTCCCACTTTTCACCCACCCGGCCGGGCGGGTGAAAAGTGGGATGACCACAAATCGTCTGAATTTGTTACCCCGCTCTAAAAGCAAATGCGATTCACAATAAATTATCGGTTCTTGTTTTCGTAGACACTACGTCGACGATGAGGAGTGCGTAAAGGCCATCATCAAGTTTAATCCGAATATCCTTACCTTGCCGTGGAATGATTATCGTGAAGTTTATTTAGATCACTGAAAAGATCCACTAGAAAAGCCAAAGCGCTCGGGTTTTGTTGAACTCCGGTGGAAGTTTTCTTTTTTCCTTGATACACTGTACAGAAATTTGTGCTGCACTACGTTTCGACTGCTGTCGCTGGTAGCTAGTGGAATCTGTACCTTAGCAATTGTTTTTCTTAATTCGTACAGGACTTTACCTCAGACGCACGAAGGAGATTTCTCGTTACGTTTCGCACGCAACCTCGAAACCTTAATATGCACGCTCTGCTTTCGTCCATGTTCGCACGGAGATGTCCGCTGAGTGAGGTCGTACGTACAGCTGAGAGTCTTCCATTTTCTTCAAAGAATACTAACGATAACAATAAACCGCACTTCGTCCTGCCTTCGTTCTTGGAAAAAGAGAGTTGTAAACGTCAGACGTACTACGCTTCCTTCCCCCCGTCGTGCCTTTTCGTGAATTGTTGACACGGATGAAAGAAGACTGACCCTACGTAACTACCTGATTTTCATCCCAAACCCGTCCTTCCCACCTGTCATACGAAAAAAACTGAATTGACCAAAAGCACCACAGGAATTAGAAAGTCGAATAATCAAGAACCGTAAGGGTCGTACCTGACCAAAGTAGTCCTACTTGTGCCATTGTTCTTCTAGAAATAGAGCGTGAAGTTCCTTTCTGAAGATTGATAGCCTCTTTGTGAACAAACAGAAGTTGATTCAAAAATCCTGTTGTGAAACAAAAACAGATAGGAAGGTATCTTTTTTTTTGGGCTACTATTTCCAAGGGATACTACAGTACTGCATTGGGAACAAAAGAAGTGTCGAATTAACGATCGCACAAGATGCCGCAGCCATACGCATGGCTAAAGCTGAACAACGCGGGGAGCGTGAACGTCTCCCCGCGTGCGGGTCACACCATCACCAGCACCAACTTCGGGTTTATCCTGTATGGTGGTATGGACGGCCGCAGAAACGACCAGGGCAACCCGTCGCCGAACAGCGACCTGTACCTGCTCAAGCTGGTCTCCAAGGGCAACTACGAATGGTCCATGGTAGAGCTGGACCCGGCCTCCGGCATCCCGCCGGCCCGAACCCTGCACTCCGCCACGTGCAACGGCGACGAGGTGGTGATCTTCGGGGGCATCCACTCCGCCACACCCTACCAGTGCCTGAACGACGGGTGGGTGCTGGACACGGAGGCCATGGAGTGGAAGCGCATCCAGTTCAAAGCGTCCCTGGCCGGACAGAAGGGTAGTTACTCCCGCCGTATGACCGGATTAATCCAGGAGCGCCCCATCCCGGCCGCAACGCAGGCGGCAATTCTCGGCCGCCGCGGATCCGCGTCCAAGCTGATGATGGGCAAGGCCGGAAAGCTGGGCTTTTTGGACATCGCCGCTGGTGGTGCTGCCGCCGCTCGGCAGTCCAAGATGTCCGCGGCGCCCGCAGGACCGCAGACGTCGAAAATGTATACTAGTGCTTTTGAGTTTTTTTTTCGCTTCTAGAAACTCGTTTGCAGTAGAATTTGTGTTGCAACACTCCTGTTTTGAATGCTTATGGTTATGTTGGTACTTAGACGATGATAATTGAGAAGGTCGTGTCAGTGTTTAGTTGGTATGCACCATCAAAAGGAAGAAGCTGAGCATCTGCAACTATCGCATTCCAAGAATGCTGAGAAATTTCGTAAACGTTCCAAACGGAAACGCAATTATAGGAAGAGACAACAGACTTCAAAGTCTTGGCGTGACACGCTGAAGGCGAAGATGAATATCGGAGCTGGCGGTGGCGGCGGAGGCAAGGCAGGTATCACCATAAAAGCAAGTAAAAAAGAAAAAGAGGTACTAGAAAACCTCCGCAAAGCGTGGTCAGACGACACCTACCATCGGGGCGGGAGCAACTTTTTTTTCATACCGGGGCCAAACACTCGCATCGCAAACGCGATCGCCACACGACCTTCTCTTGGCTCCAGCGCGTCGCAAATGCGAGCGTCGCTTGGAGGCTTAAATTACCGAACCACGACCTCTCGGCACGTCGCAGACGCGAGCGTTGCCGGGCGGGCTTTTTCTTTCCTTCGCAGACGGCACTGAGTGCACGCTCTGCTTGTCGCTCGTTAGTTGAAAAAAATCTTCCAAAACTCCTCTTCGCTATAGGGGCCTCGCGGGACGCATTGGCGGCAAGTCCACGTGGCAGAGCGTTTTGAAGAGCAAAATGAACCTGGGTGTCCGCACCTCGCACAGCAAAGAAGGTTTGATGAGATACAACACACCTTCGATGTGTTTTCGCATGGTGAAGACAACGGAAAATGCATTCTTGCCTCAATTTCAAAATTGAGTTCGAGAGACATGTAGGATAACGCTCAGTCTATTGGTTTGATCGTTGTCAGTGACTTTTTCGAATGATTAGATGCCAGTATATTCTGTTGAGTTTTTTGTTTGATAGATCAGTCAACATTCAAAGCCCCGTGCGCGAAAAGTAAGAACTTTTTGATGAAAGCCAATTAAACAAAAATCACAACAGCCCAATCCGACGGCCCGGCCGCAAGCGGTTTCCACAGCGACTTAGTCAACGTGGTCAGTCAGGGTTTCGGCAGTGCTATCGACACCTCGGATCAACCCTCCAACGTGCCAACTCAGCGCGCGAACCACACTCTCTCCCTGTTGCAGGAATCCTCCGTGGGTCTCTTCGGTGGTCACGGTGGTAGCGGATACACGAGAAAAGCGTTTAACGATACGTGGATTCTGAACTTGGATAACAACCGGTGGACGCAGCTGGTGTGCCAGGGGAACCCGCCCGCGCCGCGGTCCGGCCACAGCGCGTTCGCGAAGGACAACAGTCTGTTTATCTTCGGCGGCTGGAACAATGACGGCCAGTTTAACGATTTCTTCATGCTGGACGTGGAAAATAAGGACTGGACCGATATGGACCTCAACTGGAGCGTTCCCCGGTGGAACCACTGCATGCAGCTTGTCGAGGCCATCCCGAGTTGGCGGGTCTTCATTTTTGGAGGGTCCGCGGACAGCGCCGGAACGGGCCGAAGTTTAGGTATTTAATAAATGCTTGATACTTCTGGTAGGTCGTTCAGCCGATTTTCCACTCTGTCACAGAACATCATGGAAGATTGCTGTTTCATGTCAACGTGTACGACATGCATCGATTAACATTTTTAATTCTCATCTTGATTGACATCAGATCTAATCCCACTTCTACTTCACCGACTCAGGTATTGTCGACGACACGCTCGGTTGCCTGCTGCTTGCGGACAAGTTTGAGTGGTCCACGCCGGCGTTGGAAAACAAGCCGAGCGACATCAGGGTGCCTCCGCGTGAGCACACGGCGATCTGCTACGACAAGGAGGAGTCGCGGCTGATCCTCTTCGGGGGTTGGGCCAACAAGTGGCTGGACGACGTGTGGCAGATTAACGTGAGCTCCATCGTCGGACCGCCGTACGCGGTGATCGGGATCAAGCCCCACCTCGGGCCGGTCACCGGGGGACAGAAGGTGCAGATCTCCGGTTATCGTAAGGAAAAATCCCCCCTCCCCATACTGAAAAGGTACGTTTCTAAAAATTTGTGATGCTGATTTGAGACCACAAATCCTGCCCCTCATGCAAGAGGGCAAATTCAGAGACTTCGCCACGATATGCAGGCGGTTTGTAATGCCTGAAGGCCTATAGGGCAGACGTCTGCCATGCTAGGCCCCTACACCGAAGGGCCTCCCCTGAGGCTTACGGTCTGCGTGCAGTCCTTTACTGCAAGACAAATGCGATTTGTGTACTCAAATACAGCAACACAAGTCCTCTCGTTTTCGACATGGGGAGGGGGGATTTTTCATTTTGATACCGGTATCGGTTTCAAGTCGACCAACGGCCAGGTGGTGGTCCGGTTCATCACGCCGAAGTTCTACGCCGAGTCGCAGGGCGTGGTGATCGACGACGAGCTGATTGAGTGCAACACGCCGGATGTGGTGGCCACGATCGGCCCGAAGGACTGCGAGGTGCGCCTGGCGATCGGCATCCGGGACTTCACGACGACCATGGTCAAATACAAGTACTTCCTGAACACCATCGCCGAGAAGTCGCTCTGCTACGGTCCGGGTCTGCAGGAGGACCAGCAGGCCGGCACGCCCGACCGCTTCACGATCCAGGCGATCAACGAGCTGGGGGAGAACCGCGCGAGCGGGGCGGACGAGTTTCGCATCACGGTCATGAAGAAGATCCCCATCCTGGAGGAGGGGCAAGAGGTTACGGAGACCACCAAGTACCGGTTCGAGGAGACGCCCTTCGAGTTCGTCGACCACGACACCGGGAAGTACGAGGTCGTGTACACGCCGGAAGAGGGCGACTACAAGATCGAGGTGTATTTGAAGGGGGACAACGACAAGGAGTACCGCATCCGCGGCACGCCCTTCCACGCCTCGGCGGTGGGCGCGGCGAAGAACCGCGCGAACGACTACACGGGCCCGCTGATGGTGAACTTCGTGTCTTATCAAATGCAAAAGTGTCTGGGTCTGGAAGAATGCAACTTGTGGTGCTGCATTTGGATTGCAAAAAAATCTGTATTGCATGAGCAGCAAAGGGAGTGTGATTTTTGCTACGCGGAGAGGGCATTTGTCATGCGGAATAGGCATCAAGACGCCCTCAAAAAATCTGTGATGCTAGGGCACGCATCACAGACATCATGACTCATGCAAAACCTGCATGACATTGACATTGACAAGTCTCAGAATCCTCCAGACCCAGAAATTTTTGCATTTGATACGTCGGGCACCATGAAAGCGCTCGACGAGTACGCGAAGACCACCGACGCCGGGATCCACGCGAAACTAAAGGACGGCGATGTGAAGGGTCTGATCAAGGTGAAGAACCACATCACGGAAACCGCCGACAAGGCGGCGTACCTGCAGCTGAAGCAGGACGAGATTTTCGCAGCCTTGAAGCACATGGAGAAGGAGGGCATCCCGAGTGACAAGCAGTTCAAGCTGCTGAAAAAAATCGGGGATTTGGTCAACGCGCTGCACGAAAGCTGCGCCGTCGTGGCCAAGGACATCGCGCCGCTGGTCCAGCAGGAGAGCGACATCTACCAGAAGAAGATCCACATCTTCGAGGAGGAGTTGAAGAACTACGTGGGGGGCTTGCGCAAAGAAGCCTACTACTTCTACAAGTCCGGGCTGGAGCTGGCGTACGAGCGGTGCGACGCGGTCGACAAGCAGTACAACCAGTTCTACGGGGAGATGGAGTTCCTCTTTCACATTGCGCAGAACTTCGACTACCCGGGTATGCTGAACAATTCGAAGAAGCTGCTCCAGGCGATCAAGGAAGACTCCACCGCCATGCGCTCCCTGTGGGTGTTCGAGCAAATGCGTATCGAGGTGACCGAAGAGTTCTTGAACTCCCGCTTCTTCGAGGTGAAACCCATGGACATGGAGGACGAGATCAAAGGGCTCGGGAAGAAACTCCGTGAGGTTAAGGTGGACCGGAAGTGCGACGCGTTCCTCGGCATTGCCGAAGTGCTCAAAAAGTGGGCTGTCTTCTGTCCCCTGGTGGCAGAATTGCGTGACCCGGTATAATGAGATACAGAGATAGAAGTTGTATTAGTAGAGAGACCGCTCCTGATGCTAGATGCTGTCTGCTGAAATGATATAATTTGGTGGCATAGAATATTTCGTTTTTTGTGTTGATGTGATAAGATGTGTGACTGAGCCGAACAAAACGAATATCGACAAATAATAATATCTTCTCACCACAGGCTATGCGTCAACGTCACTGGACGCAGTTGATGAACTTCACGGGGAAGGCTGTGACGATCGACGCCCGCATCTTGCTTCGCGATATGTGGAACATGGAACTGCACAAGACCCCGGACGCGGTCGAGGAAACCGCGGATCAGGCCAAGCAGGAGGCCAAGATGGAGATCACGCTCGGAAAGCTGAACGCCTCCTGGTCCGTCGTCGAGTTCGGGTTTGATGCCCACAAGGGCACGGACATTATGCTGATGAAAGTGAAGGACGAGGACTTCGAAATGCTGGAGGAGCACCAGGTCGCGGTGCAGAACATGTTCGCGTCACGGTATCTGGCGACGTTCGAGACCGAAGTCGTCGGGTGGCAGAAGACCCTGGCCAACATCGCGGAGGTCAGCAACGTCATGTCCGAGGTGCAGCGGTCCTGGAGTTTCTTGGAGAACTTGTTTATCCACTCTGAGGAGGTGAAGAAGGAACTTCCGGACGAGTCCGAGCGGTTCGTCGGGATCGATATGGACGTCAAGGAGTTGCTCGCCAAGGGGTTCGCGACTAAGCTCGCCAAGGAGTTCTGCAACGAGCCGGGGATGTTCGGCAAGCTGGAAAAGGCGCAGACGCAGCTGACTATGTGCGAGAAAGCTTTGAACGAGTTCATGAACGGCAAACGTCGCGCGTTCCCGCGTTTCTACTTTATGTCCTCCGCGGATTTGCTGGATGTCCTGTCGAACGGAAACAACCCCGCGAAGGTGGTGCCGCAGTTCCCCAAGTTCTTCAACTGCATCAACAGCTACAGGCTGGAGTACCCGGACGGCGAGGGCAAGCGACCGCACGCCGTCGGCATGGACGCGTGCGTCGGTGTCGAGTACGTCGCGTTCCCGGAGCCCTGTCCGCTGGTGGGAAAGGTGGAAATCTACCTTGACAAGTGCATCGAGGCGTTCCGGTACTGTCTTGCTTACTACACCAAGTTCGACATGCAGAAGTACATCGATATGGAGTGCGTGCTCGGGGGCGACAAACGTGCGGCGTGGCTCGTGGACAAGGAAAAGGGTGTGCAGGCCGCGCAGGTGGCTCTGCTCGTCGATTTGATCACGTGGGTGATGCTGGTGGAAGACGGCTTTGACAAGTTCGCGGCGGGCAACAGCAACGGCGTGGTTGCGGCCCGGGATACGCAGGCAAACTTGGTCGTCGACCTGATTAAGATGACCATGGGGGAATTGACCAAGCCGGACCGGACGAAGGTGATGTGCATGATCACGCTGGATGCGCACAATCGTGATGTGCAGGTGAGGCTGGTGAACGACGGCGTCGTGGTTCCGACCGCGTTCCAGTGGCAGAGTATGTTGAAGGGGTACTGGGATACCACCCTCGACGACGCGCGCCTGAAAATCGCCGATGCCGTTTTCCCGTACGGGTACGAGTACCTGGGGAACGGTCCCCGGCTGGTGGTCACCCCGCTCACCGATCGTATCTACGTGACGGCCACCCAGGCGTTGCACTTGTGCATGGGCTGCGCGCCCGCGGGGCCGGCCGGAACCGGGAAGACGGAATCGACGAAGGATTTGGCGAACGCCCTCGCGAAGGCTTGCTACGTGATCAATGCCGCGCCGGAGATGGACTATTTGACCATGGGTAACATCTTCAAGGGTCTCGCCGCCTCTGGTTCCTGGGGGTGCTTCGATGAGTTCAACCGGTTGGTGCCGGAGGTGCTCTCCGTGTGCACGGTCCAGTTTAAGGCGGTGTGCGACGCGGTCAAGGCCCGGTCCAAGCGCTTTATCCTGCAGGGTGATGAGATCAACCTGGACCCGCAGGTCGGTGCCTTTATCACGATGAACCCGGGGTACCTCGGTCGATCCGAGCTGCCGGAGGGTCTTAAGGCGTTGTTCCGCCCGATCACCGTGATGGTGCCCGACTTCCGACTGATCATGGAGAACATGTGTATGGCGGAAGGTTTTACCGAGGCCGGTGCGCTCGGTCTCAAGTTCTCCGTTCTGTACGCGCTGTCCGCGGATCTGCTGTCCAAGTCCAACAAGTACGATTGGGGTATGCGCGCCATCAAGTCGGTGCTCGTGGTCGCCGGTGGTTTTAAGCGTGCGGATCCCTCGCTGCCGGAACAGGCGGTGCTGATGCGCTCGCTGCGTGACACCAACGAGGCCAAGATCGAGGGTGATGACTTGATCATCTTCATGGGTCTGCTGGCGGATCTGTTCCCGGGCATCAACGTGCCGCGTGCGCGCGACTACGCCTTCGAAGACATCATCGTGGCCGCACTGCAGGAGGACTTCGGCTACACCCACGACGAGAACGGCTACCTGCTTTTGAAGATCACCCAGATGGTCGAGTTGCTCGGGATTCGCCACTGCATCTTCTTGATGGGCAATCCGGGTTCTTACAAGTCCGCGCTGTGGAAGATCCTGGCGAAGGCCAAGACCCGGGTGGGCGACAAGACCACCGTGGTGGACTTCTCGCCCAAGGCGATCTCCACGAACGAGCTGTACGGCTACGTGAACATGGCCACGCGCGAGTGGAAGGACGGAATTTTCTCCAAGACCATGCGCGACCTGGGGCAGATTCCGGACACGCAGCCCAAGTGGATCATTTTGGACGGCGACTTGGACGCAAACTGGATTGAATCCATGAACAGTACCATGGACGACAACCGTCTGCTCACCCTGCCCTCCAACGAGCGCATTCCGTTGAAGCTGCACATGAAACTCATCTTCGAGATCCGTGACTTGAACTACGCCACGCCGGCCACCGCGACCCGCGCGGGTATCGTGTGTATGAGCGACGTGGACGGCGTGCAGTGGCGGTCCTACGTGAACTCCTGGATCCAGAAGCTGGACAATACCTGGACGCCGGCGCTGAAGGACCAGCTGCGCAAGTACTGGGAGAAGTACCTCCCGGACAGTCTGATGTTCCTGAAGAAGCAGGCCAAGATCCAGGTCCCGCTGTTCGACATCTCGCCGGTGATGATCATTTGCAGTTTGATCGACTCTTTGGTGAAGCGGCAGGACCAGTTCGACTCCCTGGAGTACTGGTTCGTGTTCTGCTGCGTGTTCGCGATTGGCGGCTGCCTGTCCGAGGTGGACGGGGTGGACTACCGCAAGGCGTTCTCCACCTGGTGGAAGAACGAGATGAAGACCATCAAGTACCCGTCCAAGGGCACGGTCTTCGACTACTTCATCCAGGACGCGCGGCTGCAGGAGTGGGGCAGTATTCTGGAGTCGATCGACTACGACAGCAACACGCCGATGGGCTCGGTCACCGTGCCCACGACCGAGACGATCGCGCTCTCGTACGTGATGAAAGCCTTGATCGACGTGAAGTGCGCTATCATGCTGATCGGACTGGCCGGTGGCGGTAAGACGCAGGCGTGCAACGGTCTGCTCAAGTCGCTGGACCCGGAGTTCTTCTGCTCGCACAGCATCAACATGAACTTCTACACCGATTCCACGCTGTTGCAAGCCATGATGGAGATTCCGCTGGAGAAGAAGGCCGGACGTTTGTACGCCCCGCCGGGGAAGCTGCACATGATCTACTTCATTGACGATTTGAACATGCCGGCCTTGGACCCGTACAACACGCAGACATCCATCGAGTTGATGCGGCAAAAGCAGGACTACAACCACTGGTACGACCGGGCGAAGATCACGCTGAAGGATATTGGGAACACCTCCTACCTGTGCTGCATGAACCCCACCGCGGGTTCGTTTATCATCAACCAGCGCCTGCAGCGGCACTTCTGGACGGCTGCGGTGCCCTTCCCCGAACAGAGCGCGTTGACGACGATCTACACGACCTTCATGAAGGGGCACTACGAGAAACTGCCGTTTAAATCTTCCGTCACCGAGGTGATCACCTCGATCATCAAGGGCGCGTTGTCTCTGCACTCCCAGGTGTCCTCCACCTTCCGCAAGACCGCCGCGAACTTCCATTACGAGTTCAACATTCGGCACTTGGCGGGCGTGTTCGATGGCATGCTGTCCGCGAAGCCGACGGAGTTCACGGACGCGGAAAAGTTGGTGCTTTTGTGGCTGCACGAGTCGGAGCGCGTGTACGGGGATCGCCTGGTGTCCGTCACTGACTTAAAGAAGTACCGCGCGCTGGCCGCGGAATTGTCGAAGAAGATGTTCAACAAGTACAACTTTACCAAGTACTTCCAGGAGAAGAACCCGGAAATCCTCGTTTTCGTCCCCTTCTCCCAGGGGTTGGAGCGCATGGAGGAGGGCGTCATCTACGACAAGCTGAACGGCGTCGCGGTGTGCTCGCAGCTGCTGAACGCTGCTTTAGACCAGTACAACGAGAACAACGCGTCGATGGACCTCGTCCTGTTTGAGGACGCCATGAAGCACGTGGCGAAGATCACCCGTATCATCACGAAGCCCTCCGGCCACCCGCTGCTGGTCGGTGTCGGTGGGTCTGGGCGTCAGTCGCTCTCCCGCTTGTCGGCCTACGTGTGCCTGTGCACGACGATGATGATCGTGATCTCGGGGCAGTACGGGATGAACGATTTGAAGACGGATCTGCAGGTGATGTACCAGAAGGCCGGCGTGAAGGACGAGGGCGTCATGTTCCTGTTCACCGACGGACAGATCACGAACGAGAAGTTCCTCGTGTACATCAACGACTTGCTGTCGTCCGGGGAGATCGCGGACCTGTATGCGACGGAGGACAAAGACGCGATCAGGAATGGTGTGCGCTCCGGCTGCAAAGCGTCGGGGATCCCGGACACGCCAGACAACCTGTGGGCGTTCTTCATCTCCCGGATCAAGAAGAACCTGCACATGTCGCTGTGCTTCTCGCCCGTCGGCGAGGGCATGCGCAACCGGGCGCGCAAGTTCCCGGGTCTGGTGAACTGCACCGTGATCGACTGGTTCCAGCCCTGGCCCGCAGACGCGCTGTTCGACGTGGGGATCAAATTTTTGGCCCCCATCGAGGAGCTCGGGGAAGAGGACTCCGCTACCCGGCTGGGCATCAACGAGTTCTTCCCCGCGTCCTTCGGCATCTGTGGCGAGTTCTCGCAGCGCTACATCGACTTCGAGAAGCGGTTTGCGTACTCCACGCCCAAGTCCTTCCTGGAGTTTATCAAGCTCTACGCCGCGAAGGTCGGCGGCGCGGTGTCCGGCCTGCTGGACAAGCGCGAGCGGTTGACCAACGGTCTGACCAAACTGCAGGAGACGCAGGTGTCCGTGGCCGCGCTGGAGGAGGACCTGAAGGTGAAGGCGGTGTTCGTGAAGGAGAAGGCCGACGCCGCGGACAAGTTCGCGACCGAGGTCGGTATCGAGAAGGCCAACGTGAACGAGGAGACCGAGAAGGCGAACTTGGAGGCTGCCAAGTGCGACAAGATCGCGAAGGAGGTGTCGATCCAGGCGGCGTCTTGCGAACGCGACCTGGCTGCCGCCGGGCCGCTGGTCGCCCAGGCTGAGGCGGCGCTGGACGTGCTGAATAAGAAGGACTTCCAGGAGTTGAAGGCCCTCGGTAAGCCGCCCGGCGGTGTCGACGTGGTTTGCGAGTGCGCGATGCACCTGCAGGCGGGTATCAACCCGGATATCGAGATCGACAAGAAGGGAAAGATCAAGGACGGCAGCTGGAAGGGCGCGCAGAAGATGATGAACAACCCGGAGAAGTTCTTGGAGGCGCTGAAGGCGTTCAAGCCGGCCATTGATGACAGTCTGGTGCCGCAGCAGAACATTGACTTTGCGAAAAAGTGCATGGCCTCGATCGGGGATGACTTCACGCCGGAGGTGATGCGAAAGAAATCTTTGGCTGCAGCCGGTTTGTGCGAGTGGATCGTCAACATTGTGATGTACTACGAGGTGGTCGTGCAGGTCGAACCCAAGAAGCAGGCACTGCGCGAGGCGAACGCGACACTCAAAAACGCTTCCGACCAGCTGGCGGCCGTGAACGCGCTGGTTGCGGACCTGGAAGCCAAGCTGGCAAAGCTGATGAAGGAGTTCGACACCGCCATGGCGGACAAGGCGGCGGTGATGGCCGAGGCCAAGAAGTGCGAGGACAAACTGAACATGGCCCAGCGATTGATCAACGCGTTGGCAGCCAACGGTGTCATCTGGGAACAAACCGTGCTCACGGTGGAGGAGGACTTGGAGATCATGCCCGGGGAGGTGTTGGTCTCCTGCGCGTTCGCGTCCTACCTCGGGGTGTTCACGCGCGAGTACCGCGAGGGCGCGACCAAGCGCTTCGTCGACTTCCTGAAGGCGAAGAACGTACCGATGGGCAAGACCACGGATCCGCTCAAGCTGCTCGCGACGGACGCGGTGATCGCGGGCTGGGCCACGCAGGGCCTGCCGTCCGATCGCGTGTCGTCCGAGAACGGTGCGATCATGACAAACTCCCAGCGCTGGTGCCTGATCATCGACCCGCAGCTGCAGGGGATTTTGTGGATTAAGAACAAGGAGTCCGGCAACAATCTGCAGGTCACCCGCATGGGCCACCCGAAGATGGTGCAGACGTTCGAGGTTTCGCTCGACACCGGGAAGTCAGTCATCATCGAGAACATGGGTGAGGGCGTCGACGCGGTGCTGCAGCCGGTGATCGCGCGCAACACGATCAAGCGCGGCAAGTCCCGCGTGATCAAATTGGGGGATAAGGAGATCAACTTCCATGCGCAGTTCAAGCTGTTCATGCAGACGAAGCTGGCCAACCCGCACTACCCGCCCGAGATCCACGCCGAGTGTACGCTGATCAACTTCACCGTGACCGAAGCCGGTCTGGAGGACCAGCTGCTCTTCCTGGTCGTGAAGCTCGAGCGCCCGGATCTGGCCCGGTTGAAGGCCACCCTGGTCGCGCAGCAGAACGAGTTCAAGGTGAAACTGGCCGAGCTCGAGGCGCTCCTGCTGGAGAAGCTCGCCGCGTCGGAGGGGGACATCCTCGAGGACGTGGACCTGATCTTGACCCTGGAGGACGCCAAGAAGACGTCCGACGAGGTGAAGGAGAAGTTCGCGATCGCCATCGACACCGAAGCCAAGATCAACGAGATCTCCGAGAACTACCGCCCCACCGCGCAGAAGGGCGCGCTGTTCTTCTTCTTGCTGATGGACCTGCGCAAGATCCACTCCTTCTACAAGTACTCGCTCGACGCTTTTGTCGTTGTGGTCACGCGTGCGATCTCCTCCGTCCTGCTTCGCAAGCCGAAGGCGGAGCCCGTGGCCGCGGTCGCGGCCGGGGGTGGGGAGGACGACGAGGAGGACATGGAACTCGATGACGAGCCGGCGCCGGTCGAGGAGGTCAAGGAAGAGGACGAGGACGAGGGCGTGATCGAGTTGAGTGGCAAAGAGCTCGTGGAGCGCGTGCACTTGCTCTCCGGCATCGTCACCTCGTTTGCCTTCAGCTACACCCGCCGTGGGTTGCTCGACGTCGATAAGCTCACCATCGCGACCATGCTCGCGATGCGCATCGGCGTGCTGACCAAGGCGACGACTCGCGAGGAGGTCGACATTCTGATTCGTGCGCCCCCAGACCCGAACGCCAAGCCGATCCCGGAATCCGCCCGGTCCTGGTTGACCGACGGGATCTGGGCTCAGTTGCAGATGTTGGAGTCCCTGGCTGTGTTCAAGTCCGTGAACGGGGCGCTGACCCAGAACATGGAACAGGATTCGCTCGGGTGGCGCCGCTGGTACGGCGAGGCGCGCGCGGAGTCGGCCGACTTGCCGCGCTCCTTCCGCGACATTTCCCCGTTCTACCGCCTTTTGCTGCTCCGTGTCTTGCGTCCGGATCGGTTGTCCGCCGCGCTAACGCAGTACGTGCACGACAATCTTGGGAACGACTTCGTAGAACAGGAGCCCTTATCCTGTGCAAAAGTATCGTACTCGTATAAATGCAAGTATTGCATTACAAATCTTTTTTTAAAGGCAAATCCGCATTACAAATTTTATCTCTCATGCTGAGGAAATTTGTCATGCATTCATACGAGTACGATACTTTTGCACTGCATAGCCCTTCAACATGGAGTCCACGTACGAAGAATCATCCTGCTACTCGCCGTTCTTCTTTGTGCTCTTCCCGGGTACGGACCCGACCCCGACCATCGAGGCGCTGGGCCGCAAGTTGGGCGTCACGGAAGCGAATGGTAAACTGGTCAACATCTCCATGGGACAGGGTCAGGAGAACGTCGCCATCAACGCCTTAAACAAGTCCGCCAAAGAGGGTGGATGGTATCACAGGAGAATTTTTTTTTAAATTCGATTGAATGGCGATGCATCGCATTTCTTCATCTTTTCGTATACTAAGTAAACGAAGTTCTTCCACGACAACCACAGCCTACGCGCTAGTACCCACTTATCTTTCTAAGTTTCTGATATTCGCCTTCACGTGCAATGAAATTCATGATGATAACTAAACTAAAACCATGAACAAAAACAGGGTGATGCTTCAGAACATTCACTTGATGCAGAACTGGTTAAAGGCCTTGGAGCGTCAGCTGGAGATCGTCGAAGAATTCGCCGCACCGGACTTCCGTTGCTTCCTGACCTCCGAACCGCCATCAGCGCTGTACGGGCCCCTGCAAGAGTTGTGCCCAGAGTCCATTCTGCAGAAATGCATCAAGATCGCCGATGAGGCCCCGTCTGACGTCAAGAGCAATTTGAGAAGGTAAGTACTACAACTGCGATATTTGGACTAGCAACAAGTTTGATCGAGATATAATCTGAAAGTTTGAGTACCATGCTTGTTTCCCCGGAATCTTACAATTTGCAAGACTTGGCGCTTTTTTTGATGGATTATCATGTAGAAGCTGCATACAGTAACTACTCCTGCATCAAAGCAAAAGCATTGCTATCGCACCAAAAAAAAAAATAACAGGGCCTGGTCGAAGTTCTCTCAGGATACGATCGATGCGTGCCTGAAGCCGCGTGAGTTCAAGTCTTGCTTGTTTGCGCTGTGCTTCTTCCACGCGCTGATTTCCGGTCGTATCAAGTTTGGCGCCCAAGGCTGGTCGCGTAAGTACCCGTTCAATGATGGGGATTTGACCATCTCCGCCACGGTGCACCGGAACTACATGAACGCCGCGCACCACCAGGAGAACGACGTGCCATGGCCGGATCTTCGCTACATTACCGGTGAAATCATGTATGGTGGGCACATTACCGATCCCTGGGATCGACGCGTGAACAACACGTACTTGGCCGTGCTGGTGATCCCCGATTTGCTGAACGGTATGAATCTGGCTCCGGGCTTCAAGTCACCGGACTCAAGCAAGATGGACTACATGGGGTACATCAAGTACATCGAAGAGAAATTCCCCGCGGAGTCTCCATCCCTGTACGGCATGCACGCGAACGCCGAGATCGGGTACTTATTATTTTGCTACATGGTCAGTCACAGTCTCTCACAACTCTCTGCAGCTTGCACATGCCTTTCCATGGTTCGTCGTGTTTTCCGCAACATGAACATAGCATAACATTCACAGGGTCCTATTTTCTCTTTCGGAGCCTCTTTCATCAAAATTCTGTGTTGAAATAAAACCAGACGTGATCAATCTAAATCGCATTTGTGATGAACAATACAGCTACCTGACCGATTCTGGTGTGAAGATCTTCAAGACCATGATGGCGACCGCTGGTGGTTCCGGAGGCGGTGGCGGTGGCGATCTGGGCAGCGTCAGCCCACTGATTGCGGCGTTTCTCGAGGTGAGTGAAAATCTACTGTGCATTCTTATTTTCAGTGTCATTTTCTAAAAACCGACTACGCGATTTTTACTGGCACTAGGGAAAAGAAACTACATCCCCAAGTATTAATACCGCAAGAATCTTCTAGATCTGAATTTTGTTCATCTTTCCGAAACCAAATCAGGCTTGCCCGGTGCCGGTCGACATGATGGAAGTGCGTGCCAAATGCCCACCAGAATTGCGATCCGATCCGTACGTGATCGTGTCCTTCCAGGAATCCGACCGAATGAACATTTTGTTGAGCGAGATCAAGCGTTCGCTGCTCGAGTTGGAGCTCGGTATTTCCGGCGCACTCAACGTGACGGAAAAGATGGAGGCGCTCGCGGGCTGCCTGAACCTGAACAAGGTAGAAGTTGTGAATAGCATGACATTAGTCCTGCTCTTGTTTTTGAGGCTGCTTTGTCCTCAGCTAGACCTCAAATTATAAAGTGATAGGATCAACAGCACATCGTCGTCGAGCGGTTGTTCCAGCTAAGCGAAAATTTGAAAAAAATTTTATCAGGTGTACGCCGGTTGGGAGAAGCTTGCGTACCCGTCGCTGAAGTCCCTGGGTGTGTGGATGCCCGACTTGGTTCTCCGCGTGCAACAGCTGTACAGCTGGACGGACAACATCAACCTGCTCCGCTCCACGTGGTTGCCCGGGCTGTTCAACCCCAACAGTTTCTTGACGGCGATCAAGCAGGTGACCGCGCGTCAAAAAGGATTGCCCTTGGACTTCATGGTCAACCGTTCCTTTGTTACCAACTGGCACGAAGTCGGCGACCTCCCCGCCATGGCGCCGTGCGGCGGAACCTTCCTTCACGGAATGTTCATGGAAGGCGCTAGTTGGGAAGAAGGTAGAAGTAGATACTTATTTGCTACACATTTTCTGCATTTAATATTCACGTACTGATACTGCGAATAAGAAGTAGAGTTCGTTGTGTGCATTTTTGCATGCTGCTGCACAGAACAATACAAAAGAATTATTTATTTTCGTTATGCGTTTGAATGGCTTTCACTTTCTCTTTGCAACACAGGTAAGGGTGGCGATGAAGGTTACATCACCGACAGTAAGATGAAGGAGCTCCGCGCCGTGATGCCGGTGGTGAACTGCTATGCTCTGGTTTCGGAGGAAATGAGCTGGGACAGCATGTACCACTGCCCCGTGTTTATCACCTCGCTCCGTGGCGCTACCTTCGTTTACCAGGCAAACATGCGCATGGACGCGGACGACAACGAGGCCCGCTGGGTCCTCGCCGGTGCCGCCATGCTTCTCACGGAAGAGTAAGGGTACAAAGCGGATCTGAGGCTGATATGTTGTGCAGGTAGTTATGTTTGCGAACTTTCAAAACCTTCTTTGAATACTTGTCCCGCCCATAGCGGTCCAGAATCAGACAAAAAATTATCTTTCAGTTTATCACAGGTAAAAAAGGTTTCAGAACTTCTTCTTCCGATCGCATGTACGAAAATCAGACTACATCAAAATTATTGCGCAGTAATAATAAAGCAGAGTTTCGAGTATAGGTTTACAGTAATCAGACACCAGAGCAAAAAATCAGTTTACAGACAGACAGAATCAGAAAAACATCATGCACCCTTTGTTGGTGAACAGAACTTGAGGTGGTTATACTTCTTGAATCAGACAGGTTTCGGCTGTATCTTTTCTTATTTTATCACAAAAAAGTTTGCAGAATCAGGTTTCGTACAGTATCAGTACTTTTCAAGATAATAGAAAGTCAGACATTTTGTTTCGAACGAAAATAAAGTTTCCTCCCCTGGTGAGGCGCCACTTCGTCTGGGGTCTCTTGGAGGATTGTAACTTTTATCTCTAAAAACGCTGCTTGTGACAAGACTGGGCCACTCTTCACATGGTATAGCATGGGATTGTCGTTACATTGCGGTCGTCGCAAAATAAACTCATGAAGATCTGTGTCTTCGGCTGCGGGTGCACGGCAGGAAGTAGAGCTTTTGTTTCTTTCTATTGTCACAGGTTTACTACACAGAACTAAAATGCACAGAATCTTCTACCATGCAGTTGCAGAGGAAACTATCTAAAACGTACAACCTGCGGAATATGTTTTAGAAAAATGCGAGGAAGAAGATCAAGGAAGAAAGCTGTGCGACCTATCGCTGTCGTAGCGGATATGACAATGTCTAAAGCTGTTTCCATAGCGCTTGTCAGACTGTTCACTTTCCTGCTTGTTTGTCTCGTTTTTCAGGTCGTGGTTTCTAGGTTTTGCGTCAGTTATTTGTGAGGACTATCAGGCGCCTGGCATCGCCGGTGAACTGAAATCTCTGCAATTTTCGTTTCATGGATCGTCTTTCAACATTGCTTTCTATGACCGACTCGGAGCGGAACACGGTGGCACGGTTAAAATTAGTAGTAAGTAATCTGGTGACCCTTGTTTCCCAGCACCTAATGCGGTACTCTGCAACTTTTATTCACACCCCGACCCCTAGAAGAGGATGGCATCCGCGCTTACGAACAGCTTGCACGTACTACATATTGGATTGACAGCGAGTGTCTACCTCTTGGTGCTCACCCCCCAGTTGGTATAGGTCCAATCGTACTAAATGTTGCAAATGGCCTAGTGGGTGCTGTGAGTAACTAATCTACTCGATGAAGACAGACCATGAGCAACATGAACGGGAGCGCGTCGATGTATCCAATGCAGCCACCAGTCGGGTTTCCGGGAAACCTCACTCCAGCGCAGTCACAAGTGCTCGAGGAGGTGCGGCGGCGCTTTGCCGTACAGGCAACGGTCGACGCAGCATTTGGTATCAATCGGTTTGGTTTTGCCTGGAGTTTTATGTTTCCTCAAGAGAAAAAGATTGTTCAATGTGGCCTACGTCAATGATGAAATTCATGCTGGTTCACATGGTAGAACTGCTGCACTCATTCTTAAGGTCGAAATACGAAAACGAACCACCTCACAGGAAACACGATGGTGCTATTGAAGTTTTGTCGCGCGCGCGACTTCAACTTGGAGAAGGTAACTGACCTGTTGAACCGTCATTTTCAATGGCGCACGAAGCCATTATTTCCGAATCCAAGCGCGAAGATGGGGGCGCTGAGCGCAGTTCCGGTGTTTCAGCTGCACGTTTCAGGTGCTAGTGCGAGCATCCAGGCCCGTATCCCACAGCTGAACAAATACTACCCGACGGGGTAAGGCGGAATGAAGTCGTGTTGTTCTGTTTGAAAAGCAAAAATAACCATTACCGACGTGCTGGAGAGGATTTGTTTTTAATTGGTTCCCTTGGCGTGGGTCTCTCTGACGCTGACCGTTGCCGATTGCAAATAAAGGGGCGTAGTTTAAAGCACAATAGATCTGCCACTACCTCCTCCTCGAACTTCTTCAGGTACCACGGTACGACCAAGACAGGTATGCCTCTGTACATCGACTGCGTGGGAAAAATCGACGCGGGCGGGTTGTTTTCCGTTGCCACGGAAGAGGAGATCATCGAGTATTTCATTTCAGAGTGCGAGCGCCGGGACTGCATCCGCTTCCCGTGCTGCTCCCTGGCGGCGGGACGCCTGATCGAAAGCTCCGTGGCCGTCATCGATCTGTCCGGACTATCTTTCCGCCTGGTCACGCACGCCATGATTCGGAAGCTGATCAAGTTTCTGTCCGCGATAAATCAGGACCACTACCCCGAGACCCTCCACCGCATGTTCATCGTCAATGCGCCGCGGGTGTTTTCTCTAGCTTGGAGCTTTGTGAAGCCCTTGCTGGATGAAAAAACTCTGGAGAAGATTTCAATCTACGGAAGCGGTAAGTAGTGAAGACGAAGCTTCGTTGATCGTGCGCATTGATTCTTCTTGAAGTAGATCTTGGCACAACGAGATTCCGTTGCTCGCACTACCTTTGCAGCCAGCGAATTTTTAAGCAACGGAAGTTCTGCCGCTGAGTCTTATTTGGCACTGCGGTACTACTTACCCTTACGCGAACGACAGGTATATAACTGAGAATCAAGCAAATTTTTCTGTCAAAAATCATCCAGATTTCTACCCGGCGCTATGTGAGATTGTGGACGAAGAGAACATACCGAAGTTTCTTGGGGGGAAGCATGGTGACGGGGTTGACCGCGGTTTGGCCGACATCGGCCCTTGGAATCGCCCCGAACTGGTTCGTGTGCTATCATTTGTAAAAACGTCCCCACCCCAGAGTCAAAATGGGGATTTTGCAACACAAACCTGAAAGTTTTGGGAGCCACGCATGACAAGTTGCAGGCTGTAGTGTAATGCAGTTTAGCAAGGGAAGCCGCATAACAAATCCATCTCCTTGTCCTGTTGACAGCATTACAACTTCCAAAACACGATGGGAAATGCCTCTCATGGGGATGCGCATTACAAATGCTCTTGTGCTTGCAGATCTGCATGACAACTATGGGGTGGGGACGTTTTTACTCAGGATATGTCCTGCAAGAACACCACTGGACGGAAGTGCAGAGTGCGGCCTTCCTATCCAGGTTTGTGCAGGACCAACAGCAGCAACAAGCTGTCGAGATCGATAGGCCCGAGTCCCGCACGAGTCTGGAATCGAAACTGACCGCGGCCAGCGCCAGCTCCACCGCCGCAGGCAGCGCGACGGCACTCAGCTCCTCCCGAACGGTGGCGGAAGTAGAGGTGCAGCAGCAGCAACAGCACAGTACTAGCGCAGTACTTGCTCCAACGCAGCGAGTTGTGCAGTCTCCATCGTCCGCAATAAATGGCAGCCAGAATCCGCCGCACACGCCGCCACCGCTGCTGCCGGTGCCCACTCTGGAAGACGAAGTGTTGGCTTATTCAGGTGGTGGGGCCGCGAGCGTGCCAATCGGTAGTTCGCAGCCAGGTAGCGTCGGACCGGTGCCCTTGCCCTCGTACCGGATGGGCGGATCGGGCACTGCTCTTGTCACGACGAATGCAAAATCCACATCAACAGCTTCCAGTTCTTCGTCAAGCGAAGAGACCAGTAGGCAGAAAAATAACGACATGCTCTCGAAGAATCTTCTGGACGCCTACCGAGCGGCAGACCCCGCGGCGCAGCAGATGCAGCAGCCCGGTTTGAGCAGCGTCGGAGGTCCTCTTCAACAAGCGTCTAGTAGCTCGACCCCTGCTGTTCCCCCTCCACCACCGCCCCCTCCGCCCGACCCAACGCGCGAAAGCACCAGCGGAAGCAGTCGGCCCACGGTCCAGACCTCGTTCGAGAGCGGCTCCGTGGAGGAAAACGACGTGGATCACTTGTTGCAAGACATCATCGCGGGCGAGTCGCCGAATGGGTTTCGGTCCCTCACCTACTCGCATGTGGACGTCGCGGCGAACAAAGCCGCCGCTGCAGCTGCGTCCTCCAGCTCCGCTTCCACGCCGGTGCAGCCACACGCGTCGTCGAGTAGCGGCCCCAGTCGGAGTAGCAGCAGCTACGCCTCGCCCGTCCCGGCGCACTTGCAGCAACGGAATAAAATGGAGATTGACACGGCGCTGTCCCCCCGCACGAGCCAGTTGCAGCAGGGCTACACGTCGGATTCCGCAGCCTACCACAGCGACTACGGGAGCGCGAGCGACGGCGCGTGGGCTTCCGCAAGAGGCGAATCGTCTGACACGAGTAGTCTGACGCCCTCCTCAGAGCGCGACGACATTTTGGATGACTGGCGCAACGCGAACAACATGCGCATCGGAAGGAAAAGCGGAAACACACCGATAGCAACCTCGCCGCTGTACTGTCCGCCCAGCGACCTGGCAGATCTGAACAACAAGTATGTGATGCCAGGCACGATTCAGACGGGTACTGCTGCAAGCGGTGCAACAATTTCGACCGGAGGTCCGGTTTTGCTCGGTAGAGCAGGCGATGTTGGCACCACTTCGAAGCAGTCCCTTGGCACCTCCAGTAGCGGGCCGTCGCGCCACGGAAGCAAGCAGCGGTCGGAAGGCGAGTCCGAGCCAGGAATAGAAAGAGGGTCTACGATAATATCGGGGGAACAAAATCCAGCCCCGGAGCAGGTGCCGCCAGCCGCTTCCGGTCACGAACTCCTGCTACAGGAGTTTGACGTGCTGCTAATGGAGCTCGCGAACCTGGAGTCCCGGCACATGGAGACGCTGCGGGCGTGGGGCCACACGCAGACCCTGCTCGCGCAGGAGATCTCCGAGCACGCGGTGGAGCGCGCGGCGAAGTACTACGACGCGTTCTTCGCGCGAAAAGACGCGCAGGACGAGGTGTCCGCGCTCACGCACGAGTTCCAGCAAGTGTCGCAGGCGTTGGACGCGCGCAAAAACGAGGCGGACCGGTTACGAAAGCGGCTACAAAAGCTCGACATATACGACCAGGATCTACTACTGCGAAGATCAGGAAATCACAGCTCGTCCTATAACAGCTACGCCGCGAGCGGGCAGCCACAGGACGGCACCACGACGGCACCACCGCTGCTGTCCACCAGCCCGGGCGGCACCTACTTTGGCCCCGGGGAGGAGCAGAAGCAGCTGATGCTCACCCTCCAAGAGCTGCTGGACGGCCAGCAGCGCTACGTGTCGCGGGGGTTGCAGATCGAGGAGCAGTTGCGGACCGCTTTGGCGGAGTTGAAGGTCAATCAGGAGCGGTTCGATGTTTTGTCCAAGGATCACTGGTACTGCTCCTGGAACTGCTCTGTGGTGCGCGCGAAGAAGTACTACCATACGAAGCACGAGCACGAGAAGATTGTGGAGTCGGAGATGCGCCAGATTGAGTCGGTGCACAAGCGACTGCGCGCGGTGCAGATTTTGCGCAAGCGCGCCCAACTCACGGATCAGCAGGGGGTGGCGAAGCCCTGGCCCACGGTGGAGTCCCGCGAGGGCATGGAAAAGAAATTGTTCGAGATCGAAAGTCTGCTCGGGCCAAAACGAAATCGAAACGAGGAGGAGTTCTGGTCCTGTGATGACCTTTAAGCACTGTGGCTGACTCGACGACGCTGCGGCTGCACTTGCTTCCGCTCGAGAGTCATCGGTCGGTGGTATTACACACTCGTATCGCCTGATCATGTTCTGCTAATGTTGGCAACGTCGGCATTCACCGTTGATGTCGCTGACTGTAACTGTTTTGCATTTATTCGCTATGTCGAATAGAGGGACGTTCTTAGTTGGCGGTAGAAGGAAAATAAACCCATCGGAGAAGAGCGTAGATGTTGGATCGTGTGACGAGTGTGCTAGAGACAGAGTGCAAAAGAATCTCAAGAACTACGATTGTGCGTTGTCGAGTTGTTTCAGGCTTTCTGCTGTGGCTTTTCCGATATCCACCGTTTCGTACTTGGCCACGTTCATTCTTGGTCTTCAACAATTCATTATAATTCACCAAAAATAGGCACACGGCGGTAGTTCTGACCATTCAAAATATTTTTCGTTTCTCTTTTCGAATTGCTCACTTGGTTTCATCGTTGTCACACAAGACTTGTTTCTCTATGATTTGGAAGTTTATTTCTGTATAATGTGACAAAGGTTTTGCCCACCTCATGTAAAAAAATGTAAAGTCTGAAGATTAAATGGATTTTTCCCTCGCTTGCTAGCAAAGACGATCAGCAACGCTATGCCGAGTTTCTGCCGTGGAGCTGAAAAATGAGCAGATGACCTAAAACAACTTTTTCTCTCCGTCGTGTGCCGCGGCTTCGAAGAAAAGCTAAAGATAGTGTGAGAAAGTGGAGGAGTAGTTTTCTCGCCTGGGCAGGCCGCGTGGAGTAGACTGCGCCGCCGGTGGAAAATAGAAAACGCACGAAAAAAGCAGGTGCTGCTACTTGAGTCCTTCTATCAAGGCCCGGGCGCTTCAGGATGCTCGCAAGTCGCGCGAGCTCGGCCGATCTGCGGAGGAAAAAGGTCGTGGAGGAGAAGTGCCAGGATGTGTGGCAGCAGAAGCAGCGTGCGCAGGGGTTCCGGCTCATGGACGCGTACGACTATGAGCAGGGGATCTCGCTCTGGGCACCCTCTGAAGAAGATAACCCGGTGAAAAAATGCACTGCGTTTTTGAAGCACTGTGTGGACACTGGCGCGGCACTGCGTCCCCCGACTACGGTCTTGAGGTATGTACTACGTGGGTGGTTCTGCATTCAGCGTTTTCTTTTTGTGCAGGTACTTTTTTCTCCTCAGTGCGTATTCGTGGTTCTAGGTTGCTATGTTAACTGTTCTGACTGATTCAGCATCAATCTCTACAGATACGAATACGGAAACGCGAGCACCCGCGGGAAGAGCCGTTTGACGCAGATCCTGGATAGGAAGCCAAAGTCTACGTTTGGAGTAATCGACCCAAATTGTGAGCCGCACCCGCCGACCTACTCGCCTTTCGGCTGGCGAGACCCGTACCCGAATCCGCAAGCGGAGCCGCTCGACTACGAGCTTTCGGAAGCGCCTCCGAAGAAACCGGGCTTTTTCTACACATACGGTCGCGGGATCGGGCCACACCTACAAGAGCCGATCCTGCGAGCACCGCAGCCGCTAGCCTACCGCAAGACGCCAGCAACGTATTACGACAAACCCGAGGGGCTTGTGTCCCAGTACCACATTGACGGAGTGCCGAACAAATCGTGGTACCCCAAGCGGCCACACACAAGTACCATGCATATTACCGACAAAAATTCTATGTTTTATTCGCAACTACAATCGTCGAAAATGATCACTACACTTGATTGATCTTCCGATGGCTACTTAGTTACTTCAGTAGAGGAAACTAATGACTAGAAAATCAGTTTAGAGCTCTGTGCGCAAATCCAAGCTGGTCTCTCTGCTTTTTGCTTAGTGAGAGAACCAGCATTCCACACGCGCGAAAGAAATGTCTTGTTGCTGAATACGAAACCATCGAGCAGAATCTTTTTCTTTCTGTCCTGATCAATTGGTATTCAGACAATCACACGACCTCCGGATGATGAAACAACGTCAAGTATTCTCGTGCACGTGTTTCAGCGCACTGACTTTCTGTGCGTACAGTATGTGGACGAGAAGGGCATCGGCTTCGGCTCCCAGAGATCCGAAATGATGAATTCTCCAACAGGTTCTGGTGTGAGGAGTACGAATGCACATAGTGCCCGGTCGAAATACATCAACAAGGAACTCGCGAGGACGTCCGCGTTCATACGGAATCCGCATGCTATCGACCAGCGGCACTACAAGCGACGGCACAAAATCGTCGAGAGCGAAGACAAAATTCACCCCGGTTGGAACGACTGGATGTTTGCGGAAAGCTACACGGAGCCGCAGCAGCACGCAATGGCAATTTTGCTCGCGATTCGGCGGCGGGCGAGTAAAATGAAACAACGTGTGCGGGACATCTTCGCAATTTACTGTGATCGGAGGGATGGTACAAATCCGAATGGTTGGCTATTTTTCTCGTGTGATTTTGTACATTAAGTTCGGGGTGATGGAAAATTGATCGAGAAGTAGTTCGCAGGTTCGTTGGAAAAGTGCCATAAACGTCAACTCAGCCCAATAAGATGAAGGAAATGTCGAAAAATTTCACAGGAAAAGTAAACGGAGTGCTGCCACTCGAGCATTTCCTGTACGCGTTGCAGGAGAAGCGGATCATCCCCTGGCAGACACTGACGCTGGAGCACCTAGCGCGGGCCTGCCGTGAGTTCGATCCGGAGTTCAAGGGTCACGTCTGCCTCGAGCACGTGCGCCGCGTGATTGTCCGCCTGCCGCAGGACGCGTTCGAACGACTCCGAAACTCAGTCTCTTCCTCGAAGTCGACGACTGCATCCGAGAGCGACGAAGCGCACCTTCACATACAGCTCGATGAAGGGGGGGGATCCAGTCCGGAGGATTTGTTCAATGTCGAAAATCTTCACGCCGGTGGAACGAATTTAGCGACGAGCAAGTCCACGACCGGATTGCTGACCGGGGCAACTTCAAACGCCGCGACCTCCTCGACCTCCCGACTTCCGTTCGCGAATCGGAGGACAAGAAGCGCACCCCGACTGCAGACCTGGCGCGACTTTGTCCTGGAAGAGCCAAAGAGTCCTACGGCGGGTGTCGGCAGTCCGAAGAATGCGAGTCTGAGCCCGCGCATGGACCGATCGGCGTTAGATCCGGTGGAGATCGAGGCCATGCGGTTGCTGCACGGTGCGCCGCTTTTGCCGCCTGGAAAATACTTGAAGGCGACCGACTCCTATCATGTTGCGGATCGGCCCGGCGGGGGTGGGTGACGTTGATGATGTTCTGGCACGCAAAAAATACTTCGGCATTCACACTGTTAGGCGTTGAGCGCGCAACTACACATTGTACTGCCATTACCTGGCTTGTCCGTATTTGCGCTGCACTTTTGCAAAGTGTTCGCTCTGTACTAGAAATGCTTGTAACAAGAATCATGTCCTCCCGCCGCTCTTGTGCGTAGTCGCCGAAAGTTTTATCTTCAGCGCAATCGAAATTTGTGTTCGATGTGCCCAAAAAGATTTTTTTATCACGCGCACGACCTGGAGAAGTCGTGCTTTTCTTTCGAGCGCATGAGACAATATTCTGGTTTTACTATCAGAATAAAAGCGCTGAACCAACGAAAGGGACCCACTTTATCGCAAAAGCAAAACGTTTGCCATTTGTTTTCAAAAAGTGCGATCACGCACTGTATTTCGACGAGGCAGTTGTACTTGAAGGTAGTGAAAACGAACATGAACAGTGAATCATTTCTCGGGGAGGGCGCGGAATCGCAGGGAAAAACAAGTGCAACGATTGGAAAATAAAGTAACTAAATCGATTCACGTAACAAGAAAAAGAAGCAAAATGGAAGACCTGGAGGACGCTTTCGATTACAACAAGGAGAATTTCCGTTTCGACGCGAAGCAATGGCAGGAGCGGGGCTTCCAGGAGCAAAAGATGCGGGTGGACCAGGGCAAGTTGTATCGGGACGACGTCCGCGACCTGATGGAGCTGACCACCGGCAAGATGGATTTGTACCTCATTGTCAACGCCCTGCTGCTCGACCAGAGCGTCCGCATGCTCTGCAAGGGCCACCTGGACGCCGCGCCCGAGTGGCTGCGGTGCCTGCAGATTCTGAGCTTGTGTTCCGGCTTTTTGCTTTTCTTCCTGAGCCTCTGGCTGGCCATGCACGCGTCCGTCGCCTCGCACTCCTTCGCGGTTCGCCTGTTGACGCAGTACGTGCGTCTGCCCATCCCAACAGAGAAACAGCTCGACGCGCTGCAACTCCACGCGACGGAATTCGAAGGCTATTCGGCGAAGGACATGCTGCGCGTGCCACTGATCAAAGTCGCAGCAAAGAAGCTGGAGGCGAAGCTGAAACAGGGGTTGAGTGACCCGAATAATAAGGATGCGAGAACAGGAGCAGCGAAAGCAGGACAGCGTCAAAGTAGTTCGCACAGTACTGGAGTACTTGGTGAAAATGGCTTGCAGAGCGAGGGCGACGCAGTAGACACAGATGCTGAAAACGTGGAGCAAACGCCCGAAGTGATCGAAGTGACGTCGCTGGAGCACGTGAAGCTGTACCGGCGCATGCAGGCGAATTTTATCAGCTACGACGCGTACGCGCGGGCCGGCACGTCGATCGGGCTGAATTCGCTGCTCTTCAGTCTGTGGTACTTCTGTCTTGGGATCGCGACGGAGAACGCGAGCCAGGCCGAGTGGGCCTCCTGGGGCTGCTGTTTGCTGATGGCCGTGAACGTGCTGCTGGTGGCGAAAATCGACTTCGACCTGGGCGGCAGAAGCTTTGGCCTGGTCGCGCTGCTCATCATTTTACCCGCGTTCTTCTCCACGGCCGCGGTTACCACCTACCGCTGGCACTGGTACCGGTTCCACATTTACTTCGTGTTGCTGGTTTTCGTGTTTCACATCTGCTGGGTGGCGGTGGTTCTGTTCCTGGTGAAAGCGGGGACCGACGAACAGGTGAAGTTACCGCACCAGTTCAAGCAAGTGCTCTACCTCGACGTGTTCGGCCAGTGGGGCGGCTTCAGCGAGGACTTGCGTGCGGCGTCGAGTAGCGGAAATAGTAAAAGCGGGGACTACCGCAGCGGAAATACAGTGGTCGAACCGGTGGTCGTTGAGGGCGGCGAAGTTGATATTAATCCAGAGGAACACGACGAGAAGAGTTGTGAGCTCCTGCCACCGCCAGAGCAGTACCTGCACGCCTACCTCTCTGTCTGCTCGCTACGGAGGTTGCAGCGGGACAAGCAGGTGCAGCTTCCGGCGCAAGCGGTGTCGCTCATCAGCGAGTACGAGCGCGTTGCCTCGCATTTACTCGAGCCGCTGGACGGGCATTTGATTCCGCTTGTCTGTATCTCCGTCGCGGGTCACTTTGTGGACAACATTAAGAAGAACAAGGAGCAAGTTGCGTGTCTGTACGATCCGATCACGAAGAGCGCTATTATCCCGGGCGTAACCGCGCAGCAAGCCGGGGAGCAGCAGCGCGTCTGCCTTCCGCTCGCACGCTTGGAAAGGCACTTACGGGTTTTGGCCACGACAGAGAGTGGAGGTGCGATAAAGTTAAGACCGCCCTTTCGACAACAGCATCCTTCGAGTGCGCGAAGCAGTGACTGCAGCGTTTTGTTCGAACAACGAGGGGGCGCGGCCGGCGTTGTTTCCACCGAAACGACGAAAAGCACCTCCGGAGCTGAGTCAACAGTGGAGGAGCAAATTACTCCTTCGTGGAATGAAAAGCTGCGACGGCGACTCGTGCAAACGCTTTCCGAGAAGGAGCGCAGCGCGATTCGGAAAGAGGATGAAAAGCTGGCAAATTCGCAGGAGCCGCTGTTTAACAACCGGTACGCCTGCAGCCGTGCCGCCGAGGCCGCGGAAAACACCGTGACGGCGAGCTGTGCCTTTTTCCCCGTAAACCACTTCAACCGGATTCGCATGGGGCCCGACGCGCCGGTCGGTCGCAATTCCGTGATTGCGGACGAGACGCTCGGGGACAGCACGTTGGGAGATGAGCAGGAGCTCCTGGCAAACAGCGGCCGGCGCTGCTGGGCGCAGCAGATGCGGCCGGGGAACGTCCCGTGGTTCATGTTCCTGATCGCCATGTCCCTGTTTCTCTCACTTTGGGTGGTCGGGCTACTGTGGTACTGCACCCACATCCAGGAGAAGGAGAGCTGGAGCGAGGAAATCGCGGAGATGGTCGCGCTGCGGGAGGTTTGGCTGAGTCGAGAAGGGCGAGCGCAGTTCGGAAAAACCGAAGGGGATTCGATGGTCGCCGGTGTGCAGCATGCCTGGCGAAAATCGCCGAGCAGCAGGTCGCGGGTGCTCCGACGGACTGAAGGTGGTAGATTAGATGATGAGAGAAACGACGTTGATGAGTTGTTCCTGGACGACGCCGGGCGATTATTGACGGGCGAAGCACGCGTAGTCAGGACGAACGTAGCGGACGCGGCTGCGGTTTCCTGTGATCACTTACTGCCGGGGCACGGAAACGAGGTTGGCGATTCTAGCTGCACTCTGTGGCTCCTGAAGTTCGATGGTAGCTTTGAAGTCTGTCACTGGGTGGAGGCTCGCGGAAGAAATCCCAAGGCGACGCTGGAGCATTGTCAGATGTCCGCGGGGAACATCCCGCGTATCGGCGGGGGGGTGCAGGGGTTTGTCCTGTCGGCAGGTGAAATGAACCACGCGCAGCAGAAAAGAGCGACCGTGGAGGTGGTCGTCCTCCTCGCTGAAACGGAGGAGAGTGGCCCGCCTGTCAACACGGATCCATTATTTGCGGCTGGACCAACATCTCCACCTGATAGGAGGCTGACGACGCCAGCCCAAAAGCGCAGGAAAAGGCTAGAATCAGTTTGCGCTAGAACAGTGGGCGGATCATCGTCGAGAAGTTGCGGCAACCGGCTTGTCCGCCGTAGTCAGCGCTCACTCACGACGAGGAGAACAAAGCAGCTGCATACGAAGAAAGGGCAGAGCAGAAGGGAGGTGCTGGAGCAGAGAAAAAGTGTCTCCGCGCGACCAACCGCAAAAGTTCTCGGGCTGTCGTTGCATTTTGACAGATCAGCAACCGCGGGGCTGAGCATGGTACCGCTCTGGGAGAGAACGACGAAGCCATGTCCTGATCACGCAGCGCATGTTTTCACTACGAGTTCGAAAGCGAATTCTTGCAGGCGAGCTGCCGGTTTCGTTGCTGTGTATGATGAGTTTACGAAAAATCGCATTTTGGCTCCCCATCCGGAGCAATCACTGCTGCCTCCAGAAGCATACGATTCTTGAAACGTGGTCGCTCCGGTGACTGATACACACGTACTCAAATTGCTGTATTCCTTTGATGTTTGTTCTGTTCCGGCTGTTGCGATCTCTGTCTCTACGAGCGAGCGAATGATATGCGGCACCTTTGGATCTGGAGCAGAAACGCCGAAGAGGGGAAACAAAAGGAGCGCGGAGATGGCTGTGAATACGTACAGACGTCGACGTCCGTCAGAAAATGATCCGCTCGGATTCTCTCTGTCTAGAAAACTCACTAGGAATCAATAGCAAGAAGTTCAAGTTGAAAAAAAGAATGTACACACCGCGCGTCTTCAATCTGTTCTTGCTCTGCTTTCTCTCCGTGTTTTCGCCCTCCAATCGCTGCTGCTAGCGGACCTGCACGCCGGCAAAGATGACTGACCCTTCCGCAGACGACCAGAAAAAATCCAGGCGGAAGCGACCGGCCCACATAGAAACCGCCCCGAGCGACCAACCGCCCGCCACCGCGGTGCGGCCGCCAAAACCTCCCGAAGCGGACTCGCCGACAAAAAAATATGAAAAACAAAGACCGCCGAGTATAGTTTATTTGATGTCGCTAAAATGTACTTACCAGCGTTTGTTTGATGGCGTTGTTTCAATGTTGCTACTCAACTCCTATCTACTGCGTTTTTTTTTTATCCCTAGAGAGGACGCGCTTTCACAACCCCCTAAACGACTAGGTCCCTCCCGCGCGAAAAAGCAGGGAGAGCAATCGGCGCGGAGCGCAGCGGCCGTGAAACTGGAAAAGTGGAGCGACTGCATGCCACTGCTGAAGGCCGAGGCGTTTTTTCTCGAGAATAGTAACTACCTGACTGACCACCCGTTTATACGGGACGCCAGGAACGGGAAACTGTCCACGAATCGGGCACGAAAGCTTGTCGCAGAGAGTTTTTACGTCGTGCGGAGTGACCTTCGAACTTTCACCGTGGCGTACGACTTGCACCAAGGCAGGAAAGACGATACGGTGGGAAAGTTTTTCGAGTTTTCCCGTATCGCGTGTCAGTTCGCGGCGGACCACCTGAAGCACTTTCAGAAAGCGTTGAAGCTGAGCGACGAAGAGATGGAAAGGTACGAACCGTCGCCAAGGAGCCAGTGCTACACGGCGTACACCTCCTGGCTGGTCACGCACACCACGCCGGCGATGATAGCAGTCTGCTACGCGCTGCTGTATCCAGTGTGGGCGGAAATGTGCAAAAACATCGTAGCGGCGGTGCAGGCGAATCCAAAGTATAGTTACTTTTTTTGGTTTTTGTGACACGAATGCTTTTGGCATCGAAAGCGAAAGCCGGGAAGTGCAGACTCGGGTAAGTGCGTTTCCTGAATTGGTCGAACTATCAATACCTCCCAGGTATCGCCTTTCCGATCATGACATCACTTATTTCCGGTTCTACGCCGAGGCGCTGGATGATATGGACCTGTTGGTGAAGGAGTTGATGAAGGGCGCTGACACGGATCACTTGAAATCCTGGCCGTATAAACGAATCAAGGACAGTGTGCGCGTGCTCCAGACCTATCTTGTAGAATTCTGGGACGGCATCTATCACGGTGCGTATTGTGCCTGAGGCTGTAGTTGTCTTCATGAAATTAACTACGTCCACCAATAAATGTACTCACTTTATAACCCTTGGTTTAGGTCGCGCGCGATCTTGTACAATAGTCGATGGAGCTGCTGCAGCTGTTACAGCAATCTCGCTCAGCGTTGAATGCCGTTGCGAAAGACGCAGTCTAGTCTTGTTGTTTTACTGATTTTGGAGCGCAGAATTAAAAAAGTCAACCGCCGGACTGCGAGAAGCAGTCTGTAAAGGTGATTTCGTCGAAAATCGTGTTCTTTTCTGTTCAATTTGAAGGTCGTCTCTTCGCTTCGTTGTGCCTAAAAACTCGGCTCGAGCGCAACTGTTGTCAAAATCTCGAGTGCGAGAGCAGCCAGGGGCATCGTAATCGCAAATATTCATTCAAATAATCGTTTTTTCGCGGGGCTTTGAACCTTAAAATCTGAATGGAAATGACGCACTTGCACGAGACACCAGTAAGTACCCAATGTAATTAAGTAAAGTTGCGTATCTACGACAATTCAGAAGATGAAGCGATCTCGTGATGAGGCATTTGCCTTTGCGCCAAAAACGCGCCCGGTACTCGAAAGCCTGGCTCCCAAGCGCCCCTTACCGCTGTCCAAAGTGGTTGCACGAGCGGACGAGCTGCTGCGTAGCTACCTGGGACACCCCACGGATTTCATAATCGCCGGCTCATACCCGGCGGCTGTTGAAATAGACCGCGAGACCCGGACGGAGAAACAGACTCCGTACAACGACATCGACGTCTACTACGCAGGGTCGTTTTTCGAGGACTGGCAGAAGGGCGACCCGCTGAAGCCGCGAGTTTTGGACTGCGCGAGCCACGCCGTGACCATCGACGGCGAAGAAGTGGAGCTGAGCTTGATACGCTACGCCCATTGCGATTTGGAGCAGTTGGTCGAGGCCTTCGATATCAATTGCATCCGGGTGGGTTACAAGATCCAGCAGGACTACCAGCATATCGACGCCACTGTGTACAAAATCAGGCCAGTAGTCCGGGAAACCTACCGGGCAGCAGACTTCGAGTCTTGGCTGAAGGCTATGCGCTGTGCGGTTACGGACCCCAACGCGGCCGGCACGGAATTGCGCATGGTGCCGCTGGAGGACATGCTGTACACTAACCCCTGCGCTTCGTTCATCCGCGTGATCAAGAAGGCCGGGCAGCTGTGTCTTCCCTACGTCCTCCCAGACCTGAAGGCGCTGGCGGCGAAGCTTCACATGCGGATAATCGGCAAGGAAAATTTTGAGAAGTTTAAGAAGCTCCCCGCAAAGGAGCAAAGGTGGATCCGGAACCTTTTCCACATCAAGAAGCTGCCGACTTGGGTCCCGAATAGAAAGAGCCGGCACCTTAACAAATGCAAATGGGTCTGGGCCTGGAAGATTGCGAGACTTGTCATGTCTGTCTGGCATGACGTTGCGCTCTGTGTTGTGTGGCCTCGGAGGCTTCTTTTGTCTGTCATGCAAAAACGCAGTTTCTCATGCGGAATAGACGACACAGAGACACGAAAAAATCTGTCAACATGCTTGTCAGCGCAGTGCAGTGCTCTTATTGTTCATGCATGATCTTCACAACTTTCCAAACCCAGACTGCATATTGCAATGCATACACTCCCGCGAGTTTAGCATGATCGACCGGCTGTTTTCCATGCGGCTGGTCACGGAAATGAATGCAAAGCAATTCGGTGCGTGGCTCACGAAGGAGCGCGTGGAGATCTGGCGGCTGGAAAGCGTAGACGCGGATGTGCAGGCGGACTGGACGGAAAAGGAGATCGCGAAGCTAGACACTGCTGCGGAGGGCTACGGAACGAAAAAGGCGATGCTCGAGGACCCCGCCGGTCGAGCTGCTAAAAATTACGAGCACGCATACAGCGAAGCGCTGCGCATCTGCCGGACGAATTCCTTTGCCACCGTCCGCGAGAAGTGGCTCAGTGAGTACGCGCTCTACGCCAGCAAGGAATTCCGAAACCAAGTGGAGCCGTTGCTGAGCGCGGAGCAGCAAGTCCGGCTGCGTGCGATTCTGGAAGAGCGGGTGACGCGCACGGACGCTGGCGCGCATTCGTCGCCACTGGCTGAGTTAGTGGATGAAACGCAAGTGGGCATTCATACATACTTGCTTTACATACTGTAGTAGATTCTCATTCCGATTCTCGTCGTGCTCGATCCCGCAATGATAAAAAGTAACAGTCAAATAGGAAGTGGAGTGCCAATGTCAAGGATAAGTGACGGAAGAAACAGAAACTATGTGTGAGTTGTTTCGACGAGCTACATCTCTTATTCTTGTTTTGTCTATAGTGAGACGTCAAATGCTGTGCTAATGCTCAACAATGCTGTGCTAATGCTCAAAAATACTGTGTATCGACCATGCAAATAATAAAGCGGCGCTGTTTGGCGGCAGTTTCGCCGAGCGAGTTGGACTGTTCAGCAGGAACTGGAAGCGGTTGGCTTCTTTCTGAAGAGCCGCGTTTCGCTGGATGTGGTTATCGTGACGCGAAAAGTCTCTGCGATCACTGTCGTGAGTCAAGAAGCAACTGCTGAAGCGTCAAGATCACGAGGGATCATGTTGCTGCGAGGTCTGAAGATGAAAAGATCCTTCTAGTGTTGCGAATTATTCTGCTGGTAGGTGTACGAAGAAGGCGAAGGCCCACTTTTGCTGCAAGACGATGAAGGTTCACTGCTTTCGTGAAAAACGCATCTCTTATTTGGGCGTCTGACTGTCGAACGTGCTTCACGCACACACTGCAGGATCTGCGGATTTCGTAATCGTCAGTCCATAGTTGTAACACTTGATGTTAGTGAAGACTGTCACCACTACACACCGCAACAGGAACAAGAAAAAACAGCGTGCGTCTCTATCCGCGACATGAGGTTTACGTTAATTGGCTTTCAGTGTACACAAACTTTTTGTCACGACTTTCAATTGTCGGTTGTTTTCTCGTAACGCGTCATTGCTGATCTTTATCAGAAAACCTCTAAAGTATGTAATATAGCGACTCTTTGATTCCAAACCAAGTATCCACTGCACTCATTTCTGGTTTCCACTGTATCAATCCCGTACGAAATTTCTTTGTGTAAACAAAATGAAAATGAAAGATTGCAAGACTTACTGAATGTTATCCCCATCGGAATTCATTCTCTCAACATAAAAACAAAAAATAAATCCTTTTGGCGAGCGACAACGACAAGCACGACCAACACGCACCATGGCTGCAGTGAACAAGCGTATGCGCTCGGTAGAGAGCAATACCCAGGATCCGGACGAGCTGCCTTCGCTTGGCGGTTTCGATTCACGGAGTCTTACATTTCATGTTGATCCTCCTTCCGACGACGAAGCTCTGTCCGAGGCCCGAAAGCTCGACAAGGACGAGGAAACGAAAGAGCCCGAGAATCCTTTACTTAGAATCCTTTTTCCGAAACCGGCCGTCGAAATCGACAAGCCTTTGCCGCTATCGGCCGTGGTTTCGGTCGCGACCAAGACTCTAGCAGCGAAATTAAAGCGTCCATGCTGCAACTACATGATTGCCGGAAGCTACCCCAGCGCACTGGCGGTGTTTGAGGCTTCGCAGGGCAAAACATATCCAACAAAAAAAGTCCGTCGCGGTCACGCATGCGCGTTTTTGCAATGCGAAGCTCAAACTCTTGTCTGTCGTCCGTACTAAAAATCAAAATGCATCACAGTCAAGTTTGAGATGCGAACTCCCTTTTGTTTGTGCAATATAAGAAAACAAGAAAGAGCTGTGACAGAACTTTGTTATGCAAAACTTGCCGAGTGGTGACCTTGGCGAACTTTTTTCTTTTCATACAACCAAACTCCCCTACAACGATGTAGATATTTTTTTTTGCTCCGACGCGAAGGACGTACTCGCAGAGCTGGAAACGGACCGCGTCTGGCGTCATCGGCTGCTGAAGGTCACGAGCGAGGAGGTTATGATAGGCGGCAAATTGATAGAGTTGAACTTCATCAACACCAACCACGCCGAGATAGAACGGCTGATCCAGGGCTTCGACATCAACTGCATCCGAATCGGGTACGACATTGCGTTCAAATGGGTGCCGTGCTATACGAGCAACCCGAATGATGATGGTGCGAGCCCTGTCGTGACCTGGTCCGCCCAAGCGGAGGCGCCGCGCAAATACACTACTCCGGATTTTGATACGTGGTGCAAGAGCATGGCCAAGCTCGCCTTGTTGCCGGCGCCCGGGACTGACTGCAACCTTGCTGTGGCTTGTGAACGCGGTGAAGCCTACGAGGGAACAAAATTGCAGCTGGCACCGTTTGAAACTATGGAGGGGAATCCCGCGAGCGCTGTTTTGAGAATTTTGCGGAAAAGTCGCCAACTAGGGCTAGGCTACAGCCTCCCAAAACCGGATGTGGTGGCAAGAGGGCTCCACCAAAGGTGTATAGCAGAAAAAAATCGGAAAATCATCCTGGGCTTGGACGATGCTGCGCGCCATTTTTTCCGCAGTCACTTCACCACCGAACGGATTGAAAACTGGATCCCGAAAAAGCAGCGACTTGGGTGGAAAAGTATGGACTATCCTTTTTTCTTGCGGTTGGTGGAAGGGTTGAGTCCATCGCAATTTCGGAAGAGATTCCGGGAAGAGCGGGTCATCGTGTGGCAGCTGGAGACGACCGATCACGGACTGGGACAGCAGTTGATGCATGAAAAAGTGGATGCGCTCGACCAGAAAGACGAGAACTACGAACAGAAAAAGGCGATGCTTTTGTCTGCAGGCAAGCGGCGCGCTTGGCAGGATAATTATACCGCTGCGGTGGGCCTGTGTGGCGAACAGTTGCGCCGTGAACAGTTTGTGGCGGAGTGGACCGTAAAGCACGCGTGGTATTGTTCCGACGAGCTGCTGGACCAGGTGAGAGCTTCGCTAACGAGTGGCGAGAAAATGAGGCTGGACTACGAACTTGTTGCAACCGCTCTGCGCTTGCAGAAGTTGACAGTGTCCCCTTTCGAGGTAGTTGGGATCGATAAGACATTGAATTCCTACGAACTTGTTGCAACCGCTCTGCGCTTGCAGAAGTCGACAGTGTCCCCTTTCGAGGTAGTTGGGATCGATAACACATTGAATTCCTACATCTCCATGTAAGTACTCAGATTCAACACAGTGCTGCAAAAATTGAGTGTGGGGCTTGCTGGCGACTTGTTTTCTGAAACTTTTTTGAAACAAAAACGGAACTCTACCACCTCGAGAAGATACATTACTTCGCTCCCACTCTCAGAAACTTGTGAGCTAGCACCGGATCCTTTTTTTCGCTTTTGATCTTTCACTTTTTTTGACGTTCTGTTTGGCTTTTCAAAATGCCGCACCGCTTCTGAAGAAAACAAATAGAATCTCTCAACGTGCTGGTGTGGTGCCACTGCTTCGTTGATCTGGAGCTGGCTTATCTCTGTCAAGTTTTGTGTTTGCACGTTTCAGGAGTTACGCAAATGTCCGGTGTTGGTTGGCAGTTGCTTTTCATCTCCTTTGCTGTGTGTGAGAGACAAGTGTCAATCTCAATTTGAATAACTACGCTTCTATTTCGTGACTCATGGCAAAGTCAAATAGGGCGACTTCGATACGTGAATACTCGACCAGAAGATGATGGCTCTCTCACTTTCGTTTTGCTTTTTCTTTCTACTTCGGTTTACCCACGCCGCAGCCGATCCCCCAGTGCCGCCAAAATGCTCGGTGGACGACGCAGCAGACGAGAACTGCAGCGAGTTCGCTTTGTCCACAACGACGGATCTCGCGGGCTCCCCTGGCGATTTTTTCCAAGCTGCGCGCACAGCAAAAATCTCCCCGGAGCAATCAGAAAGCCTACGCCTTCCTCCACCCATAACCATGCGGGCACACACCACGGCCGCGGCGCGGCCCAACGCAGCCCAGTGGGTGCACAGCTTCGCGGAAGCCCGCGCGCCCTGGTATCTAGGCGAGGCGGAAAGACTGATCGACATTGCGTTCAAGCAGGCCAGCGGCAGGGACCCGTCGCAGAGTGACCCATTCGTGAAACTGTTCGAAGCGCAAAACCACATCGTTGCGGCCCTGGAAATGGCCCCTAGCCTGCCTGCCGTCTGGTTCCGCGCCGGCTTGCTAATTTTAAGGACTGCTGAACTAGCAGAGCAGGACGAAGAAGCGAGCGACGGTACAATTTGAATGGGGACAGCTATATGTGGATTCGCTCTTCTTTACACCCGTATATGTCTGATCAAGCGTTTTCGTTTGTTTAACAAAACGCACCATCATTATCAAGCTCAACCCAAAAACAGGTCGCGGGCACAGCTCCAATCTGGTGTACAGTTTTGGTCTTCTCAACCGCGCAATCGATCTTGACAAACTGGCTTTCCAGACCGAGCCGCAGGAGGAGGAGAGCTCAGAAGACGACGACGAGAACAACGAGCCCGTCGTCCCATCCTCCACCGGTTCATCCTCCTCCCTGCAGAAGCAGCTGCAGAAGCGGGGTACTAGCATCAAGAAAGCAGTGAAAAAGTCCCGGGCGCGCAGCTCGCAGTTCGTCCGCAAGAGTGTCGACGAGTGGCTTAAAAACAAACCGGAAGATCATCCGCTCGTTCTCCGGTTCCGGAAGGACGGACCGCCCTTTTACGATGTGGAGAATTCGCTGGGACAATTCTTGCCACCACAAATAGCGAAATACAATCAAATCACAGAACCCCAGCAGGTTCTCGCCTCACCAGAAACCGCAGCTGCACGCGCAGAAAGAGCCACTTCTGTCGAGAAGATGAACGCAACTACGATTGAGTACGTGACCCCGAGTGGGCAAACTCCGTCTGTCTGGCACACGGAGCCTCTCTTCGCCACCCGGGTCGGCGTGAAACACATCGACAGCATCACGCCGGAAAGCCGGAGCAAGGTCGCCAAGGTGTTCGAGAACAAGATGCGGCAATTGCATGAGCAGCTGGAGCGGGAAAAAGCGGCGAAGCGGGCGGGAACTACACGAGATAGCAGCGACGAGGATCCTCAAATAGACAACGCGGATGAGGATGAGGTCCGGAACGAGCATTTTGTCTCGCTGTCGGACAGGTTTTTTCAGATATGGCAAGACAACATCGAGATGGTGCTGCATCCGCAAGAGGAGGATGACAAAACTCGCGGCAAGAAAACGAGCTCGGTCACGAAAGCCGCCGCTGCGGCGTCCAAGGCCTCGCCCGGGAAGCAACTGCTCTACTACGACAACCTTTCGGAACGCAAGGAATGGAACAAGCGCATCAAGAAACAGTGGCCGGAGTTACACAAAGTCAGTAAGGAGGTGTACAAAATATCGGACGTGGTGCGCGCCGAAGCCGTCGCCTACGCGCAGCACTTACTCGGAAAGGAACGTTTCGCCGATAGTGTGCGAAATCTGCGCGGCTCGGCGGTGCTCTGGGCGCAGGTGTACTTGCCCAAAGGCGGGCGGCACCACGTGCACGCGCACCAGGATTCGCTAGTCAGCTGCGTGTACTACCTGGCTTCGGACCCGAATCGCACACCGCTTGCTCTGGTCGACCCGCGAGGCGGCTCCGTGTTGCGCGACTACGAGTCGGCGGCGTTTGTGTACGAAAAGAGCACGTTTGGCAAGGAGCAGAACATCACAACCGGGTCGGTCGCGCAAGACGCGGAAACGAAGAAAAACTACAAGAACGGGGCGAAAAAGGTCAAAACTGAGCGCGACCGGGAGAAGCGATTGCGGAGGGAGTGGCAGCCGGGGCCACCCTTCCACCACCCGCACTACGTGTTCACGCAGTCCGGGGACCTCGTCTGCTTCCCTTCGTACTTGATCCACTTTGTCGGCGCGCACAGCGGATCGCCGTTGACCCGGGTGGCCTTTGCCTTCAATTTGCAGTTTGGGGAGAGGAAAGACGCTTGGTGGCAGGTGGCGACCAGTGCGTCGTGAGGGAGGATTCAATTGCGGAGTGGGGCAGCGCGGAGCATGCTAGTGTCGTGCTGCTTTGGAGGGCGGTGTAGGAGCGAATTTTGCATTGGGAAACGAAAACTGCGATGAATGATTATTCAAGACCTTCTATGATGCGTTAGGACAGGATCGGTTTTTAATTCTGACCGCAACTGCCAAGCAACAATGGACAGATAAATTTGCACGATAAGAGAGTTGCAGTGCGATGGCAACAGTACTCCGGCCTCGGTTACGTGGCGCAATCGTATGAAGGAAAAGGAAATTAATTTATCATTATGCGTGTTTCCAGTAAAGACCGTCATCTGCGGGTTTTGTCTGTTGATGTACGATGCCTCTTGTTTTGAATCCCTCGACTCCCAGTCGGCGGTGTCGTAAGCCAGTAGGAAGAGAAAGATCGCCTCTGTCGTTGATGATCTCGACTACGATTGAGGGAGACTGATGTACAGATCGTTCGCTTTCCAGAGAGACAGAGAGATCATGCTCGTGGTCGGATCGCTTGCGATGTGCCTTGGTACGTTGCCAAGATGTTCGTTTCTGCGATTGAACAATATAGTGCGGGCTTTGTCGTGATTTTGTACCGCGCTCGTGCTGTCGTGGTGTGCTGTCCGTTTTGTGACAGCCGCCACTTCGGCTGATCAGCAACCCGTAGACTATACAAAAATGACGATTCCGGGGACTCGGGAAATATGAGCCAACCGGACAAGAAGCGGCCCAATGAGGCCGATGCGGGGGCCAGTGAGGCGCTGCTGTATTCCCGGCTCTACCAGCAGGGCGCCCCGAATGCCGCCAAACGGCCAAAACTGGCCAGTTCGTCGTCGTCCCTACCGAAGAGCAGCTCCGTCGGAGCTTCCGGACTCGCGGCGGCCAGCTCTTCCAGTAAGCCGGTCTACGGAGCACCACTCCCCGTCCCGCATACCAGCTACCGACCCTTTGCCCTGCCCCCGGCTTCGGAGTACGATGGCAAGGGCGGGATCAATGTCATCTCCCGGATAAAGAAGGCGGAGGAGAAGGCGGGAAGCCCAACCAAATCACCAACTGCAGCAGCGTCGACGCATCCTCTTGCGACAACGCAGCCACTGAAAGCAACGGTCAGTATACAGGTATGGTAAGCACTCCTGAACAATGTTCAAATGGCAGTAATGGCTGAAGCGACATGAAGGCGCGTTTTTGATGGTAAGTAGTACACGCATGGATGGCTGTGTTGAATTGAAATTTTGTCGATCCCCGCGGCACCAACGAAAAAATCATACAGGAAACTGCGACGTTGCCAGAGGAGACCACGATGTCAAAGAGCAAGGTGGATTTTATGTCCAAGCCTGCTACCGCAACCCCAGACCATGTGATAAATCCACGAGATTTCGTGAACTTTATCACCCAACACGAATCCTTGTCGGAGGAGTTCTGCTACATGGCAAGAACGGGGACGAATGACTTCGAGGTATAGAAGATCGAAGCATTTGATGAGGATAGAAAAAAATGGTGTAGGTGTTTCTCAAATGTCTTCTTCATGCAGTAGTTGGATTTATTGCTCCACATACGACATTGACCGAAAAACAAAACCCTATCAGATAATACCCTTCTCGCGCATCGACCCGAATGACTACATGACGATCTCCGCCCGCGGTGTCACGCACTTCTGTAATGGAGAGCTGACTTTTTCGCGGCTGGAGGATTGGGAGGTGGAGCAGGATTTGCACTCGAAAATTCTGAAAATCCCATTTTTCAAGAAGTACAGCCGGTGGAAGCTCTTTTCCGTGTGGAAGAAGGCCATGATGCGGCAGCGGGTCAAGAAGTGCAGTAAAACGCTCAACGCAAATTTGTTCCTGCTAGACGCAACGCTGCGGACAAGTTTGCTGAACATCAGAAAAAAGTACTTTGTCATTTTTCGTAAGTGTGTTTTTCATCGACTGTCTCTCTTCAATTCACGTCCTTCTTCCGCAAATCAATTGGATCACAGCTCGCATGAATTCAACCCAAAGAACGACGGATACACAACTTCAGATGTTCCGAGCTTGCCACCTGGAACATCTTGGAAATCCCGCTTCGGCAGACGTGGACCCTGGCGCAGTTTCAGCAGGCCCAGGAGGAGAGAATCCAGGACATTCTGCAGCAGCTGAAGCAGCTGTGGGAGGAGGTGAAGCAAGAATTAGTCGAGTCGTGCCGCGTTTCTCTCGCAAAGTTTTTGGAGGCAAACGGATTCGGCGAAACCGCGGAGGCTAGCGAGGAAACGCAGCTGGCGGAAACCAGCGGCGATCTGGGCGCGAGTCAGAAAAAGAAGACGGTAACGTACACGGAGAGAGCGACGACGAGAACCCAGTGCCGCAAGTTGACGAAGTTTATCCGGACCGCGCAGTATTTGCTGAATACCGGAATTGTGGAGATGATCACGTTTTCCACGCAAAGGCTACTGCAGTTGTTAGAGCATTTCCTGGCGAAGGCGAACGACACGGACGACGCTCCCGCCGCGACGAAAAAGAAGAAGGACGCCGGCAAAGTATCCTGAGCAAAAATGTACCCACCCCAGAGTTGTCATGCAGATTTGCAGCTACAGGAAGATTTGTAATGCGCATCCACATGAGAGGCATTTCCAGTCGCGTTTTGCGCTTTGTAATGCTGTCGACAAGATGAGTGGATGGATTTGTGTTGCGGCTGTGTTTGCTAAACTGCACTACAATACAGAGACGAACTTGTCATGCTGGACCCCCAAAACTTCTCGATTTGTGTTGCGAGATCCCCAGCTTGGCTCTGGTGTGGGGACGGTTTTACATAGGATACAAGGCCCCCTACCCCGACAACGTCGCACCGACGTTCGTCGTCGAGTGCAAGCAGCGCCAGGGCGAGATCGTGTTCAAACCGTCGGCCAGTAAGTTCCGCAGTTACTTAGAGCACGCGCTTTTCGAGGGGCTCAAGACCGTGACAAAAACCCCCGCCTTCGTCACGCTGCCGGAGCTTTCCACGTACACGAAATCCAGCGGCGAGGCGGTCTCCGAGGCGCCGTCGCCCGACGACCAGAGCAACGCAGAGCTCCTGTCCGCACCGTCGGAACTTGCGCTGCTGATCATCAGCGACCCGGGCTTCAAGGACTTATTGCTGTCGATTGGGAAGAACTTCGACAGCCTTTTCGGCCTCGTCATCGACTACGCCAGTAAGTACAAGGGCTTCGCGGAGATGTTCGTGGAGAACGAATTATTGCAGGACTGCTCCGAGTATCAAGTGTAAAAATGTCTGGGTCTGGAAACTTGTGATGCTGGGTGGCGTCTCATGATGAGGCCACAAATGCTGGCTCAGCATGACAAGTTTCTGAGCTTCTAGGTGTTGCCTAATCTGCATGACGAACTGCGTTTCTGCATCACAGAAAAATGGTGCTCTTGGGTAACGTGCATGACAGACAAGCATGACAAAGATGCACTCTTCCAGACCCAGACATTTTTACATTTGATACCGAGACCTTCGCGAACGCGACGCTGGACGATCTCGTCGCCGCGTTGGACAAGTACAAGGCGCAGCAAGACGCGATGCGGGCGATTCAGCCGCTGAAGAACCTCTACCTCTTCGAGCTGGACAGCAGCCGGATGCAGGAGATGCTGCTGCCCTCCCCGCAGCGCTGCTGGGACCTGATGTCCGCGTACATCCCGAAACTCGCGCTGGAAAAGCAAAAGGTCATCACCGTGGAGCTGCAGCAGGCCAACGAAAGGCTCGGGCAGACCGCGCGCGACGTGAGTGAGTACGTCGCGTACTCCGAGTACCTGAACGACTTCACGAAGCGGTTCAAGGGCCTGGAGGCGAACGCGGAAGAGGTGATCAGGTTAACGGATATCATCAAGACTTACAAAATCAAGTTGGAGAAGAACGAGCGCGCGGCCTTCAACGAGATGACGAACTATTTGACCGTGTGCCAGGGCGCAATCCAGATCGGCACGGACCGGATGGAGGTGGAGATCGTGAAGTTCCAGGCGCAGTTAGAGGGTCTAATTCCCCAGCTGTACACGGACGTTGGGAACCACGAGGCAAAATTGAAGGACCCGATGTTTGACAAGGTGGACCTGATGGAAACCGAGGAGGGCCGAAAGCAGATTCTCGAATTCCTCGACGAGTGCGAGCAGGCGGTTTTGGAGTCGATCGACCGAGGCGAGAAGTACAAGGTGTACCAAGAAAAGCTCGGCATGGAGGTGGGCGCGTTCGAGAACTGCGACGACCTGAAGTTGGCGTTTAACGGGAAGGCCAAACTGTGGCGGGGGCTGGACAACTGGACGCAGCAGTCCGCGGGGTGGCAGGAGACCACGTTCACGAACGTGGATGTGGAGCAGATGAACAAGGACATTGCGTTGTACTTGAAAACCGCAAACCAATCTGCGAAGGCTATGCCGAACAATGCCGTGGCGCCCAAGTGGGCGGAGCAAATTGCCGTCTTCAAAAACACCATCCCAGTGGTGCAGTGCTTGAGAAACAAAGCGCTTCAAGAGCGGCACTGGCAGCAAATCTCCGAGCTCATTGGCGAAGTCGACATGCAGGACGAAGGGGTGCGGTTTTTATTTCTGTATCTTGGTAGCAGAACAGAAACAAATGTCTCAATGATCATCCAAAAAGTTTCTTCTTTTTGACGAAACGATTGTTCAAAATCCTATAACACAGTTCACGCTCGGCCGATTGCTGGAGATGAAGGTGGACGTGCACACCGAGGCGCTGCAGGTGATCAGCGGGCAGGCTACGGCCGAGGTTGCGCTCATCGAGATGTTGGATAAGGTGAAGAAAGTGTGGGAGGACTGCGATTTGCCACTCGCCAGATACAAGGACAGCAAGGAGGTGTTCATCCTGGGCAATGTGGAGGAGATCATCACCAATTTGGAAGATTCCATGGTCAACGTCTCCACCATCGCGGGCAGTCGGTTTGTCGGGCCCATCCGCGAGGAGGTCGAGAAGTGGGCCTCGGATTTGTTGGTGTTCCAGGAGACGCTCGACGAGTGGCTGAACTTGCAAAAGAACTGGATGTACCTGGAGTCCATTTTCGCGTCCGGCGACATCAAAAAGCAGCTGCCCGCAGAAAGCACGAAATTCACGGAAGTCGACACCGACTGGAAGAACACGATGAAGGAGTGCTACGAGAACCCGAGCGCGATCCTCTGCTGCACCAAGGAGGGAAGGTTGCAAACTTTTGTCCAGCACAACGAAACCCTGGATCAGATCCAGAAATCACTGGAGGAGTACCTGCTGTCGAAGTGTCTCGCGTTCCCCCGGTTCTTTTTCCTCTCCAACGACGATCTGCTCGCGATTTTGTCGCAGGCGCGTGTCGTCCAGGCCGTGCAGCCGCACTTGATCAAGTGCTTCGACGCACTGGTGCGGCTCGACTTTGCGCAGGGCGGCAAATCCAACGAGATTTTGGCCATGTTCTCGCCGGAGAAGGAAAAAGTGCCGTTTTACAAATCGATGAAAGCGCGCGGAAACGTGGAGAAGTGGCTGGCCGAAGTGGAGGAGTCCATGGTGAAATCGGTGCACGCGGTGGTGAAACAGGGCTGGAAAGACTACAAGGAAATCCCGCGAAAGCAGTGGGCCGCAAAGCAGTACGTACAGGTGTTGGCCTGCGTCGGCGCAATCATGTGGACCGCCGACGTGGGGGAGGTTTTGCTCTCCAACATGGCCGCGGCAAAGAGCAGGGAGGAACCGAGAAGCGCCTCGAAAACGAAAGGTGAGCGGTTTTTTGATGCTTCAGTAGAGAGGCAAGCAGGACCGGGTTTTGAAACTGGTCGAATGAATGAATGCTAGGGAAGTACTTAAACACGCGGGGAATAAACTGTTTTTCATCAAATCTGCGCCAGGTTCCAAGGAGCCCGTCCCGCTTTCCATGACCCAGGCGTACGCCAAGCAGGTCCAGCAGCTTGATGAGCTTATCGAGCTGGTCCGGACGGACCTCACCGCGAACCAGCGTCGCGGTATCACCTGTCTGGTCACCCAGGACGTGCACTTTCGCGATATTGTGGAAGAACTGGTGGAGGCGCGCGTGACCTCAACGAATAGTTTCAAGTGGCAGCAGCAGCTGCGGTTCTACTGGGACACAGAAGTGGACGACTGCATCGTGCGGCAGGTGGACGCGCGGATCATCTACGGCTACGAATACATGGGAGCGATGAGCCGTCTGGTGATCACGGGGCTGACAGATCGCTGCTGGATGACCATCACCGGCGCGTTGCATATCTGTATTGAAAGTTTTCGTGTTCATTCTTTGCGTCTGATGAATGTCACTTTTGTCTGGGTTCGTGACACATAATCACAAAAAAATCCTTGAGGTCTCGGTGCCGCTCCTGCAGGGCCGGCCGGAACGGGGAAGACGGAGTCAACGAAGGATTTGGCGAAGGGTATCGCGCGTCAGTGCGTGGTGTTCAACTGCTCCGATCAGATCGATTACAAGATGATGGGAAAGCTGTATTCCGGAATCATCGCCGCGGGGTCATGGACCTGTCTGGATGAGTTCAACCGTATCTCCATCGAGGTGCTTTCCGTGATCGCCCAGCAAGTGCTGCAGATCCGGATGGCGCTGCTGGCTAAAGCACACGAAATGGTCTTTGAGGGCAGGCATCTGAGGTACTAGTTTTACTTGCTCCAGTGTCTTGTACGCAATCTCTTTTTTGCTCGTGCCGTTCTATCTCTGACCGTAGCTTGTGTACGCGTTGATACTCCGTATGCCTATGCATTGTTTTACGAGAAAGAATAAGAAAGGTTGCCAAGGCAGCTCCCCCTCTGAAAAATCCACAGGGTGAAGGGTACGTGCGGGATTTTCATCACGATGAACCCGGGTTACGCGGGGCGTACCGAGCTCCCGGACAACCTGAAGGTGCTGTTCCGCCCGGTGGCGATGATGGTCCCCGACTACACTTTGATCGCGGAGATTATGCTCTTCGCCGAGGGGTTCGGCACTGCGAAAAAGCTGTCCGGTAAGTTCACAAAACTGTTCAAACTCTCGTCCGAACAGCTGTCGAAGCAGGACCACTACGATTTCGGTATGCGGGCCGTGAAGTCCGTGCTGGTGATGGCGGGTGGCTTGAAGCGACAAGATCCAGACATGGACGAAGATATTCTACTGGTCCGGGCGATGCGCGACGCGAACGCACCGAAGTTTCTCGCGCAAGATCTGCCTTTGTTCTTCGCCATCGTCGGCGACTTGTTCCCGGGCCTCGAGATTCCTTACCTGGACATGGGCGACCTGAAGCGGTGCATTGAAACGTCACTGCTGGAGAAGAAGATGCAGCTGAACGAGAAGCAGATCGGGAAGATTATCCAGGTTTTCGAGACCATGATGGTCCGATTCGGGATCTGCATCGTCGGCCCCACCACCGGCGGGAAGTCCTGTGCTTTCGACACTCTCGCCCGCGCGCTCACCATGCTCCGGGCGGAGGGCCACGCGGACGCGCGGTTCCAAACGGTCCGGTACGAGGTGCTGAACCCGAAAGCGATCACCATGGGCGAGCTCTACGGCGAGTTCAACGAGATGACGCAAGAATGGACGGATGGCCTGGCGAGTTCCATGATCCGTGAGTTCCAGATGGACGAGACACAGGACTACAAGTGGACCATGTTCGACGGACCCATCGACGCGATCTGGATCGAGTCCATGAACACGGTGCTGGACGATAACGTCACCCTGTGCCTCGCGAACGGCGAGCGCATGAAACTGAACTTCACCATGCGCATGGCCTTCGAGGTGGAGGACTTGGCCGTCGCCAGTCCCGCGACGGTCTCCCGGTTGGGTGTCATCTACGTCACGGAGTCCGATCTGGGCTGGCGTCCATACATGATGAGCTGGTATAGGATGTCGTAATTTGTTGTAAGTAGATGAATCTCGTTTTGTAGTTGTCTTGCTGGGCTCGTGAGTTCCCCTCTTGATTTCCCGCCGGTCTCACCATCATTGATTTCAGATGTAGTTACTTTCTACAAAAAAGTTTGAAATGCAGTAAATCCACTAATTTGATGACCTCCTGCCTCGACGCCATTTTTTTCCACAGGCTCGAGGCCCTTCCAGAAAAGCCGTACACGGCGCCGTTGAAGGAGAAGATCAACATGATGTTCGACAAGTTCGTCGACCGAGGCATCAACTTCATTCGAAAGGACCTGAAGGAGCCCATTGTGACCAAAGACGCCCAGCTGGTCATTTCTCTCTGCAGCATGTTCGACGCCGTCTTCAACTGGAACGCCGCGACCGCCAACGGTTGCAGCAGTTCCGACGCGCTCCCCGAAGACGCACTGAACAGCGAGGAGGGCGCCTCGGTGGACGTGGAAGCGCTGCTGAAGAAGCCCGCGGACGTCAGAAACATGCCCGAGGCGGATTTTGAGAAGATGCTGATGCCGGTCTTCTGCTTCGCGTACCACTGGTCTCTGGGCAGCAGTCTGGATACGAAGTCGCGGCAGGTCTTCGGGCAGCAGTGCGAAAAGTGGTTCGGCGACGTCTCCTTCCCCCGTGGCGGCGCGGGGTACGACGGGTACGTCGACCTCTCCGTCGGCCCGAAGTGGAAGGGCTGGACGGAGCTGGTGCCGAAATTCAAGTTTGACGAAAACGTGTCCTACTTTCAACTTCTAGTGCCCAACGTCGACACAGTCCGGTTCGCGTACGCGACGGACAAACTCGTGTCCCACGGTATTACAATGAAAAATGCCCCCACCCCGAACTTGGCAGCATTTGTATTGCAAACCTTTCCAATGAAAACATTCCCCGTCTTGCATCTATCAACATCACAATTTTGCCATGCTGAATAGCTCAAATTTGTGTTGCAAAGGATCCCAACAGCAGCCGGATCTGTTATGCAGAAGATACCTTGCGCATCTAGATTCTGCATCAGAAAGGCTCGTAGTCCTTTCGTGCAATTCAAAAAGCTTTCATTTCGAAACTTTGCATGAGAAACTGTTGCAAATTCCGTGGTGGGGGCATTTTTCATTGTAATACACGGCGCGCCGGTGTACCTGACCGGGGTGACGGGCGTGGGGAAGTCGGTGGTGCTGTCGAATCTTTTGGAAAACATGAAACTCATGGCCCGCACCAACCCGATCTACATGACTTTTTCCGCGCAGACCGGCGCGCTGTCGACGCAGATGACGATCGAATCGAAACTGGAGAAGAAGAGGAAGAATCTCCTGGGCGCGCCGTCGGGCCGCAAGGTCGCGATCCTGATCGACGACGTGAACATGCCAAAGGTCGAGGAGTACGGCGCGCAGCCGCCGATCGAGGTGATCCGCCTGATGCTGGACCGTTCGGGGTGCTACGACCGAAAAAAGCTGTTCTGGAAGATGATCGAAGACACCAGGTACCTCCTCTGCTCGGCCCCGCCCGGCGGTGGTCGTGCCAACATGACGCCGCGACTGAGCCGGCACTACTGCATTCTCTGCATGCCGGCCACCTCCGAGGACGCCATGAAACTCATCTTCGACAGCATCCTGGGTGGCTTTTTGGGAAAGTTCAAGCCCGACGTGCAAACGTTCTGTTCCAAGGCGGTCACCGGCGCGATCGAGGTCTACACCCGGTGCGGGGAAGAACTTCTCCCCACCCCGTCCAGGTCGCACTACACCTTCAATTTGCGGGACGTGTCCAAGGTCTTCCAAGGCGTCCTCATGGTGCGACCCCAGCAGGCCTCCACGCCGGAGAAATTCGTGAAGCTGTGGATCCACGAGGTTTCCCGCGTGTTTGAGGACCGATTGATCTCGCAAGGGGACAAAGATTGGCTGCGCGGCGTCCTCGCGGAAATGACAAAGTCCACGTTCCGCGTAGACCTGGCGCGCGAACAGTGGGAGGGCATGGTGTGGATCAACTGCTTGCGGCCGGGGGCCGAGGAGAAGCTGTATGAGGAGGCGACGGATATGGGGAAACTGGTGAAGATCATGGAAGACTACAACGACGACTACAATTTGACCTACCCAACGCAAATGAATTTGGTCTTTTTCCGCGACTGCGTGTTTCACATGTGCCGCACCGCGCGCGTCTTCTCGCAGCCCCGCGGCAACAGCTTGCTCGTCGGGGTCGGCGGTTCCGGTCGGTCGTCGTGCGCGCGACTGGCGTGCCATTTGTCCGAAATGTTGAAGTACGAGATTGCGCTCGCCAAAGGGTACGGCGTGGACGCGTTTCACGAGGACGTGAAAAATTTCTTGCGCCAAGCGGGCGGCGGGAAGGGCAGTCCGACCATGTTCTTGTTCTCCGATACGCAGATCATCACGGAGACCTTCATCGAGGACATCAACAACATCCTGAACTCCGGGGAGGTGCCCAGTCTCTTCGCCAACGACGAGGTCGACGCTATCGTGAACGACTTGCGGCCAGTCGCGAAGGAACAGGGCCGGAACGAAGCGAAAGACGCGGTCTACGCCTGGTTTGTGCAAAGGTGCCGGGAGGACTTGCACATTGTGCTTGTCGTGTCGCCGGTAGGGGAAGCGCTCCGCGTCCGCATGCGGATGTTCCCCTCGCTAGTCAACTGCATGACCATCGACTGGTTCCTTCCCTGGCCGGATGACGCGTTGATCGCGGTGGCGCAGCGGTTCTTGTCCGGTTTGCAGGATGTGGACGAGGAGATGAGAAACAACTTGGCGCAATCCTGTTGCGCGATTCACCAAGAAATTTTGAACACGTCGCAAATCTTCCTCGCCCGGCTGAGGAGAAACGTGTACACCACGCCGAAATCCTATCTGGACCTGATCCAGCTTTATTTGGAGATGTTGGACGAGAAGAAGAAGGAAAAAAACATCAATTTGAAACGTTTGTCCACCGGTGTGCAGAAGATTCAGGACGCCAACGAGATCGTCGCGAACCTGCAGGCGGAACTCACGGAGAAGCAGCCGTTTATCGCGCAGAAAACGAAAGACGCGGAGGCGCTCATCCCCGTCGTGAAGGACGAGCAGAAGAAGGCGGGGGTGATCAAGGACCGAGTGGGCGCGGAAGAGGCGGTGGTGCGGAAAAAGGCGGACGAAGTGGGGCAGATCAAGGCGGACGCGCAGCGGGATCTGGACATCGCGATGCCGGCGCTGAACAACGCGGTTAAAGCCTTGAATTCGTTGGATAAGAAGGATATTCAAGAGATCAAGTCCTTCGCGAAGCCGCCCTCCCTGGTGCAGGTGACCATGGAGGCGGTGAATTTGCTCCTCGGGGAAAAGATGGACTGGGACGGGGCGAAGATATCGTATTTAAAAACGTCCCCCCCACCCCAGAGTTGTCATGCAAATCTGCATGCAAAAAAAGTTTGTCATGCGACGCCCCATGTTGAGAGCCATTTTCTATTCGTGTTTTGGAATTTGTGATGCTAGAATCAGCATGATGTACTAGATCTGTGATGCTTCGGAACTAGCTAAACAGGATTATTACACTACGCGGGCAAACTTGTCATGCGAAACAACCAGAGCTGGTTGATTTGTCTAGCAGATTCCCCATCTTGACTCTGGTGTGTGGGCCCCGTTTTTTCTCAGGATAGAAGAAAGTGTTAAACGACAGCGGCTTCATCGATCGGCTGAAAACTTTCGACAAGGACAACATCGACCCGAAGATTTTGAAAAAGTTGGAGAAGTACACGAGCAGGAGTGATTACCAGCCAGACATGGTGGAGAAGCAGTCGAAGGCCGCGAAGTCGCTGTGTATGTGGACGCACGTATCCTGAGTAAAAACGTACCCACACCAGAGTCAGGATGGGGATTTTGCAACACAAACCTAGGAGTTTTGTGAGTCACGCATGACAAGTTGCGCTCTGCAGTGTAGTGCAGGTTAGCAAGTGCAGCCGCGTCACAGATTCATCTGCTCATCCTGTTCACAGCATCACAAATTCCAAAACACGATTGGAAATGGCTCTCATGGGGATGCGCATTACAAGTCTTCCTGTCTTTGCAAATCTGCATTACAACCCTGGTGTGGGGACGTTTTTACTCAGGATAGCACGCGATGGACATCTACTCGAAAGTCGCCAAGGACGTGGAGCCGAAGCGGCAGAAAGTGAAGGAGATGAGCGAGTTGTATCAAATGCAAAAATGTCTGGGTCTGGAAACTTGTGATGCTGAATTGCGCATGATTGAAGCGCTTCCAATGGCAGCCAAGCATGACAAATTTTTGAGAGGCCTGCTGATGCCTAGCACGCATTACAAATTGCGTTTTTGCATGACAAAGAAAGCCTCTGTTTTGCTGCTCATGCAACACAGATTCTCCGGGAATGCATGACACCCATTACAAGTTCCACTTTTCCAGACCCAGACATTTTTACATTTGATAAGTCGCTGGACAAAGCAATGTCCGATCTGAAGGAGAAGCAGGACGCGTTGCAGGAGATTTTGGACAAGGTCGCCGGGTTGCAGAAGCAACTGGACGATACGATCGCCGAGAAGAACAGTTTGATCGAGGAAGCGGCGCTGACCGAATCGCGGTTGAAGCGTGCGGGAATTCTGACCGTCGGACTGGCGGACGAGGGGGTCCGATGGGCGGCGACGGTGGAAGTGATCAAGCAGGAGATCGTGTTTCTGACTGGGGACGTCTTCCTGTCCGCCGCGGCGATTTCCTACTACGGTCCGTTTACCGGCGACTACCGGCAAGACATTTGCACGAATTGGACGGCGGCGACGAAGGCAAACAGTATTCCGTGCGGGGAGGTATTCGATTTGAAGGAGATCATGGGCGACGCGGTGCAGATCCGAAATTGGAACCTGCAGGGGTTGCCCACCGACGCCGTGTCCGTGAACAACGCGATTCTCGTCACCCGCGGGAAGCGGTGGCCGCTGATGATCGATCCGCAGGCGCAGGCAAACAAGTGGATCAAGAAGAAGGAGGGGAAAGAGCAGAAAGTGATCAAAATGACCCACCCGAAGATGCTGCTGTTTTTAGAGAATTGCATCCGCATGGGGCAGGCACTGATGCTGGAGGATTTGGGTGAGACGCTCGATCCAGCTTTAGAGCCGATTCTGCAGAAAGCGGTGACGGAAGTGAACGGGAGGAAAGTGATCAAAATCGGTGACAATGAGGTGGACTACGACTTTAACTTCAAATTGTATTTGATCACGAAGTTGGCCAACCCGCACTACTTCCCGGAAATTTGCATCAAGGTCACCATCATCAACTTCACCGTGACCATGAGCGGGCTGCAGGAGCAGCTGCTGAACGTGACGGTGCAGAAAGAGATTCCGGACAAAATGGCGATAGTGGAGGAGTTAGTGCTGCAATTGGCGGAGGATAACAGCATCCTGCAAGATTTGGAAAACGAGATTTTGAGGTTGCTATCTGAGTCTGAGGGCAACATTCTAGATGACGAAGTGCTCATCTCGACCTTGCAAAAATCAAAAATCACGTCCGCAGAGGTGAACATCCGCGTTGCGGATGCAGAAAAGACGAAAAAGGAGATCGACGAGGCGTGCACACTGTACACCAGCTTGCCAAAAGTCGGCGCCATCCTCTACTTCGTCATCGCGGATTTGGCGAACATCAATCCAATGTACTAATAGTTGGCGTGGAATCAACACACTGTGTGTCTCTTTTTGTATTGGTTTCTGTCTTCATTTTTTTCATGTCTTGAACACTGCATCAAAAAGCAAAGAAGAGCGTTCGTTTTGCGACACTGTGGGCAGTGCTGCATGCGAAATTCTCTACGGCAATGGCAATGCTCAGGTACCAGTTTTCGCTGTTCTACTTCATGAAGCTGTATGACAAGTGCTTCAAGACCGCGAAGAGACCGCCACTTACGCGAGGCCAGGACCCGCTGGCGACCAGACTGAAATACGTCTACGAGGAGATCCTCGGCAGCATCTTCATCAACGTGTGTCGCGGATTGTTCGAGGACACGAAATTGATTTTCAGTTTCATGATTTTGTCCTCCATCCAGCGGTCAGAACAGCAGTTGGTCTACCCACTGTGGAGCTTGCTCCTGCGAGGGATCGGGCGCCTGGACTTGAGCAAGAAGCCACCAAACCCAGATCCGGAGTTTTTGCAAGACAAGGACTGGGAGTACGTCTACGGCATCCAGGAGCTGAGTGGTAAGTAGTGTGCGCAGGTGGGAGGTGCTCTTCTGACTCACTTGAACTGGGTGTTGCGGATGCTTCTGGTAATTTTATGAAAGAAGTCATAACTCGTGGTTACCCGCTTACTAATTACGCACACAGGCGGCGCCTGCCACGATTTGTGCCAGCACGTCGCGGACCATAAAGATGAGTGGATGGAGTGGGCGGACGATGACGATCCGCACCTGATTCCGTTACCGTGTGACTACGCCGAGACCCACGAGTTGCAGTACTTTCATCAGATGCTGCTGACCAAGGCGATGCGAGCGGAGAAGGTACTTGATCATGTGCATCGACGTCAGTTCTTGATCACCCTTGATAGTCAGCATGAGAAGTTTTTTCATCACAGAAAAACTGGTATCGCCTCTGAGGTTGATGAGTATGAAATGTGCTTCGAACAAATCGCCATCAAATGAAAACAGCTTTCCCTCGCAATCCAAGAGTACGTGAACTTCTCTCTTGGGGAAGGCTTCGTCGTGTTCCCTTCCGCAACCATGGCAGAAGTCTACGCGGATACCACGAAGGCAACGCCGGTTATCTTCGTGCTCGTCACCGGTGCAGACCCCACTGGTATGCTTCTCCGTTTCTGCGTCGAGATGGGGAAGGACGAGACCCTCGGTGTGATCTCGCTCGGGCAAGGGCAGGGTCCCAAGGCACAAAAGCTGATCGAGAACGGGGCCAAGGACGGCAGCTGGGTGCTGCTCCAAAACTGCCATCTGGCGGTGTCCTGGATGCCGACACTGGAGAAACTGTGCGAAAATCTGGAGGAGTCGAACACGATTAACAAGGAGTTCCGCCTGTTCCTCACCTCCATGCCCTCGGCGAACTTTCCGGTCCCGGTGTTGCAGAACGGCGTGAAGCTGACCAACGAACCACCGAAGGGGATGCGGGCCAACATCAAGCGGTCTTTAATCACTCTCACCGATGACGACTTGGGGATGGAATCCGGGAGCAAACCGCTCGCGTGGAGGAAGATTCAGTTCTCACTCAAGATGTTCCACGCAACCCTGCAAGAGAGGCGAAAGTTCGGGCCGCTCGGGTTCAATATCCGCTACGAGTTCAACGACAGCGATCTGGAGTGCTCGACCGAGGTGGTGAAAAATCTATTGGAACTAGACGGCGACGTGCCGTGGGACACCATCAACTTTGTGGTCGGGCAAATCAACTATGGAGGCCGCGTCACGGACGACAACGATCGGAAGTGTTTGATGGCGATTCTGGCGAATTTCATGAACCCGAACTGTCTTTCGGACGACCCCAGGTACGCGTTCTCGTCCTCGGGAACGTACGCCATCCCCGATGGGGACCTGGGGAAAGTGGACACTTTTATCAAAGGAAAAAATCCTCCCTCCCCATATCGAAACGAAGTTTCTGATGCTGGAGTTGCGTACACAAATCCGGTCTGTCTTGCTGGAGAGGACTGCAGGCATATGCCAAGCCTGAGCCGAGAGGTTTTGACGTAGGCGACTAGCGTGGCAAATGTCTACGCTGTAAGCCCAACAGCATTACAAACCGCCTGCATAATGCGGCGGACTCTCTGGCTTTGCGTTCTTGCAAGATAGACAGAACTTGTGGCCACAAAGCTGCATCAGGTCAGGTCAGTCCAGCTTCGGGAAGGGTATCCGGAGTTGGGTTAGCTTCGGCTTTCTCTTGTGTATTCGAGGGCAGTGGTTGGCGGAGGTTGTTGGGATGTTCCTAAACAGTCATCCCAGAGCATTTGTGTTCCTTTCTGACTTCCTCATTTCCTGTGCAGTGTTTTACTGCATTATACGAGCGCCACCCTCGTTTCATGTATGACCTCCAGGGCTACGCGCGACCCCTCCGACGCTGCGCGTGGAAGGAGGATGTTCGGCGTGTCGGGGGTGAGGGACCCCCGACGGCTGGCCTGCGGATATCGGGAGGAAAGCAGGCACAAAGCTGCATCACAAATTTTCAGACGGATGCGCTTTCAATATGGGGAGGGGGGAGCTTTTCTTGCGATAACTTTCCGGGCGTACGCGGAAAGACTACCACTCACAGAACAGCCAGAAGTCTTCGGGATGCACGAAAATGCGAACATCAGCTTCCTACAGATGGAGGTATGATCGATAGGATTGTTTTATTTAGAGATGAGAAGAGCATCTTCGTCACGCTGCTACTGATTCTGATTTACTGCGCCAGTCTTGCGGGATTTAGATAGGTAGTGCGATGAGTTGTAACAAAAGCCGTTGTTTATGTTTTTGTTTTCGATCGAAAGCCCAACGCAGATCAGAGTCAGTCAAAGAATGATTGCACCCACCACAGGCCGAGAAGACGCTCAATGTGATCCTCGAAATCCAGCCGCGAGAAGCAGGTGGTAGCGGCGGAAAATCGCCTGAGGAGGTCGTGCAAGAAATCGTGCAGGTAGCTTTCTCTTGTGAAAATAGAAAAAAGACGCGGACATCAAATGATCAGACAGTTGCACCTCCGCTTCGAGTACTTATCATGATGAACACTTCAACTATCATCTTTCGGGTCTGAAACCGAATGAGGATACGTTACTTTACTTTCGTTCTGCTGACAGTCCAAGCCAGAATCACAACGTCTAGCCGCGCACCCACTGCCACTATGATGAATACTTCAACTATCATCTTTCGGGTCTGAAACCGAATGAAGATACGTTACTTTACTTTCGTTCTGCTGATTCTAAACGAGCTTGCATAGCTAAAACCAATTAACACAAAAACAGGATCAGAAAGGCCGCGTGCCAGAGAAGTTGACAGAAGAGGGCTGTCACCCAACGACCTTCGCGAATCTGATCAACAAGGACGGCGTAGAGGGCATGACAAACCCTATGGGCACAGGTACACATGTGTAGATTTCTCACGTGCTGTGCCGTGCTTCCTGCCGAAAATCCGCAAAGAAACTATTGACTCCGCTTCCGGCGGAGGCACGAAAAGTACGCAATTTTTCCTAATTCCGCAGGTTTGCGCCAGGAGATGATTCGCTTCAACAACTTGATTGCGCAAGTGGGAAAGACGCTGGGCGAGCTGGAGAAGGCCATCAAGGGTTTCGTCGTTATGACCGCAGATCTCGACGCCATGTTCTCTAGCTTACAGAACAACCAATCGCCCGCACTGTGGATGAAGGTTTCCTACCCGAGTCTGAAGCCACTCAGCAGCTAGTACTGTCTTCCTTATCGGGCTCTGCTGTGTTGCGCATGTTCGCACTTCCTTGCGCGATTCCCTGTTGCATGCACGTGCGCGATCCTTTTAGGATTTTCGGTGTGCAAATTGAAGTTGATGTGATGTCTGTCATTATATAAAATATGAACGCACCACTAGATCGATCTCTGTTCTGAAACTAACCTGATCGCACAACAGCTACGAAGACTTCATTGACCGTGTGGCGTTCTTCGACGGGTGGGTGAAAAACAACGTACCGCCGTGCTACTGGCTTTCCGCCTTCTTTTTCCCGCAGGGGTACCTGACGTCGGTGCAGCAGAACTACTCGCGCACGAACGTGATCCCGGTTGACATTCTCTCCTTTGAGTTCCAGCCGATTGAGTTTGACGATCCCGCGACGTTTATCGCCGCTCAGAAAGCGGACCCGGAGAACTACAAGTTCGAGGGTATTATCGCGTACGGGATGTTCTTCGACGGGGCCAAGTGGGACATGGATAACATGTGCTTAGCGGATATGGATGTGTCAGGATCGAAATCGACAAAGTCGAAAAATTTATGATGCATAAAATGTAGGGCACTGAAGGCCTGTATTGGGGAGCACGCAAATGAGACCGATTGTAATCCTGTTTAGGGGTATCCAATGTGCAGCCAGAGTAGCATTACAGGAGGAGTCTTCTTTGCCCAAACAGCATGACAGACTGGATTTGGGTACTCCCGAAATTTGTCATGCGCCACTTGGAAACTGAGGCTCCAGCTGACATCGATTTTGTGCATCAGAAATGTTTCGATTTTGTCAATTTCGATTCTGACGCTTCCATAGCGGAGCAGGACTACGGGATCATGTACAACACGTGTCCCTTGATCAATTTCATCCCCTCGAAAGACCACAAGATGGATCCAGACAAGTACCTGTGTCCCTTCTACAAAACCTCCATCCGGGCGGGGACGTTATCCACGACGGGTCACTCGACCAACTTCGTGTTGCCCATCGAGATGGACACGATGGAGACGCCGAGCTTCTGGACTTTGAAGGGAACGGCGTTACTATCCATGTTGAATGTGTAGGGACGGGGAGAGGGCGGAACTACAATGAATGCTGGGACCACCGCAAAAATAGAAGAATTCGAGAAGAAAGGTGTTTGCTTTCTATTATACTCCTGTTGTTTCAAAATCAAGTCATGTCTGTTTCCAAAATCAACATCAAGGTCGCAAAGATCAGTCAAGTTGTACTTACGCAGATTTAGTAGATCGGTGTAGCTGTGGATGTGTGAGCATCGTGCAGAGGAAGAGAGTTGTGGGTTGCAGACTCTACAAAGAAAAATGGTAAAGAATCCCTTACGATTCGTTCGTTTCTTCACGGAAATAGTTGAATTTTGATTATACGCCAGAGATGCCGCCGTGCTCATGAACAGCGGCGGCTTATCACCAGCATTTTAGAACGTGATCAATACAAGAATTTTAGAATCGTTGCTCGATTCATGTCGGTCCTACAATGTTTCTTTTCTACCAGAATGCATCGTATGCAAAAAGTAAGATCTGCTCTAAACAACGCCACTCCTAGCACGAGTGGTAGCATGTATACCAGGACTTTTTGTCTTGACTCTTACCAGCTTTGTGATAGTGGATAGATAGATTCAGATACGCTACACGCAGAGTCTGGCAGATTACATTTCTTAGTCGGCGCCATGAAGTTCGCAGAATGTGCATTGTCCGTGTGTCCTCAAGAGCTGCTCTCAGAGAACTTTGTGTTTGTGTTGCAAGTGCACAGAATTGACTTCGAGTTAGTGCCAAGCCGAACTTTCACTGAATGCATCCAAGAAAGCGAATAAGAAAGATTTCGAAGATGGTGTACTTTTTTTTGTGGTCATCTCGCGCGATATGTGCGTTGCGTGTTTTGCGCTCACGTGCACCACTTCGATGCGACGGAACGTACTGCAAGCTCAAGCAAGGAGCGGATCCTCAAATTACAAAAATTCCTAACGAAGCTCCCCCAGCCTCGGCCAGTAACAGGGCTTGGTTGGTTGCCCGTCCGTGTCCTTTGAGTCCGTGTCGTGGTTTGATCTGTCGATGATGCGCTACGTGTTTTCCTATTTTCCAATTCTGCGACAATTCCAACTATAATCAAAAAAAACGCTTCAGTCCACTGCTCGAAAGATCGTATCTTTTCTCTCAGTTGTCCCTTGTTTCTCCAGCTTTGCGCTAACACAAAATCAGCCAAAATGTCCCAGCAAGGAACGGTCAAATTCTTCAACTCCGAGAAGGGCTTCGGTATACTTTGATTGTCAGTGATGCCACGGAGTTTTGAACATGTCGCTCTTATGCCGAGCGATCGAATATGATGATTTTTCTTTATGTGTGCTGTTCAGCCCCGCGGATAGATCATGTGTATTCAAAAAGGAACAAAATTTTTTGCAAATCAGGCTTCATCACGCCGGACCAGGGTGGCGAAGACATCTTCGTCCACTTTTCCGCCATCGAGTCGCAGGGATACAAGAGCTTGAACGATGGTATAAAGTGCTTTGATGGCCTGATGCTTGGTTGACAGTTTGAGATGCAAATTGCCATTGATTTCATTTTCAGGGGATTTTCTGGATATTACTTTTGTACTACACGTAGATGAAAATATCCAACTCAGGTGAAACCGTGAACTTCGACACTATGTGGGACGACCGCAAGCAGAAGTCTTGTGCCTCCAACGTGACCGGGCACGGAGATGGTGTCCCGCGCGCCAAGGGCGGAAAGGGAAAGGGCAAGGGCTTCGGCGGAAAGGACCAGGGATACGGCGGTGGCTACTGGTAAATCACTTCACCCTACACGACAATGCGGAAGAATCTTACGGTTTTTCGGGAGATTTTCACCCGTCGTTGATGTGAATGTGATATGGGCTCTAAAGGTAAAAAGAGAACTGGATCTTCTATATCTGTGTTGAAACCGGCTAGATTTTGGAGAAACAGCAGCTACTGAGCTGCAGTCTCACCCTTTGCAAGGAGTTGCGAACACTGTGTGCGAGCGACCTCTTGCGAGGATGCGCTTGTAGTCTCGGGCTCTGTGTGCTCGAAAAAAAAGCTGCTGAGTTTTTTAAAATTAGAATGCATTGTTTTCTGATGAATACTTCTTTACTACTACTCAACAAAATGGCATTGAAAATAGGAACAATAGAGAGGTCAACTAAACACTAATGGTACATGATGGCACGAATCGACACTACCGTCGCTCAGACAGATAGTAACCGATAGAAACGGCACAATGATAGCGCTTTCACAGCACTCGAACACGGAAGTGGGATGTGAGACTCCCCATTAATTGGATAGATGTTTTTGATTGTGTATACACAGCGTTTGTTGAAAGATGTTTTCTTTTGCATCAGACTGTAATATGCGATTCTTAATACTCTTCCAAGGATGTAGTTGTCAAAATAGCTCCTGCAAGCACATGCACTCCATGCTACGCTGCACTCCGAAAAAGAATCACTGGAATCTAAATCTACGAAGGGACTGGCTTTTGGCATTGGAGTACAAAACTCTTGTATAATGATGTCAAAATCGAAACAAGATTGATGGATAGTGTAAATAAAGATCGAAAGGTAGATTTTCTTACCCAGCACGCCTGTAACTTGTTATATGGATCGCGGGAACAAAAAACATATCTTTGGTTTCAGCAGAACACTACTAGCTTGCACCACGAAGAAGCACGCTCTACACTCTGAAGACCTGAGGGGCTGTCCCTGGCCGCTCTGACACTGATACGAACATCGTGGTGCAGACTCTTGGTTAGCCAGTCGAACGTGAACGAAGGATGCAGGAACGATTTTCGTAGACCTCCCTGTTCCTATGGGAAATGGAGAAAAACAGAAAAAAACACAAAGTCGCAAACAGTCCGGCAACTGCGTTTTGCCAGGTGGAAGTGATTCATCTCGGGATTGTGTTCTACTTGGCGAAGAAAAAGTACTTCTTATTTCGGTTCTCACTTATTAAGCGCCCCAGGACGATCCGCACTTTGACTTTCTCACGGTTTCTTTCCGCCGCGTCTTCTGTTTCTTTCTTATTTTCTTTCATCGCTCGGTGATTGTCCTATGTTTCCCTTATTTCCGGATTCTTTTTGGTGCTTCAATGATCGCATTTGCAAACATGATCTTGGTGTCGCACAGTATGTACTGATCGATCGACGTGGGAATCTTTCATGTTTACACCTGATAGATCGTGTATAGCTCCGAGTCTTTGAACAATTTCTCGGGATTATTAACGAGGGCCACCGATTTCAAAGCAATCGGTTTAAGTAGTTGACAGCGTGCTACTCCTAAATATGTTCTCGCAAATTGTGCCCAAGGCGTTCGTCGACGAGGACCCACCCGTGTTTAGGGGAGAGGCGGGAAGTAAGTCAGTTTTTTTTCCCCTTGAAATTGTAGGCTCACGCTCACGTGCGTCTTTTTGAATCTGCACCCACTAGTCCTTTTCGTTACTTATTCAACAATCTACCCCTCACAGGTGATCCGAGCGACGACGACTCGGAGGTGGACTATTGCAGCGATGGAGGCGATTCAAAAGGTGAAACAGTGGCAACAAAGACTATACTGGGTTCGTGGACCCAAAGTGCTGAGCAACACGACTACGGGTCGGCCCGTCTCTCGGCTTGTGGCCGCGAGATTGATTTGGAGCGGAAGAAGAGCACGTTTACCAATTTTTTCTCGCCCACAATCCCGCACACTGGGAGGCGCGTTAGCGTCGTCGACCTTGCCGTTCCGAAAGTCCGCAGGTCTTCCTGTTGCAGTCACGTTTGCGCGCTGTTTACGATGCTCGTTGTGGTCGGGGAAATCGCCAGCTTGTTCGACGTGTTTGCATTCTTCGTGCCATCGTGGCCAGTTACGGACAGTAAGGAAGCTTGGATAGGCCCACCCGTACTGGTATTTTTAGCCCTGCTATGGCACCCGGGATGTGGCATTGTGGAACGAAGCACTGACGTGGGACTGGTACGCGTGTTTCGTTGTTGGCATGATGCGATGTTGTTGTAGTACGCTCTGGTAGGGTGGTTCTAGTTCGATGGCTACTGGATCTGGATGAAGCTTGTGGCGCGCTAGGTTCGAAAAGATCGTTTGTACTTGTAAGACTCACTCCTGCCACTGGGGAAAAAGAAAAATTGAAATCTACAGCTGCTCTGGCAGCCGGAAGGCCGCCGACAACAGACAGACATTGTCTTTTACCTGCGGAAAAAGTACGGCTTTTTTCTCGCTTTGACGGGCGTCGTGTTGGTTCTACTCGTGCCGTGTCGGCAACTCATGGATGGAGGTAGCATGCGGAAACACGTGCTGGCGGTGGGGCTGGTACAGAAGTTTTTGGGGCTCTTCATGCAGGTTTTGCTTTCGTCGTACGAAGAGGAAGAATAAAGCGGAGGCCTCTACCACACTGAACATCTTCCTCATTTGGGAAATCATGGAACTGACCACTGGTTCAGTCCTGTTCGCCCACAGTTCAGTAGAGCAGGTCAATTTTGCGCGACTTTCTATTTGTGCCATAATTTTCCTATGCAGCATTTGCATTGAGTATCTTTTACACAGTAAGCGAGCAACGATAACAGGCACGCTTCAGATAGAAATTAATAGATAAAGAAGTACTATCAATGAATTTGACTAATGTAGTAACGGCTCCTTAATATCAAAATCAATGAATGTGACTAATGTAGTAACGGCGAGCCATAATGTAAATTTTCCTGCTGTCATCGCGTCTGATTCCTTATGTGAGTGTCTGCTGAAAATCTTCTCGACGGCTTTCGAAAAATGGAGGACCTGCTGAGATAGGTATGTAGGTAAAGAAAAATTCTCTAGAATACAGGCGATCTGAGCTGTAGTTGACAGTGGTATCTATGTAGTGCTTTGAATTTCTCTGATGAAAAGAGAACAGAGCCCTGAAGATATGAGAAGTCGGACTAGCTGGGTTTTTCTTTTGTCATGCCACGCCTCTCGTGTAGCACTGGCGCCGGCCGCTAAAAAAGAGCCCTGAAGATAGTCCTGCCAATGCGTGATGTAGTTTTTTAAGAATGGCTGCTGGAAGCCGCGCAATTAAGCGAAAACTTTCGACGGTGGATACGCGCTGTGACCGAGAATTTTCTGACTCTGAAGTAAGCGCAGTGTAGTTTAGGACACATTTTTCGGCAGCTGATTGGTCTGCGCGTGAGTTTATCCTCCGCAGACTCCGCTAGCGAGCATTGCGCGTTTTGCAAAATTCTGTTCTACGTCTGTGGGAATGGAAAACTTCCGCACCGGAGTCGGGGTCGACTTGATCGTGACTGCAATTTAGAGAGCGTGAGTAGAAAGTATTTGGGTCGATATTCGTCGTGTCGTCGAGAGAAAAATAAGTCAGGGAAGGATTCGATCTTCGTAAAGGGGACAGCACCCGACCTGGGGGATACATACATTGTGCTTTGAGAAATAGACATACTGTCGCTTCGCATCAAAACAATCCTACCAACAGGACCACACTCGATAAATTGAGTTATCGCATTCGTCGCCTTTTACTGCTATCGTAGAGTGCGTAAGGGAGAAGCAGGAAAGTATACGAACACTCGTCGTATGTGTATGAATCCGTAAACCTCATGCAATGATACTTACCATACGAGTAGCAGACTGGGTTCTTGTAGCGTTTGCGCGCGCGTTGGCAAAAGTGCCGTAGAAAGGTCTGTACTCGTAGGTATCGATCGATCGAGAGGAAAGCCTTTGCGCGGCCTTTTCGATTTTCTACCAACACAGGATGGGCGGAGTTTGTTGCTGTTTCGTGCCGGATGACGCTCCGGACGAGATGACAAACCTGTACACGGACAAGAGAGGTAATTTAGGCACATAGTGCGATAGGTTTTGTGCGCGGATGCCTACTTACCAAAGTGATCGACATGATAGGTGGATGTCCCCTTTTTGTTTGGAATGGTGCATGACCAGGTAGTACTGATGTTTGCACACGAACAAAAATACAGGTGCGGGATTTGGGAAAATGATGAAAGAAGAATATGAGACCGTGGAGACGGGCTACACAAAGGAAGAGTACGACATGGGCTTGGATGAGGTATTCGCTTTACTGCGTTTCCACAATCGATCATCACGCATTTGTTCAGTTTTATCTTGTAGTGCATGAGATCAGTAGGAGGAGACATCGATATCGAAGGAACAAGCTTCGATAATATGCAACATCGCATAAAACAAATCAACAAAAACAGCAATCCGAGACGGTGTGGCAAGTCGGGGCGACGTACGCGTGACACTGCGCGCATTTCACCGTAGTTGTGGGATGTGCTACTTTATTCCCTCGAAAAGAGTATAAAAATTGGACTTGAGACTTTCTGTATCAAACCGGTTCTTTTGTACAAATATTTTTCTCTTACGACTGTACCAAAAATGCCAAATTAAAGGCGCCTTCGCTTTATTTCCAATCTGTGCTTGAATTGGCTATCTACTCGCAGTCTATCCTACAAAACTAGTTTCATCTTGGCAATGACAAGCGCATCTTCGCAGTTGATTTAGTGATGCGACTGGTACTACCGACAGGCTACGGGCATTGGTTTGTCAGGAATACCGGTCCTAGCAAAATTGATTGTTTTCGGCACTTTCCTTTTCCTATGTATGTACAAGTATTCCGCGAAAACAAAATTAGATAAACGTATCCAAGATAAAAATGTAAAACTCTCGAGAGCATGAGCAAAACGCGCACCCTCTTGCTTTAGATTGATGGAACAACTGCTCACTGCCTCACCGCTTGTTGTCCAAGTAGCGACGACTACCGCATCCGAGCTGACACAGTGTCGTGTGTGGCCTCTCTCCTATTGTTCGTAGGACCAACTCTCTCTCGCTGCGTAATCGTATAACTCTCATTCTCAATGTCGCTCGTGCTCAAAATATACTGTGAATAGGCCGTGCCGTTTTTGTCGTTGGCTGCTTTCCATGAATGGATGAGAGGGCTGTAGAAGAGAAAGTCGTCGTGTTCAGACGCTCTCGAACAGTTCGTCGCGAAGTCGTAGAAGGTGTCGTATGTCCATTTGGGGTTGCATTTCTTCTCCCATCGACGTCGTTCATGTTCACTGTGTGAGTGTCAATCGAAGGACGGAAGTTGCAAAACTGCTACATCGTTACATCGTTCTCTTTTGTGTGTTTCGCTCTCACTCTGTCTAGCGCCAGTCCCAGTTGTGTACCCCTGCTACTTAAACACTCTCAGCAGGATGTCCTCGCCGGAACAAAGTCAGTATGGCGCAGCACTCGTTGGTGCGCCGGTGGCAGCGACAGTGTCTTCGCCAGGAGCAGCGATGGTGTCGTCCCCGAGAGCAGGAGCGCCTCCGTTTATGTCGCCACGGTCCGGCTCGATGTCGCCGAGGGTGCTCATGTCGACCGTGCGCAGGGACGCCACAGCAAGCACAAGCTTGATCCGCGGAACGGAGAGGAGCGACGGACAGCAGATGAACATTAAGGACGTGTCGATGTACGAGATGAAATACGAACCGTGCCCCACAGCCTGTTGCTACTACGCCAACGCAAGCGACCCTAGGATATTATCCCACAGAAAAAAGCTTGCAGGGCATATTTGTAATGCAAAAATAAATACACAGAAAATAAAAATCTGTCATGGGCGGCCTCGTAGCATGCTATTTACGATATGCAATACAATTTTTTTTGTGTATTTACTTTTGCATTACAAATATGACCTGCCCGTTTTTTTCTGTGTGATAGATATGCGTCTGTACCCAATACGGATGCAATGGCTACAGCGTCGTGCCGAATCTCGCGACAGTCGGCGGCCGCCGCATTGCAGTAATGATTTTGTTGGGTGTGGTTCTTCTCATCTTCGGCACGATTTCTTTTGGTAGTGGTGCGTGGCTCTCGGCGCTCCGAGCAAAACTTGCGAGTCGCCTTGTTTCCTAGGTGTTGGGTGGACAACAAAAGGGGAGCGGATTCATTATCTACGGAGTGAAACAGTGTAGTTCCGGATCTTGCCGTTGGCTCTTTCATTTCTTGACGGTGATTCTTTCGAAAGAAAATGTATGTTGAAAATCTACTGTACAAAAAAACGGGTTTCTTTAAATCGCTCATTACCTCCTCTCTCTGTATCCAAAAAATCTTCCTCGTAACGTGAAATTATCCCAAATGTACTTTCTATCCAGCAGACCCAAATAAAATCATTCGGCGTAGGACGACACAGGTCCGATTCAAAATCAGATCGTGATGATCCCAATTAAGGCGCGCCATCGAATTTCCTTTGCCGGAAACTCCGTTTTTGCTGATGATTCCACTGAATTTGTTCCACGTGCCAGTTGTTATATGATAGCGATCTGGGTCTTGCAGCTTGGATGAACTTGAAATGTTATTTCTCTCTTATCGTTTCGTTTTCTTCATCAATTCGCAATGCTCAAATGATTTCACAACTCCAAGCAGCTATTGTCGTCAAACAAGGAACAACACCCACGCTACGTTCAACATCGGTTCCTGCCATTTTATTAGCCTACTTAGATTCCTTTCGATTGTCGAATTAGAATGGCTGCCGGAGAGCATCCAGACCATGCGACTGCGCGGCTCCGCCGTTCTCCGCGGCAGCGCCGGGAGCGCGCGAATGCCTACCCGTCCTGGCCCGCCCCGCCCCCCTTTGCGTACTCCAACCTGAAAGAGCCGCTGGTGCGAAATAGCGAGGGCCGGCTTCGGGTCGGCGTTGGCAGTCGAGATTCTTTCTCCGACGAAGAGATGCTCCGGGTAAAAAATCTGCACCTAGACTGGTTCCCTGTACGGTACGATCAAAATTTCTACGAGGACGTGCAAAGGGGGAAGGTGCTGTCCATCACGGCGCATACGAACAGCACGCCAGAAGGTGAAAGCGCAAAGAAGATTGTGGGCCTTCTGTGCCTCCGGTACGACTTGGCGGCCAGGGCCGACGTTCCGCTCGCCTTGGGTCTCGGCCCGAGGTTTCTGTACATCGCTACCTTGGGTGTGGCGCAGCAGGCCCGGGGATTGGGATTGGCAAAAGCGTTGGTGCAGCACGGTTTAAACATGTTTGAACCGGGGCGGAGCTGCAGTGCATCTACTTCGGGATGTACAACAGCAGCCTCTAGCTCCGTCGAAGTCGGACTTTCCTCGTCGTGCTGGGATAATAGTAGCGCGAGGAGAATAACGCACGTGAGAGGTACAACAAGTCATGATGACACCAGTGGAAGAGCAGTTGAAGATGTGCACCCCGCAACATTCGTGAAAGCGGACGAAGGCAACGGGAGCTGCGAAGCGACCACCATTCAGTTTGCGCCAGCGAAGACAGACGCGCAGAGGTTTTTGGAAAATACAGGGCAGAGGAGCGACTTTGTCGGAATATATCTGCATGTCATCAGTTTCAACACGCAGGCACAGAGGCTGTATGAAAAAATGGGCTTTCAGTTTTACCGCACGCAGCGCGATTTCTATTACCTGAATGATCGGCACTGGGACGCTTACACGTATGTATACTTGTTTGACAAGAAAGCACACGGCGATTTGAGTGGATCCAGGATCAGATGAAGGACAGTAGAGCATGTGAGCTACATTGAGAAAACCAAGTTTGGTGAAAGATATCGCGCAAGTGCGCAGACAGCGACAAAATACATCAACGAAGCGCATTGATTGATCTTTCCGGATCCGAAAAGTCGCAGAAGCGCACAGGTGGTAGCGTGAGACAGCGATAATTGTCAATTTGTTCATGGGCGGTCGGTGTGCTGAGGTTGAGGTCTCGGCTGGTACTTACCAGATCGGTTACAATAAGGGGACATGGAATCGGACTCAAAGTGGATTTTTACATGGTGGGGAAATAGATGGCTGTGAATACAAAATGGAACAATCGGGCTTCTTTTTTGCAATCGTTCCTATTTTGCGCACAGACAGTAACAAGCCAGGTGAATTCTAATGTAGAGTAGAATCGTGCTGTCCAGATATGATTTCGTTCGGGCTTTTTTGATGTAAGAAAAAAGAGAGGCCCCGCTCTTTCACGCGATCCGATGAGAGTGCGCAAGCCCCCACCCTGGTAGAGTGACGGGCGAGTTGAGTGACGTGAGGGGACTATGGTACGTCACAAATAAGTCCTCGTCCCGAAGGCGACTGGGTAAATAAAAGAATCATGGTCCAAGCGGTTTACGAAAAAATGGAGGACCAGTCCTCTCCCTCGTCTGTGCCACTGCCGAGCGTGCTGAAGATGAATCGGGTGTTTAGCTCGATTTTTCTGCAACAGGATCTGCCGAACAAACTGGAAGAGAATCCGCGGAAGACGCAACAGGCGGTACTGGAATTCTTGCAGTCTTTCCAGCAAGAGAAACTTTCGACTGCACTGAAGGAGACCGGAAACGCCTGCGCGCCGCTCTTTGGAATCGAAGATGCACACCTGGAAAAGCTGGGGAAGCTGTTCGCGCGCTTTTGCGACTTGCACAGCGACCTCGATCCGCTCTGGTTCTCGTCCAAGAGGCTTGATGCGCAGCCGGTGGATGAAAAGAATTTGCCCGCTGCTGTGAGCAAGGACAGTGGTGCTTTCTTGCCAAAAACCGCTCCTGGAGCTCCTGCAGGTCGTGAGGCATCAGTCGGAAAAAAGGGGTTCTATGAGGAGGAGCGATCCCTCCGTGTCTTTTGTATGCACGACCATCCTTTGACGTACATCGAGGGAGTTCCCACTTGCTTCCGGCTGCGCAGCCACGATCCGCAGGTGGAGTGTCGGGGTCCGGGTTGCTGCTACCAGGATGAAGACGACGAGGTCCAGATGCGAAAAATCACGGAGGAAAAGATGTTTTTCTGCAGCGTATGCGAGTATGCGATGTGCATCCCCTGTGCGCTGGAACAGAACCCCCGAATAGGCTTAGATCCCGAAATGCACGCAAACCTAGCGGCGCGCGACGAGGAGGAGGAAAGAGCGGTGGGGTTTGGGATGTTCGGTGGCTTCGGGGCAAAGGTCACGCCCACCCTCCCGTACGACTTGGCCGACATTTTGCCCGCGGATTATCCGAACCGAGTCACGACCCCCGAGGATCAGTTTTTCCGCCCCATGACGGCCGCCAAGATCCGCGACAGCTTGCTGGAATTGGACAAAGCGGAGCAGTGGTGCTTCTACGTCCGGGCGCAGAATGCCGTGGTGTTTATGGAACGGCACCAAGAGGACGAAGACAAGGTGTACGTGTGTTCCTGGGACGTGGCCGTCTCGTCTGCCTCCGCCGTCCTGGGCCAAGGCGCGTCCTCCGGCGACGCAAACGATCTGAAGCAGCAGATTCCGCGTGCCCTGGCCAACCACCCGTTGAAATTGAAGCTGAAGGAAGTCGTGCGACTGGAAGACCTTCCGGCGCAGGAGGACGACAAGGAGCGGGAGGAAACGTTTCTGGAAAATTTCGACCTCTTCGACCCGGGCTGGGAGCAAAAGCTCGGCTGGGTGGACGGAATGCTGAAGCGGACACTGGATGCGAAGAAGAAAACGGCGAAGATGGACGATTTGCGGCGGAAAAAGATGAAGGAACGGCTGAAAAAGGAGAAGAAAAAGATGAAGCGGAAAACAAAACGCGCGTCGTCCGACTCCGACTCGGCGGGGAGCGCTTCTGACGACGACAGCGATTCCTCCGACGTGTCTTCGCGGGCTAATAATTCCGATCTCAGCGACGACTGGTTCATGGACGACTTCGATCTGCAACAATCCAGTGACGACAGCGAGGCGGAGCGCAAGCGGAAGTTGACCGCGCTATCCTATCTAAAAACGTCCCCACCCCATACTCAAGATGGGAAATCTCAAATCTGCTAGACAAATCAACCAGCTTTGATTGCTGCGCATGACAGGTTTGGCCTCGTAGTGTAGTCCTGTCCAGCTAGCTCCAGTAGCATAACAGATCTAGGACGTCATGCTGATTCAAGCATCACAAAACACGACTGGAAAATGCTTCTAATGGGGCTCCGCATGAGAAACATTTTTACCATGCAGATTTGCAAGACAGCTATGGGGTGGAGACGCTCTTGCATCGGATACGCGCCGGAGCCGGACGACGAGGTGGTCGAGGAGTTCGAGGCCACGCAGTCGCTCGGCGGCTACGTTTCGTGGGCGAGGATCACGACCCCGTCCTTCGCCTTACTTCTGTCCGACCTGTATTGGAATCCGCAGCGCTTGGCGACCTGCAAGCGGGCGGAAAAAGGCCCGGGGCAGATGGACTCGGACGTGGACAAACCGCAGTTTGTGACGGAGTTCCTTATGGCGGTGCTGGGGGGCGATTTGGTCTACGACGTGGGCGACGCAGTGCACTTGGTGGACCAGTTTCAGAGTAAGTGGAACCGGATGAAGGCCGAAGGAGATAGTGCCAATTGTTCGCAAGGGACGAGTGTGGTCGCTGCGGCCGCGGTTGCGAGCGCTGTGCCGGAAGTGGCTGCGAACACCGCATCTACTTCCGTCGTGCCACCAGGAGGGGGAAAGAAGGGAAAGAACTCGGGGGGAAAGCCGGCCGCCGTCGCGGTTGTCGACAATGCGCAGGAGAAAGCACCGCCGACCCTGTTGACGACGACTTGTACAAACGACAAGGGTGCGGAGGTCGTGCAAAGGTTGCACCCGGCGGTCCGCAATGCGGATTTTGATTGGGTGCAGAAAACCACGGCAGACTTGAAGAACAAAGAGGTTCGGATTGTCATTTTGGAAACTTTAAAGTTGACTATTCTATCAGAGCATTGATCATAGAAGCAATGTCTTGCACACATTGAGGACTACAGGAAGTAGAACATATGGATGGCACTCAAAAATTCTTACCCCGCACCAGGTCGATGCTTTGCTGATTTCGGTGCGAAAGAAGGTTCGCGACGAGTGTCGTTTGGACTCTATCATCGGGGAGCAAAATCTTGACGACGATGGCAAGGCCGTCCATCCGTTGCAGCGTCCCTGGCGGCGTGCCGCCGTTTGGATCGCACTGAAGCAGGTTCTGCACCTCGCCTGCGTGCGGCTGTACGGGCACGAAGCGCCCTACAAAATGCTGATGTTCGCGCTGCAGTCTTTCGCGCTGGAGAAAACGTTGCAGCAGGTGCAGGACGAGCTCAGACAGCTACAAGAAAATGAGGGGAACGTACTGAAGCGAATTGGCAAGAAACCGCAAGAGATTCTGTCAGACGCGGAGTTTGCGAAAAGGTGGATCGAGGGAAACGTACTGCAAGACGATTGGAACGAAGACAAACTTCCGTTCCAAAAAGACGACCTGTTCCGCGAATCGGAGACGGGAAGGCGGGTCTACATGAAAGGACGGGGGCGCGGCGCACAGGCGAGTAAGAAGAAAAAGTTCTTCTTTTTCGGCCCGGCACGACGGGACTTCACTCACGGGTACGGAGGTGACGAGGTTGAAATCGAGGTGGGGAAGAACAGCGGAAAGGAACAAATAAACTCCGAGCAAATAGATAGTACAAATGCAGAAAACAACTTCTGCTCTCCAGTGGTTGACGAGGCAATAATGGAAGATGCAGGACGAGGTGCATCAAGTACTAAGTTCGCTCCCTACACAACTTCTAAAAATGACCGCGTGCTGTTCTTTTGCTCGAGGAGACACCACACACCGACACCCTTGATACTGACGTGGGCGCCGCGGAATTATTCTTGCGACGGATGCCGCACTGTAAAGCCGTCCAGTGAGGGCTATGCGCACTGCGTCGTTTGTAGGTTGGATTATTGCCAGGAGTGCCTGTCCGCGTTCTACATGGACAAACAGCTACCAGTGGACCGGTGCATCTTGAAGACGGTGTCGCAGAGCGCGCTGGTGGAAGCTACCAGGAAGTTGGCGAATCGCTGGGAAAAGATTAAGAAGTACCAGATTTCTACTGGAGCGGCGGGTGAAAAAGTGGAGAACAAAATCTCAATCGGAACTATCCTGTTGCAACGAGCAGAGATGGTGTTGCCGCAACTTTTAGCTGCTTCTCCATACGATGAAATAGGAAGAAGACATCAATTATCGAATAATACACTCGCCGCAGCGAAAACCTCCTTGCAATCTATCTGCGGAACGGCGCTAGCAATTGTGGAAAAAACCAATCTTTGGGTGGAGAAAGAGCTCTGGAGCAAGCAATCGGAAGAAGTTCGCGCGCTTGCCTGCGATCCGACGAAGTTGAAAGCCCTCGTGCCAGCGGCAGGCGGCCCTTCTGCGTCGGTCGACGTGGCACACCAACTCCCGAATGCGAAGAAATTTCTCTTCCAGCTCCTGTCTCGTGAGCACGATCCGTACGTTGATAGGACCGCGAAAACCGTGCTGAGTCTCGCGACGGGAAAGCAGGCAGCTGGGGACGAGAGTGAACAAATCGTCATTGAGAATCCGAGTGTGGCGGTTCCGTTGTTTTTTCCGCGGTTCCAGGGCCCAATGAATTCCGCGGCGAACGTGCAAACGTACATCAGTATGTTGTGCCTCGCGTCGGAGAAGCGACCGCTCCGAGAGGCGGATTTAATCGCGGTGTTGGCGGATATTGACACTGCAGTATGGCACTTGTGGTATTCACTAGATCAAGAGTACAACAAACCGACGACAGACATAAATGCAAATAACTTCAGCCCTGCAGCGAGAACTACAGCGTCTGCTGTGCAAAAAAATCCAACGCAAAGCACGACCGACGTCCGGAAGCATCTGCTTTCCACCCGGCAAAAAGCGAACAAGAAGTCGCAGCGGATGCGGGACAAGGGGGAGATCGACGAGGACATTGTTTTGAACGAGAAAAAGCTGGAAATTGACAACGAGTTTTGCGAGAACCTCCTCGTTTTGATGCGCAAGTATGCGGAAGTGGGCATGATGTTTCACAACGTGCTTAAATCGAACGACTATCAAATGTAAAAGTGTCTGGGTCTGGAAACTTGTAATGCTGCGTTGGGAATAGTGAATGCTCTGTAATGCACAGCCAAGCATGAGAAAGGTCTGCGCTTCTTTGTGTTGCGTTTTTCGCATGACAAACTGCGTTTTTGCATGACAGGCAAAAGGTTTTCTTCTTGGACACGCATCACAAACTTTTTGGTCATGCCAGACAAGCATGACAAATCTTGTAATCTTCCAGACCCAGACACTTTTGCAATCCATAACGACCTGCTGACGACAAATTCCAGTTTCATCAAGGCTCACGATGTCCGGGGAAAGAGCCAAGTCATCTTGACCTGCTTCGCGATCATGTGCTACTTGGATAAGAAGGCCTGCAAGGAGTGGCCGCTGCTGCTGGAGCACTCCCTCGGGCAGAAGCTCTGGGGAATCTTGCAGCGAGGGGAGGACGACGATGAGGATTTGGATCAGAAGAGCAGCAACCTGGTTCCGGGCGTTCCTTTTTGGAAACTGACGGAGCGGCTGTATTTGACGACCAAAATGCAGAAGCAGCTCCTTCATGCCCTGGAAAAATGGCTCGTGGAGCGCGAAGCGGAGGCTTTGAAGCACAGCTACCCCCCCATTCTCGACGGATGTATTTTCGTGCCGAAAAAGCCGATGACCCCGCCAACCTGGACGGTGCACGAAGATGCGTTTTCGGTCCGCTTCGCCGAGCGCAGCAGCGAGATGCTGGAGTGCTACGCGGACCTGATGGCCGAGTGCAAACGAAGACAGGCCGAGAAGCTGGCGGAGAAGCGGGAAAAACAAGCCAAGTACGAGGCGTTGATGGACAAATTAGAAACCATGGCGGGCTGCACCTGTTCCGACGCTGCCCTTGCTGCCGCAGGGAAAAAGGCGGACAAGAAGGATGATAAGGACAAAGAAAACGACGATCATGATCTCGGCGGCGGGGGGTTTTTCGGCCCTTCGCTCTTCGGCGGGGGGCCGAGAATCCAGCGGTGCGAGCGCTGCCAGCTGGAGCAGCAGGCGGCCAATCTGAAGGTGGAGGTTTACGCCAGGCTGTTGCCGACCTGCGGCACGGAGTACGAGCGGAACGAGCACATGGCAATCATTTTCGAACTGCGCCAACCGGGCCTGCTTTCCTGCCAGCGGGACGCGCTGTACGAGTTCTGTCGCACGTTTTGCGGCGACCCCTCCGACAAAACTCGGAAAGACACGATTGAGATGGGGACGTTTTCGAACCCGAACGGCACCGTATTACCGTGAAAAATGCCCCCACCCCCAAAGTGGCAATAATTCGTGATGCCAAGTCTCCAAATGAAAACTTTTTGTCATGCATGAAAGGAATATGAAAATTTTTGTGATGCAGAGTCTAGGCGTATATAGCATTGCTTGCATGACAAGCGCGACTCTTGCTGGGATCTGTTGCAATACAGATCTTCGCTATTCAAGATTGGAAATCTGTGATGCTGCTAGATGCAAGAGCGAGTGTTTCTGTTGGAAAGGTTTGCAATGCAAGTGCTCCCAAGTTCGGGGGCGGGGGCGTTTTTCATTGTGATACACCGAAAATGACAAGCTCTACCAGTGGAAAGCGGACGAAGCGCTGAAAAAATGGAACCGGTCTCGCGTCTGCAAGATCAGGCTCGCGTCCAGCAAGCAAAAAGCGATCTGCCGCGGGACGAAGAAGTACTGCGAGTCTTTAGCGAAGGGCTTGAAGAAGTGCGAGTGCAACCTGCTGCACGTCGCCCGACACCCGACCTTTATTTCCAACCACGGGTTCAACACACTGGCGACGTTCGAGGGCGCGGATGGGGAGCAGCGGCCGCGCCTGAAGTGCAGCGTGGACGAGTGGAACTGGGTGTTGCAGAGGCGCTTTTGGCTGCGGTGCTTGACGCAGAAGAAGTACTCGGTGAACGTCGTGAGTAACGCGGTCGTTGCGGGGTCGGCGGCAAAAAAGGACGAGGGTGGGAAAAACAAGGGGAAGAAGAAGGACGACAAAAGTGATAGCAACCAGGGTGCGAACAAGGAAAAAAACCTTGCTGAGCAGTGGCTGAACGAGTGGACGCACGATGAGAATCAGGTCATCGCACAGAAGAACGCGGCCGACGAGGCGATCACCTTGAATGAATTCGAGGCGTTTGGGAAAATGCGCGCCGGGGTGCGGTTGCAGATGCTGCGCCTGGTGAAAGCGGTCGCGCAGAGGTCCTTGTCCTTCGAGAACCAGGACGTGGCGACGTTGATTCAATCCGTGCTGTGGCAAGCGGGGCCGGGGTACGATTTGGATCGGTCGAGCATCAAGCAAATCGAAAAAGCGTCGGCCGTGTCGGATGCGAACGTGTTTTCTCCGTTCTCAACCTTCACAGTTTTGGCGGAGAAAACGACAAAAACGTGGCGGCGACAAGTGTGCGAGTGGCTGCGGGATTCGGACTTTGTGCATGATTTCTGCGCGAAACACTTGAAGGAGCTGGTGTTTGACGTTTTGGAAAATTGGAGCAACCCGAACGTCCTCTCAACGGTGATTCTCATCGCGCGATGCAACTACGAGCACGCTGATGCGAAATCGCAAGTGTACCCGGCGGAGGTGTTGCGAACGTGTCGGGGGGTGTGCCAAAACTGGATCGAGCGCCTTTCCGCAGCAACGGCAAAGTGCGGCAAAAACGACAAGGAAATGCAAGAAATTCGGAAAAAAATCGTGCGCGTCGCGACCATGGGCACTCTGACGTTTGTTTCGACGGACGAGGTGCCGGGCAAGTGGGTGAAAAGTGGCGTAGTTGCTGCTATTACGAAGGACAACACTAAAACTAGCAAAGAAACTTCTACACAAGAAAAGCATGACTCCCAACCTACTGTGTCAAAGAAGGCAAAAGCAAAGGCAAAAAGCAAGGCTGTATCTGCGTCCGCAATCGATTCAGAAACAGCGGGAACTGGAAAAGGGAAGCAAAAGCAAGGTGCAGCAAGCCTTCCGCCCAGAACAGATACAAACCTTCTTTGCTGCTCGGAAGAAGACGTTCTCTCCTGGCTCTTCTTTCGGTCCAAACTCTCTGACCACTTGGAAGGCCAGGTGCCGGACGAACTAAAAGGCTCGCTTTACCACGCCGAGACCGTCGCGCAGACCGTCTCCCCTGCGGTCCACGAGTTGATTGCGAAGCGGAAAGGGGAGCTGTTGACGCTGTTTGCCAAAACGTACTGGAGCGAGCTCCCGAAGAATGTGGAGCTGGAGTGGACAAACTACGATCCAGCAAGCGACGAAAAGGTCACGGAAATGCTCCAGGAAAATTTTCCGCTGCCCTGCTTCCCCGTCCGCGGCGCGCCGGGCTCCTACGCCGACACGCCGGCCGGGAAACTTCCGAGAATGCACATGCGCTGCGAACAGGACACAAATTTGCACAGGTGCAGCACCCCCGCGGAGCTGGTCAAGAACTACGTGAAAAACGACATCAACTACGAGATCAAAAAGGGAAACGTGGTGCGCATCTCGGAGATCTCCGCCGACATGCAGTGGGCGCGGGGCTGGAACACCCGGCTGTGGATGCGGATCCGGACCGGCGCAAAGGAGCATTTTCGTTTGGAGGACAAGGACGAGGGCAAGCGCGTGGACAAGCACAAAGCGCGCATGCTGAAGAAGTCCACCTTTGTAGTCGGCGGGACGACGAACAAAGCTGGCCAACAAAACGCGGCAAAAACGCAGGACAGTGACGACGAGCCCGAAGACGAGGGAGCGGTAGACGCGGAGGTTTTGGAGAAGTCCTGTTTCAAATTCAACACGACCTCGATCATCGTGAAGAAGCCAGATGCTGCTGCTGCTGCTGCGAAGAAAGGCGGGAACTACAAGGCAGCGCCAGGTGCAGGTGCGAAGAAGCAAGTGCGGAAGAAGAACGCGAAAAAGAACAACGACAAGCAGGTGGACAAGGTCGGTACGATCATTCGTATCCTGAAGCGCAACCACGCGAACTGGGCCTCTCCACCAGTTTTTGACGTGGCGCAAAAACAGTTCTACGCGCTGTCCCCCTGGTATCACGCGAAATTTGTGGTGGACGACGGCGACGCGGAGGACGATGAGTACTTGGACCCGGAGGACCTCCTCGAAATTACCGAGGCCGCGGCCGGGAGTACTGCTGCAGGGATCCTTGCGGCATCGACCGAGGACGACAGCTCGGCGGAGGATCGGAAACTGCTCGCGAAAATCCAAGATGAGAAGCTGTTTGGCGAACAAGCAGCTGCAGTTTCCCTCGATTCCCTGCAGAAGAAAACCGTCCGTCGCTACTGTCATTTACAAGTGAACATCCTCTCCGGGGAATTCCTGGTAAACGGGAAGCCGTGCCAACGCCTCCCGCGGTCGATCTACGACCACCCGATTTATGAGCGCTTGTTCGGCACAGCGATGTTCGCAGTGCAGCCGACCAAAGACGGCCTGGGGTACAAGACCACCGTCCCAGTCAACGGCGCGAACTTCTACTTTCGACCCCCGATTTCCGCGGGAAACAGCCAGGACGCGCGGAGGGACGACGACGATTCAGACAGCGACTACGACTCTTTTGACGATTCTTCGTATTATTCCGGCAGTTTCAGCGACAGCACGCCACGCGGCGGCGGGTACAGAAATTACGGTGAATACACGGACAGTTCCGAGGAGGAGAGGATGCAACGAGCCTACCTCCGAAAACGAGGCCGGGGCGACGGCATGTCGGATTCCGATTCATCGGGGGACAGTGAGGAAAAATCCTCCAGTGAAGACGAAATCTCCTCGGAAGAGGACCAGCTGGCGGTCCAGCAGAAGTGGGACGCGCTGAAGATTCACCGCGTGCAGTACCGGCGGTACCCCTGGCAGGACGAGGAAAAGGGGTTCAGTTGCTACTTCAAGCCCTTCATGCAAACGCCGCTGATCATCGAAGAGCGGGACGGGGTGCGCGCGAAGTTGATCCCGCACAAGGTGTTCTACCGGAATATCGAAAAGAACAAAGTGGCCGAGCCGAAGAAGGAGATGGACGTGCCATTCAAGCTGATCGACGACTTATCAAAGAAAAAAAGTTCGTCACGATCACTCATGCGCATTTTTGCAATACAAAAGTGTTTGTCATGCATAAAAATGCATCACAGCCCAACTTCATTAGGGATTTCCCTAGTGTTTCTGCAGTACAAGGAAAATTTGTGATGCTAAGAAAATTTGTAATGCAAAGCCTGCAAGTTAGTGACTGTGACAAACTTTTTTCTCTCCATACGACTACAGCCACTGGTGCGTGATCTCGAAGACCACGACCTTGCGCGGTTCCCCGGCGACGTCGTCGGCCTTACCGAGGTCCGCTCTGAACACACCCGTCGCTGCGGCAGCGAGCAGCCGCCTAATGCCTTCCGCGATCCAGCCACCGTTGCCGAAAATAAGCTCACAACAGGGTACTAGTTCGTTCGCACCAACGTTGCCGACGATTGGAAGTCAGTTCGCTCTCGCAGAGCACGAAACTGCTAGCGTTGATCTGGCTTTGTTGAACGCGAAGTCGACGCCGGCGGCGCTGTTCAAAACCAAGTCGACGCCAGGCACACCAAGTGCGTTGACCGCGACAAGCGGACAAGCAAAATTTTTGAGGAAAAACAGCGACGACGGAGCGTATCAAATGTAAAAATGTCTGGGTCTGCTGGAAGAATGCAAGTTTGTCATGCTTGTCTGGCATGACTCGGGAATCTGTGTTGCACAGGCACTAAAAAGCCCTCTTACCTGTCATGCAAAAACGCAGTTTGCCATGCGGAATACGTAAGACATGGCAGCCAAAAAAATTGTCATGCATAGCTGCGTATTGCAGTGCGTCTATCATTCATTTTTAGCATTACAAGTTTCCAGACCCAGACATTTTTGCACTTGATAGGCTCGACAGTCGGCGTTCGCGGTTTGTTCGGAACAAAGCGGCGACGGCGCCGGTTGACGGGCAGGTGTTTGGCGTCGCGGTCGCGAAGACAGCGCCGAAAAGTCTGATTCGATATGCATTGCAAATATGTCTGGGTCTGGAAGGATGCAACTTGTGATGCTGGATTTGGATTCTACAATAAATCTGTATTGCATGAACAGCAAAAGCGGTCCAGTTTTTCTTTTTGCCACGGTGAGATGGCATTTCTGACACGGTATAGGCATCAGGAAGCCCTCATAGAATCTGTGATGCTACGGCATGCATCACAGACAACGGGAGTCATGCAAAATGTGCATGACTTCCAGACCCAGACATTTTTGCATTTGATATTCGAGCGAAGGAGGCATTTTCCGGCGGGGTGGTTGTGGACGAAGTAGAGGAGTTTAGCGAAATAGAGGAACAAGTCGAAGAAGGTCCAAATGCACCAGTAGACCAAGACACCTCTGGACAACTACCTGACACCCCGGAGCCTCGGCTCTCCCGTGCTTCGTCGAAAGACGGCTCGAAACACCACCGGTCTTTGATGATCAAGAAGACGGCGAAGTTTTTCTTCCGCCCGAAGACTTACGATCACCGAGACTTTGCAAAGGGCTGCTTGAATTCCGCCGCGTTTGTCCTGGATTGGCACAGCCGGAAAGTCACGGACTTGCGAAGCGGGTGCGCCTTGGTGGACATTTGTTCGGGAAGTTTCGCGGAAATTTACCGGAACGGCGGCTTCAAGCGACTGTCGCCCTGGCCCTACGTGCACCTGTGGGCGGAACCCTCCGCGGACGAGTTGCAGGTTCAATTGGAAGAGCTCGCGTTGAACGAAAGCATCCCGTCGTTCATTTCCTCTACTTCCGTAGCGCTCTCCTCCGCGCGAGCCGGGTCCGACGGACAAGGGAAACAGCAGCAAGCCGGTGTACTATTGAATACAGGCGGAGTAGTTCCTGCGACAAGTTCTGGTGATATGGAAGCGGCCGCACGAAGTCTGCGTGCGGAGCTGAGAGAGTCCGCGAGAAATAAGGACGGCGGCGGGATAGAAGTGCAACGGGAGGATCAGCAGGAACTAAATGACTCCGCTTCTTCTGCGGATGGAACGGACACCAACGAACAGCCACTGAGCAAACTTACCTCCGTATCACGAGAAAAAAGTGTTAGAGTTACACATTGCGTTGCAAGCCCAGCATGACAGTCCACCTCTGTCATGCCAGAAATGCTTCCGAGCTTCATTTCATACGTTTTTTACCTTATGGTCTGCGCATTGCAAGTTTTTCCTCTCATGCAGAGCAAATTTGTGTTGCTGAAGTTACAACACATGTGTAACTGTAACACTTTTTTCTTGTGATACTCCGCGATTTCTGTCGCGTCCGTCTTCGAATCTGCAGCGAAAAGCATCGGGGTTTTCGTGCAACTCCCTCGACTGCAGAACATCCGATTTGATGTCGTATTGAGCAGCAAATCGAAGGTCGGCGGCGTGCAATTCCATTCCCGCGAGTTCGCTGGGTGGAAGGTCGCGACGGCCAACCAGAATCTCGGGACGCTGTGCACCTTGAAGCACGGCTTGCTGCTCGACGCGGTGGACGCCGAATCGCAGCGGAGAGAGATTCTGCTCATGCCCCACGGACCGCTGAAAGACGCGCCGGCGTATCGGCCGCCGGCGAGTTTAGCTGAGTCGTTGCGGAAGGAAGAGCAGACCGCGTGGAGCAAGGACCGATCGAAACGGTTCGAAAAAATGCTGTCCTTTGTGAAAGAGCGAAGTCAGAAGCTAAACCCCCCGCCGAAGAAGGGGAAGCCAGGGAAAGGGAAGGGTGCCTCATCTAGTTCGGGTAGCGAGGAGGAAGAAGACGCTGGAGCGGAGAAAAATACAGACTTGGCTGATGAAGACACCAAGGGTCCCTCGGGAGGAGAGGAAAAGAAAGAAAAGAAAGAGAAGAAGAGCAGTACTCCTGCGCGCGGCACTGAGGAGGCAGAGGAAGGCGCGCGTGTTTCCGAATTGCGAGAAAGCGAACTGGCGAAGCTGCAAGACGGCGATGAACGTGGAAGCGAAGGCAAAAAGTCTGGCCGCAAGCAGAAGAAAAAGAAGAAAAAAGTGAAGTTGACCGAAACCGAGTGGTTGGAACTGCAGAGAGTGAAAAAGAGAGCCCGCGAGGAGCAGGAATTCCTGCTGGCCGAAGCGGCCGTGCACGAGTTCGCCGGGGCTTGGTGCTCCCCGGCCGGGGTTGAGGTGGACCTGGAAAATCTGCGCCAGCCGCCGCTGTTTCGCTACACCGTCAAGCGAGAGCTGCAAACGCTGCATGCGCAGAAGGAGCGTGTTGCATGGCTCTTTCTCGCGCACCTGCACGCGCGGACGAGCGGCCTGTATGCGGACCCCTTCCTCGGCCGCACGGGGACGGGGATGGCGCTGGACCTGCTTCGCTGCGGCCAGGTGCGGGGAAATCTGTTACCCGTGCTAGATGCGAAGAAAATCGACCACGACGCACTGGACTTGGAAGCAGCGACGCTTTTGGAGCTCGGGCGGATCAGTGTCCGGCGAAGGCTCGAGACGCAGCCGAACGACAAAATCAGCATGGGGTTCCTCCCGTTGCAGCACGAGGAGTCCGAAGTCGCGACCGCGGTCCGCTGTCTGCCCGCTCTTGCGCGGCCCCCGAGCTTCGGGTTTTTGGCCTCTTTGCGCCTCCGGGAGATGGGCGACCAGTTGGAGTCCGTGGGGAGAGGAAACCAGTTTTTCGCAAACCCGGAGAGGCTGCGCGAGAAACACCACTTTGCGGATAACGCAAATTACAATGATTTTGTCAACACGAAGACCATCATACTCACCCCCGCGACCTACGACCCGGACCGGTATGCCAACGTGATCCAGCGGGAGCACGGGGACGAAGAGGGAGAAGACCGGACGCTGATTGGCGGTCTGCTCGGCGAGCGGATCGGGCAACTCCCCTACCGCAACTACCGTCGTGTGGAGGCTTTGCTTCCGGAGGACGTGCGACTGACGAACGAAGAGAAGGATGACGCTTTTTTTGTCTGGCGCAACCAGCAGCCCAGCACGCTGGTGTTTTGCCCCGAGGGGCAGCAGCTGCAAAGCTTTTCCATTCCGTCCAACGACGACGACGCCGAGGAAATGAAGTGCGCAAGGTGTGAAACGAACGTGCGCGAAGGGCACGACGAGTACTGGAAAGCGCGCATTCAGGCGTGGGTGGAGCGGAAAAAGCAGTCGAAACTCGCGCGCAAGCTCGCCGCCGCGGCGCGGAGTGGAAAGAAGGAGTTGGCGGGAAGGAAAAAGTCGAAGGGGCGACACTACACGCGCGAGCGGCGGCGAAACCGCGTGACCAGAAGTTGGGTTTACGAGGCAACGGGGGTGGAGTCTCGGCACTTTGTTAACAGCAGCGACGACGAAGACATGATTTCCTCCAGCGACGAAGAGAACGAAAAGAACGCGCGGGCGCAGATCCCGTTCTTTATCTCCTTGATGCACTGCAAGGTGTGCGAGAAGGCGAACGATGTGGGCTATTACGTCTGCCGAAAGTGCTACGAGGCGGAGCACGCTGCTAACGTGGCGAAAGGGGAGGACCCGGATATCTACCGCGTGCCGAAAGGTGGGTGGCACCATCGACACGAGCTCCTGGCGTTGAAGGAAGCAGGGTTAGTGTGTCAGCCCTGCTTCACGAAGAAGCCACGCGAGGGCCGCCGGATGGTCGCGCTGCGAAGTGCAGAGAGTAGTATAAAACCAGTTACGGGCGCCGGTAAAAATAGCAATGGAGCGGTAGTTGATACAGCTAGTACAAAAAGCGGATCGTCGTCTGGGACAACGTCGGTGTCGGAGACCAGAATCATTGCTGAAGAGCTGGAGACGATGCAGACCGGAACGAGTAGTAGCTCGATCGTAATGACGCTGGAGAACTCGACGCAAGCGAAAATGCAGTACGAGCTATTGGACGCGACGCGGAAAGTGTTGTCCAACATGTCTGCGCCGCCCAACCCGTTCGGGTTCGGCGGTGGCTTCGGGTTCGGGGGTTTCGGCGACCGCAGCAAAATCGGCGGGCCTGCAAATATTAAGGGCAAAGGGAAAAAGGGACAAGGTAAATCTGCGTCGTCAAATGATCAGAAAAAAGGGAAGAAGAAAAAGAAGGACAAGGCGAACCCGTACGGCATCGAGAACTTCCAGTTTGAGGAGGACATCGATCCCACTGTGAACGCCATGCAAGAGGCGAACGACGAGGCCCGCCGGAAGGAGGAGCAGGCGCACGGGTTTCTGCTCCAGCTCCAGCGGCACAACGTCGCTACCTTCCCTGGGGGAAGCTGCGACTTTCTCCTGGCGCATTTGAGGGGAAAGTACCAGCAGCACGGTGCGTCCGGGGTGTGCTCGTCGGTGAAAAATTTGTTCTTCTCCAGCGCGATCTCCGGGAAGCTGACTGGCGTCGATAACTTTTTGGCCGGAGGGCTCGGGCTCCTGTTTGGCAAGGAGTGCATTCCGCCAAGGAGTGCCGATAAGAATCCTCTTTCTGGACGTGATTCTCTCGTCCCACCGGGCGAGGACCCTTGTCCTTCTGATTTGTTCGGCGGCTGGGTGTCGGCGCTCGCCGTGACTTACAATGAGGAGGGAGCTATGGTGGATCTTCCCCTGTACGACATCTGGCTGAACATGTACGAATTGGCGCGAGTCCACTGCTGTCCGCGGTCCCGCTGGGCGGAATGGTACCACCACCACGAGTCCCAAGCCGGGTTTGGCTATCTAATCACCTACCTGGCCGCCTTGCAATCCATCCCGATGAAGAAAGCGAGGAACAACGTTAACGCAACGGGCGACGAGGTGATTTCGAAAGCGGCTCCGGCCGCCGTGCAGATGTGCGCGACGGACTACTTGATGCAGTTGCTGGTCGTGGCACAGAACAGTTCTTTCTTCTCCGATTTGGAAGCGCCGGAGATCCCGCGGTACCACGCGCCGGGCGACGGCGCGGCGGAGTTCCACGACGGGCCAGTGCTGCAGACGATTGTAAACTTCGTCGACGACATCCGCGTGTGGCGTCCGCCACGGGTGGATTTAGTGAATTCCTCCGCCGACCAGCTGAAAACCACCTTCCAGGCGATGCACACGGGCGCGGCCTCGAATCTGTTCGGCAACTGGAACGATTTGAACACCGTTGGGGCGGAAATCTCCTGCCCCTCAAACCGCACGAAATTGAAGGACGAGAAATTTATGAGTATCAACTTCACCGGGCGTCGAAAATCCTCCGGTGCTCCTTCCACGCTCACACCTTTCTTGGCGCTCCCGCCGGGGCGCTTTGGTCCGCACGCCAGCGACGACGTGGCGCGGGAGGGGATGCGGGCGATTTTAGGGTCTATCGATGGGCAGAACCGGCAGAGCAAGGCCCACACGGTGTTCAGCAAATCGGACCAGTACCTGACCGACCGCGGGATGACGCTAAACGCGCTGCTATCCTGAGTAAAAACGTATCCACACCAGAGTTGTAATGCAAATCTGCATGCTGAAATTGTTTCTCATGCGGAGCCCCATGAGAAGCATTTTCCAATCGTGTTTTGCAATTTGTCATGCTCCAATCAGCATGATATACTAGGTCTGTGATGCTGCTGAGCTAGCTCAAACAGCACTACGCTACGAGTCCAAATCTGTCATGCAAGACAGCCAAAACTTGTGGATTTGTCTAGCCAATCCCCCATCTTGACTATGGGGTGGGTACGTTTTTACATAGGATAGCTACTTGGCTACGCAAAGGAATGCTGGGACAACGAAAAGAGCTTGCGACCGGACATGTGTGGAAAGCACGTGTACGGTAACATCATCCCCAAACACAACCACCGGGTGCTGTGTCAAGCGATAAACTCCGTCTTCTTCACGTGGCGGCAAAACCAGAAGCTGCACGACTTCATCAAGGCCTTCACCGAGCGGATGGCGCAGTTTCTCGGGGTGCAGAAGGGCAATAGCAAGGACATGCTGGCCTGGGCATCGAAAGATAAACCAGATGACTTTTCCAGGGCGAATGGCGGATCTAGTACAACTTCGAAAGCAGACGACGATGGCATCAGACGAAAAGTCTACGTGTCTGGGTCGGAGGCGTGTTATGTGGAGGGCTATGGTGCGGAAAAGGCGGTAACGGAACAGCAGCTTGTTGCATCATTGTCTGGCACTACGGTAGAAGAGGAACAGCCTGTGCCAGAGAATCTAGATTTGTGGACAAGAGGCGGCTTTCCGGGCGCGATCGGCATCGACAGCGCGCTGTCGCACTTCAACGAGTATGAGAAGAACTGGCGCGAACGCTTCGAATTGCAGGACCGATTCAAGTTAAAGCTCGACGAAGCGGCTGCAAACTCCGTCGAGAAGTTCGCCGAAAACAATCAAAAACAAGTACAAGGTGCTAACGTTTTGACAGAAGAGCTACCTTTAACCCTGCCCCAAGACGAGTCCTACGCGGAAATTTCGGGTATGCTGATGAACCAGTTGCAGAGCTCGTGGGCCATGACATTTTCCTCTTCGAAAGCAACGTCCTCAATACCACTGAAGCTGTACAAAGACGTGCACTTCCGCCACGTCTTGCGATTACAATTACTCGCTTACCAAGAGAAGGCGAAGGAAACGGTAGATCAGCTGTGGCTGAAGCTCCGGTCTCACGCCGCTTCCGGAACAGAAAACAAAATCGGTCTCCTCCCTGCCGCTCGCATGGACGCTGATAACACACCGTACAAAGTCTTGACCAGGTTCTTTCGCCAGCAAATCACACGGATAACGTCAACTGGCGCGGCAGCAAGAGCTACAACTACTCCAGAGCAACATGCTGTTGAAAATAACGAACAATTCAACACCGTTTTCAGTAAGCTCGCCGGGTCGTTTGCAATCGCGTTGCGGCATTTGCAGCGCGCTCGACGGTGTCTGGAGTTCTTTTTCCAGGAGGAGAAGGGAGAGCTGCTGTTGAAAGCGGAATTGGAAAACGGACCGGACAATGCGGGTTGGAACGCAAAGGACTACCCGGAATTCCTCGCGTACGAAATCGACGCGGACATTAGCATCTGGGAATCGCAAGCGGAGGTTGCGCTGGCGATTCTGTCGGAAGCGGAGGGGAATCGGCTGCTGCAGCTCATCATGGGCGGCGGGAAGACGGCGGTGATCGCTCCTTTGGTGCTGTGCGCCGCGGCGCGTGGGGAGAAGCTGGTGCGGGCAACGGTATTGTCCTCTTTGTACGCGACGAACTCCGCAGATTGGCAGTGGAAGATCGGGGGCTTGTTGAACCGCCAAGTTTTCCCGATGATCTGTACGCGGGACATGCCGCTGGACGAAAAAAGGGCGAACAAAATGGTGAACCGCTTGCGCGAGATCCGGGCGCACGGACACGTGATCGTGACCGTGCCGGAACACAGGTTGAGCTTGGAGAACAAAGCGATCGAACTGGCGACGCCGTCGGTGGCAAATGTTGCGGAAGAGGAGGACGAGGAGAATGGAAAACCCTCTCGTCCTCCTGTAGGGAAGAATACAACAAATAAAGGGCCCAATAAGAGTAAAGACGGCAATAGTAGTAAAACTTCCGTCCCCGACCCGCTGAAGGTCGCGGCGTCCGCGAAGCTGCACGAGGCGCTCGCGTTCACGCAGAAGTACGGCCGGGACGTGCTGGATGAGAGCGACGAGATCCTGAGTCCGAAGTACCAGTTGATCTACACCATCGGCGACCGGCGCGACATGGACGGTGGGCAGCTGCGGTGGACGGCGCTGGCCGCGGCCATGCGGTCGGTGGCCAACCACGCGTTCAAGTGGCGCGAGAAGTACGGCAGCGAGGCGGTCGAGGTGAACACGGACGAGACGCTGTTCTTCCCGGGGTTTCGGCTCCTGGAGTCGGAGAAAGCCACGGACGTGTTTGAAGACATCCGGAGCCAGGTCGTGCAGGACATTCTGCACGACCAGAAAGACCTGATCTTCCAGCGGATCCGCCCGCAATTGCTGCCGGTCGAACGTAAGATTTGGCGGTCGGCGGTGCTGGAACGGTAGTTACTTATGTATGAATGTTTCGTTTAGTACTAGCTAGTTTGAGTTGGTGGCTCAGTGGGTGATGGCTTCGTGTCGTGCTGTAGGTTTTCGTTGACTAAGCCTGAACTACTTACGTTTTGTGCCATCATGCTGTGCGTGAAGCTTCGAAAGACCCTTCTGTTAGTTCTGTCGTTACAAACAGCGGAAGGTAAAATTAGGAATCTTTGTTGCATGCATGCGTGGAGTTACGCGACTTCTACCTTGCGGATCCTTCATGCGCACTCTGAAGTTTTTTGTGCCTCGTGAGCAATCTGTTTCCGCTTACATGCTGCGATTTGTATGTGCTGTGTTTCCTCTACCGCATTTCCGCTTCACTGTTGATACTGGCATTGGTCTTAAAGGCCAGTTTAAGTACTCAATCAATTTTCAGCGGTCCGACCCGCGGCGCCGCGATCATGCCGACCGCAGCAGGGAAGCGCGGCGACCTCTGGCCATGGGAGCAGTTGAACGAAACCATGCGTGCGCTCGCTCTGGTTCTCCGCGGTATCCTCTCCCACGAGGTGCTCCAAGTGGTCTTGCAGAAACGGTGGCGGGTCGACTTCGGCGCGCACCCGGGGCGGGAAAACTACCAGATGGCCGTGCCGTTCCGGGCCAAAGATGTGGCCAGCGACCGCACGGAGTTTGGACATCCCGATATCGCCGTTTTGCTGACCATCAGCCACTACTACCAATCCGGACTGAACCAATCGCAGCTCCGCGACGTCTTCCACACGCTCGAGCAGCGCATCACGGAGTCCGAGGCCAAAGCGCTGTATCGGGAGTGGGCGGAGAGCTGTCCGGCGCGGGAAAAGTATCTCCAGCGCGGGCTGATGAAGCTGGAAGCCGTGAACCTTGCAGACGTCGAGATGTTCGAGCAAAACTTGTTTCCGGCGTTCGCAAAGCACATGGACGTCATCAATTTCTGGCTCTTCAAAATGATTCTACCGAAGCAGGCGAAGCAGTTCCCGCAGAAAGTGGTCGCGACGCCCTGGGATCTGTCCCGAGCGCCCGAAAAGATAACAATGCAGGAGGACAATGTTGCGGGCGAGAAGAAAGAGTCGGCCAAAGCAGGAACGTCGTCGAGCAACGATGTTCGCCCACCCGGGTTCATCAATCGGGCAGTGACCACCGGGTTTTCCGGCACGGACGACCTGCAACACGTTCTGCCGCTGACGATCAAGCAGAAGAACCTCCCGAGTTTGGAAATGACGAACGGAATCCAGTTGCGGAACCTGCTCCGCCCGGAGAACGACTACTACCACTGGCTGCGCGAAGACAACACCGCAGTGGAGATCCTTGACATTCTGCAGAGCAGCGCGGTCTCCGCCCGGGAAGCGGGTTTGCCAGAAGAAAAAATCAATGTGGTTCTCGACCCCGGAGCGATGGTGCTGCAGTTGTCGAATCTCGAATTCTCGAAGGAGTGGCTGAAGCGGCGGCCAGACATGGAAGCGTGCGTCTTCTTCGACGAGAAGAACACCATCCGGGTGATTGATCGCGATCATCTGGACGAAGACCCGGTAAGTTTCGCTCTGTCCCCCTACGCCGAGGACATGCGGAAGTGCCTGCTCTACTTGGACGACGTGCACACGCGCGGTTCGGACTTCCGGCTCCCGTTGTACACGCGCGCCCTGTTGACCCTCGGGCGAGGGATGACCAAGGACAAGTTTTTGCAGGCCTGCATGCGCATGCGGCAGATCGGGAAGGGGCAGAAGATTTGCTTCGTCGCGAGCAAGGAGGTCCACCGTGCGCTGCAGCGCCACGAGGCGGCGACCGAGAGGGAAGCAGGTGGGGCGATGGGGAGCACGGGCGGAAAACTGGATAGTGCAGCAGGGAAGAAGTACTACCCGCTCGCGACGCAGGTGTTCCTCGATGACCTTCCAGATACCGCTTGGCCAACCCTTCTGCGGCTGAAGAAAACTGTTTCTGGCGCTTCGAGCGGCGGCAAGAGCCCATCAAGTAGCAGTGCGGGAGCCCGACCTCCTAGAGTCGCCGGCGCTCCTGCAACTTCGTCGGTGGTGTTGACGGAGTTGCAGTATGTCTCCACGATCATCAGCTGGACGCTGGTGAACACGCGAAAGCGGATTTGCGATCTCATTCCGTACTTCTCGGCGCAAGGGCGGCAAAACATCAACAAGGAAGAAACGTACCGGATGTTTTACTCTGACTTGCACGGAGCGAATTCAGTTTCAGTCGACGCAGACAAGGAAGATCAAGACTCGGCGACCGCAGCCACTTCTTCTACCAGCAAAGAACAACAGATTAGCGAAAATAAACAAACAGAAAAACAAGCAAAGGATAAAAGCAAGGACCACCAGCCCTCGTCGACGCATCCGGAGAAGATCGACCTTTTGCAAGTGGCCCAACAGTGTGTCGAGGACGAAGTTTTGGATTTGGGCGAGATGTACGGTCACGCCAGGCAGTTAGCCTCACTGCCCACAGTCGTGTCCGAGCAACTGAAAACGCTCACTTTCAAACTGCGAAAGCTGAAACTCGCCGTGGCACGCAAAGCAATTGCGGAGGAGGAGGAGCGGAAAAAGAAAGCGGAAAAGGAGGCTAGTCAGGAAACCACCAACGAAAGTGGCGAGGAGGCGGAGGTGGACAGTGAGGGCACTTCTAGCGAAAAATCCGCACCGCAAGGAGAACGTGACAATGAGAACGATGAGAATCAGAATAAAAACAAGGACGCAGCAAGTGCAGACGTTGTCAAAGAGGAACTTTCGAAGGAAGAAAAGCCCGCTGGGACAACTACTGCCCCCACCGCGGGTACTGAAACCACCAACAAGGGTGAGAAGAACAAACTCGATAAAAAGGTGGAAAGCAAAGCCAAACCCGCCGAGCCCACTGAAGAGGAGAAAGCCGCCGCGCTCTTGGAGATGGAGACGAACATGGTAAAGCGGATAGATACAGAGATTGCGAACATGTCGATGCTGAAACGAATCGAGGCGCACGTCGCTACCATTGCGCCCAACGTCGAGCGATTCGGCAGTCTTTTCGACGAGGAGCAGGAACGGGAACTGGAACAGGAGCTGGAGGAAGAACGACAGGTAGAAAGACCCGGCCCCGCAACCGCGCAGCGGGCGCAACTCTCCGACGCGCTCACGAAATTTGTCAAGACCGACGGGGAAGTCACGGGAGGCTTACTGACGCTGGGAGAGGCACTTCGCGACGCGCCGGCGTACTACAAGGCGATCGCGGGCCAATTCGAGAATTTGGCCCTCGCCGAAGAGTACCAGGGCGCCGACGGATATGGATGTGTCAGGATCGAAATCGACAAAATCGAAAAATTTGCGATGCGTAAAATGTAGAGAACTGAAGGCCTGTATTGGGGAGCAGGCATATGAGGCCGATTGTAAGCCTGTTTAGGGGTATGCAATGTGCTGCTAGAGTAGCATGGCAGGAGCAGTCTTCTTTGCCCAAACAGCATGACAGACTGGATTTGGGTGCTCCCGAAATTTGTCATGCGCCGCTTGGATACTGAGGCCTCAACTGGCATCGATTTTGTGCATCGCAAATTTTTCGATTTTGCGAATTTCGATTCTGACATTTCCATAACGGAGAACGGCTGCCGGAAGAAATTTTAAGGAGCATCGCGGTGGAGAATGTGTACGTGACCGAAGATTTCGTTCGCACGATCCGCGGGAAACACAACGCGGACGCGCACTTGAAACACCCCGGGTGGCTGTTCGTCTCCGACTTGCAGAAAGGGCAACAGAACAACGCAAATACAAAAGCAGGCTCCTCTTCCGCTGACGCAAGTCTGTTGAGTAAGGTGTTTCTCTTGATCAGCAATTTTGAGGCAGAGCGCTGCGCTTGCCTCGTCAGTTCGCAAATCAATTTTCCGAGCATAGATGACCACAAGTTGGATGACGGGACGGAAATCGTCGACGCATACAACCGAAAAGAGAACCCGGAAGACGGCAGCGGGCGCGAGTTTAACCGCCTGCGATTCTGCCCGCGGTTGTACCAATTTGCCGCGATTGTCAGGCTACACCAGCCGGAGCCGTTTCTTCGACGCACTTCCTACGAGCTTCACGCCCCCGTCGCGCTGCACGTGTTCGCAGGCTCGATACACGCGGATCGGGTGTTGTTGGGGAAGGTACTACTTGTTGGTTTCCTCATTTCTTTTCAGATTTTTCGTCTTACTTCTTTCTATACCGAAATAGTGTCATGCAAATCATGAACATGATGATGACCCTTCCCCTTGACCTTGTTCCACTTCGACTTCCTGCAGGTGAAAAACTACCTCGCTCTCGTTCCGCGGCCTAACGAGGAGGAAGACGGTGCCGAAATCGTCGCTCTGTGGGATCTATGGATTGTAAAAATGTCTGGGTCTGGAAGAATGCAACTTGTGATGCTGCGTCTGGATTCCAAAAAAATCTGTATTGCATGAGTACCAAAGGGAATGCAATTTTTGCTACGCTGAGAAGGCATTTGTCATGCGAAATAGGCATCAAGAAGCCCTCAAAAAATCTGTATTGCTAGGGTATGGATCACAGACATCATGGCTCATGCAAAGCGTGCATGACAAGTGTCAGAATCTTGCAGACCCAGACACTTTTACATTTGATAGGATCTAATGTTTGAAGAAGAAAACTTGATCGAGCGCGACGGCTTCGTGCGACCGGCGCACCGCCTGGCCGTGTCAAAGCGATTGACCAGTTTGGTACTGTCATCCGCATCTGCAGCATCTGCAGTTCCCAAAGCCAGCGGACCTAGTAGTACAACTGGGTCTCAGACCACAAGTGCTACTAGCTTTTCTTCGAAGCGGCCCGACATGGACAACATTCTGAAAATCTGTCTCTCTCCGTTCTCGGGTTCGAGTCCGGTGCGGTTTCTGAAGAGTTTTTACAACAACGCTCGCCATCTGGACGACGAGCTGGCGATGAGCTCCATTGGGCGATTGCTGGGTGCCGCGGAGCTCGGGGGGCAGGCCAGCAACGAAGATATTCTCATGCTGGAAGGCCAGGGCGAAACCGTGGAGGAGCAGAAGGGGGAATAATGTTTCAAGTGAACGTACAACTCGAATAAATGTGTACACAATGAGTATGGAATATGAATGTATTGCGCTTTGCGCAGCAATTAATCCTGTAGTTGCATGGAACTTTTTGCAAGAGGGAGTCTATCTTCTTTTCCACTGAATACTTTACTTTTCGATTTTGATGCAGGTCTTTGACCTCAGCAACGGGCAATGCCAACTTTTAGTTTTCCAATCAACATCTTGATTCCATGCACAGGCAGAATGTGCACGAAAACAGGACCACATGAAAGAGGATTACAGTCTCAACCAGAAATAAACCTCGCATCTGTATCTACGCACATTTTTCATGTTTACCTAAGCACGGAAGTAAAGCGTGAGTCAGAGTTTTGACCAGGGATGTGGTGAGTTGTCGTTCCTGTCAGGGAGCAGGGACACTCACTCACCTGTGTTCTTATTTGTTATCCTAGTCCCGCCCGACTGAAGGGTGTATGTTGGTTTTTTTTTTGTCTCGATACAACAGCGAGCGTTCCAAGCGAAGATTGCGTCTGCTTGCGTTGACACGCGTTGTTTTTTGTTTCATCTTCCACTACAACAAAAATTTGCTAAGACCAAAATTAGAAAGATATTCTGATCAACACGTCCAAGAGTAACACTTGGACGTGTTGACCAAACGCAACTCTGAGTTGCGTTTTGCTTTCTTGACACTGATTTCTTTGCATGTAAGAAGCGTGCAACCCTAACACAAAGAGACCGCAAGCACGAGTCGAGAGCGTACGAATGATGGAAAAGGTGGTTATGATGATTTGATGCTCGACCTGCTGCTCCTTATTTAAACTCGCCCTTGAAGACGTCGCGGAAAGCAAAGACCTATTACGACAATGTCGGACAGTAGTATCGAAATGAAAAAAATCCACTGCGGTTTGCATATTAAACTGGACCGAAACTGAATCGCATGCCAATTCAGGAAATGCTCGATGTTTCTTGCAGCGAGGTCCATTGCCTCTACTGAGGGTGCTACACGGTGGTGCAGCCATCTGATCGAAAATCGTGGAATTTTTTCTTTCCATATCCCAGCACTGCATCATCAACGAGGCCTCAGAAACCGATGCTGCTACCAAGCAGTCCGCCGGCGAAGACACGGTCCTTGGTACTTCTTGCAGCGTCTGGGATACAGTGCTAGATCCCGTCGAACTTCAGGAGCAACGCCAACACGGTGACCAAAGTGAGGAGTACGAATATCCGGAAATTGTGGTCACGTATGCAGGCCTCGCCCGAGACAATGAATGCAACATCGAGGCCAACACGGTGGAATTTTCCTTGGGTGCTGATACCGACACCCAGAACTCGATGTCCTGCAACCAAAAAAAGTTTTCCATCACCAGCCACGAGATTGACAACCTTGTGTACTACCAGATCGACTGCAAAGACGGCCACGAACTGCCGAAAGCCTTCCTCGACGATTCGCTGCCCGGCGAGCCCTCTCCGCTGGCTGGCATGACTATCGAGGGAGATGACGAGACCAACAACATCTTCCCGGCTGTAATTCCCGTACCGGTCTACGATAGCGATGAGGAAGAGGAGAGCGTTTATCCCGTTTTCATTCCGGAACTCATTCCGGCACCCGGCGGGTCTTTTGCCTCCGTGTCGACGGCCTGCTCTGCTGGAATGGATGCGGAGTGAATTGACGATTTCCAGAGATGAAAAGGACGATTTTGCTCGTTGCTGCGTGGAAGAAAGGTTCCAAAATTGTGCCGCTCTGTAATTCACTTCAACGGTCTGTAATTCACTTCTGGAGGTAATGGTTTTGAGCTTAGCGGTGCTGTGCAGTCACTCTGCCTGCAGATTAGGAATACGACACCTTGATTTGCTTCCGGAGGAACGGACGTTCTTTCGCTAGAAACAGCTATCCTCGAAACAAAGTGGTTGATCTTGATTGCGGTTCTCTATGCCGTGATGAAGCTGCGAGGTTGGAGCAAGCAAAGCACAGAATGAACAAAATTAAGAGTAAAACAAGACGTAGTTGTTCGTGCGCAGGAATGAATCTTCTAGAAAAGGCTTCCCCTACGCAACTGCATACGAAGGTAGCCAAGAAAGGCCACTCGCTTGGTGTTGCAGCTGCTACTGCTCTACGCCCTATTCCAAGTGCGCTTGGTTCTATTCGTGTCGTACAGAAGAGTGCTGATGCGAGTACGCAGAGCGTGAGCGAGGTTAGAACACGATAGAAGAGCAGCAAATCCGTTTTCAAAGAGGAAACAGGGTCCAGTAAAACGACATCTGAGTGAATAGCAATCCATTTTTTGAGATTTCAATTTGAGGTCATTTCGATTCATTCGCAGATTCTATAAAGATATTAGCACGAATTGCATTAGCATTAGCGTTAGCCACAGCGATAGCCTAACGGTCACATTGAAAGGCCCGTTGGTCGTGCGTGTGTAAAAATGGCAGAAACCGGACGAGGGAGCGCTTCGGCTGCGGCCTCTCGGGGAGGTTCTGGCGCTTCCTCTTCGGCTGCGGCCTCGCCCGACCTACCAGCGCAGCTGAACCCGGACAGCTGGATCGGCCAGGGCGTAGATGCCGTTATGCGTGAATGCCGTACCCGAGCGCAGAGAGGAAACTTTTTGTGGAAGAAAGGGCGCTCTGTCAAGGTGCAGGAGATTTTGCAAGCGATTGATGATCTGTGGGCTGAAGAGGAGGCATCGAGACTGGAAGCTAAGTTTGCACACCGCATTTCTCCATTCGACGAACGCTGCCTATGGGATTCTGCGCTAAATACTGTCGCTGAGTACAGTTTGTGTGAAGTGTCGTATATCTTGTTTGCACTTGTTTCGCGAAGTGTGCGAGAGATAGAGACTCTTTGAAGTTCGCATTTTTTATTTACTCTTCCATCAAGGTCACGAGATTCACGACCAAAGGCAAAGAGGAGCTGCGAGGAATACTCATGCAAACTAAAACCAAGTTGATTTTTGTTTTTCCAAACCATCGAAGAAGCTTGTCCTCGCCTTGTCTTTCTAGGTATGTCAATGCGAAGCGGAAGAAGCACCATTTCGAGTGGTTGACGGCCTACCTAGAACAACGGAAGAAAACATCACCTGTCGGCGATAGAAGCGGGAAGCAGATTGCCGATGATATAATTCGCGTAGGTATTCTCAACGAGAGAATGGTACCTGCGAACCGGCTTGCTGTGAGCTTCAGAAACAACAGAATCGTGATCGACGACGCTTCATTGGTCATGCGTGACGCCCTCTACCCTCCATGTTCGTATCCCCCTCTCCTCTGGAATGCGTTGTGTGAGGTAGGAAAGCTTGACGCAAATACAGCGAAAGAGATAGAAGTCACGGCGTCTTCAATCAACGCGCGCATGTGTCCGTCCATCCCCAACAAGAACCGTAAACTGCGGACCTACTCACCGATCTTCGCTGCGCTTTGTCGAGGTGATTTTTCAACTGCTGATACGCTCCTCCACTTTGGTGCCAAGCTGCACCTTGAGAAACCGACAGCCTGCGATATTCAGCTTCTGGGTGAGGTGCTGCTTTGTCTTTTTCAGTATCGGAATGCACCAGTAGCCATCGACGACGAAGTTGCACAACGCGAACAGCGTCTGATACGGGATCGTTTTCGTACCGTCATCATGTATCTGATTGAAAAGGGTTGCGACACTGAGACGAAGGGCTGCGCGTTTCCGGACGTGATGGCCCAGTCTGAAAATGTCCTGCAGGAGCTGCTCGCCGGCCTGTCCAGTAACCTTCGCCGGGGTCATTTCGTCTTCGTCGATCTGCTAGACCTAGACGGAGAGTCGTCAACCGACGTGTTGGAACTCATTGAGGACCTTTCTTGGTGTATCAACGCTTTCAAGCTTGATATAAACGCCTTCGCTCGACCGCGCCCAGAAAACGCGACTCTGGCGACTCTCGTCGGGACTCATCAGAGTGCTATCATCGAATTGATGAAAGCTGGGGCTCTCTGCCCGACCACTTTTGGTGGTGAGGTCAATCTCGCTGCGCTCGCAGCAGATGGTCAGAGCATCCATCACAACGTTACCGCGCGGAGGATGAAACAGCTGACAACTTTTGCCACGTCCGCGCTTGCAGAGGCTGAGGCGAAGGGCACAAGTAAGAGCTCGACCTCTTCGAGCAGTACTGCGCTAGCTACAGGAGCAGACTCGCAAGTTGAAGCAACTGGAGAACTCGGTTTACCGACCAAGCAACGCCGGATTGACTCTGCGAGTGCTGCCAGTAGCAGCAAAATCGTGCCAACTGTCGACGAAGTTTTGCGCGCTTTACGCGAACGCCTCCGCAAGCTGCAGGACAGCGAAGTGAGAAAGCTGCGGGACGGCGAACGCTACTGCGAGAACATGACAAATGCAGAGATCACCACTGGCATCGAGGTGCAGATTCGGCGCTTTTGCGGAAACGAGGGGGAGACTTTGCTTGGCAATGGACATCAGCCAAAAAACAATCGCGGCAATGCTTTGTTGCTCGTCTACCGGTATTTGCACGCATTTTGCCATGCGGAAGACCCGATCATGATGATCTTCGGCGCGCTGCTGCAGGCGCAGAACCAGTATGGGCCGAACATGCAGACCTGCGACCCCAAGGTTTTGGTTCTGAATTTGCTCGAGGGACGCGTGGTCGTACCCGACCCGGCGGACGCGGAACAGGTACCGAGCGGGCCGGACACCTACGCGAAAACGCTCAAGGAGCTGCAGACGCGGAACGTGGACCAAATCATATCCGAGGGACAAGCGCGGCTCGCAACGCTGAACGAAAGCGAGTTGCTCCAGCAGATCTATGATCTCATTGTCTCTGGGGAATCGCTGGACTACGCGAAAAACCGGCTCCGGGGTCTCTTCTTCACGCAGTTGCTCACGGACTGCGACCACGATCTGGCCAAGTACACCATTGACCTGGAAGACGACGAAGAGCCTCTCGGGTTCGTGCCCGACGGGGTGCAGCGCCTCCTGCGGGACGTGGGGGAAATTTCCTGCATATTTACGGAGGAGTTTTTGAAGGCAAGCCAAATGCAGGCGGCATTCGCGCCGTTTTTGTGTGAAGGGGAGAAACAGAAGCCCGTATATGTTGCAGCGAAAGCTGGCGCAAACGCGTAAGATCAGTCTCCGAATCTGAGTGCCAAGATCAATCTCCAGTTGATGCAGCCTGTAGAGGACTAGTCCCAAGCTGAAGATGAAGACTTAGACAGAGGCACCTGCGCAGTTTTTGGTAGCTGCCGATTACGACTGATACAGGGACAGGCGTATTATTCTGCCTTTAGGCGAGGTTTGTTGAGCATCTTCTAGAGGAGGCGTTACTGAAGGTAGGCGCCCGGACGAGTTCGACGTAGCCACTCCGAACAACCGGTGTCGTTTTTCTTCGTCTGCAACTGCAGCGCCCGGCTGTGCTCTGATCTTTTTAGAGATCTGTCTCGGAAGAGAAGACAAGATGGATCAAAAAGTCGCTGCGGTACCGTTCCCGACAAAACTTTTCTAGAATGGTGCCTTAGAAAGGCCTTTCTTTGGATCCGGTCTGCTGCACCGAAGAAATAACTCCAATTTTACTGAGTGTTGCTTTGCGAGAACGACAGTGACCGAGTTACACGATCACGTTCGCGATTATCTTTCGGTTACGATTTTTTTTTGCCTTAAGACAATAAGTACACTGCAAAGACTAGAAGTAGCTGTTCAAGTTGAAGTTTACAACTAGCCACAATGTCGGTGACCGGGGCCGCTTCATCGTCGACAAGCTGCGCTTCCACCCCAGCGTCCAACCTTCCAGCAGTAATGAATCCGGATAATTGGATCGGGCAGGGGGTCGATGCCGTACTGGGCAGTTGCCGCGTCCGGGCGTCGCAGATCGCCGTGCGTAGCCCTTCTGTTCTTAACGTCCTCGATGCCATTGATAGCATAAAGGCAGAAGATGCGGAAGGGAAGGCGATGGACATCATTTTTGAGTATCGACTTTCGCGATTTACATAAAAGCTTGTTGCCCCGTTGCTTACTTTGTTCGATGCGCAGGCGCGAAGAAATTTTTTGCCGAATATCTTTGAAGAATTTATCAAAATGCCAGGTACGTCGACGCGAAGCGGAGGAAGGACCACATTGACCGTTTGATGGCGGCTGGACTTGCGGATGTGAACATCCACAAAGTGTCAGGATGCGAGTTCGCGTTGGCCGTGCGTACCGCTTATCGTACTGCAGGCAGCCCGGTTGTTCCTGCAGACCATCTTGCAGTAACGTTGAAGAATTGCAGCGAGACCGTTGTCCTCGATGACGCGTCTCTTGTACAGCGACAATCGAACCCACTACGAGAATACACTTACCCCCCTGATATATGGGTGGCGCTTGCCGAAGTTAATAAGTTGAGCGACGATGTGGTCTTGGACTGGTTACTGCATTGCCCATTTTACGCCAAAAAGCTTTATTGTGGTATTGACCCGGGGAATCGACCGGGAGATTTACAGCCACCGTATAGGATGATGTCCAAGCCATTGTTTATTGCGCTTTGTCGTGGCGATTTCGAACTGGCGGACAAGATGCTTCAGCTTGGATTGTTTCACGTGAATGAAACGCAGGGGGTTGCCGATGGGAGCTCATCCAAGTTTCTCTTCGACGCGATTTACCTGATGTTTCAAGCGGGTATCCCAGAAAGTGACGCGCACGCAGAAGCTAACCGTTTTCGTCCATTAGTCCGCTCGCGGTTTCGCCAAATTATCACGTATCTCATCGGTAATGGATCTAGCATGGACAGCAGCGACTGTCTTTTTGAGAATGCCGACAGAAGTCGCACTGTTCTTCACACACTCTACGCAGAGCTGGCGCGAGCAAATTGTCTGGACTTCGAGGATGCCCACCGCGTCACCAGACGCGAGCTAGCCGGACAAGTGGAAGACTTTTGTTTCTGTATCGACGCACTGAAGCTTGACGTCAATGAGTCTTTCCCTTGGACTCATGAATTCGACAGATCCACTCTCATGACGGTGTTGCAGAGATATCGTGCCCCAGTAATCGAACTGCTGAAGTGCGGAGCGCTTTGCCCTTCCAGTTTCGGGAGCGGAGAAGTAAGCCTTGCTGCGCTGGCGACGGACAGCCAGAACATCCACAACAATACGACGGCCCGGAGGCTGAGGCATCTGAGAACACTTGCGGTCGCCGAACTCAACAGCGCGGTGGCGCGGCAAACAGGCGGAGATAGTAAGAGTTCAGCAACTAATGTTGACGTTGCCAGGCCGGCTGCAGATGAAGAGAGCGAAGCACCTGCCGGCTTGCCTACGAAGCAGCGTCGTGTGGAGATGAATCCCAAAGGTGCCGAGGTCTCAGCCGCAACTCTGACCGTAGGCCAGGCGATTCAAAAGTTGCTCGACCGGGCTGATTTGCTTCAGGAAGCAGAAGTTGACAAGTTGCGAAACGGAGAGCAGCATTGCAATGGAATGAGCAAGAACGAAATTGTGGACGGCATCAAGCGGCAGCTGGGGCGGTTTCGTAGGCGCGAGGAGGACCGCGGCGTCGCTTCACCTGATACACAGTCACAAAAGAGGCCAGGCGATGCGCTGGTGCTGGTGTATCGTTATCTCCATGCAAAGTTTCCATCAGACCACCCAGATATGGTTATTTTCGCTGCGCTACTACAGGCACAAAACCAGTATGGTCCTAACCGCCAAACCTGCGACCCGATGATGCTGGTACTGAATCTTCTCGAGGGGCGAGTGACCGTTCCGGATCCAGCCGAGGGCGCGCAGGTGCCGAGCGGGCCAAGCACCTATGTTAAGACGTTGCGAGAGCTCCGTGCCCACAACACAGACCAGATCATCGCAGAGGGACAGGCACGGCTTGCCACGCTCAACAGGACGAAATTGCTCGAGGACATCTACAATTTGGTCACCGGCGGCGAGGCCCTTGAGTATGCAAAAAACCGGCTGCGCGGACTTTTCTTTGAACAGATGCTGACGGACTGCGACCATGATTTTGCCAAGTACATTATCGACGACGATGACGAGGATGCGTTGGAATTCATCCCCGCTGGGCTGCAGCGCTTGTTGAAAGATATCTCCGAGATATCCTGCATCTTCACGGAAGAATTCTTCTCACAGCGGATGTCGGAGGCATTTCGTCCCTTCGTGTCTGGTGCGACAAGCTCCGCGGCGTGAGAAGACTGCGAGTTTCTTTCTCGCGTCTGTGGTTCGCTTTCCACCAAAGCGCGGCATCCAGTCACACCCGCTCAAGAAAAAATCCGAATTGATGAACAACACGTAATGGAACAATCTTGCCGATCTTGCGAAACATGGAAGAGGGTTTTGCTTGTGCAGCAGAGTTGTATGAGCAGTAGTTTTTGCATTTGCTTCTATTTACGATCACAGATGCCGCATACGTAGCGTGCTGTTTTCTTTGGCAAGTTCTTCTCAGAAAGTGCCTACCTAGCGACCTACGTGTTTCAGTTTCACATGGCTGCAACACAACATTTTCACTTCCGCACGTGCGACAAAGACCAAAGTGCTAACCCAATAATCGCGCGTAAGCCAGCACGTTTCGAAATAAAGACTGAATAATTCTTGGCGGCGCATTGTGTCGGATTTTTTCGTATGAAATGTACTAACAAAGAACTATGAAGTATGTACTTGTCTTCCGGGAAGGCCGCGCCGCCCCTAGCGCAGTGATCAGGACCCTTTCATTAATTTCTGCTGTTGTAGTTCCACCAGAGAGAAAACGCACAAAAGACAGCACAGAGCTCTTGTTCTTTCGTTGCCACACACTGGATGGTGAGTTATGCCGAAACAATATGTGAAGCGGTATACTTCGTGGTTTTCTTATTGTGTTACGAGCGGTATGCAGAACTTTCAACTTGTTCTCTGAGCGAGTGAGAGGAAAATGCGTCAAGAATGCAAAGAAAGCGGCTAATATGTTGACATGGCCACAAAGCGAGGGAAATACATTCATAAATCTCAAATTGAAGACGTAGTGGTCACAAAGTGAGGGCTTTCAAAAGAGATGTTTCCGTCGTGATTTGTTGGAAAAGAAAGATTTCATCATCACGAAAAGAGTAGTAGCGTACTGTCTTGGAAATCCTAGAAACTTCGCTAGACCTTGCGTCCACAATCATCACCAGAAAATGAATGTGGTTCAGTTCACCACCGCAACAGCGCAGCCGGCGCAGATTTTGGTTCTGCAAGCCCCGCCCCCAACGCTGTTATGCGAGGACAATGCCACAGCTCCGGTGGTGACAAAGCAGGAGCAAGACCAAACCTCTGAAGACCCGCCTGCTTCCCCCATCACGACCAAGTCCACCGGGCGCGTTGGCGGGATCCTCGCGCGTGCGAAGGGGCAAAAAGCAGAAAGCACCAACACGCCAACGGCGACGCCAAAAAGCACCGGGCGGGTCGGTGGTCTCGTCGCGCGGGCGAAGCGTGCGGGGGTTGGTGCTACTTCAAGTGCGGCGGCGCGTGCGAAGCAGGTGAAGGGGATTTTCCTGGCGCCCGTGTCGTCCAGTTTTCAGAAAACGGAGACTAGTCACACCACCGCCTCGCCGCCGGCCAAACCGGTGAAGATGATGAAAAGGGGTCGCACCCGCGTTTTGCGGGAAATCGACAATTTTTGGAATTTGATCCAAGTCGAAGGGGCGGTCGAGAATCCGGGCGACCCCGCACCGCGGGCGCAATACAACACTCCCCCGGCCACACTCATCTTTGTGCTCATCCCGCTGTTTTGGCCGCTGTTGGGGCCGATGGTGATGCGCGTCCGCGCTTTGCAGAACGCGCTGCCCATGTATCCCACAGAAAAAAGCAGGCAGGTCATATTTGTAACGCGAAAATCGATAATTGTATATAGAAAAGAACTTGAGCTGCGGATCCTAAACATCATGCTATGTGGCTGCCCATGATAGATTTTTCTGTGTCTTTAATTTTGCATTACCCTGCCACCTTTTTTCTGCGGGATACCAGGGACGCAATGCTCTGTGACCAGGCGGACTTGGAGCTGGTGTACAAGGCGCTGCGGGGGACGTGGTTTCTCGAGAGCGAGCGCGGTCCTGGGGCCGGCTACTACGGGGCAATCAGACCAACTGTTACCCTCACCATCAACGGAGTGACGGCGGAGCGCCAGGCCGAGTTATGTTAGAAAAAAAACCGTCTGAGTGGTCCCAAACTTTTGCACACTGAGCAACTCACACTTGTTGCCGAATTTAAGAGACGAGATCTGTGATGCATAGATGAAAGCTGACTTGGTTCTTGCATGTCGAGTATGTTGACCCCAGAAAACGTGCCTACTGCTGTTACGAGTTTAGACCACTTCTGAGACAGTTTTTTCTTACGATGGCAGTTTCTCATGGAGAATGGCCCTGTGCGCGGACCTAAGCGCGCTCAATTTTTCCAATTTGCCAGGGCTGCGTCCGTATCAAATGGAAATATGAGTTGTTGCCTAGGTCTGGAAGAACTACCAAAGGTGATCATGAGTTGTCACAAAGAAAGATGATGTGGCTCAAAAGGACACGCACGGTGCCTCAATCCACAGCCGCACATGCACGATCTTTGTTTTGCAGATTGCGAAACAAGAAGTGGAGCCTTGTTGCGACAGAGTTTGTTCGACTCACGCCAATGAAGCATGAGGAGTGCAGCAATCTTCCAGACCGGACACATCCGTTTGCAATGCATAATCGAAGCCGAATGTGCTCTTCACCGATGCCTTCGGTTCGCATCTGCTCACGAAGATAGATGCGGCGAATCCGAGTCCCGTCGAAATCGAGCTCGCTACGAATGTATGCATTGCAAATATGTCTCAACCTGGGAGACCTCAGCATGCTGCGGAATGCATATCGCTGGTTCTTTTGCGCGTCTTCGAAACTCTGTCACGCTTCTTGCCTGAGTGTTCTGTGCTGTTTTTTTTTTGCATTTGTCATTGATTTCGATAGACAAACACGGCAATTTTCCAGGGCTAGACATAGTTGCATTTGATAGAGCTCGTTAATGGCCAGCGGGGATCAAACGACGTTTTCGAAATGGGTTCGCAAGAATCCGAACGCAGCTTCGTAAGAAGCGGGGATGAGTCTTCGAACTTTTTTACTTTCGAAAGGCAAAAAATTTCTCATTTTGCTCTGAGAGGCGCTTTTGCTTCTTTAGAAGTGATTGTTTGAATTAAGGCGTTTTTCCATGATGAGATGAGCAACCCTTCTTGGGCTTGTTTGGACCAATCGCGTCCTGCTACTGAGGTTTTCGTTAACATAGGAAAGGAAAATGCAGATGAAAGGCGAAGTATACCAATCTGACTTTTTTGAATGAAGCCGGATTCAAGGTGAATATTGACGATTTCCACTTTTTACTGAAACATGCCTATATTCATAAGGTGTTTCGTGTCACGCGCTGCACGCCCTGTTAGCATCGTGTCAACGTTCATCGTGCAAGACGAGCCACCGTGTCAATGTACAAAAGTTTTTGAAGACTCTTTCGCTGCTTTACTTGTGTGACATAAATGTGTCCGCAAGCAAGTTTCGCTGCTTCGGTAGATTTTATTTTTTTTGCTAAAAAACATAAATCATGTGCTTCTGTTAGGATTTCCTAGCGCTAGCATAAAATGCAAATAGCTGGGGAGTCCTCGGCTTTCTAAATGTAAATGCTTGTCTTTTCACAACTACGTGTCACCTCTTCTCGGGACGCAGTCCCAATGAATCCGTGTGATTTGTAAGAACTGGTATATTTTCAATGTTTTTCAGCACGCTATGGATTTTGTTTTTTTCAGTAGCATAAGCATTTGCATCGTCAACTAACATAAAGGACTGCTTCAAAAGCGCATACACGTTTCCATATACAGCATCTACCCTTTTTGGTAGAAGATCAAATCCTCCGAACGAATCTCGCGCATACCGACTTGAAGATTGACAACTGCTTGATTTGGTCGTGCATCATGAAAAATTGACATCGGTACTGCATTTTACCCGCGGCGGAAGGAAGTTGTCGGAGACGATGGTGTGTGCCTTTATGCGTGGTGATTTTCTTGTTCTCGCTCAAGCAACAGCGGGACGGGTGTGGTGGCACGAGGGAGCGCTTCAAAACATGGCAGCAAGGTATACGAGGTTTGTAAATGACTTGTGCTTCAGGTTGAGGTTTGCGTGTCATAGCCAGAAGAAAACACTCGAGCGGATTCAAATTGACGTGGTTACAAAGCGAGAGAAAGAAGCCTCCAAGGGATACTTAACGTAGTCACCGAGTGAGGGCTTTCAAAAATGATGTTTTCTTGAAATAAATTGTTGGAAAAGAAAGATTGAAACGAAGCATCGTGTATCTCAAAAACAAAAGTGCACTCCGGTCATCTGTCAAATTTACAACAAGTCAGCCCTTCATACACAAGCATCACCAGAAAATGAATGTGGTTCAGTTGACCACGGCAACAGCCCAGCCGGCGCAGGTTTTGGTGCTGCAAGCCGAGGCCCCGACGCTGTTGTGTGAGAACATTGCCACAGCTCCGCTGCTGGTGATAAAGCAGGAACAAGATCAAACCTCTGAGGACCCGCCTGCGTCTCCCACCACGACCAAGTCCACCGGGCGCGTCGGCGGGATTCTGGCGCGTGCGAAGGGGCAAAAAGCAGAAAGCACCAACACGCCAACGGCGGCGCCAAAAAGCACCGGGCGGGTCGGTGGTCTCGTTGCGCGGGCGAAGCGTGCGGGAGTTGGTGCTACTTCAAATGCGGCCGCGCGTGCGAAGCAGGTGAAGGGGATTTTTCTGCCTTCCGTGTCGCTGGGCCAGAAGACGGACGAGACCAGTCCTAGCACCGCGTCTATCCCGAGAGAAAAATGTATGCACTTGCTGCACATTTGTTGTACTTGATTCCAGCATCAACACAAACTTCCTCTACACAATAAAGAAAGTTTGCGATGCAGCGTATGAAAGGAGAGTCGCAAGCACTTGGGCTGGCTTGCTTTTTCCGCAGCATAATGTGCAAACTAACTGTAACACTTTTTTCTTTGCATACACTCGGGGCCGGCCAATGCGGGCTCCGCGATCTCGCCCGAGAGGAACGGGGGCAGCAATGCCAAACCGGTGATGATGAGCACAGCCAGGTCGACCACCAAGCCCCGCGTGCGCGTTTTGCGGAAACTCAAGGAAGATTGGGATTTAGTCCAAATCGAAGGCGCGGACGAAAATCCGGGCGACCCCGCACCGCGGTTGCGGTACAAGACTCCCTGCACCATGTACGTGATGCTGATCCACCCGGGACTGTGGCTGGTGATCCCGTGGATGCTCCACTGTATGCGCTCGTTGGAGCGGGTGTTGCCAAAGGACGCGGTGCTCTGTGACCAGACGGAGTTGGAGTTGCTGAAGCAGGCGCTGCAGGGAAAATGGTTTCACGGAGGCCACCGAAGCGAGCACCAGGTTTCCTACACCATGCCGGTCGCGGTCGGAAACGGAGAAGGAGATATGGTAGCAGTCATGACCTTATCAAATGCAAAAATGTCTGGGTCTGGAAGATTGCGCGATTTGTAATGCAGGTTTCTCATGACCCATGAGGTCTGGAATGCAAAACCTAGCATGACAGATTCTGTCAGATCTCTATCATGCTTATTCTGCATGAGAAACTCCCTCTCACCTTGGTCAGAAGTGAGCGGCTTTTGGTACTCATGCAACACAGATTTTAGCATAGTTCGCGTTTAGCATGAGAAGTTGCAATCTTCCAGACCCAGACATTTTTGCATTTGATAGACCTTCGACGGGGTGACTCCCGAGTACCATGTCGAGTCGCTCACGGGGAATAGTCCTGTGCCCCTAGCTCCGCGATCGCGCTCTGAATCTTTCCAATTTTCTAGAGCGGCGTCCCAGCCAGATGCGTTGTTCACCGATGCCTGGGGTTCGCGTCTGGTCGCGAAGATAGATGCGGCGAATCCGAGCCCAGCTGAAATCGAGCTCGCTACGGAAGTGGGTGGGTACAAGACATTTGCGAAGTGGGTTCGCAAGCATCCGAATGCTGCGTCGTAGGAAACGGGGAATCGAGATTTTTGTATAATACTCATTTTCGACAAGCAAAAGCTTTATCGTCATTTTTTCTTAGAGCCAAATGTACTTGATCTTTGATGAGCCATAAATTCGTTTTTCCATGATGAACAAATGTAATGGGTTTATTGGTTCGACCCATCGCGTTCTGCTGCTACCCTTCTCTTTCACTTTCACATTCATCGAATATATAAAAATGCAGATGAACAAAGGCGATGGCGAAGTAGAAAATGAATGCGATTCTGACTTTTTTAGATAAAACTGGACTATTGATGAAGAGTAACGATTTCCATTTGTACTTGTGCTCAGCTGTAAAACGCCATAAATTGCCATCTGTCTGCTCACATTGCACAGCTTGTCAGCATCTCGTCAATGTTCTTCTTCTTGTCCGATGAGAACAGAAGGAATGTATCTGCAAACGCGCTTTTTTGGTTCGTACCCGATAGATTTTGATTTTTTTGCGAAAAAAACTTTTACATCATCTGTTTCTGGAAGCATTACCTATTGGTAGCGCTAGCACAAATTGCAAATCAATCGTTGGGGATGGTTCATTTCCGTTTCCTGGTCCACTAGGATTCGAATGGCGACGACCCAGTTGTATCAATCACCTTTCCATAAATATGCATAGAGAAGCACTCGATTATCTAAAAAATGTTTGCCTTTTCACGACGTGTCACCGTTGTTTTCGGAGCAGCCAGGTGGCACGTTTTTCACTTTTTAGTGTTTTTCATTTCATTTCGATGCAAATTCCATTTTTTTTGATGGAGGAGAAGAAGCTGGTGCTAGCAGTAACATCTGCATCTTCAAGATAAGCATAAATTGATGTTTCAAGCGCATACACGTTTCCATAAATTCATCTACTCTTTTTGGTAGAAACATACCAATCCTACACACCAAATGTCGCTTATAAGTGGATATGATGGACAAATGCTTGATGTGATGATGCATCGATCAGGGTGGAGTTTACTTCACCCGTGTAAAAAGGGTGTCGTGTGGGACGATGGTGTGTGCATTTATGTGTTGTGATCTTCTGCCTCAAGCAACAGTTGGACGAGTCTGCTGGTACGAGAAACTGCCTAGAGGCATGGCAGTGTGGGTTCGGTAGTTGTAAGCATTCATGGATTCCTTAGGAGAGTGCCCAAGAGCAGACCGGCATCGGCGAGTAAATGTCACGTTAAAACATCGCCCAAAGACAAAGCACGAGAGAGCTGAAGATGGCGGGATGATCACGCAAAGATAGTTTGGCGAAGAAAAAATGGGATCAGGAGCAACCGCTCAATCACCCTGGGTCGGCCCTCTATTCGAGGAGAAAATCCTTTACAGAGTTTTTATGTCGGTGTATACTTCTCTCGGTGAGGATGGAAGATTTTTTCCTAGATGCTGGCTCTTCGTGTCTTACGATTACATAATTTCTATATGTCCTAATACATGGTGATGAGATGAGTTCGCGGCTTCGTATCACCACGTGACTGTTGTCGATTCACATTCATCAAAATGTTAATTTGAAAATTATACAATGTCAAAGCTACATACTTGTTTAAAACAATTTCGAAAACCGCGACGGCGACATGACACACAAATCGGCAAGTTCCACGAGCGTATGTCCCACCCAAGGTTTTCGCAAATTATGGCGTGCCGCGACACCCAGTTCTCGGCTCGGTTCCCTGGGAGCACTGAGTGCCGCACTTTCTCTGGTGTCTGTAGTGCACGCTGCCGATCTGTACTTGGACTGCGCGGACACGGAGAAAGTCGCCCTCCAAGAAAGCGACGGAAAGCCCAAAGCGTCGAGCCATGCTCGGCAGTTCCTCGAGTCGCAGACGCCGCCCGAATGCCCGGCCCCGGAGATCCGGAATCCAGAGACTTTTGTGCCGGCGATGGCGAAGACGAGCGAGCTCTGGATTGTAAACTACTACGCCGGCTGGTGTCCGCACTGCATCACCTTCGCCCCGGCATACAAGCAGCTCGCAAAGCAGTACGACGGCAAGGTGCACTTCGCCGCGGTGAACTGCGAAGTGCACGGCGGATGGTGTTCCAACGTGGGTGTCTCCAGCTACCCCACACTGCGGGCGTACCACGAAGCGCCGGCCGACGCGAGTGACAAGGGGGACGGCGGACCCTTAGACCTCACCAAGTCACAGAAACACGGGCCCGACCGGCTAGCCTTGTACACCCAGCTCATCGATGCCCTGGTTGCGAAACGACGTGGAAACGACGGCCTTCCACTGGAGGGGTCCAGCGCAGCGGCGACCAAGACTACACCAGATGAGAGAGAAAAGGATAGTGCCGCTGCAGGAGGTGGTGGTTCTGGTGCTGCGACACCAGGTCCTGCAAAGATAACGTCCTGGAAGTGGCAAGACGAAAGCTCGACCCTGTACGCCAATCGCGAGCGCGACGCGGTGCTGGCATTGCTGTACAGTTTGAAGGTCGGAGTTTTTTTGAAAGCCGAGGACGGTGTCCTGAGTGCGAAGATCTGGAAGGAGCTTGAGCGCTGGCTTCAGTTCGTTGCGGCTTACTTTCCAAGAGAAAGCCTACGAGGAGACTTGACGGATTTGGTAACGCGAATAGACCCTAGCGTAACAGCCGAGGCCTGGATTAAACTACTTGCAGCTTGGGCTGGAGACAGTGCGCGGGAGGACCAGTTGATTCGGGAAGTATCTAGGCTACGTCTTTTTGAAAAGCAGTTGGAACAAGTGCGGTTTCTCGATGTCGCGTGCAGAATGTCTCATTTCGTGTGTATTTGTACTTCTTTGTCATTCATCTCTATTGCCCAATTGATCTCCGGAACTAAATCATTACAAAATCATAATCTTTTTACCTGACCGCAGGCCTTCATCCCTATCCTCACCGGTGGCCAAGACGTCGTTCCCTCCCTCCGCGCCTCCACATCCTTTACTGGCGCACTGTGGCATCTGTTACACATTCTCACCGTATCCGTGGACCAGCAGCATCCACCCCACCTGTCCAAAGACGAGGACATCGAGCAGGCCCACTCCCTCCGGTCCGCCGCCTCCCAGCACACTTTCCCGGCGGACCGGAAGCGGTTCTACGACCGCCTGAGGTCGTTCGTGAGCAACTTTTTCGGATGCGACGACTGCCGAAGACACTTTCTGGACCGATTCGACAAGTGCGCCTTCGGCCGGTGCGACACGACGCAGCCTTCCAGCCTGTGGCTGTGGGAGCTGCACAACCGCGTCACGCAACGTGTGTACCGGGAAACCGTGGCGCACCACCACCAGGACTTGGCGATAACCAATTTGGAACCCAAACTGCTCTTCCCGTCGCCCCAGCAGTGCCCGGACTGCTACTGGAAGGAAAAACCGAAACAGCGGCTCTCCGCCGCGGAAGCTGCGAAGTGGGAAAGCGTCTTGGCAGACATAAACAGCGCCGTAGCAGGAGCAAGTGGTCCTACTTCTGGGAACAACAATGCGCCCGGAAAGGCAGCGGAATCCGCTTCAGCCAAGAATGCAGACTCGGAGGACGACGACGACGCATTCCCTTCGCAGAACAAGAGAAAAAAGCCACGGCCGAGCAGCAACCAGCTCTTCCACCAACTTTTCGACAAAGCGGCGGTGGAAAAGTTTCTCACACGAACCTTCTACCCGGAGAACCCGCCCCCGTTTGAACCCCTACCGACTGAAGCTTCCGGCAGCGCGGACGAGGACGCGCTGGCCGCAGGGGATAGTGTGGTACTTACGAAATACAACTCTTTTATGAATTTACTACTTTTACGCGGTGTTTGTTTCGTGGTGTATCTCTAAGTCGTTTCTCTCCAAGACTTCTTAACCTCAAGCACAGCTATTACCTAGAGGACCATGATGCGGCTGCCCAGGGTGATACATAGATAGCATGTGCAAACCAACCCAATGCGACGATACAACACAGCTCGTCGATTCTTCCGGCATACTGCTGCCTCCGTGGTTCCCGTCGAGTGCGATGCTTTTTCTGGTCGTGGCAGTGGCCGTGATCTTCTTCCTCTCGATTTGCCGGGATAAGAAGCTGTACTGGGTAGGGTGCACGAGAAAATTTTGCGCCGGGTTGATGCGACGGACTCGGCAGTGGACGCTGAGCCGAAAATCCTCGGCCATGAATTCCCCACCCCGGCAGTTTGACGTAGACGACGACACAGCTCTGTATGAGCTCGACCAACCCCGGTCGCCCCTCGGCATGCAACGCGTCGGTGCTTACAGTGTCGAAGAAATGATCTGAGGAACCGAATGGAAATAAAGACCTCTTGCATACTAGTGCGCGCAATTTGTGCCGGCAAACTGCCTCAAGTCCGCTCTTCAGGGGCGGGTGGCCAGGATCCCGAAGAGGACGTGGCGTGCTTGTGTTCGTTTTTTTTTTGGACAAATGCTGGTGTGCACACGTGAACAGGCGGAATGGAAAAATACGAGCGGGCGTTGTCTTTCGAGATGAGCTAAGCTTTCAGTATACGTCTATATCAGATGTTGATCATGATCCTGTGTCGAGAGAGGCCGAAAACAAGTACTCTGTGCCTCTGGTCATGAGCGGAGTGACAATCATTGCGCATTTATTTTTGAACGAAGCCCGAGCGAGGCAACAACAACATCAAAATACCACGATCATCATGTCGGAGTCGGCACTTGCGCTCCACGTGCTGTAGAAAGTAAAGAAAAATGGATTTTTCCCCGGCCGCAGGCGAGGAGGTGCTGACTGTCACGCAAGATGAACAAGCGGGTATACCTACCTACTACTTCCCCTGGCCGCTGTCTTTTGTAGAGCCGGAATGGAGTTACTTCTTCTTTCTCCGGCTCTTCTTCGCGTTCACAGTGGGCACGAACACCGCGATGACGGTGGGACTTCTGTCGGTTTTCGCGTTGCCGCTCGGCGCTAGCTCCTTTGCCCTGTCCGTGATTTGTAAATACTTCCTGCTGCCGCTCTCCGGCCCGGCGTCGCAATCGGTGATCGGGTACTTCTTCGATACGGTCCGAATATGCTGCCACGAGGTGGCGATGGGCGTGTTTTGGGGCACGATTTGGCCCTTTCTCTTCGTGGTGGGCCGGGACGTGGTGAATTATTTCCGGAAGAGGTGGAGGAGCAAAATCGTGTAAGGAGAAGTTCTACAGAAATCACGGAATATTCACAATTAGAAGAGGAAATGCAAATATGTGTTTTGTCCACGACTACTTCTACTCTTCCCGTAGTTCTGAACGCCGACTTTTTTGCATGCTTGTCATATGGTGCAGGGGAAACAGGTTGAAGCCGTCGGTAATAATTCGTTTGTAGTTGGTGGTGCTGTCATACGAGAACGAGAAAGAAAGTAAATGCACAACTAGGCCAGGATGAATGTACCATTTTTGTTTTTGACTATTTGGACCTGCTTGAATCATGTTTCGCTCGAAAAAAAATTTCTGAGTCTGTGCACGTCCTGTGTGTGCGTGTACAGATGAGACGATGTTGTGGTGGCTTCGTATCCGTGCGAAAAGAATCATGTATGAAGTTTCGCGATTGTTCCGGATCCGGATTGTGAAAGGAAGTCCCTTGCTTCGTTTTTTGTTCATTTGCCCACTGTGGACCTCGCTTTCGTATTGATTCGTAATTCTCGCCTTGACGCCTCTCATCGGTGCTGGAGTTTTGAAATTTTCTTCGGTCCACAATCGCGCAATCCATCGATGACACTGCTGCTGCCGCATCGCGACTAACAAGCGTTTCTAGTATGATCGGTAGAATGGCAACGTGCCATCGTTGTACAACTTCGGTAAAATCACTTCCTTGCAGTCCCCAAACAAAAGTCGGTTGTTGTGCTGTATCACGCCTAAATTACAGACACCGGAAGAAGTAAATTGTGGTCGGTGAACTTCAACCGCGTCAGAATGTAAATTCTCTTTTGGGAAACTTGAACGGCTTTTGCTTTTTTTCTCTTCGCGGTGGTCAACTCACCAGCTTTTTCTTTGAAATCATTATCGCAGGACTTGTTCCTTTGTCCAACTTGGCAAAAACCGAAACTTCCCTTGTTTACCAAGCGATTTTACTTTATTTTCATTGCTAGTATCGACATTAATACCCCCTTGCGCTGTTCCCGATTTCTCGTTCACGTGTTTTGTTCTTTTGTGTATAATTTCCGTAACCCGCGAATCCAAATCCATCCCAGGCTGAAGTAAACTAACTATGTCTCGCACCTCCAGCATGGTTGACAGCGGGCGGATGTCCGACAGCTTCGCCCGGACCGCACCGAAGGTGAGCATCGAAATGCGGCAGAAACAGCTGAAGTCCACGCGGCCCGGTTACGTGCGCAGCGTGATCACGCCCATTCTCGAGGAACTGGCCACGGAGTTCTGGGTAAACGAGAACAAAATCCGCGTGGAGGGCGAGGCGCTGGTCGAGCACATGATCAAACACGTTGAAGAGAAGGTGCAAATGGACCCAGATCTCAAGGAGCACATCATGGACAACCGGGCTGTATTGATGATTTAGAAAGATAGGTTTTTTGCTCGTTTCGATTGAGCGTTGCATACAATTCAAACTCATTCCTTATACTTGATTCGGATTTCTGCTTCTGGTTAGAGTTCTGATGTACTTTTGTGGCACTTCAATTGTGGGACTGAAAGTAGTACAACTTGCAGGTCTGGCAACACCTATTCTCTATCGATTCCAAATGATCAAAGCCTTTGATGAATAAATATGCAGGTTCTCAACCAGCCTGCCACGGTGACGGCGGACTGCGAGCAGTTGCGCAAGGAGTGCGACCATTTAGCGGACAAGTGCGAGGAGATCTGGACGCTCGAGAAACAAGCGGCAGAACAGCGACGCCAGCGGGAAGAGAAAATGATGAAACTAGAAGGCACGAAGTAGATGCATATGGGGGTCGTGCCAAAATGTTCGACGTCGGGTCCGCATGTGTCTTAACAACTTCTACACGGTTAGGTAGTTGAATAAACGAGACTATGGCCCCCGCAACGTAGTTCGCATTTTCTCTATTTCTTCTATCTCCGTTGAGCTCAAGGTTTGGATTTTTGTCTGGGCTATAAGGGAAAGATTTGTGTCCTCCCTCCTGTATCATATCTTTGGCTCGGTAGAATTAGAACCGAATCGATTTTCGGTTCTTCTTCAAAAAATGTACACTAAAAGGAACTGCTCACTATTGGTTTTTGTTTCGTATCACGCTCCTGCATTTGATAAGCAAGACGCATCCTCCTTATGGGAAGTACAAAGTGCCTCTCGCGCTTTCGGAGACAGAGGAATAAATTGCTTTTGCTCTTCGGCGGGACACAACGAATACACCTCATCAAGCTCGGCGCGTAACGACCAGGGGCTCCATGTCCATCGGGGTCAAGGCGAAGGAGGTGTTCTCTAGTGATCAGAATGGATACGGCCATTAGAAATTACGTAGCAACTACGGTCTTTGGGGTTTGTGAGTTTTATTCTTGCAGGGGTCTAGGAAAAAAATGAAAATCGAAATGCTCGGTGCAGGTTTCGGTCCAGAAGATCATATTCGCCATCTTGGCTGTCACTACTGAATCAAAGAAAATTATGCACCCAGAAGGAGATCAAGATCGTCACTTTCGTCGTCGTGTCCTACTCGTGTATTCACGTTGATTTAAGGGAGCCAGGATCAGGAAGGGGGAGCACAAGTTCCAGTTTCGGTAGGGGTGGGAGAACTGCTAGTTCGAAACATAAGTAATTACATTCGGTTGCTTGTTTCATCGTGCAGGTTCGATTTCTTTAATACTCCTTGTTGGGGCAAATTCTCCATCGGTTAATATTTGTCGCTTCTTTTGGATCTGCAAATGCAATGCTGAAAAAATTTGGGCTGCAATATTAAATACAGGTAGTCCGAGTCGTTGTTTTTCATCTGTTTACATCCTACAAGATGCCGACGCAAACGACTTGGACGGGGAGCACGTATACCGGCGAGATCAAAGATGGCTGGTATGACGGACCCGGGAAATACGAGTTCCCGAATGGCACCATTTACGAGGGCCAGTTCCGCAGGGGCGAGTTCCACGGCGAAGGCACGATGATCTACGTGCACGGGGCCAAGTACGTGGCGCAATGGGAGCGAGGCGTGGCCATTTCGGGACAGTATCTATTCTGTTTGTTTTCGACAACGATGTTCTTGACATTCGTTTTCGTTCCTTCAATAAATTCGTAAATCAAAAACTCGAGAATAAACAAATGCAATTATGATACAAGAATTTTCCAAGGTATCAGTTTGCCGACGGGCTCGAGTTCAAGGACGAGAACTGGGGTTACCTGTCCGCCCAGGACCGCCGGTTTTTCAGCGAAACGAACACGGGTTTGAAGCCCGCAGGGAAGACGCAGCTGACCGATGGCGTGTCCGTCGCGGTGCCACCAGGCATGTACGACACGGGCGAGGGTTTCTACTCCGCGAAGGAGGGTATCTTGTACGATTATTTGACCATGAAACGCGTCCGACGGGTAAAAGACCCCAACGAGTCGAACTGGATCAAGCAGCACTGCCGGCGCGGGTTCGGCACGCACGGGTCGGTGGAAGACTTTGGACTACACGAAGAAATCGACGAAGAGGAAATGTCGCACCACAGCGAGGAAGAGGCCGCGGCCGCGACGCAGGTGCAGGCCATGTACCGCGCAAAGCAGGCGCGGAAGGAGACCGCCGCGAAGAAGGCCGCGCGGGCACCGACGGCAGTTACGGTAGAACCGAAGAAGGAGGAGTCGGCACCGGCAAGTAGCAGTGAGGAGGATTTAGTCGCCTGGACCGCAGGGCTCGGTGCGGACGCAGACGCCGCCGCAATCAAAATGCAAGCCAGGCAACGACAAAAGCAGGCGAAGAAGCAGGTATAGGTGGATGTTTCTCGTTGGCTGTGATTGTTGCTTTTTTGTTTTCGGCGCGTTGTACCTTACATGAAAATGTCAGTTGATCATGGAACACTTGTTGGCACCATCACCACCAGGTCGAGCAGCGCAGACGAGAGCTGGAGGAGGCACAGCGTGCTGCTGCCAACGAGGAAGAAGACCTCGACAAGTGGCTTGCCGATCTGGGCGACGATGCCAATTCCGCCGCATTGAAAATGCAGGCGAAACAGAGACAAAAGTTGGCCAAAAAGCAGGTGCGGCTTGTTTTTGGAATCAATATGAGATGTTTGACTTTTAGGCATTGAAAGCGAATGTAGGGATCTGTGAGAAGCAGACTCATGGATGAATGCACAGCGAACTCAAACTCAATGGTGAAGGCAATGTCTATCACAAGACAACATGATCGCGATGGGTTGTCTGATACACAACATCGCGATGAATCAATTGCGCCACTTTGCGAATAAATCTTGTCAGGTCGAAGCCCGAAGGAAGGAATTAGAAGAGGCACAGAAACTGGCGAAGGAGCAGGCCGAGGAGACGAAGGAACTCGACGCTTGGCTCCAGGACCTCGGCGACGACGCAAGTGTCGCGGCATTGAAAATGCAAGCAAAGCAAAGACAAAAAATGGCCAAGAAACAGGTTTCGATTTCTTAGTCAAGAATGTGAAAGAATGATACAACTACCTACAACATCTACATGGTTGGTGTGAACATCCTCCCTCGTTCTACTTGTAACTTAATCCGTTCGTGGCTGAAAATTTTTACATCCAGATGCGTGATGCTTCAACTCTCAGGTCGAAGCCCGCAGAAAAGAGTTGGAAGCAGCACAGCAGGCAGAGCAGGAAGAGGGCGAGGACTTGGATAAATGGCTCGGTGAGCTGGGCGATGATGCAAACTCTGCTGCTTTGAAAATGCAGGCCAAGCAGAGACAAAAAATGGCGAAAAAACAGGTAGAGCAGTTTCGGGTTCGATAGTGCAAATTAGTTACAGATACAGACCTGTGTGGTGTATTCCTTTATTCATCTACCGTAGATGAAAGGATAAGCAGATCACTCTGGCCGCCTGCAGAACCAGAGTACTACACTCTCACAAGTCAGCTTACCGTGGCTACTACGCCGTATCAAAATTCCCATTGCGAAACTGACATGGTCAGGTCGAAGCTCGGCGCCGCGAACTCGAGTTGGCGCAGAAAGAGACGGAGGCGAATGAATTGGACCAGTGGCTCGACGAGCTCGGGGACGACGCCAACGCCGCCGCCCTGAAGATGCAGGCTATGCATTGCAAAAGTATCGTACTAGTAAAAATTGCATCACAAATTTTTGCAAGAAGAAAAATGCAATTTGTAATGCTATTTTACCTAAAGAGGGATATTTGTCATGCACCATAGCAATTACTACGAGTGGGATACTTTTGCACAGGATACAGGCCAAACAGCGACAAAAGCTGGCCAAAAAGCAGGTGGACGCCCGGCGGCGGGAGCTCGAGGAGGCCCAGAAAATCGCGCAGGAAGATATGACCTGCTCAAACGTTTTTACAATCTCAAACGTTGAAATAGAATTTGGGTTTTGTATTGCATGATGAGCATGACAGACTCGGACAGCATTCCACTTTCTGCAATACAAATTTCGCCAGATTGTAGTGCGGATTGGGACCACTCCACAACTTGTCATGCGCAATCCTATGAGAGTTGGCTAGATATTAATGCACTTCTTGCAACACAAATTCCAGGTTCTATTGTAACGTTTGAGATTGTAACACCTGAGCAGTTTATAGAAGAAGCCGCCGAACTCGACACGTGGCTGGCGGATCTCGGAGACGACGCCAACGGAGCGGCCTTGAAGATGCAAGCGAAACAGAGACAAAAAATGGCCAAGAAGCAGGTACTGATAGAAGAAACGATGCAGCTCTCACCGTTATACTGCATTCGTTCTGAAAGTAAGTAATAGATCATACGTAAAGCGCCTGCTCGACGACAAGGTTCTGTGTGGAGTTGTAGAATAACAAAGAACGTGCATTTACAACATGTTGACCACAACTACATAAATTGATTCTCAGGTCGAGGCTAGAAGACGAGAGCTGGAAGAGGCACAGCGACAGGCCCAGGAGGCCAAGAGCGAGGAAAGCGACCTGGATAAGTGGCTCAACGAATTGGGCGACGACGCAAACTCGGCTGCCATGAAAATGCAGGCCAAGCAGAGACAAAAAATGGCGAAGAAGCAGGTGAGTACCGTCTTACGTGCGATCTCTCCTTATGATGTTGATCTAGTTGTGTCTTTTTAGAAAAATTCTCTGTACCTCAACGCCTCGCAATCACGACAGGTCGAGGCTAAACGGCGCGAATTAGAGGAATCGAAGCGACAGGCGGAGGAGGAAAACGCGGAGCTCGACAAGTGGCTGACCGATTTGGGCGACGACGCCAATGGGGCCGCATTGAAAATGCAGGCCAAGCAGCGCCAAAAAATCGCCAAGAAGGAGGTGGAACAGAAACGGAAGGAACTCGAGGAAGCGCGAGCCAAGGAGGCTGCGGAAAAGGAGGCCGCCGAGATCGCCGCCTGGGCGGAAGAGCTCGGAGACGAGGGAAACGCCGCTGCCGCGCGCATGCAGGCGAAGCAGAGACAGAAGGTACTTTTGGGGATTGCGTGAATATGGTTGCCTCAATAAAAGTACGATTTTGAATTTTTTTTTTGCGCAAGTCCTGGCTGCTGTGCTGGAAGTTTACTAGTACTGACGTCGCAAAAATGCGCCGTTCGAGAAAGGAACCTTTTATTCGCCGGGAACGAAAAAGTTTACGCAATTCCAACTAAAATGAAACGCACGACAGGCTGCGCAGAAGGAGGTTGCGGCGAAGCGAGCGCAAAAGAAAGCAGCGGAGGAAGCAGCGGCCGCTGCCGGAGCCACGGAAGCCGCCCCAGCCGCCGAAGAACCCGCTGCGGACGCTGCACCGGCGGCGACGGAGTAAACAAGGAAGGTGCAACATGTGAAACGACGCTTACGACGGAAAACTTTTGCTTTTCCTTTTTGTTTCTGTCCATTCTTCCTGTCTTTCTGTACCGCTTTGATCATCAAATTCCGGCGAAGAATAGTTTGTCGTACTCACTTTGATTTATGAAACCTTGTTTACCTTTTGCTTTTTCACTCCGCAAGCCAGGCTAACGGGATAGGCGTAGGGAGTTGAAAAAGACCATCTTCTGCACCAGTGGTGGATGGAAGGTGACGCGTAAACTACTTATACAACAAAACCTTTGCCAAAGTAACCTCATTTACCGTTTTATCGCATCGTGTAAAAATTTTCTATCTAGCAATATTGTTTTTGTGATTGTCAACTGAAACAGTAACCTGTATTTCTAGACGAGTTATCAGAAGATTGCAAGATTAACTACGACGAGCAAAACTCAGTACCATATTGTAATATTCTAGCTGACATGAAAGCAAAAGCTGATTTTAGAATCCTATTTTCACAGCGACAGAGAGAGATAGAATCATGATCGTAACCTAAATCAGTGTCCAAAAGCAACTCGAACTGTACAAAAAGGCTTGGAAAGTGCACGCATAGATACAATAAGACCACAGTTATTTCCTCGGTTTTGCATCGATGAAGTAGTGTTATTCCAAACAGCACGCTTCAATTGCAACAAGAGATATGAGTCTGTTGTGGTTCAGTGTACTCGTAGACGCACCGTCCGTCTCCATCGTGTCGAGTTTTCTTCTGTACTAGTACTAGCTGACAGTGACAGCATTGCTTCCCATAGAATTCGAACTGAAAACCATCATCCGAATCTAGTACGCAGTATCAATCTTACGGCGGGCCGAGCACGTCTTTGCAGTACTAGTTGCTGCCACATACTACATTGTCGGTTCTGGTGCCCTCTGTAACACATGCTCAGAAGAACGAGAGCTGTAGTCGTCGTAGTAGCCTCAAAACTCATCGTCGTAGCTCCAAAGAGTAAAGAAGCTGTAAAAAAAAAGCTGCGCCATCACCTGAGGCTTTGGATTCACATGTCATCCTCCTTGTGACTTTTTGCGTTCCCTGAAAACTTGAAAAGAAGCTATAGAGTAATCTACTTCCGCTAAATGGAGGAACACGCGTGCAATCATTCCTTTTGCGGCTGAACGGAAAATGCCATGGAGCATGGGGAGTTTGATAGAACTGCAGGCGTCTTGCAGCTCCAGCAGTACGACGAGTCGACTTTCGATACCTCCGCAGGACAGCACACGGCGCCCCCAGAGTTGTTGGACAACAATACTAGTACAACAGGAGCAAATGACGGCGATGCACCAGAACAGGAAAGAAATAGGGCAAATAGCCCGCCATCCTTTGCTCCCGTCATGTACCCGCTCGCCTCTAGTTCAACTTCCCCCGCCGCAGGAGGTGCGACGTCCCGATTTCATATGTCCGGCCAACCTGCGAATCAGGGCTACATCCTCACCACCATTCCCTCCCCGAGCAGCGCCACCCGTGGGCTGGGCGAAGAACCCGGGCCCCCGCCGCAGGGGTCGCCCGTCATGGCACGACCCCCGGCGATATCAAATGTAAAAATGTCTGGGTCTGGAAGATTCTGAGACTTGTCATGCATGTTTTGCATTGGCCATGATGTCTGTGATGCATGCCCTAGCATCACAGATTTTTTGAGGGCTTCGCGATGCCTATTCTGCATGACAAATGCCCTCTCCGCGTAGCAAAAATTGCATTCCCTTTGCTGCTCATGCAATACAGATTTTCTTGGAATCCAAATGCAGCATCATTCTTCCAGACCCAGACATTTTTACAGTTGATATGCGATTGATACGGCGACTGCCGCCTCGCAGCAGGAGACGGCCGACGCGGAAATGGCCCGGCGACTGCAGGCACAGGAGATGCGACCACCCCCACCGATACCAAATGTAAAAATGTCTGGGTCTGGAAACTTGTGATGCTGGGTGGCGTCTCATGATGAGGCTACAGATGCTGGCTCAGCATGACAAGCTTCTGAGCTCCTAGGTGTTGCCTATTCTGCATGACAAACTGCGCTCCTGCATGACAGAAAAACGGAGCTCTTGGGTAATGTGCATGACAGATTTAAGAGTCATGCCAGACAAGCATGACAAACATGAATTCTTCCAGACCCAGACATTTTTGCAGTTGATAACCGAACATGGTGATCGGAAACCCGGTTTTGCACGCCGTGGACCGCGACGGCATCGCCGGTGGGGTGCCGACGGAAAGTCCGCACCAGGGGGCCCGCATCATCGCGCACTCCCCCGGGGATCCCACCAGCGGCGCGATCCTGTTTCTCGCCACCGCGCCCTCGCGGGAGGAGCAGAGGCTGGTACAGCTGTAGATGCTACAACACGTCGATGTTTGTGTGTCGCTTGAAAAAGGCCGACTCATACGAGTCGCTTTTTTTTTTTTGCATGTAGTTTGCTACGAGTACGAAGCGCGTTTCAACGAGAAATTGCGATTGGAATGCAAAGAACTTCATATCCAATCTCGCATATTCTTCGCCCACACCATTTCAGATCCGAGTCCTCTACTACTCCGGCACCGTCCAGTGCATTGTGCTGCTCAATTTCGTGTTCACCTTTGTCTCCATTATGTACCCGTCGCCGTACAAGACCGCCCTGGCTATGATAGCCCCGCTGGGTCTCTCGGGCTTCGTTGGCGCTCGGAAATTCAGCGCCCCCTGGCTGACCGTCTACCAAGGGTACCTCTTCATCGAACTAGGTCTTCGCGCCTTCATCGTGTTCGAAACCGAGGACGAAGGACAAGAGCGGGAGGACAACCAAAGCTCGCGGTTTTTCTGGGTATCGAGTGTTGATGAAAAATCTTTCTGCATTGATGAAATAGTGAAAAAACAAAAACAAAAAGCCCACCTATATTTATATCTTTCACAAGAGCTGCAAGAAGCCACATGAAGATATAACAAAAATTTATCACAGCTCTTCCTTTTTGCGATGGTGAACATGTACATTTTCGTGATTGTGATGCGGTTGAAGGCCTACATTACGCAACTTTCCGCCGACGATATTCGGGACCTCACCAGGGGCGACATCAATTCTCGTGGGCGCAGGAGGGCGCCGATGGGCTTGCAGTCGGTTCGGTATCCGCCCTACGCAACGCGCTGAAGAGAATGGGGTGACAAAGAAAGGGGGTGGATTTACTTATTCGCCGGCCGCAGCACTGTGCGTCAGGTTCAGCAGAAATTATGTTCCGGACAAGGATTGATTCGTAGTTACCACGCACGGATCGACAGTCCGAATCTTTGAATAGTCGACGCGAATTACCTGGAGCGGTCAGGTCTCTGATGAACTTGGCAACAGAGTGTGAACATATTTATCTGATACGCAGTTCTTTCATGGAATTTGAATGTATGAAGAGGGGCAAGGCCGCCAAGTGCAGAAAGCAGCGGGTGTCTTGTAAAGTGTTAATGTTCCACTTCCAGGAGCTACTGGTTTGAACGCCAAAGAGCGTGCCCCATATACTAGATAAGAAGCAAGAAAGATGTGGGTGATCCTCGCGATGTCACGTTTGACCTTGGCAAGATCGATCGTTTCTCTGTGTCGACGTTTTGTGAAGATCCGCTCTGTTTCACATGTACTTTCATTACATCGAAGGCGATGCTGGTCGGCATTTTTCACAACAGAAGGCATTTGGAAGCGACATGCTGCAGCAAACTTCTAGTGGAGCTCAAGCTTTTTTACATTCATCAAAAATATCTGGTCGATGGTTCAACTGTATCGAGTGATAGAGATAGTACACAGTAGAAATCTTGTTCTTTCAGAACGATCATTGTAGTTGTGACACTGATAAAAAAGAGCTAATAAAGCCATGTCGACCGCCCAGCGTATCGAAGAAGCAGCTTTAGAAGGGGGCCCCATTCGGGAAATGCCCTGCTCTGCCAAGCCGGACGGACCAGAGGGTCGCAAGAGCAGCAGGACAATCGAGCCGGGTAGTTTTTTGCGGCAATTGCCAATCGGTGAGCGCGGCGGTGTCCTAATCACACCAGAAAATTTTCATCAGATCCGCGGTTTGCAGACGTTTGACGAATTGTGGCACGCAGCGAACTCCGAGCTTCCAAACTTTAAAACGACAAAGTTCATGAAAAATTTTCCTTATTGTGGCGCTGATGAAGAAGACGATATTGACCAAAGCTACAGAAAGCAACGGGGAGCAGGTGACCAACCTTCGAAAAAGAAAGGTGCGAGAGATGAACGCAACAAGGCTCATCGCAAGAATTCTAGAGATGCAGCAACGTCTTCCAGCAGAAGAAATCCATCGGATCTGATGACACCTTCGGACGAGAAACGTGGTGATCAACAAAGCGGAAGCTCGGAAGTGGAAAAGAAAGAAGAAGCCAAGCTTTACCGCTTGCATCGCGATCAGGTCGTGATCGACTGCCAGTTCGACAAATTCGACGCGGCTGTTCGAGAATACGAACAGAGTGAGACTTTTTCGAAGAGCAGGCGGCAAGAAGCCCAGGCCGAGTTGGACAAGTTCCTGGACGTCGCGCCGCAGATTTGTACAAGGTACTCGTACTGTAGTAAAAGTGCTTTCCAGCGGCTGAAGAGAGCAAGAAAAGATAGGTCGGGCTGCGCGTACGCCTACGAGATTGATCGCATCAAGAAGTTGTGGAAGCGGATCGGCGGGAAATTCTCCCACCGCCTGGAGAAGGCAGAGGGGCTTATGCGGGAGCACTTGAAACGGGCCCAGCCGCAGTTATCAATTGAAGTGCGGACAGTGGGAGGAGACCTGTTTTTCCAAATGTCCAAGACGTCGCCTAGCGTTATCAAACGCTTGCTTCAGAAACAGAATAAAAATGTCACCGAGCTACGTAGGGCACGGCACCAATCGGAAACGTTTTCAGACGAGGACTCACCACTGCACAAAACCGAATCGGAATACGGTGCCATCGATACGAAACGACTTCTCGGAGCGCATCCTCTTGATCCAGCCGAACATGAGATGACGTTGCATCTGGAACTTCAGCACTTCGCTGCTTTGCACCTCGAGTGGATGCTCACGACTGCGTTTGAGCGGCTGCTTCTTGGGCGAGGCGATAAGAATTGTCATCGCAGAAAGAAGTTCAGTCAAGTCATCCCCTTGTCGGAGTTCGCGCCGCGCGCAAAAGACAGCGTCGGAGGATGGGGGCATACTCCACCAGAGGCGGCTTTGGATCCATATTGGGACACTCAGCAGAGACGCGTCATGAATACGGTGAGAGCTTTTCTAGATGAAAAAGCTTTCAAGAACAACCACTACCACGCGCACAAAGATCTGCTCAAACGTGGCGGTGGCTTCGTTGTCGCAAGTCTACTCACGGCTGGCTTGTTGAATATGTGGCTGCTGCGGGATAGTTTGATACAGAAGCTTTGGGAAGTGGTGTACGTGTCGGAGATGGATGACGCAGTAGGCTACCACTCGCCGACCAACGAGAGCTCAGGAAAAACTGTTAGCCAGTTGAGCTCCGCTGGAGCGGAGAAGGAGACGTTAACCAAGTCCGAAGATCAAGAAGTGAACTTGTTGATGAGAATGGAGGGTCTAACGAGGGAAGCAGCTAGGGAAGTAGTACTGGGTATTAGGAAGAAGCGGCAAGAGATGGAAAAGTTTGACGATGTTAGACAGCTGAAAACCGGAGATATTTTCAAACTCGGATATGGAAAAAATGTCGATGGATGGAGATGCGTCCCAATGGGTTCAAGTGCGCGAGCTCTCTTAGTAAATGTCGTGCGAGAGTCCTACTCTCCCGGAAATCTGCTACCACAGAACGGCGTGCCGAAATCGAACAGCGGGTCGAGTGTGTCTCGTATGACGGACGTAGCGAAACAAGAAGAAGAAGACGCTGTAATGCGATGCTATGCGTGTCTTGATGTGCGCCAGTCGGAGGACATCAACGAGGAAGACGGCAACCGACGAAGTTGTGAGCGCGCGATTGTCGGCTACGTGCTTTTGCCCACAGCGGCAGTCGATAAGTCCGATGAAGGCCACTGCACCTTGGCCAGACGAATACAACAGGCGAAGAACAAGGAGGTCGAGGCGGTGTCCTTCCCGGAGCATTGCTATGCAATGTTCATCGAGCCGGAGGATTGGCAGCGATCCGGAATCGAGTTGTTAAGCCTGCGCGAGAGGAATGTTGAAAAACTTAAAAAATCATCCGTACGTGGCAATCACGACCGTAAAGAGGAGAAGCGAATGAAGATTTCTGCTGCCGCTGAGTACTGATTTGTGATACTTTTTTTTGCGCTTTGCTTTCGGTTCTGTATAGTATCTCTGGAATGGTGTTAGTCTTTGTGATAACTCAAAATCACAATGCACTTCCGCTTCCGTTACGGATTTCTTTTAGGATATGCTGCGTATGAAATAACAGGTTTGCCGACCTATTGGAGCAACGCAAGGCCTTAGCTGTGCAGCGAGTGAACTGGATCAGATGTACTTTCCCTGAACTAACTTCGACGGATATTCCTTGGGACCTACTGCGGTCCTTGTCACGGGGTTGCGAGATCGATACTACGCCTTTGGTCTACAAAAACCTTTGGCGGTTTCTCTGCTCCTCGTTTGCCGATGGCGCGGAACCGGAGGCGGTAGTTGAGACATCAGCCGGGGCCACGCCGTGCGCCAGTACGGAAGGCGGCAGTGGCGAGGGTGATCGAGAGGTGAAGTGCGGACAAACAGGAACAGTGACCAGCATCAAGAACCCGTGGATCCCCATTCTGAAAGATAAGAAAAACGAACAAGAACTGGCTGACAACAACGGTTCCGTGAAGGACCTTTCTCACATCGAAGCCAATGTGTTCCCGTGGACGAAAGACCCTCAGAACCGCGTGGTTCGGTCTTGCTCGCCGTACTGGAATTTCATTCCTGCGGAGCTGGTTGCGGGATTGGATCCGGATTTGCGAACTTTCACGGACTTCTACGATTACGCTGCGCAGGTACAGAAACAAAAAACAGTAAATTCCGCGGCTGCAACATCAGAATTTGGTGAAGTGGTTGACTTTGATGAGGAGAAACAGCAACTCACTGACGAAGAATCGAACACACCGCAGCCGATCGAGCGTGAATCTCTTCAGCCAGAAGATGTAGCCTCGCAGCTCCAGTTCACTATCGTTATTTCGGAGAATGTTGTGGAAAAGGAAAAGGTAAAGGTTGAAAGCAACTCCGTCTCGAAGCGACCAGTCATGGGAAACGACAGCGATGTTTCTTCATCGTCCTCTTTTGCATTCACGAATGAAGGGCAAGGGGACAACATTTCAACATTAGGCTGGGACGCCGACGATCGACATTATGATGATGATGATCGTTATGATGATTATCGCAACGGCTACTCGTCCGGGTATTCGTATTAAGACTCAGACTATTGAACGATTCGGCACCAGTGTCCGAAGACGGTGACGACAACGTGATGGAAAAGGTCGGTTCTCCAGATAAGTATCAAATGTACTACGCAGCGATAGCATAATATTGTGACCAATGTACGTACCGTAATGTTTAAGCTGAACTTTGTTTGACAAAGAGCGGCAAATTTTTACCAGTTTGTGGTACTCATTCCTATCCACCGTAAGTGAACCTCGCGGTCGCGCGACTCATTCCAGAGGAGAACAGGCAAGCTCAGAAGGAGGAGAGCGGGAACTTCTTGCTTCGCAACAAGGGCGGGAAGCAACGAGAAGCAAGTTATTCGATACAACTCGTCGTTAGAATTTTATTGCAGTCTTTGACAAAGACATGAGCTTTGTCTGAGCGGAAGAACATCCGCATCGCGATGTGTTCGCTTCATTCGCGGCATGACCGGGGCAGCTTTCTAAAGATACGCACGAAAATTTGTGCACGTACTGCAGCTGTTCGTTTCTCAGTTTGTTCAGCAGGAACCGAGTTGGAGCTGTTCTTGCGCGGTTCAGTGGCTCCCTGATTTTTCTTTGCGTGATCAGTTCTCGCAGTAGCGATGTCGACAAAATGAAGATCGCAGGATTGCTACCTTTGTGTAGACGAACTTGGATTTACAAACTATCACTCCACCGATTCTCATCATATGAATGCTGTTGAATTAGCCATAGTGCTATCCTTCTAGATTTTTGTCGACTGTATCGCATAGCAATTGATGGTATTTGAGTCGTGAACGTGCCGCGCCAATTTTTTAGCCACGTCAGACCTGAAACAAACATGCGCAATACGGCCACAAACTCCCAAATTCGCCTTTGTTGCCAACCCAGCTTGCTCCTCGGAAAGTAAGCACATCAAAGACGTCGCGTCAATATTGCTTCCCGCCGTCCATTCTTCCCCAAGATGGAGAACCTGATTGAGGTGATTAACCAGCTCCACGATGTCTTTCTGAGCGTCGGTTTCCACGTCGAAGTCGACTTGCCGCAAATCGCTGTCATCGGGGGCCAATCGGTGGGCAAAAGCAGCGTGCTGGAAAGTATTGTCGGCCGGGATTTCTTGCCGCGGGGACAGGGGATCGTTACGAGACGGCCACTGATTCTGCAGTTGCACAACAACCGACGGTCTGGTGGGAACACAAACAACAACAGCACTTCCTCTAGTTCAACGAACTCCGGCACATCGAGCAGCAGCAAGGATCATGGTAGTGCGAATTCCCGGTCGTCTTCGAACAAGACCACCGACGGTATTTTGGTCGACCACGTTTCTTCGCGCGGGAATAGTACACACAATTCCTCCTCTTCCTCCAGTTCGTCGAGCAGGAGCAAGCATGGCGCGGCGTCTTCTATGCCGGAGGAGTACGGGATTTTCAGCCACGCGCCGGACCAGGTGTTTGAGGATTTTAACCAAATCCGGCGAGAGATCGAGCGCGAAACCGACCGTATCAGCGGGAAAAACAAGGGCGTGTCGGCGCAGCCCATCCAGTTGAAGATTTTCAGCCCGCACGTGATCGATCTGACGCTTGTGGATCTGCCGGGCACGACCAAGGTTCCCGTGGGGGAGCAGCCCGCGGACATCGAAACGCGAATACGGGAGCTGATTCTGAACTACATCCGAAAGCCCAACTGCATCGTGCTAGCCGTGCACGCAGCGAACACGGACCTGGCGAATTCGGACGCGTTGGCGCTGGCCAGAGAAGTGGACCCTGACGGTGAGCGGACCGTCGGCGTTGTGACCAAGTGCGATCTGATGGACGAGGGAACCGACGCCATCGACATGTTGGAGGGACGAATCGTCCCGTTGCGACAAGGGTACGTCGGCGTCAGATGCCGAAACGCAAAGGACACAACGAATAACGCAAAGAGCATAAAGGTATAGCAAGAGTATGTACATGTGTTCTACTATTACGGAAGATCGCCTCGTCCTCCATTTCCCTTTGACAAAGATTCTGGTACTAGGTCTGGTTTGCATTGCACAGCAAAGTAAGAAATGGACTCGTCCAACTATACAGGAAGCGCTCAGCGAGGAAGCAACGTTTTTCCGGCAACACCCGTCCTACCGCAACATGAACCACCGCTGTGGTGTCCCCTACCTCTCGAAACTCCTGAATCGCCGCCTCATGTACCACATCCGGGACACGATCCCGGACCTGAAGACGCGGCTGATGCGGAGCATTCACGAAACTGAAGCTGAACTCCAGTCCTACGGCGATCCGCTGTTTGAGAAGGACGGAAGCTCGCAGGGCGCGTTGTTGCTGCACCTGTTTTCAAAGTTCACAAGGAACTTCTGCGACAGGTACCAGGATTGGTTGACGTCGATTGAGCAGTGTCTGTTTTAGCGTTTGCCTTAGTTGTGTTCGGGTCCGGTCAGGTTCTTTCTCCGAAAGTGCAAATTGATTTGCAATCTCGCTCTAAAACAGCATTGACGGGAAGCGGCTGAAGAACGGCGACCAGCTTGCGGGTGGAGCGCGACTGCATCACATTTTCCACGAAATCTTTGCCGGCACCATACAAGATTTCGATTGCTTCCATGGTCTGAGCGACGGCGAAATCCGCACGGCGATCCGCAACGCTACCGGCCCAAAAGCAGTGCTCTTCGTCCCGGAAGCAGCGTTTGAGCTCTTGGTAACAAGAATGAAGCAAACTCATGCGGATGAGATCCATTCTAATCCTATTCCTTGTGACATGTTGAGTAGGTAGTTTTGTCTCATTTCATCGGTGCGGGAAGTAGATGCATGCATAAACACTCCAGGTGAAGAAGCAGATCGAAAAGCTGGAAGAGCCGTGCCTGCAGTGCATCGACCACGTCTTCGAGGAGCTGCAGCGCATCGTGGTCGAGTGCGAAGTGCCCGAAATGCGCCGTTTTGTGAATCTCCGCGATTCCATTTTCGAAGTGGTGCGGGGGGTGCTCAAGAAGTGCCTGCAGCCGACGAACCAGATGATTATCAACCTGGTTCAAATCGAGTTGGCCTACATCAACACCAACCACCCGGATTTCATCGGCGGCAGCAACGCAATACAAACTTCACTCGGCCACGGGTACGCAAATTCAACACCAAGCAGCGGGCCTGTGGGTGGAGCACACGGCGGAACGTATCCACCACCACCGCCGCGGGAACCGACGGTAATTTGTGTTTGTTGTTCAGGAAAATATAAATTTCGAAGCTCAGAGCAGACTGAATCGAAAAGCAAGTTGTGCATGGATGCACTCATAAAACGACGTCGGTTGTTAAAATGAAATTTCTCTCAAATAACGACAGGCTGCCGCCGGCGGTGCCATTCGCGATCTCGCGTCTGGCGGTCATGCTGCAGCGCACTACCGCGAGCACGGCTTGTCCACGCCCGTTTTGGAAAAGGAGCCGGAATCCGGTGGGTTTTTCAGCTTCCTCAAGGGCTCCTCCGCGACGTCTACGACGGCAGCCAGGGTAGCAAGGGAGCACCAATTTTCCGCCACCCCCGGCGGAACCATGAACGGCGCGCTGGACCTCGTCGCGTCGTCTGCCCGAGGAAACGCCTGCCTCTCCAGCCACAACCAGAGCAACCCGGTGCACCATTTGGGTGAGCTCGGCGGGAGCAGCAGCATTCGCCTGCCGCAGATGCCCTGCACGGTCTACCCTTCGGACGATTTGTCTGACCGGGAGCGGGTTGAGATCAACATCATCAAGACGCTGATTGCGAGCTACTACGGAATCGTGAAAAAGAATATCGTGGACGCAGTGCCGAAGTCGGTCATGTACTTCATGGTCAACACGGCGAAGGACGTGCTGCAGCGTGAATGCGTCGCGCAGCTCTACAAGCCCGAGCTGTTTCAGCATCTACTGTTAGAAGCGAATGACATCAAGGAGCGACGGATCCGGGGGAAGGAAAACCTGAAGACCTTGCGGCACGCGGTGGAGATCTTGAATCAGGTCAGAGATTTTCACGTCAGCTGAGAGCAAATCGAAGGTGGCGGCGTGCCGAACTAGAATTATTTCATCGGCGACACAGAATTAAGTTCTTGCACGAAATGAAAGAATGCATGCAAACTGCTTTCGCGCGATTGCGATGACTAGTCTCCAGGAGCTGCTTGCAGCTCCTTCTCTACGCCTATCGACGTGTGCGGAAGTGAATCTGTGTCGGACTCTCGGTCATCGTGATCATCTTGTCGGTCTGATTTGCGATCCCATTCTCCACCAGTTTTTATTCCAGATAAATTCATTGTTCGCGCTTTCTCTTTCTTTGAAATCCCCTTCGCCCGTCGTTTTATCTTCGGACGGGTTGACGTGAAGATCATGTACAGTAAGTACAACGAATTGTTTTTTTTCCCCGTAAGCGTGTAAACGAGCTTTACAAGAAGAGTCGGAACCTCCTCAGAAGGTGGCACCTCAAGCCAGAAACCTAGTGACAGTACCTCTCTGCTTGTTCTTCTGCCTGCCCATAAGCCCGATACCATGCTGCTGTCCTCGTGGCAAAACACGGACGCTATCATTGTTCTTCTCACTCTACCTTTTTACGCGTGTATCTTTTTCCGTGACAATTACATTGACGAGGGGTTTGCGGTAACCAGGAACCAAGATGTTGCCGACCTTTCGAAGTCAACTTGGTACGACGTGCTCATCCACGACTTCTGGGGCCAGGATCTCTGGCCGACGGACGGCATCCACTGGACGCACAAGAGTTACCGACCGCTGATCACGTACAGCTTTCGATTGTCGTATTGCCTCTTCCCAGACGACCCGTTACCGAGTTTGCGGTTTATCAACTGTTTGATCCACACGCTCACGTGTTTGGTCGTGAAGCGATGCTGGTTCTTCCGGCACAACGTCTTCGCGGCGTACCTCTTCGCCGTCCACCCCGTGCACGTGGAGAACATAGTCTACCTCGTGGGCCGAGCGGATTCGGCCGCAACGCTGTTCTTCGTGCTCGGTGCGGACTCAGAAAACTTTCTCCGGGTAGCGGTGTGCACCGTGCTCAGTGGGCTGTGCAAGGAAACAGGTATTATTAGAGGAGTTTCAGGACAGAAGCTTCCAGAGTTACTTTGTCTACCTTGTCTTTGCATGAGCCTCTGTCATGCACTACAACTCGAACCAAACCACTACAGGTTTCACCCTTCCGATTCTCGTCGCCTTCCTGTGTCTGGTGCAGAAAAAATGGTTCCGTGGAATTGGTTTCCTCGGTCTTTTTCTCGTCGTCTTCGCTCTCCGGTCCGCTTATGTCCAGGGCACCCACGCGGACTTTGGGTACGTCGATACGCCGGTCCGGTACCAAGACGACATTCAGGTCAGGTTTTGGAGCTACTTGCTGCACCACCAAATCTACGGGCAACTTCTCATCTTTCCCTGGAACCTCAGTTGGGACTACAGCTACGACAGTCTACCGTTGCTATTTCAGAAGCAATGGGACCTGCGGGTAATGGGGATCCTTTCTGCCTACGCTTTCCTCGTCGGCATGTTCTTTCGGGTGATACCCAGAAGGACGCCCGAAGTGGAGGGGGATGTCTTGAAGAGGAGAAGGGCGAGAAAATACGGCGATTTGCTCTACAATTGTAGCACACCTTCATCATCCACTGCGTCCGCGGCCGAGTCTGGAGGAGAGGGGGACGGGAGTAGTACGGCAGCAGAAGGAACAAATACCCCTCCCCTGCTAACTGCAAACCAGCAAGTCGCCCTGATGGTGCAGAACGAAAACATCGTGACTGACTACTTCGCTGCCGCGATGATAGTAGTGCCCTTCGTTCCCGCAAGTAATCTTTTTTTCCTGGTCGGAACAACGATAGGGGAACGACTCCTCTACCCAATCACAGTGGGCAGCTGCTTGCTGGTCGTCCGCCTGCTTTCGCCAGAAAACCTCGCGCCGCTGCTCTTGCGGAGGATTTTGACAGCGACTCTTGGCCGCGGGTTACCGCAACGAATCGCAAACAGTGGCGAAGGCCGAAGGCCAGTGAAACCAACCTCGCACGTGGTCGGGCATTCGGTTTCGGTGCTCTGCTTCGCGAAGGTGGTGTATTTGGTGTACTTCATGTACGTCGCGTACATCCGGACAACCCACTGGCGCAGCAAGGAGGTACTGTTCGAGAAGGACGCGAAGGCCTCGAAGTGGCAGCCGCGCAGTGCGAAGGTGTTGCACCAATTCGCGGTTTTGCTGCAGGCGCGAGGAGACCACGATCTGGCGCTGGATTACTACCAAAAAGCATTGGACGTATTTGACGACAACGCCATGTCTGATTACTGCATGGCCAGGATACACCTAGAGAAAGGCGACTGCGAATCCGGGCTGAAAATTTTCATCAAGATCAATAACGGTACAATGACATCTATCACGTACTCAGAGACACTGTTTGACGATTTTTGGGCGCTTACAGTGATGTTAATTGATTAGGTCGAAGTGATGTATGTGATAGTGATTCATGTTGCACTCAAATTCGAAAATTCCCTCCAGGTCACGGCATTGGCTTTGGCGACCACAATCAGTTTCTCCTCAACAATGATTTTGGATACGCCCTCTCCTGCGTAGGTGCCTACGACGAAGCGGTGCCCATACTAGAAGAGGCGTTACAGCTGATGAATCCTAACTTCGCATACGTGTACAATTCCCTGGCGCTCGGGATTTTCCATCTGGCTACCTCTTCACCGGACAAACTCCCTCAAGGCGGCCAAACGGGTCTGCAGCGGGTGGTAGACTTGCTGCAGCAAGCTTTGTCACTACATCCGGACGAATTTACACTTTGGTTCAACTTGGGCGTGGTGTTGCTCAAGGGAAATGTTGTGCAGGAGGCGCAGAATTCCTTTGTGGAGGCAGAGAAGAAAGTAAAAACTGTTTTTGAGTACCAAACGCTGGTGGACGCGGTTCAGAAGATGAAGGATGGGAAACATCAGGAACTACAGCTTTTGTGGTTGAAGGTGCCGGTGGCAAAGGGCTGACAGCATTTTGGAAATCCACAGATGCAAGCAAACGCGATCTCGAAGTTACTAAATTGAATTGTAATTTATCCTGAGGAAGAGCAACATAACAAGGAAGGTGTCCTGAAGGGTGCGCGACATACATATTGTTGGCACTTAATTACGGTCGAGACCACATTAGGGAAGAAGTCCAGAAATTAGGACTTATCTGTTCAATGAGTAACATTTTTGAACTGGCGGAAGCCGAACAAGATCTAGCCAGTGTTCCGCTTGCATTAGTGAGACCGCGTGTGTTCGTTTTTCAGCTGAACTGGTTAGGCTGAGGACGCAGGGCATGGCCTACCCCCTTCTTACAGAAATGCAGAAGAGGTGGCGGAGCCACGGCATGCCGGGGCGCCGTTGGTGGTGCGGGCCTGAGGATGGGCCACGGCTTACAGCGCCCCAGCTGCGCGCCTCGCCGCGCGAGGTCGTGGCGCTCGCTATCCAGGGCGCCGCTGCGCAGCGCAGGCCGCGGGGGACGCGGGCCCAAATCAATGGAGCGGACCGCGATGCACTTCAGCGCTGCCCCTGCGCAGTCGTTCCCCGGAGGCCCAAACTTCGCCGCCGCGGGGTTTCTGGGATGCATGGGCATGGCAATGCTCCGCATCCTCGCGCGCAGCCTATTGGCGGAGGAAGACACGGGGGCCCCCGCAGTCCTTTCGCCGTTGCCCTGTGCCGCTGGGGCGGGCGCGCAGCGTGTTCCTTCGGGGCAAACAGGGCGAGGCGGCCGCCAAGGCCCCCACCCGGGGGGGGCCTGCCTTCAAGATTTTGGGCCCGATTTTTCGCAGGATTTCCACCCTAACGCAAAAAATTTCGGAAAATCCACATAGCGCAAAAACAAAATCCAAAAAAAACACAAAAAAAAATTTTTGAATTTTTTTGCTTCCCCGACGGTCTGGCCTATGTGAGGCATTTCCCGAGTCTGTTCTTGCCCCTGTTTGTCAGAGGAGGGCCGGGCGCAGGTGTCGCATATTTGCCCGCTTGGGTGGTCCACATCTCTTGGCCTCCGCTGCTGGTGATGAGAACCCAGAGTGGCAAATCCGTGTGGGGTTGCGCCTTCTTCTGTCGGGGAGCAGAGGCGCCCTTGTGGCGCATTGCCGCCGCAGAAGATTTCTCTTTGGGTTTGGCCAGGAAAAATCGCAGAAAAAATTTGAAAAAAATCCGGGAAAAATCAAGAGGCGCGCAAAAAAAATTTGAAAAAAATTCTAGAACGTGGCCAATTTGCAAAAACCAATGGGATTTTGCTAATGTGGCCGATTTTCCGAAATTTTTTTTGGCCATTTTTCGCACCTCTTGAAATTTTATCCGGCCAAATTCAAATTTTTTTTGGGCAAGTCGAAACTTTTTTGAAATTTTTCTTGGCCACACGCAAAGGAAGTTCTTCGCTTCAATTCGAACGCATCCGAGCGCCCGCGTTGTCGAGCAGCCACGTCCATCATGCCTGCGCGTCGCCTCCCGCGCGCTCCTGAGGCATACCGGGCCCGTGCGGCGTGGCGCCTTTGTGTTTTGCTTCATCCCATTGCGAAGCACCGAAGGCAGCGACCCAAATCCCGCCAGCCTTCTTGTGCAGCCTGCAGGACGGGCCCCAGCCCGCCCCCGGCCCAAGAGCCACCCCGCTACCCTTCTCGAAAATTTTAAAAAATTTCAAAAAAAAAGTGGATTCTTCGGCCCGAAAGCGTTAGGGCCAAAATCCGGCGAACGATTTCGCCCATCGACCCAGGACGCTGGGCCGCTTAACATTCCGTGCGTTATTTCTTAGGGTGTGGTCCGTTCGGGCCGGTGTTCCTGTGAGAAGATTTTTTCGCCATCGGATTAACAACGTTGGACGCCGTCGGCGCGTGCACCCTCGGCGGCAGGCCGCATGTGATGGCGTGCGTCCGCCCTCGGCGCCTTTCTTTGCGCGCCCGCCGCCTGCCACGAACGGGGACGCGCCCGGGGCCTGGCGATCGGCCGCGAATCGCCGGGGGGGTGGTGGGCGGTTGGTTTTGCTGCATTTCAGGGGGGCGCTGCCCCGCGATTCGTGCCAGCCCCGCCTTCGAGAGAGGCATCCCGGGAGAAGTCGTCGAGACGCTGGCGACGTGTCTCATAGGACTTACCGCTGGAGCGCCTTTGGGGGCTGAGTTAAGTGGCCCGGCTTGGCGCCGAAGCAACAAAGCGCGGCGCCCCGGGTTTTGCCCCTGCCCCATTGCGCAGGCGCGCCAAGAAGCAGCGGGGGGCGCGCGGGTGCTTCCAATTTTTCGGCCGCCGGGCCGTTTTGCGCGCCAGGGGGCCAGCCGGGCAAGCAGCGGGCGCGCGAGGGCAGCGGACTACCAGGCCAAGGCAGCAGAGTGGCCCGCCGTCTGGCCCTCGGAACTGTACAGGGTGCGCCCGCTCCTTGTTGCTATTCAGCCGGGCCGGAGTATTTTCACCACGGGCCGACCCCGCGGCGTGTCAACCTGGTGGGGGCCGACTTCTACAACGCTACAGCGCCACCCCGCCCAGCTTTCGACCTGGTGGCGAGCAGGACAACCGAACCAGACGCTCCTGCAACAACAGGGCACAGGAAAAGGGGCCCCGTCGGAGGCTTGGGCGCTTGGGCAAGATTGGCGCGCCGGCGTTCGTATTTCGCCCGCCCTGGGTGGGCGTCAAGGTGCGCCCGCAGCCGGGTCGCCCCGTTTTCGTCTGGGCCCGACGCCTTGGCTGGCCCCAGCCCGCTGCGGGCCTGTTCCATGGTCGCCGCAGGCGATCGGCGCGCAGATGCCCTTGCCGCCGCATTCGGTTGTCGCCTTTGGGGAGTTGAAGGGCCGCCGAAGGGGGCCGACCGACCTTCCGTTTGTGCTTTGTCTGATGCGCAGGCCGGGATGGAGGCAGGTCGAGGCGCGCATATCTTCGGCGCGGGGAAGGTTCTTCCGCTTCCCCGAGTGCCTTTTTCTCGTGCCCTTTTTTGGGCTTGTCGCCTCGGCAGGGCCGGGGATCCCGCCTTTTGCTTTTTTTGTATGTCGGCGTCCATGTAGTTAATTGACTCGCCCCGAAACTGGTGGCGCTGTTGGTTGTTTGTGTCCGTTGCCCATTGTCCTTGAGCCTCGCGAGTGCGCCTAGTAGATATGTTTGTGCAAGGAAAAGTGTTCGCTTTTAGTTTGGATTTGGAAAGGTACTAACGAAGGTGACGCATTCCTTCGACGCTGTGTCTTAGTTCGAATGGGCTCAGAATGAATAGGAACACTCTGAGAAAGATGGCTCTGAAATGAGAGGGCTCGCTCGGTTCATACACTCACTCATTTTCTTCAAGAATGTACCTTGGAGCGTGAGGCAGCCAGTTCGATTATTAGCAGGCTTTCTATTCCTGTTGCTGGAACAAAGCATGTCCTTCCGTCTCGTGCGCAACGGCCCACAATTACTTGGTTGTTTTACTATGTTTCCTCCCAGATCTTCAGGGAACTGCGGCCGACGTGCACTTAGCATCTTTCAGTACTTGCTCGTCTTTGCAGTCACACGCGGCTACCGCCTCGGCAACAGTAAGCCAGTCATCACCGGCGAAGGCCATGAGTTGGTCTATCGGGATCTCAAGCCCACCGATGTGGGCGTGCTCCTCCTGTTCCACGGCTGTTCGCACCCGGTGGAAGACTGGCAGTTCCTTCCGGAAGAGCAATCGTTCTTGCGTGAGGCGCAGATGAAAAATCTCGGGTACATTGCCTTCGAGACGCCCATGGGCAAAGAGGGCGGGTGGTGCTGGCCCCCGAAGCAGGACGAGGAAAATGTTGACAAGGTGCTCAAAGTGGTGCGGGCGCAGCTGGCGATCGAACCGGACCACCCCGCGTGGAAGAAGACGTTCTGTCTGGGTGGCAGCTCCGGCGGGAACTTCATCGGCGTCATGGGTGTGAAGGCGCCGGACATCTGCCAGGGCTTCGCCTTCTACGTTTCCCCCGGCGGCATTTCGACACAGCAGGTGGCCCAAAGCGAATCGCTGCGGTCGAAGCCAGTGGCCTGGGTGTACATGGACAAGGACACGCAGTTTGCGTCCGGGCACAAGATCAGCCAGGTGCAGAACGCTTGGTGCAGTGGTGGAGGAGCAGAAGACGCGAACAAGAACTCAAAAGGTAAGTCGCTCTGCAAGATGTTCAATGTGAAGCCGCGGCCCTTGACCAAGGGCGAGCTGAACGCCCACCATGACAAGTACGATCTCTACGGCGATCTCGTGGACATGGGCTACCTCGACGTGGGCGGCTCCGCGATCCGCGACCCCCGGTCAGATCCCGGGTGGCAGGGCCGGTTCTTCAAGAAACCACTGTCGAAGGAACAGGACCAGCACCGCCTGGCAGTCGAGGAACTGATGAACCGTGCCTGGGCGCAGCACGAATTTGCGGCAGATTACGCGGAGGAAGTGTTGGATCACTTGCTGCAGGCACCTGCGGCGGGGGCAGCGGTGGCGGAAAAACATGAACAAGGAACGAAGTCCGAGTTTTGAAAAACAGAAAGGAACAAATCAGAATCGCAGCAGGAATCAATTGCATTTTCGAAGAAAAAGAAATATTTTGCTCTTGCGGAACAGATGAACAATGCAACTATCATTTCACTAGCGGCAGCGCGAAGGAGCGTTGGTTTCTACTCGAAGTAGCGATAGCATTGAATGTTCAGTGACGCAAGAACCCCAGGCGTCGAAGGCTCTCCTGAGCGGGTCTGTGTCATGGCGTCTTCGTTCCTGCTTCCAGAGTCTAGATATGAACCTTGAGTGCGAGTGGAGGGAACGAAAGCGAATCAATTTTCAAATCCAGACTTTACGTAGTTGTAACCTAACTGCGTGCTGGTGCTGTCAGGCGGCAGACGCTGCATTCCTGTTCGTTGTTGCTCAGTGTGTCTGTAATTGTGTTTTCTTCCTTGAAAATCTCAATCATGGCAGCCCAAGCCGAGATTCCGGATCCGGACAGCTCCTCTCCACCGTGTTCAGACCGCTTTCAGAAGCCTTCGTTGTTGGACCTCGTCCAGCGGGTTGACGATGATCTTGTGGAGAACCGCATGCTGTTGCTGTCCTACCTGTTTCCCGCAAAGGAGTACGCCGAGGCACTCACGATGATCGAGCAGGAGAAAATGACCTTCGCAGTTCTCCAGCCAAGAGAAAGGGAAACGGATCCACCTATCGATGATACAGAGCACCAGCCGAACGAACAAAAAAACGTCGATAAGAGCAGGCCGAAAGAAGATGAGCTCGGGACCGGAAATAGGGGGAAAGCTTTGATGGTGCCCACGACTGGAAGCGATTGCAACTTGCTGTTTCCACCACCTCCGTTCGGCTTCGGAAACAGCACCAGCCTTTTGCACTTTCCCACCGACTCGCCGCTTGAGGACGACGCACTTGGGAGTCAAAGTGACACACATCAGGAAGATTACGTTTTTGTCGCGCTTACGGAGAATCAGCTGCCTGTTTTCCCGGACACGGGGTTTTGTGCGGAATGCCACGTGACAAAGCCGTGCTGCAAGCACCTGGTTGCGGCTTTCATTCAACAGCGGATTCCCGAGCTGGCCGCGCCACCGACCAAGATGACGGCACGGGAGTACAGCGAGTTTCTACTGAAAGCAAGACAGGAAGTGGTGCGAAAGGGGGGAAGGTTCAATTTCAAGACGTGAACGCGTGTTGCGTTCGGTTGAGAACTAGTGCTAGTCTAGAGAATACTAAAATGATCTTTCATACGACGTTTTTCTTCTCTTGTCCTTTTATCGTGGCATATTCCAAGCGAATGCATGTACTCGTTTAGCAGCTTAAGCTTTTTCATATTATGCACTCACAGTTACACGTTCTTTTTTCTTAACATTTTGCTGGGTATTTCATCGGAAGGATTTTGTGATGCTTTCCTTCTGACGTAGACAGCATACCGGTGGGTAAAAATTTTGCAGCTGACCTTGAGCGCCTGATGCCGTGGGTGGGACTTCTGTCAAGCCCGGCCGAATTCGCAGTATATCTCTATCCGCTAATGCTCGTCCAGCGGCTGTGTTTCCCGGCTTGTCGTCGTTTTTACTATCGTCTGGTCGTCAAGAAGATATCTGTCAGTGCATGGCAGGCATCGTCATCGTTTTTGCACTCGTTAGCAGCTACTGTTGACAAGACAAGATGCTATTGTAGGGCTCATTTTTTTGCGAAAGTGGAGTACTTGCCGTCCGTCTTCTGACTTTGCACTTCGCTTTCTGGGATTTTCGCTGTGCAGGCTGTCCCCGTCAGATTCGCAGCCATGCAGTCGTCGCGAATTCACTTGCTGCATCGCACAACCGGGATCCGGACTGTCGAGCAGTACCAATCGTGCGCAACGCAAATGATACCTGGAACTACAGCCTTATCCGCTTCTTCAGCGAGCTCTTCGTCGGCATGTAAGCGTCACTGTCTACCACCAGCTGCACTTGTTCAACATCGTCTCAGCACACCAATTCTGACAGGAGGTCTTTGTGGCAGTATAGCGACTGGTCAGGGCTCCAGCACTTCGTCCTTTTTCTTCGACAAGCAAGCCAGGCGACACGAGACCACGACCGCCGACACGCAGGACCGGACGAAGCAGCCAGTTTTGAAGAAGCGTCTGGTCAGTGACTACAAAAAGAACACGTTGACGCCGCACCTGGAATGGCAGATCTCCCGCTGCATCGCGCGGGGATACGGGCCAGACGAGATCAATCGGATCGCACGAGCGTATACCATGGTGCCGCACATAAACATATCAACTGTAAAAGTGTCTGGGTCTGGAAGAATCCAACTTGTCATGCTGATTTTGGATTCTAACAAACTCTGTATTGCATGAGCAGCAAAGAGAGTCCAAGATTTGCTACACGGAAAGAGCATTTGTCATGCCGTATAGGCATCAGGAAGCCCTCACAAAATCTGTGATGCTAGGGCATGCATCACAGACATCAGGAGTCATGCAAAATGTGCATGGCAAACCTGGCAATCTTCCAGACCCAGACATTTTTACATTTGATAAAACAAGGGAATGTGCCGGGAAATTTCGAGGGTGGTACTGCTTCAGCTTTTATTTTTCAGGGGCTTTCACAACTGGAGGTGGAGCTCAACCTCCTTCTCCTTTTCCTTCCGCTCAATCCCTTTTGCGCATGAACAAGTACTGAATTTTGCGCATCACAAGAAATGAGAAGTTCCTCCGTATCAAAACATCCAGCTAAAATACCGCATGGTGATGTTTTCCGGGTTGAATTTAGTGGAAACCATCAGCACGATGCACGAGCTGCTGCCAGAGGACACGGAGCTTTTCGAGATGTTTGGCGAGCGCGTGATCGACGTGATGGACGAGCTGAACGCGCTGAATCTGATCGGCATCATCCGCATCTACAACAAAATCCAGCACTACGAGGTCTTGCAGGTCCTGGTGCCGCGGTTGCAGGCTTTGCTGCGCGAGTACGATCCCCAGGAGCTCAGTGAGATGCTCGTCGCGCTGGCGCAATCCACCACCGCTGTGCACGACATTGACGTGTTGGCGTGTCTCCTGCCCGAAATTCTGCGGCGAATACACGAAGTGCCGTTGCAGGTACAACAGTGTGTCGTGTTGATCTTCTCTAATAGGAGTGTCATCGCGTGATAGAAGATCAAGATATCCACCACGAAGTAGACCAATTTGCATCTCCTAAACGGATCAAGTTCCCATTTCACAAAAATGCATAACCATTTAAGGTAAAAATCACGAACCTGTGGTGCGTGACGAAGATGAAAATCATACACGACGAGCTTCTCGACGTGGTGGCGAAAGAGCTCCATCGAACCGAGCTCATCAAGGGCATGCCCGCACGCCAGGTTGCCCGGGTGCTGTGGGTCTTCGCCCGGTGCTATCCCACAGAAAAAGACCGACAGGTCATATTTGTAATGCAAAAATAAATACACAGGAAAATCTGTCATGGGCGAGGCCATAACATCCTGTTTAGGGCATGCAATGCAGATTTTTTTGTCTATTTATTTTTGCATTGACCTGTCGGTCTTTTTCTGGGGGATAGGTGCAACCAGCTGGACCGGGTCATCCCGCCGTTGCGGAACCTGATCGAAACGGAACTGAAAAACTTCACCGCGAAGGATTTTGCTAGGTTGGCGCAGGCGCTTCCCCATTTCGACAACACGGAATTTCTCGAGCTTCTCGAACGGCTCGGGGCGAGCTTGGCCGCCGGGGTCTCCGACATGGGCCGCAAGGACGTCATTCTGTTTCTCTACGGGATGGTCCGGTGCAAGTTTCTGCATTGCGAGGAAGTCCCAGATTTCGACGCCGAGCGGGAAAAGCCGGGGGAACAGCGAAGAGCGGACATACTCTACCTGCTGTTCGAGTACTTTCACGAGGAGCAGGACTTCTTCGAGCGCGACGAGCTGGAACGCATTGTCACGACGCTCTGGTTCCACGAGGAGTACAAATTTTGCATCGAGCTGTTGCCGAAATCCTGGCTGCCGATCGTGGATGAGGTGCTGCTCATGTTGGAGAACCGGGAACAAGAAGTGAAAATCGCGGGAGAGTTGGAAGCAACTCCGATGTCCATGCAAGAAAAGAAAGACCAGTACCGCTACCGGATGTCGTGAGGGTATCGCTTCTACTACACGAGAACGGTGAAAATTAGTCCTTGCTTATGTCATCTCTTGCGCTTTTCTCTACTTTCCCCATCGGAGGTAATTGCAAAATAGTACGCTTTTTCCAGTTTGTGTGGTCCGTGCCTATCGGATAATCATGGCTGCTTCCACTCTCTGAAGCGTGTCTGTTGAGATAGATAGAGGTGTACTCTCGGCTGTGCGATGTAAGGGAAGTAGAGCGGTGACGAGTTGCTGAACAAATTTGTTACTCATTCTAAAGAGAGGTGTGAAGCTACCTTTTTCCTAGATGAAGTTTCTTTATTCCGACGAGCTCGAGCTCCGTCCCTGTCCCTGATATGAGGTCCTCATTGAGAGTACAACTGGGTGAGTAGAAAGTCCGCGGGTACGTCTGAGGGGCTGGACTGCTGAGAATCCAGACGAGCGGATGCATGGTACCGCATTGCACAGACACACAGAAATAGGTTTCTTCGCGCTAACAATTTGCGCTTTACTTTCAAGCGTATTTGAACCTGTGAAACAACCAAGTTCGTAAGTGTCGTAAGGAGGAAGATGCAGCTGCCTGGAAGCGGTCCCGGCTACTCGCCGGTGAGCCAGTTCGGTCCGGTAGGTGCCGGGCAGGTACCCGTGCTGCCAACGCGACCGAAAGAAAAGGTGGAATCGCTCTTGGTGATGCTGACCTTTGCCGCGGGTATCGCGGGCCTAGCGCTGCCAATCGCCTGTTTGATGTACTACCCGGCGGGCGTCATCATGGAGCCAGTCATGTTCATCGAGAAAATATACCAGCTTTTCTTCTCCGGCCTACTCGTGCTCGGAGAGTCACATCACGGTACAACTGAAGGACGTTGTTTTCTATGCATAAATGACCACGTTTTTCTCTTTCACCATGACGGATGTGAAGTTTCGTTGCACTACGAGGATGGCCGCGCCCTATGTAAGGAAAAGGTTCTGAAATTTATCCCGATAATCAGCAATCGAATTCGTTTCTCCCAGGTGGTAGCCGTCGTATCCACGAGGCGCAAACTGCGGTTTACTACGGAGCAAAGTTGCTCTCACGGCTAATGGGCAAAGGCCTGTTCATAATTTTCATCGGCTGCAACTGCTTCAACATGGTAAATCCGGACGTACAGGATGGGTTTTTCCAGGTCTGCATCTACGCTACCGGCTTTGGCGTCGTAGCCATTGGAGCATTGAACCTGCTTGCAGGTAAAGGATTTATTTCAACTGATGAAAAGTAGACGTAGGTTCTTGTCAGGCTCAGGATACAACTTAAAGAATTGCATTACTAGTATACGCGTATGTTTCGACCACTTGGTGTTTTCAAAACGAAAACATGCAACAACTGCAGGTATCCAGAAAGCCTTCGCCCTGAACGGAATCCGGTCAAAACTGCAGAATTGGAGAGACCCAACTGGGAAGATGCTGCTTCCTGTGCGTAATTACGACCCGGAGGTGGAGAGCTACCTGCTCGAAAAGCTCGCGTCGCAGGAATCCCTCGCTATCTTCCTCAATCAGTTTTCTACCAAATACAGGGGACAGGCACTGACGAAAGAAGAATTCCAAGACATGTGCCGCATGGTCAACAAGGAGCCCAGATTCAAGTATTACGCTGCTCCAATTGTGCAGCATTTTTGACCCAGTTGCAAGTAGAAGCTTAAAGAGGTGGGGTCGGTGTCTTCAGAAAAGAGCATTGTTGTTTCATTTCGTTCCCCAAAGACCGCAACGAAAATATGCGAATCAGGTGGCAGGCGTGGGATCTAGAGCTCATTTTCGAGTCGATTACCCAGGACGGCGTGATAAGCGACACCATGGTCATGGGTGTCCAGCTATGGACGGAAAAAGCTGGGTGTGTTTCATGCAGCAAGGTCCGTTTTCATTTTTCTCGCGCTTGCCATGATGAAAACTGGAGACTGCTGCTATGAAACACCCGGCTTTTTCTCTTCATACCGACCCAAAGAAGCCATCAGTTTCGACGACATCCACGAGTGGCTGCAACCGGGGTTGCCTTTGATGCTTTAAATTTAAGAAAATATTTTTTTGCATTGCTGGACCTTCTTCCACGTAGAGAAGGAGTTTCATCGCTTGGAGCACTTCTGCCGATGTCGTATGTACAGCAGGAAATACGCATGGTATCCATGTCATGGTAGCAAGAAATCACCGAAAAAGAAAAGCTACTTGGAAAACGCACAAAGAAAATTGCAGGAGAGTGCAGCCAAAGTATGCAGCTTTCCTTTCTTTGGAAGGAACGTCCACCGCGGCACGGAAATTTCGTCGGTGTTCCTCTGTTTGACTTCAGTTTGAGATAGAGATTGATGAAGGAAAGCATCTTGATGATACAACGGGAGATGGTGCAGCCAAAAAAACGTAGTGTACGACTATGGTACTGTACCCAAGAGGACGTCATTTTTGCGTACTTAGAGTTGTTTTCAAAAATTGTAGTAGTTTACACGCAGCGGCAGCAACAGGCGGACGAAAAAAATCCATTTCTGCGCAAAATCGCACTAAAAATCAACCATGCGTCTGCGTCTCTCTTGGGTCCCCGATGAAGAACAAGGCTCGCTGTACGACTTCTTGTCGAGCGACAGTCGGGCGTTTCAGTTGTTCTGCGAGCGCGGGCTCGCAACACTGCTGCTCCCACCTACTCCGCCAGACGTGAAGTACAGCGATTTGAATTTGTCTCTGCTGCGCGTCTATCAATCGCAAATATGTCTGGGTCTGGAAGATTGCGAGATTTGTCATGCTGCTTTTCCATGACCTATGATGTCTGGAATGCAGGACCTAGCACGAAAGATTCTGCGAGACCTTTCAAATGCCCATCCTGCATGAGAAACTCCCTCCCGACTTGGTCAAAACTGGACGACTTTTGGTAATCATGCAACACAGATTTTTGCATGCTGCAGATTTAGCATTACAAGTTGCAACCTTCCAGATCCAGACATTTTTACATTTGATAGCGTGGGCGAGATTCTGGCGCAGATCACCGGCGGCGCGTTGAGCGAGGATGATGCGGCGCGGCTGTATTTCATCATGACAACCGTGGGTAGCGCCTCCATGACGGTCGAAGAGCTGTTTGAAACAGTGAAATTTCTCGCCGCGATCTGTTCGGCCAACCCGGCTCAAGTCATAAATCAGTACGTCGCGCACCACTCTGGCAGACTGTTTCAGAAAATGGCGATGCGGCGAGTTGGGGTAAATAGTTGAGTTCATTTTTGATGCGGATTGCTCAGCCACGAATGTTTTGTGAGGAAAAAATATTGGGCAATCTTTTCTGTTGCAGCTGTTTCTGGCTCGAAATTATCCCCGTATGAAATTTTCTGCTTCATCACACGCAGGTCGTCTACCGAGACGGGCGAGATTTCGCTCCCGAACCCGGTGCACCGCCGAGGAAGAAAAGCAGCTCCAAACCTCCACTTGGCCCGATGACCGTGCAGTGGGCAGACGCCGCGGAGCTGCTGGAGCTTTTCGGGATGACGCAGAACGGCATCAGCAGGATTCGACGGGTCATACAGGCAAAGCCGCTGCAACTGATATATGTTTACGACGTGCGAGCGGTATTTCTGACAGAATCGGAGTTGCACACTGTCTTGCAGCACGCTGCGGAACAGCTCGCGCGGGAGGCCGACCTAGACGTTGACCCCCAGTTACTCGGTAGTCCCGCGACGAGTGTACGCGGCAGCGATCCCCGAGCAGGGCACAAATCCGGAGTGTGTGTGATCCTGTAGCATGGTGGAAGCAGTTGCGTCCGCGCAGCGGGTCGGCGGAAAGCAAGGGAGAGCAAGACGAGGGTAAGAACTCCTACGGAAGCGGCTTATTCCGGGACGCGCATCGTCGAGAGGGAGAGGGAGAGCGCGAAACGCAGAAACCCCATTGCATTTGGACCAAGGTCGACGATCTCGTGCAGAGACGGAGAAGCGGCCAGGATGAATGCGTGTGGCCATACGCTGCTTGGGAAACGAAAATCAAAAGGAAAAAACGACTGCAGAGCCAGCACCTGGTCCAGGAGGGCAAAAATTTGGGGCCGGCGACACTGTGCTTCTTTTCTTGTGCTGGCTGTCGGAAAAATAGAAAAAGTCGGGAACGAAAACGATGAGAGGACGTCGACAAGAAACATTGATTTGGTGTGTCGGAAAATGTTGTACATCAGAAAGTAACCTCTAAAAAATTCACGCACCACATCAACTTCAACCTCACCTGCTCACGAAAATTGGATCAGCACTTCGAAGCGAATCGCCCGAAATCTGGCAGAGCTGCGGCCTCATTGCGATCCAAAAGGCAAGTTCACGGAAACCTTCTGTCCACGTACGGTCAGGAGTAATATACTCGTTCACAAAAACCAAAACCATCGACGTAATGCTGGATCAAGATGATGACCAATGCCAAGCTGCTTGACCCTCTTACAACTACACGACCCAAGCCAAGGATCGACATTGAATGACTACGAGGTTGATCTCTTGCAACCAGCACTGAAAATTGGACGAAGTGCTCGAAAATTGAAAGCGATTGATTTTTCCGCAGAGATGAACTACCTCGCGCGGTCTTTGGAAATCGAACCCGCCGGCGGGAAGGACCTCTACCCGAAGTAGACACAACGAACTTACTAATCGATTCTCTTGACAACGACCAGAAAGTGTTTCCTTTTCCAACAAAAACCCAATCAGGTGGCGAGCGGCAAATGAGAGAAGATGACGATGTTCTGGTTGTGAAGAATAAACAAGCTGTACCTGTAAACCTAGGCTCCGCTAGTAGAGAAAGGAACTATTCCAGCAATATAGCGGAATTTACTTCCGCGGTGCTGATTTTTAGGACAAGACCAACAGCCACACTACTAGGAAGCACAGCCGCGGCACGACTCAATAAATTGATATTTTTTCATTCGGTCTGATATATATGATAACGAATTCCCCTCAGATGAAACTATAGACCGCAACACTTTCTCTTTCTACGACCTTATCCTGGCGACTATCAATCAGAAAACTACTTGTACTTTACTATAAAAAGCGACCATGATATCACGAGAAAAAAGTGTTACAGTTACACATTTGTTGGAGCTTGTGCATCACAAATTTCTTTGTGTGGCAGAGAAAACTTGTAATGCGAAGGTCATAAGGGAAAACAGGAAGGAAACGAGGCTCCCAAGCATTTCCTGCATGACAAAGGTTGTCTCTGTTGCCGGTCTTGCATCACAATGTGTAACTGTAACACTTTTTTCTTGTGATACATGAAGATCGAGGAGGTCGCGTCCACGACGAAGAGTGCCCGGGTGGCCTCGCACTCGCTGCCTGGCAAAACAAGTAGAGCGCCGTCGAGGCTTTTGGCCGGTTCGCATCTATCAAGAGGGGGCAACATGATTGCCGGGGCTCGGTTTCGCTTCATCATCTTGCTTGTGTATTTGCTTCTTGGGATCTGGCATCGTGAGTTCCATGGGCTCCGGGCCGGAGGGGCTTCACGCCGAGGGACCTGGGGTGCCTTTTCCGACACCTTGACCAATCCGGTCCGCACTTTGTGCGCGTATTTGTGCTCGTCCGGGCCCCTCGAGTGAGCGACGTGTTCTAGCGCGGCGCCGGCGACTGTTGTGGCACAGTCTGGGGGACGGGTCCGTCGTCGTGGTTGTTGGGTGTTTGAGAGGTACACATGTAAAGCACGCGGACGCCCTCCCAGATCGGGGCTGTGCACTGGGAAACATTGTGGCCATTTGAGTCAAGAGCCGCTACGCAGCTATCGGCACATTCATTACGGCGGCCTGCGTTTTTGCGCCCCGTCAGCTCCCTTATTATCGTGCTAAGGGGGCCACTTTGGCGCTTTTAGAGGTGACCTAGGCGACCCCTCTCGCCCCAAAATCCCAAAAAGTGCGAAATTCTGAATTCATTCTGAATTCATTAAGAAAAGCACTTAGTTCCAGGGCGGTTCTGCATTAAGTTTACCGTAAACGAATAGTCCTCAATCTCAGACTCAGAAAGCATAGAAAACAATACTTTCCACGAAATTTGTATTCCGGCGACTATAAATATCGATACCCAAAACCTCTCAACTAAGCGACCATGAAGATCGAGGAGGTCGCGTCCACGACGAAGAGTGCCCGGGTGGCCTCGCACTGTGTGGCCATGCGGTGATTGAACGCGTGGCCATGCGGTGATTGGGAAACGAAAATCTCCAGGTCAAGCAGCAGCCGGTCCAGATGGGAAAACTTTTGCGGCCGGCGACGACGTGCAGTATGTACTTTTGCTTTGCTGGTGGCTGTCGCAAAAGTAGAAAAATCGGGGACATAGATGAGAGGACGTCAACAAGAAACAGTTGATGTGTCGGAAAAAGTAGATCAGGAATCAGGCCCGCTGAGGTAGAGAGCAATGTAACAAATTCACGCATCACATCAACCTCACCTGCTCACGAAAATTGGATCAGCACTTCGAAGCGAATCGCCCTAAATCTGGAAGAGCTGCGGCCTCATCGCGATCCAAAAGTCAGAAACGTCCAGGACGAAGGCAAGTTCACGAAAATAACCTTCTGTCCACAGCACACGGTCAGGAGTATCTACTCGTTCACAAAAACCATCCACGTAATGCTGGATCAGGATGGAGACCAATGCCAAGCTGTTTGACCCTCTTACAAGTAAACGACCCAAGCCAAGGATTGACATTGAATGACCACGAAATTGATCTCTTGCAACCACTGAAAATTGCACACGAAAGTGCTCGAAAATTGAAAGCGATTGATTTTTCCGACCTCGCGCGGTTTTTCATAATCGAACCCGCCGGCGGGCAGGGCCTCTACCCGAAGACATAACTCAACATTGATTCTCTTGACAAGAAAGTGTTTCCTTTTTCAACAAAAACCCAATCAGGTGGCGAGCGGACAATGAGAGAAGATGACGATGTTCCGGTTGTGAAGAATAGACAAGCTGTACCTAGACCTAGATTCCGCTTGTAGAGATAGGATCTATTCTAAGAAATAGCGGAACTTATTGTTACTTCCGCGGTGCTGCTTAGGACAAGAGCCACACTACGAAGCACTTCCGCGGCACGACTCAATAAATTGATATTTTTTCATTCGGTCCGAAAGATAACGAATTCTCCTCAGAAAGCATAGAGCAACGACACTTTTTACGACTCTATCCTGGCGACTATCAACTTTTAAACTAAACTTGACTATAAAAAAAGCGACGATGATATGGAGAGAAAAAAGTTTGTCACAGTCACTAACTTGCAGGTTTTGCATTACAAATCTTCTCAGCATCACAAACTTTTCTTGTATTGCAGAAACACTAGGGAAATCCCTAACGAAGTTTGGCTGTGATGCATTTTTACGCATGACAAACAATTTTGTATTGCAAGAATGCGCATGAGTGATCGTGACGAACTTTTTTTCTTTGATACATGAAGATCGAGGAGGTCGCGTCCACGACGAAGAGTGCCCGGGTGGCCTCGCACTCGCTGCCTGGCAAAACAAGTAGAGCGCCGTCGAGGCTTTTGGCCGGTTCGCATCTATCAAGAGGGGGCAACATGATTGCCGGGGCTCGGTTTCGCTTCATCATCTTGCTTGTGTATTTGCTTCTTGGGATCTGGCATCGTGAGTTCCATGGGCTCCGGGCCGGAGGGGCTTCACGCCGAGGGACCTGGGGTGCCTTTTCCGACACCTTGACCAATCCGGTCCGCACTTTGTGCGCGTATTTGTGCTCGTCCGGGCCCCTCGAGTGAGCGACGTGTTCTAGCGCGGCGCCGGCGACTGTTGTGGCACAGTCTGGGGGACGGGTCCGTCGTCGTGGTTGTTGGGTGTTTGAGAGGTACACATGTAAAGCACGCGGACGCCCTCCCAGATCGGGGCTGTGCACTGGGAAACATTGTGGCCATTTGAGTCAAGAGCCGCTACGCAGCTATCGGCACATTCATTACGGCGGCCTGCGTTTTTGCGCCCCGTCAGCTCCCTTATTATCGTGCTAAGGGGGCCACTTTGGCGCTTTTAGAGGTGACCTAGGCGACCCCTCTCGCCCCAAAATCCCAAAAAGTGCGAAATTCTGAATTCATTCTGAATTCATTAAGAAAAGCACTTAGTTCCAGGGCGGTTCTGCATTAAGTTTACCGTAAACGAATAGTCCTCAATCTCAGACTCAGAAAGCATAGAAAACAATACTTTCCACGAAATTTGTATTCCGGCGACTATAAATATCGATACCCAAAACCTCTCAACTAAGCGACCATGAAGATCGAGGAGGTCGCGTCCACGACGAAGAGTGCCCGGGTGGCCTCGCACTCGCACGTCAAGGGGCTTGGGTTGCAGGAGGATGGCACGGCTCACGTCATCGCCGGCGGGCTGGTCGGCCAGGAAAAGGCCCGAGAAGCCGCGGGCATCGTCGTCGACCTGATCAAGAGCAAAAAGATGGCCGGCCGCGCGCTAATGCTCGCAGGCGCACCCGGAACAGGGAAGACCGCCATCGCACTGGCGATCGCAAGCGAACTCGGGCCGAAAGTGCCTTTTTGCCCAATGGTGGGCTCGGAGGTACAGACTCAGTTTTGATTATTTTCCGCGCCGTTCTTGTCCTGGATGTATGTGATTTGAGGACATGGAGTTATCAGCAAGCATGCGAACTTTCTCGAACTAAAGAGCCACGTCATGATGAAATTCCGTCCTAAAACTCTTGAACACAGGTGTACTCTTCCGAAGTTAAGAAAACCGAGGTGTTGATGGAAAATTGTAGAAGAGCAATCGGCATCAGAATAAAAGAAACGAAGGAGGTTTACGAAGGAGAGGTTACGGAATTGACACCCGAAGAAAAGCCGGATCCGTCAGGCGGGTATTGATTTAAACGATGAACAGACTCGTTTGGTTCTTCAATAGTTTTTTGTAACTGTATCTGCTACACGCACAAAATGCAAGCTAGCTACAACTGAGCCTTCTGCACGCATGATTGTGAGTTCGAATGAAAAGTGTCGGATAAGTGCCGCGCGAAGGATGAAAATGCATTTGATGTTTGTACGAATTATCGGATCAATTCAATTCACAAACAGGCCCGAAAAGCGAGTGACCAGCGTGATGATCGGCTTGAAGACAATAAAGGGATCTAAGGTGCTGAAGCTGGCGCCGAGTATATTCGAGGGCATGCAGAAGGAGAAGGTAAACATTGGCGACGTGATCTACATTGAGGCGAACACCGGAGCGGTAAAGCGCGTAGGGCGATGCGATGCTTACGCATCAGAGTTCGACCTGGAAGCAGAGGAATACGTGCCGGTATAGCGAATGTTTACTTCACAACTTTTTTGGCATGCCCATGCGTAATTCTTGTTGGAGTTTTCGATGATACTTGATTGCAAAGTGAATTCTGTGAACTTGGATTTTAGTGTGACGCTTTATTTCCAATAACCAATACAGATTCCCAAGGGCGACGTTCACAAGAAGAAGGAAGTTGTCCAAGACGTCACGTTGCACGACCTCGACTCAGCGAATGCCAAGGTATTTCCTTTGCCGAGCTTTTCTTCTGTATTCTTACACCGGGAAAAAAATCGAAAAAATGCCTTCTCCCCTAGATGGTAGAATAAATCATAGACTCCTCATCCATTTATTAAAGAAAAGAGCTAAATTCGATATTCAAAACAGCCACAAGGAGGGCAGGACATTGTGTCATTGATGGGGCAATTCATGAAGCAGAGAAAAACCGAAATCACCGACAAGCTGCGAAAAGAGATCAACAAGGTCGTGAACAGGTACAGATAATCCCGTGTTTGCTGTATCCATGCGTGGCATAACCGTAATATGTAAGGTCTATGCGTGAGCGTGAGCAAGTGCATCCTATATCGAGACCGACAGAAATAATGAGGAAAAAAACACACTATACCAGGTATATCGACCAGGGCATCGCGGAACTCGTTCCCGGTGTGCTCTTCATCGATGAGGTGCACATGCTCGATATCGAGTGCTTCACCTACCTCAACAGAGCTTTGGAATCCACCCTATCCCCCATCATCGTATTCGCGACCAACAGAGGAATCTGCACCATTCGAGGTACTTCTACGCTTTTCTGGAGAGGAAAATTTTGATCGCATTCACATTGCATTCATTGATTTTCTTTTTCTCTCGTTGCATTACTAAAACTTTTTTTCCAAATGACGGTATCTCATTCTCAAGCTGTCAAAACCCTCGTCCCAGGTACGGAAATCGTGTCCCCGCACGGTATGCCGGTAGATTTGCTGGACCGGCTGATCATCGTGCGTACCCTGCCCTACTCCGTCGAGGAGATTGCGACCATCGTCCGCATCCGGGCGCAGACGGAGAAGATCGAGATCGCGGACGAGGCAATTGAGGTGCTGGGGGACATTGGGTTGAACACCAGTTTGCGCTACGTGTCCCAGTTACTCACGCCGGCCATCATCATCGCAAAGTCCGCCGGGCGGGATTCCATCGAGAAAGACGACATCATTGAAATCGACGACTTATTCTACGACGCCAAGTCCTCCGCCAAAAACCTCGCTGCCAACGCCGACAAGTACATATCTTAAGGTTCATCTGAAGGAGTAAGTAGCACATCAGTGCACCGGGGAGACAAGAATCGCTGAGCTTTTGGTCGCTGTGACTGCGATCCGCATCGCCGGGTGCTTGTGGGTTTTTTGAAAGAAAAATCGAATCGCATCGTGATATGCAGACGAAATGGGGGCCGACCAGGCACGGGATATGGCAATGAAGACGCGTTTTTTTTCTTTCAAGAGTTCCTGTGGCGAAAGCTGAAAGCATCTATCCTTTTTCTTCTAGGTACTGACCTCAGAGTATAGACTTTTTTACGTAAATATGTACTAGTTTGCTTGTTCTGGCGATCTTTCGAGTAGCGAACTTGCAGTCAAGCTGTAAGTTCCGAGAGTTCTTGGCACTAGCTGGCTGCGACAGCTGTCACCAGCGTTGGGCTTGGGAGTAAGAGCTGAGATAATTTTGGCGACGGGTTCTTGACACTCAAAATTTATTGTTTCTGCTGCCACGAGGTGAAGCAGAGCAAAAGCGAAACAGACGGAATTTTATTTGCGGCACCAACGGAGATGTTTTGCCTGGGATTGTTCGTGCTTCGTCCCAGGACGTATGACAAGGATTTGCGGACGCTTTCAGGTTCAACGAGATGAAGAAATCGTCCTAGGTTTTTTATAGAAGTCGTAGGTAGTCGTGCCTTCCCCTTCGGTTTACGAAAAGAAATGTCGGTGTGATGTCATCGGTCTTTCTCTTTCGGTGAACGAATACGACATCGTTCTTTCTCGTCTGACTATCCAAATAGATGAGTTATCTGGTCTGTCATCAATCGCGTCTCTAGTTAAAACAATGTGGATTATGCTATGCTACTTACGAATTTACAGCTCGCTGAGACGCCACTTTGAGATAACGATCTGAACAAGTAGATATCTCGTCCCTGAGAAGTTTTTTTCAAGTTAGTTGTAGCAAGTCTAGAATGAAGGGATCTTCGCCAATGAACTAGAAGCAAAAGCGATACGAAATTACAGGCAGAATAAAAGGCGCAAAAGTTGTACCATGGAGTTACGGTTAGAATATGATAGATCAGTTTTTCGTATGCGACTGCCATACATAGCTACTTCACTGTTGAAACCTCGATTCGATTGAAAAACAGGACGCCGGTAATACTCATCCGTGAGTTGAAGGGTTTGTATTCTGTAGTTCGATACGGACACATCACAGAGTATCATTCTGTATTCTTCACTGTCTACTACGAAAACTTGAGTTTGCTTCAAAAATAGAAAGCAAATCAGCGGCGGCCACGAAGATGGGCGGCAGTTTTTGGTATGGCAGCTTTGGAGGTACGGGAGGACAGAGAATGTTACCAGGAGTGGGAGTCGACTACTACCATACCGGCTACAACAGTTACAACAAAGGTGCTAAGAACACTACCCCGAACAAAGGCAAAGGTAAAAAACAAGGAAAGCAGGCATCGCCAGACAGCCACGGTGTAAAAAAGAATCCTTGTGAATACACTTTGCAGCGGGTGGTAGTCGGCAGGCAGAACGACGCCGGAAAGTCGTGGAGTGAAGGGGTTTATCTCGAGCCACATCCTTCCCGAGAAGGAGAAACAGAAGGTATCTGCGCCCGTTGACTTTTACGTTTTCGGAGAAATTATAGTGTATGTTTAGTCATAGATTTGCCGGTTAACTGTGAGTCACACACAACAAACTGCGAGGGAAGTTTTCTTTCAGGCAACCCACCCTACGTTTACGTGTATACCTGCAGCTTGGATCTTCAGGAGGTGGAATTTATCGACATCTGTCAGTCGATGTCTATTCGGCCGCCACACTCAGTACATGATGGTAATCATACCAGGTAGCGCGGGATTGTCTGAACAGAACACCCCCGCATCCTCCTGCGAAAACTTTTCGTTTCGCTCGCAGCGGCCTCGCTATCAAGTGGATTCTGAGTTGCACGAAAGTATTTCGGCAGTCGCTCTGGACGCCTTCGAGGGCAAGGTGGCGATCGCCGAAACGGTGCAGCGAACAGATCGCGACCGCGAATGCAGTGACCACGAGCTGACCAGTCTACTGGTGGGCGTGCCGCTGCAGGAAGGGGGCGTGGTGGACGAAACGACGATGGCATTGATTCTGTGCCACAGGGGCCGCTACTGTAAAGTGAACGACTCTGTTCGTGTGCGCGTGCACGAGGGGGCTTCTCAGGCATGCATCCTCGATTTAGATTTGGCGATTGTGAAGATCGTTCCGGCCTGCGTAAGGCGCGGAAAGAAGATTCCCGTGGTAATTGCTGATGCCCGGCAGAGCCCGAGTGCGGGGCAAGAACCCGAGCCGCCCACATTTTTGCAGTGGGATCCGCATCGCGGGGGGTCGCTTAGCTTGTTCCGTTCGACCCCGAGCAGATTCCTGGAGAACACTTTCGTGGAAGGAAACAGAAAACGCGACGTCTTTCTCTCTTATTGCTCCGTCCAAGCGGCAGACGCAGAACAAGGCGCGCAAAAGTTGCTGACGTCGCTGCAAGACGTGGAGAAATTCAACCTCTTAGTAGAGAAGAAGAAGATATCGACTTACTGGCTAGGCATCCCGCCCGGTGCAGTTTTTCAACACTTTCTGCAAGGCGGCAGCGTGGTCCATCTCTTTGGTTATTACGGTCAGGAGTGGGAGGATCCGGATGGAAACGCGCACGGAGTCGAGCTTCCAGATTCGAGCAAGCGGGAGCAAGTCTTCTACGCCACAAGACTGACTTACGAATCGAAGTGGTATGATAGAGAAAGTCACCAAGATTCGCTGAAGCTGTGTGGGCGTGGAAATATGCCCCAGTCCTGGCAAGTCGACTTCGACGCCGTCTCTGGGCCAACTACCTTTGACGCGAATCGTATTGCCAGACGTTTTTACTCTCTTTGCCTTTCAGTTAGTTTCATATTCACTTCGTATTGATGGACCAAGGGCGACGTTTCTTTGTGCAGCTTGTAAAACGTCGCATTTTAATAAATGCGACATTTAATCTGACGAGTCTACAGAACACGACGTCTCACTGTGCTTGATATGGTATTGAAAACGAAAACTGTCTATTGAACTGCAGGTCGCACAAAAGGAAAGCTGAAATGGCAGATGAAAAGAACTGATGCTCTTCGGAGAAATTGGTCTTTTACCTCTTGCTCTTCGGGATCCGGTTCCAGTGCAGACCATACGGGCGCTTTTGCCGATACAGGTGCTTGAAGCTGTGGGCAAGCAGGCGACAGTCTAGCTGAAAACGGTGCTGTATTCTTTGATATGACCCTGTATGATTTCTTTGATAATTTATTAGTTGGACCATAGGATAAGGATAAGCAACCATTTTTTTTCGGAGGTGTGACATTTTGCACTATGGTGGCTGAAAGTAAAAATCTTTTGACTTAGGGCCCCACTACACTCTCCCGTTTTTTTGCTGTACGTCCCTGAAACATCCCTATTCCGCTGGTTGAAGTTCCATATTTCAAACAGTATAGATATCTGCGGACTACCGCGAAGGAATGTTTTACAAAACTGACAGACGGGAAACAGTGCTCTCAACAATATTTTTTCGGCAGCAGTCGAACTCGTAATAAGCACTTTTTTTCGGATTTGCACGAAATATCCGGTATGGTTTTGCGTACATCTAGGTACCTTTGAAGTGCAGTACGGTGTAATGCGGGGTCTTCCGGTTTTTATTTCATATGTATAGCGACAATAGAACGATAACGAAGTACGGATTTGAAATTTATGCGAAGTCGATTAAAGATCCAATTATTCCTGTTCATTTTTTCGATGATTTGAGAGCGCTATATGGACACAGAACACAGGTTTCACGACGGTTTCTCCTCCGTCCTCATTCCTTCTATTACAACCCCATCGGATTTGGAGATGATGGTTTATTCTCTTTTTCTGTGATACACTGACTGGAAAGCAGTGTTGAAATTTGAATGACAAACGAGTCATCGACTTTGTTCTCTTTGTGGATCTGCTCCTTAGCTGAATGTGTATTCCCATGGTATTGGCCCATCTTTTACTCAGATCTGTAATTAGCTGCTCATTGAACGATCTGCATTCACTAGGCGGATATTTTAGTATCGACGCATGTTATGTTGATCCCGATTGATCCAGATTAGCTTCAGTGAAAGCGAATGGACATCAGATAAGGTCCGTCGATGCCGATGGGTCAGTTGTTGTCATCTTCATGAGAATCCGAGTATAGCCTTTTTCCTACCGTGGTCTTCCATTTGGCATAAAAACCACGCCATACCAAAGCCAAAGCGCAAATCCTCCATGATGATGTTGTCGTACATTATTGCAGGCAACAAGGTGAAGACGGATTTTATCTATTCGTATTTTACTTCATCTTCATGGAAGATATTGAGGTCCCTTTGCCTACTTTGTAGATTAGACATTCATAAAGTAGAGAAAGCACTTGGATTTGTTGTTTCATTTATCATTCTAGTTTTTTTTCCCGCCAACGCGTCGCCGTGAAGTGGAAGTAGTGCAGCCTAACTAGTACGACGTAAAAGAATGTCGAAGGGCAAGCAAAAAGAAAAGATGAAGGGCGGGAAAGTCATCGCGTCCAGTAATGCCGCTATTCCTGGAAAGAATCTGCAAGGTAAGGGTTCTCCACCTTTAGGAAAATGGAACTGCCTCATTATCTATGTAGCGAATTTGGGTGCTTCGATGCCCCAAGGAGGTCCAGGTATCGAAGCGCAAGGGTGTTAGACAGAATTTATAAACTTGTCGTGACGATGAAATAGTGTTTGTGTTTCGACGTCGATATATGTGAACTCTTCCAGGTACAGGCGTTTCTGAAAAAGGCAAAAGTCACGACTGGATGAAGGGCAGCAAAGACAAGGCTCCGGCACAGGGCCCGCATTCAAAAGGCGCGGCGAAAGGAAACCTTCAGGAGCACGGTATTCACGGTGGAGGTGGGGCTGGACAATACAGCCTCAAGCGGAACGCATCGTGTTCGTTTTCTGCTGACGGCGGCTCCGGTGCCCCTCCGACTAAAAGGCAACGCCCCGACGAACCTGAGTATCAGATCCAAGCGGTTCATGTCGCTGACGACGTGAAGGTGCAGGCGGTATCGCTGAAAACCATCGAGGCGGCGCCTGTGGATCAGCCGCATCGGCGTACTCACGAAGGTATCGATCAATATCGCTAAACATTTCATCTTAGCGTGATAGCATCGAATGCAAATGCCGGGAGAAAAATTCGAAAAATTATAGAAACAAATTGCAAACAGGCAGGGTGCTAGTCGGCAATTCGTACTTCAGGGAACCGGATAAGCGGGCCGAGCGACCGAATGCGCAGCGGGACACGCCACTCCTCGAGAAGGTAACGGAGGTAGTCCGTCGCGAACAAAACTCTATTGTGCTTGAGACGGTTCAAGATTTCGGGAGGCCCCCGCATGATGGAGCGAGCGTGATGTTGGTGGCCGGACTTGTGTCCCCCCGTGGCAAACCGGACGGGACTCTGGCGCTCCTCGTTAGCGACAAGAGGACGGTGACGAAGGGAGATGTCCTTTCTGTGGGCTATGGTGAAACCGCTAAGGATTGCCCAAAGTGCGTAGTTGTGATCAAGCTGGTCAAGCGCTGCCTCGCACTGTCGCAGGCAGTTCCGGTTTTTCAGGGTGCGGAAAAGGTTGCTGAGCTGCGCTACGAACAGCGCGGGAAAGGTATGTTGATATTTCCAGTTGTATGCTTGTTGTTCATGACGATGTCGAGTAATCTGTTCGGAGAAAGCATAGCAAGACACTGTTGCTGAGGCTGTAGCTAGAGAAATGACTGTCCTATGTATGTACTTCACAATAAAAAATATAAAGTCGTAGTTTCCACGACCATTTTGATGTCCATCCAGGTGCCATGGTGCTGCTGCGGAACGCAAAATTTGTGGTCGATAATCTTCTGTTGGCTCATGGTCAGGAAAACGACGCCGGAAAGCGCGACATGTTCCTGACCTTGTGTGCCGCGGAAGCAAAAAATGCAAGCATGAACAGTGGCGAGTTTTCGTTTTGCGTAGACATCGACGATATACTTTCTCGATTGGAAAAGAACCTGAACGACGCCAAGCTGCAGGCGACGCCCCGAAGGATGGAGGTTCGCTTCCACAGCGAGTTCGAGGCAGCCAAGGTTCGGGAGCACTACAACATGCAACGCAGCCATTCCCCAGGGGAGGGGATTTATGAGGTGGTGGGACACCAGCTGCAGAGTGATAGTTGGTGCCATGAAAAGATGCAAGCGACCTGTGTTTTGGGGATTGACCCGTCGTCCGCTCCTGGGTGGACTTACCGCCGGAAATACCTGGAGCTGGCAGACTGGAAACTCGACCGCGAGACGGACAACGGTGCTGACACACACGTGGTGCATCTACTCAGTATTGGACTTTATCGCTTCAGTTTCTTAGATATCCCTTGCTTTCGATGCTTTCCATGTGACTAGCTATTCAGCCTACTGACCTAGGATGAAATCCGCAACTTTGCCTGCACTGCTCTCATCGTGGAGTAATTCACCAGCATCAAAAACGCAACAGAATGCCAGTCCAGCCAGCCGGTCGAATACAGGGACCGCGACAAACCAAGGAGGAAGAACAAGAATGCACTGCAAGGTTAACCGCACGAATTAGACTGTCTGTGACAGTCCCTGATGATGGCCTCACAAGGTCCCAGCATCTTACATTTCAACAGCTCCACAAAACGAATCGTTTTTGTAGTCCATATCCATAAATTACTAATAAATTTACAATTGTAAACTACTTTTACACAGTCTGCAACGAGGACGGTAAACGCTATCCTGCAGCAAGTCATCACTTTTTCGTTTTAGTCGACACCATTCCACCTCGTTTTTCTCAATAGATTTTGCGCTGATTCTGTCGTCGACAGGAGAAGCGATTCAGCAGTACATTCCTACTAAAAGTATGTTTGTTACTGTTTTTTCTACGCACTACAGAACGTCGTAGATGTAGCTGTAGTGCGCTTCAAGCGATTTTCACACACTTTGTGTGCTGAGTACATCGTCTTGCGAACGTTGTTGGTAACTTAGTTCCATCTAGTTTCGCGGCTAGATGAGATAATATTAGTCTATGGCCAATATGATCTATCTATTCCATGCACCAGGAGGAGTGCACCTTAGGTGTGACCCCCTGTGCTAAAATCCCATCTAAAACAAGAAAAATCGAAGTAGCTGTCGACTTGATGTGAAAAAACCTTGTCAATGTGTATTGTCTCTTTACAACAAAAGAATATCAATATGTATAAACTCATGGTTTCTACCTACTATTCTGCTTCTGGTTTTTCATCTATCAAACGTTATTACTTCGATTGAGTGAAGAACGGGAAAAGTTCGCCACGGTCCGATCGCGTCTCGCTGCCGGTGCGATCGCAAATATGTAGAGTATTTTCGATCGGACTGGTAGGCGCCCCTGCGAGTGGTGTGGACGAAACCGGAAAACATAGGTAGAAAACAACTATCCGTTTCTCTACGTATTTCATAAGCAGAAAATGAAAAAAATTTAGAAACTTCTGACCGAAAGAAAACAAAAGTGATAAGGAAAACACCGCCTTCCTCGCGCAACTTGGGGTCACATCATCACCTGCTGACTCTCGATAGTCGGTGGCAGGAGACGGACTGCTTCGCGCGACGGATCGGGTGCGACTATTTTTTTTACGCAAGTTTTTCTGATATTATTAAGAGCCTTCTGCTTCTACTTTCTGCGACTACATTGTAAATCGCGTTGATTCTCAGCTTAGGGCTTTCTTGCTACTGTGCGGATGTAGACGAAGTCGAGTTGAAGCCAGTAGTTACAGAGAGTCAGGCTAAGCGGTCAACGCGGTTTAATTAGATTTCTGAACCTGTTGAAAATTATTGCACTCAATAGGAGCAACAGACAGAGATAAGTCTACTAAACGATGCTTCTCTCTGCAAAACAAAGGGAGCATAATTTTTTCGTGTTTCGCATTCTTTCTCATTTTTCTCTGGCTGACAGCGCATTCGCTCGCAAGCGAATGTCAACTAGACATGATAATGATGAAGCTGAAGGTGATGAAACGCGACAGGAGCCGTCCACATCTGATGAATTGACGGCTTTTATCCATTAATATGCTGCTTATTTGGACCGTCTTGTAAGTAGGTCTTAGTTTCGCTTTCAAAATAATGCAAAGATAGATTGGCAATGCCAATGGCAGCTTACTGGAGCCATCTCATGCCTTCCGGCTAGAGTCATCCCCACTCATGTGGTGGATGAATCAATTATAATTCGTGCTTAATTTTTTCGTCAAGGAGATGTGACTCAAAGACGGCGGGATGTGCTTGTTCTCCCTCATGTGGAAAGGGATCTCAGAAGAAACTGATCGTGTATGTGGAATTTTGATCAAATTGAAATGGTAGTCGATCCAGCGCACAGCATCGCCTCAAACCATTATAATGGGTAGAACATGTTCAGAAAATATACCGTGAGCGATCCCGATCCATCGCTAGTACTTCTGAAGATCCCGACCGCATTAGTGGAAATAAATTTTGTTGATGATCATGATCTCAAGAGGCGACAAAACCGGTCTTTTGTGATATGCAAAAGCTCAATATCAACCGGATATCACTTGCTTTACCCGCCCAATCCAAATACAGTCATGTTTCTCCAGCGATCTTGGCTAGCAGCAGTAGCAGAAACTAACAAAATATTTTAGGGACTGACTCGAAAACTCCCTTTAGTTACTGATTCTCATAGATATCGCCTATTTTTGATAAAATGTCGGCGGCAGCTGGCTCTTCGGCTGGAGCGGCTAGCAAGAAGCCCATGAAAAAGAAGAAAGACAAAACCGCGACAAAGGTCGTGTCAGCGTCGATTGCTGGAAGCGATAAGAGATCGACACCTGAGGGAGCAAAAGCGCCTCCTGCGTCGTCATCCGCGGAAACTGCAACGACTAAATCTTTGAAATCGAAGGTCAAGAAAGCGAAGACAGGGGCGATGAAAGTAGTAACCGGGACGTCATCTTCCTCGTCCAGTAGCAGCGCAAGCACAGGTAGCGCAGCAGCACCCGCATCTATACACGCAGAGACGCTGCAAGTGCAAGACACGAACCTCGATCAGCATGACCCTCGTTCTCATGAGCCACAGTCTTTATTCGATGATGGGAGCAGTGACGAAGAAGACAGAAGCCAGAATCTTTTTGTCAAGGCAAAATCATCCAAAAACAACCCATCAGCCGCAGCGCAGCACGATGATCTCAACAGGCTGTCCGTGAACAGGCAGTTTGCGGAGAAGTTCCAGAAACGGAAAGATGCCGAGGAGCTCGCGTACGCCCGGAAGATCATCGACGAGGAGGGCGGTTCGTCGTCGTCCAGCGAAACCGAGGACGAGGATGGCATGCTGCTGCAAAACGATGTGGATTTCAAGGTTCTCGACACATTACAGCGAATTCGAAACAAGGACAAGTCGGTGTACGACGGCAAGACCCAGTTCTTTTCCTCCGCGGACTTCTTCGCCGAGAGACGGCAAAAGAAGGAACAGGAGAAAAAAGAGACAGCAGGAAATGGTGGTGAAAAAAAACCGGTGCTCTACAAGGATTTACTGCGACAAACGCTGCTCGAGGGCGGTGCGGAGGCGTTCGAGGACGATGAAAGATTGGTCGCTGCGAAGCGAAATCAAAACAACGAGGAGGATCTGGCGGACATTAGGGCACAGATCCGCGCGGAAGTGGGGAAAACGGATAATGATGATGCTGGAGAGCAGAATGACGACTCGGAGGACGACGGCGAAGGTTTGTTCAGCGTGAAGAAACCGAGTGCTGACAAAAATGCTACCGAAGCGCCGCTTACTGACGCTTTTACACACCAGCAGGGAAGTTCTACTTCATCCGAAGGCGTTAACCTGCACAAGAAAAAAAGCGCCCAGTCCCTCCTCGCGAACAAGTACTGGGGCGAGGATGAAAAATTGACCGAGAACGAAAAGTTTCTCCGCGACTACATTTTGAACGAGGGATGGAAGGACCCGACGGGGGCCGGGTTCGGTGGCGTGGACGACGCGAAAGAAGTGGAGGACGAGGAGGCGCTGGACGAACAAGACGATTTTGAGGCGGAGTACAACTTCCGCTACGAACACGGCGGGTTGGGCGAGAACGGGGAAATCGCCACCTTCGCGAGAAACGTGCCGAACTCCGTGCGACAGGTAATAGAAATGAATTGGTTTTTTCTGTGGTTTGTACCAACCGTATGTGAATTTGAATTTTAGGTAGTGTGGCAGTAGAAAAGTATGCTTTTTGAGCGTCATCCACCAGCAATCCGCATCCCAATCTCTTCCCCCGCCCACAGGTCGACGACAAGCGTAAACGCAAGCGTCTGGAGCGCAAGGAGCGAAAAGAGCAGGAAGCGGTGCGCAAGTCCGAGGAGCTGAAGCGGCTGAAAAACTTGAAGCGCAAGGAACTGCAGCGACGCCTCCGGCAAATCGAGAAGACGACCGGAAACACGGGCGCGCTGGTCGCGGAGCCGGAGAAGGAAGACCCACTGTTGGCGGACTCCGTGTTCCATTTCCAAGAGGAGGAGGACGACACTGCCACGGCAGCCGGCACCGCCAGCGGGGCGGCCGAACGGAAGTACGCGAAGATGCTAGAAAGGGATTTCGATCCGGAAACGTACGACAAGGAAATGGAGGAGTTTCTGGGCGAGGACTATTACGAAGGTGACGAGGAACTCGATGAGAAGGAGTTGAAGGCGCTGACGCGAGAGGGCGAAACAGAGGAAAACTGGGGCGACTACGACGAGGAGTGGGGAGAGGGAGGTGGTGATTTTTACGACGATGCAGCAGAATACAACAACGACAATTTTGAAGATGGCGGTGACCAAAACGAAGAGATGGAGCAAAAAGCCCCGAACGACGAAGATGCGCCTGATTTGTGGTTCATCTGCGACGAATGTAAAATCGCGATATTACCAGGCAAGAACTACTACGAGTCGCCACAGAAGCAGGACTTCACGCTGTGTCAGAAGTGCTTCAAAGCCCCAGCGAAAAAGCGGAAGGAAAAGTACACGAGAAAAAAGGTTCCAGCACACTGCCAACCGCCGGAAAATTGGGAGGAGCTGGTGAACCAGCAGGGTGACGAGGAGGGGAATGCAGGCGACAATGAGGAAAGACAGCAGGCACTACAAGTGGAACAGCTTGAAGATGATCCTGACGACATTTACAAGATTCGCGACTTTGGGCCTCTGAAGTTCCAGTATAGCACGGTGAAAGCCGATTCCTTCAATTTGACGACGGAGGAAATTCTCTCAAAGTCTGACAAGGAGCTAAACAAGAAGGCGTCCCTGAGAAAGCTAACCAGGCCGTACTTCGATACCTCGACCTATCGCGACGAGCGCACGGACCGCTACTTGGAGATGAAGAAGGAGATGAAGCAGCAGAAGCGCAAGAAGCAACACAAGTCCGGCGTGGAAAGAGCGCGTTTGGACGCATACAAGGTGAAAAATCCGGTGTTGGTCAAGAAAAACAAGAGCTGAGCGCTTGTTTCGAAGAATCATTCTGTCGCGCGACGGCAGTAAGAATCTTCCAGGATTATGTACGGACAAAACGACATCATTTTCGCATATGCAAAGTTATCTGGCAAAGAAAGTCAAAAGCAAAACTAACGCACCTTGGAGCACAGTGCGACGTAAGCACTGAATTTCGTTGCATCTGCATTCACAGCGCTGTTCTCTGGTACTTACTGTTTGGTTGCATCCAAGCAATGGCGTGCACATGTAAAAGCAAGTGTCTGGACGTCTAGGCTTCGGTGGAAATGGAAAGAGAAGAATCGCATTATATATACGATCATTGTGTATTCGTCAGTGCTCCGGGTGAAGTCGTCGATCGGATTGTTCGCAGAAGAATCATTCAGAATAGATCTGGCCGTTTTTTTTTTTTCAAACTCGGATAAGATTGATAAGGACTTACTGCTTCTGCTGCTACTGCAATGTTGTGAGCAAGACGTACCAAGCACTATACTTCACCTAAAGTCTCATGAAGCGTACACTGACCGGGGCTTCCAGCGACGGCGGTCGCGGACTAGGAGTCCGCCAAGTGCCGCTCTCTACCCTCTCCTTAGTTGTTGGCCAGGCGGTGACGTATTTGCTTCAGCAAGTGAACGAAACGTCGGAACTGGAGCGGCGTCTGCAGGCCATGGGAAGAAGAGTCGGCTTCCGGATATCACAGGAAAAAAGTGCTGTTACAGTTACACATTGTGTTGCAGGCCAAGCAAGACAGACAAGCTCTGTCATGCCGGATATGCATAGGAGCCTCGTTTCGTAGGTGTTTTCCCGTAGGATTTCTGCATTACAAGTTTTCTCTCTCATGCAGAGAAATTTGTGTTGCTGAATTGACTACAAATGTGTAACTGTAACACTTTTTTCGTGGGATACCGGACTTTCGATCTCTACTGTTTGCGGTTCGGGGTGCAGAAGCGGGAGCTGCGGATCGTCCCGTTTTTGCAGTTTGTCGCGGACAAGATATGGCGAAGCTGGTTCGGCCATGCGGCGGAGGTGTTAAAGGGCGAAAATGAATACCAGCTGGCAGACATCAACAAAAACGTGTTCCATTCCGCAGTTTCCACGACCGAATGCAATCTCGGCAGCTACGTCGCAGGGATGGTGGAAGGGCTTTTACTCGTGGCCGGGTTTTCCAACCAAACAACTTTTGTGCGGGTCACTGCGCATCACCACTACCCCCAGGCACAGCCTGGGGCCGCATTGCCTTTAGGGCCGAATGTGCAGCGTGGCCTCATCTTGGGCATCGAGTTAATGCCGAGGAGTGACGGATAAGCTTAATACCGCAGTGCAGATCTGTTTGGTGGGCGATGCTTTTTTCGTTCACATTGGCATCAGTTTTTTTCTTTGTGTTTCCATCGTTGATGTTCCAACGCGCAAGGCTACCATACATAGTGAATTTTATCATTGTTCTTGTCGATCTCGCATCCGCATCCCTTTACCTTTTCCTTTAGAGGATCAATATGAAATTCAGTGAGAGTTGATCAGGCGATCCGTAGCAGAAAACAACAGATTGATACCTGTTTTGTTCAACTCAAACTTAGTATACATGTTTTTCAACTTTGTTCAGAGCAGCACTTTTTGATGTTGCAGCGAGGCACTTGTTTGAGACAATTCCATTGCTGATGACGATGAGTACTTTGTTGAACTGAAGATGTAACTCATCTTATCTTCAATGTTTCTGTTTTAGTAGATCCACGTAAAAAAAATGGCTGGCCAAGCGGACAAGAAGCGGGCAAAGAATGCGGCAGAGTCCATCGTGTACTACCAGGGGTCCTTTGCGGTCTGCACGCTCCTCTACCTGATTGCTGCGCTGTTCCTCACGGAGGCCGGCATATGGGGCTTCGGGTTCTGGTCGCTGCTTGAAGTCGGATTTTTTCTCACCGTCTCCTACCTCACCTTCCGCGGGATCGAGTCCGGCCTGCACATCGGCGCCGACTTTAGCATCTACCAGGATATCTACATAATAAACCTCTTCGTGCAGCTCGGAGTAGCCTACGTGTCAAGGTGGTTCTGGGCAGTCTACCTACTCGTACCAGGATACGCGGCCTACAAGCTCTGGGACTTCATAAAAGGATGGGTATAGAAGCAATAGCACCTAGTGTTTTGTTTGTGTTTCCTGTACTTGCGCTTTTTCTATTGGCATTGCCATGAGTGAGTTTCTAGTTTTCGCATTGCGTAATCAGTGTGCGCGTTCGGCTCTTGTTTCCGAATGACATAGGAACGAAGCTGCCCAAAAATAGAAGTGGCGATGTACTATGTCCAATTACAACATGACAGTGTTTGGCACCCCGAGGACCAGAAGACCCAAACGGTGGTAAATCGAAGACACAGCAGAAACGTGAAGCACGAGCAAACAAACCCCAGTACAAAGTTATGCGCGGATAGGATACAATTACAACTACGATAATGATTATCCGAAGCGCAGCTACGGCACAAAGATTCCGACAACGACAGAAGCAAAAGCAATGAAATCAGGAGCGCGCCAGTGGCTTTGTTGCTGCAGCAACGGTCATGGGATAATCTCTCGATCGATGTCGATGTCGTTCATCAACAGTGTTCTGCTCATGTCTCGTCGAGTCTTACTCTCTTTCTGCATGAAGCTGTTTTCTGGCCGTTTTCCCTTCAACGCTTTTTGCACTACTTTTTGATATAAGTGATCCGTTACAGTCCTCCCTTTTTCGATCATCGTCCCCGAACAAAAGTTCTCCATGCATTCATAGAAAGCGATCTCTTTTTTTGTTTTCGTGATTGTCTTTTTCGTCATTTCTTCAGCCTGGCATGACGATGATCATTCTCCGAAAGAAATTGCACTGAAAAGCTTGTGCCTCATCTTCATGTCTTCTAATGTGTGTAGAAGATGATGAGAACTGAGTCAGTGATTTGATATCACAACCATTTCTAGTTCTATCTTCAAACCTAACGAATCCAGCGCCCTACTGATGGTTTCCGCCGCAGCAAAGGCGAGGGCACGGCGTAAAATCGTGCGTGCGCGGGGTGCGAACAAGCACGACGAATCCGAGGAACGAGCCAAGAAAAACGAGGAAGGTCCGCCCAGACATACAGATGAGGACGCATGCTCAACCGCAGCCGAGTCGTCCGTTGCCGGATCTCCTCCGGAAACCCCATTAAAGGACAAGAGCACCGCAATTAGCTGTACCAATGCTGCTCCTGCTCCTGCCACAACAACCGCAACCTCGGCTTCGCAACCAATAGAAAAATCAAAAGAAGAAGAAGAGAAATCTGCGTCAGAAAAAGCATCAAAAAGTAGCACAGAACCGCTGACATCAGCCGCCACGAGCACAAAAGGTCATCAAGGACGTCGAGACACGGTCTCGCCATCAGGCACAGCTTCCCTCTCATCTTCAGCGATCTCAGGTACAACTTTGAAAGAAAAAACGAATGCACCCGCCGTGAAGAGGACCCCGAAGGTAGAGATACCAGCCCCGCCGCCGCCGGAGCAAGAAAACCCGACGAGCGCAGCTTCTACGAAGCCCACCGCGCCCGGCTTCTTCTCCCCAACGAGGAAGACTTCAACCTCACCAAAAAAGACCGCAACGAAAAAGGACTCGCCCGCTCGAGTAGGTACTGGATTGCTAGAATTTCAGTTACCCTCCTCTACGGAAAAGGAAAACCCAGGAAGTACAACGCGCACCGCGCTGCCGTTCGCAGGCGGGACCTTGTTGTATCCCGGCCAAACAAAGGAACACGGGGACTCGCAGAATAAACATGGTTCATCTGCGACGAATCCCGAAAATTCCACTGTAAAAGCGGATGTTGAAGATTCGAACGCCAAGCCCGAAGGAACTGACCAACAGAGTTGTAAACAAAAATCGTTCTGGGAAAGATGCATTAACACCCTTACCGGATGCAACACGAGCACTGCTGCCCCTGCTCGAGAACAGTCCTCGTTGAAAACTGCTTCTGCAACCTCGCCGACTCAGGTTGCACAGCGATCATTCGCAGGATTTTCCTCCAACCAGGCCAGAACAAACACACCTACCGTGACTACAACCGGGCAAGGGCAAGACCAGATCGATTCCGAGGCTCTGATGCGCACGCTGGCAATCATGGGGAACCGCGGAAGTGCGTCGTGCCTGGGCACAGACGATGCCGGGGTCGTCGTGAAGCAACCTGGATCTTCTGGGAGGAGAGGTGCAGGTCGACCGCCGTCGAGGATGTTTCCCGGGGAAGAGTATGACGACGAGTATGGTTACCCCGGTCCGCCCTACGACTTCGATTTCCCAGGTAAGGAAAGACAATTAGGTTATTTCTTGTGAAGTTCCTTGTGTTTAACTGTGATTGGTGATAGTGATAGCCATTTTGGGTCTTTCTCTTTCAAAGCAGTGCTTGTTTCCATATTCCATTCCAGATGAATACGACGGGGAGTCCGACGATTTTTTTGACGACCAAGAAGCCATGTTTTACGAAGATTTTCGGAACGAGCACTTCTACGACGACGACTTTGGTGGCGGCTTTGGGGAACAACCACATTACGGCCAACCTCCAGACCCGGAGCGGGAAGCGGAGGCGCTGGAGAACCTGTTAAGACTGATCGAACAGCAGCGGGTAAAGGCAGAGCAGGAGGAAAATAACGTGGCTGCAGGCTCGGGAAAATTAAACCTGAAGAAACCGAGCCTGGACGAAGAAGTGGGGTTTCAGTACACTGGTACTACGAAAACCGGGGCAAATACAGCAAGTTATGGCGCGGCAAGTAGAACGGGAGCCAAAAGCACGACAACCCCCGTCGATCAGGCCGGCGGCAATAAAGCTCCATCCAAGGAAGCAAACAACTCGAAAGGCAGCAAGAAGCAGACGGACAACGACGCGATGCTGCAGCAGCTGTTGGACACGCTTTCGAAGCAGCAGCAGCAAGAATTTCTCGACAACGAAGATATGGACGACCACGACCTTGGGTATGATCATGACTATGATCCCTATAATTACGGGCGTTTTGGAGGAAGAAACGATGATCCGTACTTTCTCGATGATCCGTACTTCCTGGACGATTACGATCCCTTCGATATGGATGACTATGACCCGATGGCTGACGATCGACCGCTGGACATGGACTTGCTTCGAAGACACGCTTTTGACCTTTTGTGCGAAAGGGTTTTGCAACGTACTTCTTGAAGGATTTTTTTGGTTTCATCATAGAAGAGTTGTTTTTTTTGCTGCGTTTTCATCCTGCCTTGTTGTCCTGTTGAAAACTTCGCGCACGACACATCACAGATCAAACTGCGTCTTTCGAACCTCTTTTGCTGCTCCTGGAGGCTGAGACGATTATCCAAGGGTACCATTTTATGGAGAGAAAAAAGTTTGTCACAGTCATTCCCTTGAAGGTTTTGCATTACAAATTTTTTTAGCATCACAGCTAGCCCTTGTATTGCAGAAACACTAGGAAAATCCCTTATGAAATGTGGCTGTGATGCGTTTTTACGCATGACAGAAAATTTTGTATTGCGAAAATGCGCTTGAGTGATCGTGACGAACTTTTTTTCTTTGATACATTTTGAAGACACGTTGCTCCTGGTCCTCGCGTGCCGACACTGCTTAGAGGTTTGGGAGAAACCAGTGCTACCGTCAAAGGAGAATTTGGTATTTTTTGTCAACTTTTTCTTTTGGCGCGCGAAGCTGCATGCTTGAGTATCTACGTATGCGCAGAGGACATTGCGATAGCAATTCATCTCCAAATGAGGCGCAAAGAAACTTGAACTTCTCACTAAAAAACTTTTCAGGCCGCTCGATGCACCGCATTGCAGATGATTTGTGCTTACCAGCTGGGCGATCGCGACCAGGCAGTGGAGCTAAGTAAAGAGGAACTGCCAATGGAGCACCTGAGTCCAGCACTGAAAGAACGATACGAAGGGACAAAAGAGGTGTTGGCCTTCATGCCCCAGTTTCTGGAACTCTGCGACCAGATGGCGAAAGAGGAGAAGGAAAATCGGGCGTCCGGCGCGAAAGGCACAAAAGGAATCGGACGAGGCGGAGGTCCTCTGAGTGGCGGGAACAAGAAGAAAACAGTCGGTAACAAAAAAGCCGGAGCGAAGAAAAACTCTATCGATACAACAGGAGCTGGTGACCAGAAGCAGGATAGTACCGTTTCGGGGGGACCAAGCGCTGTAACGGGGGAAAGTACGGCTGCTACTGGTCGGAGTAAGGTGAAGAACACAGCACTGCTGAACAAAAAGAAGACAGCGGTCGGGGGAAAAAAGACAACCGGGAGCCGACGGGTGTGAGCTGAGAAGGCATGAATTTGATGAAAGTTGTGTGTACACGATTCTGGTTTTATTTTTCCTCCATAGGTGAGACCGGCCTAAAAATATAGAGACTTTCTTGAACAAATCTGACGATGAGACTACTACCTCAATGAACCTCTACAACGTACCAGAATCGTTCTTTGTTTAGTTTTGCTTTGGGCAATTCCAATTGACGTTGGATAGTTTTGTATGAATTGATGCAGCTTTTCTGCGTTCCTGGAAAAAATGAACCAATGTTGAATCTGCAGTTGTTGACTTTGTAGCCTGAGAGCCCCCAAATGTGAAACTGCGGCCCGTGATGTGTTTCAAAATCCAAAGTCGATCGAGAAAAACGAACATCAATTCAGATCAGAAAATGAAAATGTGCTTCGAGTGCTTACGCCAAGAGAAAACTGGATCCCGCTCTCGCAACAAATGAAGATGAGTACTGATATGCCAATCGTATGAAGTCGGTTTTTATCACATCGACCAATTCATGCAAATAGTTCTTACCCTACCTCCCCGACCAGCGATTCGAAGAAAAACTAAGGTTTGGAAATAAAACTACAAAGTACACAGAACTTGAATTTGATTCTCGACCCGCAATAGCAGATAGTTAGTTTCTTCCCCCAGTGAGTCATTTTAAGTTTAAGTCAGTGTTGTTTGTCTACTACTCATTCATCCTACCCCCGAGAAATTATAAAGCAGCCATGCCGCCGCAAAAGAAGGACAAGAAGAAGGGCATGTCCCGGGCGAAGCAGGTCTCTTCCTTCGAGGCCGTGAAGGCCCGGAACCGGGGCGAGGACCCGTACGCACCGAAGGACGCGGAGAAGGACGCGGGTGAGTCCAGTTCCAGCGACGAGGAAGAGGGTGAGGACGATCCGAAGGTGTTCAAAAAGGAGAAGGGCGCCACCCTGGCGGATCTGATGGACCGCCAGACGCTGAACGGGGCGCTCAACAACGAGGACGAGGCGTTCGCGGACGGTCCCAGTCGCAAGCAGAGAGAGGAAATCGAGAAGGAAAAGAAGCGCAGAGCGTACTATACAACTGTTGTGTTTTTCTTTTTTGATGTTCTTTTTAACGAAGTGATCATAGTCTCAGTTCGGAGGTAGTCTACCTGCTAGGAAAATACATGAGAATGTGGCCTCCAGGCTCGTGAACCAAAAGAAGTCAAATCACCGTCATCTCCATCTCCTGCTTCAAAAAAATCAAACAGCTACGAGAAGCTGCACCGCGAAGGCAAGACCGACGAGGCGAAGGCAGATCTTGCCCGGTTAGCCGAGATCAAGAAGCGGCGGGAGGCGGCCGCGAAGGAAAGGGAAGAGAAGCTGAAGGCAGAGGAGGCGAAGAAGGCTCCCGAGCGGGGAGGTAATTCCGCCTACGTGGACGCCTTGGGCGGCGAGAAATCGCGCAAACTCCCGGGATCGCGAAAGAAGGACGAGTGCGGCGACATGCTGTCCGCGTACCACACGACGAAAAAGGTGGAGGAAGTCGACCCCGCGACAGCTTTGGCCGGAAGCATCGAAGCCTGCCGACTGGAGGAAGATGATTTCATGTAAAAAGTGATATAAACATCAAAGCGACTCTGTTGAACAATGAATTGGCACTGCTACGCTGCCACAGTAGTGATTCATCGGACACGGGACAACTTGAAGATGATGCGACGAGTTGTCTCCAACTGCAACTACCCTTCCAAGTTGCCTTGGTAGATGAAATCAACGCTGCACGAAATCAGGTCACGAAAACCGGTGGACTAGGCAACTGCTGTGCTGGTACAGAAAGTGCCGGAAGACCAGTTGGAGCGGAAGCACTTCTTTTGCGTGCTGACTGTGTTCTGCGTCACAAGTTCTCTGTTGTTGGCTTCTTGCTGCCGTTCCCGTTGGAATTCGTCATGAATAGATAGTGACGCTAGGCTGGGCATGGATTTAATAAATGCTACATCTCAACATCGTCATCATGATGCATACGATTCACATACGAATTTCTTCCGTTTCCCATTCGCGACTCGCAGTGCAATTCTTCTCCACGACGAGATCGCGATCCCAGCAAGAGAAGTCAGTTCAGGAACCACGGTGTTCCTATGTATCACTACTCCTTTTGTGAATCTCTAGTCGCACAAACAAACCCTCATCGTGGCTCAGCAGCACAGCTAAGATAACTACATTCATAGGAAGGTGTACTTAGCGATAAGCTGAGGAGTATCGACACCATGTCGTCTTTTCGAGCTTCGTTTACTTTTGAAAATGGAACCACATATGACGGTGAATGGAAGGATGGCAAAATGCATGGGAGAGGAACTTCCGTTTCTGCGGACGGCGGTATGAAGTATGAAGGCCAGTGGGAGTTCAACCTTCCGCACGGGGAAGGCATTTTGACGGGCGTGGAGGAATACCGTGGTCAGTTTCTCGTAGGGAAAAGGCACGGCGAAGCGGTTTGGATCCGCGCGGGGGGCGACAGATACTACGGCCAGGTTAAGAACGACATGTATCACGGTGAAGGAATGGCGTACTGGCCGAACGGCGAACAGTACAACGGCCAGTGGAAAGAAGGCAAAAAAAAAGGCGAAGGAACTCTGATCGAGGCCGACGGGGCGGAGTATGAAGGCCAGTTTATTGGCGATGAATTCCACGGGATAGGGACCTACCTCTACAGAGACGGAACCCGACTCGAGGGCCAGTGGGATTCGGGAGGTCTGCATGGCGAGGGCATCCACGTTACCCCAGACGGCTCGAAGTACAAAGGCCAGTGGGAGAACGGATCCGAACACGGAGAAGGGATGTTCACGCATTCGAACGGCGCACAGTACCACGGTCAGTTCAAGGAGGGAAAGCGCCACGGCCACGGGGTGTACAATAATCCCGACGGAGAGAGGTACGAAGGCCAGTGGCAGGACGGCAGCGAGCACGGTGAGGGGGTCCAGACCCTTGCAGGCGGAGCAAAGTACGAAGGCCAATTGCAGGACGGCAACGCGCACGGGGAGGGGGTCCAGACCTTTCCCGACGGAGAAAAGTACGAAGGCCAGTGGCGGGACGGCGCGAGACACGGCGACGGGGCCTGCACCTATAAAAACGGAATAAAGTACAAGTGCCAATGGTCGGAGGACGATATAAACGGCGAGGGGGCTTGGACCTATCCAGGCGAGACCACGTACCAGGGCCAGTGGAAGAAAAACAAGTGGCACGGCCAGGGGGCTTATACCTGTGAGGACGGAAGCACGTACAGTGGGCAGTTCCATGAGGCCCAGCTCAGCGGGGCGGGGTCGCTCGTCTTTGCCAACGGAGACAGGTACGAGGGCCAATTTGAAGGCGGTCTAGAGCACGGCCAAGGGACGCGGTACTTCCACAAAACCGGAGACCAATACGACGGCCAGTGGGAGCAGGGCAAGGGCCACGGCGCCGGAACATACACGACATCATGCGGAACAAGGTACGCAGCTGAATGGGATCGCGGGGTGGAGCTGCCTGGCTCGCGCAAAGAGCTGCCGAGGGTGAACAAACGCGCGCAGCCGGTTGGCTCTGCTGATGTCGAGAACGATGGTTGCGACACTAAAAAAAGATGATCTGAGCCGCACTGGGTAGGGGTAGGGCTTTCACAGAGTTTTGGATTTTTCATCTCGGATTCCACTCATTTGCTGTCCCCACTTTCTGACTGTGACTCGAACTCGATGATGTCGACGTCAATTGATATCCCAGCTACAGACGTACGGAAGTAGACCATAACCAAAAGCAAAGAGATCCGAACACCCCCCTGCTCTCGACAACTTCATCAAAGTCGAGGAGTGAGCTGCTTTCGTTGTCTGCTCTGCCCATCTTTTCTCATTCGAGTTTCTTGTGCATCGATATACAATGAATATGTCTATAGATTGTCGTTCTCGTTTCAGAGTCATAGTAGCGAGCGCATTTTCGAATTCGTTTTCCATGCTTAATCAGTGCCATTCTTTGCCCATTTTTTGCGAAAGTGCATATGAGTGGTATGTTTTTCGCAGACGAACTGCTTTTTCGGCTTCCTCCGTCGTTTCCATCGCGGATCGTTTGTCTCGAGTGGAGTTTTTCTGAGGGAACTCGAATTGGGTTCAAATAGCAATCGAGGGACGCAAAAGGCAAGACTGATACGAGAGATTCGAGTGCGAAGAAAATACGACACGACAACTTGTTTTTTTTTGATATGGGCACAAAATCAAATTTATGTTTTGGTCGTTCGCACACGTACCTACCGAAAAGTAAAACTTGCCACTTTCCCCATTCATAGCGAGGTCTTTCTCAAAAATAGTGCCTACTTCCCTTCAGGCTGAAGTGTGTTACCCAACCCTGTGGGGCACGCTCCTAAGTAAAAAGAAAGCAGTTACTTGCAGCAAGAAATTTCATGCGCAAACCGCGGTCGACGCCGAAGCGAACGAGAACCTTGCTCATCTTCTCCACTTCCAGGAACAATTGAGCAAGCGCCTACTTCTCATAGCCAATAGAAGACCAAGGCGAAGTCACAACGTCTTGAACAAACAAAGCGCGTCATCCGCTGTTTTCAAGCCCGGACTTGCGACACGGTCATCATGAACCCATTAGATGTTCAGGGGCAATGCAGAGAGGAAGACGCTGATGGAGATCACTATCGTGGCCAATGCAAGGGGGGCTGCCCGCACGGGAAAGGAACTTGTGTTTTTGTTTGTGGCGGGAAGTACGAGGGCCAGTGGGCGTTGGGCACAATGCATGGCGAAGGGGTTTGGACCTTCGCATCTGGAGAAACGTATCATGGCCAGTTTCTTGATGGGCAGATTCATGGTGAAGGGATGCGGTACTCGTCGAACGGGGAACAGTACAACGGCCAATGGGCGAGCGGAAAACGGCATGGCAAGGGGACCCTCATCATCAAGGACGACGTGACGGACATGGAGTACGAAGGCCAGTTCGTTGGAGGAGAATTCCACGGGGAAGGAATCATGTTTGGCGATGACGGGACCCGTTGGGAGGGCCAGTGGGCATCCGGCGTGATGGAAGGAGACGGGGCCGTCACCGATCCGGACGGAGATGTATTCCAAGGCCAGTGGAGGAATGGAAAGCCACACGGCGAGGGGACGCGAACGTGTCCGGACGGCGAACATTACAATGGCCAGTGGGAAAACGGCGAAAGAACCGGCGAGGGGACTCTGATCGCGCCCGACGGGGCGAAATACGAAGGCGAGTTCGACAGCGATACCTTCCACGGTAGAGGGACCTACCTCTACGCAGACGGGACCCGACTCGAGGGCTGGTGGGATTCGGGATGTCTGAATGGCGAAGGAGTCCGCGTTACTCCAGACGGCTGGAAATACGAAGGCCAGTTTGAGAACGGATCCGAACACAGATTAGGAACCCAAACGTCTCCGGACGGCGCACAGTACCGCGGTCGGTTCCGCGAGGGAAACCGCCATGGCGCCGGGGTTTACACTCGTCCCGGCGGGGAGAAGTACGAAGGCCAATGGCAGGACGGCAGCAAGCACGGCAAAGGTGTCGAGACCTTCCCAAATGGCAAAAAATACGAAGGTCAGTGGCAGGACGGCGTCAGGCATGGTAAAGGAGTCGAGACCTTTCGGGGTGGAGAAAAATACGAAGGCCAGTGGCGGGACGGCGCGAGGCACGGTGAAGGAGTCGAGACCTTTCCTGACGGAGAAGAATACGAAGGTCAATGGCAGGACGGCATCAGGCACGGTGAAGGAGTCGAGACCTTTCCAAACGGAGAAAAATATGAAGGCCAGTTGCGGGACGGCACGAGACACGGCGACGGGGTGTACACAAGTCCCGACGGGGAGAGGTACGAAGGCCAGTGGCAGGACGGCCACGCGCACGGTGAGGGGGTCCAGACCTTTCCAGACGGGGAAAAATATGAAGGCCAGTGGCGGGAAGGCGAGAGACACGGTGGCGGGGCTATAACCTGTCCAGGCTGGGCTACGTACGAGGGCCAGTGGAAGAAAAACGAGATGCACGGCCAGGGGACTCTTACGACCGGTGAAAACGGATATACGTACACTGGGCAGTTCCACGAGGACGACTTCAGCGGCGCGGGGTCGCTCGCCTTTGCCAACGGAGACAGGTACGAGGGCCAGTGGGAAGGCGGTCTAGAGCACGGCCAGGGGACGTTCTACTTTCACGAAACCGGAGACCGGTACGACGGCCAGTGGGAGCAGGGCAACCGCCACGGCGCCGGAACATACACGACATCCTGCGGAACAAGGTACGCAGCTGAATGGAAGCGGGGAGTGGAGCTGCCTGGCTCGCGCAAAGAACTGCCGAAACTGAACAAACGCGCGCAGCCGGTTGGCTCTGCTGATGTCGAGGGCGACGGTGGCGAGGCCAAACGCGTGCTGGGCCGATTTGAGTAGAACTCTTTCTGACCTTTTGATCTTTCTCGTATTCCTTGATGTTTACAAGCACCTTATGTTTAAATGATAATTTTAGTTTTTACTTTGGCTCAGAATCGAACAGATTCAAATCATCCAAGGCTTAGAATCGAACCGATTCAAATCTTCAGTGTTACTTTGGCTGTTCCGAGTCCGACATTCACTCCTCGGAAAGTGACTTTGATTCTACAATCTCCGAGCTAGCGGTGTCCCGAAGCAAGGGCACGATACGCACGCAATTTTGTTTGTCGAACGAATATGACCGTTCCCCTTTGTCATTCACGTTTTCACTTTGTCGGAATCGTGGTGATGGTGTTTGAAATTGCACGTTGCACCCGGTGATGGTGAGCCATCGGATGCTTTTGATTGTGTATCTAATGGAATCACAGTTGCAGAGGATGAGGATGTTGCACCACATTCATAAAGAAGAGAGAAGAAACAGATCAAAATGGATCACGACAGTTACCGCATGCGGTTCTTTTGGTTGGAAGAATCAAAGTTCAGCTCTGGTGTACAGATCAAAACATAGAAGCGTAAATCCGACCCTGACCGATCTTTTGAATAAATAGAAGCGGAAAAAATTCCGTGCCCGCCTGATCGTGCGGTCCTCATTTCACGGATCCGCATCGCTTCAACTACATCTTCTTCATTTGTGGCGATCTCCACTTCGGAATAAAACGAACACGAAATCGATTGCAGCCTAGTAAAGAACACATCACGACCGTCTTACTCTTCAGGTGGCATATGATTTTTCGTGGTGTTTGTTCCAACGGCATCCCTTTGATTTCGCAGCCTCGCTCGCAGCAGTTTTACTGTAAGCGTCTAACTTTATCATTCTCCCGAGTTATTCTTTTTCTAGCAAAGTCTCCTATTTTTCCCTACAGACGTGCATTTTCATCGACCTACCCTCGACAAAAACACCACCCAATTCCACTTTCCACAAAAATGGCGACCTCCACCTCGAAGGACCAGCTGTTGGCGGTTTTCAAGACCCTGGACTTGAAATCGACCAAGACCATCCAACACGAAGCCTGTCCCACCTGCGAGGTGCACACCGAGCAGTTGAAGTCCGCGAAAGAAGAGAAAACGTTTGGCGAGGAAAGTTCCATCGTCCAGGCGAAAAACCTGTTCTTCAAGGTGCCGAGCAAGGGCGGCCCGCTGAAGGACAAACTCTTCCTCGTCTGCGTCGCAGTCGACACCGAGGTGGATAACAAGAAGCTCTCCGCCCGATTGGGCATCAAGGCGTCCGCGCCCCTCCGCCTGGCCGCGGAGAACATTTTCGATGAGGTTCTGCAGATCCCCCGGGGCAGCGTGAACCCGTTTGTCATGATGAACGAGAGCGCCAAGGAGGTCACGTTGTTGCTGGACGAGAAATTCAAGCAGAAAACCTGTCTGTTCCACCCCATGCAGAACGACTTCACGACCGGCATCACTTCGGACGAACTGGTAACATTTCTCACCCACGTGGGCGCGGCGGGCCGGTTTCTGTTCGTCGATTTCACGTCCGAAGAGGCGATCTCGCTGGACCAGCAGGCCGACGGAATGACCGCGAAGTCGGAGCCGAAGCAGAAAGAGGTGAAGGAGGTGAAGGCTGCGCCGGCGAAAGAACCGAAGGAGAAAAAGGTGCAGATCCAATTCGCCGAGGACCACTTGTTCACGCGGAAGCCGGTTCAGGACACCATGTTCGCGCAGGCTTTCGAAAAGTACACCCAGGCGCAGGTTCGCGTGTAAGTGGTGGATTTTTTCGGTGAGTCACAGAGGAGTTTGTTGAACAGTGGGAGTCATGAGACCCGATATAGCACAACGTTGCCGCCGTCGCTATCATCCTCAATTGCAACCTAGATGGGAGCCATGAAAATGAATGTTGCAGCTTGTTGAACAATTGCGATTGACTTGCTGGGAAGAGATTTTTGGAAAAAAGCAAGTAGCGCTTCTCTTCAGTCTTATCATCGCCGCGAAAGAGGGGTTTGCAGTGTAGCCATATCCACAATGAAAACTAGACTTTCACCTTTGCGAAGCAAATGCACCTTTACGCGCACCATTGATTTCATAACTTTGGCACTAACTCACTGGCGGCGCGCAGTGGTGAGAATAATGTATGTCGCTTCACTCCCGCCAGTGTTCATCTTCGCTCCTTTCGATGTCCTGCTTTTGCAGCACGAAGCCAAGGCCAACGGAAAAAGGGTGTTGTCCGGCTTAAGTTCTTTCACATGCAGATCCTAGCAATAGATCCTAGCTCAATGATCCGGTGGCGGTCATTGTTGATGTGGTTTGTTTCGAAAAGTACACCCAGGCGCAGGTTCGCGTGTAAGTGGTGGATTTTTTCGGTGAGTCACAGAGGAGTTTGTTGAACAGTGGGAGTCATGAGACCCGATATAGCACAACGTTGCCGCCGTCGCTATCATCCTCAATTGCAACCTAGATGGGAGCCATGAAAATGAATGTTGCAGCTTGTTGAACAATTGCGATTGACTTGCTGGGAAGAGATTTTTGGAAAAAAGCAAGTAGCGCTTCTCTTCAGTCTTATCATCGCCGCGAAAGAGGGGTTTGCAGTGTAGCCATATCCACAATGAAAACTAGACTTTCACCTTTGCGAAGCAAATGCACCTTTACGCGCACCATTGATTTCATAACTTTGGCACTAACTCACTGGCGGCGCGCAGTGGTGAGAATAATGTATGTCGCTTCACTCCCGCCAGTGTTCATCTTCGCTCCTTTCGATGTCCTGCTTTTGCAGCACGAAGCCAAGGCCAACGGAAAAAGGGTGTTGTCCGGCTTAAGTTCTTTCACATGCAGATCCTAGCAATAGATCCTAGCTCAATGATCCGGTGGCGGTCATTGTTGATGTGGTTTGTTTTTTTTGTTCGTGTCGCGAAAGAGTCGTACTTCTCGTGGCCCTTCGCCTTCAAGCCATTTATATGTCTTTCCCAAGCCAGTCCTTCTCCTTATTTGTGTTTTGAATTTCTGTGAGCTCAAATATGTGTTTGAATTTTATTGCTAATGTTTGCGACAAATCTGCTCTTTAGCTTTTCAGCCCTGACGGCAAACTTTATGCGCACACCTTAGTGCTTGCTCTATCCTCCAGCTTTTCCACCAAGCAACATAAAAAGCATGTCGTCGCGTAGCAAGCAGCTGGCAGTGGCGCAGCTGGTCGTTGCTCGGTCCTCCAGCAGCTCTTCGTCGTCGTCCTCGGGTGCGGTGTCATCCAGTGCAGCTTCGATAAAGCGCAAGCCAAATTTCATCCGCATACCCCACCAACTCGACCCGTATGGGAGGACGCATCTGCTCATGGAGAGACAAGGTAGGCCCGGACGAACAGAGTTTGACTATAGAGGATGATATGCAGCCTATGCAGCTGCTTGATGATGTTGCAATTGCAATTTCTCCGTCTCGTCGGTTTTCATCTTCAAATGCGTTGTAGCTGCAGCGATATTACGACCATGAAGAGCTAAAGCATCTTTCTGAGTTTCCATTTGAATATACACTACAACAGCCCGTCAAGAGTTCGTCGCTCACGTGAAAGCGATGCAGGACTACAACGCGCTCCCCGCGTATCGTGAGAAAAAAGTGTTACAGTTACACATTGTGTTGCAGGACCGCAAGACAGACAACCTTTCTCATGCAGGAAATGCTTGGGAGCCTCGTTGTCGTTTCCTTCCTGTTTTCCCTTATGATCTTTGCATTATCTGCCACACAGAGAAAATTTGTGATGCAGAAACTCCAACAAATGTGTAACTGTAAACACTTTTTTCTCTCCATACCGCGGTTCTTGGGCGTCGGTCGCTGAACGAGCAGTTCGCCCGGCTAGAGGATTTCGACAGTGCGCTGGACGACTACGACGACCTGTTTCAGGGCGACTACGACTTAAATCTGAAAAACAATCGACCAGACCGAGCCGGGCCGGGATCTGCCGGTCGTGTATCCTCCTCCAGTTCGGGAAGAACGTCGCGAGCCGACGCATCTGGGCGCGAGGAACCGCCCGAAAAAGAAGAGAGAGGCGTTCGTCCTGTAGTAGCCTCAACAAACTCGAGCGCCGATTTGGTTGTACCACAATCGGGTGACAGTCCGACCGAGGAGCTGGCGGAACAGAACGACAGCGAAAAAATTCGTTCCGGTCAAGACGCGCCGACAGCACGCGGTGTTGCAGCTGCTCGTGGTCCTACCGCTGAGATATTGGCTGTGGTTGAGAAGCAGTTCGGGGGCGCTGTTGCTAGTCCTGACGCTGAGTGGGAGGCGCAAGCTTCCGTTGTGCCAGAAGCAGAGCTGGAGCCTGTGACAGTAGTAGGTGCAATCGAGCCAGCTGACGAGGACCTCAGCACCGGTGTCGTTCCTGTTACGCTTGCTGGCCTCGATATCATTGACGCAGGTGGAGTGACTTCGCTTTTTCTTTGTTTTTAGTCACAACAAGGATCCCCATGAGACAGATTTGATTCACTTCGAAACCCAACGAATTTTTATTTGATTTTGCCGTCCTAGTCCTCGAACCAATGCGATGTTAGTTGATGGTCATGAACACGCAATCAAAATCAGATCCCGTGTCCGAGTACAATGTGGGCCTGCTGGATGAGGACAAGGACGCCGAGTACAACGAGCCGGGTCCCTCGATCCATTGCCGCAAGCACAAGGGGCACTGGCATAAGCGGAGGAGACAGAAAGCAGGCAACCCCAGCACGAAGTGGCGCAGGAAACTGTGCACGCGTGGCGGGCGGATTCATTAAACATTTTTCTTGCGAAAAATAAAGAGACCGACAGAACGAACACACGCGTTTTAATCTTTGTTTCGCGAACATGATGAACCGCCCTTCTCCAATTACGCAGGCCAGACTGACTGGCTTCGCTCCATCTGATTCGAAGCTCTGCTTATCAAAGGCGGAAGCGCTTCCCTGTCTTCGTCTCGATTCGGAAGATCTGGTGATTTGTGCTGTACCGTTTAAGGAGTACCTTTGTCGTCAACAGTGGCTTTGCAGAATAAAAGTTGTTTTTTTCATCCTCGCAATAAGTGTTTCTCTTTCCGCTTTGCTTCGTGAATCAATGCCTTGCCCTTGCGTTGTTTCTTTTGATTGCTCGTCGAAGGTTTTGCTTTTGTTTTATTTGCTGGTGCAGTAAGTTTTTGTTTGTTATTGTTGTGCTGTTTCCTTGGAGGTGGGAATGCTGTAAAGATCGTGTTTGCTAAGTGTCGTCTCCGTTTTCGTCCTTCACGCAGCATTTCGATTGGTCGTATCTAATCCCGATAATGTGAAAATTACGTTGTCCAACGCGGTTTCGTAAAACTCCACGAACCATTGTTTCAAATGACCATGACGTAACTGTCATCATATAATCCTCGCGTAGTGCTTCGCGGGTAGGGGTACGATTCCCTAGTAGTGTAGCAGCACGCGGGGCACCAGGCCACAACATGCAAAACGGCCACCAGGTGGGGCTGCATAACCGGGGCCGCGGGTCATCTTACCGTGGCAACGGGACGAACAAATCCCAGAAGGACAGGCTGAAAGGATGTATGGGTTTGGTGAACCTGGGGAACACGTGCTACATGAACTCCGCGCTGCAGTGCTTGTCACACAGCCAGCCCTTTCAGAAATGGTTCCGGAAATGCTACCAGCACCCGACGCAGGAGGAGATGCGAAAGTGGAACAATCAGAAGAAGCTGGTACAAGAACACGTCGTCAACTGCCAGCGCATGTGTCTTTTTCTCAGTAGTTTGCTGAAGTAAGGTCTTGCAGAGGGTCCTCGTATTTGTGATCCTTCCTGGTCACGTTAGTATTTGAAAATTTCGAAAAAATCAACCTTTCTTCAGGTTCACCAGTTGTATGAAGTGTTTGAAAAAAACTGGGGCGAAACGTTCAACGGGCGGGCTTGCGAGCCGATTGACTTCATTCACACCCTGGGCCACTACAACAACATGTACCAGGGTTCGCAGCAACACGACACGCAGGAATTCCTCCGGACCCTACTGGACTGCGTCCACGAAGAGCTCCTACGCGGGTAGTCTTATCAGTCACATGCCCTCGGCTTCTAGGCGTTTGTTCACGCACGGCCTTTTAGCAGGGAAACGTGGGGAAAGTAAGAAACAAAGAACCAGGTGAATTTCTGTTTGTACGTAGTGCTCCTTCGCTTCTATCTAGCGGATAAGGAAAGAACTGGAAACGTCGAAAAGTCATTTTGAAAAAGAATTCTGAAAAGCCGTGCCATCTTCTTCTTCCCAAGAGAACAGGGCGTGCTTGACTATTCCATACTCTAAAACGCGAATACCACGGAACGCGCTGAAATTTTGCCAAGAAGAGTACAACCACCTAGAGTCGCCGTCCACCTACGCCGTCGCACACGCTGCCGGCCCACCCAGCGGAAGCAAAACCCCACAAAGTTATCGAAACGCGGTATCCTGAGTAAAAACGTACCCACACCATAGTTGTCATGCAACTCTGCATGCTTAAATTGTTTCTCATGCGGAGCCCCATGAGAAGCATTTTCTAATGCGGTTTTGAAATTTGTCATGCTCCAATCAGCGCGAGATACTAGATCTGTAATGCTGCTAAACTAGCTCAAACAGCACTACAATACGCGGACAAACTTGTCATGCCAAACAACCAAAGCTGGCTGATTTGTCTAGCAGATTCCCCATCCTGACTCTGGTGTGGGTACGTTTTTACTCAGGATACGCGGCCGACGACGGGGTGAACCGGTTTCCGTTTTTGCCGCCTATCACAGTGAAAAGTGCCCCCCACCCCTGGAATTGCAAAAATTTGTGATGCGAAGTTTCCACATGAAAACTTTTTGTCATGCATGAAAGGAGTATGAATCTTTCTGATGCAGATTTTAGACGTGTATCGCATCGCTTGCATGACAAGCGCCACTCTTGCTGGGGTCTTTTGCAATACAAATTTTTGCTATTCACGACTGAAAACCTGTGATGCTGATAGATGCAAGAGGGCGAATGTTTCATTTGGAAAGGTTTGCAATACAAATGCTCCCAAGTTCGGGGGTGGGGGCATTTTTGTTTGTAATACCGCCTGCAAGAAAGTCCGCAGATGACTACGAGCAAAACTACGCGCAGGACATTGTCAATTCGCCTTCCAGGAAAAAGGTAGTGATTTAACATGCTGTCACACCTAGATATGATCAGTTTCTTGAAGAAAGCCTAAATGTTTTGCGTTCGTATTTACCACTACATTCAAGATCAACCAAAAATGCCTGCGCAGGCCGTCCCCCTTCATCACCAGCAAGCAATGGCGAGCCGCAGCAGCAGCAAGATTGCGGCAGACACGTCAAATGAAAACGAGCAAGAGAACCTCTACTGCGATTCCTCCATTGTTTCGGAGGTTTTCGGTGGGTCACTGCAGTCCACTATCACCTGCCTGGAATGCGGCAACAAGTCACACACGATCGAACAAATCTTCGATATTTCCGTCCCCATACCGAATGAGCCCCTGCCACCCACGCAGGGCGGCGGCCGAGCCGGGTCGCCGGCGGACCAAGGCGGCAAGCAGGCGAGTCCGCTCACAAACTCCTTCTCCGCGGCTCGGGTCGGGTCTATGCTGCAGAGCTTCGGGAAACAGGTCATGAGCGCGTTTCACGACCGGGGCATCGCGCTCGACGACTGCATTCGGAAGTTTTGCGAGCCGGAGCAGTTGACAGGTAAGAGGTTCTGTAGCGCATTGAGATCTTGTCGAAAAAAGCTGGTGGTCCTCCTGAGTGATGCAGCACTAGTGAGCTTGCAAAAAGTCTCGATTATTGTTTCTTATCGCAAATGAAACCCAAAGGTACGGAGCAATACGACTGCGAGAAATGCAAGAAAAAATCCAACGGGGAGAAGGTGATGTATATCAAGGAGCTGCCAGAGATCCTCGCGATCCATCTGAAGCGGTTTTCCTACAGCAACGGCTGGTTCGGGAACAAAAACACGAAGCCGGTGAGTTTTCCGATACAAGAGCTCTGCATGGCACAACATTTGGACCCTAACCGCAAGCGAGAAGCCTCCAGCCAGAGTGGTGATCGCAAAAACAGCAAGAACAATAACACCAGCGGCGGGAGTAGTAGCTCGACTGCCACCTCTGCCGCTTCTGGCGGCACGAAATACCGACTGATCGGTTTGATTCAGCACTCGGGAAACATGGGCGGCGGGCACTACATAGCGTACTGCCGGCACGCAAAAAGGCCGAACGACTGGCTGGAGTTTGACGACGCGCGCGTCAACATATCAAATGAGGAACAGGTGAAGCACGCGGAGCCGTACGTGCTATTTTACCAGAAGATTTCCCCCGGCGATTTTCACGAGGAGGAGAAGAGAAAGTTGAAAGATTCCTACAAGCAGCTCCAGGACCAGATCATGGATCTGTTGCGTACCTCCGTCGCCGGAGCTTTGTCCGCGACCAACAATCCATCGCTGCAAAGTAGTTCTTTTCACCAGGGCGGCGCGAGCAATCCGGCCGCGCAGCATAGCCCGCTGTTGGTGGGCACGAGCGCGGCAACGTCCTCGACCGCGTCACCGGGTCTGCAGAGCAGCAAGGTAGTCTCCATGCCGCAAATCTACGAGCGGCCGCCACCGGAATTGGGAAAAGTGGTCTTCATAAGCCGACGGTGGTATGTCAGGTGCCGCACCATGTCAGATCCCGGACCCATCGACAACCACCAATTTCTGTCAGCGCACGGCTACGTGGGCTGCTCCAGAGTAGAGGTGATCTGCCAAAAGGTATTGGAACATTTTCGCAACGCCGGACAAAATTGATTTTGCTTCGCAGTGTGTAGCTGCACGAGAAGCGCACTTGGCATATGAAACTTATGTTCTGGATGGTTGGTTATGGTTTGTGGAACTCGATGAAGTTGCAGAAAAAATACATACAACAACACCACTACAGTTTATTCCAATAGCCGAGGAGGTGTACTACGAGCTGCAGCGGCGGTACGGTGGCGGGCCCTGCTTGCGTTCGGTGAAAATTTGCGAAAAATCGATGCAGTGGATTAAAGCCTACAATCAGCGAAAAGTGCAGGAGTTCCAACTCGTCTCGCGGTACGACACGAAAGACACCGGGGACGGCGAATTTTGGTACCTCGTTGACGCGAATTGGGTGCACCAATGGAAGCGGTACGTCAAATCCGACCCCATATCCGACGTGTCCGAGATGATCGCACCACTGAAAGTCACGAACTACAGGTTTTTGCTATATATAAGTGTTTCGCTGATTTCTATTGGTGCTTGACTTGCGGACGATGCATCATGCCCAATTGCGTCTCACATGATTGGCACCATCTGTTTTGTGTTTTCTATTGGAATTACATCTTTATCCAGGTTGTTCGAGCCCCCAACGCAGGAAAACCCTGTCGGCAAGCCGAGGAAGAACTTGAAAGTTAAATTTGACTTTATGGGCGTCAATGCGCGGGTTTGGGCACTGTTTACTCACTTTCATGGCGTGCTGAACCCCGATCCAAACGACCAATCCGCGGTGTGCCGGGTATATTTCGTAGTTCATCTTGATCTTTTCGAAAGAACCAAATCACGATGAAAACAGCGGTCAATGCTTTGTTGCAGACTACAGTAATAGCGTATCGTGCAGAAGGAGTAGAATTAGAGACGAAATTCATGATACATTTGGCGATGCTTTTTCTGCAGGTCGGCCTCGACTGCGACAGTCCCCAGGGGCAGGAAGAAAGCGACCTGCGCCCGGACGAGATATCTGTCCCCGAGGACGAGGCGGTGCAGCGAATGTCGTGGCAGTTTGTGGACGTCTACCACGGCAATTGGGCCGCGTTCAAGCAGTCGAAATACTACCGCGATCCGCCGCCCGTGCCGCCACTGAATCTCGAAGGTGAGATACTGGACCACCAGCCGCACTTGATGAACGGGGCGAGTTCGTCCGGATCATCTGCTCACGGGGCAGGGGGAGCGAAGCCGAGCGCTCTCCCCATTGCAGGCGAAATCAGATCGCCGATGCGCATGAACGGGTCTATGTCGTCAAATGGGGACCGCACTAGTCGTGCGGACGACGTAGAAATGGCATCCGCAAGCAAAGGGCCACCCGACGACAGCGACGCTAGCATGCAGCAGCAAGATGTTGAGTCCGCGGCTGGTCGCCCAGCAGAGCCGGATCCGGGGGGAGGCTGAAAAGTGGCGGAAGTAGTGTGAAGCAGTCACGCAAAATTAGGAATGCGGTGCATGCTAATGCAAGTCAGTGCTGCAAGTGTACTATCACGTTCAAGATGATCTCGACCTCCAACATTCGTGAGAAATTATTTTTTTATTCTGTCGAAGAGGGCTATTACCTTACTTTTTATTGTCGAAGATTGATATCATTTACGCTTTACACTCAGTTGGAGATGGACACACAAGATGTGTTGATAGAGATGCCCAAAGTGGACGTCGATGCGTAAAAGCCAACTAACTGATGAACATGATTGATTTTAATGTAAATTTGTCAGGAATCTCAGATCTATCCACATTGTCAGCACGTGAGAAAAACTCTTCTCCTTGCTCGAGAACAAGTTGTGATATATCCTTCTTGGAAAGGAAGTTGGAGTTGCCAATTGCAGCTTGTAGAACTGTCCGCAAGAGCACGAGGAAGTGCCTCCGGTGGTGTTCGCCTCGGCAGTTTTTGAAGCCCAAACTGAAGTGCATTTCCGACGCAGTGGGCTCTATGGCGCGCGCTGTTTATTACCGTGCTGCCTTTGTGCTTGACGACCGCAGGAGCGCTACCACTCTGATCGTTCGAGCGTGATATAGGACGCGGCGGGAGCACGGAGAGGGCTTCGCGTTGTTCGAGCAAGGGAAGGGCGTCGCGTCGCGCTTGGAGTGCGCCCCTTGGCCGGATACGGTTGAGGGAGAGAGGTGCCGCCAGGCCCCCAGCGCCCGCCTAGCCCGTACATTGGAGGGCGCCAGTTGCTGCCCTGTCGCTCGCCATGTGATCAGAAAGAGGGAGCGCCCTCGCCTGGCTGTGCCTCCCGGGGTGGCCCACGGACGCAGGCAGGGGCGGATGGCTTTTGTCCCGAGCAAGCCCATGCATGTCGCCGAGCAGTTTCCCGCGGGCGACGAGTGGACGCGAAAGAGGAGATGACTGACGCGAAAGAGGAAGGGACTGACTGCCGAGGTTTTTGCTGGGGGTTCCACGTATCAAATGCGAAAACTGGGCACGACCCCGCCATGCGCGCCGGCGCTCGGGAAGGTGCCGGCGCGTAACGAGTCCGCGCCCCGCTGTGAAGAAGACAGCTACGGGGATTTTTTCGCGCGCATCTTGGGGAATATGCCGCCGCGCAGTTTGGCTGATTGATATGCGCCGCGGCCGCGGGGCATGCCTGCGCGCGGGTGAAGAGCCCCGCCGCGGCCCGCCTTTCAAAGTCGCCACCCCTTTCCTGGCGCTGCCTTGCTTGGCCATCGCGGCGATTTTCTTCGGAGGCAGGGCGCTGCCTTGCCTTGTGTGGTCCCCGGCCGGTCGGGCCGGGGGAACGATGGGCCGCCCGGGCCGGGGCGCGGGGCGCGGCACTTCAGCGGGGCCTTTGTGCTTTTTCCTTGTGGAGGGATTTCCGAATCCGGCACAGCCACGGAGCGACAAAGGCCGCGCTCGCTTCATTGGCATGCGACCAACCCGATCGCGTTCGTTGGGCCCGCTCCGAAGAAACCGCCGCGCTACACGCTTGCTCGGCCCCTTCGCGGCCCTCACCTCTGCGCGCTGCCCAGCCTGCCACCCATTGCGCGGGTGTTTTGGGCCCGGGCTGCGTCCCAGTATGGCGGGGGTGCCTTGGCGGCGCGCAAGGGAGCGGGCCAGATCGCATGGCCACCCGCTGCGTTTTGCCCCAAATGCTTGGGCACCCATTGGCCGCCCCCGCCCGTCGGCGCGCTGTGCGATTCTGTAGGGCGGCCTCTTTGCCCCTTTGCGTATTCTGTGTGGCGGCGTTTTAGGGACTCCGCCCGCACGCGAGTACTCTCTCAGTTAGCCTCTCGCGACGTGAGAGAGGGCTCCCCGCGCAAGCCTGTCGCCCGGGCGGGAACGGCGCTCAGCAGGGCTGCCGAGCTGGCCTTCGTTTCATTCTCATTACGGGGGAGCCGTAGGAGCCACCAGGGAGGGTTTGTCTTGCCAGCCTGAGGAGTGCGAAGGTAGGGCCCGACTCTTCTTTATTGATTCTGATTGCAGTGGGTTGCGTTTTGCCGGAGCTGGCTTCTGTCCTTAAGTCAGACGTTGATGCCCTCACGAGGCGCCGGGGTTCTAGCGTCTGAGTTTGCTTGTGTTCTTCTATCTGAGGAAAAAATGAAAATCATGAAGAAGAGGGAAAAGAGGAAGAGCAAGACGAGGCATCCATGAGCAATACGACATAGCCACCCTCCTACACCAAGGCGAAAACTGCAAAGCCGTGTGCAAATTAGGAATGTAGTGCAGGTACGTACGTCTGCCGACGCCGCAGATAAGCACATCCAGAATTCAATATGACGGCTGACACGAACGTTTCCTCCCCCGCTGTGACTCCGCAGCGAACGGCGCGAGGGAGTCCGACCACACTCAGCGTCCAGATTCCAACGAAGGACGACTTTCATCCGAAGAGCCCCGGTCTGACGACTTTCGGTATAAATGAAAATGAAACTACGAGCAAACAACTACTCAAAAAAGCAAAACCTTGAAATTTTTGAAGACGAGGTTGAGACAAGAAGTCTGTGAAGCGGAAGTTGCAGTATCTTGGCTTTCAATGAGTCGCCGAGTTTTTACTCCATGGAATGATTCAGGTTCCGCAAAACGCGGCTATGGGGATGGATGCACGCCTTCAATGTCTGTTGGAAAGCACAAGTCCTTTGGCCGCGAAATGAGCATGTCAGCGCAGGCGGGATTGCTCAGTCCGAGCAAGCATGGTATAACTTCGGTTTTCAAATAGAATTAAAAAGTTTGGAGGTGGTAGAAAGTCCTGCCCCTTCTCTTTCTGTAAAGGAATGAATAATATGCCAGCACTGCTTTCCCTTTCTACATGAACACAGCCACGACGTCCTTTATGGCCGCCAACGAGGCTCGTTCGGGGTACCGCGATAAGATGGCCGTCTTGTTTCGCCGCTTGGACACCAACGGCGACGAAACGCTCGACATGGACGAATTCCTCGCGTTCTTCGCACAGATGGGCAAGGAAAGCTGTCCAAAAGCGGTAATGGACATTTTCAAGCACTTTGACGCAGACCGAAACGGCGCCATAGACTTCGACGAGTTTTGTGTTCTGATGGAAAGCATCATACCCGCCAAGCAAGCCTACGCCGAAGCCATGTGGAATGGAGACGTATTTTTCACATATCCATCCTATGGATGATAGATGTTTTGCGTTTGGTATTTTCTGTTGCGCTGTGGTAAAGTGAGGAAGAAAAACCTGTTTTGCTTTTTTTACGACTCCTGTCTTCTACTTCTACAGGTATCAATCGACATGATGGCGGAATCGCTCGGGGGGCTTGCCACGCTGAACCGAACCCAGGAGGCCATGATCCATGCGGAGGCCTGTGCGATTTCACCAATGGGCAATATGCTCACGCCGATCTCGATCGCACAACTCTTGAAAACTCCATACCACTACAGCCCGGTCGGGTTCGTCTGCGCGAAATGCAACATCTCATGTGAGAATCTCACGGCGAAGACAGCGTACTCTGAAAATTCAGTTTCGCGTGTTGTTCTTCGCTATGGTAGATTACCTTCGTGCATCAACAACGACGGAACGAAGTGCAAACGCCCCGTGGTTTTGGGAGTAGAGTTGTCATTGTCAATGTCGTGTGCAAGTCAAAATCAAAAAATATCAGGTTCTACTGCGCGCAGGAAAACTACCTGATCTGCAGCATGTGTGCCTACCTGGAACGGAAGGCACAGATTGCGGAAATGACGGAGATTGTCCGCACGGAAAAGAAAAAGTCCACCGTGAAGCCGTTTCTGCCCAACTACCTGAAAGATTCGCCGATGCCGAGTCCGAAGTCTCGGCTGGTGAAATCCGAGAAACAAATGCCAATGAGCCACCGGGTTACGAAAGCGTACGGAACCACGCTGCTAGAAGCCGAATCGGATCCGTTGTACAAGCCGCTTTGAGGTTGAGGCGTCGTACGATATGAAAAATCAGGATACTGTACAATATATGCAAGTCTTTGTCTACCAGTTCTAGTACTAACTACTGAAGTGAAGTGGTGCATGTAAAATGCAAATTGTTGTTGTTGAAGCGATATAGTTTCCTACTCCTACATGACCAAAAAGAGGCCACAAAAACTACGAAGTGAAAGTGCCGGCTCTGGACTCACATCAATTTGGTAGAGTTTCAGGATAAACATGTAGAGTACTGTACAAACATACTCCATTTGAAAGCATAGTGGGCTATCGTATCTGCAACTCTATGTTGTCCAAAAAAGTTGGTTTGGCAGTGATGAACACGCATAGAAAGTAAAACAGGAGGCGCGGAAGAGCATAGCTCTCTCTCCGCAGTGGCAGTATAGTCTGCCTGACTGTACGTCGGTCCTCATTGGGGTAGGTTTTATACCTGTTCATTTCCATATGATCCAGTCCTGACCAACACGGAGCGTTGAGGGGTTTCTCCCCTGCACGTCTGTCAGAATGATTGTAATTGACGAACCGACTGGGAATGAAAAGAGCGTGAGAGAATGCGCGCACTCATCTACTTACCTGCAATTTGTGCACGGCGTGCGTCAAGCAGACTCTGCTAAATAGCGTACTTTTACCCGTCCATAATGGAAGATGTTGATTCGCGAAAAGTGACCAGCTTCAGCTTGCCACTCTGCGGAGAGACCAAATAGCCGGCGTGGAGAGAAAAAACGCGAGGGACTATACTTCAACGCTGAATCTCGATTTGTCGCCATGTTGAACTCTTTCTTCACCGTCGGGTTTACTCTCCTCGCCCGTGTGGCAGTAGCGGCGCCGACGGATTTCGTGTTGGTAACGGTTCCCGGAGAGAGAGCGGTCAAGTACATCGTACCCGGCGAGCCGGCGGCGAAGGAATTAATTTCGGAGGGTCTGCAGCAGCCACACGGACTTTCTTTCGACACGAAAACCAACACGCTCTACGTAACCGACGTTGCGGCCCAAAAGGTTTTCCGCTACTCGCTCAGTGCCTCGAGCAAAACCGAGCTCACCGCCGGGTCCGCCACGGAGACGGCACGAAACATTGAAGCCTACTGGTCGGCCGTGGACCCGCGAAGCCAGAGGCTGTTCCTCACGGAAAAGGACAGCAACTTCATTTGTGCCGTGGACCTGCAGGCGTCGGACGGTTCCTGCAAAGTGACCTACCAGGGCGAGACCACGGCCAACCCGATCGGCTTGCCGGAACTGAAATACCCGGCAGGAATCGACGTGGACGGCCGCAGCTTGTTTTACGGGAACGGGCAGCAAGCGCTCTCCACGGGGAGTATTTTTAGGGGGCTCCTGACGCCGCCCTCCGAGGCGCCCGTGCTCACCAAGCTCCCGGACGCGGCGATAACGGACGTCGTGCAGGGAGTGTGCGTCACCCCATCCAATGTCTTCTACACAGACGGCGGCGCGAACCTCTTTGCGCTAAAGAAATGGGGCGGCACGCCCATGGCGGTAAGCGCCGGTCTGTCCGCGGGGCTGGGGTGCGCGTGGAACGGCGACGGGGCGGTGTACGTCGCGGACCAGCAGGCCGGGGTCTACCGCATCCCGTCCAACATGGAAAAGTTGCAACCGCTGTTGCACCTTGAGAAAGTCTCCAGTACGGTCGGGGCCGCGGGGGTGGCCGTATTTTCAACGGACGTGTCCTAGCGGATGTGCTACGAGAAAGATGAGAGACACAGCACGTTCGTAATCGTTGCACGCAGGACTGGACAGAGTTGCGTTTTACATTTTTCCACCTTTTTGTCGTCATGCAAATGCGCCAGTGGATGTGGTGTGGATGGAAGTGTGTAGCTTCCGCGTCGTAGAAGCATGTACCAGGGCGGGATGTGAAACAACTGTGCGTGTTCGACTACCCTCAGGTCCAGTTCTACTTCTGTCCAGATCTAGGATGCGAAGCCCGACTTTTTTTCTTTCTCGCTTTTCATTTGTAGTTTTTTCAAGTTTTGTTATAGCTTTTTTCGCAGCACTGAGCTTGAGATAGACGAAGAGCAGCTGCAGCTGTGTGCAAGGAGGGCAAAATATTTTTGCAAATCTTCAAAAGCCAGAAGGAATGGAATTGATCACCGCGAGGGCGAAGAAGCTGTTGCTCTTCCTCTTCGCAGCTCTTTTCTACTATTTCGCGAAATTTGCCCGTCACAGCACAGCATCGAGCCTCTCGCCGAGATTTTTTCGGGCCTTCTGGGACAAAGTTCGACATTTGGTCGGCCCTTGGCCGCCGCGCACCGAGACTGTCACTCAGCACGGGCCGTATCTGTTGGGTGGCCTCTTTTTCTTGACGGCCACTAGCTATTTTCGTGAACTTCGTGCCGCCGACTCCGCAGACGAGTATCTGTTGCATGAAAGGCAGGAACGCCGAAACAGCTGCCGGGAGATCGTCCGCGTTTGTGTCTTGCGGCACCGATTGCTGCATTTGTGCTTTGGAGGAACAGCAAGAAAGGCTTCAAAGACAAGTAAGGGGGACCACGCAGGTTTTGCTGGGACGAGCAAGAGGACGAGAACTGCACCAGAGAATGATTCCAGCAGAAGCAAAACCGAGTCAGAAACGATTCGATACTATCTGCTTGCACTACATCGATGGAGCACTGCCAGTGCGACAGCAATCGGTGTTGAACACAACAATGGAGCTGCACCGGATGCTGTCAGAAATGATTCCAATGCAGCTTCAGAAGGCCTCCTGCTCGCAGACCTGGAGAAGCTTTTCGCTCCTCCATCTGCAGCCTCCGCACAACAACACGACGGCTCGGCTCCTGGGATCATATCCCTGCTTGCGCAGTCGCGCTCGGGTGCGCAAGAAACCAGCCTCAGCTCCACTTCTCTGCAGAGCAATCAGTTGGCGGATTACCCCGAAAGCGTACACCGGCAGGAACAAAGAGATGAAATTTCCAATACTAAAACGAGTCCTAACCTCCACGGCTCGCCGACTACGGCCTCTGTGGCGTCCTTGGACGAACACCGACGACCCTCTCTCGAGAGCGGAGGCGGTGGCGGCAGCGCAACCAGTCTGGTATCGCTCCCAATGACTGCAGAAGATGCTTTTCGCAGCGTCGAAGCGTTGGGCAAGTGCGCTCCCCGGGACCCGATGCTCGTGTGCGGCGCGCTTGTCGTCGCCTGTTTGTTGAAGCTGGAACTGCGGATGCTATTGGACAAGGTGCAAAATAAACAAGACGAAAATCTTGCCACCACTGCAGATGAAGATGCTGCTCAAAAGCAAGTCCCGCTGAGTTGTACGCCGTCCGCCACCAGTTTTTTCAGTGAACTCAAGCAGAAGATCACGGAATGCGAGGAGTTTGAGACAGAACTTTTCTCCAACGGAAAATTCACGCGCTTTCACCGCGATATGCACCTAACCGCACGGATTTTCGCGCCGGAACTCGCAGAAGCAAACAAGGCAACAAGGGAGTTTTACGGGAACAGACTCCGGGTCGTATACCGCCTGCTCACCGAGCATTTGTTGTTCAAAGAGCGGCGAAGCAATGCGGTTGTCGATGGTCATCTTGAACAGAATCCCTTGAAGTCTTGGCAACTCGACTACCGAAAGATGGTTTACATTGTTCTCAGCTCCTTTTTTTCCCTCATATCCGGTGCGCTGGACACCTCGCGGTACTTCTACCAGGCGGAAATTCTGAATCTCGCGAAGGACCTCTTCTGGTCGGTAAATCTCGCTCGTAAAGAAAGTCAGCACGGCGGCTTGTCCCCCGTCCGGGCGGTGCTGCAGCTGAAGAAAACGCAGCTGCGGAAAACCGTGTTCGCGATGTTGATTGTGGAAATCACCGCGATCCTGTCGTCCCTCCTCCGCGACCAGTTTTCCAGTTTGGGCAAGCAAGAACTGATCCGAACGCTCAAAGTGAAGCTGTTTGAGAGTTTGTTGACCCAGGACTACCACTTCTTCGAGACGCGCGACATGTGGGAGCAGCGCCAGATCATTGGAAATTGCGGCACCGTGGTGACGACGCTGCTGGACTACCCGGTGGAGTGCTTGGAGGCGCTGGGTCGCACGCTGTCGTCCCTGTCGATCCTGTGGCAGAAGAACGAAAAGTTGTCTCTCTTCGTGTTCACGCTGATGCCGCTGAAATTGTTCCTCTCCATCCAGTTGCAGAAGTGGCAAGACCACTTGGAAGTGGTCTACGTCGCGGCGGATCTCCGGGGCAAGATGAATCAAGTGTGGAAGGCGTTGACGCAGCCGCGAGCCTTCTTGACGATCCGCATTTTTGGTCGCGAGCCGGAAGAAGTGGAAAACTTCGCGAATTTTTTGCGCGTTTTAGATCGGTATCAAATGTAAAAGTGTCTGGGTCTGGAAGAATGCAAGATTTGTGATGCAGGTTTTCCATGACCCATGAGGTCTGCAATGCGAGACCCAGCATGACAGATTCTTTGAGGTCTCTATCATGCCTTTCCTGCATGAGAAAAACCCTCTCAACTTGGTCAAAAGCGGACGGCTTTTGGCACTCACGCAACACAGATTTTTGCATCATTTAGATTTAGCATGACAAGTTCACATTCTTCCAGACCCAGACATTTTTGCACTTCATAATCGGGACGAGAACCAACGGTCCATGCTGTACAAGCTGTTTGCGCCGTATAAACCGCTCAGGTGTTCCAATCTCAAGCGTTACAATAGAATTTGGAATTTGTGTTGCAAAATCCGCAACATCTGGCCTACTCCCAAAGGAGCGCGCATTACAAGTTTCGGAGCCCCAAACCCCGTGAGAATCTGACGAAATTTGTATTGCGAAAAGCCCAAGCCTCTGTATGGTACTCATGCTGTTCAAGCATGACAAATTCCAGATTCTATTGTAACGTTTGAGATTGTAACATCTGATCAAGCCATACGCCGATCGAACCGTTTTTGGCGAACGCGATCGAGATGCTGGTTTTGTGGTACGGCGGCAGGTTGATCATCGACGCGTCGAGTCCGGATGATTTTACTTCCGACGATGGCACCGACGGCCGGGGTACCGGGAGAGCCACTTTCGGAGTGATTGAAAGAGCGAAAAGCAGGCTGATGGCTTTTGCTGCTGCGAACAGCTCCGGATCACTCGCTCCTGTGGTGCAGTTTGTCCTGCAGCTCGCAAGAACAGCGGGCGTAATATTTCAAGTCGTCGAAAGCGGCAAGGAACAAGTGACTACCAGCACGGCCGCTCCAAGTGTGAGTCCCGCGTCTCGGCACGCAAGCGGCCCTGCAGGCACGCAAGGATCATCTGAAGTTATTTCACCACCCCCAGACGACCACTTGAAGGTCGCAGCCGTGCAGGCCCAGGAGCAGTCGCAATCAGCCCCTTCTGAGGACGACCCCTACGGCCTGATGACTCCGGATCTGGACACCTTAGGCTTCGGAGACCTATCCACGTTTCTTCTGATGGCCAACAACGCTTTCGACAGTGCCCGGTTTCTCCGTATGCGCGCACAAGGGATCGGGGATGAGATCCTAGAACCGGCAGAGCGGATCATGACGCTGTTGCAGGCACAACCCAGGATAGGGCTGTACAACAGCCGGGCTCGTGGTGGTCAAAAGCAAAATGTGTCGACGTTGTCACCAGATTGTTCGAAGGCTATATCTGCGATCGGTGTCGCTATAACAAAACCGGATAGTACTATCATGGGAGAGCCGAACAATTCGAATCGAAACTCGGAAAGAAAACAAGACCAAGAGGAGCATGACGGCGAGCGGCCATACAAGGTGCATCTGAATTATGCCGGCGACCGAAACCAATTCAGCCTACGACGGGCGGCCGGAGCGTTGGATCGAGTTCCGGTTGCCGAGGTTTTTTTCGAGGATGGGGACCAACGCCAAAACGCAGAAGAGGATGATCCGCAAGAGCCATCCTCTTCCGCGGAATCGGCTTTGTCAATGAAGTCGGCCGTTAGTACGCTTCTACCAGAGAGGAACGAAGAGGGGGCGGGAGAGAACAAGCCTGACAGCAGTGAAACAAACATGGCTTCAAATCAGAAAAACCACCTTCAACGCAGGCTGAGTAGGAAAAGCAGCACGTCCTCTCGTCCCGGTGTCGACCACGAGCTACTGCCGCTGCCGTTTCAGTTCAAAGAGCTGCACTTTGACAATGTATCCTTTCGCTATCCCTCCAGGCCTATCAATATGTAAAAATGTCTGGGTCTAGAAGATTGCCAGGTTTGTCATGCACATTTTGCATGACTCCTGATGTCTGTGATGCATGCCGTAGCATCACAGATTTTGTGAGGGCTTCCTGATGCCTATACCGCATGACAAATGCTCTTTCCGCGTAGCAAAACTTGGACTCTCTTTGCTGATCATGCAATACAGATTTTTCTAGAATCCAAAATCAGCATGACAAGTTGGATTTTTCCAGACCCAGACATTTTTACAGTTGATAAGGCCAGCTGTTCGCGTGTTACGCGGCGTGTCCTTCAAGCTCTCCGCAGGCGACCACCTGGGCATCCTGGGCCAAACGGGCTCTGGGAAGAGCTCCGTTTTCCTGCTTATGCTGCGTGTGTACGATCCGGATAAGGGACGGATTCTTCTGAATGGCCACGACTTGCGGGAGTACGAACCGCTGTGGCTGCGGCGAAAGGTGTTCAGTGTGGTCACGCAGGATGTGGTGCTATTGGAGCGGTCGATCAAAGACAACATCATGTACGGCAGCAAGCCAAACGAATTGCTCGGACCTGGAGGTGCTGCGCCAGCTTTATCCGGCGCATCTGCAGGATCTGCCGCAACCCTTTCCCCGCAGAATAATCACCCGCTCAATCGGGAGCCGCAGTACGAGAGGAGAGTACAGAAAGTCATGGAGATTGCGCAGTGCCGCAGCACGTTTTTCGACGCGAAAAAGTTTCCGCAGGGCTGGTACACGCACGTCGGGGAGTACGGTTCCAAACTATCCGGTGGTCAGCAGCAACGCGTGGCGTTGGCTCGGGCGCTGTTTAAACCCTCGCAATATCAAATGCAAAAATGTCTGGGACTGGGTCTGGAAGAGTGCATCTTTGTAATGCTTGTCTCGCATGACTCTTAAATCTGTCATGCACGTTACCCAAGAGCCCCACTTTTCTGTCATGCAGAAACGCAGTCTGTCATGCAGAGTAGGCAACACCAAGAAGCTCAGAAACTTGTCATGCTCAGCCAGCACTTGTGGCCTCCTCATGATACGCCACCCAGCATCACAAGTTTCCAGACCCAGACATTTTTGCATTTGATACGCAAGTCTTACTTCTAGACGAGGCTACGTCGGCGCTGGACGAGAAGACGCAGGCTGAGGTGCAAGCAAGTCTCGAGGCGATCCGCAAGAGCAACCAGTTCTGTCTGGTCACCATCGCGCACAGACTTTCGAATTTCCGCTTTGCGAATCGATTGCTCGTGTTGCGGGACGGGCAAAAAATTGAGGAGGGCACAGCGGCAGAGCTGCTCAAGCAAAATGGTACTTACGCGAGGTACGTCAGCTACTGCTTGACCGAACATCAAAGTGGGACTTCTTTGAGTTTGCCGTCGCCCGAGGGCGGTGTGAGGACAACTTGATTGTTCTGACATGCACCTGCAGGCAGTTTCTTGCAGAAGGGGCTCAGGGTCAAGGCATTCTGGTGGCAACTCAACAAAAGCGACGGCACAGCACCATTTGCTGGTGTGGAAAATCAGTTGGTCTGATGACCTCGCGCAGTGTTTTTCATTTTTGATATTTTCGGTGCAAGCCTCTCTGCCCGGTTCGGTTTAACTTCTCGCCATCTGATCAAGCTCTTTACGTGTGCACTCTCCTGGACGTATGTCTGGTCCCTAACTTCAGCAGTTTTCGAAAGACGATCTTCATCTTGGTAGCAGATCGCGCGTGTAAAAGAAGTATCTGTAAGGCCTGGATCGGCTTCTGCTAGACACGTCCACACCAAACCTCGATCTCGTTTCGTGCCGAGTCGAAGGTCTAAGCGCTATTTGTGGAAAAGATCACCATGACCATGACGATCTCGAATTTGATTTTTTTTCTTACTGCCACCGGCGCATTTGGTCTTCCGTTCCGAGACTATGAAACGCAGAAGTTTCTATCCGAAGTCTACTTCGGCCAGCGGCTGCAGCACTACACCTGCGAATCAGACGAACACCATCCGGTTTGGCGGCTTTTGAGTGGTGAGGAACATCAAGGCTCTACCGCTCGCGTTGAAAAAGTCGCCGGTTTAACGGAGGAGATTCTGAAGTGCTACCAAGGTTTGCAAGAATTCGTCACGGCGTTGATTACCTGGGACCACAAAACCTCGCCAAAAAACTTACCAGAGGTCGTCAGGCCCTTTGTCCACTATGATGCCGATGAAGACTCCGATTTGGCAGTAGCACGACGTGGATCCGCGGATGGAAAAAGATCAGCAACCGACTTCTGTCTCTTCGGTTGTGCGGAGCTGCTTTTGCTACTCGCGACGCAGTTGAACGACATGGAACTCCAGCAGCTGGCCGACAGCTCGGATTTGCTGCACTACCTCCCTCTCCACGACCCGGCGGCGCGCGCAGATGTCCGGCAGCAGATCGGGTCTTTGTTCGGTCGGTTCGCCGAGTTCGATTTCACGGGGGAGCTGGCGTTGTTTGATGTTCTGCAGCGCGGTCGTGCAGAGGTCGGACCTGCTTCGACCGTGTCGTCTGCGCTGTTCAACTTAGTCCATGATCCGGGAGTGGCGCAAGCGAAGCGAACAAATTTTGTTGCCACTTCCAAGTGGCGAAATCTGTTCGCGGACTTTTTCCTGCCTCAAAACTTGCTAAGCCGGTCCAGCCTGCCGCGGGAGTTTGTCCACATCTATGTTGCCAGCGAGCGGAACATGCAATGGATGTACTATGGCCGTGGTACGACCAGAGGCGAGCATCTTACAACGGGACGTGTTCAAGAAGCAAATGCAGCAGGAACGACTGCAGTTGTACCCACCTCGTGCGGGAGTCCGTTTCTCAACCCAGATTTTTGTCGTTGCCTCTTTGCAAGCTTGACCAAGCGGCAACTTCGGAGACGGAAGTCGGAAATCTACGAGGCCCTTTGTCGCCCACAGGACGTGCGACACCAGAGTCTGTTTGCACAGCTGCAGCTTCGGGACGACGATTTTGAGGAAGATGTGGTGAAGAATGTCGCTGGATTTATCGATTCCGCGACGGCAATGGCGCGAGCTCGGTCCGGGGAGAACAGTTTGGTGTCGAGTGAAAGTGCTTCTGCGGAGCCGCAGGACGCGTTCGAGATGGATAGGCTACCCTTTTCCGTCAACCCACAGCTGATGGTGATGCTCAGACACGACGCTGGCGGATTATCAAAGCCGAACATCGGTGGAGATGATGCGACCAAAAATGATGTGGAGGTTACCGAGGTAGTACAAGATGATATATCCGAGAACGCTCCCCTGGAGCTAGACGCCTTGAGCTACGTTTTCCAGGATTGTCACGTGTACGACCAGACGGGTTGTTGGGATATCCTGAGGAAAAACGTACCCACACCAGAGTCAGGATGGGGATTTTGCAACACAAACCTAGGAGTTTTGTGAGTCACGCATGACAAGTTGCACTCTGCAGTGTAGTGCAGGTTAGCAAGTGCAGCCGCATCACAGATTCATCTGCTCATCCTGTTCACAGCATCACAAATTCCAAAACACGACTGGAAATGGCTCTCATGGGGATGCGCATTACAAGTCTTCCAGTCTTTGCAAATCTGCATTACAACTCTGGTGTGAGTACGTTTTTACTCATGATATGGGATCAAGATTCCATTGTGCCGATCTTGCCTTTGGAGAGGCGGCGCAGACAGGAAACATACCTGTTCGAACTCCGCGAATTCGCAAAAGCAAGGGCTCGTGAGATCGACGCTGCAGTTGTGAGAGTGAAGCAACACCCGACGATGCCGCACTTCCGGCCGCCAGACGCGATAAATCTGAAGAAAAGCCTGACCATGCAGCGGTTCAGAGAAAAATATGTTGTGGAAGCGGTGGAAGTGGAAAATGCGAAAGGTGGTAGTTCGCCCCGCGGCGAGCTGGAGGACAGACGGCTTGAAAGTAGTCGTGTAAGCGATTCGTATAAGCCGAAGCCAACACAAGAACTGGAAGACGGTCAGGCGGGGAGCACTACAAAAGACACTGTTCTGGAGGACCACCAGGAGCACGACAGGCTCGAAGCGAGCCTGGTGGAGGAGCATCTGCTCGCCGATCTGTTTCCCGAGCAAATTGCGGCGAAAGCAACAGCGCCGCCACCGAGGCCTTGGCTCCAGTACTACGCAGTGAGTTTACGAGATAGAGCACCGACTTTGGACGAACATCCTTCTGCTGTTGATCCTGGGCAACTACATGCAACATCGCACCAGCACGGCTACCAATTCGTTGGCTTCGGCATGCACACTCCATTTTTAACGAGCGTAGCGAAGACTTTATCCCTCAGTGCGAAGTTCTACTTCGATTTCGAAGTCCAGTGGCGGTTGGAAGGGAACATCTACATGTGCGAAACCTTGTCATCTGCCGATGGTGGAACTGGAAAAATCGACTTCGGAAGTAGAGGATTTCTACCTGGAACTAGCCCGCCGAAGCAGAATCTGCAGGCAGAAGCCTCTCCTGCAAAAAAATCCTCGTTCGGCGCGACTTTGGTTCAATACGAGGCGCAATTGCAGCAGAAGGAAGTTGGCGACGCCCTCGTGAACCCCGCTTGCTTCGGACGAGAAGAGACGGCAGAGTCACATCCTGCAAAGAGCTTGACGCCCGCACAGGCGTTCATCCATTTCTGGGCCAGGAATTTCGAGCGCCCGGAGTTGTTCGGCAATAATGTTGTTCCAGGCGACCAAAACAGTTTCTCCTTGGCAGACATCGCCGCGGAGCTGAGACACTTGATGAGAGAAAATGACGAGGACCAGGTCGACGCCGTGCTTTGTGCTGATTGGGTTGTCGGCTGTGTCTTGCTCGCGATGGCGCTTGGCGAGCAGAAGCAGAAGATGATCCTCGGAGACGACGATAGCGCATCTTCTGCCCAGCAGCAGAAGTCCTATCTCCCCTTGTTGGTGGTGAACGGAATTGGATTGCTATCCAAATGAAAAAGACCATCACAATCGCATTTAGGAGGTTTTGCATCAGAAATTTCTCTCGCATCACAAATTTTTTTGTATTGCAAAAACACAAAGGGAAATCGGCAACAACTCCTGACTGTGATGCATTTTTGCGCATGACAAAAAATTTTGTATTGCAAAAATGCGCAAAAGTGATTGTGATGGCCTTTTTTTCTTGAATAACTGCTCGAGTTCACCCCGGCCGCGTTTCATCAGGAGGTGCTCCAATGGGTGCAGTACTTCGCGTCCCGACCAGCCACGATTTTAGCCGTTGCGCACGAGCAACTGAACCCGCTGTTTCGGTACCAGACGGCCGGGATAAACTTCGTCCTGATGCCGTTGCTGTGCTTGAGCGTGTTCGAAGACGAGAATAAGCGGAATAAGACCTCCCGGGGCCGAGGAGGGGAAGAACACCATGCAGGGAATAGTCAACAAATAACGGTCGCTCACCCACTGGAAGCCTTGTTCCCCCACGGCCGACCCCTCTATTATCGGGCGCGAGAAGACGTTAGAAACGCGGTGGTTCTTGCATCTTCGAATCAAGCATTGGCTGATGGAGGCTATCCGGAGCTCCAGTTCCCGTCGAAAGACCCGATAGTCATTCAAAGCGCAGGACAAGCACCGATGCTTAGTTCCACTTCCTCTTCTTCCACAACGAGCACCATCATCGTATGGCGTTCTCAAACGTTACATTTTCAACTGTTGCATGATTTGTCATGCAAAATGGCCATGACCCACCAGACGATCGAGCTGCTGCGCATGACAAATTCTCGGAGGGCTAAGCAGCACTATAATCTGCACGAAACCTGTAATGCAAGACGCGCAAGGTTGTCCCGATCACCTGTGCTAGTCTTGCATTACAAATTCATGGTGACAAGTATGGACCGTTGGCGGATCCATGTTTTACGTCATGAACGGGAGGTCGTTGCAGCAGTGCACGGAGATGACGGGCAGCAACAGTCGTGAGCCACCGGCTTGCGGATTACTGCCGCCTACGGATCTCTCCTACTTGGCAAAAGTAAGGAGTGAAAGTTTAAAAGTTAAAAAGGTTCATTTTATTAATATAAAATGTAAGTAAAGCGCTCTTGGTCTCTTGTGAAGTCCTCTGTATTATCCTTTTATCTATATCGCGGCTTTATGGTGCTTAACACCTGGGTCCTTGGCCGACCCGCTCGATGACTATCTACCCGCGCTGCAGGCTCGCTCCCCTGCATGCGTCCTTTGTGTGGACTACCTTGCTATTTGTGTATCGTAGCTCAAGCGTTCACTGTCTCGTAAAAATTACTCACAGCTTATCACTTACATGATAAAAGACGTTGCTTAATTCTAACTGCGTATGTACTCTTGCTTGTTTATTTTTTTTAAGTTCTCTCTGTCGGCTCGCGCCCCGGCTCCGATTCTGTCTTGATCTGTTTATTCCCGGCCCGCCTCCCGGATATAGTTTTTGTGCTTTATCTCCTCGTGGCTCCACACCCACTGCATTTATGGCCCCTGCGACTGCCGACTTATTATTATTTTGGGTTCGCGTCCCCACTTTTGTCCTCCCCTCAGCCGTATCCATGCGTTTGGCGCGTGGTTACACAGGCCGGGAATGAGGCCTACTCTTATTGTATTGCTTGTATGTGGCGACTTGCATGACTCGGCGTCGCATAGTCTTTTCTATCTGTCCGCCGCGTGTTACCTACTTCATGATGAGCTTATGTGGTGACTTTTCTTGCTGCTAGTGCATGACTCGCTGGTGATTCGTTGCCATGTGGATCTTGACGTGCGCATTAATTCTAATTTTACTTCCTCGCCGTCGCCTGAAAAAATGCAACTACATATTTATTTGTTTCGGAGGCCCGCTTCCCTCCTATCTCTAGTTTCTTCAGCCGATCCGAAGGTAGTTTGTATGTGTGCCCTGGCTTTCCGATATGGAGCTCTGATTTGCATGCTAAGTCGGAAAGTCGCCTCATGCGCGGAGTTGCTTGAGGACACGTTATATGATTTTGGGACCACGTACCTACTAGCCCGAGGGGGTGCGGGAGCCTGAAAAAAAGAACGTTAAACGTATGTTGGCGATAAGTTGGACTGGTGGCGAAAGTAAGGAATAGTTGGCGTAAAAGTTGGATGTGCCCGAGTGTGATGGCGACGGCTTCGGTCCGCCTGACTCCGCGACCCGGTGGCCTGACCATCTGCGGAAAGGTGCCCTATGGGTTGCGTTTGTGGTTTCGGTCGGTTTAGCATTACAAATTCATGTAACAGTTGAGAATGTAACATTTGAGAGCGCCATACATCGTCCTGCGTGCCCCGTTTTTCCACAGAAAAGAGGGCCACTGGTTCAAGGCTCTGTGCGAGCGGCTAGAACCCATGGTCTCTTTCAAGTGGATGAATCCGGAGTTGTTCTTGCACCAGCATGAGGTCGTGGACGAAAGAACTCAAGCCGCTACATCAACTACCACAGAACATCAATCTTCCGAACAGCAGCTGGTGAATATGCGAAAGAAATCCGGCATCAACAAAGAATTCTCTTCGTCGCGGAAGTGGACGAGCTTTTCCGACATCACGAGTGCGGATCTGGCCGTCTACATGCCCTCGGAGCCGAGTCTGATGAAGTTCAAGGACGTTTATTCCGCCGCCGTGCCCATCGCGGTGCCGGACTGGCCGTGGGCGACAAGAATCATGATGCCCAATGCTGCGCAAATCGGCTACACGACGCTGTTTGAAAAAAATCCTCCACTTGAAAGAACTACAGCACGTAGTGCAGCTGCGGTTCCACTTCCAGCAGTTCCTCCTCTTGAAACTCCCAGTTCTTTTAGACTGCAGCTCCCGTTTGCAGCCTCGCCAGACAGCGGAGATGAACAAACCCCGTTTTACAAGGCGGGGAAAGACACACACGACAAGCTTTTGTTCTGGAACCGACTGTCCGACGCCGAGCGGATGCCCTTCGTTCTGCGGTTCTCCTCCGTCGCGGAGCTTCTGGTGCTCGTGAAGGACACAGACTTGCTCCTCGAAACGTCGCGGAACATGCGGCAGTACTTCTTCGGTCGCGTCGTCGCGAATTCCCTGGCCCTGTATCGCAATCTGTTTGCCGTGTTGGCGTCGTGCGGAAGTCCGGAACTGGTCACCACGAGGGGGTTTGGTGTTCGTCGGGATGAAGTAGATCAAGATGCTAGGTTGAACACTAAGCCTGGCCGCTTTGCGCTGTTTTCACCAACAAGAGGAACGACTCCTGACGCACCAGCGAGCGTGGCGAGGACCAAAAAGACACCAGCTTTCCTAACCCCACTTTCCGACGCCTTCGCGCCTCTAATAGGTTCCCGCGGGCAGCCGAGAATACGCGAGTTTTGCGATGGGGCGCAAGACTGGGGTCGTTGCGCCCTTCTGCGGGCTCGACTGCTCACCAGCAGTAAAGTTTGAATGTTTTCCTACGTGAATGTTTCTGCCGCAGCAACAAGAGATCATGGTTTGATGACGCATGTCTTTCTACATACGGAGAGACATTACCGAAAAACAAAAAGCTGACTTTCTTCCTTCAGTACAGCTACAGAGCGAGGACCGAACATCACGGAAATGAAACCTGACCAGGCAAGTTGAGGTGCATGATCATGAGCATGCGCAGATTGTTTCGATCCTACTTCCAGCGAAAAAAGAAACACACTGTAATTACTTCTTAGGTGAGGAAATGCAAGTACTACTAAATCCAAAGAAAGTAGAACAGGCAGCGTTAATCCTTCTAAAGCAAAGAGAAAGATCTAGATCATGGACCTACAGTATAGTACATCTGTTTTTCTGCGCCGAAGCTTCAACGCTGTTTGCGTTCGCAGACATTAGAAAATCAAAATTTTTCATCGATGATGCACCGACACAGGTTTTGATGCATAAACTAAGATCAGTAGGTGCCTTTAAGTTTGCTGACCAAGTCGATCCTCTTTGCCGCAAGCTATTCTCCTTTCAAGGTTTGTTTTATCAAGCTTGAATATTAAGGAAGCAGCTGTTGCATTTGAAATTTTTCTTGTTTTATTGAGTCACTTCTTCTTCTTACTACGATCCAAGCAGCAAAATGATTCGATTTCCGCACACCAACAGAGTTTCGGCTTTGGTGGTTTTCGGTTTTTTGCAAGTTTTCAGCAGCTGCAGAAGTGTAGCCTCGAGCCTGGTAAAGAGCAAAAATCACAAGCGGAGGAGCGACCGGGAATACCAGCACAGCAGTCAGTCGAAACGGCAAAGAAGGGCAGTGCGGCAGTTCGCCCAGGAGTTTGCGCTTTCGGAGTGCGACACTTTAGATGTCATAGACTGGGCTGCCGAGTGTGACGAAAACTGCTTGCTTGGTGGTCGTAACCACGAGCAGCGCGATCTGATAGAGGCACTGCCAGATATCAAGGAAGGGCTTTTATCTCGTGGTGTTGACAAGGACTCTGGCTCGTGTTCTCCGGATCCTGGACCTTTGCGACGCACGATGAAGCACCTGCGAGAGTTCAACCGGGCTTTCGCATGTGTTGAGAAAGCCGGGATAACGAGCGAGAAAGTCGACGTGTGTAGGGCATGGGCAACAAAAGGCAGGTGCCTTCGAGGAGACAACTGCTGGAACCTACACCTGCCCGATGATTCCGATTGCGAAGCTGGTCCCGTGCGTGCTTGTGCAGCGGAAAAATTTGGGGCACGGACGCAAGACCTGGAGGCAGATCACGCGGTTACAGTTGAAAGCAAGAACCGTGCCAAAATCGAAACAAGTAGTTTGCTATCAGGCTCGCACACGACGAACCATTCCTATGCTATCAGGAGCGCTGCAGCTGCACCAGTGAAGAGCGATGCAGCGACCTCAACTGCAGCGCCGAAGCAGGTACCAGAGATCCTCGATAAGGTACAAGAACTGCTCGAGGACTCCGAAACATTCTCCTCGACAATGTACCATGCACCGTTGGACCGAGTTCTTTTGCCTTTGGACAAACTGCAGGATATTCTGAACGGCAAGGTCAGCAAGTGGGGTCCGTGGATCAAGGCTACCGTCCCCCTGAACAATATCTTCTTTCTCCGGCCAGACCGACAAAGTGGTGAGACGAAGCCGGGACGATTGAAGCTAAGAACCAAGCAGCAGGTCGCAAAAGATGCGACTGATGCGAAGTTTGTGAGAGAAACTGCGGACGAATTGATCAAAAATCCAGTGGCATACAAGAAAGAAAATGCCATGATGGTTGTGCAGATCGGCGGAAAGTTTTTTGCAACCGACTCCCGCGTTCTGGTCGCACATAAGAAAGCAAAGCCGCAGGGTGCAGAGGTGAACGTGGTAATGGCGCATGTGAGCTAGTAGGAGTGCAGATCGTCCTCGATTGCTCGGCGGGGGCGTGATCTGTTTTGCTACTAGGTACTGGTGGAAATAAGTAGTTTTTTTCATCGGGAAGGAACCAACTTGGCACTACTTAGAAGACTACCAAAAGTTGTAGTGGCGCAGTCGTGGTCGACAGAGCAGAGTTGGTCAGCAACGCAGTGGTAATCCTCTTCATGTTCAGCAGCCTTTTTCTCTGCTCGTTGTGGCTTCCGTCGGGAAGCAGCGAAGGAGCCACACCGCTTGTCACATCGACTCTTTTGAATTTTGAAGGAAATGCCGATCGAGGTGCAAAAAAAATCAGTCTTTGTATCTGATAGATACTGTGATGTCCATCCTCCATACCTTCGATGACGATTTTGAAGATATGGTGTTGTATGATGTGTATGATGTCGTGTAGCCTTATCGGAACGCGTAGTTGCGGCCTCCCCATCCGCTGCTCGCAGCTGCTGCAATAGTATTGGCAACAAAATCATAACAAGTTCTCAGCCAGAAGACAGTCAGGCTTTTGTTCCATAAACGTCTGCCTCTGCTGTTCAGTCGGCCCTGCATTCAGTAATGGCGGACCGAGTTCTTTAGATCAGTCGTCGATTCCGACGATTCTCTGCACCAGGGGAGTGTAGTGACGAGTGCCGCAAAGAAGAGGCTCCGTATACGGAGAGAAGAAACGCGAGTGCTGGGACATCAGGACGACGCGTTTTCTACTTAGAGTGGTGAGAGATATCAAGACATTGCATCCTCCGCAACAATTTGGACGAGGACCTTAATTTCATTCAGTTGTGCTTGAAGATCTGTTTCTGCATCTGTGCGTGAGCAGTTTGAGGAGAGGAGCTGGAAGAGCGGAGGGGAAAAAACAAAAAGACGAGATGCCTTCCTCAGTAATTTCTTCCTCCCGGTCGTCAGACGCGAGCCGTCTGACAGGCAGCTACCAAAGTGGTGGCTCCGGTGCCAGTAGCGGAACGGGCCAACAGCAAAAGATTCTGAAGCTACTTCTCATCGGGGACAGTGGGGTTGGCAAATCGTCATTGCTCATGCGGTACTGCGACGATGAGTGGAGCTCCACCTACCTCAGCACAATAGGTGCAGCTTTTGCTACTAGCCTGTACTACAGAAACGCGCTAACGTGTTGATGATCTGTGTATTTGTCACACGGTGTGTATTCTACAAGTGTAGTAGTGTTTTTTTTTTCCGTCAGTGCTGCCACTCGAAAGAACTACCTTGAACTTATGTTCGACGCCATTTTTTTCAACATAGGAATCGACTACCGGGTCAAATACACGAATCTGGCGAAGGAGAAGGTGAAACTGCAAATCTGGGACACTGCTGGACAGGAGCGGTTTCGTACGATAACTGAACAGTACTACCGGAATGCGCACGGCATACTGCTGGTTTACGACCAGTCCCAGCCCGCGACGTTTCAGAATGTGCGCACCTGGATGCAACAGATCCAAGGCAGCGCACCTGACGGCGTACAGACGTGTTTGTTGGGCAACAAAAGTGATTTGAAATCACCGCAGGGCGTTCAGGCAGCGAAGGGAAAGGAGCTCGCAGATGAGTACCTACTTGATCTGCCTGAGTGATGCTTAAATGATCCGCTGCATTTTTTCATCTCATGTGCTTCAATATACCTGCCTCGAAGAAGATGTCGGTCTCAGTGTGGCAATTTCTCGAAAATCAACTTGTTCTTTTTCGTAGGTTCGGGATCCCATTTTTCGCTGTGTCGGCAAAATCGGGCAAGGGCGTTGCCGATGCCTTTGTATCCGTCGGCGAACGTGTGCTCGACCAATTCGCCACGAGCGGGCTCCTGGCGAACACGGCGCAGCGACACCGCGATCGAGTTTCGCTCACCGCAGGCCCGTCCGCTGTGAAGGACTCGGGGGGCAAATCCTGTGCCTGCTAGCAGCAATTGCAAGGGATGCTGCGCTTTTTCGAGGAATGAATTGACAATAGGTCGTGGGAGTTCAGATCGTGACAGGGTTGCCCTTGTTCTTTTCGTGCGGTGGTCCTGGCAACTGCTTTGAAAACGGTCTGCCGCGCCACGGAGATCGCAAATTTTTGACGTTTTGGGCACACGGTATGCAACTTTTTGCATCACCAGAAACCGATCTCAGCCTTTACGTTTGTTAAAAAGAAGTGCATCCGAATCCGCACCAGAAAAAGGAAGTCAAATTTTTAAAGAAGTTATTCAGCCTGAACGTACTAGACCTGAACAAGAATGCCACTTGACGAACACAAACACACTCAAATGCCTTTGCAAACATGTACCATAACGTTAACCGCTCGCATTCAGCCATAGACTGCATATTCATAGATGCTTTACAACTGCATCGCGCGCACTTACAGTATACTACAGCAACGCACACTTACTTTATGCCTTCGCGATAGCTCCGATGCGGAAACCAGACTACTGCCGAAACCGATAGGTTCCACTACACTAAAGCTGTTCTTAACTCACTCCACAAAGTACTTACAGGATCTCTACTTACTTATTTGAAGTTCTTTTTGCACAGATCAAGATCATCTTCTTGGCAAGATCCCAGTGCTTGAACAGATTTTTGTTTTTTCCGATCCCTTGTGTGTGATGTCAACAAGTTTTTTGTGATCTTCTATCGATCCGGAACCGGAACCGGAACGAGAGCGTAACGACTTTTACAGCAGCGACACCACAATAACACTCCGTCATTTTTGGAACAAATCGATTCTTTCCCACGAAGACTCACTTCATCGTTTTCTTTGTCGATCTGAAGATTTTTGATAAAATATTTTTAGCCAAAAGTTGTACCGAATAGTAGAGAACAAGTCTCTAGAAGTTCCCCGCTTTTGCGATGGGGAGCGACTTCTTTGAGTCCCCGTAGCGTCAGAGCTACGCAATTGCGGTCTAAGATACACAACACACTGATTTTGATAAATCCCAAACGTTGCGGGATCGGAAAGATCGCAGCCGAATAGAATTTTACAAGGAGAACAACTCCGCGATCATGTCGCTGATAGCCATTTCTCCGGACGCGTCGCAGTGGCGATGTTCGCTCCTGCACGTGGACGGGATTTTCATTCTACTCGACGCGGGACTTCCGGTAGCGATGGAGAACGTCGACATTGAGGATTTGTACCAGCCACTGATTCCCTACATTCCGGAGATCTCCTTCGTTTTGATCTCGCACCCCTCCATCCAGCACTGTGGCGGCTTGCCCTGGCTGTTCGCCAAGCACGAGCTGCACGCGCCGGTACTGTGCACGGACCCCGTGCGGCAGCTCGGCGAGCTGGCCTGCATCGCGTTTTTCGAAGAGCAGAGTCTGTTGAAGAATGTGGATTGGATGGAACTGGAGGACGTCGTCGCTGCCTTCCTTTCGCAGAACTTCCAAGGTTTGAAATTCGGCGAACGTTTCCTCTACCGAAAGCCGGTGTTGGGGCTCGCTGGCGCAGACGGGGAAATCAACAACCAGAGACAGGATGGTATAAACGCCGAGGACGACGACGATGACTACGACAAAGAAAACAATAAGAACCGCATGTCCACCGGGTCGCAAAACCGACCCCTCTCCGCGAAGAAGCGGAGCAGCACCGGGAATAATGGCGCAAATTACGGCAAGAATAACCCACAGTCCACCGCACAGCAGGGGCAGCTGGAGTGCACCGTGCAGGCGCACCCCTGCGGGTCGACCATCGGCGGAACGTACTTCTTTCTGCATTTTGGGCTGCAGAAAGTCGTGTACTGCCTCGATTACGATTTGCGGTCCACCCGAATAGTGGACGGACTGGACTTGCAGACCTTGCTCACCATCGGAGTGAGCGGATCAGCCACGATCTCAAGAAATCACATCTTTATCACGGCGGTACCACCCACACGAAAGGATATCCCCAGGTTGGGGAACGAACGGTCGATAACAGCGACCGCACCGACGAACGCAGCACAAGGAAAGAAGGGAGGCCACGGAAGTGTGAAGTCGGTATAGATGTTGGTTGGTTTAATGGTGCAATAAAATTTGTCGATTGACACAAGCTGGAAGATGTTAAAAAAGGGGGAGCAGCTACGAAAAAAAGAGATATGAATCGTGATTGAAGAATTACAATGAACATGTCGGTCGAACTGCAAAAAAAATCAGATCTGCCGCACGTGCGGTGAGGAGTACTTTCTTGAGAAGACGATCGAGGTGCTTCGTAACGGCGGCGACATTCTGATCCCCACCGATGGGACTTGTACCAGTGCGCTCGAGGTGATTCACTTGCTGGACGAAGCCTGGAATGTAGACAACGCCCTTGCGGAGAAATTTGAAATCTGCTGGGTCAGCCCAGTCGCAGACGTCGTGCTGGAGCAGGCACGAACGAGGATGGAGTGGGTCTGCAAGAAACTCCAAGAACAGTACCACCACGCAAAGCGAACGCCGTTCAGGTATTGAAGTCACTGTCAGTGTTTGTTTCGTTAGGTTGAGAATTTTCAGACACAACTAGTGGTAGCTTTATAAATCTAGAAAACCTGAGTCGTTTTCCGATAGTTCTGCAGTCTGGGGACCCGCGACGACCTGCAAATAAAATCTAAAACAATCGACAAAAATAAAGGTTTTCGCACGTGAAGCTGTTCGCCTCGCTGGAGGACTGGGCCGCCCGAGAGTCGAAGAAGGGGAGCAAGGCGATTGGCATGGGCACCAACAAGGTGATCGTTGCCAACGGGCACTCTTTGGAGAACGGCGAAGCCCGTGAATTTTTCCTGCAAATCTGCCGCAACCCGAAAAACATGGTTTGGCTCCTGGGGTACTCTAACGTACCGGACGACAGTCTTGCGAACGAGCTTATGACGGACTTCATCGTAAATAAAGTCCAGCAGCGACAGTACAACACCAGGCAATACATCAAAACGCGATGGAGCGAGCAGGAGCTGAGAAAGTATCATGGATACATCCCTCCTGTTGTACATTTTTTTTCAACTGATGATTATGATGATGATGAACTGTCGCACACCGCTCATTGACAGTTTCTGATGCACGACCGCGCTAAAAGTATGGGTTTCAATATGAATATTGATAATGACATCACCAGGTACTACGAACGCAAATGCGAAGAAGAAGTGCGGCGACAGCAGGACCTCACGGCAAAGAGAAAAAGGAGGCAGGACCTGCATACGGCGTTACAGAGAGAAAACGACGGCGCAGCGCACGTCACAAGTGGCGCGGCAGCTGGTGCGGGGGACGCTCCACAGGTACAACAGACCTCTCACTCTACATTTCTCGATTAAATTCGTGTGGCACAGCTAGCGAACAGGTGGCCTTGAATGCGGAGGTTCTCTTCTAGAAGGCGTAGCGGAAAGAAATGAAGTTGAAACACACAAATACCACAGGAACACGTCGCTTTCGATGACGAAGATGCCTCGTTTTTTCAAGATTTGAACTTGTTTCCGAAGCACAAAAACTTTACTTTCGAGTTTGTGCAGGCCCGAGGTGATGATTACGGGCAGCCGCTATCGAACAAAGAAATCGAGGCATGGAAGACAACCCACGAATATGAGTCCGTCGTCACGGGGGACGGGGCCACAGGTACTGGCTGTTTTATGGAGATGATTCAGATGTAGATTGATCGCAGAAAAAATTTACTTCATACACCATCAGGTTTTAGTTTTTCGCGCTCCAGATGAAAAGGTTGAACGTTTGCAGTTGCGAAGACCACAAGTTGCGAATTTTTCCATAATTATGTTGACGTCGGAAGATCATTCTGAATCTTATTCTATTTCAACTCCCTCCCCCCACCCACACTCACCAGGTGCCTCCGGCAGCGCGGCTGCGAACCAGAACAATCCGGACTTTGACTGGTTGTGGGATTTGCGTGTGCGGTTCCGGGAGCCCATGAAAATCGATGTGCTCGATTTGGAACTGCTCGTGGAGTGCATGGTCTGCTACGCGCCCTTGGGGTTGAAAGACCACCGAGACATGCGCGCGCTGATCTCCTCCGCGTCGCCACTGCAGCTGATTCTGCTCCCCACGAAGAATTACGTGGCGGAGGAAGCGACGAACACCCTGAAGCTGCAGTACGAGGCGATGAGCCAGACGTCGACGACCGTGAAAACATTTGCGCCCAACATGGACGCGAACCTGGATGATTCTAACATTGTCCACTTCGGAAGCGGCTTTTCCCGGCGGAAACGCCGCGCAGAGCTGCACGAGGACTTCATCAATTCGTTGGCTTGGTCGAAATGCCAGAGTGCGCGCATAGCGTTTGTGCAGGCCCAAGTGACGGCGAGCCCCGGCGACGAAAAGGACGACGAAGTGGACATGTGGACCTTTGGGCCATCCGGGAAAAACGCTTTGGTCGCCGGCGGTGCGGGAGGTGGAGTGGTTCTTACCGGGTTGAACAACAAGGCCAGCAATGCTTCGAAGCCACCCAAATTGCAGCTGATTCCGAAGGAAATCGGAGCGCAGGGAGCGGAAATGAACATTCGGGACCCGACGGAAACAACGGGGGAGAAGGACAACATTCATCCCACGAGCTCGCAACTAGGATCCTACCCAACGCTGCTGGTCTGTCCCCCGAAACTCTCGCAATTCAAGCAGACGCTGGCAGACGAAGCGCGGGCGGATAACAAGACGTTCGTGACGGAGTTCAAATCGCAATTCGGCAAGCGGGTGCTACACATCGACGACAAGGCCAAACTTAGCTACCTCAGCAGCAGCGACACCATCCAGTTGGAGGGAACCTGCTGCGAGCAGTTTTACAAGGCCAGGGCAACTCTGTACAAAAAAGCAGTCTGTATCTAAGAGCAGATGCTTGGCCTCGGCCTCGTGGATGAAGCCAGCTGAGAAGTTGTGCCTAAGTAACCGAACCAAGAAAAGTACCCGTACGACAGAGCGACAGCGACAGAAAGCGACTAGAATAGTTTGACTTCTAACAGGACGACGTCCATCGCATTTATTACGCGAGTGAAAAATGAATATGGAAGAAAAGAGAAAGAACAAGAAGTACTTGCGGAAGTAGCTTAGGCACTCACCGCTAATCATGAATGGTACACGTAGAGAACAATCAAGTCAATACGTGTTGCCGAATCGCACACAAGATCGGTTTGAGCGAGCGCGAAATTCTCACCGAGATCAGATTCGGTCTATACGTATGAATATTTCGATGTCTCTCCAAAATATAATATGCGAGGAGCCGTACGCAAAAAGAAACGAACGCGCCTCGTGCAAAGCTAAATCTTGATCCGTACGAGACCAAATGAGAAGATGTAGATTGATAAATGAACCACATCAGAAGTAACATGTAAAGAGATCACCCACCTGCGCCTGCGACAAATCCAAATTTTCGACTTCTCCTCAGTTTTTCACAGTGGCTCCATTTTGGCCCCCATACTAACCTCCCGATCTTACACTCTGTAAATCGCGATACCAACCTCGAAGCTTATGCTTTGCTAGCAACTGTTATAACTTGGTGTTTTTACGAAATCTTTGAAGCAACAACTGCGCCCAAGAATTTTTCACTCAACTCATCTGTTTTAGTTGCACAGGAACGAAAACATTACAAATTAAGACCGAGTATCGTGTCTGAACCGTTTCTAGTTCAGACTATCGAATAAAACACAACAATCGAATCACGCCTCGGGTTTTGATACGGAACTCGTCGCGCGGAGCATAGTTCTTCTTTCCCTCGCAGCAGTGACCACAGAAGTTCCTGCTTGTATGAGAGTTCCTGGGCCACGATATTGAGAGGAAAAATCCCCCCTCCCCATATCAAAAAGGCATGCTTTCGAAAATTTGTCTTGCTGATTTGAGACCACAAATCACGTCTGTCTTGCAAGAAGACAAACGCAGAGGCTTCCGCGCCATTATGGAAGCGGTTTGGCATGCTGTTGGGCCTAGAGGACAGCCGTTTGTAATGCTAAGCACCTAGACCCAAATGTCCCTCCGTAGGCTGCGCATCTGGTTGCGATGCCGTATTGCATGACAGCGCGCATTTGTGTACACAAATCCTGCATCACAGATTTCCCATTTGATATGGGGTGGGGGCTTTTTTCATTTTGATACACGAGCAGCAGGAATAGAAGTGCATGTTTCGAAGCCGAAGCCAAGGAAGAGGTCCATTTTCGGATGGGCGACGCCCCAGCAACGCAAAACGCGCAACAGCAGAATACTACAGCTGAAGGAAGTGGCATCAGCTGCTAGTAGTGCTACCAGCAAGAAGAACACGAGGAGGAGTCTTCTTCATGGTAGAAGAACAGACGACCTGCTGTATTTCATCCCCCCGCACCGCGCAGCGACTGGAGCAACTGCTCTAACGAGTGCGGCCTCTTCAGCACGAAAAAACTCGGATGACGAGGAAGAACTGTTGTTGACTATTGCAAAAAGCGACCTGCTTCTACACATAGTGGCAGGAAGTGGAACTACATCAAGTGCGACTAGACCCTCAACAGCTATTATTTCTCTTCAACAACGACGAGGACAGCGGCACCAGACTAACGAACATAGCACCTCCCACATTGCTGGTGGGGAAGATAATCGTCGAGTAGAAGTCAGTACGGTTTTTATCGACGGCGAAAAGAGTAGTTTTTGGAGCAGTTCGTTCGGGTAGTAGTAACTTCCGAAAAAAGCAGGCAAGATGGCGATGGTTAACATTCCTTCCACGAACACCGACCCGAGTTATCGGTACAAGATGCCGAAACTCATCTCGAAGGTAAATCTTTACGCTCTAATTATAAAGAACATCGCTTTTATTGTTCATGCACCGGCACTGTTTCATCTGCTGCATCAGGAACGTAACGAAGACGAACGCATAGTCGCACCGCTTTTTCTACCTGAACAAAGTTTCGTTGAAGTGCAAACTCTATCTGAAAAATACAATAAACCGATTCACCAGGTCGAGGGTCGTGGTAACGGGATTAAGACAAGTGTGGTGAACTGCAAGGAGATTGCGACCGCGATCAAGCGGCCGCCGGGCTACATCATGAAGTGGTTTTCCTGCGAGCAGAACGCGACCTCCACCTACACGGAGAAGGACGGGGAGGGCCAAAGAGCCATCCTCCTGGGCGCCCACCAGGCCCCGGATCTGCAGGTCTCCCTGGACAAGTTTCTGAGCGTCTACGTGCTGTGTCCGACCTGCGGACTCCCGGAAATGGATTTGAAGTACTCAAACGGTTTACTTTTTGCTCCTTCCATTGTGCGTGCACCAGAATTTATGAGAAAATTTTTTGAATAAGCTCTTACATCTTACGTTTAAGGTTATCATCGTGTAGCTTTTTCTTTGAACGAGCTGAGAAAAATTATCGCAGGACCAACAAGAAAGCGGAAGAGATCAGCGGTGCGTGCGCGGCTTGCGGCTGGTCCGGCCTGCTGCAGGACGCGACCATCCACCGGATGGCGGCGTTCGTGTTCAAAAACCCTATGGACGGCGGCGGTGATGACAGCAAGCAGAAGGGAAAAACGAAGGAGGAGCGTCGCGCCGCCCGCGCAAAGAAAGCTGCGGAAGGGAACAAGGAAGGTGCGGTTTGTTGATAGAACTTTTTTCATTCGAATAAACATAAAGGCATTCACTTACATCCTGATTATTTTTGCGCATGTACTAGGTATGCATTCGACGCACTTTTGTTTCTTCTCAACTGTAGTTGACCTTGGTGGATGATAGATCACTTTAGTTTGTATGCAAACATATTGTGATTCCACAGACGCCGGCGATGCAGAGGCCAAGAAGAAAAAGAAGAAGAAGGCCGCTGACAGCGACGCGGACGAGGACAACTCGGACTCTGGTGAGACGAAAAAGAAAAAGAAGAAGGACAAGAAGGAGAAAAAGGAGAAGAAAAAGAAGACCCGGGAGGAGTCGGATGACGGCGGCGACCAGGACGGCACGCGTGCGAAGAGCAGCGACGACGAGGAGAACCAGCACAAGGACGAGGACACGCTGACTTTCATCGATTCCTTGAAAGGCTTGAAGGAGGGCGGAGCCAAGGAATTCATCGAGGAGGTATGAAAATTTTTTAGCACGAGAAATAAAAAGATGGCTTATGTTTATACTTTTTTTTAGCATGTTCTTTTCTTAAATCCTTGCAATTCTTGATCCAAATAAACGACCTATCCCAGTCCCGGCTTCTGAAGATTTCTCGGCAGATGGAGAAGAAATTGTTTGCGTACGCCATTCTGGAGTCCTTGTTTCCGGACGAATCCTTATCTGCGAAAGCCATGGAAAAGGCCGAGGACCTGTTCGCCGGGGTCGTGCGGGAGGACAAAATTCCGATGAAGGATTTGATGTGGGCTTTCGAGCTCTACATCTCCGAACACGAAGCCTGCCTGAAAGGGTACAACTATAGAGTTTTTTTGTAGAATCGAAGTGTCGATGACCACGTCTTTGCGGAGATTCAAGATTGCGGTGCTGTTGTAAATAAAGCATTGAATAATGATCAAATAGTGCTGTTTCCTCGAGTAGATGAAGATTTTTGTTCAACATAACTTATCGCTGATCGACATCACAACTGAATCGAATTATTCTTGACAGGTTTCCGATGGTTCTGAAGGCCATGTACGATATGGACTTAATCGAGGAGGAGAATTTCCTCCCCTACTATAACGATCCGAAGGCCAACAAGAACCACCCGGGCCACGACGCCGTGCACAAGATCGTGAAACCCTTTGCGGAGTGGCTTGCCGAAAACTCGGACTCCGACGACTCGGACTAATTTTTTGAAAATTGTGGTTCGCGACGACCTTCAACGAGAGAGCTAGTAGCACAGCAGTAAGAATCAACAGCTAGGAAATGTTTCGAAATGGAAGGAAATACTATCACATGTTGACAGGAACAACAAACACTGGCACCATTGTTTTGATGCCACTGTGAATCGCTTCTACACTTCTACTTACAATTCAACATCTTCACCATAGCGACTGAATTAAGACGAATCTTCTTCACCATTTTTTGAAACGGTCCATGGAACAAGCGACCACGACACCAGGTCTTGAAAAACTTCTGGAATAAACCTTCGCATAGTATTACTATGGCGCAAGAACCACGACACCAATCCTATCAGGGCTAGAAGAGCTATATATTGCCATCTAGCAGAAGCAGAAGTATGGCTCGAATCAACCACGACCAGACTGCGAAACATCATCTCACCACATAAGAAGTCCAAAGTCAAAATAAACTTGAGACGCTCGTCTGCCGTCGTCCCGGAGCGGATCTTTGCTCATTTGCCCACGGTATTTTCATGTTCGATGTGGAGCTTGAGCTTCTTTTCGTAGTCGTTGTCGTTTCTCAATATTTATTGAGAAGGCTTGTTCTCGTAGTGAAAGAGGGAGAACTACATCAAGATGAATCGCACTCTCTGCAATCGTGATGCTACTTGATCGAAGAGGAAAACGTATGTCGTTTTCGTTTTTTTTTTCGTTTCGAAAATCCCGGAGAGACATCGTGAGTGAAAATAAGTCGCCTTATGATACAGTGTAAGTAAGTATGTTCCTCCTCTCGGATGATCGTAAGTTTCAATTGATTGTGATTGCTCTTACACCAACGCCGCCACAGGAGCCATTGACGCACTTTGGACTTTTTGAAATTCATGACTCGAAGCGCACGGCGCCGGGTGGTACAGGCTGACGTTCGGGAAGATTGTCAGAAATGGATTCGACGCGTTCTGAAGATTCCTTCCTACGACCTGACACCTGCACAAAGATGCACGCAAAAGTAATCGAGTCGTCAGTTGCCGGCTGCAGATGGGGGATGGAGCCTCACCGGCCAAGCGATTTTTTTGAAGAAGAGAAGCGTTAAAAACGACGAACTCTCCGCGCATTTTCTTCATGGTAAAGAACTACTTCCCCGGCCCTCTTCCTCGCCTGGCGCTATTACCGATGTTGTGGGCGCTTCGCCCTTGCCGCGTGTAGTACTAATTTAGTTTGATGGGTGGAGCACAGCACACCAGGGCCAGGTAGTAGTAAGCAAGACCACGTGTCGCGCGCCCGTCAGCGCGTGGTCCCGAAAAAATGGTGGAGCGCGACGACACTTTCCACAAGATGAGCAAGAAGATTGCGCAGCTCACGAAGGTCATTTTCCACTTGAACACGAAAAATGACGAAGCGGACCTGCATCTGCGGTCGGTTTCCAACGCGTACGAGCAGGAGATCGAGGGGATCGTCCGCAACTGCAACGCGAAAATCCAGGACGCCTGGAACGCGTTTGAGAAGGTAAAAAACGAGACGGCGGTGCGGGAGCAGAGTCGCGGCATGAAGGAAAAACTGGAGTCAGAAAAGCAAAACATGCTGAAGGAGATCGAAGACCTGAAACTCCACCAAGTGAAAAAGGAGCAGGAGTCCTTCCGACATTGGACCGACCGGGTCACAACCTTGACCGAGGAGCTCGATGAGCTCCGGGTGCGGTGTCGCGAGCAGCGGGAGAGCTTTGACAGAAGTTTGCAGCAAAAAGTGGACCAGCACAGCCAGGCGCTTTTGGACCAGAAAGCGACGTTGTCGGGCACGTTGGAGGCAGAAAGCACGAAGTGGGACGAAGAAAGAGTCTTGCTGAATGCGAAAGTATCAATCTATTTTTGATGTCCAGTGCTGATGTAGTGCTAGGCTGTGCTGCTCGTCGTGTCGTGTATAATTCCGGAATCCACATCACGACAAGGAGAAATAGAAAATTAAAGATTGTGTTGAGATTACTTATACTTATCTGCCGGAAAATTTCTTTGCTGCAAGGACACCAACAAGAATCATGCACACCATAATTTCAACAGATCCGCAGTCTCGAGGGTGCGCGCAGCGACGCCGAAAATGACTGGAAGCGAAAAGTAGAGGAGCGCGACGAGAACAGTGCAAATTTGGCTTCGCAGCTCGCAGAAAAACAAAAGTCGCTGGAAAAAGCGATCGCCGACAAAACGGCACTAGAGTCCGAGCTGGAGGACACCGAGACTCGGCGCAAACAGACCGCGGAGGACCGGGATCGGGTGGTGGAAGACTTGTCAAGGCTGAGAGAGGGTAGTTCCGCGACTGCGTCGCGACTAGAATCAGAACGAGCGGAATTGCTGAAGATGAAGACCGAGTTGGGCAGTCAAGTCGCGAAGCTTCAAGCCTCGCTAGACTATCAAATGCAAAAATGTCTGGGTCTGGAAGAATGCAATTTGTCGTGCTAAATCTGAAGCATGCAAAAATCTGTGTTGCATGATTACCAAAAGTCGTCCAGTTTTGACCAAGTCGGGAGGCAGTTTCTCATGCAGGATAGGCATGGGAAAGATCGCACAGAATCTGTCACGCTATGTCCTGCATTCCAGACCTCACGGGTCATGGAAAAGCTGCATGACAAATCGCGTATTCTTCCAGACCCAGACATTTTTACATTTGATATAGACGAGGAAACGACGAAAGCGGCCGACCGGGAGAGAGAATTCTCGCGCTACAATATTGTGAGGAAAAATCCCCCCTCCCCATATCAAAACAGAATTTCTGATGCTGGATTTGTGTACACAAATCAGCTGTGTATTGCAGGGAGGCATTGCGACCAGATCCCCAGGGTAGGTAAGGGCGTATGAATCTAGTTGCTCAGCATGGCAAACGGCTGCCCTGTAGTCCCAACAGCATGACAAACCGGCTTCATAATGGGGCGGAAGCTTCTGCCCTTCTCTTCTTGCAAGACAGATGTGATTTGTGACCTCAAATCAGCAACGCAAATTTTCGAAAACATATCTTTTCAATATGGGGAGGGGGGATCTTTCCTTACGATATACAAGTCCGAGGCCAGCATGTCTTCCCGGGAAGCCCAGGACACGGTCGAGAGACTACGAGACTCCTTTGCGCTGGAGAAAAAGCGCTGGGAGGAAACCAAAAAGTCGCTGGAGGACGGGAAAGAGGCGGTCGAGAAAAAATTTAGCGAAACGGAGAAACGGCGAGCAGAGGTAAATTTTTGTATATTTTTTGCGAGTACGTTGTGTACTACACTGTTGTTCGGTAGCGGTAGCGGCTACTGGTTCTCTCCATCAACTTGTTTTTTTGATGGTCGCACGTCTGTGCGTAGCTTCTTTCAATGAAATTCAACCGTTTTTCATTTCCATGAAAATATCAGCTGGACACACGAGCACAGCGGTTGGAGGAGCAAGCAAACACCTTGACGAGCGAGCGAGACTCGAGCCGAGCGGAACGTGACAAGTTGCAGTCTGAGATAGACGCCTTGCGCAAGCAGATAGAAGAAACCAGTAGTGGGGCCAAGACCGACATTGACATCTTGCGGCAGAAGCACACAGCTGAAATAGAAGAACTAGAGAAGAAGCTGAAAGAAAAACAAGCAGCGCACAAACAGGAGCTGGACGCGACAATAGAAAAGCACAAGGCGGAAATTGCAAGCCTGCAAGCGTCCCTGAGTGCCGACTTTGCGTCAAAGACAGAGGCGGCGAGCGAAAAGTATACGAAAGAAAAAGAAGAACTGACAAAAGCGCACAACGAGCGAATAGAAGAGCTTCAGCGCAGCTTTATCACCGATCGAGATCGGGACCGCCACGAAACCAGTGCGGCGCGGGAAAAAGAACACGCAGACTTCGAACAGAAAGTGGCGACTCTGCAGGGCCGACTAGAAGAGGAGGAGTCAAAGCGGCGCAACCTCGAGGATCTCGGCGGCGACACCGCAAAGCAGCTCCACGCGGTGCGCGAGACCCTTGCTGCCAAGGAGGCGGAGGCAGCGGGTCTCGGCGAACAACTCAAGGTATCATGAGTTTTGTTCCTGTTCTTTATTACCGCAAGTAAAGAAGATACCAGGATCAGGATGGAACAACTAGTACTAGAAGTAGAAGAACACATTGCAGCTGAGTACTACAGTACACTTGAATCGATTACGATTTTTGTCGATTTGCGATGAAAATGAAAGTGTCAATCATGGTTTCTGAAAATAAAAACATAGACTGCGCGCGACCGTGTCCAAAACCTTGAGTCGAAGAATCTTTCCTCGGATGAACGGCACGCCGCTACTATCGCGCGGATGCGCGAGGATCTGTCCCGCGAAACGGAGGAGTGCCGGGTGGCAAAGCAGGACAACACGAACCTGCAAAAGGATCTCACACTCGTGAGGAACGAGAAACAGGAGCTGGAAAGAAATTTAGTGATGAAGGACGAGAGCATCGATTCCTTGGAAAAGCAGCTGCAGGACAAGGAAAGGGGTTTGGGGGAAGTTTCCACGGAGGCGAAGCAGAAGATGGACCTCATGACGGCGCAGATGAATCGGCAGCTGAACGACGCCAAGGACGACGCAGTGAAAATGGTACAGGAACTGACACAACAGCACCAACAGAAAATTGCGGACATCTACGAAAAGCACGGCGCGGAGCTAGAGCGGGTCAAGCAGCGGCACAACGTACGTGATATACGCTTTTGTAGTGATTGATGTTTTCATCTTCCTGTTTGACAGTACTAGAAAGTGAAAGACAAAGGTCCTTCATCTTTCCGGCGAGCTACTCACTAAAAGTAAAAATAAGGGTTTATGAAGAATAAATCGTATCAAAACCTCCTAAACGCGTCTGCAGATCGAGCTCACGGAGAAGATTGCCGCGCTCGAGGACCAACACACGGCGTCGCTGCAGCAGCTGAAATCGAGACACGACGGGGAGCTGGCGCAGCTGGACGGGAACCTGCGGATGGAAATGGAAAAGCTGCGGCAGCAGCACGAGGCGGAAACGCAAGCCGCCAGGGAACGGCACAAGGAACTCGCCGATGAGAAGCGGGCGACCGACGCCAAGTGCGCCGCCCTGGAAAAAGACCTGCGGTGCAGCTCCTCCAAGATCGACGAGTTGACGAGCGATATAGCGATACTGCGGGCGGATTTGGTAGCCTCGGAAAAGCGAATAGAAGATTTAATGCAATCAGGAGACGAGAGCTTGAGGAGGCTGAAGGTAATAATTCGGCAAAGAACATCAAGATTTTTGTTTTGATCGATCTTCATAATGAATTTCTTCTCAGATGAGTCGTTCGTCTGTTCGGCTTTTTTTTTCATCCTGGAAGATCATGGACGTTGTCCGACTCGCCGTTTCTAAATGCATCAACGCACCACTGCTTGTTCTCGTGAACTCTTACCACAGGCTGACGCAGACAAGCGAGAGGCACAGATTAGAGCATCGTTTGAGTCAGAAAAGCAGAACTTGGAGGCCAATCACCAGGACGAAGTCGCGAGGATGAATCAGGTACTACTTGGGTCATAACTAGTTTTGATCAGGTGTTTATTCTACTCTTCCAGATGAAGGCGCGAGCGAAAAAAGCTTGGGTTGACAAGTAAAGCCATCATTGTTCGGCTGAAAATAAGTTAGTAGGTGCTAAGATCTCGTAAAATGCGACTGATATACGAACAAACAGACTCTTGAAGCCTAAAGGTATCGTGTCCAGATACCTACTGGGGGAAGGTTTTTATTCTTCGTAAACAGCACCTGATTGCAAAAGAAAGCCAGTCTCACCATCGAGGTTCTTCTTCTTCTTTCTTTTCTTCTTTTCCTTTCTTTGCTTTCTCTTTTCTTTCAAATCACGAGGCTACCGAGATACTTAGTACGAGAGTATCCGAATTACTTCGAGCTTGTTGTAGTGAACGATAAGCAAACGATGTAGTACGATACCGAGAGTGTTTCATCACTCCCCCCACTAAGAAAAATCGAAAATAAATATGGCCAGTATTTATATGAGATTTCTATGTGGAGCGACCTAGGGAAATAAAAACCTAAGTTCGTAAGAAGGCTCAACCAAACGTGAAGAAAGAGTAGAAAAATTTGAAAAATGTAGGTGCGTGCATGAAATATAAAAACCAAATCTGTAATGCGAAACATGACACGAAGGGAAATAAAAGAGTTGGTTTGTAATGCGGGAAATTTGAATATTGTAAAAGTTTGCAACAAAATGATATGAAATGAAGCAAACACCGCTTAGAAAGCAAAAAAAAATATTCATAACACTAGGAAAATATGGAATATGTGATGCTGAAAATGTGAGATAAAAATAAGCAAAAGATGAATCTGTCATGCGAAAAGCAAAAAAAATTAAAGCAATGACAATCCGAATCGCAATGGTGAACGTGAGATAAAATCGAAGAGCGTAAAACTGCCAAAATGGCAAAACAAAAACAGCACGGGAGTACTCGTATCATTTGACTCAAGGTGCTACAGGAAGAGGCTTGATTATCATTTTGTCAAAAAAAATAAAGTGTAAATGTTAGATTTGTAATGCGGAAAAGGAGAAAAGATGAGTATGAGTAGTAGTCAACGGAATTTGTAATGCGAAACACGATGAGAATGCGCTGACCATATGATAAAGAAGTTGTAAAAGAATGTAAAATAGCATGACAAATTAAAAGTCTGAATTTGTGAAAAAATATAATAACTCATCGCGGAATGGAGATTTTATTAAGATGCAAATTTTGTAAAAGCAATGGAAGTAGAGGGCTTTTTCCTTTCGTCAAAACGTCAGCGATGTTTTGCGTCTTGCCACATACCCAGCGAATCACCATGCTCCCACTCGTGTAAAGCTGTCGCAGGCCGTACCAGTTTGCTGCAAGTCGCATGCTATGACAGCGATTATTTGTTTTCAGGTGGGACACGAGTGAGTTGTTGTCGTTCAGCATCACGATAGGGTCGGTAGGTTTAACCAAACCCAAGGAAATCGCGATGGCGCTGAGGTATCTCGCCACGTTCGCGGCGAATTGCGTCGACAAGGTTTCGGCATCCAGGATAGCATCGCATTTCCGTTTTACGCTCGTCGTGCGCCAGTAGATCGGCACTCCAGTAGCGCTGATCGCTGCCCCGGTCGGTTTCTCCATTTTGTGAACTTGGTCCACCCCTCGCGTTTCGGCTTTGTCTGGGATGGAACTCAGCCAATAAATTGACCCAATGCATGGGGCTTCGGGTTGTAGTCGGTTAAACGATGCATCTGCATAGGCAACTATTTGCAAATCGCCCTCTAGTTTCGGTATTTTCAGTCGTACGCTTCTGCTGTGCAAAGTTTTCCGGATCAATTTATTGAGCTGGTGGAGGTGCGACCATGTCGGCGCTGTAGCGTGCTTAGAAAGCGAATTTGTGTCGTAGGTCAGGTCGGGTCGTGTGCGGTAGGAAATCCAGTTCAAACGCCCGATGGCGCTGCGGTACTTGGTGTGGTATTCCGCAGGTAGTGGATCTTCGTCTTTTGCGTCTGCTGGTGCCGCAATTTGCTCGAACTTTGCGACATAATGTTCTTGATCCACTTCATACCCACCGTCTTTGGTTCTTCTGATACATTTTCCGCAAAAAATGACACCGCTTTCATCGATGTCATCGACCGAACCCACCTTGAAACGATCAGCAACTTTTTGCCAATACCGATCGAATGCGCTATCTCCAGCCGTAAGCTTGTCATCGACGTGAAGATTTACAACTTCAGCAATTCGACCAATGGGAGCGGTTCCCAGAACTTCTTCGGCCAAAATTTTCTCTGCCGATTTCTTGGAATTTTCTTGGTCCGGGCGCCTCACGACTTCGTCTTTTTCATCCAGTTCCAGCACCCACAATCCCAAGTCAGCACCTAGTTGCCGAAATCCAACTTCTTTGAGGAAGTCAGAAAAGGCAACATACCAACGTCGAGGTCCATCCACCAAGCCATAAAGTGCCATCAACAGCTCCAAGCATGAATTGACCTCCCATTTCATTGCTTCGTAAAACTCAGGGCCGCACTCTTCAGGCAATTGAGGAAAGGCGACGAACGGCCTGGGCTCCCCTTCCTTGAATCCGTTTTGTTGCAGGAAGGCGGTCTCAAAATCTGTCGTCTTTGATTGCCATCGGTTTTTGCTCGCAAGACAGAGACTCAAAAGCAGCCCTTCATGGCTCACCACGTCCTGATCTAAACGAAGAGTGGTTTTGCGGGGGTCCATGTACCCGCGAGGCACGAAGCGGCATTTGACACGTTTGAGAGACCCATCGGCATTTAACTTCACGGCGAAGATCACGCGGCTAGTGATCAACTTCTGCCCAAGCGGTTTCTCCACTATTTTGTAAACTTTGCGCTTTTCCAAACTTCCAAACTCATTGACAAAAGCCTCCAGCGCCAGTTTACTCAGTCCGTTTTGCACAGACCACTTGTAATCCAGCTCGACTGTTCCTTTGGCTAACTGCTCCGGCGGCAGGTTGAGCCAAATTTTTTCTGACTCTTTTTTCTCGGCCTTGACTTCCGTCGGCTCGGTCGGAACAGACTTGAACGCGGGATCTTCAAAAACCAAACTCACTACCAGATCGCGCTTGGAAACTGCTTCACCGACAGAAGCAGAGCGGGCGGGCGCGTTTGGAATGAGAATGAACGTAGCTGAGTGCTGATTCGGAATCTCCGGCCGTTTTTCCAGACCGGTTTTTGTTGGGACGCGCTGGCAGTTTTTTCGAATCACAACACCCGCAAGGCTCGGCAAATTCAAAGTCGAATTGATCAGCTCGAACGGCCGCGAGCCTGGCAAAAACTCGGCGCGCGTGGTACTGTCATCAACAAACCCAGCAAAGAAATCTTGAAACAGGCTCAGGGATTGCTTTTGTTGAGATGACAGGTAGGCGAATTCCGCTTCTGGTGCTCCAAGCGAAAAGAATGCCAGCTCCTCGGTGTGTTCGTAATGCGACTTAATGCGCTTCAGCAATTCGTCTTTTTGTGCTGCCAGGGGGATACTGAGATAGTGCGCCAGCCATTGCAGTTCCACCATTGCCAAACCTCCTAAACTTTCCAAGTTCCGTTTGTCGGGCGGGACCTCGCGGTAGAACTTCGGATCCAGATCCCTGCTTTTCGTTTTCTGGTTTACCCCTCTCCAGTTGGAGAGGTCACGCGCGGCAGTGACTTGATTTTCGTGAACAACAGATATCGAAAACGCCGCGGGGTTCTTGAGCTCGCTGGATAACTTTTGGCCCTTTTAGGTATTTCACTTCCAGCAGTTTGCCCTTTGGTGTGAAGGTCGCGTGGACCGTGCGGACGGTCTTCAGTTTTTCGCGGTTTGCCTGTGCGTTGCCCGCGATCAAAACTGGTTCGTCGAATCGTGTAGCGCCAATTCTGCAGCTAGCTTGGATCACTTTTACCGACCCAAAAAGCGACTTTTGCACTGCCATGCGCCTGGTTGTGTCGTCGCGCGCGGCTGCGGCGCTGTGCAGGTTTTTCGCGTTGGCCTTCATCACATCGACTACAATTTTGTCTACGTCCGTAGCATCGGTTTCTGCATTTTCTTGCTCTTCTTCTGGCTGCATTTGTAACAACTGCGACTCCAAATTTGTGGCCAAATCTTGATACTCTTCGGGCAAAACTTCAACGACCTCAATTTCAGATGGCGGAAGGCGGCGGCACTCTCGCGCGTGCGCCTGCTTCATGGTTCCATCATCGAACTGGACCACTACTGTCTTCGTGCCTTTTGTTCCCACGACAGTAGCACCAGCCCACCGAGTGCGCCCGGTGGTTTTGTCTTCTGGTTTCGTGTCCACATTCACAAAAACTCGGTCGCCATTGTAGTAAAATTCCGCACTTGCGTGTTGGCTCTGGTTGTTCAAAATTTCGGAAATTCCTTTTGTTTGTGCCTCGAAGTTCACCAGTTTTGCTGCCTCATTCCGAAGCTGCGCGCGCTGGGAAGCAAATTCCTGGTCCGTTTTTGAAATTTTCGCGATTGAAGGCCCAGGAGCAAGGTCGCGCAAAACGTCCTGACTGTGATCGTTTCCCAATTGAACAAATTGAGAACTGTGGCCGGAAGATCGGACATAACTGTTTTTGCACACCAATGCTTCCTGCAGAATGTCAACAAAGTCCAGGCTCGTGTAGTGGCTTGCCGGACTTCCACACAACCTGTCCACCAACATCCCCAAAGCGCGCGTATGCGATTCAGAGATGAACTCATGCTCGCGCACAGGGCTGCGATAATGGATTACACCTCCTGCCACGGTACTCAGGTAGCCAAAAACTTTTGCATTGATGAACTCCGTACCGTTGTCGGTGAGAATCGCGGTTGGCAGCGACCCATTGATTTTTCTCCACAATCGCAATCCTCGAACAACTTCGGACCCACTGGATTCCGTTTCGCAGATGGTTGCAAACGACCACCCACTATGCGCGTCCACAAAGTGCAGGACTGCGCACTTTTTATTTTTCCAAACGAAGCACACAGTGTCAATGCAGACCAACTCATTGGGCGCCGTCGCAGAAATTTTCTTTCCTCCCAATTTCGGTTTTGGCTGCATGCGCAAAAGCTGGGCGCAGGTCGGGCAGTTTTCAACAACCAGCGCGGCGATCTGCTCGAACTTTTTCCGTTCCGCTTCATTTTCAAAAACTTCGGAATATCGAAAAGTCAGCGGCTTGGCCGGCAGATGCCAATTGCGCTCGTGCAATTTCTTTACCTCGGAATACGTGAAAAACGCCAGCTCTTCAGCAGTTCCGGCATTTGCGTAGTGGTAGCCCGTTTCACTTCCGAAAATTTTTTCAAAATTTTTCAGAAAATCAACCACGTAGAGTCCGTTTCGTTTTTGCAGCGGTATTACTTCCTCTCCTTTTCGAATTTCAAACCCTTCCAAATCGATTACACTTCCGCCCAAAATGTCACACCCTAAAAGGAAAGGCGTGTCGGGTGGAGTCAGCACGGCAAACGTCCGCCAGGCGCTGCCTATCTGTATGCTGACTCCTTTTTCCACTTTTTTCGTGAAGCCGTCGGCAAACTTGTAACTCAACTTTTTTGGTAGTTGAAATTCTTCTCCCACAAAATGCGGGAACACAGACCGGAAGGCCTGTAAGGTAGCTTCGCCCACAAGGCTGCGGCTGCAACCCGGGTCGACAACGAAAATCCCGGCAAACTTTTCGTAGGATTTCGTTTGTTCCTCGGTTAGCTCGGACAAATAACACCAGTCCGAATCGTCCGCCCGCGGCTGTAGACTTTGTCTGGGGGTTCGGCGGGGGGGTTCCGTTTTCCAAAATTTTTCCCAAAATGGTGGGGCTCATCATCAAATTTTTCATCGTAACACCATGCGGATTCTCGGATTGCTTTTTTTTTTCGGTCGCAACAGCACCGGTCTTCAAATTTTTCAAAGCTTGCAGGGATTGATTGATTTTCGTCCTACCATTGGAATTCAGGTCGATAGATGCTTTTTCGTTCTTGCATAGACATCGGGATTCGGGACACGGAATAATTGAGATTTTTTCATTCGCCACCGGGGTGCGTCGTAGATGCAAATCGTCCATCTTCAAATTTTCATACTTTCCATCGGTTTTCGGTGGGGATAGTCAGGCCGCATGTTCCGTCTCGTCGGCGTCAGCATCCTGGGCCAGCATCGCGCTGCCGTTTCCACGGTGGGGGCACGATTTCCGCAGGTGTTGGTTGGAACCACAAATCCAGCACTTCGCCGCGTTTCCGTTCCCTTTTCCAACACCGGGGCCGCCTTTCGTACCTCCGTTGCCCTTGCCGTTTCCGCCGTTGCGCTGCGGCTTTCCGCCGTTCTGTCCCTGGCCCGTTCCTTTCCCGCCGGCCTTGGTCGGTTTCCCACCATTGCGTTGTTGGGGTTTGTACTGAAAATTCGTGTTTCCGTTTCCCTTGCCGTTGCCACCGTTCCGTCCGTGCTTGCCCTTGCCGTTTCCCTTCCAGCGCGGGATCTGTGCCAAACCCGCGATAGCCATAATCGCGTCCCCCTGTCGGTCGTACCGGTTTCCCGCGCGGTCCAAAGAGGTCGGAACCAAAAGAGTTTCGACCAGCTGGCAAAGGTGGCGGAACGTGTGTTCTCCCTGTCCCGATTTCGCCAAGTCGAAGTGGTTGCGCAGCGTCTTGGAATCGTTCAGGTCGAAACGCATCCCCGAAAAGTAGGCGGATACGATCGCGCGTTCATCCATCGGACGCTGGTCGTTTTTCTGGTCAACCACGTAAGCCTTGAAGCGGGTGGTTGCGGTTTGGTAGTCTTCGTTCCCCTTCCGTTCGAAAGTGCTTACCCGGCGGTAGCGCTTTTCTTCGGCCAACCCGTCGACCGGTTCCAAAAACGTCACCGCACGTTCTAAGCGTTGCACCGGGGTCATGGTGCGAATGCCCGAAATCCAGTCGGCGTCTTCTCCTTCCTTGCCTTCGTAGTCCGGGGTCATGGACATGGTCCAGGTGCGCGGGTCCATTTGTAAAAGTTGGCGAACCAAAAGGGGATGGTAATGGTTGGGCTCGATGCCTTGCAGCATGATGGTGGGGCAGATCAAATGTTCCGATAACTCCGATGCCAGCAACCACAATTGGAGTTTTTCCTTCCACTCCCGTGGGCCCATTGTCGGGGTCCACACCGGCACCGGAATGCGTCCACTGCTGTGTCCGCTGCTGCTACTGCTCCCGCTGCTGCGTTCCATGGTGTTGGTTTTGTTTAAACAGTGCGAAAACGGTAGGCCCTAAAAAGCTTGAGACAAGTAAATTTTTTCTACAGCCGGGGGGCTCTGTGGAGGATCCTAGGTGATTAGCCTAAAACTCCGCTACCATGCTAAGATCTCGTAAAATGCGACTGATATACGAACAAACAGACTCTCGAAGCCTAGAGGTATCGTGTCCAGATACCTACCGGGGGAAGGTTTTTATTCTTCGTAAACAGCACCTGATTGCAAAAGAAAGCCAGTCTCACCATCGAGGTTCTTCTTCTTCTTTCTTTTCTTCTTTTCCTTTCTTTGCTTTCTCTTTTCTTTCAAATCACGAGGCTACCGAGATACTTAGTACGAGAGTATCCGAATTACTTCGAGCTTGTTGTAGTGAACGATAAGCAAACGATGTAGTACGATACCGAGAGTGTTTCATCAGTAGGCATCAAATAAATCAGTAAGAGTCTAAACGAAACCATTGCTTTTGCTGCACAACAGATCCGCGCCGACATTGAGGCCGAAGGGGAGCAACTGCGGGCCAGGATCTTGGAGCTGCAGCAAATGTTCGAGAACCGACCGTCCCGGCCCGAAGACGTCGAGCAAATCCGTCTACTGCACCAGGAGTGCCGGGACCGCGAAACCGCGTTCAACCAGCTGCGCGACGAGATGCAGTACTACCGGTTATGCATTGCAAATGTGTCTGGGTCTGGAAACTTGTGATGCAAGAAAGGGAAAAATAGTGAGCTGAGTGCACTGTAAAAATGCGCTGGTCAGCATGACAAGTTTTTCCGTGGTTCTGAGTTGCGTACTCTGCATGAGAAACTACGTTTTTGCATGACAGGCAAGAGGAGCTCTTCGCGGCCACGCAATACAGACCTCAGCGTCATGCCGCACTAGCATGACAAAGCTCGCAATCTCCCAGACTCAAACATATTTGCATTTGATACCGGTTAGAGTTAGTCAACCGCGAGCAGAACTACAACAAGGTGTTCGGGGTGTCCGGGCCTAACTATCCTGAGTAAAAACGTACCCACACCAGAGTTGTCATGCAAATCTGCATGCCAAAAAGGTTTGTCATGCGGAGCGCCATGAGAGGCATTGTCTAGTCGTGTTTTGGAATTTGTGATGCTACAATCAGAATTATGGAAAGAAAAAAGTTTGTCACAGTCACTAACTTGCAGGTTTTGCATTACAAATTTTTATTCGCACCACAAATTTTCCTTGTATTGCAGAAACACTAGGGAAATCCCTTATGAAGTTTGGCTGTTATGCATTTTTACGCATGACAGAAAATTTTGTATTGCAAAAATGCGCATAAGTGATCGTGACGAACTTTTTTTGTTTGATAAGAATGATATACTAGATCTGTGAAGCTGCTGAACTACCTAAACAGGATTACACTACGAAGAGGAACTTGTCATGCCAAACGACCAAAGCTGGCTGATTTGTCTAGCAGATTTGCCATCTTGACTCTGGTGTGGGTACGTTTTTACTGAGGATACTAACGTCGGGGTCTTGAACCCTGTTTCCGCCCACCAACCCACCCAGCCGAACAGCCGCAAGTCGAGCGGCGCGCAGCAGCCCTCGACGCGTCCGGGCAAAACCGGCGGGGTGAGCCATGCCGTCATCGGTGGCGGGCAGCTCGACGCCGGGGGGCTTCCACCCTTAGGCGTCGCAGTGGGCGCGGTCGGGCCCGCACAGCAGGCGGCAACGCGGAAAAAGGGTGGAAAGAGGCCCATCAGTGGCGGCGAGCGCAGGCCAACGCTGGAGAGCGTAAACGACAACCAGTTGCTGCTCTACAAGTAGACGCGGACGACCAGGTAGTCGAGTCAGTTGGTGGACACAAGTAGTTGTAGTAGAAAAATTAGTGAAGAAATAGTAGCAATAAAGTAGTTAACCTTAACGGAGTCAATTTTTAGCGAGCAAGCCGAATTTTCGAATTTTCTTACAGTGCAGAACCAGAAGTGGTCGAAGTGCAGCGTATGCCGATGGAGATAGATTCGAATCGGGTAGTTGTGCTTCGAGATACTTCTCAAGATCTTGATCTTTTTTTCTTTCTTACAATCTTACTTACGCGAGCTTTGCGGCTGGTTACTCACTCGCAAAGTGAGGAAACTGGTGGCCGAGGGGGAAGACACTAAAAAAATGCATCTTCCTGAACAGGAGGTGGATGAGATTGAGAAGTGCCGTCCTTTTATTTCGAGTTCTTGCACCAGGAGCTCTTCGGCTCGCTTTGGCTCTCTATGAAGTCAAAAACTGCGGAACGAGCAGCAGGAGGCCGCAGTTCCCGTCGTAAGAAGGTCCTCGGCCTGGACCAATGGGATGAAAATCTGTGATGTTCATCAATAAACACAAACCAGAACAACAACTACATCATTCGCAGGGCATGTCCTTTCTTCTTCGGATTAGGTGGGGGGTTGTCACAGGGAAGACAGGGGAAAGCCGGGTCAACAGGGCCACATCAAGTAAGTGATGGATACATCAGTCAACGCCTGCGAGGCAAAAAGGGCCTCTAACGGCGCAGCTTCAGCGATGTGCGCCTTTTGCTTCGAGTTTTTTAAAGTTTGACCAAATCCAAACGAAAGTCATCTGTATATCTGTGATGACCAAATCCACACGCCCGTCGGTGTGAGGACTACCAGAACTAGATCGGTGCTTGTATAATGAAGATGATCGCTAGCGATGCAACTCACTCGCACGAACCACCATCGCCAGTCGTACCATCGTGATTGTGCTACAAGTGCCAGGCTTGCAAGAAGTACAGCCCGAAAATGAGCCTACTACAAATTCCGCCACGACTGCTTGCGTGTTTGTATGAATCGGGAGCAGAGGCATGATGATAGGTCTGTGTCATGGTGCATATAACCCGTGGCATTTCGTCAGCACAATGCGTAACGATGGATTAGAAGGGCAGAATAGACACGCAAGACTTACACTTTCTTAGACATCAAACAAGAAATATGGCCTCGACTTCGGCGTCTTCCAGGAGTCGGGCGAGCACTCTTGGTGCTGACGGTTCAATACCGAACCTATCCGAAGCTGTCGCTGTAGACACGACTTCAGCGGGAACGATAACAGGAACCGCAGTTACTGCTACACCAACTACGTCCTCGCCGGGCGCCACTGGTGGTCCACGGCCCGTCCTCAGCGCGGTCGAGCCCGATGATGGTACGTTGAAATGCTGGACGGTATGTCTGCCGTTTTCCGGGCGGGGCCACTGGCAAGACTTGATTCGCCGCGTCGCGAACGAAATTGGGCTCCTGGTCACCGAAAAAGTGCGCAACAACTCTATCTGCCTGGTGATGCAGAGCTACGAATGGCTCGAGCAGCTACCGCAGGTGTTTCAAAAGTCAAATTGTTGGCTTTCGCGGTACCCGGGAATGGGCGACCTGTGCGAAAAGTGCAACCAAACCCGGTGGCTGCGCCGGGTGGAGCAATTGCTAAAGGGGCCGGAGGACAAGATAGAAGGGAAAGCTGCAGCGGCCACGACCTCCTCGAAGAACTCAGGTGCAGAGTACTATGAGGACGAAGATGACGACGAACAGGATCAGGAAAATGGTACTAGCGCAGAAGGAGCTCTCGCTGGAAATAGAGACAGCACATTCGTTCTGTCCAGCGCTACTACAGCACCTTTCGCGTTGCAGAAGTTCATTCCCAAATCATACGTTTGGCCGGAAGATGGAGAGCAGATCCAGCGGGTTTTAAATAAGAAAAAGACTTTGATCGTCAAGCCGGAAGACGGCTCGCAGGGCGATGGCATCTTCCTGATCGATAAATTTCGCGACTTGGAACTGAAGGCGTCAAACTGCAAGGCTGCGGTGGTGCAGTCGTATGTGAAAAGTCCTTTGCTTCTCAACGGTTTCAAATTTGATCTCCGGGTGTACGCGATCGTGGTCGGGTATGGGAGTGTCAGGATCGAAATCGACAAAATCTGCTAACTTGTGATGCATAAAATGCATGACTCGAAATACGTGTGTTGCAGAGCAGGCAAGTGAGGCCGACTGTAAGCCTGTTTGGGGTTACTTATAGCACGAGCTGCTAAAGCAGCATGAGAGAATCAGTCTTCTTTGCCTAAACAGCATTAAGGCACCACCAAAATTTGTCATGCGCCACTTAGAAAGTGGGTTCGAACTGGAATCCATTTTATGCATGACAAAATATTTCAATTTTGTCGATTTCGATCCTGACACTTCCATATCGGGGGTCTGTTTGGGGAAGAAGTAAAACCGAGAGTCTTCCTGTGCAAGGACGGCCTGGGCCGGTTTTGCACGGAAAAGTACGAGAAACCGAACGCAAAAAACATGACGAACAGCCAGAAGCACCTGACGAATTACTCGATTCAAAAGCGGCAAGCCGGCTACGTGCGAGAGGGAGATGTGCTTGTCACGACCACGGAGAGTGCTTTAGTAGTAGTACCGGTTTCGCGTGCCGCTGCAGCTGCACCTGCGAAGGACGATAGAGCCTCTATGTCACCGAGAAGTCGAATTTCCCATTCCCCTGCGGAGCACAAGCAAACTGTCGTCGACGAGGTAGTTCATAATGCGGGTAGTACTTGTCCACCGGATGCCAGCAGAGCTGTCGGTCATACAACTGACGAAGCAGGGTCTGCAGCTGCCGAGGAACCCCAGGAGGTCAAGACATCTTCCGAACGAGAGGCAACGAAGCGGTCCTTGGAGATAACACTCGAGCAGCTGGCCGAGGAGTATCCCGATACGTTCGACGAAGAGGAGTTTTGGGAACAACTTTCCGAAGTGGTTTCCCAATGGGTCACAGTGATGACGCCAGTGCTGTTGGCGTCCGCGAGGCCGTTTGAAATGGTGCAAGAGGCTGCGGGACGAGGACCAGGGGCAGTAGGACGGGAAGACAGTAAGAACTCGTCTTCTTCTTGTCGCTGTCTTCAAATACTTGGATTCGACGTGCTCCTTGATCAGAAAATGAAAATGCACCTGCTGGAAGTGAACAACAGTCCGAGCTTGTCAATCGACGAGGTCATTCCGATAGCGACAGAAATCACCAACGCTGGTGCAGCGGCCGGTGCAGTTGTAGAGCAGAGCGTTGTGAAGGTGAAGCCGTGTCGGTGCATGGAGCACCATCTCCCACACACGCATCACGAGGGGCCTGTGGACTAAAAGGTGAAAAGCAAGCTGATCCGCGGAGCATTGCACATCGTGCACCAACTTGCGGGCTACCCCGCCCCGCAAAAGAAGGGGGGTGGCAAGGGCAACAGAAAGAAGAATCGCGGCCCGAAGACGATGAATTTAAAGAAAAAAGCAGTCGGCTTCGTGATCGAGACAAATAGCAGCGGAGGACGTGGAAAAACTACGCCAGCAGCAAAAAGAAAAAACAAAAAGGAAAAAACGTCGGTCAAAGGGGCTTGCAGTGCAGAGCAGCGAGGAGAAACTGTTCCGGGTACTGTCGTCGATTCTGTGTCTGGGTGGTCACCGACTACAAAAGCACTTGACACGCATGTTGATGATCCTTCTGGCCGACCGCGCTCCGACAATACGAATTATCATGCGGATGACGAAGACTACCAGAATCAACAAACCGAGCAGGACGATACAGATGAGGGCGCGGCTGCAACTTCCGATTGTTCTGAGAGCACGGAGGACGCAGAAGACGGAGTGGACGAAGATGAAGAGACCAGCGACAAGGTTGAACTTGAAGACAGCGAGTCGGAATTTTCTTCCTTTTTGGACAAGAACTACATTGAAGTCGAGCTTGACGAACAGCTCCTCCACACTCTGTTGAAGCTGGAACAGGCCTACTCCACAAAGCTCCTCAGCGTCCGCACGCTGTCGGCGAGACGCCTATCTTCTTCGGCAACTACATCTGGATCAACTACAGCAGCTACAAATCTTCCGGTAGTTGTTCCACTCTCACGAAAAATGGACGACATCAAGGCCAACCCTGCGGCTTTCGTCACTGATATCGCGTCTGCAAACCGGAACGGGTTTTCCAGTTTTTCCGTTCGGAAGCTTCTCAAGCCGCTTCCCCTTTCCGGCGGCGACATCGATTTGATGCTGGTCAAATTCAAACAGGGAGCGGACTATGCGGGCGGGGCGCCCAGCAACGTGAGCAAGGTGATTCCGGCCTGCCTAGAGATGGGGGATCTGGTGCTGTTACTGGACTTGGTGCGCCAAAGGTCGAAGGGAGCTTTTGCGTCCGTGGAGGATGTGCTCGACCGGGTTCTCATGTAGTAAAAAAGAAAAATGGTCCGTCTCAACGGCCACGCCACATAGACATATCTCAAAAAAAATGAAGAAAAATCATAGATATGAGATCGGCCCTGACATAGATCCATAAATGCTCCCGGAAGACGATATGACGTTTTCTGTATGATGCTGGAAGTACAAGTAGATCTTTAGGATCGCGGCAGTTCAGGGAAAATGAAACTACACTGGAACAAATGGAGCCAAGTAGTCAAAACAAGTAGAAGTGTCTGGCTCAGAATTTGACACCTCCTCCGTTCGGTAGTCACTCATAAAAGAAGCGCCTCCTCGCGATCGGTACTAACGTGTAAATGTTTAGAAGAAAAAATTCTGGCTAGTACCGCCGAGACAGCAACGAACAAAAGTGAGAGAAAATTTAAAAAAAAACAGCGCAGCACTAGAAAACGATCATCGGTTGAAAATGGATCCCAGAGACAGGAAGGTTGGCAACTGGCTTCGGTCGAGAAACTTACACCGAATCGGTGAAAACTAAAGGATGAACAAGATTACAAAGAAATGGTTTGATGATCCCGAAATCAAATAGAAGCACACTGATCGTTATAGATACTACCAGAAAAGGACAAGCACGTTCTCATGCGTGCTACTACGAGTTACAGGTACAGTTTCAGTTCTACAGCTGAGATCGATATCTCAAATGCAGTCCGAACAAGAAATCCGAAGTCAACACAGCCCTCAATCCTTTTCTTTTTCCACCTATTTCCAGGCTCTCCTCATTCTCGCGCATTGTAGGTAGAAGATGAAGTGATATAGGAATGATTTTATGTGTATGTGGTAGTGGTAGTTACACTTACACCCGATAAGAAGTCGAATTTCGTTTGACCTTATAATTTTTTTTTCAAATATCGGCGTTGAGTTATTACCTCCGTATAGCAAGATTCTGATTTGTCGCTTTGCTTCTCATATCTATGAGCACCTCCACAACGCGTACGCGTGGAATGGAGCCAAGTAGGCCATGTGTCGTCTCTTTTATTCGCGATTGCGCTGACGATGGTAAGGATAAACAACAATTTCTGTGGTTGACGAAGATTTTCAAAATATTTTCCGGTACAGACAAATAGTTAAAGTTAAAACATCTATGTACGTTTTCTGGTGTTTTGGACGAACACGAGCATGACTGTTGCCGTGTTGAGCGCGGAAGCAGCCGAAGTGGTATCAAATCCGCACGCCGGGGAGGGCTTGGTCGCCTCTGCGTCTCAGACCGTGGGCGACGACGATGGGGGCCGCGGGCCGATTGTGCTGGTGCCCACAGACAGTCGGAGCGGTGAAAGGTACTTCCACCGGGAAGATCTTCAAGCTAGTACAACGGGTAGTCCCGTCCTCGTAACCTCCGAGCAGGCACTGCCTCCGAGTGCCGCAGGAGAGGTGGTACTTCTAGCGGAGCCCGCGTCAGTGAAGCTCCAGGAATTTTCGCCTTTGCCTGACGACACCGGAGGTGCTGCATCTTCAAGCACCACAACTTCGACCGATGGGAGTAGATCCGGGAAATCGTCTACGAGAAGGACAAACAGGGACATGCTAGCTTCGTCCGCGGTCTCGACGCAAGACTACCATGTGCGGAGAGATCGTCCTCTCGTCCCCGGTGCCCCAAACTACAAGCAGGACTTCTTCGCCCAGACGCGGTCGGAAGGTGAAGCGCAAATGTCGGCCGGACCGACTAACGCAACGACCCGGATAAACAAGCCCGGCGTTGATGTCCACGAGGACAAGAGTGATGAAGACACTTTAGTGCAGCCTCGTCGTCTTCCAACAATTACCATCACCCGGGCGGACGGAAGCGAACCGGAATTGGCCCCCGTTTCCGGCGCGCCGGTGAGTAGTTTCGAAAATCGCCTCTCGCATCACTCGCACCATCACTTGATTTTTTCGGAGGGGTCAGCCACTCAAGAACTCGGGGCTGCCAAAACCCCAGAAAACGGGGGTAGCACCAACCCAGGCCAAGTAGAGCAGGAACAAGTAAAGCCAAATTATATCACAACTACCGGCAAGAACCACGACCCGAGTGCAGCAGGTGAGCAGAAGCGCTCGATGCACAGCGCGCTTGGGAATACGGCAAACCTGATAGACGATATCCGCGGCATGCTGCAGCAGAACGAATACCTGACGTATTTCGGCACCACGCAGGACAAAGCTATCAGCCGGCAGAACACCCCGGAGCATCATCACCGCGGCGCGCCATACGGATTCAAAGGCCCGTCTTCGGCCGATGCTGCTTCGTCTTCGAAGCTGACGCCAGTAGATGCGAGCACGGGGGGCGACCTGATTGTGTATGGGCACGGTCGCGGCGTCCCGACTTCTACTGCGCCAAAGACAAACTCTTCCTCATCGCGGGAGATTGTGGCCACGAGCGCCGGGGAAATGAGCCACCTAAAGAGCATCCCGGGCGGTGCTGGCTATAGCTCCTCGGATCTCCGATTGCCGGTGGTAACGTACGGCACGACCAGCCGCGCGAGCCCGGTCGGGTCAGCCACCGATCAACTCCAAGACGACGACCAAGCGCACTACGTGACTAGCCAAACCTTCCGCAAAGTGGGCACGATTGGCGCCACCGAGATGGCGAACCGGCTTTCCCGCATTTTTCAAAGTGAGGAGGGGCCGAACTCCGAACTGGAAGCGGCACCAGCGCCGTCCGCCGCCGACGTGCGTGCGCTCACGCCATTGCATGATCAATACGCAGCGGGAGGAATGGCTGCCCAGCGGATTGCCGTCGCTTCGGCTGTAGCTCCACAGGGCGCAGTGCCACAGCAACAGCTTAATACTAGCAGCAATTTGTACTTTGGTCACCAACAGCAGCTTGTTGGGCCGCCCTTCCAACCCTCGAGTCGGGAATCGTTGGGTCCACCGTCTGCGCCGGTACTGCACCAGGCACCTCCGGGCGCCGCCGGAGGTCCTCCACAACCAATGATGAACTACTCGCCTTCGTCTGTGCAGCGCGGCGCTGCAGTTGGAGCTGGGATGGCCGTGCCACAAAGTCCGACGACGGGTGGATTTTTTCGGCCTAACCCAGGAAACCCGTTTCTCGGCGGCAATCAGCAGCAGCAGGCGAACATCACCGATATAACAACCACAGCTGCCACCAGCGGGGTGCCAGCCGAACTTCATCAATACGGTGCGGCCCAAGCTGCGAACCGCACGAGCGATGGGAATGTCGGTCCCACGACGCCGAAGCTTCATCATCTTCCAAACACCCCTCCTTCCGCTCCAGTAACGAGCTCAACGGCTACCCCCCACCAAACAAACATCAATCCAGCACCCAATGCGATCATGCACAGCCCGATGCCACCTGCTAGCCCACGGCAGATCGCGCAGCAACAAGCCAGCGGATCACAGTATCAACTGCCCCACCAGCAACAGGTCCCTGTCCTCCCTCCCGGCTATAATGGGTCGTACAACCAGTACCCTACACAGCAGGTTCAAGGAGCTGCGCAACAGCTCGCGCTTCCCAGCCCGGGAGCTCCCACGACTCCGCCTTTGCAGGGGAACCCCGCGGGAGCAGCTGGAGGTACGTACATGCTGCCAGTCCCCGCGGCCACAGGTCATCAACAACAGCAGCAGCACCTGGATAATTTTAATCCGGGACTGCAGCCCTATCATGCACCACCACAGCATAACCCTCTGCAAAATTTCCAGGCAGATAGCAGCGACAACAACCAATTCCGCCTCCCCGCAACCGCCCCGCAGGAACTAATAGCGCCCTTCGAAGAGTGCAACCCTGTGCTGGCTATGATGCGCAGGCAGGACCACGAGGATGCGCCCTCCGCGCCGCTTCTGTCGGTGGATCCCTACAGCCAGAGCGCCAACAGATTCCAGTATCAACAGTACGGTGCCCCCGCTGGGCAGCAGCAACAATTTCAGCAGTCGTTCCAGCAGCCACAATTTCAGCAGCAACATCAGTACTACGCCGGGCCCGGGACACCAGGGACGCCAATAAATAACCCTATGATGCAGCAGCAACAGCTGCAAATGCAACACATGCAGCATGTTGCGGCCGGGCAGGGAGGAGGTCCTCCCGTTCTGGGAGCTGCGCCGCCTTCTGCCGGCGTGGCTAGTACACAACAACATCAGCCCCAGCAACAGTTCTATAACCAGCAGCAGCAGCAACAGCACCTCCCACCAGCAGGAGCTGCGCAGCAGGAGCAGCCGCAGCACTGGCAACAGACGCAGGCGGGTACTGGGAAGCGATTGAGTGACATCAACGAAGAAAGTTCTTCCACTGCGAATGTGCTGCACACGCCGCAAACTAGCGACGAGCACGTCAACCAGAAGAAGATTCTTCAGACGCAACAGGAAATCATGGAGGCGCAGCGCGACATGCTGGCACGGTTCCGAAAGCAGCGGAAGGGACAGCACAATATCGCCGCTGGCAGCTTTGACGACGGAGCGCCGGGCACTGTGTCCGCATCCCAGAGCACCAGTGGCACGTCGGCGGCTGGCGGTGGTCCCGGTCCCCAACGGCAACAGGCAGACGGTTCTACTTCCGAACAAGCGCAGAATCGCGTCAAGGTTCTGAACGAGCTGCTCGAACTGCCGACTTCGGATCTCTCCCAGGAGGCCTATAACCGCCGGCTGAAGGCGCTAGAGAACATGATCAAGTCACTCGCGAACCAGACGCGGGCCATCAAAAACCAGCAAACCCGGCAACAGTTCGGAGCAGCCGCCGAGCAGATATCCTCCTCGCAATGGAACACGATGAACGATGTGGGCGCTGGTGGGCCTCCTCACAGCGAACAACAACTGGGCCCCCCAGCCGGCGGCAGAGGAGCTAATTCTGCCGTGGCGTCCGTGACGAGTTCCGGGACACGGGCTGCCGCGCCAGGTACAACTGGTATCGCGGCGATGATTTCCGGCTCGAGAACAGGTCCGAAGTTGGTAAACAATTCTGGCGCGGCGGATCATATGTTTAAGCGATCTGCGCTAGTAGCGCAAAGACAACAAGGCTCTTCACCGGATGAACAGGAGGAACAACACGCCGAGGATTCATCCCTGACGAAACAGAAAAGCGCAACCCTTTTGGACGGGCGGTTTCGGTGGCTTGGGGACCAGGCCCCGAAGAGGTGGGGGCTGACCGAGGAGGGAAGTGTGTTCTGGATGGCGCCTTCGCCCGGGCGCGACTTCTGGCGCAGCGTGATGTGGCAGGATGAGCTGAACGGGGAGACTGTCCATGCCTTCACGCATCAGAAAACCAATGGTGAAGCGTATTTGATACCTTTGCAAGACGCGTGCATGGCCAAGCAGTACCTCGAGTATTTGATGGACGTGAACCACAACACGGACGACGGAGGTGATCAGAGCAGGAACAACAAGGACAACAGGATGAATTTCGAGTGCCGCGTGTCGGTTCTGTCTCTGGAGGTCACGGTGGAGCTCACCGCCGCGCCGGTTGCGAAGGCCTCGACGGGTCCTGGGCAGCAGCAGGACAACATGTTTGGCGCGAAGAGGCTCGGCAGTCACCACTCGCCCGCGATGCCCACCAGGCTGCTCTACCGAGGGGAAAGTTTGCTCCCCGGGGGAGTCGCTGCCTTGCAGCAGGGACAGCAGCAGCTGCACTCCTCGGCGCAGAGTAGCGATGTGCAGTTCCAGTTTTCCGGCGCTGACTTGGTCTTCGGCGAACAGACGGACCATGCCGTCTCTACCGATGTTGAGGCAGGAGCTCTTCCGGAGCTGCAGGGTGTGTTTGAGCTTCTACAGCAGCGAGCGACGGAGGGAGCAAGGACGAAGAACTTGCCACTCGCACAAGGTCGTACTACTGGCGCAATCGCAGGAACAAGTACTACAACTATGGAGCAGCTCTCCACTGCTGGATCGGTGTCCGCCAGCACACCGACCGGAAAAGGGAGCATGGCCGCGGAATTCGGGCCGAGATTGTTCAGCCGGTCCGCTTCCACCTCCCAGGAGCAACGAACAACGAAGGGTACCAGTACCGGCGCTCATCTACCGCATCAAGGTACTATGAGCCGCTCCAAGAGCAGTAGTCAACACCAACAGCAGCAACAAGGTCATCTTAGTTCGCGGACCTTTGGCGGCCTTGCGAAAGGGAACTCCTCAACGACGGCGATCAGCGGCCGCGATTCCTTGACGTTGGGTGAGGTAGAGAATCCGTTTCTCGTTGGATCATTGCAATTGCAGTTGCCGGATAACACATCCACTACCAGCGGCTCCCTGCATGCCGGCGCCAACACGTATTTACAGGCCAAGCGGGTGAGCATTACCGCCGGAGGTGGTGTGGGTACAACAAGTAGTTCTGCAGGAGGTGGAGGTCCCCCGCAGCCACTGCCGCGAACGACGAGCAGCGTCAAGGGCGGAGCGAAAAGTGGCATCAACGTACTGCAGTCACGAACGAATTCCCAAGTTGTAAACTTGAACAGCACGACTGCTGACGAGTCCACGGGGACGGGCTTCTTGAACATGAGCAACATGATGATCCCCCTGCGCACATCCCTGCTCGCATCAAATATGGGCACCAATAGCTTGGGGGAAAGCCGCTTCCGCTGCAACGACCAAGGGGGGCTGCTCATTTACATCTCCAACACGGCCTGGATCTCGGTATACAAATTTATAGCCTTGCAGGAATGTCGAGATTGTTCCTGCTGTTTTTATGTCGGTCCACTATCAATGCCGAATGAATGATCCGAAATAGTAGATACGAGTTTTGAGGCTTTCTCAACATCGTACAACCCTCATTTAACTCCATAGCTCCGGTCTATGCTGTGTTGTGTATTGGCCTTCTGTGCAATTCCTGCCGTGCTTCCAGGACTGTACTTTTTGAGCTCTAGTATTTCTCATAACATGTCCAATCGTAAAAAACTTTGATCACTATGTATCACTTCACAGGTGGGCCTCGTTATGGGCCAGAACGACAGTCCGGCCGGTATTTCCGTCGTTGTGTGCAATGGTGGGGCTTGTGACTACTCGAGGCATGATTACGACCCAGACATTTACCGACCTCGCGCAAAGCCACGACAAGGTCAGTATGACCTTTCCGCAACATCAACAACCAGCGGCCCAGCAAGAAATCAGAAAGTAAACAAGATGGAGCAGCAAGCGACTTCTTCTAGCGACCACCAGGGCCCTATCTACAATAATCTCAACCCGAAGACAGCCAGTTCTAGCACAACTTCTCAAGTGCTGCCCGGAACAACAACAAAGAGTTCCAAGGAAATGAATAACCCGAACAACAACAATTACGAGAGCAAGAATGCTCGCAAACATCACAACCAAGCCCACGCGGTGACCCTGCGTGTCGAGAAGCGCGCGACGGAATATTTGGTAAAAGCTTTTGACTACAGTTCCTGGACGTGGCGGGAGATTCGATTCTGCCATTTGTACCCGGATCTGTCCGCCGACGTGAGTCCGAACCAAGCCAGCTACGGGATTTTCTCCACCTCGCCGGATCGGAGCAAGGGGGAAAAACAACTGCGCGGACCGGACGGAGTCCCCGTAGAGCTGGTCACACGGTTCCACAATTTTGCCCTCGCGTGGAGCAGCGGAGCAGTCAGCTGATCCGACGAGCCAAGGGGATCGTCTTCTTGTTTTCAGAATAAATCTGAAACTACACGCTGCCGTTCCGATTTTGTTCGATTCGAAGGTACTAGTTCACCCCTGGTGGGTTCCCTTCCTACGTACGATCTTAGATCGTCTACTCTTTTGCCCCACGCCCAGATGACGCTTCAGGCTTGTATTCAAACTTTTGACCCCCGGAACGTAGACATGTTTGCCTTCGGCTATAGACAGAATTCTATAAAACGAACAACTTCGACTTCCACTCCCTGGTGGTGTTAATGGGCACGACACCGTGTATGATCAACAAATAAAATATGAAATGAAACTAGAGGCGACGTTCATTCTTTTAAGGTAGAGCAACAACGACTTAGGGTGCTCAATTTGAGCAGCAAAACACGCAAAAAAAACTAGACCGGAATAAAATTCAGAAAGAAGAAGAAATAACAAAAAGCGCAACTACGGATCAACAGATCGTTATTTTGCTTCGTGATACGTGTTGAAAAATGTTCAGCTATTTTTCTGTTTTGGCATGTACTTGTACTTGCCTTTGTTTGCCGCGATCACAACGTGCCCTAGGTGTCACACAAGATCTGTTTCCGTCAAAAATTTTCGGTCTGTTTGTAGTTTCCTTTCCGAAGTAGACTAGTCGGTACTATCCGCTCTACGTGCCTGTTTGCTTCATTTAGAATAGATCATTTGCTTTTGTCTGTCTACTTCTTTTGCCCGTCCATTGATCGGTGGTCTGATACAGCGCAGCTGCTGTATTGCGGTATGTGTCAGCGTCAGGGAAGCACTAGCACAGTCTTTTTTCTTTTGGCAGCCAGGATTGTATGTGCTGAAGACGAGGATGCTAGAAGACACTCACACGAAGAGAAACGAAAGCCCGCCGGATCAGTAGATTAGTGGAGCTACATGATTCACTCGCAGCATTTCGTACTCGTTGTGCATGCGACGGTGAGGACAAAATGAAGCAAAAGAACTAAAGTGCTGTCAGCTGCTCATTGCTCGTTGTAACTACCGATTGATCGTTCGGCTTCGGCTGTCTCTATCGGTGTGGTGCTGGTTTTACCACGACATGGTCGCAACTGCTCGTTTGCTTTCTGCGAAATCGAAGCGGCCAAGAGGATGGCACGCAGGAGGCGCAGTTCTGGTTTCGTGGTCAAGAACAGCACGGAACACAGCAAAAGGGCTCTGTGCTGTCTTGGTATCAGCTGCAACCTTGTGCTGCTTTACGTCTGCCCAGGGGGAGCCATCGCTGACTCCAGCGTCCAGTGCCCACCAGTGCCTCACGGCACACATCGAGGACTGCGAACAGCAGCTGATCGGCATCCACCACGCGTTCAAAGACTTTGGTTTTGGAACGCAATACTTCAGCACTTGGGCTTCCGAAACGCTCTTGGAATACCTCGCGAAAGAGGTCGTGGACCGGTTTGGGCACGAGATCGAGCGCACGTGCGACTTTCTTTTGTCGGTCGCCAGCACGCCACCCTTGGTGAAGATAGCACGGAAGGAGAAAAGGAAAAAGGGGCGTGAAGAGACTGATAACGAGGAAACTGCCGACTTTGATGTTGCAGATGAAGAAGAAGCGCAAGGACGAGGAACTGGGGATGATGAAAAGTTTATCAGCACTTTCATTGAGGCACCAAAAACGATTGTCGAAGAACGGAAAAGAGAGGTGAACGATACCGGAAAACCTCGGACGCTGTCGGATTTCGGCATGTCCAACCCGATACATGCGGCCGTCGACCCCAGTCACGGGCCCAGATTGTACGATCTGTCGGAGGCGAATCTACCGGAAACGGTGGAAATGCGGAAGAAAGCGGACCGCCACGCGCATTTTTCGCCGATTTGGAACGTGGAACTGATCGACATTTTCAAGGAGCAAACAGATGTAGGGACGAACACCCTGCGGTATGACCCCCGGTTCGACAGGAAGGAGAGGCATCAGAAGATGTTGTTGGCGCCCAGCACGGGAAGCGGAAACAATAGTCCTGCAACACCAATAGTGACAGAAACTACAGTTTCCCCGATGAACAATATTCGAATCACTTCGACCTCTCCCTTCACGGTCGAGAATCTTCTCCAGTGCCCCAAGGTTCGAAAACCCATTCTGAATGGTGTGGTCGAGCCGTGTGATATCCAGTTCCGCGCGCTGTTCGAATTTCCCGAGGACCTTGCCGCCTACCTCCGCGACTACCACGAGCTGTTCCGGGTGGTGTACGAGAACCGGCAGAACTTCCGCACTTCCAACGCCACGGTGGAGTCCCTGGACTTTGTGCTGCACGTGTTGGAGAACCGCGTGCCCAAGCACGTCGGGCTGCGCGACCGGGCCTTGCAGGCGGCGTTCGACTTTGTATCACGAGAAAAAAGTGTTACAGTTACACATTTGTTGGAGTTTCTGCATCACAAATTTTCTCTGTGTGGCAGAGAAAACTTGTAATGCAAAGATCACATTGAGGGAAAATACGTAGGAAACGAGGCTCGCAAGCATTTCCTGCATGACAAAGGTTGTCTGTCTTGCGTCTCCTGCAACACAATTTTTTTGTACCTGTAGCGCTTTTTTCTTGCGATGCTTTGGCCTGATCGACCAGTACGTGTCCCCGGGGTTCACGGAAAAGAAGCGGCAACAGGTCCGGGACGAACGGGTGGAGCGGCGGCAGCGGCTGGCGAGACTGCTGAAAGAGGGCATCATCGCTACCGACGAGGACATCGACGACAAGGAAGTGAAAAAGAGACTCCCGGACGACTTTCTACCCAAGGAGGGGGAGTTCCTCAAGCTCGACATCGACCGCGACTTTCAGGATTTGAAGAAAGAAGTGAAAGTGCTTGCGGACAAGCTGGAACAGGACCCGGAGCAGAAGTTTTTCATGGAATACAGCAAGCTTTACCTGCAGCCCGTGCACACGTATTTGGTGGTCCTGCGGGAAGTTGCAACTGCGGTTTTGTCCGGCCTCGCGATGATCGTCCGCGACGCGGGTCGCGCCGCCGCCGTCCCCGTGAATTCGCAAATCGGCTTGGTGCCGTTCTACCAGTTTCTCTTGAACCACACGCACTACGACAGTATCCAGACGGAGGATTTGGTGCAGAAACAGCGAAGTTTGCTGGTGCAGCAGTTGAAACGGCTGAAAGAAGAACCAACAACTTCTGTGAAGATGTTGAACTCTATCCAACACAGCAACAACCCTCCTCCTGCGACGAAGTTTTCTCGGTCTCTTGCGGTTGTGGACAGCGACGCCAGCATAGCGCTCGAGGAAGGCCTTTGGTTGAACGGCGCGAACGGGTTTCAGGGCAAGATGCTACGCGTGGCGCACCCGCCGCTGTCGAAGGCTATTGAAGAAAACCAGAAGCGGCTGAGCAGCAGCTTCCTCGACGGGGAACTGACGGAAGAGTACTTCGGCGAAGCCAGCGATCACAGCCTGTTTCGCGAGCGCGGGCTTAGTGGCGGGATGGCGAAAAGAACGGGGGACAAACAAACAGCGGTTGGAAATAAAGACAAGAATAAGCTCATCACCTCCCGCAAAGATGATGAACCAGTACAGGAGAAGGCCTTCGGGAATCACTACGTATCTTCCCTCTTTGCGGTGGAGGAAGATCAGGTAAACACTGCAAAAGCGAAGACGACACTCCATGAGAAAAAAGCAACAGAGAACGAAAGTCTTGACTATAACGCCGGCCTGCTTGGAACGAAAAAAGCAAAAACGCTTCCCAATTGGTATTTGAAACGACGCGACAAGCCCCGCACGCTGGACACCTACGCGACGTTTCACGCAAACGCCTTCGACCCGGAGAACTACAAGTTTTCGCGCAATGACCCGATCTGCCAAGCCCGGTCGCGGGAGCGAGCTTTATTCCCGTTGCCGGAAACTGGAATTGCGAGCACCGATTCGCGGAAGCTGCCCCGAAAAACGCCCTTCGTCGACGGTTCTTTCACGTACAACTGGCACAACTTCGCGCCGAGCGATTTACTGCAATCCTTTGAGCCGACGGAGAATCAGGGCCGCGGCGCGAGCTACCACTACCTCGCGATCCGGAGCTTTTTGGAACCGCGCAACTCGACCACCGATTGCGAGGTGAAGGACCCGGTCTTAACGCAAGTCCCACATCCGTTGATGACGTACGGTCACGATGTCGACAAATTTCAGCAGATGCTCGACGTGTACGCCAACGTCTTTGCCCTGCACGTCAAGCCCGAGCAAGTGCACGACTTGCAGCGCAGGATGTTCACGGTGAAGACCTTTTTGGAACAAAGGAAAGAAATTCTGCCGCAAATCGAGGCCGACTTCTCCAAACCGGAGGAGAGGGAAATGGCGCTCGTGCAGAATTTAGGCCAACCACCCACCGATCTCAACCTCCAGTACCTGCTGCACGACTGGCAGCAGACGCACTTCGAAATTGCGTACCTCCGTGAGTTGACGAAAGCGCGGGTCTTTGACCGCGCGAGCGTGATTTCCACGCGGTTGCGGAACTTTCCGGGCGAAAACCACTGGGACCCGATCAAATGCCTGGAAGTGGAGAAAAACTTCGCCGGCAGCGTCGCGGCCGTGTTTGGCAATTCTTTCAGTTGGAACAACGCGACGCAGGGACAAGCGCTGGAATACCTGGGTCGCCCGCTCGCCGGCCACCGGGCACCGGTCATGCCGTGGGCGCAAACCAGACCCGGAACCTCCCCGGCACACAGTGTCGACATCGCTTCCGCCGCGGTGCAGACGGTGAACTGCGAAATCCTGAACAACATGATTCTGTCGAACTACTTTTTGCCGAAAATCTGGTATCTGCCCTTCAACCCTCTGGTCCCGCCCCCGCTGGAGCAAATCGCCCAGGGCTTGCAGGAGCACGTGGAGCGCGAGGAGTGGGGTGACCACGTGACCCACTGCAGCTTGCAGGTGTTGGTGGACATGCTGAAACCGTTTGGGTACCAGTTGCTCCAGATCGACCACGCCTACGCAGTGTTCAAACACAAGAGCTACGTGGTGAAGGAGCTGGACCACCCGGAAAGGCAGTTGTCAGTTTTCGATCACTGGCTCGATGGGTGGTTCTGCTCCCCCTGGAAGACGATGGCGTTCCAGCGCCTGGAGTACAACTTCCTCTACAGCGAGGAACTCGGGCTCTACCGCCGCGCGCGGTTTTACTGGGCGGATTTTCTGCTCCGGAAGACGAGAATTCCAAAGGATATCGTAAGCAGCGGCTTGGCGCTCCACGGCGGCGACGTGTTTGGAAAAGGAGAAGTTTTGGAGAGTTTCCCGAGCCTGTACTCCTTTCTCGTTCACCGGCTGTTTCCGAAGCGGTTTTACCACAAGCACCCCGGCCCCGGGGTGGATACGTTTATCGAAAACAGCAACCGGGGCCGCTGCGTCCGGCGGGAGCCGAATTCGCAGAGAATCTGTGAGTGCTTCGCGCCCTACCGCGGACCTTTGTGCGGCGAGGAGGAACTGCGGTCGGAAGCTTTTGAGAAAACGCTTCCCACAAACGAGAACAAGCACGCGATTTACTACTTGCTGGATCACGGGGAGGACCACTTGTGGGAGTTGCAGCACGCGCTGAGCAATCTCTGGAACAACTTTAACAAGTACTTCGACTACCCCGTTTTGATCTGGCACGTCGGCATCTCTCGGGAGCAGGAGCTCCAATTCCTGAACAACGGCGGGGCTAGCAAAGTTTTGAAGGATGACTTCGATGACCAGGAATTCGCGGCATGGAGGAAGAGGATGAACAAGCCAGCGGTCAGCGAGGAGACAACCACCCAGATCGAGGCGTACTTGATCAGGCGAGAGGAGGAGGAGGAATATCTGGAGTGGAAAAAAGAACAGGAGAGGAAACTACAAGCGAAAACTGCCGCAAGTAAAGACAAAAAGACAAAAGCCCCTGCTCCTGCGCCATCAAAAGAAGCCGAAGAAGACGATTTGGTTCTGGAGAAGGTGAAACGCCTTGCCCATTTCCGCACGGACCACAACTCCGAGGCTCGCGTCTTTCGATTTGAAAACGCAGACGAGTTCTACGAGCAAGCGAAACAGATGCGGCAACATGCACAGCCCGCAGGGACAATTTTTGTGTCCCGTGGGCGGAACGGGCATCTGAAGTCGGTCGGCGCGGACGTGAAGGTGGATAGCGAGTACGGGCAGGACATTTCTCTGTTGGACATTGTCGCAAAGTCGAAGAACCGGATATGGCTGCATCTGCGCGAAAAACCGGAATTACCAATTCTGCCGAACATGGACCGACAAGACCACCACAGGTCTTACCCGTGGTTGGAGATGATCCACTTCAGGAGCGGACCCTTGTACTTGACGAGCGTTATGCAAAGGTTCCACCTGTCTTGGTGGCTGGACACGGACGCTTACTTCCCGAACGACGCTAAGGGCTATGATCCGTTTGCGGACTTCGAGCACAAAAATCTCGTTTTGCAGCAGCGGTCGAAAAAGTACTTTCTGAAGAACCATCTGGACGACTTCTTGGCGCAGGTGAAGGAAGAGAATGGCGTGTTTGAAGAGCAGGACCAAAATAGAGATGGTGGCAGTAAGAAAAAGAATGCTGTAAAAACAACATCTTCTTCGTCTTCCAGTTCCACAGCAGTTCTTCAGCAAGCGAAACAAACTTTTGTCGAACACGTTAACGATTTCGTTTCTGACCTGGAGCTTGCGTGGGGCTACAAGATCCTCTACCGTTCGCAGAAGACCGCCGCACTGCAACAGTTATGGGAGATCACGAACTTCTGGGCGTTACAGCATCGACACTTGATGGAGTCGAAACTGTTCACCTACCCGAACCGGCAACTGCGCCTCCCGATGCAGCAACTAGACGGTCCGTCGGCGCGGCAGTTGCGCCGGGAGGGGAAGACGCTGGAGGTGATTGAGCGGGAGGACAAGACTCTCGAGGAAAAAAGGAGAAACCGAAAGGACGACGACGAGGAGGATGAGGATGAGGCTGAGGAGTTGGACAGCGGCGGGAAGCCTTTGAACGAGTTTAAATCGCTTTTCGACGAGGTCGTGGTGATCACGTTTGAGTACCCGCAGGGAAACGCCTTGTCTGGGGGCTGTGTGATGCCCAACGCGATCACGAACAGCAAGTACACCGGCACGCCCGACACGCTCTACCAGCGCTACGTGAAATACCTCAACAGCTTGCACGGCATGTTCCAGATCCACGGCTGGGGCGACCACATCGTGCAGACAATCGGGTTCGCGGTCTTGATGCGCCCGTTGGAAGTCGCGTTGAACCACTCTCTAGTCTGGAACATGACGCGACTGCCCTACGCACACCAGCACTTCGTGGACTGCGTCGCGGGGCACCCGGTCAAGGTGTGGGACCCGGACACGGGCGACATCTGGGAATTCCGGTGGAAGTTTGAGCGGAGCTCCTTCTACAAAAACAAAACCAACGCCATCGACCGGGAATACAACGAGGCGGAGCGGTACATTGTGCTGCAGCAGGACCAGCAAGTGATCAAAGGGACACTGAACGTCAATTACCTGCACCTGCTGCCAGAAAAGTGGAACTGGCGGAAGCCGTTCTTCGCTTGTGAGTGAGCGAGGTGCAGCGTTCGTTATTTTTCGCACGGAGGTAGTGGTTCTTATCAAATACAAATTCGAAGCTAGAAGGGCTGATGAAGCTCGCTTTGGAAATTTTTTCCATCTTACATCTAATGACGCATGCAGGACGAGAATGCATTGCTCTGACTGTAGTGACTTGAATTGACATCGGGACCAAGAAGCTCAATGGAAACTCTGACGCATATACTCACGAAGACGAACAGTGATACCATATGGAACATGAGCGCCAACTACTTGTGTAGCAGAAAGGAGGACCACGCTAGTGCAATTTTAGTGCAACTTTAATGTTCTTGGCTACGGTGTTTGATGAAGTTGAACCAGACAGAGTTCTTGCTGTATCGTCGTATTGGCTTCGCTTTCGCTCTTCAAGCGTGACGAATCGAGTGCATCAAAGTTTTTTGATAAACGGCGGTAGAGCAGTCTATATCAACTGCCAACCCCGAGGAGAGTCAGACAGCGTGCAAAAAGAAAAGAAAAATGGCGGACAACATTCAGCAGATGCTTGCCGACCTGCAGGCGAATCGCGCCAACATTGCTGACATCGTTAGTAATTTGGAGAATCAGCTGACAGCCCGCTGGGAAGAGCGGGAGGGAGCAAGCACCACTGACGAAGAAGCGAAGAAGCCATCGGCGGGAAAAGCGGCTGGAGGTTCCAGCGGGAGTAAGAAAACAGCAGATGAGCTGCCTCCATCTGCGAGTTCGGCAACCGGCTCCCCGGAGACCGTCGGGAAGATAAAACCTAAACCAGCTCAACAAGATTCTCCGCCTCAGAGGATAGGGCAGGTTATTTCTATCGCCGAACAGGTGAAGAAAGACCGTTTGAACGCCAAGCTCCAGGCGCAATACCTTCGGGAAGCGACAGAGCACCAGGCGAAATGTGAGATTTTAGCCGAAAGGTTGAAAGCGGAGGTGGAGGAGACGAACAAGCTCCGGCAAGAGCGCGAGAAACGGCGGCAAGAGCGCGACCAGCTAGAGGGAAAGCTGGATACGATGCGGGCGACGCTGCGGGAGCAGGAAACCAACGCGCGAAACCGCTATGACGTCACGGTCGAACGCGTGTGCAAAATCTTCCTCGAACTGCATCCGGAGCTGAGCAGCGTCTTGCGGCGCATCGTTCTTGGGCATTTAGTGCCGTTGGCTGACGATGACAAGCGCTTCGACCAGTTGGAAAGGCTGTTCCGAAAAACGGTCCTCGAAGATGGCGGTGAAAAGGAAAAGAATGCGACGACGGCTAAAGCAAGTAGTCTGAGCGGAACTTCACCCACCCAGAAGTCGCCTGACGTGGTGTACGAGAACGTGAGCGGCATGCGCAAGGGTGCGAAGCCAATGTCCTACTCACCGCCAGGGCGAACTGGCACTAGTGCCGGTGTTTTTAAAAGTAACAAAGGGGCAAAGGGTAGCACTACAACTACTAGTGCGATGGTACCAAAAGCTCAAGCTGGAGCTACGAAAGGAAGTAAACCTCCGGCAAAATCGCCACCGGTGTCAAGCCCTCCACTAGCAAAAAGTGCTCGTCCTGGCAGCAAGGCTGGCGCGACAGCGGTACTTATGTCCTAACAGGGTGTTGTTTTTATCTTTATGTCAACCGAATTTTCACGGTGTGAAGACAATCAACGACGAAGAAACGCGGGCGGTGTGAACACTGGCCATCTTGCATGTCAAGCAGAATCTAGGTGGGATTCAGTGTTTCTTAGTCGCAATCAATCTATGGTGACTATCGTCACAGCCTGTGGGGAAAAATTTAGCGTTCCAAACAACACACAGATTTTGAGTTCTCAGTCAAGGGGGTAAAACATGAAAGTTCAAATTTGTTCTAATCACCCTAAATTTATGAAAAATATCAGATCAACAATCGTTGATCGTCACTAGTATACAGTGCGGGATTAGAGTGAACTTCATTTTTGTTCCTTCTCATGAACATCGTGATTTGCATGAGACCTCATTTTGAATCATCATCGTAGCATCGTGATTTACATCGTGATTTCAATTTAGTCAATTCAGATCGGGATGCTTGTCAAGAACAAATTCTTGATCATGCTTACATTCCCCCTTCCGAATGAACGTGAAATCATCTCGAGAAATCTTAGATGTGATGAATTCGTGTGAAATTCGAATCAATAAATCCTAGAGATTATTGAAATCGACAAAATGAGCTTTCGCAAATACTTCATTAGCTTTTCTTGCGGGAGCTTTGAAGATTTGGATATACTTCTCTCCTGGAAGTGGTTTTGTCAATCCATCCGCTAGATTGATATCTGTGTTTACATAGCACAAGTCTTTTACGTAGTCTCGTACTAGGTGTAGTCGAAGACTCATGTGCTTGGATCTTTTCGTGGCTACGGTTGTCTGACTCAACGCAAGCGCGGACTTGTTGTCGTTGAAGATCAACGGTAGAGATCCTGACTCTTGTTCTGAAAACCAGTTCAAATATCCTTGGTCCATAGTCATCCTTACACAGTCATACATCGCGCAATACTCGGCTTCCATTGTTGACGTAGCTCGAATCGATTGACGTTTCGACTTCCAACAGATGGGAACTCCGCGTCGATATAGGATTGTTCCTGACGTGGATCGAAAACTTACAGAACATCCTGCAAAATCTGCATCGCAGAAAGCAATAGTGTCTCTGTATTCCTTGTTTTCTAGCTCTGCGGCTTTTGTGTAGATTTCTTTGAACTTTTTCTCTTGCTGCTTGCTGTATTCCAATCCTTGCGATTTGGTTCCTTTCAAATACGCCAGAATACGCTTAGCATCTTTTACCGTTTGGTCGGTTGGACTAGCTACCTGCGTCGCTACTCTTTGTACTGCGAATGCGATATCAGGCCGGGCAACGCAACTGATATACAACATTCCGCCTACTAGCGATCTTATCGGAAATGTGGAATTCGACGGCGAGTCCAAGTCTGCGTGGGAATTTGGTAAACATGGGGAAACTACTGCGCGGCAGTCCTTCATGTGAAATTTCTCAAGCAGCTTATCAATTGCGTCTTCGCAAGTGATTTTCATGACTCTCTTTTTCGCGTTGAAGGTCAACTTTGCGCCGAGAAGGTCGCGGATCTCATTGCCTTCCTTGTCATATTCTGCGAGAATTTCTTTTCCTGGGAACTCTGCTAAAATTGCATTCATTTCTGCAGCGACAAGGTCATCATCTTCGCCTGAGATAATGTTGTCATCTACGTAAACTGCTAGCCAGAGCTCTTGCTCTTTTCCCTGTTTGTCTTTTGCAAACTTCTTGAACAAACCTGGTTCGTGTTCGGATACAACCCAGCCTAACTTCTTGAGTCTGCCGGAATATTCGTCATACCAGCGGCGTGGGCTGATCTTCAGACCGTATAACGACTTTAACAGCCTGACAACATCGCCTTTTTCTTTGTTCTTGCTCCAGCTGTTGTGCTTGGGCAGGCGACATAACACGATCTCGTCACCTAGAGCTGCACGCACAAACGCATTTGAAATATCGAACTGTCTAACTTTCCATCCGCGTGCTGCTGCTTCAACAAGTAAATACCTGTTAGCGGCATGGCTCACAGTTGGGCTGTATATTTCTCCTTGAAGAGATAGCTTTTGCCTGTTTCCTAGTGCTACGAGACGACACTTGTAGCGTCCGTCTCTCTTCTTCGTGTAGATGCATACCGTCGGGATAATCTCTAACTTATCACCCATCTCTTTGATGTCTTCTGCGGTTGCATGCCTCCACGTATTTGCTTCTTCTAGCGCTAGGCGTTCTTTCGTATCTGACTCGATCCATTTGATTGCGTCAGGACTTTCCAGACACTTGGCCCAAGTGTGCTGCAAGCCAAAGAGGTAAGGAGTTTCGTCCTCCTCTAATTCATGACGAATCTGGAATATAGCTTCTGCTTCTTTTTCAAATTCCATCGGTAGATCTTTCAAAAGGTCAGATGACGACACAAGATTGACTTTCTGCCTTTTCTTTGCTCGAGGGCCACGACTTTGGCCTTTGTCGTTGCGTTCTTTGCGCTTTTTCTTGTCATGCCCTCGGCCCTTCTTGCGAAGTTTCTTTCGTGTAGGTCCTTCAACGAGGATCCTAGGCGCTTCTTGTGTCTCGTTCTCTTTTTCATCAGCATCAACTGTATTAGACTTTCTTTTTCGATTTCCATTCTCAGCTTTCTTTTTCTGCTTCGGGGATTTTTCAGGCGCCTCCTCTGAAAACAAATCGAGCCAATCCTGATTAGGGTTTTGATTTTCCTCGCCCCCTTCCTCAGGTTGCTCACCCCCTTCGAAACTCTTGCCCTCGTCGTTTTCGACGGTTTCTTTTTCCTTCGAACTGCGTTTGTCCGCATCTTCTTCATCTTTCGAACGATCGGTCCTCGGAGCGTCCTGACCACGACTGCTTTGATCATGATCTACAGCGGGCACATTCGGCTCTACGAGCTGCGAACTATCACCCAGACGCGCCGGATTCGGAAAATCAATTAACAACTTGTCAGCGTCCGGCTTCAGATCATCTATCTTGCTGACCAGCACTGATTCATCAAACTTACAACACTTCACCTCGTGGACTCCGAAGCGGATTTTGGAGCTTTTCTTACATCGACCATCTGCGGACCACATGCCTACCAGGTATGTAGAATTTTCTTGGGCGTAGCCTAGAAAGATTCCACGGGTAAACCGGTCTTCAAGCTTCGACTTCTGTGAGTGATCCTTCGCGTATACCAAGCATCCGAAACGTCGGAAATACTTGATGGAAGGTTTTCTTTTGAAGCGTTTTTCAAATGGCGACTCGCCTCCTTTGGCTGTAGGGGTTCGGGCGAATATGTGGGAGAAAGTGCGTGCTGCATAACTCCACATACGCTTATCGACTCCGACCATCATTGCCCTCACTCCGTTCTGGTGAGTTTGATTGTATCTTTCAACTTTTCCATTTTCTTGTGGTTCGTATGGAGCTGAGTAGTCAGTATGAATCGGCGGGGACTGTTTCTGTGCTGTCTTTTTCCAAGTGCTACCTGGTTCCTTGAACTCTTTGGCATTGTCGGATCTCACTCTTTTCGGTGGTCCCTCTTCATTTATCCAGACCTGCAGCTTTGCGCCTGCTTCTGCTTTGCTCTTGCAGATGAAAGAACGAGGCCAGCTGGTTGCTTGATCGATGGCATTTAGCACCCATCTTTGCGACCAGTAGTCAGGTTCCCACGGTCCAGTGAAGTCAAAATCAACTTGGTCATTGAATTTTTCAACTTTGTAGCATTCTTTCTTCGCTTTTGCATGTTGCGCGCCTTTGCTTTTCGCGAGATCGCAGGCAGGACATCGGACTACTATTCCTGGTAGACTACGATGTCCAGCACGCTGATGATCAAGAAGCATTTTCTCAGCCTTTGTCATCATAGTGGACTCTGTCTCGATCTCTTCGCACAACAAACCCTTTTCACCTGGATCTTCGTTGAACCCAAGTGCCACGGCCGGCAGCTTGGTTCCGATCCCTTTGTGAAGAAAAATTCTCTTTCCTGTCTTCCTACTTTGCAAGTAGTTGCCCCCTTCGTCGAAAACAACTCTATAGCCTTCTTTCTTCAGTTGCTCGACACTGAGGAGGGTCTGTGGAAGGAATGGATGGAATATTGCACGCTTGCAACCAAGTGCGTTTGGTTTCAATGTGCCAAAATATCCAGGGCCATCCAACTCTTTTCCGTCTGCTACAGTTATTCGCACTGGATTACTGTCGTCCCAAGATTCGAAAATCTCTGGTCGGCCCGACATGTGACTTGTTGCGCCACTGTCGCAAATTGCATCATCGACACAATTAAAAGCTGTTTCATGATTTCGGTGCTGCTCGTCCTTTTTATTCCGATGAGCATCGTTCGCCTCGCGCACCTTCCTCAATGCTGATTCGCGAACGCTGTAGAGGTGTGCTAGCTTTCTTGCTGTGTACTCGGGCGAATGATTTTGCTCGCTTTCTTTTGCTACGATTGAAAATACTGCATCTTGTGACAGATTGCATTTTTCAACTCGTTCGGCTTTGGACGCATCCGAAACATGAGATCGAGGAAATAAAATCTTACGGATTTCGCGATCGGTCGACTCAAGAGCCTGGACTTGTTGTGTCATATTTGCCATCTCTGGGGTTGCAAATTGCTCAGCAAGCTCCAGCTCTGCTCTTTTTCGTTTTCCTTTCAGCTGTCTCGTTGGACCAGCTGCATCATTGGTACAAATTTCATCTTCATTCTTATCGAGATTCGAGAATAAATCATCCATATCGATTAATGATGAAGAATCTGGATTGAAGATGTCAAGCTTGCTGTCGAACACACATTCATCTTCTTCAAAATGACTTGTAGTCACTGGTGGTTCATCACCAGGTGGTTGTTCTTTTTGTGGGGGGTTCTTTTGGGGGGGTATTTTTGTTAAAAATTTAGTTGAAAAACATCGCGAATAATTTGTATTATAACATCGAGTTTTCGTCAGCCGTAAGAATAGTTTTCTTACTTTTTGTAGTTTGTGTAACAAGCTACTTTTCTTCGAAACACCATCTAAGACTCAGTATTTCCTACCCTTCTTTCCTTTTCCTTTCTTACCTCCACCCTTCGGCTTGTCGTTGCCCTTGCGAACAGTATTCGTGTTGTTACCCTTACCGGAATTCTTATTGGAAGACTTGTTATTGACCTTATTGCCGTTTTTGTACCAGCAATCCTTGGTGTTGTGGGATTCCGAATTGCAATTCGAACACCACTTGGAATCTCCTGCGTAATTGGCCGCATGACTGTCGTCATTGCTACCAGCAGTGTGATTCTGGGTCAAGTTCGGATTTTGCGCGATCAGATTCGCAGCGGCTTGCTGGATCAGACTCGGCATCTCTTTCTTCAACATATTGGAGAACATCTGCTTCTCACGGTTCTTCTGAACGTGATCCGGGCGCGGGCCATGCTGGTTGCGAGAATTCTTGTTGCGGACCAGATTAGCTTTGTGCTTCGTGGTCTCTCCGTTGCTAGACAGAGCGCGTTCTTCCTCGACCATATGATTCTTGGTTTCTTCGAAACTGAATCCATTAGCCAAGGCACGCTTGTTGCACTCATCGAATTCCTCGCGCATGTTCCCGAAGATACAGTGATAGCGTAACTCTTCGGCCGTAACTTTAGCGCCCAGTTTGAAATTCCAGAAGTTCTTCAGTTTGTCAATATGTTCTTCCACGGTTTCATCTTCACCCTGCTTGCTGTTGAAATATTCCTTGATCAACATGCGGCGGGCACCGGCGGTCTGCGGGTTAGCCTTTTCCTTGATCTGAAGCATCAACCAGACTACACACGCGTCAGCCCCGGGCTCTTCCTGAATGTCCTGAGCTTTGGCTCGGGCCTTTCCGGTTAAGGATTTGAATACTGTACCATACAACTTCGCGTAAGCTGAGCGCACTTCGGTTGTGTAGGTGGGCCAGAAGTCGTTTTCGTGTTTGCCGTCAGCAACCCACTGGTCGCAGGCTAACTGATCGACCTCATCCCACTTGTCCATGCAGACTTTTCCTTCTAAGTCCTCTTTGAACTGGGGACCGATGTTCAACGAGAACGCCTGAGCGATCACGCTACCCTTGAACGTCTGGAAGTCCTTTCCAGTTTCTCCCTCGTGTTCCGCGTCGTACAGCATTCCGACGGTGCCGGAAGTGCTCGGACGATGGTCATCACCCGGCGCCCCCATCTTTTCACGATGAGCACGCGCGTCGCGGTTGTGTCGTCTGTTGTACTCGGTACACGCGTAGGCGGCTACCTGTACAAGAAATTTGCAATCGAATTCAGATGGTATTCAGCATTTCAAATGCGATCATCTTGTTGAATTCACGATGCAATTACAGACAAAATCAGAATTACGTTTAGACTTCTATTTTCAAAAACCGATGTAATTCAGTACCTTTTTCGTGGCCTGCTGTCGGGTCCTTGCTCTTGTACCGGCCTGCTGCTCGGTGCGTTAAATCCGCCGCCCAAAACTGTAATAGTTTTTGTTGGGGAGGATTAACATGCGATTTTTGTGCTCTTGCCATGTGTGCTCGCATTCAAAATTTCCAATGATTTTAGAAAACAGACCGAAAATAAGTACACTTTTAGCACCTGTCTTGTTCCTCGCTCGATGCTTCGGCAAAGGTTACGGGCTTCGTAGCGCGCACCTTTGGTCGCTTTGTCTCTCTTGCACCTGTGTAGGTGTATGATTACAAATTCTCTTTTACTTTCAAACAGCCTCTGACCGTGTATCAGCAATTGATATCACGGCAGCAAATCACCACTGTTGGTTGATTTGAACTCGGTGGCTGGGGGTTATTTTGCCTAAATTTTTAGTTCAAATTCAAACAAAAATTCTATTCAAAAACACTACCAAAAATTCAAAATTTTCTTTATTTTTCTTCGTGCTTTTAGTACCTTCCTGCGGGTCTTGGTGTGGTTGGTGGTTTGGTTCTGGTCCTGGCTTGGTAGGTGTTGTCGTGTTGCGGGGGGACCAGGCTTGGTAGTTGTTGTCGTGTTGGCACTGGTCGTGTCTTGGTGTCAGCGCTCAAGGCTGTGCCGTTAGAATGTCAACCGAATTTTCACGGTGTGAAGACAATCAACGACGAAGAAACGCGGGCGGTGTGAACACTGGCCATCTTGCATGTCAAGCAGAATCTAGGTGGGATTCAGTGTTTCTTAGTCGCAATCAATCTATGGTGACTATCGTCGCAGCCTGTGGGGAAAAATTTAGCGTTCCAAACAACACACAAATTTTGAGTTCTCAGTCAAGGGGGTAAAACATGAAAGTTCAAATTTGTTCTAATCACCCTAAATTTATGAAAAATATCAGATCAACAATCGTTGATCGTCACTAGTATACAGTGCGGGATTAGAGTGAACTTCATTTTTGTTCCTTCTCATGAACATCGTGATTTGCATGAGACCTCATTTTGAATCATCATCGTAGCATCGTGATTTACATCGTGATTTCAATTTAGTCAATTCAGATCGGGATGCTTGTCAAGAACAAATTCTTGATCATGCTTACACTTTAGCACTTTCTTTGTTTTTTGCTTTTTGCATCTGCTCGGTGACCACAACAAACCTTGATACACATGCACTACTCAATACAGGTATAATTTAACTGCGTTAACTAGCCAAGCCTCTTCAGCATCATTCACAGGTACTACAAGGCTCTTCAGCATCATCGCAGTCTCCGACTAGGGAGGAAAACGACCCGTCTCCGGACATGCGGAGGAGAATGCCAGCCATGCTGGGAAGTCGGACCTACAGCCCCCCAAGTGGTGCGGCAAAAAACGGAGTGAGCCCGGTGCTCTTCTATTCCGGGGCGTCGCCCGACGACGAAGCGTTTCACCCGCTCGGGACTTCCACTGAGGATTTGTTTGCAGACAAAGTAGTTGACGAGCATGTTGAACAAGAGCAAGAGTGGCATGCGCCGGTCTTTGGTGGTTTGAATAGTGTTGCAGCGGGCAACATTACAAGCAGATCCTCATCGACCAGCTCACTGACGAAGGAGATTGAGGAGGCAAAAGCAAAATTGTCAAAATATTCCGTAGCGCGAAGCCGGGTGACCACTCCTATTGCCAGCGTTGTACCTTCTAGCGCAGATCCGCTTAACGCGTCCAGGCCTATTCCTCCACCGGCCGACAAACTGAGCTCCCACAGCAACGCTCAAGACCGCGACTTTCTGGTGGACATTCTCGGCTCGTCGGATGAGGTTTCGGAATCGATGCTCAGAACCTATGCCGCAATCAAAGAGCAGCTTCGTGAGCAATTCAGCAGCGGAATAGAGGATAATGAAGCAAATGAAGGATTCGCATTCCAGCATCAGTTTTGATTTCTGTCTCTGCAACGCGCAGTCGTGATTGCGTCAAGTGTTCTTTCGAGATCACGAGGCTACTAGGCGGCGACCAACCTCAGAATTGAAGCACGATCTTCACAGGTGGAAGATCCTTCTGAGTACCTGGACTTCTAGATCGCTCAAGAAATACTTTTGCACAGTAGATGTGAAATTATCAGAACACGGACTCGGAGGACCAGCTATTTATTTCACGCTTTCGCTTCGTAATAGCTGTAGATAGCTACTTTTTATGTCGAGCCATAGCTAATATTCTCGCAAAGAAAAAAAAATCGCTACCAGGACCTCACTGACCCGTTTTCATTCCACAAACGTACCCCCCTCCCCACTTGTTCATGATATCGAAGCGAGAACAAAAGATTCTTGAAATACAAAGTACTCAAAGGCCATGACTGATACGACGCAGAGGCCTCAGCAACAGTGCACCGGACTGGCCGGTATTCTGGTGCTGAACATCCCTGAGCGTGTCGACCGGCGGGAATGGCAGGAGAAAACGCTAGGAAAAGCCGCAGCCTCGCTCCAGATTCCAATCAAGTGGCTCAATGGGTTCCACGCCGAGTCACTAGAAACAAACCGCTACACGCGACTTGCGGGCGAGACAGACGCGGGGATGAAGGAAACGGAAAGGGCTTGGATACAAGATTTCGGCCTCAAGCGAACGCCCGAGCTTGCTCGGTACTATGGCAGAACGACGACAAGGGCTGAAGTTGGATGTTTTTTAAGTCACGCGCAAGCATGGCGTGAGGTAGTGGTTGGCTCTTCAACTACTACATCAAGTGGACCCGCCGTTAGTGCTTCTAGTTCTTCGTCGTCTTCCTCTTCTCACGAGCCGTGGGCGGATTCAGATACTGCTAGTGGTAGCAACAGCAAAAGACGCAGAATCGAAGGCACTGAAATGGGCGAGCGGAGGACCACTTCTGGTGAAGAAAGCCACCTGCCACTGTTGGGAGAGTCTCGCCTTCTACAAAAGGAATATTGGCTTATTCTAGAAGACGACGCGGCGCCGATGACGTGCAATCCGGTCGTGTTTGAAAATCCAGAGTTGGTCGTGGACGAATGGGTTCGCAAGCTCCGACTGGTAGAGCAGAAATCGAGCGAGCTGCTAAGTGCGGCATTAAATCGACGAACGTACACAACTGCTACTACTGCCACTCCTGTCGATTTCGTGTACGTTGGAAGAAACGAGCTTTGGGCCGGCGCGAATAAACTTGGAAGAAATTCCAAGGGTCTTTCGTTCAACGACGGTAATGACGGCGATGAAGTTGATGGTTTCAACGATGACGACTTTCTCACACCTGTTTTCAGTTCCTGTCTCCACGCCTATCTTGTGACACCCACCGGCGCAGGGAAACTACTTGCGCCCACCGAAATCCTCTTGCGGCGAAGCAGGATTTTTGATGCGATCCGAAACGAGCGACCGGATCCGGAAGATCTAAAGATCGAACAGCCCAACGATAGTGGTTGTCCTTTATCGACACGAAAAGACGGCATCATGGCCGCTGACGATTGGGTTCCGGGTTTACTTGCGGGAAATAAGCACCCACGGAGTGCTGTGCAGCGGCTTTTGCAGGACTGCACGTCTAGATGTACCTCTGAGAAACAAGGGAAATTGCGAGCCTTAGCCTTTCGAGAGAACCTCATAATCCAGCTGGGCGAGATTCGGCCAGATCTTCCAGCGGCTATGTCTACGATTGAACGGGTACGGGAGATGCTGGTGTTACCCTCAAATAGCCGCGAGGCTGGTGCTGGCATAAGCAAGCACGGCAAGATGTCTGAGGATGATGCGCATGATAATGTGACGTTCACCGAGGTCCAAGCAAGTACGTACCAGGAGTTTTCTGCAAGGAGCTTGGTTTCACAGCAGGGAGAAGTCGTGCTGGTCAGGGACTTCTTCAGACAGCACCGTCAGGTGGGCGGAATCAGAGACGACACGACCCGAAGTTTTGACTTAGCGCAGCCAATTGGTACGCTCCTACCATGCGAGGCAGCCGACCCAATTACTCACAGCGCCACATGTGTTGATGTGTTTGACGCAGATTCGGAGCAGGTGGTCAACGACAAAATGACACTTGGTGCTTTTGCAGAAAAGCACCTCGTGATGCCTAGTATCGCGAAACAAACAAAATCGGATGGCGTTGCTGACAGTCCGACACTTTCGGCGTTGTTTCTCACGGACCACTTTGCAAAGTCTCTGCAGCGAGGAACTGCACCTCGGGATAGCTCTGGAGACACTAAGCGGAAAGGGAAAAATCCATCCGCCTCTTTCGTATGGGACGCAAACACAGAAAAGATGCTACGAGCGCTGGGACTAACCTTGAGCGACGTCACGTGGGCCAAGGCTGAGGCTGCCGATATTCTTGATTCGGCACTGGAAGCCGTTCGACGGAGAAAAAGTGCAGAGGCGAAAAAAGCAAACAAAACAAAAAGTAATTCCTCCGAGGACAACATGATCGTGGACAACGCCTGGGTCCTCGTCTGCCCCACCGGTCCTGGGTTTTCCTGGCACTGCGACCCCTATCAGACGTCGGCCTGGAACCTCCTGATGGCCGGCGGACCAAAGCTGTGGCTGTTTGCGAAAAACTGGTGCCCTTTTCAGTTCGACAGTGAAGCAGCGCCAGCCCAGGGAAATATAGCGCCGCGTGAGGTTTTCTATTGCCTACAGAAAGAGGGCGACGCTATTTTCCTGCCGGCAAACACCTGGCATACGACACACAACCTAAGACCTTCGGTTGCGTTTACGAAAAACTTCCTCTTTCGGCATCAGGTGGGAAACATTCGCGAGGCAGTACGAGAATTGAGGTCACTTTCCTACGGTGAGCTTGCGGATGAGATTTGCAGCCAGTTTGCGACGGATGGCAGGAGGACTGACACCGCCGGCGACGGAAAGGAGGGAGATGAAGATTCGGACATTAATTGAGAAGGTCGGCCATGTCCTCGTCCTTGGCGTTCTTTAGCGGTTGCGCGCACAACAACTGCGAGTCCTCGGCTTCGTTATCTTGCTTACAGCAGATTTCCACATCGATTTCCATTCCTTGTAAAAACCAAGCGACTACGACAACAGCAGTTAAGAATCAATCATGCGCGATTCAAGAAAGCGAAGAATTATTTTGTACATTTCACAGCCTAGTTGATTGCAGAGAAAGATTTCGCACGGCGACGGCTTTGTTTTTGAAGCACGTGTGTTGAGTTTGTCGGATCATTCTTCAGAAACTCGTTCGAAATAACGATCCAGATCAAATTGATTTGTGGACCGATCTACCTGAGCTCTTGCTTGATCTTCATGGAAAAAGGAAGATGATCAGATGGTCTGAGAAATTGTCGACAGATCTCAGTGCATGATGCTGGACAACTTACTTGATCTTCTTCATAAAAAAAAGAGCGTTGAAACGTCAGTCGGCTCAGAATTGATAACCTTTTGATCATCTTCTCGTTCAATATGACGAATGCTCCTGCGAAAATCTAAATGAAGGTCTACAAGCTACGTGAATGAATGTTTACAAGTGCGCAACGTCAGGCAGAAGAAAGTAGAAGAAACCACACTGGTTTTCAATCTGTTTTTCGCCACATACATAGGAATTCATTGCAATAGCAATCCAAACTGGACTGGCTATTAGGTCTAGAACCTTGTTTGCGCTTTCTTTGAATCCCTTCAAAGGTGGCAATTTGATATTTATTGATCATCCAAGAAGACAACTAAGACCTCTCGAAAATCATCAAAATGAAGGGCAGTACCGGCGTAAAAGCAAAAGGCGTGATGAAGAGCATGAAGAAGGCTGACAAACTTGCTGTGGCTGATCAACAGAAGATGCAGCAAGTCGTCAAGGAGAAGGTCAACATCACGTCCGTAAAAATGGCAGTAATTCGGGAGAACACGATCGGGAGCAAAATTACCCCGAACACGTTCCGCTCCCGACAGCCATCACTGCAAAAATATTGCCGCGTGTTCCGGAACGGTATTCTGGTTCCGTATTTCAACCCGACCGCCGTACGAAAAGCGAAACAGGCACAGCGGAAACGCAGGGACAAGGCAGGAGCGGGGAAAAACGCGAAGAAAACCGAAAACGAGGAGGACGCGCCTGTGGGGAAGAAAGCTGAGGAAAAGGATGCTGAGGCAGACGCATTACTTTCACCCGAGGACGACGAAAACTCAGCTTCCGACTCAGACTCCGCGTCATCCGACCAAGAAGAGGACTCGGAACGTGTTGAAACGGGCAAAAATAGTATGAAGAAACAGAAAGGCAAAGGCCGGGGCAAGAAAGGCAAGAAGGGGGCGAAAAAAGGCACAAAGGACAAGAACATGAAAACAAGCGGCTCGCTGACAACGAAAAAAGGAAAACACGGCGACAACCTGGAGGGTGGAGAAGATGAAGAAGACTTCCCGGGTAGTAGTTCCTCAGATGAGGAGAATGAAGACGAGGACGGCGACCTGTATCCTGTCGATCCCGACCTCGATGAGCAGTTTGTGGAGAACCTGGCTTTCCCGGTGAATCTTCGCCAGGATTTTCTCGAGAGCATCTGGGCGCAGCAGGCTCTCGTCATCCGCAACAATCCGATTGCTGCGCACAGTCGGGTCCATTTGTCACACTCAGCCCCGGTTTTGGAAGATGCGATGACTTTTGCGAATAAGTCCAGTTCTACAACCTCGAAAGAAAAGTTAAAATTGTGGGCCGGCGAGGTTTTCAAGTCTTCTGTACAAACGCTCGCGAAGGCGAAGCACAGCAGCCTGAGACCGGACTTGCCAAAAGCTGCGTTTCCCGACCACTTTGTCGCGATCCCCCGGGATCTGGAAAATGCGACGAAAGCGGACGAATTTCAGGTATGGAATGCGCGGTTCAGCAGTGGATTCACTCTGGCGAGCTACGTGCCCCTTGATTTCGCGAGGTTTCAGGAAGCAGAGCGACGGCTGGGTCAAGTCCCGCCGCAGCTCCTACAGGCCTTAATGTCGGCATACAGGGAAGACGATGGTCTTCCTGAAGGTCACAATTCAGGAGAAGAGAAGTCCGCTTCCAAGATGGACGAGAAAAGCGGCGACGGAAGCGAGGAAGGCAGCACGAAAGACGACGAAATGGGTGGCGACAAAAGTTGTAGCGAGGAAATTAATTCGGATGAGGACATGGAGGTCGAGGGCATGTCCAGGAGGCGCCTACTATATGGCCCGAACTTCGACGAGACGCAAGCTGGCGTGAAGAGGCGCATGGAAGTGAAGCGCTTCATGGAGCGGTACCACGCGCTGGTGGAGAACTACCTGTATAATCTGGATATTGAAGCGTTGGTGCAAAATACGCCTGAGAATAGCCGTGGTGAGCAGGAAGTATTTGTTTGGATGGACCCGAATCTGGAAAATTCGGCGACGACACAAAAAAAGGATTCCCTGAAGCCTTTACTCAGCAGCTATGGCGTTCTCAAACGTTACATTCTCAACTGTTACATGGATTTGTCATGCAAAAGCACCTTAGGGCGGCAGATGATCTAGCTGCTTCGCATGACAAATTTCGGGAGGGCTAGACAGCATCTAAATCTGCGCCAAACTTGTAATGCAAGAGGCGCAATCTTCCTCCTTCCAATTTCGCCAGTCTTGCATTACAAATCCATGTAACAGTTGAGAATGTAACACTTGAGAACTCCATAGCAGCACCGGGGCTCTGCGCAGGTATTTGAACGATGTCGAGGCCGAAGTTCAGGCCGAATGCGATCGATTGGAAGAGGTGGCAAAAAAGAGAGCACTGAAGAAAGAGTCCGATCCAACTTCTTCTATCGCTGCAAAAGCAAACAATGCCACTACGTCATCCGGCACGAATAAGCGTGTCCGCAGCTACTCTGAAGAATCGTCCTCCGAAGAACCACCGATACACAAGACTTCTTACGAGGAAGCGGTAGCTGTGGGGTATGTTGAACGGAGGCACCAGGCCGAAAATGGTCCCGAATTGTCTGCTGAACCTCAGAAGCAGAGGCTTCCACTCTTTTCGCGAAAATTCGAAAATCCGCGGGAGGCACTTGATTTGTTCCGCCGATTGCCGAATGCTAGCGCCTTGTACTTCCGCGCTCCAGAACTGCTGGAGCAGAAGGCTTTGCCTGCCTTTATGAAGGAGCTCGGCTTCGATTTTGCAGGATTTTTTGAAAACATCGGCGAGCCTGACGAGCAGGCAGAAATTCCGGAAAAATGGCAGAGCGGCGAAGAGGACTCCGAGATAGATATGGAATCGGAAGAAGATGAAGACAGTGACGAAGAGGCTGCAGAGCAAGGGAAAACCACTCTGACTTCGAGCAAGCAAAAAAAGCCAGCGGCGAAGAAGAAGCAACAAGCCAAAAAGAAGAAAAAGGAAAAAGAAGAATCTCAAAGCGATGCGGGTGACGGTGAGGAGCAAGACGCCATCAAGGAACGTGTCGACGAAGACGTGAAGATGGACGACGCCGAAGAGGATGCGTCGAATGCTGGTGGACGCGGTGGTCCGGCCCGTGGGCGAGCGAAAAGCAAGGCTGCTGCGAAAAAGGCGCGAGCAGAGCAACTACTATCCGAAGATGAAGATTCTGGGATGGAGTTCGATACTGAAACGCCCACATGGTCTCGGTCGTTGCAAAACGAACTGAAGCAAACGCGAAGCTGCGAGATCGAAACCTTCATTTCCAAGAAGGGGCACATTACCGATTGGCACCAGGATTTTCAAGAAAATTTCACGATTCAGCTGCAGGGAGTGAAGCGATGGTACATCCGCAAGGGCCGCGTGCAGGAGCCGATCTTAGGCATTACCCCGCACTACGACGTCGAAAAGGGTGACGCGACCCGCGAAAACGAACTCAAGCACAATTTGGTCCATCAGACCGCCGGGGATGCATTGCTGAGTTCCAAAGGGCATGACTACGAAGACTGGGCAGGAAATGCTCATCCCGCACAATGTAGCAGGCTTGGATGTGGCGGTGGTGAAGGTGCAACGGTCACCGTTTACAACCCACGGCGCGGAAGTTGGCGCACGCAGTCGGAAGATTTTGATCTGCAGCAAGACTTTTACCACCCCGATGATGCTTCCACCTCCGACTCTGAGATGGAACGAGCTCTGCGGATGTCTCGCGCTCGTGGCCCGTCTTCCGCACGAGGCAATAAGGACAGTGCGGACCCAGCGAATGATCCCGCCGCCAAGAAGCAGATCCAGAAGGAACGGTACGCGACTGAGGATTTGTTTGGAAAAGTTCGGGGCCGGTGCGATCCGCGGTCGGCGCAGGCACGAAAGAACAAAGATTTGCAGCCGCCGTATGGCGAAAGCGCGACTGACTACCGCCCGGAGGATGAACCGCTGGAAGAGAGCTGTGACGTCATCGATCTGTTCCCTGGGGACATTATGTACTTCCCCAGTGGGATGTGGCACAAGGTTTTCACAGTGTCGGAGGAACCTTCGATCAGCATCAATTTTTCCCTGAACGGGCGCCGGTGGTGCGACGTAATCGGCGACAGCCTGAAGCAAGTCATGGCCCGGCATCCGAGCCTGAGGCAGAAAGTAGTTGGCTGCTTCACCCAGGAGGACTTTCGGGCCAGAGCGGGAGAACAGCTCGTCACGGCGGCAAGATTCTTGTACTTTTTTCTTCTACTTTTACGTGCTGCATGTGTATCCGCTTGGAATTGCAGGCTGATTTCTTTTTCTCATATCAGGTTTTTGCCCGAATGCTGTGTTTAGCACAGCTATTCTGGCTACCCCCCCAGGGATTTTTTCTGTGGCTTAGAAGGGGAAGCGTGTTGCTTGTGCCTGCAAGGATGATAATATCTCAGCTCGTGCTGTACTGTCTGCTGCACTGCGGATAGGGTGCCAGCCGAAAATTAATATCCAAGAATTCCAACTGACCAGGCACACATAAGAGAGCGCAGATGCCATCATGATGAGACTCATAGCATAGTTCACCCGGACAGGTCCTCACAGGGCTGGCTGGCGAGACAACCAAATCCAATTGATAGTCCTGACAAAACTTCAAAGTGCAATAGTTTCGTCGCGAAGCTGCCTGAAGAGGCGCTCGGGCTCACCTCTACATGAGTTAGAAGATGATGAGATTCTTTTACAGCATAGTTCACCCGGACGGATCTTTGCAGTATCCACTGGCGAATTAACCTACATCCAATTGATAGTCCTGAAGATTCATATTCGTATGAAGATAAAGAAACAGTATGCACTAGGTACTGGTTGGCAATGATTTTCTGGTGCTAATACAACCACACAGGACCAAATCGTATAGAATATTAATCCCAAACCAAAACCACATTACAGGTCCAGTAGTTTAGGCATTCGGGCGGCGCCGACACGTCCAAACCCGGATCACGACAAAAAGAGTAGTCGTCCACCACCTCCACTGGAGCAGCCGAAGCTGCAAATTGCGGAGGGAGCGTTGCTGCAGCGGGCGCTATTGCCCAGTAATGTCATGATGGGCACACGATACCGCAGCATCGACCTGGTCCAATACTTGCTTTCTGATGTCGCTCGCGTGGACCACAACCACGGACATTTGGACACCATGCCAACGCAAAAGCAATACTTTCTGAGCGGCTTGTCGAAGCGCACCGAATTCAGCGACGTGAAGACTGGCTGGCTCGGCGACGACATAGGCGTGGATCAGCTGTATTGGCTCTCCCGGGTGCAGTGTCTGGTTCCGGCGGGCAAGACTGAGCTGTCTTTTGGAAAGGAGAGCCATTTGGGCCAGATTTTGCAAGAAGTGGCAGACCGCGAACATTGCTTCCCCTGGGGATGGGAGATCAAGATGAGAGAGAAGGAATCTCAGAAACGCCACGCGAAGCGTGTAAAGTCTGGGCAGTTCACGGAGGAAGAGCTAGAAGCGGAAGCGGAACGGGATGCGAAAACCGACTGCGAGCAGGCGAAGCAAGCAGAGGAAGAGGACGCGATTCGCCCACTGGGTGCTAGTTACATTCTACATGCAAATTATCACGACGGGCCGTCAGCTTCGCGGTTGGAACTGCACGCCGTCTATGACCGAAACTGGTACGATCCGCTAGACTCGAATGATAAATGCGGAATGACCCAGTTTGAGTTTGCGTACCTCATCGGCTTGCTAGAATTCGTCGTGAAAGCGCAGACGGATGCGATCGCGCGGCCCGGCGTGGTCTTGCACCACCTCGTATCCGCGTGGATGCGAGAGTACGAGCGTTTCTGTGTGTACTTGAAAACGCAGCAAAAAGTAGAGAAGGAGCAGCCAGCCGCTAGCAGCAATCATGCGGGTACTAAGAGTAGAACTGCGGCCTCTACTTCGTCGTCTTCTGGCGGGAACTACAAGCAAGGAGCTCCAACCGCATCGAAGTCGCTGTCTACACCCCCACTAGTGCGAGACGAAAACGTACGGACGACCCTGCGCAAAGTCCACCACTGCGGTGCGGAGATGATACATCAAACGAACACCTTCAAATCAGTCCTGTTCCAACGAACCCACGACAAGGATGAGTTCAACAGTATTAAAAACCAAGGCGACAAAAACGAAAGCGACGGCGAAGACGAACAACAACACGGACTGCAACGGGACGACAAAGCCAGCGAGTACTTCAAGAAATTGGTAGAAGCTCACCAGAGGAAGGTGCAGAAGAAGTACCAGCTACCTCGGCTGCACCGGCTAGGGATGTTGGTCTGGATATCCTGAGTAAAAACGTACCCACACCATAGTTGTCATGCAACTCTGCATGCTTAAATTGTTTCTCATGCGGAGCCCCATGAGAAGCATTTTCTAATGCGGTTTTGAAATTTGTCATGCTCCAATCAGCACGAGATACTAGATCTGTAATGCTGCTAAACTAGCTCAAACAGCACTACACTACGCGGACAAACTTGTCATGCCAAACAACCAAAGCTGGCTGATTTGTCTAGCAGATTCCCCATCCTGACTCTGGTGTGGGTACGTTTTTACTCAGGATACTGGAACCTTCTGCTTCGGGAAGGCCTGCTGCTGCCCCCACAGCACATAAAGTTCAACGACAGGTTCAACGACCCGAGTCGGTTGCACGGCAGCTCAGAATTTGAAAGACTGATGCAGTCGATGGGTATGTAAGAAATCGCTCACAAGATCAAAAACTGATGTTTGTTTTACGCTGTCCTGTTTCGAGTCCAACAGCAACAGAGAGGTTTTTTCAATAAGTGTGTAAACGCGCATGCGCATCCACCCTGTTCTTGCTGGTTTTGAAAAAATGTGTTCGTGTTCACGTGGGCAAAGGCAAAGCAGGAACTGAAGAAAGAAAAGCCACTTGTTCAAGCAACAAGCAAAATGGGTAGGCTTATTTAGGGGCATCACTACTGAGAGGAGCTCAAGACGCGGGAGAGAGTAAAAGCATGCGGAATTGAGTTTTTTGAGTGATGTCTTTGTCTAGGTATGTGTGATGGGGTACAACAGGGAGGGGGGAAATGTAGAACTTCTAGATGCAATCAGAATCAGAACCCTGCACGTTTCCCTATCCTCTGGATTTTCCCGCTTGAGTGTAACCAAATGATCTGAAAGATCGCATGTTTTTGTAGACAGGTAAAAACAGAGAATTTTCATTTCGGATGGATCGGGTATGAATTCGAAAGGCGTTGGGTGCAGTATCTAGCCAAAGGAGTACATTATTGAAACGTGAGTTCATCACCACCCCGTGTCATCTATCTCGCGCCTCATAAAGATGGTGGACATCGACGTCTCTCACCTCCAGGCGCAGCTGGCCGACGGTCTGAAGATGCAAGCGGCGAGCATGCGGGAGGACCAGGAACTGCTGCGCGTGTACCAGGAGATCAACAAGCTCAGCCACTACACGATCCTACTGACACTTGCTCTCGAACTTTTTTCTCTACCGAGCGCGTTGAAATTGGTAAAAGGGAACCCATCACTGTACGCGAGTGCGGTTTTCAAAAACTTCTTCAACCACTACCTGATCGCACCCGCCATGTTCTCGGTCTATGTCAGGTATTAATGGGAAGTATTGCGCCAGGTTTTGGTTTTCGTGCCAGGTTTTGTGCCAGGTTTTCGTGCTGGCTGGTCTTGTTGCTCTCTAAAATTTCTACCTCAACAATGCTAGTCCTCGACTCATCAAACAATTCTATACATGAAGCCAGACTCTTTACGTCCCCACTATTTCAGGTACTACGTCCTCCCTGGCCACACGTGTGACGTGACAAAATTCCCTTTTGATCCACTCTCTCCGCCGGACTACAGTTGGTGTGAGTACGATAGGTGGACTACGTTCCTGCAAATGTTGGGCGTCTTGCTGATCCAAAGCATTGGGTACTACCTGGCCCACGTGCTTATGCACACGCGGAGGTTCTACTGGATGCACCGATTTCACCACAAATTCAACAACACCGTGACGCCGATGGTTGCAAACGCGGTGTCCTGGGCGGAGTACGCCGTGGCCTACATGCTGCCGATTTTCGTACTTGAATTTTTGATTATTTTTTCCGGAAGATCAGTTTCAGTTTTTCGGTGTCGTTTCTTATCTGCGCAGGTCGAGATCATGGTGAAACCCGTGACGAAAAACAGCGTGATGAAATGCAATTTCAAACCTTGAACAAACGCAAAAATTCTCACTCTGCCGCACTTCAGGTCGCCACCGTACTGCTGAAGCCCAACGTCCCCGCTCTCTTTTATGGCGTTCTCAAACGTTACACTCTCAGCTGTTACATGAATTTGTGATGCAAGAATGGCAAAACTGAAAGGGGGAAGATTGCGCCTTTTGCATGACAGATTTGGCACAGATTCCCATCCTGTTTGGCCCTTCGGGAATTTGTCATGCGAAGCAGCTTGATCCTGTCGATTCTGATTGGGATTTTGCATGACAAACCATGCAACAGTTGAGAATGTAACATTTGAGAGCGCCATATCTTCCGTGCCGGGTTCATCATCAGCTTCTTCAATCTGCTATGCATTGCAAAAGTATCGTACTAGTATAAATTGCATTACAGATTTTGGCAAGAAGGAAAGTGGAATTTGTAATGCTGTTTTGCCTTGGGAAAAAGTTTTGTCATGCATATTTGCAATTAGTACGAATACGATACTTTTGCACAGGATATCTGCTGATCCACACCCCGTTTCTGCACGATCTCAGCGAGAGGCTCCCCGGTTTTTGGGTTTCCACCGCGGGCCACATGGAGCACCATCGGGTTCTCAGCCGCCACTTCGCCGCGCCGACCTTGAACGTCGACTGGGTGGTGGGCCTCTTCGTGGGCAGCATGTCGGAGGAGAAACGACAAAAATTGTTCAAACAAGCGAAGGAGGAGTGATGTTGATGCGGAACGTTTGGAATAACAATAAGCAGCTCGTCACTCCCGCCGACGTCCTAGTTGTGTACAAGTCATCTCCCAAGGTGTAGAAAAGTGTGTGATCAAAACTAACCGCAGAAACGGAGATCGCCGAACTCGGTTCGACCCCCTGACCGGCGGAAAGATGAGTGGTGTCCTGTGCAGTGAAGAAGCTGACAAACTACGGACCGCCCCATGCAACCGGAATAAGTTGTCATCGAGGATGACAGACCCCCTTCCCGTGCGTGCGGCGATGGCGAACGCAGGATTGAATTCTTGACAGGTAGAGCACCACAATCTGGTTTCGATGTAAGCAATGTCTTTCCGACATCACAACAGACTGGAGCAAGCCGGACGGTAGTGTCAGGTTTTCAGTGACAACATGTACCTAGTATTGGCTGAGGCGTCCGGAGGCTCCCAATCCTGGTGTGTGGAGAGAGATGTATGGCCAGCGAGCGTCTTCACGGGGCCTCGAAAACTACGCAGCTACAGCACGCTCGCAGTGACCGTCGGATACTCGTATGACGAAGCGTAGCAAGCATGAAGAGTAGTTACAGGACGAAGCGACGTGCTCAGAAAAATGCAGTAGACACTTGTGTCTCTTCCCTTTTCATCTACTTTTTGATATAGCGTTCCACAACTTCTATGTTGACCCAGATCGATAAAGATTTTTTAGCGTGTACAAAGAACTTTCTAGCAGACTTTCAATTTGACACTAGTAGAGTTTCCTTGACAGATCAGAACGCCTCGCGTTGATAGTCTGGTTTCTGGTTTCAGCCAAACGACTCATTTTCAACCGTAATGAAGAAAGCCCGCGTGCTAGGCAGAATCAATTCATTATTGAATCAATCCGCACAAAAACACTTCGAAATAAAACTGAATTTTCAGTACCAGTCGCGTTATGGGCACTGGTAGGCCGCATCGTCACAGTTCGAGGCTAATTCGTGGGAAGCTCGGCATCTGAGAGAGTTCGCGTCGTCCTCTTCATTGAGAAAATAGAGAGAACAGCGTCGACTTGACTTCGTGAAATTGAATTACCTACTCCAATACATTGATTGGCGTTCTTCTGGTTCGAGAGACAGGGTTGCCCCTCAATCCAGAGTGCTGCGCGAGACGATCGTCTTCGTGTGTTAAGCGGTGAGAAAAATCATGTCATTGCGCTGGAGGTCTTCCTAGAAATCGAGTTCAGATCACACCATACACTAGCAGGGCTGTCCTCAGTGAAGCCGAACAGAGGCATTAAAAGTTCAGCCTAGAAATTCGGAAAGATACGAGCTGCCGATATTTTTTGCTACGACGCGTTGTCGTTCCGCATTTTCACCTTTATTCCGTAGCGGAAGCGACTACCTCCTGCTCCTCAAAGTCGAGCAGTGCGTGCTCTGCTGCACAAACAGTCACAAAAACGAATACGGACGGTCTCCCCAGTTGTTCGACGGTAAAACAAAGACACCGAGGAAAAGGAGAGCGTCTCGCGTCCTCTGACGACCGGGCTTCATCACGAGGTCACACTTTTCCAGGCGAGCAAAGCTTCAGGAGTCTGTTCATCGGGAATAGGCCAAGTCCACGATAGCGCAAGAAGCTAAAGAAAGGTAGCAAAAAATTACTGATCGAGCGGTTGTAGTTGAGAGGACACGGAAAACTACACACTGCTCGACAAGCGGAAGCACGGGCAATCGCAGGAACGACGCGTAAAGCAGTACTTGTCGAGACCGATTTCTCATCTCCGCCATCACAGAAGCTGCTGCAAACCAAATCGACTGACGTAGGAAGGGGATTAACTCACGCGCAAGAAGTTTATTTTGCGGTGCCGGGTAGCTTCCCTACTGAGCGTGGTAGCAACCAGCAGGTCTGCAGAAGGGTCCGAGCGAAAACGGCCTGCACCTTTTCAGTCAGCAGAACGTCCACGGAAGAACGAAGCTCAACCCAGTTGCTGACGTCAGAAAGAAAAGATATCCATCGGAAGACGTCGTGCCGACGAGACGAAAACAAAGACGTCAAGCAGCAGACCCATCGCAGAACTTGCTGAAACCGTCGCGCTCATCGACGTCCGTGATCTTACGTGCCGGTCGCAGCTGCAAATTAACTCGAATCTCGCAGTCGTAGTCGAGGTCGAGCGGGTGCATCACCAATCTACGTCAAAAGAAGACCGCTGGTCGTTCCGTGAGGGCTTGGCCCACCACCGCCAGCCACCTGCACCTCCCATCTACTGTAAAACCGCCGCGAGGAGGTTAAAGATAAAGCAAATCTTGCTTTTATTCGGCTCATTCGTTCTGGACAGTGGAGTGGTACAACTTCAAGTCTGCTGCTAAGCGAAGATGCAGAAGCGTCAGGTCGGGGTGGAAATCATCTACGACTATGATGAGGGCAAGTACTACAAGTTCGACCAACGCAATGGGGATACGGCGCTGTGCGACGTGCAGGGAAAGCCGGTCCCACGGTTCTACAAGGTATTCATGTGTGGTGTCACGAAACTTTTCAAAATGATTTTGATGTCGTCCTCGCTAGCCTTACTTGCTTACGCCGTTCTCGTTTTGAAGATGCGTCAATACATGATCAGCATGTACCTGAGCACCGTTGTTTATCATCAACAAAAAACAGGACTACTCTGGGTTTGCCACCGTGTTTGATCGAAAGACGGATGGCAGATTCGACGAAGTGGAGGGCTTGCATTCCATCGAAGAAATACCCAAATACCTCGGAAGACCTGCAAAGTATGTGCTGTTCTTAGCTTGTTTGTTGGATCGTGTTCATTCTGTCGCATGTTGTCGCAAGGGCAAATTCTAGTCTACAGTGTTTTTTTGCATTTGGTAATCACAATCAAGAAGTAGAAGTTTTTCAACTAAACAAATCACAGGTATGTCGGATACCAGCAAGTTCCCAGGCCGGGAATCAAGATGGCCGCAGCCAGTGACGAATGTGCCTATACCCTGCCAACGTATAGTTTTTTGTTTCACTTTCACTTTCACCCGGCTAGAATTTTGCAATGCCACCAACCATTCAAAAGTACCAACCTGCGCGCACTATTACGTGTACGAAGACACCTGGCTCCACAAAAACACAAACAGGTACCTCGAGCCCATTCCGCCAAAACTGGGTAAAGTGTCCCTGAAGGTGAAGGTCGACACGAAAAGAAAGTCCCTCCCGAGCAGGATACGAGCGCTGCCAAGTTTTCTGCACACCCTGGACAGCCAGTACGCGGAATCGCTGTCCTTGAATCACTACCTCGGCAAGACCTTCCCGGGCATGCGGAACAGCGGAGACGTGGCCGCGTTGAAAGCCGAGAACAAGGCCACCGTCATGAACGACGGGATAGACCTGATGGGCGAGTTGCGGAAGCACCGCATGCCAACCAAAAACAAATTCGCAGCCAAAAGGCCACCGTATTGCTTACAATTGACGCGTTTTTGCTTGCGTTTTGTTCAGGATTACTTAGAAACTGGAACTGCTTAGTCTGTACGATCTTGAAGTCATGCTGGTCTCCATGTTAGTTAGCGAAGCTGAAATGGATTTTGTGCAAATCAGGTTCACGGGGCTGGAGATCAAGAATAAGGAAAAGCAGAGGGACCGCAAAATGAACCCAAAGCGCGCCTACCTGGACGACCTTGCCCAAGAAGAAGACGTGGCTGCAGTGAACAAGAGAAGACGAGACCGGTATCCGGTCTATTTCTCAGAAAAGGACGCTAGGGAAGCGGCGCTAGGAAACGTCTAGGTGATGCAGCAAACTGGTGCAGACATTGCATACAAATCCTTCCCTATCGAAAAATGTTCTTTCAGAACTCGCGAACAACAGCTAAATATGAACAATGCACTGAAACTCTTGTACCAGAAAGAAACTGTTTTGAGACTACAGTAACCACAACCTCGTACAAGATTTTGGCTGCTTCAGTTGCACAACAATGTTGGTTTGTAAACAACTTCTGTACGATAAGGACGCTGTTCGGCTTCGGCGGGTATTCAAGAAGAAGGCACCAGCTCCATTCATCTGTCCAAGTCTATATCGCGATAGTGGTCGTGTTCCATTTATTTCTCTGGCTGGGCGGCTATCGGGTGGTGCTAAGCAGCGCACGTGCGATTTCATTTCAGTGCTTTCTACGAGACAAGCAGCGAGCTTAGTTGCCGCGCACCGCGATGAGGAAGACCTGAGCGAAACAGAGCCCATTGGGCTGGCTCGACGTCAAATGTTGTGTAGAAAAGTAGCTCCGCTAGTAGTTGGGACGTCGTCAGTGTAGAACTTTTGTTCGTTAGTTTTTCTCCCTCTTTCATCACAGGAGAAACGCCACAAGATGCTTTCGGAAGTCCCGTGGTATGACTTCTTTGACGTTCTGGCTCGCCAGGCGCCGGACGACGCGGATGCAATTGTGGAGGCGAAAGCGCGGCTGGAAAAGCAGCGTATTGCGACCGTGGCCCGGCTTGCTTCTCTCTCCGACGCGCACTGGCAGCGTATCGACATTGAAATCGGGGTCGAGGCCTTGATTCGCAGCACTCTGGAAGAACTACAAAACCGCTCTGCGGCGGAGGAGAGCGTCGACCACGCTGGATTGTTGCAGGAACGCCATACTGGAGGTGGACAATCAGGTGCTGGCGCAGCAGACGCAGAGCTTCGTCTTCGCAAGCCACATATGAACCGTTCAACACAACGGGGTGGAACTCGTACAACCGGCACAACTTTGTTGGAGCATGATGAGCGGAACGAGGTTAACATGCTTTCTTCGAGCTACAACGGAATTACGTACGAGAAAAAGTTCGATTTTTCTTCATCTTCAACCTCCACATCCAGTACTGCTGCGGCCGCTACGCAGCTCTTCTCCGACGCGGAGCAACAGCAACTGCTGCTTTCCCAAGAATCGGACCTTCGGGCTGGAAAAAGTGGCTTCGATTTCCATTCTAATACCGCACGACCAGGAGCTGCTGCTCGCGAGGAAGGTCATGATCTTGATCAATCCGGCCACCTCCAAACTGGAACGATGAATACAACAGCGCCACCGTTCCAGCTAGAGCCGCCAGAAAATCTCGAAGAGCTGTGGGAGAACCTGCTCCTGGAAACCCTTCCCCCGGACAAGCGCGACGTGTTGCAGCAGCAGTGGGTAGACACACCAACCGTCGAGGAGAAATTTATGATGCTACTCGAGTATAAAATCCAGAATTTTTGTGCATGTACCTAGTGTCCTGATTGTCGGTTCTGTTTGAAGATTTAGTTCTTTTAATATTTGTTTTGAAGGAGCATCACGACATGGTGTCGTGTCCTTGCCTTCACGAACAATCCAAAATCTCGCAGGTACAATTCTTACCTACGTCGGCCGCATGTGAGTCCGGAAGAGCGCGCTGAGCGACGGAAGCAATTGGCGCCGTTGCTTGCGCATTACGGCATTCCAGCGGACGAATTTGACCAGCAAAACGAAGACTCGGATGAGTATGGGTCAGGATTGAAAGGAAGGTCGGATACTTTCTTCGCCCGGAATCTGGGTTTTTTTCTCGCCTTGTGCTTCGGTCTTCTTCTGAGCAGTGTTGCGTACGTGGCGATTTACGGGCTGCCGACGGAAGTCGGGCGATTGAATCCGTTTGGTGGACGAGAGGGAGTTGGGAAAACGTCTAGAAGTCAGTTGAGGTCGCGGCAAAACCTCAGACCGTTTCAGGGTATCCACGAGGAACAGCTATAAAATCATGATGTAGATGTACGCCACAGCTCGCGCTCGGTGCTGTCAGAATCAGGATGACACCTGCGAAAAATTTTCTTCAATTTTGTTGAAAAAACAGAAGGAAAAATAGCTTCACCAGGAGTAGGAACGACGACGTAAGAGGCCAGTTCAAAAGGAACCCGAGGGTGATCAGTGCGTTACATATTTGCGTAAAAGACAATATGTAAAGAACAAGTGTGCTTTTTTACCAAGCTGACCCGTGGAGCGCGACTAAAGTGGGTGAAAAATTTAGTCCGCAAAGACGTTCCAAATTACCCGGGGTAGTGCTCATCTTTGGTTGTGCAGGCACACATCCATCATCATCCTTCGATCGGTTCTATTTTTGTTATTGTGCGACCTCTTTATTCCAAGGGGAGTCCGGAGTCGGTTTTATTTTTCATTGTGGTGCTATGGCCAGCACAATAAGAACCAAGAGCGGCCGAGTTCTTTTGTATCTCACGGTGGAGCCGCTGCCGCAGCCGGTATTTTACAAGGTGATCCTTCAGTTTCTAAACATTCGCATTGTTGCAACTTCCCTCAGGGCCTTACGAACAAGTGGGTATTGTGAAAACCACACTAATCTTGACTCTGTCTCTCTAGTATTACGAGCTGCCTACCGGAACTGATTACTCGCACATACACAGTCCAGCACGAGAAATTTGGAATCACGTTCACGCCGCTGAGAAGTACAAAAGTCTTCGAACTACTTACGAAATTATTCGAGCACAGACGATACCCTTTTGGTATTTATTCACCCACGTTCAATTTTTTCTGTATCGCCTCCCCACTTACCCAGAACTCAACCCCCAATCATGGCAGACTTGAAAGACTGCGTCGCTTCGCTCTCCACCGGCGGCACGGGTGGAGCTTTTGGCGAAGCTACCTCCGTTCCCATCACCGTTACTAAAATCGAGATTCTGGAGGCTCCGTGCGAACGGCTTCAGAAATCCCTCCTGCAGGTCGATATCACACTGGAAAATCGCGAAACGGCGAAGGAGACCACCGCGAAACTTCGGCTCCCCTTGCCAAATTCTTGTCGTGTCGTCCAGTTGGACCTTGAAACGAAGGATGGTGTCTTCGTTCCCGCCACGGCGGTACCGAAAAAGAAAACCAAGGAAATCGTTTACAAGGAAAAGGAGGCCGGACGCAGCGTCGGGGCCGGGACGCAGGTCGGGGGCAGCAACGTTTTTGAGATGGAGCTTTTTCCGATCCTGCCCAAGGTGCCGACGCGGTGCCGGGTGAAGGTGCTCGCGACGATGAGCAGTGTGGGGGAAGGAGGGGCTGCGTCACTGGAAAAGGACTTGAAGGCACGGCTGAGCCCTTTGCTCTTGGCGGAAAGCAATATCGAGAGCGGGTTCGTTTACTCCAGGTGTGCAAGTTCTAGTACAACAGCAGCGACGTCGGCTCCAAATCCTACTGAGCCAGCGTGTGTGGTAATGGATTGTTTCGGAGCCAAGCATTTTGCGATCCGGGTTCCGCCACGAATGTCTTCACAGACCGAGATGGCTGCTGCTAGTAGTCCTGGTGCAACCCCCGCTGCCGTATCTGGGACAACATCGCAGGACCAGCCAGCCGTTGTCTCCGTTTTCTGGGACACGTCGGGTAGCCGAGAAGACGGGGCGGAGAAGCGATTGGTGGAACTGGAGAAAGTGCTCCGGAAATTGAAACCAACAAAGAGCTTCTTGGGCTTCACACTGCACACGTTTGACATGGAGATGAAAGAGCATAAAGCTGCCACGAACTCCGCCTATCACGGAGTAGACTCTCTTCTAGCGGTTTTGCGAAGTCTGAAGTACGACGGCGGAACAGATGTTTCGAAGTTACCGATACATCTTGCCAAAGTGATGGCACGACTTTCCCACGACGAAAATGATGCCGCGACTGTAGTCACAAGAACCGCACTAGTTTTTACTGACGGGCTCGACGTTTTCGGACGCACGCCAGATTTCGCGAAATATCCCCTAGACGGCGAAACCACTGTGCACGTGATCGCAGACGAGTCCGCGCAGCAGAATGCCACGGTTTTGCGAGCACTTACGCTCGCGAACGCGGCCAGGCCGGGTCGTCTGGTAAAAATCTGTATTGAAAGCACAACTACAACGGCGAAGCAGAATACTACGCAGAGCGCCGGTGCCCAATCACAAATGCTCGAGAGAATCCTCCAGGAGGGAGTGTCTGGAATCCGTGCACCACAAGAAGCGCGCCTGCATCGGATTACGTCGAACCAGAGTGACGAGGCGTTCCAACTAGAGTACGACGACGGATTTCGCTGCTTTCCCGACCACCGCCTCGCTTTTCACGACATACCCTTGGAGCACGAAGACGTGATAATCGCGGGCATCGTTGGTGACGAAGTAACTGAGGCGACCGTGGAAGTGCGCGGCAGAGACGGCGCCCTGGAGACGTTTACACTGCAGTTCACAAAAGAACCCGCTTCTACGGCCTCATCTTTTTTCACAGGCGCTTTCTCCTTTGGAAAAGATTTACTTGGATACCTCTACGCAGAAACCCAGTACCAGTGTATCCAGAAGGACGCGCTGCGCTCGGGCCTGAATCTGTCGAAGATTCAGGAAGAGCTTGCGGTCCGCTACTGTTTTTGCAGTCCGGAGGCCTCGTTATCAAAAGGAAAAATCCCCCCTCCCCATATCAAAACGAAATTTCTGATGCTGGATTTGGATACACAAATCGAATTTGTGTTGCAGTAGAGGAACGCACGCAGATCCTGAGCCTAGGCAGGGGCCTTTTGGTGTAGGCGCCTAGCATGGTAGACGGCTACCCTGTAGGCCTTACAGCATTACAAAGCGCCAGCATAGCGTGGCGGACAGCCTGAGCGTGCCTTCTTGCAAGACAGGCCCGATTTGTGGCCACAAATCTGCAACGCAAATTTTCGGAAAAATATCTTTTCGATATGAGGAGGGGGGATTTTTCCTTTTGATACTCGTTGCTGTTACTCCACACGGAGGCCCAGTTTCGGGAGAATGACGTGCCTCCACCACTATCGCACCCGATTCGCGCCGAGTGGGAGGAAAGACAAGCAAGTGGGAAGAACAGTCCGAAAAACAAGAACAAGCCGCCCAAGTCCATCTTCGAAGCCGACAGTGACACATCAGACTCGGAAGACGACAAAGTTTCCAGTAAAAACGAGCTCGGAACATTGAAGCGGGTGGAAGTTTACGAAAAAACGGTGGGCGCACTGGTGACGCGATTGCACGACTTCATTGGCGGAGAAATGGCGGAGCGCACAAGGGTTAAGAGAAAGGGGCAAAGAAAGAACACCCGTGGACGAGGTGGAAAGAAAGGGGGCGGAAAGGGCGGAGGTGGAGATGGGTTGTTTCTCATGTCTGCCTCCGCACCAGCCCCACGAATGATGCGGATGGCAGCTGCGGCTCCGCAGGGCGCGATGCGCGGTTTTGCGCCTGATGCGCGCGAAGTTGTTGAGGACGAGGAAGAGGACGCGATGGAATTCGGCCTGGAAGGCTGCGAGGCACCGATGATGATGATGGAGTCCGTTAATTCTGTAATGACGGATGCTCTGCCTGCATCTGCTGCTCTTCTTGGCGGGGGAGCACCACCTGCTCCCGCCGCGCCCGCCACCTGGGGTGGTCGTAGTCGTGGTGTTCCGGCAGGACTGAAAAGTGCTGGTGCTGCTGAACAAGAAGGTGCGACGGCCCCCGGCGTCAGTGCAGCTGGTCCCGCAGTGACCGCCTCTACGGACCCGGAGCTCTACGAGGCGCAACTGCGTTCGGTGCTGCCTGAAATACAGAAACAAACACAACCGACAGACGTACAGGAAGAATTGCCTATGCAAGCGACAGCCGTCTACTTCCAGTTGAAGGAAGTCAACAAGCGCTCGCCCTCGTTCTTCCTGTCCTGTGCCCGGCAGCTCCGCGACCGCGGGTTTATCCAGGACGGGATCCGCGTTGCCTCGAACTGTCTGGAGCTAAGCCTGGAGGAGCCGCAACTCCTCCGCACCGTTGCGTACTACCTTCTCTCCGTTAACAGCGAAGCGGGGAATAATTTGGCAATCACGATTTTTGACCACGTCGCGGAGATCTGCCCCGTCGAGCCGCAGTCGTTTCTCGACATGGCGTATCAAATGTAAAAATGTCTGGGTCTGGGAGATTGCGAGATTTGTCATGCTAGTCTGGCATGACTCTGGACTGGGATCTGTATTGCATGGCGACAAAGAGCTCCTCTTGCCTGTCATGCAAACACGCAGTTTCTCATGCGAAACACGCAACACAGAGCCATGAAAAAACTTGTCATGCTTGGCGGTGCATTGCGGTGTGGGTATTTGTATTATTCAGTGACCTGCATCACAAGTTTCCAGACCCAGACATTTTTACAATTCATATGGCGCTCGCGAGGCTGCGGCTGTTATTCATCTTCCGCGACGGAAAGAAAAAATCCTTGGACGATGAAATAAACGCTGGAAGCAACCTCGCTCTGTCCCAGGCCCTGCGCGTCGTCACCCACAACTGGGCCGGCCGGTTCACCGAGGTCGAGTGGCCAGCGCTGATCCTGATGCAGTTCATCCGCGAGGAGGTGCAGCTGCGGGATACTAACTTGACACCAACATTATACCCCCCCCTTTTCATGGAGAAGTGCAAGCCGCCGCTGAACGATTTTCAGCTTCTATTCCCCACTCCTGAGAAGTGGAAGGAGTGCAATCTGTGCGTTTGGCTCGCCTGGGACACGGATAAAACAGATCTCGACTTGCACGTGATTGAACCTACCGGGGAGGAGGTGTATTACGGCAATCGGGAAAGCGCGATGGGCGGCTACTTGAGTCGGGATTTCACGCAGGGCTACGGGCCGGAGGTGTACTTACTGAAGAACCCGGGCTACAAGCCGCCCGCCGACGACCTGTCACAAATAGCACCCAAGGTCTACCGCAGCGTTAGCGAGGAAATTGAAGCTCGAGTACGTGAAGGAACTACAGGCAATCAGGGGCGGAGTTTGCTAAGTACCATGACGGGCGGTTTGTTTGGCGGCCGGGGCGGACGAGGTGGAACAACAACAGCAAATCGGGGAGATGGTCGGGGTGGAACTACAGCGTCGGCAGAAGAGGAGAAAAAGGCAACAAACAGTGCCGAACCCCCCTCGTCCGCAATCACGTTCAAGGTGCGGGTGAAATACTATGGTAGTCACCAGGACTCGCCTTTGACCGGCGCGACAAGTTGCGTGATTTGGGCGCTCTGTCGCCTGCCGGACCAGAGTGTGAAAGTGGAATTCTTCACGGCGCGGCTCTCGAACCACAAACAAGTGCAGGACGTCATGGAAATCCGGTACGACAAGGACGGGAAGTACGAGGGCATTGCGCCGCTAGTTTAGGCGCCGCTAGGTAAACCCTAAACCCTAAACCCTGCGCATCAACAAACTTGAAAATAAAATTGACTTGACAGCACTGGACTGGAGGTAACGAAACTTCGCCTCTTTTCCCAAAAACCAGAATGAAGCCGCAGAAACGCGGTCGTCTCTGTCCTAGCACAGGTCGTCGACCACCATCGCACAATTATTGTTGTAGAGTGTATGATCAAGCTAAAACGCAATTGCAACACGACCTTAATAAAACTGACCGAGCAATCGGGCTCTGTCCGCTGCAGCTCCTCACCTCAGTGTTTTTTTGGCAAGGGGGCAGCATACACCATACGGCAGCCTCAGCTCGTGTCTGCTGGAAAGGAAAAGTGCCACGCGTCAGTAAAGTAAACAACGTTTGAAGGAGCTAGAGTGTGGCTCGTGAGAGTGTGTAGCTGCGAGTGACTTAGTGTAGGCTTTGATTGATGTATGAACAAAGTGACAATGGTTTCTTCAGAGAGAGTTGCCGAAAGAAAATCGCCAAAGTTTCTAAAAAAAGATCAAGATGTTGCTGCCGAGCCTTCGTCCGGCCGGCTATGGGTCCATTCTGGAGGCACTATACAGCACCGGTGCGGCCCACCCGGTTGGCGATCAGTCTGCAACAGCGACAGAGATAAAAGTTGGCCATGTAGCACCTGCTTCAGCCCCGATGACCTCGTTTCTGCACGTGCTTCTCGGGGACTCTTCATCTACCTTTGCCAGAGCAGCAGCAGAATTGAAGCATGCCGACGCAGAGGCTACGGGGGTCGCGGTGGTTGTGTTTCTGCTGTTTATCATTGTGATGGTACTTACCGTGGGTAAACGGACCTTGGAGGACTTCGTGCAGGATTTCCGCTTTGTTACCGACAGCTTCACCGCCGATCCGGAAGTTCTTGAGTATTGGCGCAAACGGTTTCAGCCTGGCGCTTATTGCATTTTACCGGTTGATGTGGTGGAACGTCGAGATCGTCCTTGTGTACTGGAAGATGCAGATCAAAATGCTGCGAGCGCGAGTCGCGTTAGATCAGGGTCAGGAAGCAATGTCAATTTCGTACCAACAACCGTAGTTTGCCGCGATCAGGAACAATCGCCGACTACTACGTCCTCGTCTGCGCCGCTTCTAGACCATGGGAACAAACAAGCCGTCTCCTATCTGGAAATTTTGTTCGGGCCTGCGCGATCTTCGGTTGATTTAAGCCGGTATCGCCAGATCGACCTCGGCAGCTTGTTTTCCTCTTTGTTGATGCTGGAAACCAACGTCGACACCTCCGATCAAGGCTTTACCAGTCTCGTTCTACTGCACTGGGCGGCGGTGCTGCGGAATTTCGCCGTACAGTACCACGGGCTCATCGCTGTGTGGTACAATCACGCGGTGCCCTGCTATCTACCTGCGGAAGGAATTCCTGTAGACGGAAGCAAAAGCGGCGATACGGTTCTGCAGATGATCACAGATTTGCTGAAAGTACTGGAAAAATCTGCCGGCGATACCAGATGGTTGGAGCGGTTTGCGTGCGAGTCAGCGGTTCATTCGGGAGACCAAACATCTGAAACTACAAGTAGTAGGCCAAATAGTATTATACCACTGTTGCAGTACAGCAACCTTGGTTTCTTCCGCGCTCCGCAGGGACGAGTTGCGGATGTGAGCAAGATTTGTGCAAGTATGGAGGAGAGGGGCATTGCGCTTTCGTTGGTTTTCCTCGAAGAAACGTCGTCGGTGACAGTCTTCTTTGACACCAATGCGGTTTCCGATGGACTTGCGGAGGAAGTCGCGAAGGATTTTTACAGTAGAATCGATTCGGACTGTAACGCAGCGCGCTCCACGATCGTTGACCCTTCTTCAGCTACAAGAAAGTTGTCTAAGGATCCGGCCGAAGGTGGAATACCGATGAGAGACTTCCAGGGCAGTAGCTGCGTTGTACGTCTTATCGGTGCTACAAGTTCATTTGCTGGTGCCGCTGCAGTTTCCTCTCCACTGAAAGCGGCAGAAAATTCCTCAAGCGGTCCGTCCGCCCTTTTAGCTGATGGTCGGGAACAACAAGAGCAGACTGCTGCAGACGGGAACTACGTCGAAACCGCAGAGCGTCAAATCGAGAAACAAAGCCGTCTTCAAGCCGCTTTGCTCGACCCTCTCACCAGTCGGCAAACAGTAGGAATCACGCCCGAGGTGGCACAGGACCCGGCACTGCATTTCGCGTGTCTAATCGGAATATGGCGCGCCGGCGCCGCGGCGACGTATGAAGAAAGCGTGAGAAGTGCGGATGCGGTCCTTCTGAACTCGAAGTGCTTTCTCGTCGCGGAGAATGAGACGTCCTCTTCCATTAATATCGACGACGAGCTGGAGACGACAACTTCCGCCGGTGCGAACGGGCAACGATTTCTGCGGATCGGCGCTGCTTTTGAAGGAGCAGTGATCGATGTGGCGAACTTCGACTGCAATGTACTTACGCACGGCACGAGCTCGAGCGCGCGCACGCGGCGAAATTTGCAGAGCAAGACTGGAAGTAGTCTGTTCAAGTTCTGCAACTCCAACTCGCTTCGCGACACCAGCCGCACGAAGGATCTTCTCGAAAGAGAGGTATCGAAAGCAGAAACCAGTTCGCGGCTCCAGTGGTTCAAAGAGCTATTGAGATCGTCCGCAAGTGAAAAATCAGATTCAGAACCACAGGGCAACATTAGGCAAAGCGTTATCGTTTGCCAATCTTTCGACGCAGCCTGGCATCTCCCAATGATCTACGCCCTGCAACACGACATGGACCTGACGTTCGTCGATCTCAGTATCGCCAGCAACATCGAGCTGCTCCGTCAGGAACTCCAGCGAGAAGGAAGCGGGCTGAGTAACAAGTTTCTCATCGTCCCGACCGGAGTGTTCGAAGACGATTTGGATTTGCTCGCGCAGCTGCCAATCGAGAACCTCTTCGTCTTCCAGGGCCAAGGAGAGCCAGTTTGCGAAGAGAGATGCAGAGTCTTCCATTTGCTCACTGGATCTTCGGACGAGGAAGGTAAAGAACCCAAGACACGTCTGCACACACTGTGGGGATCGCTCCCGGCCGCCTCGCTTCTGCATCGAGAAATACTTCCTCCTTCATCTTCTACTTCCAGTTTGATGATGAAGAAAGCGAATGCGAACGACAAAGAGTCGACGTCCTTGGGAGTGCCGATACCGGACGAAATGTCGACTTCATCATCGTCTTCTCTCTGGAGCAACGACGCTTCGAGCTCTAGACTGTTTCCCTATCGAACGGGCAACTTGTCCTACGACAAAGTTGCTTTGTCTGGCTTCGTGCGCATCTCTGCTTCAGCCTCTCCAACGGAAAGCGTGGAGTTTCACTGGACCGCCCCGAAAGGGCTGTCTTTTCCCGCCTCCACCTTCGACCACCAGCAGGATACGAAACATACTCACGACGATTTTGCGCGGAGAGCAGCACAGCAGCAGCCGAGAAAGCTTGTCAGCTTGGATCAAGGGTACAGCGCAACGACACCAAATAGCAGTTCGCAACCATCGAAGAGCTCGCTTTCGGCAGAGGACGCAACAAATTCAATCTCGTCCACCACCACCACCACCCCGTGCGTACTGCTGACGCCGTCCGGGTTGCCCCTTGACGTCACCCAGTTGCAGGCGGACCACGGCAATGCGAACGCGGTGTTTGTTGTTGAGAAGAGCCGCTTGCTCGTGTACAGCGACCAGTCGGTGTTGCAGCAAGTCCCGGCCTTCGCAAAGTCAGTAGTGGAGTGGAGAACGATGCCAGAGGGACGGGTGGAAATGAACAATAAGTCCGGCGTTGAGCAGCAGAAGCAGGTCGAGGGACGAGATTCATCTCCTGTGCACGCCACGGGCAGTCGTGGTCCTAGCGGTCTGCTGCCCACATCCTCTGCAGTAGTCCTCGATGTCGCAACTGCAAATTTTTACGTCAACCAGCAAACAAGGAAAATACTCTCGCACCAAGTTCCGCAGCCCGTGGCCACGCTGGAGAAGAAGCATCTCCAATATACCGAGTGGACCAGGAAGCAGCTCGAGGAGGCGTCCTACCTGAACCCGTTAAAGGAGGTGAATCAGAAGAGCGTTCTCTCCCTGTCGCTCTATTTCGGTGTGTATCCGTTATTGCTCGCTTGCTACAGCGCAGGCACTACTTCTACGGCTGACACGGCGGCTCCAGCCCTCCCGCCGGGTCTGGTTTCAATCGCGTGCTCGACCCTGGGCTTCGGCAGCGGGTTGCTCTGGCGCTCGCACTACCTGTACCGCAACTTCAACCCGACCGTGCATGTCGTTTTGCTTTTCGTCGTCGTTTTTCTCGGCCAGGGTTTGCTTCCGGTCGCGGTTTACATGGTTCCGATTCTGCTGTACTTAGGGTGGATTCTGTGCTCATTAACCGCATTTCCGGACTGGTGGCGCTTTTTGGTGTCGGTGTTGCTCTTCATGCCACTCCTCGGTATCGGAGAGGTTGGGGCCGCGTCGTCATCCTCTACTTCTTCACCCGAAGTCGCCGCCCTGTGCTGCTATTCCCTGCTCCCCTGCATGACGGCGGCAGCGTCGGTGGCGCGGAACATCGTACGACAGGATTATCCACCCGGACGGTTCATTCTACTGGGGGTTTTCCTCCTCTTTTGCGGCACTGCGTCACAGGGAGCCGGCTGTTTGCTCTACACTCTTGGGACCTTCAGCCTGTTAGTAGCGTTGTTTCCAATTTGCTGGCCAGCGTCGTCTGCTACTCCATCGGAGGAGAGCGACGAAGAAATAGCAGTAGCTGCAGCTGGTCGTATTGTGGACGACTCGACGACGGGGAAGATAAGAGGTAGAAGTTTGAAAGAAAAAATCTTTTCCCTGTCAACCGACGCGTTTTTCAACGACCCCAGGCCGGCTGCCGCGCTTTTTTCCTTTCCCGTCTTCTACCTCTACGCGTCGGTAGTCGCTCCGGAGCCGCTGTTTGGCAATTTTGTGTTTCTCGGTCTCTGGTGCGCGTTCATTGCTCCCGCGGTTGGCTGGACGGTAGAACATTTGGTTGCGAGTTTGGGACTCGCGGAAAACGTGGATGCCGGCCCAGAGGGGAGGCTATAGGAGAACAGGGCCGTGACGAGTACAAAGTGTCGCTTGCGTAGTGATTCAAACGAATTTTGCCGTTTCTCTTTTCCGTGTCAAACTGTTCTGAATTTTGCACAGGCGTAGCCCATTCAGGTCGCATACTCAGAGCATACAAATATCGTTTCCACAACACGTGAAAAAAGTGTCAGGAAATGGCACAAGCGTTCGGATTCCTCCAACCGCTTGTCCCTGTAGTTTTGTACGAAACTAAGGTTCGTTTGTTCCAACGGCGTGTTATTTGTCCCCGGGATTTTTGCTCAGCAGAGCCATCAAAGTGTTTCTTTGTGTGTTGAGAGCTACGTGCAAGAAGCACTAATGTCCCTGCATGTAGTTTCATGTGTGACACCCAGAAAATTGTTTAGTCATCCTAACAACGAGTGAGTGTGGAATCCAAACTTGCTCTCACCAGTACAAAACGTGTATGTAACTCTGGTGGTTGTTGAGTCTGTCTTTGTGTTGTCTTACTTTAGTTCCTGTGTGGTTTTCTTGTATCCTCTGCAAGCAGTAGGAGTAGCAGTAGCTCGCTTGGTCAAAGCCAAAAGAGAAGCCCGTTTAGTAATTCTTGCAATGGGCAACATGAATTTGTATTTGATTGCACCTTTATCCAGCTGGGTGGCAAAGCCGCACAAGAATTTTCAGCAGTCGACAATCATTTTCCCATAGATACTTTTTTCCATATATAGCTTAGTTACGTTACAGTTACAACTCATAAGCACGCACTACACGACAAGATGGCAGAGCAGCAGCCCGTGCAGCCGCAGCAGCAGCAGCAGGTCCAGTATGAAGAGACCCAGCAGATGCAGGGACAGTACTACGGCGCGTTCGTAACGCAGGATGGGTACAACGTGCCAGCCGGAGTCTTCCACCCACCAGGGACAATTCAGATCCCAGGTAGGAATTTGAATTTGTTTTGCTTTATTTGGAATGATTATTAGTAGGTGACGAAAAACCCTGGCCCTGCACCTGCTGCCACGGCAGAAAAGCTGTAAGTAGGAATTACATGATCACAAAAGCGATTCCAACACTCTACACATATGCAGGTCAATCCTTCGTCGGTCCACCGCTCGGGGGTGATGGGTACTTGCAGCTCGGGCAGGCACCGGGCGGTATAGAGATCTATTTTCATTTTGCTTCTCTGCGCAGAACGAAGAACAAGTTCTAGTTGGCGTAGCGCTTGTGAGGCCGATTCTCCTTTATTTGGCTGTTTGTGCGGTATATGTGAGGTTCGTTGCTTGAAAAATATCAGGGTTCAACACACAACCGCTCCAAATCGGGATTCCCGGAGGATTTCACTTCGCACCAGAATATTCGAACTACGACGCACCAGCAGCGCAGACGCCATCGGGATACCGTATTCATAAAACCATTCCTATTTCAACATAGAGTGTGACTTTCTTTGCTGAATCGGAACAAGATTCAAGTTGCAATTGTGTCAGCCGATAGAAAAACTAAAGCGCCTTGTTTTCATCAAAACAGCATCCGCCTACCCTACCCCGATCACACGAGATGCTGGCTTCACGAAGAAGAAGGCAAAGAGCGCGTGGTGCGAGTGCTTTTCGAAGAAGTTTAGTTGAATTGCATCATGCACAACCACCGTCCGACGGGCAACTAGATGCTGCTTACCAGCTTATCTTGTTTACACTTGCTGACTATTTTCCAAACAACTAAACTACAAGCACAAGCACAACTGCTTCGTTGTCACTGTCATAGGTAATTCATTTCCACAGAAAAATCGCGCTGCTCGAAAGTTCGCTCTGACGCGATTATCGAAACCTGGTTTTACAGTCTACGCCAGCGCACCTGTAAGGTGAAACAAAGATGAGCATGCTGTAACTAGAGCAAAGTCATCTACTTCTACGGAGATAAAAGGTCTCCTTGTAGATTGAGGAAGTTGGACGAGGTTCATAAATACGCACAGAGATGAAAGTTGGAAAAGTTTTTAATCCACTTGGTACTGATGGTGCCCACTCGACCACGGATGTGCGGTCTCTTCCAGCGTGTTTGCGTAAGCGAGTCGTGCCGAAGCTGAAAGGTGCTGTAGATTCAGTTTTCATGATCATGATCGCCGGAGGAAGATGCTGACGAACACCATGCGAAACACAATTCGACGATGTTGGTATCCAAGGTCAGATCATTTTGCTTCCCCCGTCAAAAAAGATCGATAGGATAGGTTTTCCCGTGACCTGAGAGTCATGCAAGGGTGATCCGAAAGCAAAAGTGTCAGATTCGCTCTTGCTGTAGATCACGTCGGCGACCGCAAAGCTGTTTTACCGATATGTGAGCTAAAGCACTTTCTTCACCGCAAACAACGCTTCAGAAAGAAAAATTCGTGCTTAGAAATCGTTTCCCCCATATTAGTATCGAGCCCCTTCTTCTTGGTCTTGGTCGTTCTAGATTGAGGTCTGATCAAGCACCACCGCATTCCACTAGCATCACGCGATCAAAAAACACGAACAAAAAAACAATCATGCGCCGCCAATTTCCAGGGTTCCCGCTGCCCGACAGCGTCACTGTGACTGACTACACGGTGAAAAACACGGACCTCGACAACTACACTCAGCCCTACGCCCTACCGCCCGCCCCGCCGCATGCCTTCAGCGACCCGTCGCACTTCATCGACGCCCAACTGGCCGGGATCTTGGAGTCCTTTCGCGAGGAGATTCAGGACGCGACGAGGACCAGCGGGAGCCGGCCGCCCCGCGACGACATGCTGCACTTGCGGTACGCCGGCGTGAGTACGTTGAACTGCAGGATAGTCGCGGACGCGGCGGAGACGTCCAAGATGTTCATGACGCCTCTGCCGGCGAAATACCCCGCGGACGCGCTGAAATCCGTCTACAACAAGTTCATGCTGTTGGCGCAGTGCCAAAAGGTCTTCGGGGACGAGAAAGTGACGAATATCGGGTTGGTTTTTTGCGAAGCCATGAACCAAAAAGAGGGACTAGTCGTGCGGGCGCGGCCGGATGTGCTGGAAAAGCTGAAGGCGGCGATGACAAGCAACCAGTTTACGTATTTTCGAAAACTGCGCAACTTCAGCTTCATGGTCACGGGACCCGCCGCATCGCTGCAGGGGTTGCGCCGCACTGCTCCGACACCGCTGTGCGCGTCGCTGTTCTTCGGGCAAAATTTGACGAGTTTCGATACGAAAGCGCTGGATAAATGGGTCGCGGGGAAAACCTCGACGCAGTGCTTGTTCAATCCACAGCAGTGTCGGGCGCTCGCACTGGAAGCGTTGACGCCGAATGGGCCGGTGATTGTGCAGGGACCGCCCGGTAATAGAGTGATTCGGATTTTTGAATTAGATGGCGAGTTCATGACTACTGTGTCGCTTACACGCAAAAGTTTTGTAAAAATCATTCTGTGTAAGCGTCACGCACAGTTGCAAAAGTCCTGACCAAAGTGCAAACCATCCCTGAACCTCTACCATTTCCATTTCCTCAACATTCGAGGTACGGGTAAATCGCACCTGATCGCTCGCGGGATTCTACCCCAGGTCATCGCACGCGGCGGGCGGGTGCTTGTGTTGTGCAACAGTAACGTGGCCGTGGACGCAATTGCGGAAAAAGTGGTGGAGGACGAGGATCGACCGATGCTCGACTACAAATCGGCGAAGCAGCACTGCATTCGGGCCGGGTACGAGAAGAAATGTTCGAAGAAAGTCCTGCAAGCCGGGTGGTTCCGAGCTGGTTTCTTGGCTGAAATTTCGTCGGGCGCGAAGTCCGTCGTGTTCACCACGTTACATCACGCGAGCACCAAGCCCGACGAATTTGTGCAGGCGAAGTTCGACACCTTGATTCTCGACGAAGCGGGACAGGTGGAGGATTTGAAGCTGTTCATCTTGAGCCAGAAAATCCCCACACTGCAGAAAGCCATTCTCGTCGGCGACCACAAGCAATTGCAACCCTACGTGTCCGAGGGGATCCGGGAGCAGGGGTACGGCGTTTCCACGATGGAGCGCTTGATTGCCAGTCCGAGCAAGAGCAATTCGAAGTCGGCAACGGAGGAGCAAGTTGCACCCAAGGATGGAATATCAAATGTAAAAGTGTCTGGGTCTGGAACAGAGCAACTTGTCATGCTAAATCGGAATCATGTAAGAATGTGTGTTGCATGATTAGCAAAAGCTGTCCACTTTTGACCTAATCGAGAGGCAGTTTCTCATGCAGGATAGGCATGATAGAACTCTCACAGAATCTGTCGTGCTATGTCCTTCATACCAGACCTCATGGGTCATGGAAAACCTGCATGACAAATCGCGCATTCTTCCAGACCCAGACACTTTTACAGTTGATATGGAACATCATCTTCTTCAAGAAAAGCCGTGGACTTTGTGATGCTGGAGGAGCAGCACCGCATGCCGCCGGCGGTGCGGGAAGTGGTCAGTCAGAATTTTTACGACAACAAATTACTCGACGGGCCGAACATCCGCGACAAGTTTTTCACGAAGGAGTCGGGTTATCAGCAACTTTTCGCGCAAACAAAGCCGACGGTTGTGGCTTTCGACTTGAATTTCGGCGCTGCGGATTTCAACATGGCACAGCGGTCGCTGGAAAATTTCCAGGAGGCGGAAATCACCAGTTTTATCTACAAGGGGTTGTTGCAAAAGCCCTATTTCGACGATGGAAGTTGTCAGCTCCCGCTCACGACAAAAGACATTTGCGTGCTCTCCCCCTACAACCGCCACAAGAACCGGCTCCGCACGGTGCTCGCCGGCATTCCCGAAACGGAGTGGGCCAAGTGGGAGAACATGGACATGGACACCTTGATGGATACGGAAATCGACGAAAAAACGGCCGCGGTCAGGAATATCGACACGGTGGATAAATTTCAGGGTTCGGAGCGACAGGTCGTGATCATCAACACCGTCACGGGAATGCAGCGTGCAAGGCAGGACAGCACGCAGCAGACCAAGCGCGCCTGCGACCCGCACTTCATCAACGTCGCGATGAGTCGGTGCAAGAGTGTGCTGTTTTTGGTTGGGAAATTGTCGGAGCTGGGGGGAATCAAGGACGATCGGAACGCGTCGTGTTGGAACCCGATCGTGAAGATGTTGGAGAAATCCGGGAGTGCGAAAGTTTTTTCCTGCTCCAACATGGAGGATGCGAAGCGGGGCATGGCGGAAATCGGGTTGCTACCGCCGGGAGTTGCTGTCCAGCAAGAGTTGGAGCCTGACGCGAAGAGAAGAAAGCTGTGAGTCCTTTTTATCTTTCCTTTATCAAGAAAGCACCAAAGATCATGCCACCCTTTGAGTAGTCGTGCTTGCTAAAACAAAGCTGCGGTACAAGGAAAACAGCGAAGTTCCAACATCGATATCTTCGTGATTGATTCCATGTCAGTAAACCTCCTCGCGGAGGTCTGAGAAACAATAGGTATGGCTATGATATGGATGTGCTTTTCAGTGGGAGTGGTTCGACGCCTTGCCCTTGAATTTAAATTTGATGCTCGTGTCATATGAAAACAAAGAAATTGATCTATACGATCATTGTTTTGCTTTTTCTCCCCTTTGTCGACGTTACACGACTTCGTTTACTCAGTCTCTGACCCGAAGTATTCCTGCTTGTTTTTAGTCGTGGATGGTGCATTCTTGAAGCATCAATAGAAAGCCGGCACGTGAGTCATTTTTTCTTCGCTTTGGTTCAGAGTCCAAGACCGAGTTGGGTTCGACATCGAATGGGTGAAAAGAGTGGGGAGGTGATGAGGAAGTGTTTCTCGATATCGTCAAAACTAGCTGATCTATGGTATGACAGTTTTTTTCGTCTCCGCATTCAGTTTCGGTACCTTTTTTCTTTTTCTTGAAAAATTTCGCTCCGTCAGATTGTGAGAGTGAGAGCAAGGCGTCGAAGCTCATGTTGTGTCGTTAGATTCAGGCGTCGCACATTTCTCAGAGTACGATTGCGGATTGGTCGTGCCGTATTTTTCGATGAAATTAAAGTCTGCACAGCCGTCACGGAGAAGATGAGTATCTCGCAATTTCTAGCGAATCCGGGCCTCTTCGTGAAAGAGCGCGAGAAGCGCGAGGACGGCCGACTTCCAAAGGAGATTCGATGCAGTATCAGGGGAGCAGTAGTGCAGCGTTTCTATGACGGAGAATTCGAACCAGTAGAAGAAGACGCAGACCGCAAGAACAGCAAGACACAACCCAAGAAATCGAAGAAAAAACCTGAAGACTGCGCTGAGGATGAAGAAGAACCCGTTGAAAATACTGGGGAGGTTTCCAAGGAGTACGGTACGCGAATCTTTTATTTGAAATACAAACATCTCCGGAAAAACGCAAAGAACGAGGAGTATGTCCTGAAGACCACAAGCAGCATCCGGCCGTATTTGCGGGAGCTCGCAGATGCCGACTTCACAGACGTCCCTGCTTCAATAAAGACCAAACTGGAACGGTTTCGATGTTACCTGCAGCACGGTCGCCCGAATCTCGATAAAGTCAGCGGGCAAGATGAGGAGACAAGCACCAGTGACTCCAGCTCGGACGACTCTCCGCCTTCGCCGAAGCTGTGCTACCGGACTAAAGTTGCATCGTCGTCTTCTTATTTCTCGCACATCACCGAGAAGGCACAGAAAAAGGAACCGCTTCTACCACAGTTCTGCTTCGCGGAAGGGCAAAGTGAGAAGAAGTCCTGGAAAACGGCGAAAGCATTTCATAACGAGATCAGTACACCCGAAGGAACACTCGAAATGCAGGTGGTGATAAAACAAGATGCCGAATACCGCAGTGAAGAAGTCTACCTGAAGAAAAGCAGTGTCAACACGGTTTTTGCGGAACTTCAGGAGCAAGTTTTCGGAAACTTCCAGACGTATGTCGACAAAACCGTCTCTCTTCTTGCGGAAATTCCCAAGGAAGCTGGTACGTACTACAGCAACAGGAAGGAGTTCTCGAATCAGTTTTTGAAAACCCAGTACTTTGAGCCGCCCAGCAACAATTCGGTGGAGGACGAAGGGGACGGGGAAGCGGAGGAAAGAGCACTAGACACCGGCTTTAAGATTCCAAGCAATAAGAGGGACGAGGAAGCACCGAAGCCCAAAAAGTGGACAAAAAGCAAAGAACTCCAGTTGCGGAAGGAACAACTGCAGGCGATTTCCTGGATGCTCAAACGCGAAAGAGTGCCAGAAACGGTCACGGTAAAGCAGAAGAAATTCGTAGAACAAAAGCAACTGTCGTCCGAAGACGACTCGGGGTTTTTTCTGAATATATCGACAAATCCCATCGGCAATACAATCCAAAAAGCTCCGTGGGGGTTAGAGCTCGAGGCTAGCTACAACTTTGCGGTACAGATGCATTTTTCTTTTTTGGTGATGTGCGTGTGCTTGCACGAAACGCAGCGCAAAAACTCTAAAACTGACCTACTTACACACGACTTCAAACATACAACTTCTACGTACAGGTGCATGGCGGCATTCTTGCAGACCGACCGGGAGAAGGAAAAACAGTTACTACCATCGGGTTGATGGCTGCGCAGAAAGATTACTTTGATGCCAACAAGAAGGCGCTTCCAACTATTCCGGACAAAGACGTGCCGTACTACTTCAATTTGCCAAAAACGACATTGATCCTCGTCCCCAGTCGTTTGATCAACCAGTGGGCGGACGAAGTGCAAAAGTTTGCCTCCCAGTACAAGCTGAGAACCTACCTGATAAAACACGCCGGACACCTCTCTGGGATGAGCCCCGCAGAGCTGAAAGAATTCGACCTGATCGTGTGCACCTACCAGCTCTTGTACTCCGAGAAGTTCGGGAAGCGCGCCGGCGACTGGTTGCAGCTGGACGACAAAGACGAGCACGCGGACAAGATAGGCGCGCAGAAAGCATACTCGCACCAAGCGTTGAAGCGTGTCACAAAGACTTTCATCGAGGAGTGGGACACCGCGGACCAGGCCACGAGGCAGCGATACACGAACAGCACCATTTTCAAGGAGTCGACCGCACTGACGGCAAAGGAAATAAAAGAGAACTGCCACGCCACGGCGCTGAGAAACAAGAAACACACTTCCATGGACGTCGTCTTTCCGCTCCTGGAACAGGTAGAAGCGTCATGCTTTTTGCATTACGCCTTCCAGAGAGCCGCAACTTGCTGCGACTTCGTGTTTTTTTGATGTGGTATTGATACACAAAATGAAAACTAACTGTTCCTGTTTCGATGGACAATCGAGTAGACACAAATGCAACACAACATTGACAGTGCTTCTTCCAGAGAATTATCTACGACGAGATACACGAGGCCGAGACCTTCAAAGGCAGGACCGCTACTCTCATGGCATTACGGGCCCACTTCAAATGGGGACTGACCGGGACGCCGTACGTGGAAAGTTTTCAAAGTGTGAAAACTCTGGCGGGACTGTTCAGCGTGGACGTGATGGCGGGAGGTGCTAAGTTTTACTGTCTTGCTTTTGGTATGTGTGTTTTTTGGAACTACGACGACCGCGACGCAGCTCGCCTGCGCTGTTTTCGCTGCTCGCTTGTAGTCACAAGCGAAAGCGGTCACATTCGTTGACAGCCTGCTTCGCCCTCCTCAGGTGTCTCCGGCGAGTGGTGTGCTCCCGAGGGGCCCATTGAAATCAAGCCAGGCAAGAAGAAGCCGCAGAACCCAAACGACGACGTCGGTCTTCCGCGAAATCGCAACGCGCCCTTCCGGCCGCCTTGCGTGAGTTCCGTGTTGTTGGCGAATGGGCGAGAGTTTGTGAAGAAGCTGATGCGGCAGAATAAGACCAGCGCTGCAGTCAAGGCCATCAAAATGGTAAGTGCTTTGCTTTCGTACTACTTTTTTCGTACGTAGATTTGAATAAAGTGCGTAGTGTCGTTCTGAAGTCGACACCAGATTGGGACTTGATTCAGTATGGATGTTGTTCGATGTTGTACTTGTAGAGGTGCGCCGCACTGAAACTACAAAAAGAAACCTACATGGAAGAGTTGTGTTTCTAGAGCATTAGTACATCCATTCTCCTGTCGTATCATGACGATCTTCCGCAACCGCAATGTGATACTACATACAGGAATATCACTCGGTCCAAGTGCAGCCAACCGATGCTGAACAGCTGCTGTATTCGGAGACTCTGAAAAAGTACAAGGCGGAAGGGATCGACTTTTCGCGCTCGCTGCAGCATAGCGATTTACTCAAAGTACAGGACTTGGTGAAGCTTTGCTCGCACCACTGCCCGGACGGCGACGGGACGGTTGCAAGCGAGATGGTGAAGAAGTGGAAAACGTCCAAAAAGGAACTGAAGGCTGCAATCGAAAACGCCAAGACGTTTTTGCGCCGAGTCGACTTGTGCCGCCGGGCAATCGCGTATTACGGGAACAAGGGGCAGAAAAAAACGCAGTACTTCAGCGGAATGGCAGCTAGCAGAGGTGTGCAGGCGGCCTTCGAAGATATTGCCAGTTGTACAGCAATAGTCGCGACGACGACCACGTCGAAGAAGTCAAAGGGCAAGACAAATAGCACGTCCTCGAAAGTAACCGCAGCGGTCCAGACTGGTGGATCCTCGAGCTCAAGCGGTGCTGCGATTGCGGCCGCAGGCGGCGATGAGTCGCACAAAGATACGAAGCCCTCTGACGATGCATCAAAAGTGAAGATCATGAAGGCCCCGTTCTACAACCTCTCTGAGTCGAAGCTTCGCTCGGTGATGACCCAAACTGTCGACGAAACAGAATTACCGCTCAAGGTCGATGTTGCAGTCGAGGTCGCCTCTGGCTCTTCTTCATCATCACTGAAGCGATCAGCGAAAGCCACAGGTAAACACGTGGAAGCTGCAGCGAAGCGGGGCCGCGCGGCGAACGGAAAAGCGAAACCGGAGAACGTCGGCAAGAAAAGTGCTAAAAATGCGGTTGACGAGGTAACAACCAGCGTCGAAAACTCTGTCACTTTGTTTCTGCTGCCGAAAATCCGCGAGAAGATGAAGCAGTTGATTGGCTGCGACGAGTCCAGTGCCGCGGGCGAGGAATTGCGAAAATTTATCCAGCGGAGCTGCCCGAAACAGGTTGGGTTCAATCCGGATACGAGCAAGCAGAGAAATACTTTGCTGGGCGACGCATTTCCGGATTTTCAGCGCGCGGAGGATGAAGAGCAGTCGGAGTCGGATGATGACAGCGATTCCTCGTGGCGCGACACGGATGCGAGGAAACAGTACCTCCTCTTTCGCGAGAGCATCGATCCCGCAAAGGCACTAGCGAGGTACGAAAGCGACGAGCTGGCGCAGGAGGACCCGTTGAAGAAAGAAGAACCCAAGAGCAAGGAAAACGAAACGAAAATTTTGGACACCTCCGATGGATTTCGCGTTGGAAGCATCTTTCGGGAACAATTCGCCAATCCCGATCGCGTGGTCACAGGGAAGGTGACATCAAGCGAGCCGTTCTTCGATTGGGTGAAGATCGAGGAGACTGGTGCTAAAAATACCTCTACGGCATCCAGTTCGAGTTCCGGGGCAGCGCCGTCAAAGGCAATCAATACGTCGACCAGTTTGGGTTTGGATCGCGTCCCGTCTCCGCAAAAAAAGGTCGTGACGACAAGCAGCGTTACAGCGGACAGAAAGGAGACCGCGGGTCAGCGAGCCAACTTAAAGCTCAAACTCGAACGGTACTACCGGGACACACTGCAGGAGGAGGTCCTTGCTGCTCTTTCCGCCGTGCAGGACAAGGCCAGGGCACACGCGTTTTTGTCCACCGCGAAGGCAGTTTTTGGGTATGAAGAGGATTGCCCAGCCTGCGTACACTGTGAAGAAGCGACTGTGGACCAGGGATTGGGGGTCATGCAGTGCGGTCACGTCATTTGCAAGAACTGCGCCACCACGAAAGTGCGTAAGTGCGACGAGTGCGGCCGCAATGTGCCCAAGTGGGAACCGCCCCATGTTTACTTCGCCGATCCGAAACCAGCGCTCGCGGGCCTGCAGCCAAACCTCCTCTCTTCCTATGTAGTAAGGCTAAGATGACTTCTTTGTCTTCATGTTTAATGATCATGATGATGATGATGATTTGTGATGCTGATTCTAGTATTGAGTCGTCTCGTGCGTGTGTTTGCAATCGCTTCTTTCATTGTGTCCGACAATTTCCAGTTGTGGTATGAAGATTCTAACTATGATGACCAGCTACCATAAACCCATTATCAGGTACCGGTTCCAAATATGATTGTTCCGGCGTCCTTCACCGAGTTCGGGTCGAAGATCAAGCAGATTTGTAACACACTCCGCGATATCAGATGCAAAAGTGTCTGGGTTTGGAAGAAGGCAACTTGTCATGCTAAATCTGAATCAGGCAAAAAAGTGTGTTGCATGATTGCCAAAAGTTGTGCACTTTTGACCGAATCGAGAGGCAGTTTCTCATGCTGGATAGGCATTGGAAAGCTTTCGCAGAATCTGTCATGCTATGTCCTACATACCAGACCTCATGGGTATATGGAACTAAACCTGCATCTTCCAGACCCGGCCACTTTTGCAATCCATCCGCGACATCAAGCAACGAGAAACGGACGCCAAGGCCATCGTGTACTGCCAGTGGCCCGATCTGTCCAAGAAGCTCGCGGCGGCGTTCAAGGCGTACAGTTTTAAATTCCGCAACCTGAACGCAGGGAACGCCAACGTGCAGACCGCTTTCCAGAACGACGAGCCGTTCGAAGAGTCAGAGTCGCCAGAGATCCTGGTGATGAACCTGCAGAAGGCGGCGAGCGGAACCAATTTGCATCGGGTACGTAGAGAGTGTTCGTCTGATTCGGACTTTTGTGTCAAGTTTTCGTTTAGTGCTAGTGGGTGCAGCGTCCAACCTGCACAGAGAGAGTGCAAGACTCCTTACTTCAAGTACACAAAAAAAATTGTTCGCAAATCTCACAGGCATCGCATTTACTCCTTGTCCACCCGATGGTGGCAGATACGGCGAAGCAGAGTCGCGCGTTCGAGAAGCAGGCCATCGGCCGCATTCGCCGGTACGGCCAGAAACGGACCTGCCACATCTACCGCTTCTATACCATGGACACGATTGAGCACGAGTTGCACGACCGCGTGCTGGAGAACCAAGGGGACGACGATGACGAGGAGAATTCGGAGGAAAGCGAGGGAGAGCTCGACGATCCAATGGACGTGGATCAGGAAGGGGTCTGAGTGCAAAGAAATAAGTTGTAGTAATGAGGTTCCATACCAATACCTCACCGCATTTTTGCATGTTCGATTTGGGGTGGCCTGCAACTGGAATTACACGCAGAACTTCTGCTTCACCACCTGAAGAGTATATTTAAGTAGCAATGTTGAATTAGAAGTGCTACAGATGTTTAGATTGTTAGAAGAAGATGTTGTACTAGTAATGCAACGCCGTTGTCGCCGAATTAGTGACGGCACTGTAAGACAAATAAACGAGCTTTTCGAGGAACTGAGACGAGCTGAAGCTCTGCTTCGTTATTGATCTTGAACTTAGATCATCTAAACTTATCTTCCATGGCCACACGGTGCCGACAAACGTGAGAAGCGTCAAAGTGGAGATTCCTCGTTTCTTCTTCGACTAGCACTTTCTTCTTCGACTAGCACGTTTCTTCATCGACTAGCACTAGGATACGCAGCAGTCGACTCGATTCCAACTCTTGTGTGTGCTGTCATCGCACTATCTTGATTATTCCAAAGGTAGAACTGGAATTGATGATGAGCTCAAAAAAATCCAAAACGGAGCTGAATTTTGTATACTAAGACTACGTCGCTTCTCCTGAAAAAACCACTTTCGCACCTCTTAGAAGCGTAGTGAAACTTTGGGGCATTTGAACTCCTATTTAAATCTATTCCATATCTTCCTGGACTGCGACTGATAATAGATAGAGATATGGTATGCTCGCTTTACACCTTCCGGAAACCAAATAGAGATAAGATCCGCGAAGATTTCAGAACTTGTGCCCCCGTTTCTATCTCTTCTCCCCGACGTGCAAAGCGTATTCGAGAAGATCACGAAGCAATAGCTATTTTCAGGCTTCAGCACACCGATGTCATGAACTCTCCGCTGAGCTTTGAACTCGAAGGCTTCCGATATTTATGTAGAAAGTATCCCCTTTCCCTTTCCGTTGGCGTTGGTATCTGTCTCCAGACTTTAAACGGTCACTTTGGCTTAAGTCAATGCCCAAACTTGAGCTCCTGTTTCGAAATTACAAGGTCAAGGCAACTGTGAGGTAAGGCAAAACTGTGCGACTACACAGGAAACAAGTTGGTATGCCGCTATCAATCAACCAGGATCAGGATGGATTGCGATTGCCTCGCGCTCTCGGGCGTGCGTTTCGTTCTCGACTTCGTGACTGTTATGAAAGAAAAGATTTTTATGTCGCGTTTGTGACGGTTCATCTTCATCTCGGTCCAGTTTGGGTACATTGTTGCTTCTGCGAACGCTGCTGTCGTTGTTGCAAAGGCTGTTTGGAAACTGTACGCGCTTCGTGCTAAATATAGGCATAATCGTTTTTCATCGTATTGCTCGGTTGAGGTGAGCGTGAGTCAATGATGCTGTCGTACTCTTTTCGCAAAAGTCCTGATCCGTCACAGCTCTTAACTGTAATTGCCGCAGTTACAATCCATCGGATCTATCACCATAACAGGGTCTGTTCCTCTCGCTCTTGGACCGATAAGCTTAAGCGAGGAGCACATCCGGATCACCTTTTTGTCTGAGAACGGAACAAAAAGATCATATTTCGATCTCTGGAGGCGATACACGAAGATCACATTTTCTCTGGGTCCGATACACAAAGTCCGACGTGCGCAACATCGCACCAAAGAATGGGCGCAGCGGTCAAAAATAGATTTCTAAATTACAGCAGCTAGCTTGGAGGACGTACACTCGGACATCACTCGCATCGGCATTCATCATTCTTTCAGTCAGCACCTGCTGTGCAGGTTCAACTAGCAAAACTTGTTTACATTTATTTGTCGGACTACATTTGAAACTGTAGGTAGCTTCATACCTTATACGTTTTTCGTATAATCCAGCATAAGTTATTGAAGATAAGTTAACTAGCAGACCACCAGCATCCACATCACCGGAAATCACTTTACGAACTACTAGAAACATACCTCCAGATCAACAACAAGCAAGGTATCTTCCAGCATGCGGCTCGTTCCTTACCTTCTCGCAGCCCACCACCTGGTGCTGTTTCTGGCACCAGCAGTGTCGGCTGCGGGTGGAGGTGGTCCTCTGTCGACGACAAGGGGCGTCGAGCAGGACGAGGAAGCGGCTGCTGCTATTAGGCGGGAACAAGTGAACTTCCTCCAGGACGCAGCCCGGCGTGCGCACCTCGAAGAGCTCCAGCGGAAAAGACTGCGGGAAGGCGAAGGTGAAGGACGCGGTCGCTCAGGTGACAGTGACGGACCAAGCGGTGTTGCTCGTGTGTCTCACCACAGCGGAGATGACAAGATGAAAGTAGAATTATACAACACGACAGACGTCAAAACTGCGAGCCAAGCGCAGAAGACCACTGGCATCTCCAACTCTGACACTGCATTCGTGGACGAGCAGGAGAATAGTGTCAATGTGGAGCTTGTTCTGACCAAAGGTTCAGTCGGCGAGCACGCGACTGTCCGGACGAAAATGACGGTTCCGAACTCTGTGTACGACACGACGCACGAAGAACAGCGGCGGGAGGCGCGCAAACACTACGAGACGAAGGGTTTCGCATTTCTTCTCCCCGCACTTAGTGTCCCCCTTTCCGCCGGAAAAATGAACGGGTCAGGAACAGGATCCCTGAACATCCCCGGCGTGGTTGTAGAGGATGATGCGGATGACTTGTCGCGACTTGCGCAAAGTGAGGAGTGGGGGAATTGGGTGAGAAAGATGGTGGTTGAAAGTGGCCTCACTCGGTTACCCCCGGAACAAGTAGAACTACGTGATCAGTCGCAGCCTGTGTTGAAGATGAATGATGTGTCGTGGCTTGCGGAAACCAGCCCGGCCGCCCGAGTTTGGAACGAGGTGCTGGATAAGACGGAGACTGACAACCGACGGTTTTCCAGCAGCAAAGAGATAAAACGGATGTCCACAGATGAAGCTGGAACAGGCACGAGCAGCGAGCCTCAGTCTCACTCTCTCGGGTGGGCAGGCGCGGGCCTGGACGCTTGCACGACGGACGACGCCGCGTTTTCGACGCTAGAGTTCTACACGAAGTGCCCCCCGTCGTTGTGGGACAGTGTCGGCGAAGGGGCGACGGCTGTCGGAGAGGTAAAAAGGCGAAAAAGCATACAGGAGCTAGTTTCAGACGAGGAGGACGCGAAATTGAAAATGAATCTTCCTGCCGAGGACGGTAAAAGTCAGCGTAGTAGTTTCTTCAAGATGAAGTCGGGCGCCTTAAAAACATATTCCGCGTCGGACGGAGTTGATCCACAGAACCGTGCTGGACTGGAGCATTTAGAAAGTGCACATGCTCATGTACTTTCTTACGATCGAGCGCTTGTACTCTCCAATACGTTTGGGCGGCAAGTGGCTCTTGGGGATGCGGCCGCGACGGACCGTGGCGCGAAGCAAGCGGAACAAGAAGAACGCGGTCCATTCAAAAATGTGTTGGGCGCACTGTCCACCGTTCATGCGGACGTCACGCTGGAAAACACCGCTACCGGTACCTTCCAGTCTCGCTATCAAACGGTGTCGTCTTTGAGCCGAGATGATGACAGCGATCGTTTCTTTTTTCCCAACCTGAGCTACGGCACGGGTTTCTCCGTGTTGGGGCACTACCACGCGCTGGGATCGTATCCAAGAAAAAAACACCATCACAATCACACTTAGGAGGTTTTGCATCAGAAATTTCTCTCGCGTGACAAATTTTTCTTGTATTGCAAAAACCCAAAGGGAAATCGGCAATAAATCTTGACTGTGATGCATTTTTGCGCATGACAAAAATTTTTGTATGGCAAAAATGTGCAAAAGTGATTGTGATGGTGTTTTTTTCTTGAATAGATCGGTCGCTGGTGCGCTAAAGCAGGAGGAGTGGGGCAAGCTGTTTTCGGAGCCGAAGATTGGTCAGAAAATTGGCGTCGAAATTTGCGTATCCTGTGCAAAAGTATCGTACTCGTAGTAATTGCAACCATGCATTAGCATTACAAACCTTTTTTTCAAGGCAAAACAGCATAAAGTCATGCTGGCCGAATTTGTAATGCGATTTCTACTAGTACTATGCTTTTGCAATGCATATTGCGGACTTCAAAAAGACGATTTCGACTTTTTCGCCGAGGCGTTCTATGCCACGACCGCCCCCGACAATGCATTCCTCGCGGATTATTACCGTTCCGCCGGCGCGGCGAAGACCGGACTTCTAAACTGGGCTCTGGTTGCCGTCTTCCTGCATAAATTGCACAAAATCGAAATGGAAGCCATTCCGGGTTTTTCCGGTAAAAATGCTCCTCGTGTGGACGAGAACGGCAACAATGTTGAAGATAGCCCCAAACAGGAGGTCGCGGACGTGCTTGAAAAGTTGCGGAAATATCTCAAGGAGCGTTTTTTTCCGCGATTTGCGAAAGAAAAACAGGAGCAAGTGGAAAGGGAAGGGGCCGCGGCCCGTTTCCGGGCAACGCTGGAGGAGTTTCCTGCGCACCTGCGGGAGGCGGATCCTGCTCGGTGGGAGGCCTATCAGTATTACGCAGCACGGATGGAGGAGGAAGAAAAGAACGCGGCGCAAACCGTGTTGACTAAATCGCACGAGGTGTTGGCAGAGGCATTGCCATTGATGAGCGAGGAAACGATCCTGGAACACGTCTTACAGTTCATGTCTGTAGAACAAATGGAACAATGGGCGTGCTTCTTCGGGCGGTTGCGAGTGCACGACGCATACAATGTCTGGGTGAACCTAACACCGGCAGAAGAAGGTACTAAGTGAATATCGTATGTACAGAAAAATTCAGTTTTATATATGTACAGAAGACATAAATGACTGTATACTGCTAGAAGCTTTCATGTTGATTCCAGTACCACCTACGCACTGTAGAAGTACACTCGAAAACGGTGCTGACAATCTAAACTAAAAAACAGGTGCCGACCCGACGATGCCCCGGGCGATCCAGAAACCGTTGGCCGTGCTGGATCCATTCACGATGGGGGCTGGGCAATCGAAATCGCACTCGATGGTGTACCCAGATTACGACGCGTGGACCGAGGACGCAGTTGAAGGTAAAAACAAGTGGTACGTCCGTCCCAAGATGTACTTTGGGGAAGTCCTGTGGTTTAACACCAACGTTTCCTATATGGATTGCAAAAGCATCGTACTCGTATAAATGCATTACAAATTTCCTCAGCATGAGAAACTGCTGATTTACCTCAAGAAAAAAACTTGTAATGCATGATTGCAATTATACGAGAACGAGTGCGATACTTTTGCACAGGATATCCTACCACACCGCTGTGGATCTACTGGATTCCCCGAACGACCAGAACGCGGCTAAGAGCCGGAGAAGCATCGAATCAAGGGTGCTGGTCATTGACACCTGTCTGAAGAAGTTTGAAGGTGGAGGAAGTGGTGGCGCTCTTCAACATAGAAGTAGAGATCATCATGATGACCCAGAAGAGGCATCGGCGGGTCAAAGCTCAGGCTCCCCCGATGCAGCTAGAAAGGAGACGAGTACTAGACGTTTCTCGCTCGAGGACATCCGACGTGAGTGTTGGGGCAAGAAGCTGCTCCAGCACGTTTAGGCTTGTGAGGCAGAGGAAATAAATATTTGAAGAAATTGAGCAAGGGGTGGTGGCCGGGACAAGATCTAGATCAAGAGGAGCGGTGTGAGGCAAGCGAAAGCAATCTATGAACTAAGAACAGATGTTGTCCGGGTGCGACTTGTTAGCGCTGCTCGGCCCCCGGCGCCCCTCCTAGATTTGTTGACTTTCGCCTTTTCGGAGGACGAAAGGGAGTAAAGCAAAGCCAACTTCTTGAATGAAAAGCTGCTTCAAGCCTTGCAGAAGCTCATCAAGGTCAACGGCTATGCTACCGATTGAGCCCGTTTCACGACCTGTAGATGCCAACGCACAGAAATGGTGCACGAGTGGTCTCAAGAGTCGAAAACGAAATTGGAAAGAAGTCTTTATGTGGCTTTTTGTTTCTCCTTTTCCAAGAGACTCACATAGGAACGAAAACTTTTTGAAATCAAGGCGGACGCCGCCTCTTATGGAGTAAAATTTTTTCTTGAGGTTTTGCCACAGAAAGAAACAAAAGTTAAAATGAAGGCGCAGTTTTGTTCGTCACTTATATGTAATATGAACTCAATCTCAACAAGTTAGTATTTTGCCTGTTTGCCAGACTGCTCAAGTAGCTGCCCAGAGCATTACTTGGCAGCTGGACGAATGCAGCTACTTCGTGTTCCACTACATCGTTGCCAATCGGTCTGGTCGACCACCCGCATGCTGGAAAATGACCGCAAACGCACGGTCGAGCGTGAAGATTTTGTGTTGCATGAGCCGCAGTGTACTATTAAGTAGTTGAAAAGGCTTGTCACGCTGTCTCTGAGCAAAAACGTTTCATCTTCTCGGTCCAGCTTTGATGGTAGTACGGCTTCTGTGAACGCTATTCAATTACAACAACGTCGTTTCGTTCAGTGTCGTCGTAAAGCTCGGTCGAGGTACGCTCTCTCACGCAATGGCAACGTCGGTTGGCGGATTGGAATATGGACGCAGTGTAAATTGCACATGGCCTTTGCTGTATGAATGTGAAGCTGTATAATCCCATCGGTCAAACCCAAGCTGATCAGATTTCGGTGTGCTCTCTCGCTATTCTAATCGATTTCTCAACTTCGTTGAAATCAACAGCAGCCCCCTCCTCTTGATAACCCCCACAACCCCAAAAACACACCCTCACAAAAAACCGTAACCATCGAGTACTCCGCACTTTGAAATTTTTGCAGCAACCAGGTTGGTATCATCGAAAACATGCAGGGTGGACCCCGTCGGGTGCAAATGAGTCCTCGTGACGACGACCAACAAAAGAAGGGTCTGCAACAGCCCCAACTGACAGTCCACCACCACCACCAGCCGATCCGGCCGCACTACCTGGACCCGCCTAAATTTCCGATCGGCGTTCCCGGGGGCTTTTTCAACCAGCCACCGCCACTGCACAAGCAGGAGCACTTCACTCTCGGCCTCCCCGGCGGTTTCGAGTTTTTCGCCAACAAAGTGCACATCGTGCGGGGCAACACAATTTCAGCGGTGGACCCCTCGCATCTAGACTACCAGGGTCCGGAAACGGGGTACGTTCCGGCGGCCCGGGACATTCCGCCAGTAAGCACGTACCAAATGAACGACTTTTTTGGGTCCTCGTCCCAGAACACACCAACCTCTGCAGAAGGGTCATCGAATCCCTATGCGCACTATGACTATCAGCATCTAGGGGTCACGCAACGAAGCTCGGCCGTGGTGACGCGGGGGACACACAATAATCTCGAGCGAAAGGGAAAACGAAGAGCATCGTGGTTCTTTTAAAGGAACAAGATCCATGTACGTTGTCATGTCGGCGAAGACGTGGCCGAAAAGGAGGGTTGGTGGTGTTAGTTTTTCAATCCCCATATATTAATCCAGCACTCTCAACTACCCCTTTCGGTATTGTTATAATTCTGTAAAAGTAAGCGATGAGCAGTGCGTATCAATTGAACCTGCCATAATTCGAAGAGTAAGTTCTTCGGCATTGTTCTGGTGTTCTTCCCCCCAACAACCAAAATCACGAGACACACGAAGAACTAAAAAGCACCCCCCTAGAAAGAAAAGATCCTTTTGCGATTGCACAAAACGAGACACGAGAACCACTTTTGTGCGCTTGGAAGAGTAAAGCTAAAGACCGCGTTTGTTTTGTGTTCATTCCAAAGACCTTCTCGAGCCGATTCATTCCGAAGCGTTATAAGGTAAAGTAGTACAGCGTAAGTACTTCCCCTCGAGAACGAGATCGGGTGCGTGCCGCTACCATTTCGGGATCCCTCGTTTCGGGATCACCTTTATGTTTATACCGATTCTCCCAGCCACGGACCTCTCGTCGTACTTTGACATTGTGATCGCAAGCAGCACGCTTTCTAGACGGCTTACCGCAGCGGCAGCGCAGTTTCACTTTGGCGTAGTACATGCTAACACTGTGCGATCGAAGCAAGGCGTTGGTTTTGGTTCAAGAGTCATTCATAGTATGAGTAGATTCTCCTGTCCTTGCGTCTTCCGGATCTTTATCTATAGAAGAACACCGGTGGAAGGATCCGCGTCAGTTTCTTTCGTTCGTGAAAAGATCAGTCTTCAACTCTACGAATCTGGGACTACTAGAAGCAACTTGTCGTTGACGGACATCAACAGCGTCGAGGCCGCGGAAGAACGATCTAGCGGCGCGGAAAATTCGTTCTGATTTTGTTTTGATAGTCCCGAAGACCACACTCTACTAGGGTCGAATCGAGATTCGATTCTCATGTAGTAGAGCCCTGCGGTTTAATAATTATACCTTGTACGCAAGGTGTTCTGTTCTGTTTTCTCAGCAATTATCTAAATCTTCCAAGAACTGCAAGCGCATATCAATCAATTTCGAACAAGCAACTGCAAAGATAAAACATATTATCGAGATGGCTAGCCACCAGCGCCAGCGCCCGCAGTCCGACATGATTCGCGAGCCGTTGGACGGTATCAAATGCAAATATGTCTGGGTCTGGAAGGATGCAGAGACTTGTGATGTAGCTTTGGGATGACCCAGAAGGGCTACCAGCATGCACGCCCTAGCATAGCAGGTTTTAAGAAGGTCTCTTAATGCGTAAAAATCCGCATGACAAAGCCCTTTTTTCCATTGGCCAGAAATGTGCAACTTTTGGCTTCCATGTATGACAAATTTATGTGTGATGTGAAGTGCGCAGCACAAATTCGCATCTTTCCAGACCCAGAGATATTTGCATGGCATAGGCGAGAACGACCGCAGTCCGGTGTCCGATGACCCGGATGAAGAGGCTTTCTTCTCCTCTAGCACCATGAAGAAGAAGCAGCAGCAGACGAGCAGCAAGGACGATGGGATCAACCCCTTTTCCTCCGACCACGCCGCGTTCCGTGATCAGGACCACGAGAAGGGTCCGGACCGCAAGCTGCGCATGGACAACGACGACGCCAGTGACGACAACGAGGAAGAGGACAACCGTCGTCGCGGCCGCGGATCCCGGTATACTGCGGAACATGGGGCGGAGGACACGGAAAAAAACGACAACGCGGAAGGAGATCCTCGTGGGGAGAAAATTGGCGCCAGCAAAACCACCGCGACCGGCGCGGGGAATCGCGGGGACGGGGCTCCGGGTACTACTACGACGACCCGCGCGCCGCGCGTGCGGACCAAGACCGTGTTTCTGGGCGGGTTGGCGCCACACACCGTGGCGGAAGTGGTGGAGAAATGGTTCACGGACCGGGACATCGGGGTCGACCACATTCACATTCCCTGGAACTACGCGAAACGCGCGCCGTTTCAGTACGCGTTTATCGACCTGGAGAATCCGGAGGATTTCGACAAGTGCGTGAAGATTTTCAACGACCAGGAAGTGGACGGCCGGAATCTGCGCTGCGAGGAGCGCAAGGTGGGCACGGCGAAGCAGGCCACGCAGCTGGTGGAGCAGCAGGAAAAGGGGAAGGTGCACATCGGCCCGACCTCCTGGGACCGCAACCGCGGCCAGACTACGCACCGGGAGATCGCGCCGTCGCCCCGTGGGGGTGGTCGCGGCGACCACCGTGACCACCGTGGTCGTGGTGGACGGTCCCGCGGCCGGCGCGGCGGGGGTCGGAGCAGTAGCCGCGACCGCGGTCGGTCGCACCGCCGCTACAACCGTTCCCCGATCTCTCCGCACTCGAAGTTTCATTTCGGAAACAAGGGCGGCTCGCGTGGTGGTCATGGCACGTCCCGGTACGACAGCCCGCGTGGAGGTGGTGGGGGTAAAGGACCGTCCTCGCCGCCCCGTGGCAAGGGCCGTTCGCGCTTCGACGACATGATGCCGGCTTCCAAGGGGGGAGATCGAGATGGCCACTTCTACCGGGGCGACAAGGGGTACGGCAAAGGTGGCCCGTCCTACCTCTCTTCGCGGTACGAAGACTTGGACAAGGGAAAGGGCAAAGGCTCTTCGCGCTACGAGGGTGGCGGCGGCGGCGGAGGCTACCGTCGGCACGGATCTCGGTCGCGGTCCCGCGGACGCGGGAGGGGCGGAGGTGGCTACCGGGGCGACAGTCGCGGCGGCGGTCGGGGGCGTTACCACAGTCGCGGACGCTACTACTAGGCGATATGACAACTTCATCAATCGGAGAATTATCGACACGAAAAAGCAATTACTTCTCCGCGTGCGGACGGCGTTAGCTGTAGGTAGAGAATTCGGTTTCACATTCTCTTAATACATCTCGTACTTGAGCGGCGCTTTATTGAGAGCGTGCGATATCGAAATCGATGACTTGCAGGAATAAAGTTTGCAGTTTGATCATCATGCCGATGAAAACCTGAACGAACAAGTGCGACCCACTTATTCACTTCTCAAGGTTGTTAGTGCTCCTGTGGCGACAACTGAGACCAACTTCGTCGGCGAACTGCAGTCAGGACAGGTAAGAACCGACGGTATAATCGTCCGCCGAGGACATCAGCTTCTACCGATGCGTGTCGCGACAACATCAACGACAATCTAGGAAAGAGCCGGTTCTTTGGCGGGAGAAAAACAGCGACCAGTATTCAAATGGATGTAAGCGACGAATCTTTCCTTAACTTGATCATGTGGCTATGATTTTCACATTCGCTTGATTTTTGTGCATGTTTGTTTATGGATATGCCATTTGGTTCATAAGCAAAAAGAAAGAATGGAACAACAACGGATATCGACGAGACACTACTCAGCTTCTGGCGGGGTCCCGGAAACAACACTTCGAGTTTGACACTCTCACTCACTTTCGACAAGAAGAATTTTCCACTAATCTCTGCTCAGCTAGTACACTCCTACAGCTCTGATTGCGAACTGGCACAATCCATGCAGATAACCAGAATTCACCACGACCTCCATCAACATCCACTTTTTTGTTCAGAAAAAATAATAAAAAAAGGAAAAAGAGAAAGACGAAGACCAGCAAGACCAACTGCGTCGATAGCGGCTCGAGATCCTTTCTTCCTTCTTTCGAAGCCAAGTGTTGCAACCGGCCGAAGGCGACTTCTTTTTGCACATCTGTCAGAGCCAGTGCCAGGTCAACATGAACATCATCTGCATATACAAGCTGCGCATACTGCTTCATCCATCGTCTTCTCTTCCGTCTTCAGATCGTTCCAGGCTTCACTTACAATGAATTTCCGCCTCTGGTGTCATCCTCTTCCTCACAATGTCAAGATAAGAGTACAGTACGATATTGTAACCCCGGTCATTTGATCTACTTCTGAGTCAAACAGTACGAACATACATCTTCAGCGACGGTTCTCGAAGATCCAGCAACCTGAATAAATGTCCGAGAAACTCCTGAAGCGCGATCCGTTGCAGCAGGTCAGCATTTGAATGATTTCCAAATAGCATTTTCAAGTGGATAAGTAGACAAGCTTCCATGTTGTCAACTTTTTTGGCCGGATCGATTGTATTTGAATCAATTGCATTTGCCGCTTCCTTTGCGGTAGTAACATCTTTTTGAAGAAGCCGTTTTTTTTTTCCCGACGTGGACCGCACACTTCTCATTCAAAACAGCAGAAAATCTCATAGGCAGCTGTCGTTTTGATATCCCATTTTGTCATCAATGATATTCCCCTCTTCCGAAAGTACAAGTGAATAAAAAATATACTCCGCGGTGCAGAAAGTGGAGTATGGGTATCGTAATCACAGCAACTTCAAAATGAAGAAAAACTCTGCTGGTCAGGCAAGCGGAAACAGCAACGCAGACTCGAATAAGAAGGGTACCACTTCCGCAAACGGTGCCGACAATGCCAAAGGCGGGGGGAAGAAGCCGAAAGGACACCGGCAGCGCGGCGGCGGCACTGTGGTTGCGGACAAGGGCCCAGTTACGACCTCCGACGGTATTGCGCTGAAATCCTGGCAACGCCTTCCTTCCCAAGTGCTGCTCGAATGGACGCAGAAGCAGAAGCGCCCAAAGCCACGCTACGTCACGGCGAAGGCGTTTCAGCCCGACACATTCCGGAAGCGCTGCATTCTGCCTGACGTGAAGGACACGCCGGCGAAAGATCTCGTGTTCGCCGTCTGGGAAACTTTACTTCCCGCAACGACAGAGACACTAGCGAAAGAGGAAGCCGCCATGCTTGCGTTGTCGCACGTGCAGCCCGCAGCACCGCTGGAGCGGGTGGTGCCAGACCCATTTAGGGACTTGTGGCTGAAAACGCAACAGGCGGCGAGCAGCGCTGGTGGTGTGGGCGGAACCGGAGCTGCTGCAACTTCTTCTAGTACCGCGAAGGCCACAACCTCAACCTCTGCATCTTCTTCCTCCGCGCCGGTTGTGATCAAGGGGTTACAGAACGAAAAGTGGAACACGTCCGAGTACGAGAAAACGCAGTGGCAGGAGAAGAACCGAGTTGAGAAAACGCAAACTGCGAACAAAAAGGAAGTGAAAAAGGAATTTCACCGGGAGCAAGCAATGCAGCCCGTGTATTTCTCGAAGAAAATGCGGCTAAAGTGCATTACGGCGCTGCGCGAACATTACCAACAGACGGAGCAGATGGGTGCGGTAAAAAATGGGAGCAAAAGTGGTACAGCTACAGCGAACGTCGCAGCAGGAGGAAGTAGTAGCAGCTCTAGTGCTAGAACAAATTCTACTGCGACTACGTCTAACACTAATGCGACTATCGCAAAGATGAAGAAGCTTTTTCTCGCCGTGGAGCAGGCAGATTCATATTCCGAGTCGGCGAAAAACGACGTTGACGAAGAGGACGAGCAGTTACTATCCGAATTGACAAACACGCTCGGGTTTGACCGCAGCGACGCTATCACCGGCGTGATCGCCGTCCGCAGCACGGGGGAGGACCCGACAATAGACCTCGTTCAGCAGTGGCTCACACTGAATTTACCGGACGAATCCCTGCCGGAGCAGTTCCAGGTTCGAGGCCAGTTCCAGCGGGTAGAAAACAAAGACACGAAAGCAGGCACGGCAGAGAAGTTATCTCGGGAGAGAAAAGCGAGGCGGGCAGACTTTCTCGGTTGGTGCAGGCAGAAATTGCGAAGCGGACTGTTGGAAGACGCCGCTGCAGTGGACAGCTTGCTGTGCTCGATTGAGCTCTTCACGGAATCTTGGATAGCAGCGGAACAAGTAAATGCAGGACAAGACGACGCGCAGGAACTCGACGAAGACAATCTGCAGGCCTGTTGCGACATTCTGGAGGCGGAGCTGATCGCGGACGGAGTAGAAGAGCCGGATACTTTCTTACGAGAAGTTCGCGCCAAGTGGAAGGAGACGAAGTCTTCTCTACTGGAGTTGAGCGCACAGCAAGCGAAGAAGGACGAAGAGGAGGCAGCCGCACAAGCTGCGGCGAAAGCAAAAGAACAAAAAGACGCTGACGAATCCGCGAATTCCAACATGAACGACAGTGAGGAAGACAAGGAGAAGTCCCAGAGGACCTTGGATAATAAGTCTTGGTTCCCAGCAGGAACTACAGGAGCGTCAACATCTTCGCGGCAAAGCAGAACGAAAAAACTTGACCTTCCCGCACACAAGAAGGAAAAGGAATTTCTCCAGATGGTCGAGAAGAACGACGTCACGCTTGTCCTTGGACAGACCGGTTGCGGGAAGTCTACCCAACTGCCGCAGTTTCTCATCGGCACAGCGATGAACAAGCAACAGGAAGGATCTTCGGCCTCCAGCGCATCAAATCGCGTCGTCTGCACGCAGCCTCGGCGTTTGGCCGCTGTGAGTCTGGCCCGCCGCGTCGCGCAGGAGTTTGGGGAGGATGAGGTCGGCTATTGCGTCCGCGGGGATGTGCACATTCCGAAGAATTGCCAACTCGTCTTCTGCACCGTTGGAATTTTGATCAAGAAGCTGTTACAAAGTCATCTTTGCGAGAATCCTGACCAAGCACTTGAAAGTGGAGGAATCGATTTCACTCACCTAGTCATTGATGAAGCGCACGAAAGAAGCTTGGACATCGATTTTCTGCTGATGCTGGTGGCGAACCACCTGAGCAGCAGGGGCAGTAGTTCGAGACAACATCAACAGCAAGACCCTTTTAAAGTGATCGTGATGTCCGCGACTTTGGATAAAAAAATCTTCGAGATGTTTCCCAAAGCAGCGCGCTTGGAGATCCCAGGACGGACTTTCCCGGTGAAGAGCTTCAACTACAGCAGTCAGAACAGCAAACCGGGCCAAATCGACTACTGGGGCATCGGCGAGGCGGTGAGTTCTGTTTTGAAAGGCGAGTACGATGACGAGAAAATGCAGTACGGGCAGAAAGCCATTCTCATTTTCATGCCCGGAACCGGCGAAATTCAGCGGATGTGCCGGACCTTGGTGCAGGATTTTGGCTGTCCGGCGCAGAAGGTGCTGCCTCTACACGGAAGTCTGCCACCGCAGGAGCAACGGAAGTGCTTCGACGTGGTTGCGCAAAAAATCGTGGTTGCGACGAACGTGTGCGAAACCAGTATCACCATTCCGGATGTCACCTGTGTCATTGACACGTGCCGCGAAAGACGACTGATGCTGAAGAGTAGTGGATTAACATCTACAACTTCCGACAACAGTGGTAAAGATTCTAATGCCCCAGGTTTCGACCCGCCCGCCCGGTCGGTTGGCGCGCAAGAGAAGTGTCACTTGCGCCTCGCCACCCTGCAGGAATCCTTCTGCTCCAAAGCCAGCATCGAGCAGCGTAAGGGGCGTGCGGGCCGAGTGCAGCCGGGGATCTGTATTCGCATGATTTCGCGAAACGAGGAAAACCGGCTGGCGGACTCAACGCCACCGGAAATGGACTCTTTGCCGCTGGAGAACATGCTGCTGCAGGTCTGCAGCATGGAAACGCACACGAATAGTTCGCTGCGGAAATTTCTGCAACACGCACCGACGCCACCGACGGAGGACGCGGTGAAGGCCGGATTGGGAGAGCTGCTAGCTGTGGGAGCGGTGGTGGAGGGGAAGAGAGAAGGTGAAAGAAACACCCGCGGAGATAAAGACAAATCCCCCACAGAAATCCGAATTACGCCGCTCGGTAAACACCTCGCTAAGCTTCCATGCGACGTCCGGATCGGAAAACTGCTAATTTACGGCGCCATGCTTGGCTGCGCGTCCGAGACCGCGGGATTGGCGGCGATGCTATCCGTGAGAAATCCGCTGCTCCGACCAAAGGAACAGGAACAAGAAACAAATCGAACCGTTTTTCGCCGCGTTTTGCTGAAGCCTGGGGGGACCAAATCGGATCACTGCTTCTTGGCTGGTTTGCTGGAGTGGTTTCTGCACGCCACGTCACGGAAGAACCGAAGGAAGGACAAAGAAACAGAGTACAGCGCCTTGCGGCAACTTGCCATGGAGACAGACACCTGCAACTTCCTTCTTGTCGGGGAAACGGACCCTGGAAACGCGATCGTTCACAAGCTCGGGATCAGTTCGGAGTCGCTGAAAGAAGCCGCGAAGCTGCAGCAGCAACACTTATCCGCCTTACGAAACCTCGGGTTTCTGACTCGCGAACAAACGCCGCCGCACAGTGCTATTCAATCTCCGCAGCAAGAACCAACCAGCAACACGCGGTGGTACATGCTTCGGGCTGCGTGCGTAGCCGCGTTTTTCCTGGTCAAGGCGAAAAAACCGGAAGTGACGTACAAAAAGCTTGCCTCGGGCGCGACAGTCCAGGTGCCAATCAAGCCAGAACTGGTTCGATTCTTCCCGTTGCAGCGCGACCCGTTTTTCTTCAAGGACAAGATCGTCGACCCCGCAAAGCCGTTCGGCAACCAACCCGGGCAAAACATCCGGTACTTCGTGAACCACAACAGCGTGTTCTTCTCCGAAGCCCCAGGCCTGCAGTCCCACTACATCTGCCACACGGACATTTTCGGATCGAATGACAAAATGTTCATTGAGGCCAACTCGGAGGCCTCGCCGCTCGCGGTGCTCTTGCTCGGGAATTTTTCGGAAATCGAGTTTCGGCAAGACGGGCTGGTGGTTGTCGACCAGGGGAAGCTCGTGTTTACCACGACCGGCGGACAGCAGGCTGCGTCGGCGAACACGGTGATCTCGCAGCTGGTGCACGTGTTGCGGCACGAGCTGCTCGAAGAGCTGCTGCAGCGGAAGATTGAAAATCCCAAGCTGCAACTCGAGGCAAGTCCGATTGTGAAGGCTGTGGCCGAATTGCTGGGCACGGATGGAATGGGCTACGCAACTGTAGGAAGATAAATGAGTAAAGCAAAAGCATCAAAAGCGACGACCCTTACTAGCATGCAGAAATTTTTACGCGACAGCATAACGCTTGACTGCATTTTTGCTGGAAAGATTTGAACGTTAAGGGGTGTACAGCACCCACGTAGAGACCCTTTTTGTGTTCATCCTCAGACCCGGAGCCCTACGGACTTGCTGTTTTTCGCGAAAATCAAGTGTGTGTGGTGTCCAAAAAACGATTTCAAGTCGTGTTTTTTCTCTTTGTGATGAACGAGATCATGAGCTAGGGCTGTTTCAAAAAGTCACTTGCGAATGGTTTTCTGTATCGAGGTCGCATGATTCGCATCTTTATCGAGGTCACATCAACGGTTTTTTTTGTGATTCAGGTTTTCTTTCCATTTCCTTCTCATTTCGAGGCTTGAGCTCTCACATGATCATGATGTTTTAAGATCCCCGTGGTTTCACGAACAGGCTCCTTCGCGTTTTGATTTCTTGATTTGCCGATCCCCATCCCCTTCTTGTTTGTTCCTCGTGTAGCATAGACGACCTTTTTTAGTTTCCCCTCTTCTGTGTATAAAAAAGGAATTTCCCAAGCGAGTATTTAATGCGTTTTACCGTTTCTGCACAGACTTAGTAGGGTCGGTTTTGAAAGAGTAAAAGAGAACGCATCGGCTGGTTGACAACTGCGACAGTGTATCCATAAAAAATTAGACAACGCAAACTTTCATCATGATGATGGATTATTAGCTGGAGCTCGCATGAGTTGTCACCTGAAAGTTATTCTTGATTTATCCTCAGGTACTTCTACTTGCTTCATGCTCAAAATCCTTCTTCCCCAGCATTTTTATTTTTTTATCTTCAACTACAGCAATATTGGTTTAAACATAATTTTGTACTACAAAAAGTGTACCAAAATACGAATGTGCGTTGACCAATACCCTTACGCATCCAAGTACCATTTACAAAACCACTTAAATCGGTACCAACGAGCTCTCCCGAAATAAAACGATCGACGATCCACCATGGCTCCGTCCGACACCTCTCCCGCTGCGGACACGACGAGCAACATGCAACAACCCGGCTCTGTTTCCGCTCAAGTTTTGTCTGAGCTGGCCGACGTGGGTGTCCTGGTGCCACAAATTTTGTGCCCGAATCCGGAAACGGTTGACCTGGAAAAATGGGCTGTTATAGCGTGCGACCAGTACTCGGCGGAGCGGAGCTACTGGGACCGGGTCGCAAAAAATGTCGGGGACGCGCCGTCATCGCTGCATTTGATCTACCCCGAGGCCTATCTGTCGGACCAAAAAGACGACTACCAGTACGGAAGGGAAATTTTGACTCATCGAGCTAACTCTTATTTGCGAGGCAAGCTGCACGAAGTTCAACTTCAATCTACAATAGCGTCGAACGCAGTCGCTGTTGCAAATCAAGACGAAACTACCTGCGTCTCTGTCTTTGCTAATCGCCTCGCAGTGTTAGGAGTGCAGCTCATTGGATACAAACAAATTGAGGAGTGAGCCTAGTCTGAGTCAAAATTTTGTTCGCATACCTGCTTGCGTCGCATTCGGCACTACATGAAGCAGTACCTAGCCGGATTTGAAGGAGTATTGGGTGCCACCGGTACTAGTCCACCTTCTTCTTTGAAAACGAAACCGGTCGACGAGGAGGTCAACAGCGACGTACCAGCAACAGCACAAGCTGCAGCCACTTCCACTTGCGAAAATGACGGGTCCTTCCAAACCCCGAAAAAATCGCAAGCTGGGGCGGCAGCGGATCTGGACAATTTTCCATCTCCTGGCGGTCTTTTTGATTCCTACCTCGGTTTCATGTTGGTCGAACGGGAGCTACAGAAAAAAGGAAGCAACGAGCAAGGACCAGTGCCCCGTCGGGGCATACTCCTCGCCTTGGACTTAGAGCAATACGACTACAGCCTGCATTCCACATCCCTCATCCGCGCCACGGAAAAAACAGTGGTGGAACGGCTGCCGGGTACGACATGCGAAGGTTTGAGTTGAGTGGTCGTAGATTAGCTGCTGGGCGTACTATTTACCGGGAGAATTTCTATTTTCTGATATGTAGTGGCTTGCATTTATATGTATTTTGATTTTATTCGATTTTTTCAACAACATTTCGGTGTTTCCATCTCGGGAACAAGCATGACAACCTCGTGCTGCGACTTGACTCCAAACTTTCCTGCAACACTGCTCCGCACGAAAATTCGCGAAAGCGCGCTGTTAGAACTCCCCCACATAGTCATCCTGGTGGACGATGCGGATGACGAGCTGCTGGGCCCGATGTTCGAAAAGAACCAAGAAAAAAAACCTGATTACAAGATCGATTTGATGGAGAACGGCGGGAAGATTTGCGGGTGGCGCGTTCCGCTGGAGGATGAGACCAGCATGCTCCACGTGGCGCGGACCTTAGCCCGACTGCGCGATGTGGACCGGTCCGCGTCCGGCGAGGAGGGAGATACTTCGGGCAAGAAGAACCCCACCGGAACGACCAGTCCGCAACTGGGCTTCTCCCCCACTACTTCTGAGGCCAAGCGGAAAAACATGCTCTTCGCGGTGGGAGACGGTAATCACAGCCTCGCAGCGGCGAAGTGCGTCTGGGAAAGCGTGAAAACACAGCACCGCATGACGGCCGAGCAGTCGGCGCGACATCCCGCGCGGTACGCACTGGTGGAAGTGCAGAACATCCACGACAGCGCCATCGCGTTTGAGCCCATCCACAGACTCGTGTTCGACGCAAAGCCCACGGAGTTGCTGAATCGCCTGCGGAAGTATTGTGAACTCAGCGAGCGCCGCGCGCGAAATATGGCGGGTTCCTCCCCGGGAGGAGGAAAAGTCGATACTAGCGGCTCTTCGCTTTGCAGATTTCTCTCCTTCACGTCTTTAACCGCTGCTGCACAGGCAATTTTATCTGGAGAGGAACATGCTGCCGGCGGTGAAGCAGATGGAACTCCAGCACCCGCGGAGGAGGAAGCGGAAGCAGTCCCTGCTGCTGACGATAACGGAGAAGAGGTAGGAGACGTTTCAGGCAGTGGCGAGCCGGAGGCGAGTGAACTACAAGCAGAAAAAGACGTCGCAGCTTCCGCGGCACCGACTACCGTGTTAACCGCTCCCTCCCAGAAGTTCGAGTTCCAGCTGGTCGCTACCGACGCAGACAACTGCGGAACTATCGTCATTCAGGTGGAAGGCGCGAACAGCAAAAACATGAGTGCCGTCGGGTTTTTGCAAACGTTCCTCGACGAAAACCCGGACTGGGAATTGGAATACGTGCATGGAGAAGACGCCTTGCGCAGGCTCGTGGAGGCGAGCACCGCGACGAAGAGTCCGAAAGCGTCGTCCACTGGCGAGAATGAAGACTTACCTGAGACTGCCGCGTCGCCAGTTGCAGCACCTGCAACCTCGAAGAGGATGTGCTGCGGGCTTCTGTTACCCGCGATCAAGAGCAAGACGGCCTTGTTCCAGAGCGTAAATCGATTCGGGACGCTTCCGCGGAAATCCTTTTCCATGGGTGAGGCGGACGACAAGCGGTTTTACGTCGAGGCGCGGCGGATCCAGTTGCCCCAATCGGTCCCGCCGTACCAATCACCGCCGAAATCGCCGCCGGCTTGGCATCGGCACCACTGAGGGAAAACTACCTGCGCACTGTGAAGATGGAGAACAGCCGCTATCTTTTTTTTCTTTACACAAGTAGAGCAAATCAGGTTTATTCATTTTTTTCTGGGCAGGCACTATTTCGCTTAAACATAGTCCCACAAGAGCCTCTCCTAAAGGGATCTTCGCGCTGACGTGGTACACTTTTTCATCTATGGATGCGGTGGGAGTCAGACACGAGAACAGAAGCTACATTTCATTCTCAAGCTTCTGGCAAAACAAAAAGAGTAGGCTACTTTCTTGATTCATACGGCTACTCGTGTTGTGCCCTTGCACAGAAATGCGCTCTTCCAAGTGGAAGAGCGATCGCCGCCGCTTTCACTTTAGGGTCAGACCGCAGTAGCGACAGATGTCGGCTGTGTGTTCCTCTGCTGCAGTTGTCAACTGAGTCGGATATATACATCCACATGTGAATGTCGTGACGCAGTTCTGATTGCCATCGTCAGGAGGCGCAGTTTTTTTGTCGCGCTCGTGCCCGCACCCATCATTACCAGTCGGTCACTGTAGTGAATGCGCATCCTGAGGCAAGAGAAAACTCAGACAGCCATCGACCTCGTAGCTTTTCTGACAATTTGAGTTTCCAGCGGAAAGTCAAGCTTCAAGCTTACAGCTTCGGCGCTTGCAATCGTGAGGAGACGCAGGAGCGGCTCAAGCTCAAGCAGTGCGAGTAGAATGCTGTCGGTGATATATAGCTATGTGTCAGTCTGTAGGCACTAGTTTTAAACTCCGACAGCTTCAGTCATGTTGAGCGTTTTCATTGCATTCTGCCATCGCGCACTCGGTATCGGTCGGTGTCGAAGTCGGTCTACGAGGTTCGTCGATACTATGCTCGTTCTCCCTCAGAGTCAGAAGCACTGCCTCATCGTCCTGGCATGAGTTTGAGTGCACTCCATCATATTTGTTTAGATTGCGGCTCCTCGCTTTATGTTTATCCGGAACAATCAAACCAAGTGCACATGTCTCATTCCGGTTTTGACAATGACATACAATTGGGTGCGAATTAATGGGTCACGGTTTCGTCATTGTAAGTAGTAAAAGCAAACAAGAAAAAGATGCCCTTGCATATGCAAGAGCAAGGAAATAGAAGATCGAGGTCCAAGTTGAACATGTCTGCACGGACCAAGAGCGTTTCCAGTAGCGGTAATGGAGGAGGAAGGATAATGGTGCTAGTCTCGCAGATGGTGCTCCGGGCGGTATTATTAGGCAACCCTGATGCGCACGCTTTCCATTTTTCATGCTGCAGCTTCGGCTACAGAAAGAGCGAGACTTCCCTTGCGTCTGCAGGCCACAATTTCTGTCAGAGGGACTGGCGAAAGACGGTTGCTACGAGGACGAACAGTAACAGTAACAGGCTTCGAGCTTGTATGACGCCAGCCCTACCTATCGGGATTGCAGCGGGCGCATTGGGACGCGCGGCGGCGTTCTTGCAACTTGCGGGCAGGAGGCGGCGCCTTGATGCTGGACTTCTTGAAGCGCATCGCGAGAGGTGGCTCAGTGGCATGCGGCCACTTTTGGCCGCGCTGCTGTTTGTTGTGCCGGCGGTGAGGCGCCGACGCGCGGAAGCGGGGCGGGCTGCGCCTGGCGCAGCGGTTGGGTGCGGTGGTACTACATAAACTTTGCGCCGTATCGCTACCCTTATTTGCCAAATTAGCTAGAAGGAAAGGGCCAAAGACCCGAGACCAAGAGGCGCGCATTTGTATGATGCGCATCTATAATTTCTATAACTAGTGTGTGAAAATTATAACTAAAGACGCAAACTGAAACTTTTAGCTTCACTTGCTCGGCACCTTCAGGCCCAGTGTTGATCCTGATCGGCCCGAGCCCTATCACGCAGATGCGGGCATCACCCCGATGAAATGTAGATGCAAAATGAGATCGCGGCCACCAGAAGTACCAGAAGCATAGGGCCTAGGATAGATCTAGTTAGGCAAGCAAAAGGAAGAGCATGGCCTGTGCAAGCAGTGCTACTCTGAATGCTGAATCACTATGGGCCATCAGATGACAAATGCAGATTGTAGAAGAGGGGGCACTTGCACTTGCTGCACAAAGTAGCTGCTGGAGCTGCGGCGCAAACACGTAGGTCAGTGGGGGCTTACTTGTGTATGCCTGCTGTGCTTTAGGTGCATGCTTTTCCTTTTTCGATTTCCCAACCAGCCTCAGCAGACCTATGAACCGACAGCGACGCTCACATAGCAGATGCCACCTGCTTTAGATGACCTTAGGCTTACGCACAGCATGCCAGCTTCTGTTTTTTTGTAAAATGCAAGCATTTCGCTTTGTAATATTCCTCATATGATATTCTGCTTTTTTGTAAAAAGAAAGCAATTTTTTTTTTTTGTAAATTACCGACACGCACACGACAACAGCATGGACATGGAAGCGGCGGGCTATTGCTTACCTTTCTCGGTGTAGCTCCGCAAATTTTTCAGCTCCAGAGCCTGAGCGCCGGCAGAAAGCTGCCCGCGTTTGTTTGCGGCAAAGGCGGAAAAGCCTAGCAGGCGCGCGCCTCCGTCCGGAGCCGCGCCGCCCTGGCCGCGTGGGCTGCTGGCGGTTTTTGCCGTTGGTGGCTCGCAGGCTCTGGGCGGAAACTTCTCCGACAGCTTGCGGAGATTTCTCCGAAATCTTGCGGCAACTTCTCCGAAAGCTTGCGGCGACTTCTGCGGCGCCTTGCGGCAGCTTCCCCGGCAACTTGCAGCCGGCCCCCCGACGCGTCGCGGCGCGTTCCCCGGCAAGCCTTGGCGATTTCTCCGTGCCCCTGGCAATTTCTCCGGACCTGCGGCAGCTTCTCCGGCCTTGCGGAAACTCCCCCGGCCCCCCGCGCGCGTCCTTCCCCGGCCGGCGGCGGTCCCTTCGAAGCCTCGCGGAGGTTGTTCCGACTGCTTGCGGCAGCTTCTTCGACAGTGCGCGGCGCGCGACTTCTCCGGCAGCCCCCGGGCGGCTTCCTCGGCAGTCACACGGGCGCGACTTCCCCGGCAGCTTCTTCGACAGCCACCCGCGGAGCCCCCGCCATCTCCGGCCGCCGCCCCAGCAGACCCCCGACCGCCTGCGGCCCCACCTTCTTCTTCGAATTCACCCGATTGCGGCGGCCCCGGCAGGCAGGAGGTTGGCCTCGAGCAGCCTGGCACCCCCTGCGGCTTTGTCTGGGGTCGTATATAACAAGGGCGCTGTGGCGCAAAGCGACGAGCGGTATTAATTAGCTTTAGTGTTCTCATCTCCTTTGTTTTTGTTTAGCATTAGTTAGAAGTGGCTAGCCCCTGCAGGGCAGTTGTCTCCTTCGATAAATGTTCGTGATTGATGTATGATTTTGGTCGCGAAATTATTTTGATGGCGACGCAAGCCTTTGCCTTTCTTTCCACGAGCGTCCACCACAAAAAAAAGCATGGTGGCATTTGTTTCTGTGAATCGCAATCAATTCTCATTCCAGGACGATCATGGCGGCCTCGGCGATTTACGAATACGAAATAACAGCGGTGGTGTGGAGATGGTGGTCGTGGAGCGCGGAACGCGTGAAGGAGTTTCTTACCAACACGAACGGCTTCTGCGAGAGGGACAGCGCTTGCCAGGTAACGCATGTGGAGGAGGCAGGGACGGCCGCTGAGGCAAGATGGCGGATCACGCTGCAGGTCAAGTGCAGCACTGGTATCCGCATGGTGCCGGGTTTTCTGTGTTGTGGGTTGGTATGTATTCGCGCGGGGAGCCCTCAGCAAGATCAAGAACATGCCCTGCGTAACGTATTCGCACCGCAGGGCTGGTGTATGTTCATCGAAAAACCCGCCATGGACTTTGGTTGGCGTTGCTTATCTCGCGAAGGATAGGAAGACAAGCTGTTGGCCGCAGCGACTGTTGTATGCTCATTAATTTTGTATGTCTATTTTCAGTCTACGTATGGATCTTTTGGCTCCAGGCCCACAGTCTTGTGCTTCTGCTGCACTAGAAGAACCCACAACCGAAAAAAAGCTCTGCCTTGCATAGTTTGAATCCCGGATCGCTTCGCGGAAGCGTTTTCGGAGCGCTTACGCGGGAGCACTCTTCTGGGGGTCCTCTCCGCCACGAAGCCCCGTCGCGCGCCGCAGTAAAAGACAAGTAGAAACTGTCCGGACACCTTGCAGCCTCTTCGTGCTGAAGATGCTGCGTGCTTTGCGGGTGTATGTTGAGTATCCAAGCAGACTCAGTGTGCGTTTCGCCCGCGCTTACACTTTTGATTTCTACTACATACAGGCCTTAGCTCTCACCTCTTTTCACTGCATTTGCCGACATTTCTGCACATTCCCCCGTGCTTCGCATATGCGTTGCGTCTTGCTGTACATTTGCACGCTGGCCCTGTTCTCGCTTGAGCATAGAACTGCAGATGGAAAGATGGACACCCATACGCGCGCTTGCGTATTTTGTGCCTAATTTTTACAGGGCAAGATAATGAAAGCATGCGACTCAGTACCAGTAGAAGCGATAGCTTGTTGCATAGGTGCGAGCTGTGTGCAGCGAACGAGGTTACGACCATTATAGTAGGCTGGCGAGGATCGGTCTATGAAGCTACTTATATGCTCCATCAACTAATAAAAAATAAGCTGGCCACATTTATTCGCATCATCCAGCGCTTCCGTGTTTATTCGAATGTCTTCGCGTCCCATACATCCGTGCTATGATAGGACCCCGCGAAGCGATGAGCCGAAAATGGAACCGGATTGATAGCGTGCAAAGCTCCAGCGTTCCCGCTACTTTCAGCGGGCGCCGGCTGGCTATGATTGTGAGACGGCGGAACTAAGTAAAGCGGTTCACTGCGTTTACGCGCCGCGCGACGTCTAGCGACCTCTGTCTGTTTGGCGTTGTTCCGTCTGCCGATGTCGCAGGTCCACCTACTTAGCTACGCCAGGGGCTGCAGTTGTTAGGCGTATTGCTTCAATGTCCCGCACTCCATATCCCGTACGCCTTTTACTTTCGTCTTACTTCGTGCCCACTGACTTGGAGTATGAGACTTTGTAGCAAGCAATGAGATGAGTGCCGTCGTCTCCTGTGGATTTTTGATCGTGTTACACGCAAGATCGATTTTTGCGATCTTCGCATGGTTTCTTCTTCTTTCGAGTGGAGGCGTCTTGCCTCTAGCAGAGACCCAAGATGAAAAAGTACACCAAACCGTCGTCACGCTCTCGCACGAGGGCGAGTATCTCTTTCGCGACCCGAAGACGAATCTCCAGTACATGCGGCGGCAGGACTGGGCAAAATACGACGAAACAAGCCTGCTCTCCAGCTCGTACGCGGAAAAATACAACTACACGAAGAATTGGCGCCACCTCAGCCCGTACGAGAGCGAGCTTTGGACCTACCACAGCAGGAAGTCCTTCCAGCACATTTACAGCACGGGCAAATGGGGCTTTGGCCGCGAGCAGGACGAATTTGACATACTCTACGGCCACGAGTGGGAGTTCCACGAGGGCGAAAATCAGTACCGCCGGAAAAAGCAGCTCTACGCACGGCATTCGACGGACAACAGTGACCCGGTGCACAACATGGGCACCGCAGGGAGCGGGTCTTTGGTCGAGTATACCACCGGGCTCAGGCGGCAGCTCGAAAGATTGTTGGGGAAGTTGTTTCATCCCGCATTAGAGGGAGAAGGCTCATCAACATCCGGGAAAGTAAAGTTTTTCGACTTCGCCTGCGGTGACATGCTGTGGGCCACGCAATTCGTCACAGATTGGAATGGAAAACGGGCAGGGCAGACAGGCCTAGAGCTAGAGCAACCACAGAGCGGCCCAACTCGACCTGAGCTTTTTTACATAGGTATGGAAATCGCTCCTGCAGAGGCGGAGCGCCACCAGAGGAAGTTTGCAACCCACCCGCACATCCACGTGATCAACGGCGACTTTACGAATTTGCGCTTCTACCGGAACTTCACTGAAATCGCACATGCAGTCGATCCGATTTTAATTGACCTACAACCTCGTCCAGCAAAAATTTCGAACTCATTGCTTTTCATTCGGGACGCGTTGCAGCACGTTTCGCTGGTGCAGAGCTGTCGCTTCTTCCTCAACGTGTACAGGTGGCACAGAGAAAACCCACTGCTATTTCGGTACCTACTCATGGGTGGCTACAAGACCGGGATTCCGAACACAAGAAATATCCCGACACCCGGCGCCACGGAGAACGACCCGACGGAGTGGCCATTTGTGTTGCCGGGACTGCAAGAAGTGCTGCTGGAGGAGGATGCGCCAGAAACCCTGTCCTTCAGCGAACACGTGGTGGCACGGATTGCGAGCAAAAAGCTATTTCTGTACGACGTCAGCGCATGGGCTGGTTCCGGCGGAGACGGAGGCAACGGCTTTGACCCATGTCCGAAGATGTGAAAACGCAGACCACTATGCACTAACACTATCCTGATGCTCTTGCAGGAGGAGTTCAAGTTCAAGTTGTGCCAGCCGTGGCGATGCGACGCAAGAAACCGATGGATGCTCCCGTTCTTGCGAGGGAGCGGATCCCCAGTGATGAGTTACACTCTGACGTGTCAAACGCAGACAGAGCGAGTTGGAAATAGGATTGGAAAAGATGAATCTTCTTTTTTTTTTCCACATTAGGAAAAGCAACGGTTTTTTCACCGTGATGGACCTGAGGATGAGAACCACGAGACTCATTTGATATGCGGATTGTCTTCGGTGACGGTGCAGTTTCTTCTGCAGGTGGTGAAGTCAGTATCACTTTCTTCGAGAAGAACAGGCTTTTCGTTTTGCCGCCCCTAAACTCGTGCATCAGTCCGGGGCATACACATTTACAATAGCTAGGGTCCACATCCACTTCTCTCCACAGACAGCATCAGCTGTGGTTTCTTGTCGCAGGCGCAGCAGCGATTTTGTTCTGCAAAAGAAAGCCATCGGCTAGTTTTATCCTATCCCATTTCTACGCGATCTCAAAATCTTCAGTGCCTGTAGCGAAAAAAATCGGTTATTGTTTGATAATCTTGGGTTTTTAGCCCTGGACGAAGTTGATTGCTGACATTCGCATTTCGTTTTTTCAGTATCGCTGGCGTGTAAAAATCTTCAAACGAAGACACGTCTTTGTCGTTCATTCTATCTTTTCTTGAGTGTCCTCTAAGGTTAAGGTAAAGGTATACCTTTTACTTGCTTTTTGCACAACTAAGTAGTTGTTTCCTGTAGACCGCGCTGCTCCATCCTTTTTTGATGGAGCTGGCGACATTTTCGGCGAAATTCACCATGTAAGGAAGTTTCGGTCGAGATAGATTCACCAGACCATGGTGCTGCCGGTTCCCGGCATTGAGTTTCTCGATGACTCAGTCATCCCGGAGCCTGCGCGGAAGTTCTTCATCGCGCTCCGGTATGCGCTCCTCACCGAAATGGTGCTGGCGATATTCCGACTTTGCCTCGGTATTTCTGATGGTTTGATTCCCGATCCCGGACGTTTTTACAGCAAGAACGTATGTGCGAGTGATGCAGTACTTCTTTCGTATACGATCGATTCGATTCCATTCCGCCTTGTTGAAGAAGCGGCTTGCTTTCCTCCATTTCGCGGCAACGTTTGAATTTGAAACATTTGCAACACATGAAAAACAGTTCTACCATAAAAAACACCACAGGTGACGTCGCAGGAGCAATTTCGGACTGGATCTGCATACTTTTCGGCATATTCTTTATGCGATCGGACGAACTGATCTCCAACATACACCGATACCTGCGGAACACCATGATTGCCATGTGCTGCGGGGGAGGTAGAATTTTGCTCGTTTTTGATTGTACCCATCATCGTGCCCTCTCGGATGCAGACGTGATTGCGCAGCCCGTCGTCATCTATTGGAAGAAGCTTTTGACGAGTATACATTGCACGGAGGCCCTGAAAAAAAATATTTTCACGCTGACGCTCTTCAGGTGGCTTCCGCGTGCTGATGCCGTTTTGCTTCCTGTCCGGCCTCAATGGCGTTTTCAACCTGCTGATCTTTGTGCAATTTCCAATACTCGTCCCGTATAAAGCTTTTGTTTGTCACTTTCATGATATGGAAAACAGACTCACTTGAAGTTGAAACGCCCGGCCGTCGAAGCCTCGTGATTGAAGATGACTGTATGTTTTTATTTCGACTTCGAGTTTCATCAACACAACCTATTATATTAACTATCACCACAGATACACGATGTTGACGTCGATATTGGGATATGACCTGCTCAAGCGTTACAATCTCAAACGTTACAATAGAATCTGAGGCTTGTCTTGCATGATCAACATGACAGACTCGGACAGCATTCCACTTTCTGCAATACAAATTTCGCCGGATTGTAGTGCGGATTGGGACTCCAGAGCTTGTCATGCGCAATCCTGTGGGAGTAGGGTAGATCATGCACTTCTTGCAACACAAATTCCAGATGCCATTGTGACGTTTGAGAATGTAACAGTTGAGAACGCCATATGGAAATCGTGGAGATTTTCTGTGCGTACTGCGGTTGGCAGATTTACAAGCAGGTTTCTGCTTACCAACTTGGTGCTGCCGGCTTCGGTCCCCGCGCACCTGAGCGACCAGCTGGTAGAATAGGCGGAGGACCACCTGGCGGTGGCGCACCGGGTGCAGGCGGAGGTGGAGGTGCGCCTGCGGGAGGTGGTGGCGGAGGCTGGGGAGGCGGAATCAGCGGGCAACCGCAGCAGGCCCCGGGATTCCAAGTTTTTCAAGGGCAGGGGAGGAGGCTGGGCGACTGATGAGAAGTCATTTCTCAGTCACGCTTTTGGTTCCAGATAGCGATAGGAGAGATGAAAAAAAGTTGTACAGTAGTTGTGAAAAGAACTGCTCCTGGTTGTCTTCGTGCCGCCAGCACGAGAGATCATGGAGCGAAACAGAAACACTGGAGTTTCTGAATGTGTTTTGAAAGTTGCGTCTATTGCAAATAATGATCATATTCAAAAGCACAGCTGACTGGCATCGAGTGCTGGTGCATAGGTCACTGTGCTGACACTAACACACAAGACAGAGAAAGTCGCGTGGTGCTTGTTCCACGTGGAGTTTGGCTCGATGACTGCGCTGCAAAGAGGATGTTCTTCTTCATTGCGAATGAATTTCTTAAGTGCAATCCTGTGTATTGTCACGCCGTCTAGCCTATTTGAGTTCGCGAATATTAAATGATGTGGATGTCTCGTCGTTCCTCTGAGGGACCCAGAGCACTCCCGAGGATACTCGGGGACCGAATTCTTTCGCTTGTTTTTGTTCTGCTTCTTCTGTCCTGCGCATTACCGTTGTCAATATTTCCGTCGGCAGCTGCAAGCGCAGCATCTAACGTTCACTACTCGGGTTATTTGGTGGACAATTATTGTTGGAATCTCAACGTGGAAGCCGGGGCACCGGCAGCACTTGACGGCGCAAAACTGCAACAGCAGCCCCAGGAGCACACGACGCACTGCCTGCGCGACGTGCCGCAGTGCAGTGATTCGTTCTTCTTGTTGGAAAGAGTCGAAGGAGGGGGCCAGCTGGTATACCGTCCGAAATTTTTGCTGGACGAAGGGTCTACGCAAAAGGCACTGGAACTGCTGCAGACGCTACCTGACGACGACAAGTCAAAACACGTCCTGGTCAACGTCACAGGGGTACATTCAACGAAAGACGGTGTGCTTAGAAACGCAGAGTTTACGTTTTGCGATGCGGCCTTGCAAGAGGGCTCGGAAGAAGGTGCCCGGCAACGGTGTGATAGTGTTTGCGTCAACGTGGGTGCACAAGAAAGTAGTGAAACTGACAACCCCTGCGACACGATTCCCGATCTGGAACTAAACGCCGTTCCTGCGCGCTTTCTTCTCTGGCTGCATGCGATATGCATGAGTCTTGCATGGGGGATCCTTCTACCGATCGGTGTCCTCTCTGCCAGATACCTCCGCGACTCGAGAAACGGGAAGAAATTTCACGCGCCACTTCTCGGTCAGGCTCCTTTTTGGTTTAACGTTCATCGCATCTGCCAAATCAGCGGCATATCGTTCTCCCTTCTCGGACTAATCGCCATCCTGGTTTACCGCAAAGCGCAGCACTTCGGAGCGTTGAAGCAGAACCCGCACGAAGCGTTCGGGCTCGCGGTCGTCTGTCTGGCAATTTTTCAGGGGATCAATTCGCAGATTCGCCACAAAGTGGAACACCCAGAACCAGGCACGAGATTCGCGGACAAGTCGACGGGAAGGCAGGTTTGGGAGATCACGCACAAAGGGGCTGGCTACGTCGCGGTATTGCTCGGTAGCGTGAACGTGGTGCTAGGGGGGTACCATGCAGATACATTTCGGTATGAAGGGCTGCCTAGTTATGGGAAGGCGGTCGGGTGGACGTTTTTGGTTTTGTGGTTGTGTATTGTGATTGCGAATGAAGTGAGGTGGTGCGCAGTGGGGAAGTACTTCGATCTGCCGTGTGTTATATGTGGAGAAGGCAAGCAACAAGAACAACTCCAAGTCCAGGATAGGTCTGAACCTTCGGAAAGAACAAGAGCGGGAGACACTTGTCCACTACCTCCAGGAGGCAGTGGAACCGCAGAACCAAAGACAGATGGCACTAGACCCGTGTGGGGCGGAGACCAAGACCATAAAGGAGCTATCGGGGTGAAGATGCTCGAGATGAGCATCGAAACCTCCGAACAGGCGCTGGGGCTGAAAAGTTAGTCACGGACAAGGCATTTTCTAAACACACTTATGACCTTACATCATGCTACTAGCTTTGTTTTCGAAACTCAACCACGAGAGCTCGCTTTTTAGAAATGTTTCAAACCCTCCGAAGCCCCGATGGTTCGTCCACGTTGAGCACGCCTGCTGTCTGCGAGAAGTATCTGAGAAAAACGCGAAGCGCAAAGAAAACTTTTTTCGGCGAGAGTGCCAGTCTAGGGTCCTTATAATCCTGGTTGCGAGCCCTAGCCCAACAGGACTGATAGACGGAGGAATTTACCTTTGCAAAAAGTAGTCAGATGATGAAGATACTTGATAATGATCTGGTAACCAAATGCGTGCGCGCGCGCGCGCAGAGCGCGCGCCGGCCCACGAAGCCGGCGCGCGCGCTCTGCGCGCTTGCGATATTGCTTAGCAAACGCAGCGCGAAGGCAGTTGCCGTTACCATATAGGGCAACC